CTGAATTCGGATGTGTGAAGCGGTGGGCAAACGCTGTAGGTGTCCAAATGATGTCTTGATGCCGGAGCATGTTTGGAAAGATGAAGAGGGAAAAGGAAAGTAGAAGAGGGGAAAGCGAACACCCCTTGTGACCTACTACTAGCTGCGTTTGTTAGCGCTAGTTAGGAAATGTTAGTAGAGAGCTATTCACCAGCCAGAAAGAAAAGAAACCCAGTTGTAGGTGCTCGTGGGTTCTTGGTTACATTCTTGAGTACCAGCGAGACCCAAGATCTCCGGATACCCAACCCTCAGGATTCCTTCGCGCGGGTGATCATTGAGCAGCAACTGGCTTCAGTACCTATCATTGGACTGCTATACAAAACTAGGGTAGTTCTTAGGCCGGTGGGCCTCCGAGATCTTCTGATGATAGGTGCAACAGGCGAAGGAGCCATTCTATTGGAATATGCAGGAAGACTAGCGCGGCGGAAGATCTCCCAATCAAAGTTATAATCAGCAGGCTAAGCCATGAGAGCTACATGATGCATGTACGGAGAATTTTAGTTCTGCACGTCCTAAATTTGGAGTCGTGAAGATGCCCCTTTCCAGACAACTCGAACGCTGCGAACCAAGATACTGTAGAATAAACAGAAAACGAAAGCACAAGAAGAAGAGTATTTAGTTATTATCACTTCAACCAAGTCGTGAAGAAAGGCTAAACCCCTTTTTGCCATCCTGGCTGCTAGCCTCGATCTAGTTTGTTTGATCCCATGTTGCCGGGAAGCTTTAGCCGAGTTAGACCTCGAAAACCCAGCAGTCCAACACGACAAAAGTCTCCCGTAGTTTCAAAGGATACTGACCCTGCATTAGTTTCTTTGGGCCGCTGTTGTCTTCCAATTAGCTTTACGCTCAAGGTAGGATGGGAAGGCTGACTAGCAGCCTCAGGCTTGTGGGGATGTCTCATTGCTCTGCGCAAAAAAACTCTGCATCAATGTTCTTTGCCCAAATGCGAGCACATGCGGCCATGATTCGCCTTGAAAAATTCAGCCTACAGCTGGATCTGAAGCTACGAGTAGTCTGATCGACTTTGTATGCCAATCTCCTTGTATTGTAAGAGCGGCATCGATTGCTGTGGCAATGTATCCGAGTATTGTTCATCCGAGTCTGCTTTTTGGGTAGAGCCAGTTACCAGTAGACATGGCAAAGCTGAGCGTCTTATTTGTCTAGATGAAAGTTAGCTTGTCCAATAGGTATGCTTCGAACTAGTTGCTTCGGTGGAATAACAAGGTTTCTATCACACAACATTTTGCTATTCGATATCAAGAATTGGCCCAGACAAACGGTAGCCCTGATCCTTATATTGCGCATCAATTCCATTTTTGTGCACTGCTGCTCTGTCACAAGCTTCGCTCCATTGTCGTACCTGCATGTTACCTTTGTCAGGTTCGAGTCTGGGGTCTGAAATACACGTCTTCGTACGCTGCTCGTACAGTTTCGTGAAGCGAGATTGAAAGAAAGACTCGACGTTCCATAACCCGGCTTCATGCTTGCTGTGCTCCACCGGCCAAGCCCAATTGAGCATATTGGAGTATTTCATGACATATATACCAATTGGCCTCGCTTGACAATAATTCTTATAATAGAAACCGGAGGAGAATGACGACGTACTTTGCTCTGAGCCGTGTGGCTAGAAGCATGTGGAGACTCAAGACAATCCGCTTTACGTTAAAGGATGCAGAGGTGTAACATTCTCAGCGTCAAATCCCAGCAGCAACCGCATAGTTATTTGTCACTGAGGTTGCGGTGGAGCACGTTGCAGTTACAGCCGGTGGCTTCTGGACAGGGAAAAAAAAATTAGCTGAGCAAGAGAGCTGGTTCCAGGGATAAAAAGAATTCGAGCTCCCACCAAGTTTCTAACCAATTCACGACGGGGAGGTCGACACCATTACGGCCCCAATTGAGCCATTCGGGGCCCGCACCTATACTTCGCCTTGGGTCCGCAATTCCCTCAGACTCCCTCAATCGCTGTAGCGCTGAATTTTACCACGGCACGAGGGGCGACTGGGCTTCAGCTCCAATAATAGGATCCAATGCCAGACTCTGTGGCCTTTGATCGAGGTCTACCGTGCTGGCCGGATCCTGCGGTGCATCGCTGGAAGGTAATGGATTGATTCCACAGCCTCGTTGGCTGATCACAAGGGGGGCTTAGCTGAGCTTCTTGTCGGCTACGCCGTCTCAACCGTGTCCCTTGGGAAACCCCCTTTTTTTTCCTTCCCGGGCTTCTCTCTAGGAGGCAAGGCTCTGGCCCCAACCCCTCCAAAGCCCCCAAATCTACGAAATACGGGCGACATGGCATGACGGTGACGAAATCCTCGAGGCTATTGACGGGGCGCACCAGAATCAGCCCACGGGAAATAAGGGCTTCGCTTTGCACCGGCAATTGCAGGGATTTCAGTCAAGTGAAACACTCTTATCACAGGTATATGTACCGGGGCACGATTCCGCTTCACCCGCAAGCTTTCGCTTATCTGGCGAACCAAGGAACGTTTATTTGCTTGTGACAGCACATCTCCTGGTCTAAGCTCAGGTCGAAGGTGCTCAGGCTCGGACTGGTCAGTGCCAACCTAGCAAGTCGGCTTGCCCCGAACAAGACGATTCATGCATGGAAGCCTGGGAGAGGAAAGTATCTCATCCGCCAATAGGCACTCTGGTTGGCTGAAGCCACCGTCCAATCATACGACTTCACAGAGACCTTCCTATTTGGTACTGGGGACTAAGTGGGGAGGCTGTTGGGAACGGCCCGGGTGCGAGCAAATGCTCATTGGTTCGATCATTTCGAACTAAAATTTGACTGCAACATTGTCGACTTGGCGTTAATGATGGCCTGCATAAGCGCCACTCAAGAGGCCCCCTCCTCTCTATCGATTGGATGGGGCTTGGATAGCCTTGTGAGCTTCCTCTTCGTCATGGAGGGAATGGCGCTGGGAAACCCAACCACGGGGATCTTGTTCTGTGCTTCCTCGTCGGTTCGTTCATAATCTCCGTGTCCGAGTGGGTCGTCTCCCTAAAACATGCAGGCCGAACAAAGGCGGATACCAAATCAGTGGCTATGACCGCCACTTTAAGGGTCTCTCGGGGACACGGGGGGGGGCGTTGCTTGACTTTTCGTTAAAGTATCGTCCATCTTGGCGCGATCAGCGCATTGCAGCTGTGCCTAACTGATCCTCTGCGAGGTACGCAGGTGTGGTTGTATCGCCAACCAACAAGAGGGGAATAGAGAAGATCACAGGAGAAAAGACCACATACATTTACCACAATTGGGAAATGCGCAGCTGTACTCTGAATCCTTCAACGAACGCTCTCCGTGGGACTACCCCAGAACCGATTTGCAGAGCCCGAGTTACTAAGATAAGCCACTGGCGTATCAGTTAGCGTCTGACCGCTTCTTGATTCCTTCTCCCGCCTTCCAAGCCCAATCTAGCTAGGCCATTTACAGGGCCGCGACTCCCGTACATGGGACCAACTGTACTAACATGAGAGGATTGGACAAGTGGAGAAAACAGGAAGCCTCGGTTGAACCAATCTCGTTTACGAACGTCCAGGAACGGTTGCGGGATTAAAACCCAAGAAGGCGAACGAAAAAAGAAAAAAAGGGGGAAAAAAAGAGAAAAAGAAAACGAGTAAGGTGCAGCCATCTATACTGGGTGATTTGCATCATTAGCTTATGCCCGACTGGAATTAAAATGGATCCCAGCTCAGATCAAGGTGTGATCCTCGATAAGACGATCGGTTTTCTTTGTCAGTTCCTTGAATCCCTTTAGTTTTTTCGCGGTGAATGCGGGATACCATTTTATGAACCATGGACAGGAGGCTAGGCTGCCATCCCGTCCCTGTCTAGATCTCATAGGTAGTTTTTTTTCTGGAAAGCCACATTTCCCTTATGTCAACACGAGCGGAGGAAGACAATCGTCTAGCAGGGATGGCTGCAGAATTCGGTTAGCGATCCGGCATTAGCCGGTTCTGGAAAGTTACAGAGTCGCATTGCCTCAACCTTTCCCCGGGAAAGCTCGTTAAACCAGATTAAACCACCAGAACTGGCCAGATTCCTTCTGGGCCACTTGCACATGCTAGCCTCTCTCCACTCCTGAACCTGCCCCACTGCATGATATGATATCAGCCCCACCTTGCATAATCCGTTTAGCAAAGACAAGGAGCGCGGTGATAGTGATGATGGGGCTGACGTCGCTCTCTGGATTCGGCCAGTCCGAGATCAGGGATGCTGAAGGCTGAAGGGCTGGAGGCGGCCAATGGGGGCGGGAAGAAGACTTCCAGAAGCTGGTAGATCAGGAACCTTGCCATGATCCGCGATAAGCACGCCCCAGAATAGGATTGACTAAACACGAAAGATAGATCGGATCGAGCATAGTGGCCCTCTCAACGGGGCCTAGTTCTCCCGACCAAACTCGTCCTGGCCAGGCGCTTCACGCCGGAGGATTCTGACCCAGGAGAGTTCGAGGACGGGTCAGAGAAGGGAAAGCGCCTATGCAATATGCACGAGCGACTATCAACCCCTCTTTATTCGAAGCAGGCACGGCGTTGACACTCTTTCTAGAAGCTCGCAAAGTCCCAATGAGATTGGTGGATGCCTTGCAATTTACCCCAGGTCCGCCAAGTGGATCACGTACCTGCGCTGTTGGCGGAGGCGACGATATCGTCAGTCCGCAGCGCCTTGTCGCAATTGGCTGGCAGCCCTTTAATGATCTCCTATCTGTTATAAGCCTTAGTCTATCCACTCGTGGATTCATGATCTTCATGCACTTGAAACTGGACTGCCCAAAGGGTCCAACTGCTGATCCCGCCCATTCCTTCTTTCTCTTAACGCCCTGCAAAGCGCCCCTCCGAACGCCTCCGCTCAGCGTATTCCTTTCCCTTGCCTTTCCTGCCGTCGGGTTCAATTCATAAATGTTGCAACAGTAAGAAGAAGGGGGGAAAAAGGAGAAAAGGCTCACACAACCTTCTACGCAATGACGCGCACCGAGCCCACTCAACATTCTTCCTCTTGGGAGACGAAGAGCATCACCGCCACTGACGATGGGACGGTCGGTCAAGATGCTCGGCCTAGGGGTCGGATTCGCCGATCGATGACTGCGTGCAATACATGCCGCAAGTTGAAGACCCGTTGTGACTTGGATCCTCGAGGTCATGCCTGCCGTCGTTGTCTCTCGTTAAGGTATGTAACAAGTCTGCTGGGTTAGAAACACGGGTCGATTATTCCATCGAGAGGCCCGCATCCTAGACCCACTCACCTTTGGAGATGATCCCACACCTGTTGAGAGAGAAGCGTCGTGCTAATGCTCCGTGAAGGCTTGAATGCGAGCTTCCAGAAACCCCCGATCGCTACCAGGACACCACATCCAGTTGGTCCGATGCCAATGCGGCCATTCCCTCAATTGAGGAGAGGCTGGTTTCCCTGGAGCGGGGAATGGGTGAGATGATTCACCTCATGCGCCAGATGGTCAATAATTCGCCCCGAGATTGCCCGTCTCGTCATGGCAGCCGCAATAACAGTATAGATGAGGCTGCTGCCAATAATAACGCCCCGGCACCACACGTCACGCTAAAACCAGTCCAATTTATTCGCGATCTCCAAGTCGAATGCTTCGGGGAAAGAGACCAGTTCTCTACGGAGACTGAGCTTCTGGGAGATGTGGTCTCCCAAGGAATTGTAGATGCAAAATTATCATTGAAATTGATTGAGCTGTGAGTACCACTGCCCATCTCAAAGCAAACGGCAAATTCCTGACTTGACCTGGTAGATTTGTGGACTACTTCAGTCAATGGGTCTCCATCGATCATGCAACAAATATTCAGAGGACAAATCCCCTGCTTTTCAATACGGCTTGCTTGCTAGCGTCTCGGTATCTCCCGGGGATGCCTCCTAATACTATTCATGAGATTGCCCTCCAGGTGCAGCTTGCTGTCACCAAAACATTATGGAGAAAAGCACCCTTGACCGATGACCTGCTCCAGGCATTGGCTCTGCTATGTCTATATCCCACATCTGGACATAAAGAGGGGTTCATGGATGCATGGTTGCTGAGTGGAATCGCCATCAACCATGCCCTCTCCTCCTTCGGCTTTCTCAATAACTCCCCTCATAAGAACATCCCCTCCGATGAGATGCTTCCTCAAATGCGTCTCTGGAACACCTTCTGCCTGACACACTTGCAGTGAGTATCCTTTTTTTTTTTTTAACCCAAATCCGAGGCCCCGAGCTAATCATATGCAGCTCTGCCCTTGGCTACGGACGTAACGTCAATGTCCTGTCCCAATATTTCGACCATTGCCCTCTCATCCTCGAGCACCCACGCGCAACTCAAGATGACGGCCGGATAGTAGCAGAGATCCAACTATATCGCATTGCGCTAAAAATCCGAAACAATACCCAGCGCCTCCAATTCACCGAAACTGAATACGAAGAAATCGAACGCTGGAAAATGGAATGGTCCCATCTCCTCTGTAAGCTCCCCAGACCCTCCGTGCAAGCTGAATTTATCATACTAACTCATCCCTGCAGCCAGCGAAGGCCAATCCACCCTAGAACTCAGCATTTGGTTCTGCCAACTCCTCCTTCAACGCACCGCATCCCGTCTTCAACCCGAGTCCGACCGACTCGCCACCGAGATCTGCAGCAACGCCCGCCTCATCATCTCGCGGTCCATGCAGACCCGATTCTCCGCCGCCCCGGCTTAATCGACCATGTCTACTACATCCTGGGCTACGCCGCCCTCACCCTCTGCGACTACACTCCCTCCGACCCCGTCATCGACCAAGTGCGCGCCTTCCTGCTGCACCTCGCCCCCAGCAGCGACCACCTCTCCTACCGCATCGCCTACATCATCGGCGAGGTGCAGCGGCGCTACGCGGAGCCCACCTCCGCCACGCAGTCCTCGCCTACAAGCGTGGGGCTGAAAAATGCCAATGCCATGTTTGCCGCGCCCGCGGCCGCGCGCTCGGAGAGCCTGGATCTGACGGCGCTGATGCCGTCGGGCGGGAGTATGGATGGACTGGTGGAAAATTACGGGTGCTTCGAGCAGCTGATGCCCGGATATGTGGCCCCACAGCCGGCCTTCTCGGCGCCGACGGTTTTCCAGCATCATACGGCGCCTGTGATGGGTGGGGCGATGCCGGTCAGTCTCGTGCCGAGGGCGTTACATGATTTCTGAGATGAGCTTGAGGGGTTAGGGTCTGGGTCATGTGAATTTTTATGGGATCTGATGTATTTGATTATGACCGTCTGAATTTTTCATTTTTCATTTTCATTTTCATTTTCATTTTCATTTTCATTCTTATTCTTATTCTTATTCTTTTTTTTTTTTTAACTTTCCCCCTCCTTTTCTTTTTGGACTTTGTTCGGGGTGGTTCTTAAGTTCCTTTTCCTTCTTCGTTTGAGGCCTCGAGGCTCGATGCCAGGTGCAAACAAAAAAATGATCCTCGGTCTGGGGATATGCGTATTTACTTGGCTATTACTGAGGGTCTTCACTTGGCCTGACTACTAGTATTGATCTGCTACTAGGGGCAGCTGGCAATTACATCTTCGTTCATCTACGTCGCCATTTGTTTCTTATGAGCTGAAGCCCGTTGATACAGGTCCTCCAAGACACTGGACATACATTAGCCCTGAAGGAACCTACTAGTAAGGAACATATGGTAAATTCGAAGTTAACGAGGCTCGAACTGGAAGTACTGGTGCCCAGTCACTTCACCTCGCCGAGCAGCTACTATTAACTTATCAAGAGTACAACTTACAGAGTGCACAGACAGTCTGCAATAACTGAGATTATATATCCCGTGACATTGATTAAAGCGGACCGGTTTCGTATATACAGTCTTCATCAAGAATGACTCAAGCCCACATCGTACATCAGTACCAGCGACATTACAAATCGTCTTACATGTCGCCAACAGTTCCCCTCAATCAGGCTGCCCCAGTCTAAGACCGGCAAAGAACAGAGCCCTCAAGCTCAGAGGTGGGGTAGATAATCCGCGGCGCACCACTAGCCATGGGGACCGGCACATTCGAGTTATCGTCCACGGTGAGAGAAGTGCAGGTGATGATCTCCGTAACAGAGTCGCCAGAGTTGAAGCCCGTGTTGCCAAGCGAAAGGGTGTACTCGCTGCCGCCCTCGCCGAGGTTCGAGAGAACGGTGACGGTCTGGGTACCATCGTAGCCCTTGCGCATGGCAAGCGTAGTGTCGTCTTGGTAGATGGGGTAGTTCTAAGAAGGAAGGAATTAGAAGAGATTCTTGGCCATCAGTGTTAGAAGTGGTGCCCGAGGGGGAAATTTACCTTGTAGGTGAGGTAGCTGCTGTTACGGTAGATAGCTTGGTTGCGGACGGCGTTGGCCTGGCTGATGAGCTTGTAAAGCTCGCTGTCGGTGTTGTAGCCGGACAGCCAAACAGCCTCGCGGTTGTTAGGAACGTTGCCGCCTTGGTAGTGCTGCTCCTGGCCCGCGTAGATGATGGGGATACCGTCGGACATGATGGTAAAGGCTGCCGCATTCTGGGCAAGGGACATGTCATTGGTAGCTCTGAAGGGAATGTAAGTGAGTGGGATTATATGGAGTGGGATGGAGGTAGGGGGGGGGGGGACAGACGAGCCAAAGCGGGGCACATCGTGGTTTTCGGCGAAGGTGCCCATAAGAGTGGTGTCCTTGCAGTTGTCCTTGAGGGTGTTGATCATGTTGTAGAGGCCGCTGATGCTTCCGCTCGTCGACTTGAAAGCATTTAGAAGAGGATAGTACCTGTTCGATGTTAGCTGGCGTTACTCCGATGCCGCTGATGAAATCTTACAGTGGGTAGTTGACGAATCCGTCAAGCACCTCCTGGTAAGGACAGACAATGGATTCGTCGCCATTGTCAACCTCGCCAATGGTGTAGACACCAGCAGCCTCGGTGAAGCCGGCAGTCCAGAAGTCTTTTTGAACCTCCAAAACGGAGTCGATGCGCAGACCGTCGACTGGGATCGTTAACAGAAACATTCCAAGATAGCTCTAGAGGAAAGTCATACCGGAGTAGTTAGAGACAAGACCGGAGATCCAGTTATTCCAAATACCCTGGACCTCAGTGGACTCGGTGTTCAGGTCCGGCAGAGAAACAATGGTGTCGCCCTCCCAGCACTGCTCTACCATGGCTAAGTTGGAGTAGTCGGTGATCTCGCAGTAGGGGTGGAAGTAGTCTTGTGAGTTGAAAGGGTTGAAGACACTGTAGTCAACACTATCACCACTGCCGGCGTACCCCTAATAATAAGCAGCTGTCAGTATCCAGAGTAATTTATCAGGAGGGTGCAGGAACTAACCATATGATTGGTCACAACATCGACCATTAGGTACATATTGCGATCATGGAGGGCGCTTGACAGGGCCTGAAGGTCCTCCACTGTACCATAGTTCTCGTTGATAGAGTAGCTATTTGACCCGGTTAGCTTGTATGCAGCTTTGCCTCAAGATCTCAGACTCACATGTCCTGCTGCCAATACCCGTGATACGCCTCTCCATCGGAAGTAGACTGATTCAGCTGCTTGGTGATAGGCGTAATCCAGATAGCCGTGAATCCCATTCCTTGGATGTAATCAAGCTAGCATGTCGTGAGAAACATCTCGAGAAAGCCACTGGAGGGGACGTGAAAATACATGGTTGATGATACCCTGCCAAGAACCCCCACAGTAGTTCTACATCACCCTAGTTAGATATTTGCATCCAATAACAGGAATTCAATGAATCGTGCGTACTCCCATATTTGCATCACAGGTGGCAGTAGTCGAGTTATCAGTGCGCGCGAAACGATCCGTGAGCATGAAGTAAATCGACTGCGATCGCCAGTCCGCCGCAGATGCAGCCATGGCCGGGCTGGCCATGCCCACGAACACGGCGAGAATTCCCAGCGAAAGCATGTTTGGGGTTTTGCTTTGCAGGTGAAAAGGAGTGAATCCTACTATGCGGAGAAAACTATGCTTATGTATCGGACGTTCAGATCTGTAGCCTTGTTTGGACGACGAGTGTCCATCCGAAACGCCCTAAGAAACGGTGATCATCCTGTTGGGTGGGCGCGTTCTTTTGCTGTGGAACCAAAGAATCCTAGATAATAAGTGGCGTGTGTCATTGTGGTGCCAATGCGTTGCTAGTGCTATGGAAGGTCTCTGGTGCCCCCGCGAAATGGTTGCGGCCAGCGGTCATAGCGAGGTCTCATGCAAGGCTCGATGCCTGTTACAAACAGGGGACGGGCAAAAGATCTTCAAGTCCGGATGCTACGAAGGAACGAGCGAGCGATGATCGATCGTCAGGGCGGAATGCATAACCGGCCTCCGGGCGCACAGCCCAACACTTGCAACACCAGGATCAAGAGCTGGGACCTGAATATCGTCATTTAGTGGACCATTTAGTGGACCATTCAGTAGATGAATGTGCCTGGTGGGGTCCAGGGGTTGCAGCAGCGGAGTCACCGAAAGGGCTACGGGCGTCCAATCAAGAATGCGCACACTTAATCGACCGAAGGCAGGGAGAAAGGGCCGCAGACACGGTCTACTAATTGACGAATGGGCAAGCAATGAAGGGATTTGCTAGGCCTGAAGGTCCCCAGAGTTGCAGCTGCGATGGAACGACGTGGATTCTATTGGTGTGCAGCCCCTGGCCTGCTCGGAGGTTCTCCTGAAAGGGGCCAGAATGGACTTTTTGACCCAATTTAACCGGCCTGTTAGAAAGCGTCTGTGATGGAGTATGGTAAATCGCTCAATCCTTCCGTCCACTATAATGCGGCTGCCATAAACGCTTGCGTTTCAGAGAAATGAATGACATCTGCGAATGGAAGGATGGTTGACGACACGGGTCTTCATATTTCGGATGATTGCAAGATAGCTTATTTATCGAGTCCACTGGATGCTGAACAATTTGAGCCGCTTCACATTGATCACGTCTTCCTTCAAGTCTCTGATCTGCCGATCGTGGACAATTCTCACTCTTCTCTCAGACATCCTTACAACTATCTCAGCGATAACAGCTAGCGGCGTCTACAACTCTGAAGGTTCTTTGAATTCCCACTCCTAGTACATCATAAGATCCAGCTATTATGGCTGGCGAGGAAGACACAGAGCGATCAGCAACTGAACAGGAAGTGAGGAGTCTCTCAGCTCCAGCTGTTCAGGACAAGGTCAGAGGTAAGGGACCAATCAATACTCCCTCACGACCTACGTACGATCTTGAAGAGAATGAGCTGATTGCGGTCGTTAACTGCAGGATACGAATCCGGAAGCAGTTCCAGGTGGCCTTCACAAAGGAGGGCCACCTGCGCCAACGGTTCGTAGCCCTGCTAGACCGTAAGGATGGGCGCGGAGAGCCGCTCTTTGCCCAGGAAGTGATAAATGCAAACTGTCCGAAGAGGGAAGTCCGAAGAATCGCTAGTCAAAATCCTCTGCTCTTCACGGCGTCGGGACGACTTCGCTCCCGTGCCTCGAAAAAGCTCACGGATAAACATGAGCAGGGAAAGTTTGCTAAATACGGGGTTACGGAGGTGAAGAAGATCCATGAGGCCGTGAAGACACAGTTTTTTACTCACGGAGTATTGATGAATTCCGGGCCGAAAGTGGTTGACTTGCGCAAAACCGAGGCTGTTGGTCTTGATGGGGAGAATGGAATGGATATGGGAGGCAAGAGTCCAAAACGGAGATTTAATAAGCTTATTCTGGGCTTCGTATACCAGCCACTAGTGCTAGTGCCAGTGCCAGTGGAGATCCCAGTAGATCGTAAGAAGTCGAAGAGTCCTCCGAAAGACTCACTCGCAAGGCTGCACATGATTGAATGAATCATACCAATGAATAAGTGAAAGAAAGTAGCTTCATATGCAAACGTTTCATTCCATTTTTAACGAAACAATGGTTTTAGAGATAGTATCAACAGGAAGCAATGACCCGAAGATCAAAATAAAAATCCACGTCCAAACGTACCAACCTACCACTTCAGAACCCAGTTCCTTGCAAAGGCACCGCTTGAAGTAAGATTCTGCAAGCCAGTAACAGCCAGAACCTGCGTCTCCGAGTCATAGTTGACAGATGAAGAAGGCACAGCGTGGCCGTTCAGGGTCACAGAACCAGGAGCATTATGAACACCCAGCACGGTCACATTCGCCAGAGGGTTAGCCTCCTTCCACGAGCCGCGAGCCAAAGCACTCAGGCTCGAGCCATTAGCCTTGAATAAGACGGTCAGAGTAGCGTTAGGCGATTGGCTCTCACCATCATCCAGATATAAGTTACCGGTAGCAGCACCCTTGGAGCTGAGAGCGGTAAGAAGCGACCAGTCCGATGCACGCGAGTCACGGGTCGTCAGAGCTGGTTCCTGCATAGGCAGGATGGAGCCACCACGCACGTAGACCGGGATGTGGCCGAGCGGAGCATCGATAGTGGTGTTCACACCAGGCTGGGCAATGACGGCGGTCTGGTTGTACCAGTCGTACCAGCGCTCTCCATGCTTGACACCGGGGAAGACACCCTTGACGGAAGTCGCACCCTGGGCGAGCACGGGAATGACCATCAGAGAGGGACCGAGGAGGAACTGGGTGTCGACGGCGGCGAGAGAGGGGTCTGTGGGGAATTCCCAGGCCAACGCACGCATGACGGTGGAGCCGGTGGTGTGGGCTTGGTGGAAGAGGGTGTAGAAATAAGGTAGGATGGCGTAGCGAATCTTCATGGCCGTCTTGGTGGCGTCTATGACGGAAGACCACACGTAGGGCTCTTGGGAAGCAGCGCCAAGGGTGTTGTGGTTGCGGTAGAATGGGAAAAACGCAGACAGCTGCATCCAGCGGTTGCAGAGCTCCTCGTCCGCGTTTCCTTGAAACCCGCAGGTGTCGACACCGAACATAGGGATACCAAAAAGGGAGAATGACAGCGCCTGGGGGATCGAGAAAAACATGTATGCCCACAGAGAATAGTTGTCACCACCCCAGTGGCCCGCCCATTTGCCCGCACCCGCGAACGTAGAGCGGCCAATGATGAATGGTCGCTTGTCGGGGGCAACCTCTCGAAGACCGTGGTAGGTAGCATTCAAGATCTGATACCCGAACAGATTGTGCACATCGTACTCCTGCACACCGTTGGCGTGCGTTGCGTTGGGGGAGACTGCGTGCACAGCCAGATCGTGACCAGTCTGATCATGGTTGATGACATAGGGAGGATGGTTGATGTTGCGCACACCAGGAGTAGGAGTTGTTCGCAGGTAAGGGGTAGTTGAGGTAGCAGAAGGTGCAGCAGTGGCCGAAGAGGCTGCTGCCTGGCTAGAAGCTCCAGAAGAGGCAGCAGCAGCCTCGGTAGCATTGGTCTTGTTGAAGCCCTCGGGGTAATCGAAAATCATGTTACCCGGCTTGCCAGCAGAGTCGAAGCCCGACGTAACGGGGTTCAGGTGCAGCTTGCCACTCCCACAGCTCCCGACACAGAAAGACGAAACCTCGCTCATATCAATCCAGATTCCATCGTACGCAATATTCTTGTAGTATTCCATAAGCTCCTTAGCCCAGAAAGCATTGGCCTTAGGACTCTGCCAATCGGGGAAGACCGTATAACCAGGCCAGACGGCGCCAATGTAAGTAGTTCCATCGGGGTTCTTCAAGAAAACGTCATCCTTGGCCCCTCGAGTATATGGCTCATACCTAAACAGTATTAGCAAGACGTGTCTCCACTCATGGAGGCTGGGACTTACGCATCACTAGCATTGTTTGGGTTGGGGATGTAGAGAGCCGAGTCGACAATTAGAACGTAATGACGACCACCTTTGTGAACCCTCTCCAAAAATTCCGCACCTTCGTCGTAAGGGAATCGGTTGGGGTCGTTTTCGAAATTGCGCCATGCATGCATGTAATCAATGTCATTCCTAGGCCGAGAGTCAGAACACTTTGATGAACTTTGGAATGATTGGACTGAGATTTATGAGATGCCACTTACCAAAGAGTTTCCAGGGGAATCTCAAATTTCTCGAAATTATCAAGAACATTGACCATGTCAGACCAGTTGTTGTATCCCCAACGGCACTGGTGGTACCCCAGGGTGTAGTACTGCTGCATCGCAGGAAGACCAACAGTGCTGATCAAGTAATTCTTCGTAACATCAGCCTGGGAGGGACCGGCGTAGAAAGTCAGATCGACGCTTCCACCGAGAGTGCGCCAAGTCAGGTTCTTAGGCGAAGTAAGAACCTCTTGACCATGGGCATTCCGGAAGAAGACCCCATGCGAGTACGAGACATAGTCCTTTGACTGATCAGCCTCATCGCTCGCCACGGGAATGTGCTTGCCATGGCTGTTGACTTCGTAGTAGCGGGTATCCAAGTAGAAGGGGTGACTGCCGTAAATGTTTCTGGGGTTTCAAGTCAGCATCCTTCTTCCTATAGGCCGGGAAACTACTCACTGGTCAATAGGGTCACCTTGGTCTGAAGCATAAATAGTAAGGGTAGCATTTTCCAGAAGGCGAAGCTGCTGGATGTGCTCTCCGATTCCGTAAAGATTGTAGTCACTGGGCAGAGCAGTGACAAACTCCACAAACTGGTTCTCGAAAACCAGTACAGAGCCAGTCGTGTCAAACAAGACATCTCCAGTGGCCTTGCGGGTCACCTTGAAGCCAAAAGATGGGGAGTTGGACCATTGGATTTCGAGATCGTGGTGGAAGGAAGCATGGGAGTCGGCCTTGGCCCGTGGAACAAGATCCTCGGGGATGAGGTACCACGAAGCATTCGAAGAATCGACATGGGTAGGCGTGATTTGAACACTCAAGCGGTCCGACGCCAAGTATTCGATGGATAGATTGAGCGACTCGACATCTGTTCCGTAGACGTTGCAGGGTTTTCCCGCAAGAGTCAACGTCGCGGTCACTCCCTGGGTCGTATTCTTCACGTTTGAAGCTTTATAGCCCGGGCACACCGACTGTGCGTTCACAGCTTCAGGGTCATCAATATTGGCGATTAAGTTGGCACCAATATCGACATTGGCAGGGAGGGTATACTGGCTATAGCCGCTGGTCGTGGTAGCTGATGAGCTCAAAGAGCTACTGGCACCATAGACAGCCGGCAGCAGCCAAGCGCCGGAAAGGAGGGCTTGGAGGCCCATTGAAAGCATGGCGGAAGGTGCAGGTATGAAGGAAGCAGTGAAGTTCTCCGACGCTGACACAAACCACTGGAATGAAAAGATGAGGTTGTCCGCGGATTCCAGGAAAGAGCCGTTTAGGACGGACATCCTTTTATAGTCTGTTTAGCCGGTCGGCTATGACAGTAGCATCGCAGATGAATTGTGCCGAGCTTCGAAATCCGTCCACGGCTAACCAAGAATGGACCGCAGCTTGGACTTGATCTCACAGCCTGGTAGTTTTCCCCGGAGGACAGTGGGGAGGTCGCATTCTCGCCGACTGGCGGAATGTTTTTGCGGGGTTGGGAACCCAGCCGATGCGGGGAGGGATCGTCATCCTCCCCTACGCTATGTGGGCCTGGACCTCGTTTTCTCGCGGCCCAGTCCGGAGTTTTCTCTTCACAGTTTAGCTTGGCATTCTGACGACTGAGACCCGAGCTCACCGATTGGTTACTCGTCCGATGAACGCCCGAGCTGGCCGAGATGCCCGTGGAATCTTGGAATCTTCTAGGCTGCCGATTCTTACAAGGCCGAGTTTGGAGGCTACGAGCCCGAGCTTGAAGGCGAGGATCCCGATAAAAGATGGCCATTCCGATCGGCTGAGAATGTATTTGGGCTGTGCCGTTTGATTCGCGGAGTAGAAATAAGATATCCATGTAATAGCTAAGGGTATCCCCAGAATCCGGGGTACATCATACCCTGTCGGACTAGGTGAAGAACGGGCCCATGAATGCTTGCCTTCGGTGAACCTTTGCGCACTAGTGGCGTGGGGACAGCCAGATTGGGCTTTAAAGAGGTCAATGCTATCAGCATGAGGCAATTCATAGCTGGTAGACATGAGTCGACCCCGGAATTCTGAGATAATGTCGCAGAAATTTCGGCGTATCTCAAGAGCCCCGACGATATTCATGCTTGGGGCATGGTGATGACATAGCAAAATGGGGCCAATCCCTTGCCTCTTCCTAGATCAAGTTGTAAAAAAAATGCCGCATCTCCCTTTCCCAATTATACCCTTGGGAAAGTGGCCCATGTGCAAGGTTTATTTGGCTGGGGCATTGCGGTTAGTATAGCTGATTCTTCATTTGGAAGGGATGTCGTCGCTGGCAAAACTTTTGCTCTTGTGAGACTATCAACACGTTTTTTCCGGCGCCATCTGGATGAGCTTTATATGCACTAGTAGTAGCCTTTTTACTGCTTCATACTCCACAAATAGTCCAGCATAACTGTTAACTCTAGGATACCCTGCTGGCATTTTATTGGGAAGCACCTGTCAATTGGCTGGGCTGGGATGGGGTCTATGAGACACGAGAACCAGAAGGCCAAAACTATGATGTTCAGAATGTATAACAGAAGACAAAAAAAGGGCAAAAGCCCGCGTCGTGTCTCGAACCAGACACCTCTAGAAAACTCACACATCAACAGCTGTTCCTCAAATGAGGCTGCCGAAGTGAGGCGAAAAACTTCATCAACCTTTTTGATATCTTCCAATTACTCAACAATCACAAAGACTAGAGAGCTCAAATTACATTCAATTTGAAGAGAAGGTCTCCATGAATACTATTCTCTGAAAATTCGAAAAAGAACATTGTCCCGCGTGCCCAGAACACGCGCCCATCCCACCCCCCATTTCCTCCCCGACGCTTACTTCTTGGCTGGGTTCACCAGAAGTAACGAGCACATGTCGACCAAAACGGCAAGTGCTAGATCGCGCATAGGGGCGTCCCCCAACTGCAGCACCCGGGGAGGGATTGAAGGGGAAGGTTATTACTTGCTCTATAGGCCCATCCCTTTCTCCCTCAGCTCAGGCTCCCTCCCACTTTCTGGATCCTATGCTATATCAGGTACTTTGATTTCAAACGCTCTTCCTGTCCTACGGCTTGGCTTCCTACTCTGACACTCTTTGACTTTCTAACTAGTAGTAGCTACTGTGGGCTTAGGTCCTTCCCCCTTGTCCACTACTAGTACTGCTGGTAGTGGACCTGTTTGCTATAGTAAGAGTTACTAGTCAAGGGTTTGTAGGGCGCTAGTAGGAAGATTCAGGACTTACTTTGGAGGCAAGGTCCTTCTTACTGCGTATACGTCTTAGCACAGACTCGGAGCCCAGTATCCTCTGATGGTTGCGTATCATGCAATGCAATGTCATTAAATCGTGATCATCATACTAGTACATCCCAACCAGCACCATAACAATGCAATAAGCCAAGTAAACGCTAAATCACTTCCTCCCTTTCCCCTTATTTTTCTTCTTCTTCGCCTCCGGCTCAGGGACACTAACTGTCCCTGCACAACATCCTCGCCCTCCCCTGCAGCCGCTGCGAACTACTTATGAAGAAAGTCAAGTCGCGATTCTGCTCCGCAAGATCCTGGCACTGCGCTTTCAGCGCCTCATTCTCCGTCGTCAAAGCATTGACGCGCTCCATCAGATTCTCGTTCATCGCCTTCTCAGCCCGGTAGTCCTTCTCCAAAGCCCGCGCCATCGCCTCGAATTTGTCTGCTCGTTTCTCGAGCCGCGCTTTATCCTTTTCAAGACCTGGGATGGATTCAACCGCCAGATTATCAAACTTCGCCTGCATCTCAGCCAGCCGGGCCGACGCTTGACTAGCAACTTCCTCCGCGGCCGAGGCTGCGGCGCTGGCCTGCGAGGCTTTATCAGCCGCCCGCTCGACGATCTCCTCGAAATATGCGCGCTGGCTCTCCAACTGGCTCGTCAAAAGATGAGTGTACTCAACGCTCATGTTCTCAAGTTTCTCGCGGGGGACCGCATCGGCCCAGTCCGGATCTAGGGCGGAGTGGTCCGCGGCGGGCAGCTCAACCAGCTTCCCGTCTGTTTTGCTTTGGATGATGCGGTGCACGTAGGCGTCGCCCACGTAGTCCCAGACGCGCTGGGTGGTGAGGTCCATTGCAAAGGCGTGAGAGGTCTGTTTCCAATGGTCGAAAGCGTGGGCGCCGTCGTAGCGGCCGCAACCTATGTTGCCGCAGATGAGACAGGCCCACAGATTGAGGTCGGAGTTGCAAACACTACATTCTGGCGGTGGAGCGTCAGAGTCGTCGCTCGTTATAGGCCGGCGTAGGTCGTCCTGTGTGTACCGGCAGACAGGGCAGCCGCTGCCTTTCCATTTCTGGAGGCATGTGCAATGAAAAACGTGTTGGCAGATGATGGTCAGGAGACCGGTTGTTTCATCCATCCGCTCTAGGCAGACAGGGCAAGTGGGAAGTTCGATAAGGGCCGGAGTCGGGGGTGCGAGGGGTTTCGTGGAGAGGGTTGCTTGTCCGGTTGACGTTGAGTGTCGGCCTCCGGGTTGGCTGGATGACGGGGAGAGTGGGAGAGTTTCTGCTGGAGTGTAGTCGGATTGGTCGCCGGGCTCGACGACCTGGATTTCGACGGATTTGACAAATACCACATGGCAGGTTTCGGGCTATGAACATATTAGCCACGCCTCTATGAGAAAAAGGCAGATCGTAGAATCGTAAGATCTTACTCACCTCCATACTATTGAAAACCTTCCCATTCCACTCCTTCTGCCACTCCATCGCTTTTCGCCCACTCCGGAATTTCATCAAAACCATATACCGATTCGCCCTTGGCGTCCTAATCATTCTAAAGTGACTGACATCATCCAGCGTCCTCTCCCCCACAAAGCCCAAGAAGTCAGACACTGAAAGATAACTTGGCACAGCCAGCACACACAACGTAGAGCAGTCATCGTCCGGGATAAGAGCCGACGATGACGCCGTAACAGGAAAGGGATAAGCCGCCAAATCAGCCGAGTCTCTTCCCGCACTCTTCGACGCGCCTCCCGCCACATGAGGTCGGAACGCTAGCTGCTCGCCGCCAGGCGGTCGCGCGACGGCAGCAGCCGAGCCTTTAAGGTGGGTAGGGTAGTCGTCATCGTTAGAGGCGAGATAGGGAGTTTCTGCCGCATCGCGATATAGGTGCACTATTCCCCAGACGCTGTCCCCGACCTTTTGATCTAGTGGGATGTAGCGGCCTTTTGTGCGCAGACCCCCGAGGATGTCGGTGCCGATCCCTGCGGCGACGAGGTTATCTTCTTGGCCAGAGGCCGCGCGTTTTTTGCGCGACATTGCGCCGCCTTCTGGTGTGACCATGTCAATGCACTGGATGGAGATTGGGCTGGAGCGGAGGTCGTGGAGGAGGTTGGAAGGGGCGGATGAGGTATTGATGGCGGAGCGGGAGCGAGAGGGCTTTCCGGGAGACGCTTGTGAGCTTGAAGACTGAGATGATGAGTGCGCAATCAGGCCGCCTTCTCTCCTTTCGTGTTTTCTAAGAATATTAGCGTCGCCGGAGGAGCTGGAGGGGCGGTTGCGTTTCTGAAAAGGTAAGAGAGCTTCGCAAGCGGATTCAATAGCAAGCGGCGTTTGTGCTGCGATGTCAGAGTTAGAAAGAACCTCGAGACTGAGATGGTAAAAATACGAGGGCATCCCGGGCAACCACGAGCATGGTGTCTGGCGGTTTGATTGAATCTAAGTCCTTGTTGGTAAAATTCCCGTGATTGCGATAAGAAAATGATGACCTAAACACCCCAGATTGCGGCCTTACGGGTGAGGTAGCGTGGCAATGCGGTGGAAAACGGCTAAGATAAATGATCCCGGTCAACTAGGAGGTGGCGCCCCCCCTTCAAAATCACCGAAGCACGCCACTCAGGATACATAATTACAAGCCATGTACGGTGGCAACTACGGAAATCCTTTTTAATTCTTTTTTTTGGGCTTACGTAGACACAACATAATGATGCTAGCGATAAATGGCTATGAAAGCCGATTGTTGATTCGTGGGCGGTAAGAGACTATGGAGTTCATAGACGTAGAAGGAAAGAAGAATACCCGTCAAAACCCATTCGAAAGAAGAAAACAAAAGCCGCAGCTTTAAAGCCGACCAAACGCCATGCAGGTTATGTAAAACCCCATCGTAGTAAAATCATGAAGAAATGAGATCTATTGGCCACCACGGAGACGCAAGACCAGGTGGAGAGTAGACTCCTTCTGGATGTTGTAGTCGGATAGGGTGCGACCATCCTCCAGCTGCTTACCAGCAAAGATGAGACGCTGCTGGTCTGGGGGGATGCCCTCCTTGTCCTGAATCTTGCTCTTCACATTGTCGATGGTGTCGGAAGACTCCACCTCCAAGGTAATGGTCTTGCCAGTGAGAGTCTTGACGAAGATCTGCATACCGCCACGCAGACGAAGAACCAAGTGGAGAGTAGACTCTTTCTGAATGTTGTAGTCTGAGAGAGTGCGACCGTCCTCGAGCTGCTTGCCGGCGAAAATGAGACGTTGCTGGTCAGGGGGAATACCCTCCTTGTCTTGGATCTTGCTCTTCACGTTGTCGATAGTGTCTGATGATTCAACCTCCAGAGTGATGGTCTTTCCGGTGAGAGTCTTGACGAAGATTTGCATACCACCACGCAGACGAAGAACCAAGTGAAGAGTAGATTCCTTCTGGATATTGTAGTCGGAGAGAGTACGGCCATCCTCCAGCTGCTTACCAGCGAAGATCAGGCGCTGCTGGTCGGGGGGAATGCCCTCCTTGTCCTGAATCTTAGACTTGACGTTGTCGATGGTGTCGCTAGACTCAACCTCAAGAGTGATGGTCTTGCCGGTCAGGGTCTTGACGAAAATCTGCATACCACCACGCAGACGGAGGACAAGGTGCAGGGTGGATTCCTTTTGAATGTTGTAGTCGGACAGGGTACGGCCATCCTCCAGCTGCTTACCAGCGAAGATCAGGCGCTGCTGGTCAGGGGGGATACCCTCCTTGTCCTGGATCTTAGACTTGACGTTGTCGATAGTATCGCTGGACTCCACCTCGAGGGTGATAGTCTTGCCAGTGAGGGTCTTGACGAAGATCTGCATGATGACGGCGATAAAAGCGATGAGAACTGGGGAGCGTTGATATGGTAGAGGGGGTGAAGGTTATGCAAATCACCGCTAGGAGAGATGTGGGAGAGAGGAAGGGAGAGGGAGAAAGAGGGGGTGTTAAGTAGGTAGCGGGCGGGGGGGGCGAGCAAATCTGACTAAGGTGACGCGAGAAGGTTTCGAATGGGAAAGTACTAGAAGATGCCGGGGTGCCGGATGAGTCAAGTTACGGGCTCGGCCTAGGAACAGGACTCATTGACGCCACCAGTGGAAAAAGTTTGTTCCTAGTAACTAGATAGCGATTACCTTATAGAATTTTCAGATACGGACTTCTCCTACTGACCTACGTGTTCTGTGTTGCTGCCGCGTTGGCAGCCTAGCATGATCCTATGATCCTGGCCCGGGATGATGACGTTGGGCTTATCGCGAAAAGAGGGGGTGGAACCGGAATGGTCTTTTAGCGCGCATCAAAGGTCCCCATCCGCCCCATTGATCAACTGCGCCCCTTTGCTATTTTGGGCGATCAGGTGACACTTTCGGGAACAGTTAAACCGGCACAACGCGATAGCGCGATAGCGCGAGAACAGCTCGCCAGGCGCTAGCTGTTCGTGGCTTCCGTGTGTACACCGCTACAATCGGTTGGAAAGAACTCGTTCTGAATGTCTGGTATTCATCGCCAATCAAGGATATATAGACACTGGTCCCGCGGAAGTGCTTAGAAGACAGAGCATTCCACCTGGCCCGGACGCCGTTTTCTTCGGCACTCCGATTCCAAAAACAGACGAGAGCAAGCACACGGTTGGGTTTAGAAGCCCACGCTTTTCCCCTTGGTAGTCGGCAATGAACGAGAACCAAGTGCTGCGGGAAAACGCAAAAGATAAAACAATCAACACTCGGCCGTACACAGTCATAACGTTCGTAATCCTCGTTCATCGCTGGAGAGCTATGCGAGAATAATATACCACAAATGAGCAGAAAGCTAAAAACACAACAGCAAGGCTTGAAGAAAGAAAAAAGTCACACATATTGATATAAAAAAAAATTGTAATGAAAGTAAGAGGACGGTTCCCAGGAACCAAGAAGGCAAGAGCAGAGGGGAAGACCAGCTCGCTAGGAGCGGGATGGTAAAACAGAAGCAAAAAGGCATTCATAAGAGAGCGGGAAGACGCGACCGGGCGCGTCGTCACGACCTTTTTTTTTTGTTCTCATCCAGGTCGTCGTGGCGTGTCGGTTATAGAAACAAAAATCGCTAGGCTGTAAAACTCGCTGTAAGGTGAAAACAGGTCGTCTTGAACATTCATCGTCGTCATGCGCAAGCGCAGTCGTGGGGTCGTCGCTAGTTTGCGCGGATCACGAGCCGAGACACAAATTTATTGGACAAACAGTCAAAGTCGTTACGGTCAAATGATGAGCCAGTGCGGCTACGAAGGTAGTTCTCTAAGAGGCAGATTAGTATTTGCAAATGAACCAATTGATCGGCGATATGTGCTTACCGTGTTGCTCAACATGTTGCCGGACCTCGGTCATGGTGTTGCAGACATCAGGGTTTGAGTAAAGCAGGTGGTGGTGCTTCTGGGAGTCCCACTCGGTGAAAGGGGGCAGCTTCTGGGAGATGGCCTGGAACAAGCCAACAATGACACCAACTGGTGTGGTCTCCATATCGGTACAGAACTTGTCGACGGCAGCTTGGTCGGGGGTCCGGTAGTGGCAGTCGAACTGCATCTCTTCCCAGACAGCCAACAAGATTGACGCAAGGATGAAGATAGTGGGCCAGTTCTTGAGCTTGTCACCGCTGTACACGCTGGAGTAGAGTGAAGATAACTCCTCCAAGACATCCTTTTGCAGTTCACGCCACATACTTGCCATAGCACACTTGATCTGGAAATTGATCATAACTGGAGCCATGGTCTTGCCCGTGAACTTGGATGAAGGCTCCTCGATCTTGCCCATGAAGTTATCCTCATCACCAAGTCCCTCAACCATGGTGACATGTAGAGTCAAGTTGTAGGCGATGATCAGCTTGAGGGCTTTTCGGATCACAGGCAGCTTGGTACGATAGTAGTAGCGGAATGCAGTCTTCAACATCTGAGTGAGGAAAGGAGTACCCTCGAAGTAGTCGTCGACAAACTTCTCAAAGGTACCGTTTCCGTCGATGTGGCGGTCCAAGTAGTCAGAAAGCATGGCATGGGAGATGCCCTCCATGCCAGCGGAGAGTTTGGCGGTCTCGACCTCATATTGAGTAGGGTCACGGTGCAAAGACTCCACCCAGTCGATGGTGAAGCACTGCTCATCACGAACGTAAACCTCGCGGGCGTTGATGGGCAATATTTGTCCGTAGCCGTGAGTGATAAACAGAGTGCGTTCCTGGTCCGAGAAGCCCTTGATGTTGCCAACGGAGAAACCCATCGAGATGTGACGTTCGTAGTCAGCTTTCCAGTCTTTCATGAAATAGCCAATCTCTTTGATATCAATACGAGTGCAAGGAACCTGCCATAACCGGGCGTGCGAGGGCTGGCAACCGGCGCAAGGTTCGCCTTTGTCGCAGGTCTTCTTGAGGAACTTGCAACGCAGGCAAGCACGCAGCTTGCGGATCTCGCTGGCTTGCTTTCGCTGGTCAGGCTTGAGAGGACCCTTCCGCTTACCAACGCGCTTCTCAGTCTCGCCTTTGCCGGTCTGCGATTGCTTGCGGATCTTGGTCTCGGAGGTCTTGGCGGCAATCGGGCTTTTCCTTGATGGTTTGCGGCTTGGTGGGGACGCAGATGACTGGGAACCAGAAGAGCGGGTCGGGGAGGTGGATTTCTTGATTGGCACAGGCACCGGACGGACCATTGCACTGGGGCTGACGGCGGAAGGCGAGCGGGAGCCTGGCGATGAGTGGTTGTCGCGGTGGATCAGAGCGTTGCTGGGTGGCGAGGTACCGGCGAAGCTGAGGGCTGCATTGAAGGTCAAGTCGATGTTGCTCTCGGAGCTGGGAGAGCTGATCGGGTGGGCGATATCAACGAAGCTACCATAGGTCGAGTAAGATGACTCAGAGAGACTTCGGTCATGAAGCGTTTGAGTTGGATTGACGAAGACGCCCTGCTCGGGGAAGCCAAAATCGAGAGAACGGCGGTGGTCGACGGTACTCCAACCATTGTCGCTGCTGGACAGAGAACGGACTTCCAGATAAGTATCAGTGGGTGAACTGCTCTCCATGACCGGATGGGGGGCCGTATATGACAGATCACTCAGGCTGTTGGGGAAGGTCATCAGGTCGGCCTGAAAGTCATGATACGTGAACGGCACCATATCGACGGGTGCGGCCATGGGCAGGTAAGATCCCTCCAGCAGACCGGCGCTCATCTGAGCCTGAGATCCGGGCAGCAACTCCAGCGGGGATGATTGGATAGGCATGCCATAGCTGGCAGCGGTGAATTGCGGAGCAGATGACGGGTCTTCGGGTGAGTACAAGTGCTGATGCTGATGATGGTGCTGATGCTGATGCTGATGTTGCTGAGGGGCGTGCAAATGCTGGAACTGCCAATCGGCCATGAAGTTTGGATCTTGGGCCACCGACTGTTCGAGAGTGTGACCGCTGGTCTGAAGAGGCGAGAGATCATGATCCTCGGGCCGTTGGTTCTCTACCGGCACGGACCATGCTTGCTGGAGATAGCCTCGTGAGTCGTAATCGACCCCAATGAGACCGTCATTAGATAAATCGACCTTTGACATGGTTTCTTTATTGATGCCAAAAACCCCGAGGGAAGATGGTTGGAAGGGGTAAGAACAGGGAGGACCCGCCTGGGATGAAAAGGCCTTCTTCAGAGTCACACAGCCAGGAAAATGGATTTGGGGAGGGGGTGAGGCGGTGGGGGGGGACAAAGCAGCGGTGAGCATTGCGCTAGGGGATTGACTACTGTCTCCGTGTGGATTTGGTGCACTTTGTGTGGACGCCAGCCGGGTGGAGAGTGAACCTTTAGCTCCTTCTGTTACTGCCACGCCCGATGCACATGGTCTCCAATTTGCTTCCTCGACGATCACTCGGTGCGTTGTCAAGGAATGCATACCATGTTTGCCTCGGAACACTAACCACTTAATCTACTGTAAGAGGCTTGGTTCCCCCATCCCCAGTGACCACAGCCATGATTCCTACGATGACCATGGGGATCGCTTATCTGATGGAATCTGTTGATACATTTCCCTATCCGGCCTACGGGTAACTTCCCCAAAAAATAGATCCATATCGGGAAGAAACTGTTGGGATAAGATCTCAATATTGAGGGACCCCGTGGGCAGTAACCACGGAACAGAGCGGAGCAAGTGGCAAGATGGGCCGGGTGGGAGATCAGTGGAGGCTGCATAGCGCAAAAGGGCAACAAGATTGGCAGAAAAGGGTAAGAAGGGAAGGCGGGAGAGGGAACGAAAGGGTAAAAAAAAAAAGCGAGAAAGCGACGAGCACGCCAGGTGGTAGCACAGGCGGCGCTAAGAGCCACAAGCCGTGGCAATAAAGAAAGCCCACAGAGGAGCCGGCTAGAACCGTGCTCCCAGGTCGATCACACCCATCCGATCGTGATGGCAAAAGATAGTTAAAGCCCTTTGAATCGCCCAATCACCATCGACGGCATCACGCACGACGTCCGGGATTCGTATCCTCCGGGGGGCACCCTGGCAAGCCCCATGCCATTTGGGGGGTACGAGGTACTGCTGTGGGGGCTGGCTATGCAGCAGACAAGCCAACGAGGATGACCGGAGCCTATGCCGTTGGCAGAGCCGAAAAGCAGACAAATCAAAATCAGACCATAAAAAAAGTCAACTGGCAAAATCTGGGAAGTTAACCACCCAGAAGTGGAGGGAGTCTTGGCTGGGCTTCATGAAACCGTCGCAGAATAGAACCCTCGGGCCACTCGATAGGTCTCAGCTGAGACTTCGTAAGGCTCAGCATCACGCAGAATCCTGCGCACATGCAGCTTGCAGCAAGGGAGCAAGGTCCCAACCGCCACTGCACGATGAATGACGAAGTAAACCATATGCGCCCACCAGCCACTATCGCGTGCAGCCGGTGCGCAACAGTTGGATCTATCACACTCCCTTGGACCGTGGTCATTGGTTGTGGAGGGGTCCGGGGACCTCTCTGACATGCAGCCGCGGAGGATTCAATAGCTTCTGCGTGCTGGCATGACGCATCGCGGGCCACGAGAACGGTCGAACTCGTCTTGGACTATTTCAAAAGGGGGGGGAGACATATCAGAGCAGCAATAGTCCTAGAAAACAAGCTAATCAGATAGTTTCCCCAAAATAGACACTTATCAGGTGCGAAGAGCGCGCGCGAAAAGCGCAGTTAGAGGCCCCCGCGACAGGGAAAAGTTCCCCAAGGAGGAAAGATAGGAACGGAAAAATTAAAAAAAAAAAAGTGGGGAGAACAATAGGACGACCTCAATTGATAGTACGGATAGTACGGGGTCGAACAAGCAAACCCCCTCTATGAGAGCGCTCTCTTTGTTCTAAATCTCGGAAGGGTCGCCCGGATTCTGGTCCAGCGTTTCTTTGTTTGTCGTGGGAAAATCCCTTAAGATTCATGCCGCCCATCGTCGCGGGGAAGCACCGGCGCAAAGTTCGATTCTCGTCCAGCAACCAACCCCCGCCAACTGCATCAGACCCCGCCACCTCCCAGCAGAAGCGCCCAGGCACTAGTGTCAAACATTCCAAAGTGTCGTCGGCACGCATTATGGCCACCCAAGAGTTACCTCGGGCCGGGATCCCTGAGCTGTTCACGCAACCGCCCTCCGTCCAGGACCCGTTAGCCACAGAGTCTAGTGATCTGCAGAGCGCGACTATCGAGAAGTGCTTGCCATTCCTAAAGGGGATTCAAAGTTCCCAGCAGGGACCTTTCAACGCCCATGGAGTACCCGCTCTCCAGCGCGACGATCATATAGCCTATCTCTATGATTCTCTCGAGGATTACCCCTCGGGCTTTGTCATACTTGATGCCAGTCGGCCATGGATGAGCTACTGGGGCCTTGCTGGGCTTTTTATGATAGGAGAAGATCCTACTCGCTTCCGTTCACGGTGCGTAATACTTTGTTTTGTGTGGTTCTCTTTGCTTAGTCGGATGTTGCATTCGGTCCGCATTTGGGTAGATTTCAAGATACATGGGAGGGTTTCATCCATGTCTATCATCCTACCTTATGCGAAGGAAGTCTTTTTCACCATAGATCCCTTGATATGAGCTATTGATTCCCTCTACAAAGCTAAATCGCATGCAGTCTACTCCAAACCCTACGGCCCGCACAGAATCGCACGGGCGGATTTGGTGGCGGGCACGGTCAAATTTCCCATCTTGCGGGTAGTTATGCAGCCGTTCTGTCGCTTGCTATTGTCGGTGGCGAGGAAGCCTTTAGCGTGATTGATCGACATGCGATGTGAGCTGTCCAAGGGAACTTCCTCGTTCTTGTGCATGCATCTGACCAGTTTCCAGGTGGCAATGGTTGGGTCGGTTAAAACAGGCCGATGGAGGCTTTCGCGTCTGTGAAGGCGGGGAAGAGGATGTGCGGTAAGCTTTTCATACCACCCCGGGTGCGAGATCCGCAAAAGTAGCCTGGCCTGATCTTTGTGGATTTGTCTTTTTTTTGCAGAGGGGCCTACTGTGTGATGGCCATTTTGACACTGCTCGACTTGCCCGTGGAGCTACCCCCGAATGTCGAGGCCCGGAAGGCCGGGCTCGAGAACTTGACTGATGGTCTTGCGCAATACTTGTCTAGATGTAAGCCATCTAATATTTTTCGCGTATGTCGCGGTAACTAATTCGCGCGCACTAGGCCAAACCTATGAGGGTGGTATCTCCGGCAGCCCTGGCGTAGAGGCGCATGGAGCATATGCCTACTGTGCGTTGGCATGTTTGGCCCTGCTGGGTCCCCCCGAGGAAACTCTTACCAGGTACATGGAGATCCCCTGCAGTATTATGGCCTCGCCCCATTAATTTGGATGTTCTACCTAGGCATATGAATCTCCCACTCTTGCTGTCATGGCTTTCTGCTCGTCAATACGCCCCCGAGGGTGGGTTCTCCGGCAGAACCAACAAGCTGGTTGATGGATGTTACAGCCATTGGGTCGGAGGCTGCTGGCCCATAATACAGTCTGCCCTGGACGGCAAACCCCAGGCTAACGGGCCACCCTCCACGACCGTTGGGAGTCTTTTCAGCCGCGAGGGTCTGACCCGGTACATCTTGAGCTGCTGTCAAGCCAAACATGGCGGTCTTCGCGACAAGCCTGGCAAGTATGTAACCCAACCCGCCTCCCAGCCCCTTCTACGAGATGAACAAAGTAGAAAAGGGAGGAGCAATAAATACAAAGGAGGGCCGCAAATATAGCTGACCGTGACTAAGGCACCCCGATTCTTACCACACCTGCTATGTTTTGGCAGGCTTGAGCGCCATGCAGCATTACCATTATCGCACGGACAGAAGCGTGACCTCTGACAGAAATTTTGCCTCGGCGTTCTCGTGGAAATCGACTCCAATCCGCGAAGGTAATGTGTACGAGAAGAGCGACCGACTAGAGCCCCTTCATCCTCTCTTTGGAATCCCGTTCCCGCGGCCGACAAACTGCGGCTCTGGTGCGAAGCTCGCCCTTTGTCGTCCCACTCGGAAGAGGAGCAGGTGAATCATCAGATGACAAATTTTCAGCTGTGAAACATCCAGGTTGGGCAGTAAGATCGGAGAAAGTGTAATACATTAGCACCTGTCCACAAGAAATGACTGGACGAAAGTCGGAGGCTCCTGCCGATCCTGACTTGCAGGGAAACTAGGAAAGAATCCGAGGGTCCAAGACCAAGTAAATTGCGAAACCCAAAACCGATCACAATAAATCAAGGCCAATTACGGGGTACTGGATTTCCGAACCCTGAATCGATGACTACCGGTAATTATGTAGGTTCTGGCTGTGGCCGTTGTCAACTCCTGACGATTTCCCGGCCCCACGCGGGAGAACGATTCTCATCCTTACAAGCCTTCGTAAAACCGGCCGTTCGATGGATTCTTACAAGAAATCGAGTTGTCCAGACAGAAATTAGAGCATTGGGCGATCCAGATCAGAACAAGCTCCCAATGCTCCAGAGGAGTTACGGGGTTCCCGAGTCTCTGGACCCATGCTTATCTATGGATCGCATTTCTCAGTCTTGCTCTTGCTCAACTCCACAGGCCTCCAAAAAAGTCAAAAAAGCAAAAGCAAAAACAAAAACAAGTTGGAGCAGAGAAGCGACAAGACATCCCAGTCCGAATGTTTGCGGGCAATAGCTAAGGAGGCTGCACGCGGCCCAAGAGGGCAATGGGGTTCGTCAGATACGCGAAGACACAGGCATCCAACGCCCTCCATGCCTGCCAACTCACCACTGCGTCGGATGCCTGTCGACTAAACTCGCGCTTCGAATCATTCCGGGAGGGTCGTGCATCGGGGGTCTCGAATTGTCTCCAGCTTTTCGGGGTTTCTCCAGGCGCGCATTCGCGTTCTGCACAACATGAACGGCCCCGCCTTGGCGCCAATCACGATGTTGGTTGCGGTGGATTACTGCAGCCGCGTCTCGACGAAGATCCAGCGGCAAATTTCCTGGTTGCGACTGCGTCTACTGCGGGGCAAAAGGATGGCCAAAACACCCCAAACTCAAAAGGCCCAGAGCCGATTGTTACTCCGTTAGCTCCAATGGCATTGGCAGAAGGTCTGTACTCTTGCTTTCTGTTTTTTTCGTGCTCCCATACTTGCGTACACCCCCTGGATCTTCCCTTCCCGTTCCTCCCCCTTCCCCCCAGCCCCTCCATTTTGCTCGTGTTTCGCGAGAACACTGACGAGGGAGAGCCTTGTTCCTTCTATCTTTGATCGGCGAATTGCAGGCGGGGGAACCTACGCCCACCCTCGGAAGCGGCCTCAATTCGGTTTGATTCGACTGGTGGGGGAGTATGCCAGCGCATCAGGCACTGACCATGGGAAAATCAATAAATAAAAATTTAAAAAAAAAAAAAAGAAAAGAAAAGAAAAAAAGAAAAAAATCCTCAAAGTTCCAACCCGTCGAGAGGGGGCAATTCGAAACCAGGAAAATTAACAACAGAGCCCAGCACATACAAGTCAGAGTAACCTATCTGAGGAATTGTGGGCTGGACCCGCGAATCCCATCAGCCACGTCTTGTACTCTTGATACCATCCTAACTTTACCTTGTTCGTTTTCTCTGTGGATGCTACGGATACCGGAATCCATGTTCCAGGAACCATAAAACTGAATTTCTTTTTCTTGCCTTTTTTTCTACGTTTCAACGGTATTGTGAAGATTACCACTGTAGTATACTGTATATGTATAGCATACCGCTCTTCCATTGCGCCTGCGCCCCTTTTTCAATCTCGCAAAAAGAGGGTATTCCGATTAGACGGCCCCGGATCCTTTCGCGTAGGGTTCGTACTAGGGACGAATCCATCAGGGATCTTTGACGTGCCCCTGTGTGTTGTCTTGATTACAACCGTTCATCTTCCTGGAACCCGCTCCGTTTGTACAGTGTACACTTGGACAACACAACAGACTCCAGTCTGCCCCACCTGTTTCTCTGAAGTAATTGAGTATAGTTTTGAAGGACCGTTCTGACTTTTCGGGATTATTAATTTTTTTTTTTGTCCCCTTTCGACTTCGGTAGCACGGGAAAAACGTGTATTTTGTATGTGTATATGTGTGGCGTGGCATCTTCCCAATGTCTCCAGCATTTCTCCCTCTCTCTTCCCTTCCCCCAACTCTCGGTATTGATAATCCTCCCAATTCCCAATCCTGTCAGCCCGAGAGCCCCAACTGTGCGACATCTAGACTCCAAAAGCAAAAACGCAGGGGGGGAGCCACCGAAGCAGCTTCCGATCCGAGCCATAGAGGCCCCGCGTTGCCAACAAACCCGTTGTGTTGGAGCACAAAAGCACTCTGTTGGGCATCCTCATCCGCATACAGCTCAGCCTTCAGCCCTACCCGTTGCAATTGTCGAGCCAATCCCTTCAATGCCATCAGGGTAGCCGCCTCATTTTCTTCGCAAAGTCGACAGCTTGAAAGTCGCTTTCCGCGCTACTTTCCCTTCTCGGCCGTGAATCCAACGACCTACTCGAAAGAAGAAGAGGGGGGAGAAAAAAAGGCCAAAAAATTAGAATTTAAACTAATTTCGACGGAGAGAAAAAAAGAATGTATTATATCCTTTACTTGGCCAGTAAGTCATACTCTCCCAATTTCTGCATCTCCGCCAGACCCGCCCCCATGTTCGAATTGAGTCCAAGCACGCAATGCGAAGCATCCAGGCCCCAGAGATACTGGCAAATGATGGGAGTAAAATGGGTAAGAGGGCAAGCATGTCTTGCCCCCCAGGAGCCCACCTATTGGCCAATGGCCCTGCAGACCAATTCAAGCATCCCAACGGGCTATCTCAGAACACATTCTTCTCCACTTAATACCCCTGGCTAACACCACTCCAGGCCTCTGCCGCCGCCGCAGCTGGGCCGAGCCCTCATACGAGGCCTACGCCACGACATCAGGCTACACGTGCGTCGTCCGCGTCAATAACCGCGAGTACCAGACAGATATGGTCTGCGAGAGCGAGACGCTTGCCCGCGAAGGCGCCGCCATGCGAGCCTATCTCATTTGCCGCAACTTCTCTGTCAACGATGGCATGTACCCGGCTGGCCATAGCCAGGGTGGGGCGGTGCAAGGTATCCCCGTTGCGATTGGCACGGGCCGCAAGTCGAGTCGGGATGATGAGTCGGATACCTCTGTTAGTAGCAGTGGGGGCAGTTGGAGCGGGGGGAGTAGTCCGGAGCGAATGATGAGAATGGACCAAGTAGGCAGGGGGGAAGTTGGAGTTGCTGCTGTGCCGGGGTCGGCGAGGGCGTTGGCCTATGCGCGGCGGGACGTTTAGGGTTGAGACTCTTGAGTTTCAAGCCCTGAAGAATTGGAAAGAGGTTGGGCGCATCAGATGGAAAATTGAATTGGAAGGTGACGGGTTCTGATGGAGGAGATGGGCCTATGCCAGTGGCAGGTTTACGACTTATGACTTATGACGATGACTTTCTCTTTGCATGTGTCGAATTCCAAGCGTGCGTTGATTTGTCGATTGATAGATGGCAGCTTACGATACTGTGCCTGATTCTTTGGCGATCATGATGATGACAATGATGATGTTCGAACTAATGATGCATAGATGGTCCGGGCCAATGCCCAAAATGTGCTTTGCGAAATTTTTGAAGCGGTTGAAACTTCTACATTGTGGTGGAGGTCAGCGATTGATTAAATTGTGTTTTGCTTTTATGAATACAAGCACTTGTTAAAATGCCCCGAGTCTCAATGCACCAATTTCCCAAATTTGTGAATCAGCCATAGCTTTAGTGAATTGCGTAGCCTCGACTCGTTCCAATCGTACTATCATTCTGAGGCGATGTCCTTTCCACGATTTTATTAACTGGGCTCATAAAAATGACCGATTCACATAGATTACGCATACCGAATTTCTTCCCACTGTGGAAATGATGGAGAAGCTTTATCGAGGGTACGAGGATCATGTAATTTATTATATTTCTGCCAGTGTGGGCCGCATAGTTTCAATTTCAGCGAGTTTCCAACCACTTGTGTTGATCCTCTCTACCTTGATCGTATCACCACAGAACATCACATGACGTATTTCGCTCGAAGTATCTAGATTACTTTACCGCCACTGATTCTCCTGACAACCACCCTTCGGGTCAGGATGGTTGGGGGCATTGTGCAATTTTGGTTAGGTTCGACTGACATGATTCTCATATTGGATGCTCTCGCCAATAATACTCCTATGCTCCTACAACGTGGTTCTCGGGCGAATCAGAGGCGGCAAATCACCCCACTAAACGATCTAGGGTACTCGAACCATTCCCGCGTGTAAAGATCTGTTGGCTACTTAGGTAGTGCGTGCCAGTCTCATCTAGATTCTCATATATACCATCCGGGGCATCCCTCGGTCAACTTTTTCACAACAAAACACATCTACTCTGTTAGGAAACAGACATAGAAGTGCTTAACACAGTAGTTAGTCTATATCTAATACATGCGTACTCGCGAGTCTCACCTTTTGTGTCTTTGAAACAAAAAATCAGCTAGGCATAGGAATATCTTGAGTATATCTCCACTATTGCCAGTGCAGATGTCTTAGACACGAACTAGGCCAAGGTGCAATGTTACAGGTTTGGATCAAAACCAGGTCTTCCAGGTTGTTTCCACTTGCTATGATATACATCCTTCTAATATTTGGAGTCAATTGAAGGACAGGAAGTCTTTACGAAGAGCTGGTGCTAAGAGAAGCTAATTCTGAAGCAGTGTAGGAGACGGCTATTGCGAAAGTCTGGAAGTACTCCTATCATCTACAATCTGTGATACTGGTAGTAGTCCCCCCCCCCCCCGCGAAGACATAAAACAGATGACGGGAAGAACAGGCACCAAACACATTTTAGGTACCGAGCAAAGCCTGGATCTTGTCAGAATTCCAGAAAGCGCACCTCTCCAACAGATGCTCGAACGAGGCCTTGGAGGTGATACTCCGGGGGCCAGAGCTAGGTCCACCAATAACCTGCACACTCAAATCTCCATTTGAATTCACCGCAGGAGACCAGCCCGGAAGGCTCCCGCGCACCAGAGAAGGCTTTCCAGAAGCGGCAAAAGAAGCCCAGGAGGTACTCATTTCCGATCCCAACGTCGCATCGATAGTCCGATTAGTAACCGCCGCAAAACGAGTCTTGATCTGGTTGAAGACGTAAGGAACATCGCTAAAGTGAGGCACCTGGTAGAAAGAGGCGCCGTATTCAGCGAGAGCCTGTGCGACAGCAGTCTGATTCAGGGCGTAGAGGTAGTTGGATGTACATGAGCCGAAGTGCTTATGGTTCATGCTGATGACGTGTAAGGCCGGACACACGAACCCGGAATCGCGGCTCATCCGGCTTGCTCGGTAGTAGTATGAAGTCTCGCCGTCCTCGGAGGGGAAAGAAGACAGAGGATAGAGTTCGAGAGCAGCTTTGGTGGCATCGGCGATCTCAGCTGCGAGGGCCTTGTCCGTTGTTCCTGCGTAGGGAAATATCGCGGCTGCGACTTCTGTAGCGTTGCTGGCGCTGACATAGGGATCAGTGAAAAACGAGGCATCGTTCTCGGTCCATCCAGCGATCATGTCAATGTTGCGAGCGAAGCGGCCAGAAGCCAAGAGCCTCGAAGGGCTGTCTGGGATGAAAGAAGAGGGTGCGACGGGCACGAAAACATCGAAAGTGTTGGAACTGACAGAAGCTTCGTACTTCACAGCCAGCGGGAGAAGCTTGGCCAAAGGCATTTGGCGAAGACATATCAGCTCTGCGGCACTGGTAGAAGCGTTGCAGCCTGCCAACTTGATGAGCTCGGCCGTGTGGTTCAGGGTTATCCCATTGGCGAACCCTGTGTCAGCAGTGGGGGCCCCTGATTGCATAATGGCTTTCTTAAAAGGAACCGCAGCATCATGGCCTCCGTAGGCTGTGACCTGCAGGCCTACGCCAGTACCTCCATCACTCTCGCCAAAGATGGTCACATTTTCCGGATCGCCACCAAAGGCAGCGATGTGCTTCTGAACCCACCTGAGGGCGAGGCGCTGATCGAGCAGACCGGCATTCAAGTCGTTCGTCTCGTTCAATGCAGGGGAGGCAGCAAAGCCAAAGACGCCGACACGGTAATTCATTGCCACGTAGATGACAGGGGTTCCTTTCTGCGCAGCAGTAACAACCAGGCCAGATGGATTGTATGCGCCATCGTAGATCTGGCCGATAGAGTCGCCTCCTCCATAGATCCATACCATGACTGGCAACTTGGCAGTGCTGTTTGTGTGTGCGGGTCGGTCGACTCGGAGGGTAAGACAGTCTTCCGAGACTGTAGTAACATTATCGAATAATATGAATCCGGGATCGCGCTGTTGAGGGCAAGCTGCGCCTGCACTAGTAGCATTCACCAGGGTGCCTGCGGGATATTCAAATGGCTTTGGGGCTGCGAAACGGTTCCGGCCCGCAGTGCTCTGACCGAAGCGGATGTTCAGGAACGACTCAACCCCGTGAGCTGATGTGCCTTGAATGTGGACTTGGTCTTCGCTGCCGAGATCGACTATAGGATTGGTCCTTCGGAGAGGCGCTGCATCGATACAGGCTGACAGCGCCCCGAGGAGGGCCAGGCCAATTGGAATGTATCTCATGAGGGATATACCTTGGGTGGTGTTTTTGGAGATCTTCACGCAGCTGTGAAGCCCCTAAACTAGGCTATAGCTTGCCTTATATACATTCTGAAGAGGAGTCTCACGTGTTGTGTCAAAATTAGGCGTACATAGCTAGGTCTGGGTCAGAGGTGCAGTCGGTACTCGCCTGCGAGGCTGCAACGTTCAGCTCCCCGGGGATTTGTCGATCACTCTCTTCATTGCCTCTTCGATTGGCAAGCCAGGCCCCCCGGAGACCAGCTGTGGGTAGCAGCCAAGCCTTTTCTGAGGATTCCTTGTCCGCGATGTACCTGGGGAGATGACACGGGTCCACCTTTTTCCCGACTGGGCTCATTCCGCGAGACGCGATCATTGGTCACTTAGAGCTTGGCCCCGCGAAAAGAGCTGGCCCCCACAGACTTTCTCAATGCATCGCTCTGGTTACCATAACGGTAAAGGTATTGAGTGGCTTGGGTCAAAGGCGTCCAGCTACTAGTGGTGACGTTGAATCCAAGATTGGGTCGTCGTGTAAGAATGGACCCTATGAGAATCACCTGGAAAGTAAGATGATATCTGAAACGTCACATAGTGCCGAAGAGAAATGTCTAAGAATAGGAATAAAAATTTGCGTGTGCTTCCATAATTCGTAGGTTTAAGTTCTCTACCACTTAGTTCCGCGGTTCCATGAGCTTCATCTGCGAGTAAACGTGATCAATGAAGTATCATTTTAATATATCGACAGGAAGGGTATCTAATGATGAAGATAAACATAGAGCAGTACTAGAGCAGTCCCAGCGAGCGGAATGCCGGTTCACTACTATAAAATGCGTGTTTTTGTGAACTCAGACCTTGTACTAGCGTCTGCATATCCAGAGCCGCGACCCGTCGTAGAATTCCAAATGGACAGGCTGCTATACTAGCCAGCTGAAAGTGCTCTGGTGGAGAGTCCTCCTGTTACTCGTTGCGGAAGAATGGGTTAAATTTTTAGGGGTTGTTCGATCAGTTGCCGGCGGTTCAGGGAACAACTGCACCACTGGCATATGAATACAACTGACAATCAATACACTTGGTCATAAGCCACTGCAGCTTAACTACCATGAGAGTTTTTTGGGCCCGGTATAGTGTTCGCTATTCCCAGAGCACCTGCCTGCTACTGGCGCTTTACGTTCGGGCAAATAGAACTGTCCTTTTACAAAACTCCTCAGCTTCAGTAGTTGTATTTCTGACTAGACTTTCCGTACAATACATTGCCTGTACTATTTAGGACTCGGTGGTGATCTTCGCCAATTTGGATAACGGCCAGATGCAGGTTCAATAATATACCTCGAAAATCCTCACAGTAGGCGTCGGAACCGAACTCACAATCGTAGTGGTCCAGCCAGCCCAGTGCCCGTGACCGGCGAGCCAAGCTGTGTTAAGCTCCAGGAGTGCATGAGTGCTTCCATTTACCATTTACACGTGAGATCTAAACAAGAATCGGCGACCGCCGCTGCACCAATCAGAAGCAAGGGGTCAACCGCCACGAATCACAGCCACAGCTGCAACGAACAGGGTACGCCACCGTGACGTCACCAGATTACAAGCAAGGAATCGCGATCGAGCGAGTCGATGTACCTGGATCATCCTGGATAATCTTAGCTTCCTTTCTGGCAATGCCACCGGGCCGGCCTGTGGATCACATTGCATGGCCCTGAGGCGAAGAACTCCACATCCTCCTTGTGTGACACGCCTTCTGCGTCATGAAGTGACCGCCGATTCCGACCTGACCTACTCCCTTCGCCTATACCTTAGCTCGCTCTTGGCCTGTTGCCCCGGAACCGGACGACATCCATCCAACAACCAACATGCGGTTACCGACGGCGCCGCTCTTGTCGCCTGTACGGCATTGCGGGTGGTCGCGTGCGGCGACCCCAGATTCGTTAATACGGCGATTGGGCCCGAATTATGTTTATAACGGGCAACGCAGGTTATCTAGTCAAGGGCGACAATCCGGGGGTGGACTCTTACCTAGACTTCACCCGCCAAGAACCGCCCTGGGAAGCCAAGTCCGCTCGTTCAAGAAGGCAAACTACATCGAAAAAATCAGTGATCACGAGAGCGCAGAAGAGCTGCTGGAAGCATTGGAAGTCCGTGATGATGAAAAGGATACTTCTTCCCACCGTAAAGTCATTGAGGAGCTCGAAAATGGCCCAAAACGCTCAGCAGAGAAGCGTAACGACTTGTTGACGGAGCACATGACGAAGGGTATGTCTACTTCAAATCATAGAGCCACCCAAGAGAGCTCGAGCTCCGTCTCAGGACTAACCAAACTCTCGCAGGAAAAATGCTCACCACGCCGTCCCGACTATTTAAGCTCATTATTCCCCTGACCACAATCGGGAAACAAGGCCATGACAAGGGCATTATAATGAAAGACCCTCTCCAACCGATTGATCCACATAGCCAACAAGAGAATACAGTCATCGAGCCCATTGCAATCCTAGTCCACCCCCAACAACCGCTCTCCTACCTCGAACGCCTAATCCAATCCGAACTCCCACCAATAAAAGGAGAGAAAGAGACGCTTCGCGCACCTGCAGTATCTTTCGTAGCCCTCCAACACGAAGACAACGCCATCAAACCCAAAAAGCGCATCGAAGACGATGAAGAAGCAGAAACGATCCGCCGAAATGCCGTCGAAACAGAGTATCAGGCCCACAAGGACCAAGGCAAAGTTGAACGCCGCCGACGCTCCCGCGAAGAAGACGCGGAGACCTACAGCTACCCGCGCAAAACAGACTCCAGCCTCGACTCGCTGGACGGCCAGCCGGAGCGCTTCGTGCGCTGGTCCCAGGCCACCGAGGTAGGCGACTTCATCCGCGACGCGGCCCGCACGCGCGAGTTCATCGTGATGATCGAGGGCGCGCCCAGCGGCCTTGGCCAGATCCGGATTACCGTGCCCTCCTTCAACGAGCGCACGTACTTCCTGCGCGCGCGGCTGCGCAAGCTCTCCCGGCGCATCCAGTCCATAGCAGAGATCAAGAATAAGTGTGACATGCTGGCCCATCGAGGGGCGCAACGTGTCGCCATCGGCGGGTTCGGTATTCTGTCGGTGTGGTGGTATAGCGTTTACAAGTTGACGTTTGAGACGGATCTGGGCTGGGACACCATGGAGCCTGTGACGTATTTGGTCAGTTTGTCGACGTTGATGGGGGGGTTATCTGTGGTTTTTGTATCACAACCGGGAGATTTCGTATAAATCCGCACTGGATTTTACGGTTAGTGCACGACAAAAGAAGCTGTATCAACAGCATGGCGTGGACGTGCAACTTTGGGAGTCGTTGATTGATGAGGGGAAGACGCTGCGGAGGGAAATCAAGAGTATCGCGGCCGAATATGACGCGGAGTGGAATGAGAGGGCCGATGAGCAGGACGAGCAGGTGACGCAGGTTCTGAAATCTGATAAGAAGGAGGAGGAGGCTGAGGGGAAGGAGAAATCGGAGAAGGATCGAGATGATTGAATCTTGATTGCATATGCGATGTCGAGTCATACAGTGTCTACATTTTTTGGCAGAGCATACTGCACTTACTTGCATTGCGCTACTTACATTTTCCTTCTTACTACCCTGTGTTATAAGTCCACTGCACTAAGATCCCATATGTCGCTCTGTTTTGTGTATATAGTCAAAGCCTATTGTATTAAACACAAGATTCCCAAAGAACAAAAGACGGACAAAACCCCAATCTACAGAGTCCCGTTTCGAACGGGGTCATAGTAGCCCTTCTTTGGCGGCGTAGTTTCCTCCGCTTGCTTGGACTTTTTATCTATGAATGCATCAAAGATTAGAATAGTCCTCGTATCAGACATATACACAATGTAAAATGAAAAGAGAAAATAACTCACCATCAGCAGTTGCATTGCCATCTCCCTTCCTCCGATTCCGATTATTCCGCACATCACGCGAGCGGAAAACACTGTACAGCAACCACCCCGCTACCCAGTTAGGTCCGTACTCGCCGCTGGTACTGCCGCGGTCGAAGAGAGGGCGCGTGAGTGGGCCTGCGTTGCGCCAGATTTCCATGATGCCCCAGCGCTGGTGGTCTGGGCGGATATGGTGCCAGAAGAACGGGGGCCGGGCGTTAGGGTCGGCGCGGATGTTGTCGACGAGGTGCGAGGTATCACGATTTAGGTGATTGTAGATTACGATGGCTTCATCCTAGAGGATTATTCAGTTTGTCGCTTCTGGCTTTTTGAGTTGGCTGGAAGGGGAAAAGGTGGGAAGGGGAGCATGGTTAGATATAAAGAGAAGGGGGTCTTACTCGCATGGCCCGGTAGTACATTTCGTGTTGGGGATCTTGGGAATTGAGGCTGAGGGCATTCATGAACTCTTCTTTTGAGACTCTGGGGCCGACTGGTGCCATTGTGTGGAAGGAAGGAAGAAGGGGATACGGGGTCAAGTTTTCCTGAGATTATACTGATGCGGTGGCGGGGAGACTTGGAAAGGCAGAGGATGGCGGAGTAATTTGGATGAGTATAAGAGTACTTCAGATAGAAGCTGCCCTGCTCAGAGCATTATATACCCCGAGCTGTCGTCGTTATCTGCAAGACTCAATAGTACCAGCTCTAGGCTACCGAACTCTGCTTGCACGCGGCCGTTGTCGAAGGGTCAATGCAATAAGGTTGTGCTGTTTAGCGGGAGCGCGCAGGATAGACGAACGGATGAGGACAACGACGGAGCAATCAAAGAGCAATCAGGATGCAATCGGAAAGGTGGATAACAAGGTATGGAGGTCAAGGGCAGAGAGTCGAGGCAAGACAATACGTCCGTTGGAGATTTGTTCGTTGGACCCACGACACCCCGAGACATTGGGAAGTTGGGCCCAAGAATGGGGCGCTTAAGAGTCATGAAAAGCACCATTGAGAGAGACAGGAGTCAAGGATTTAGGGGGACTCGTCTCTATAGTGTATAAAGCCTCTTTGTGGAAGATCCGAGTGTGGTAGAGCTAACCTTACCTCGACCGAAAAATGCAATTCCCCAGAGCTACGTAAACCCGCAAGCCTCTACTCGCTGCGTGTCGTCCAAGGTTCTTGGGCTTTTCTGGTGTTACAATGGCGTAGTTAACAGTCTCACACCCGTCTATATCCAACCCCGGACTACACAAAAACTATAACCCTTGCCAAGAAACTCATAGCTCTCTATGGTGACGACTGTGGGGACAGAAAGCGCATGCCCAGCGCCAAAGTCCGATTCCCGACTCGGAGCCGACACACCGACAAACGGATGCTATTCTGGCAGGCAAGCTGGATCCATCAGCTACGTCTTGCCTCTTCAGCACTGCAAACAGACCATGCGACGGCGAAGTTAAGAGTCAAGGATTACACGTAGGAGCACATTCTGTAAACAGTCATCTCGAGGGAGAGTGTCCCAGATCGAGTCTGTTATCCGAGACAGACAAGCGAGAGATGTCCTGCCTTGCATGTTAGAGGCTGACACAGTCGAGGTAGTGTGTATAAGTTTCCCAAGCGGAATCCCGCAAATAACCGAGTGCGTAAACGCTCCGAATATGATAAAACATCAAGATAGGAGCGGTTAGAGCAATGAGGAAGCCCCATAATCGAGATCGGTCTTAAAAATAACACAAGGCCGATATTCTCAAGAGCGACGGAGGGATCATTGACGCCATAGTCGCCCGTGAAGCATCAAAAGCAATCCTCCCGTGGACAGCAAACTCGGCATCGAGGATACTTGAAACACCTCTACCGAGACTTGACGGGCTCTTTCAATCCAAATGGCTGGATTCCACCCCAAACCGGCTAGACCGCTGTGCCTTTCCGATGGCGCAGATCAAAAATAAGACGTGCTGACCAACCCGTGTTACGCAGAAAGCCGCCTCCCGAGAAAGGGCACAATATTGCAAAGATTGCAATCTCACTGATAAAGAAGTCGGAAACGCAGCCGCGTGTACGTCGTCAGCATAACGAAGCACACGCCAAAACCGGCAGGGGAGAAGCGACACTGTCCCACTGCAATGAAATGGCGTTAGCTCGACTTGACTTGAGGGCCTTGTTTGCAGCTGTGGTGATTTTCCGCAAGCCGGGGCTCTAGGGAAATCTGACATGTCTACTCATACCTGTCGAGGCTGAGCATTCTGACCATCTGAGCAACGTGGTAAGAGTTAGATCTTCGGGGCGAATATCTGCCATCGCCGAAGCTTGTGCCATGCTTGTTAATTCCAAACTTCCACAGGATAGCATCCGGTGTCTTTCCATTTGTCTACAGGTAATCGAGATAGTAAGTCTCCCCCTTGGTTGATATCCACAGACATGATTGACCCAACGAGAAGCGAGCTATGAAAGCGATTGAGCTGGAATGAGGTAACGCAGGCCTTGCGGGTAATGGAATTCCGCGGCCGGGACTTTCTTTGCACTGCTTGGCCCTTTGGTAGCCTCAGTCACCCTTGGAAGGCGGATGTGACCTGGACACGCGCAAAGCGAGGATCGACTCAGGCATCTCGTTTCCTCCCCGGCATCTGCATTCGACCCCTTGTACAGCAGACATGCGATGCATGCCATTCTGATGTCGGAGAATAATACCATGATCCAACAGGTGGTGAGTAAGAGAGAGGCTTCCCGGGGGGAAAGGGAGTCACCTCCGGGACAGTTACCCTTCAGAAATCGCTGGAGAGCAGGGCATCATGGGTCCTTCGCCTCCTAGCTGGGAACGGCCTCCAACCACAATCAGCCCACGGGTGCATGTTCCCGCTTTCCGTTTAGAAGTGCTCTGACCTGGTAGGCTAGGCGGGCCCAGACATGGATGAAGCTGCAAGGTGCCTTGGGGAGGGACCACTCAAGGATCTCGACAGATGTTTCGCCACATGAGATAGGGGCTATGTTTTATTGAGGCTTAAAATCTTGCTATTTGCACGGCACGCCAAAGAATCCTGCAGGTGAGGCGGCTGCGGGTCGGAGAATGAAAGCCAAATCGCGGGTCTTTGAGGCGGGGTTTGAGGGCAGTGGCACAATTTTCGTTCAGTCTGGGGGTCTGACAAAAGATCATGGAACCAGCTAATGGTGTTTGAAATGTGAGAGAGGCGCAGTGTACGGCGAGGGAGAGTAGGAAATGTGATCTTCAAGTACAAAGCTACATAAGATAACCATTCGTCTACTGCTTGCCGATCAATTTCCATGTTACATATTCGATCGATCGATCATCCCCGATCGACTCTACAGAACTCTAATTATATTATTTAGCGTGCGCCACGATCCTTTTACCCAGTGCATTATTGGGTCCTCTGTTCGGACTGACCACTAAGGTTATTGCCTTCACGGAGTGGCTGAGGAGCGTCTGGCCAGAATCCCCATAAGTGGATCTAGACTGCGTTTCCAAAAGAGCTCATACATAACTTCCCCAGCTTCCCTTCCGGGAAGTCCCTGGGCTGGCTTGCCTGATGACACTGAAATACTGACTGATTACAGAGCTCCTAGATCCTACATGCATCATGGATGTGGACAATCGTCAGTGGCCTTTTGCCTGGGTTATTTGATACACGCTTGTCCGAAAAACACTGTGGCACAGCCAGGCAATACTCGTAGCATTCGAATTCCATATCTCGATACGCCAAGATTCCCTCAACTGCGGGGAGCAATCTTCTCTCGCTTGGATGCGGAATGGGGTGTATGTACGATAAAAGAGACTAAACAAAAAGGGCGGCCATGGCAATGCTCCATCCATCGCTAAAAAAGGTCGGGGGTAAAAGATAGGGCAAATGGCTCGAAAAAGAGAAAGCAGCAAAATCTCGCTTGCATCCCACTACTTCTTCTTCGGCTCTTCTTCGTCCTCCTTGGCCTTGGGCTTCTCTTTTTCTTTGTCGTCTTTCTTCTCCTTGTCCTTGTCATCCTTTTTCTCCTTCTTCTCTTGCGCTTTCTCCTCTTTTGGAGCTTCCTCTTCGGCGACCTCTTCACCGAAGAACCGACGCAGGAACTTCTCGACCTTCGCGTACTCGGCAATCACTTCCTTCAGGGTATCATCGATGTTCTTCAGCGAAACAGCCTTATCAGGCTCATCGGTAGTGCCTGATTCATCCTTGCCAGCACCGTAGTGCTGAATCTTCTCGCATCCATCCTTGATGGTAGTCAGGCCAAGTGTGGCCGAAGAACCCTTCAAAAAATGGCCGAGAGCTGAGAGCTCTTCCAACTCCTTGTTTTTGCTATTTCAAATGTTAGAAGCGCATTCTTGAAGCCCGCATCGCATTAAGGCCATGGCCGTGCGAGCCACGGTCATGACTTACATCGCATCTTTCATTTTCTGGAATGTGCTTTCCACTTGGTCAAAGAAGCCATAGACAATACCCTTACTGAAGTCACGGTCCTCATCATCATCCATCTCTAGGATCTGGTCGAAAGTACTCTCGTCGATAAGGTCCTTGACATCAGAGAGCTTAGGCTAGGATGATAGTCAGTATGGCGGGCCAGAAACGGGGAACCAAATAGCGCTTTGGCTCTCTGACTTACCGGCTCCGAGGCCGCTTTCGAGTCGGTGGCCGGGGCCATCTTGTGTGAGGGATGATCACTGAGATATGACTTCGTCAAGCACTAGGCGGTGCGATCCAGTCCAGTTGCCCGGTCTGGCTGTCACTCCTGCGAATGAATGGAACCTGCCAAAGGAGAGTCAGCAAGGTTCGGCGAAGAATATGAGTGAAAAGGATCCATCATCCTCGCCATAGTTCCTGATCGTGTGCCAAGTGAAGCCGCACAAAGCAAGGCCGCGCAGAGTTCGGACGATTATTAGGCTCTGATAAGCGGGGGGGTGGTCGACTCAGGGAGCCGCCTTACAGAACCAGAATAGAAAAATATTACGATGACGACAACAGGACTGAAGGGGACCCGAAAGGGGATAAAGGGCACGACGTCACAGGCGGGAGGCCAAACTGCGAGAAGAGGGTAATGGCCTTACTGAGCCTGGAAGGGAGGGGGGAAGGGGAAGGTGAACCGCACTGGGGAGGAACAGAAATGAAGGGGAAGAGGAAGAGACGAAGCGCGCTGATAAAGCGGGACAAGTTCACGTATACTCGAGCACGCGGCGGGGCTTCAAAAAAGGCAATACCACCAGATGCACCGAGTTACGCTAGAAGGCTCCACCGGACAAGGCTGGAAGGTAATAAAAATGATAACAAAAATTGAAAATACACCAAAGAGACGATCAACTGATACCAGGAGGGCGCATCAATCGGGTATCGCGTTGGAGGAGAGGATTTGATGCCCAGGCTAAATGGGTCAAAAGGAGGGGCAGACGGGCAAACAGGGGAACATGGTTCATCCCACCTTTGAAAATTTCACGAGGCAGTTGGAGAGCGACGGTAGCTTTTGGGGAAGAGAAAGCTTGAGCCTATTTGACGTGGGCACCAAGGGTTAGGAGGCTTTGAAGCACACGAGGGAAGGGGAGAGAAAAGGTTAGCGAGAAAAAAAGGGCGGAGAAAACGTCTGGGTGGGTAAACCATCGCGGCCGCGAAGCCGAGAGGAACACCACCAACTCGTCAGTTCTCGGGCTCTGCGAACTTCGAAATCATAATTAGACCGCTGGTTTCTCTTCCTACAAGAACGTGGCTAGTTGATTATCCGGCATGTCTCGGCTTCTGTTCATCTATACCTTCTGACTACCTCCAGTGCATCTAGTTGGCCACTCCGTCTATCAGACGCTAGCTGGGACGAGGAGATTTTCAATGTGCTATTTTCCCATCGACTGTGTTCCTTCTTTCAGCCAAGTGCAAGACTACTATCCACTCGCTCCAGTGCGGGCGATCCTCCAAACGGAGATCCGGGTTTCTGGTATGCCATCTAGATGCACGACTGGCCGGAAGTGCGAGTTCCTCCTCACCGTGTGGGCTCTGATCTCCAGAGATCTTTGATCACTATCGAGTCATGGGGCATATGGGCCTTGATCCCAGGAAACCCGTCGTGTGAAACCACAGAATGGTAAGGGCCAACTCCACCGGGGAGGCATGAAATCATCGGGCTACCGCTCTCCGCCGCTGAAATCTGTGAGAGTACCAAAGAAGCACGCCTCGGTGGAGCCTACAAGTACATAATCTGCCCTATACCCAAGATACCGAGCCTATTGCAAACCAAAGGATCCTCCCAGACGATAGCCTAAACCTCCTACAGCCTACCGGAGATGGAGGATCTAGTATCGGCAGGGAAAGTGCAGCCGCCAAACGACATCATCAGCGCCGATCATAGCGGGACCAACGTCACTGGTTCTTTTCTTCCAATGACGCTGTTCCCGCGTCTCCATGCGTCCGTCAAAAGGATCCAGCCGCACGTGGGGTTCGAGGGCCCCCCAAGGACAAGGATGACCGTCCCCAAGCAAGATGGACCTGTCCTTCCACGTTCTTCAAAGTGAGGCGGCGAAAAAGGAGAACAAACAAGAGAAAAAAAGGGATAAAATGCCGCACTCAGGAGATTGGAATAATACGGGGGAGGGGGCTTCCAGAATTAAGATTTTCATTAGGCGCCAGCCTGATGGGAAGGGGGCCACAGAAATGCAAAGATCGGCCCCTGGTCAGAATGGAATTTCGTTTTCGCTTTCTTGGATGGTATCAGTAAGGCTTCCATTGAACGGTCTGGGCCCTAAGAGACCGCATTCATTCGTCGATTCCATGGCCATCCATTCGTATTGCGCCTGGAACCAAAGCGGTCATGTTGCATGCAAATATTGAATCTGACGTACCGGCAGCTGAGCCGACGAGTCCATAGTTCGTATACTGGCGGGAGCAGGGGGCAAAGGGTAAAAAAAAAAAGGGGGTGGGTGGGAGGGGGGGGCCAGAAGTTGCCGGGCTAAGACACCAGAGCCGATATGCTGTCACCGATGACGATGTTTGGGTGAGCAAAATGGGATCCGATGTGCCTCGTCCAGACCTCGGGAGCTGATTGCATAACAGCCTCAATTGCCGGTAGAAGGGGTTTCAGGGTCGCCTGGAACGTCCCAAATCAATCCTCCTGAGATGCCTGCGCGAGACCAGTCCATACTTTCGTTTATATACTAGAGGGGAGACGCGGTGTCGCTGGTGGCTTTCGCTGGTTTCTCTGGTTTTTCGTGTGAGGTGGTTAGCCCCGGATCATACCCACCAATCAGCGGGCTCTGCGGCGGAAATGACATCATTGGCGGCAATTGTCAGCCTCTGATGTCATTTCTGTGAATAGTACGGAGTAATACGTGTCCGTTACGTCGTTGGGGTTTCTGCTGATTCTGATTTGGCTCCGGGGACTCTGGCCCTCAGATTGCTGATATGCGGATGTACGGATGTGCCCATCGATCGTTCGTGCTTGACTTCCTTTGCCTACTCCGGCAGCAGCGCCGGAGCTAGTCAAGCGACTAGGTGCGGTTGATTCCATCCATCTCACCTGGCGCTGCAGCCGGGCTTCACCAGCGGCTCCCATGATATCACAGTGCATGAGTCCGTGCGACTGGCTTGGTGGAGTATATGCAACGTGAACATTGGAGGATGGATCCTTGGTCGCACGCACTCTGAAGTGGATCCATCGGCAGATATCATCTGGAATGTCGAGGGGGGTCGTCGGTGGGCACATGGCCTTTGTCTGTACTTTTGGTACCTGACCTACCAGGCCCACCAGGAGGCATTCCCTCCAGAGCACTAAAGCCTTTTCGACCATGTTCTAAAAGTAGCAACGACTCGTCCCCGCTGGCTGCATGTTTGCTTGGTGAGGTGACAATGCAGGCCTGTGCAGATGTTGAGAAGTTTGACGCATCTCAAGGTCCATTTGCAACTACGGATATCTTGGCAGCGCTGATCACCAGTGGTATTGAGTGCACGGCTGCTCTGGGCAAGATGCTTGTATATCTAGAAGCGGGATACTCGGCCTCTGGGGTTCCCCCCGAAGCCTATTCCTCGGTTTCAAGGTTGTCTCTTTGTGTAGATGGCGCATTCGGCGGACAAATGCTAGAGTAGACCCCGGCAGAATCCTGTACGCAGTATGGGTCTCGGTCACGAGGACAAAGAATGGGGATTTGACAGCTCGCAGTCTCCATCTAGCTAAGAACGGACTTGTCATGATCCCCCACATCAAATTCCAGCCCTGGCGCCGATTCGTGGGGAGCCGAGGTGTTCTGGAAGGCTTATGTAAACCGAGGTCCCTGAATCCACCGACTTTCCATTTTGAGAAAGCAAAGCCTCAACAATTCAACATCTTCCGCACGGCGGCCGCGCTTTCGTCCGATTGCGCTGTTCCTTCGCTCAGAACGACGACTTCATCGACAAGAAGGTGTCAAACTAGGACCTTTCCGCCCCAACTGATATTTGTGCAATGGCCTCAACAGCTTCCAGCGCGCCGCGCGCCTCCGGCCCAACAGGCATCACAAGAGCCTACCTGTTCCTGTATAATCTCGTGAATTTCCTCACCTGGGGCTACACCGTCGTCTACACAGCCTCCTGGATCCCTGGTAATGCAAACAAAAGGGACCTGGGAACCGTCTTCAATCATGCATGGGAAGTGGTCTGGTACACCCAGCTAATCGCTGGCCTGGAGATCGTCCACAGCCTCCTTGGAATCGTGCGCGCCCCATTCTTCACCACCGCCATGCAGGTCGCCAGCCGCTTGCTTGTCACCATGGGTATCCTGCAGCAATTCGGACCCCAGAACCTCTGCGGCAAATCGACCGCCCAAATCGGCGACTTCGCGTACATTGGATGTGTTTTTGCGTGGGGAATTACCGAGATCATTCGCTATGGATACTTTGTCATCACCTCTATCTGGGTCCCAAGTCCCTAAGTGGTGGACTTGGTTACGCTACAATACTTTCTATGTGCTGTACCCCATTGGTATCTCCTGCGAGTGCACCCTCATCTACAAGGCGCTGGCACCTGCTGCTTCGAGCGGTCCCCCTTTACCCGGCGGGTTACCATGGACCGGCTTATCGGTACTTCTTGATCGCGGTGTTGGCCATCTACGTGCCTGGTATGTTTTCTTCTTTGGAATTCCGGAGAGTGGTTCTATTCTGGCTAACGCTACGTAAGGATCCTATATCCTGTACACTCACATGATTAAGCAGCGCACCAAGGTTCTCCGTGGCAAGGGAAAGCAAAGAGCTGATTAAAAAAAAAGAAGAACGACGTCCGACTTTCACTTCGTAACTTTGTGGCACCCTAGCCACCACTAGTCTCAGCATTGAGACTGCATTCCTGTTTCTGAAAGGATGATCCCAAACTCCCCCCTCCGGCCTCCGAAACCTGAAACAAAACTCCATAGCCTAATTACTTAGATACCGATGGATACCTTGCCATATGGACATGACCAATGCCGCCCGCTTGTATGAATGAAGCTCATCTCTCCCTTTCTATTTCAAGCTGCTTCGATCCCTATAACTCTCGCATGATATCTTGTACAGCTTTAGCCGCAAACTTCTTCCTCTCGGCTTCGGGCAAGTCGGACCCCATGTCTAGACAATGTCAGCCAATGATCTGGATGCTCAAGATACCACCTTCATACCTCTCAATGCCTGCATGCGCATCATGAGCCCCTCCATAGACTCGACCTTGAGATCCTCGTCCCCATCATCAAATTCCTCATCCCCCTCCCCTCCATGTTCAATGGCCATCCTCAGGCCGAGCATCTCCCTCTCCAATTCATTTACCTCATGCCCGAACCCCCTTGTATGCCCCGCGCCAGAGCCCACGACCTCACCCTCCAGATCACTCTCAAACCCAAACTCCGCATCCAAATCCGCTCCGCCATCCACGTCCGCGGAAGCCCACTCATGCGTCTCCAACACCTCTTTAATCCGCGGCATGCCCTCATATTCTATATTTCATTTAGCCTCAAAAAAAAAAAAGAAATCTCACCAAATCAGAAATCAAAACCGGGGGGGGGGGTCAAATAAATCTTACCTCCAAACGCATTCCGCTTGCCTTCCCCCTCCACTGCAGGATCCCACTCCACAACCTCCCACCCAACAAGCCCCATATCAAAGAGCTGATCCTCCCACCAACCCCCCCGACAAAGCCCTCTCCTCCCCGATATCCCCCCAAGCCTTCCTCCCCGCCTTCCGTCTCAGCCCCAAGCCCTCCAACCCCGGGCCCGACTAACACAAAGATCCCGGGGACATCGCCCACCCCGCCGCGCTCCTCATCCACCCGCTCCTTCACAGCCCCGATATCGCGCATCAGCGCGCGCAGCTCCCGCACATCCGCGCGCTCGTCAACAGCCTGCCCCGCCCGCGTGCCCGCCGGATTCCGCACGCAGACGACCAGCGCGCCGAGCGCGTCGCGCACGATCTCCGCCTCCGGGCTGAGGAACTCGGTGCGCCATTGCGCGGAGGGGGAGTCTTGTGCGTGCGGCGCCAGGGGGACCTCGTCGACCCAGACGGGGATGTCGGCGGTGTAGTATTTTGTGGAGAGGGGGAGGGGCGCGTGGGTCGTGTAGCCGGCGAAGGAGGGCTCGGCGGTGTCGGTTGTGGGGGGGTCGGTGACCGGGGTGCCGGTTAGAGAGTGCAGGAGAGGGGGGGATTGTGGTGAGGGAGTGGGAAGGAGGGGAAAGGATGAGGAGGCGGCGCGGGTTGGGGATGGATGGTGGTTTTTTGGAGGGATGAGGTGTGGACATGGTGGATTCAATATTTTGGTAGGGTGTGAATGTATCAAAAGGTGATTCGGGGCGTGGGATTGGGGATTCTGGTTGGATTAGGAGAGGGTTGGATTGGGGAATTCTTTTTTCCTTTTGATCGTGTTTAAATTGACGGGTTGGAGGAAGGTGGTTCGAGTTGGTCCCCGCATTGGAAGAAAAGTTGCGGAGATTTGGGGGTTCTCCGATAGGTGGGTTTATCAGAGGCTCCTGTCATGCTATGCTATGCTATTTGTTTTTATTATTTCATTGAGAAGTATTATAGACTCTTTTAAGCATTTGCAAATCCATTCTTTCCCTTCAATCGGTAATAAAGGAGGATCCGAATCCCAAGGCGTACAATGTACGGGGACGCCTGTTTTGCATGTCTGCACAAATTGAATCGATGGCCATAGCCGCAGTTGGTGATCGTTGAGAAGTCAAACTTTATTGACTGTAGAAGTAAAAACCCCTCCGAGGGCAAAATCAAGACACAAAAGGCCGTTCAGGCCCAGCACACAAGCCCGAGGAAATTTCCCTTGAAAAACCAAAACACAAGAACGCCAACACTAGAACCTGCCAGGCCTAAAACGGAGCTCGGCATTGTTGCCGGCAAGAACTTTTTCCCCCTCTATCCCCTTCGCTGGCCACGCGCACGCTGAACGGTAGCCTTACCACGCGCAAGACCAACACCGCGGCCCTTCTGGTCTCGTGAACGGAACATAGGAGCGTTACTTTGACAATGGTGTTAACTAGCGTTCAACCGGGGGGGGGGTGGTGGCTGGAGATCCCCATATTGGGGGGGGAGTATGGGAGGCGATTCGCTTTCCCAAACTGGAGTACGTACCGAAGCATGTCTGGAACAATGAAGAAGCGGATGTTGCTTCCACGGATGTAGACCTGCTCTAGGTGAGAGACACGGCCGTCACGGGCGGTAACGGTGCAATCCTTGAGTTGCACGTTCATGCTGTCCTCGGCTAGTGGAGAACATTAGCCAAGGCTCGATATAGCTGGGATATAAAGACGGTTTGCGGGGGATATTGAAGTAGATCTACTAGTCCTCCTAGGGTGAGTCTGGATCGAATCATACCTTCCAACAGTTTTCCGCGGTAAGTAACTCCAGAGGTAATCTCGAGAGTCACGACGTGGCCCTGCGAGAACAGTTCAGTTAGCGGTCTGCAACGCAAGGCCACGCTCCCACCCCTTGATCAAGAGCACATGTTCGATATGGGCTATGACCAGGAACGATGTCACTCATATGGACCGGCTGCACGTACCTGAGCTTCGTTCAGGAGCTTAATCGGGATCCCGATGGTACTCGTAAGTTTGCCCATCGTGAGAGATGCGGGGTGAGGATGGAATCTAATAGGGTGGAAATGCGCGATGTGAGAAGGATGGGAGACAATGGCAAGAAATCGGTTTGCCGCGCAAAGGCCCAAGGAGCTTGATCGAAACGACGCGCGGGATTGTCGAAGGAACGAAGTTGGGAAGTTGATGGAGAGATGGGCGGAGAGCGAGGTGAGTTTTGCGGCTAAGCTTCCTCCTTTCCGCTTTGGGCGCGTGCGCCCAAAAAATAGAAGAGGGACCGCGTTACTCGAGCTTACTTTCCCCAAACAAAGAAGAATATTCTAAAAATTTACCGTTCCGCTTTATCCCCTCTCGAAATAACTTATTATTACACCAAAATCCAAGGCAATTGCATTACGAAACTACACAAAAGCGCACACGATGGGCAGCCCCCCAAACTCCAACCTCCGGGCCTTCAACCTCGCCGTACACACCCTCCTCCAACAACCAACGCACATCCTCCCACACCTGACGATCCCGACTTTCACATCCCTGCCCGAAAACCTCGGGCCCCATCTCGTCGCCGCAACCGAGAAACCTCCCCGAACACCCTCAATCCGCGCTCTGGTCCTCGACAAGGACAACACCCTCTGCGCCGCAAAAAGCACCGCCTTGCCCCCTCAGATCCTCTCCAAGCTGCACAGTCTCCGGCACTCCCCGACCTCTCCCTTCAATATAGCCACAAACCCGCACGCAATCTTGATCGTCTCGAACCGCGCTGGGAGTCACCCGCGGTACGACCACGAGATTGAAGCGCTGGAGAGCCAGCTCTCTTCGCTGCAGATCCCTGTGTTCCGGGTACCGCAGGGGGTACAGAAGAAGCCTTTCTGTGGGGGAGGAGGTGACGGCCTGGTTTCGGGAGCGAGGGTGGTGAAAGAGGCTGCAGAGATTGCGGTGGTGGGGGATCGCCTGGGGACGGATGTACTGATGGCGAGGATGATGGGGGCGTGGAGTGTTTGGTGTAAAGAGGGAGTTTTCGAGGCGGGAGACGTGGGCAAGGAGAGGAGGGGGGGTGTTGGAGGCGATGGAGGTTTGGGTTGAGAAGTTTTTGAGGGAGGGGAGGGGACTGAGAGCTGCTACGCCCAAGGGTTGGGCGTGATGGTGGTTCGGCTAGGAATTCCTATGGGAATGTTGTTGAACTAGTTTCAACTTGTATAATAGTATATAGACTTACTAAAGGCAGCTTGTGTATAGACTCGGGCCTACAATCACTGTAACCATACGGACAAGGAATAAAGTACAAAAAAAATAAATCGATTGAGAGACCAACGTCAATCTCCACGCTCGTTTACCGCCAGGCGACGCCTATCCTGCTTCCAGGGGCTAGCAGAGTAGTATCTCAACACTGCAAGGCCATGCATTGATATAAGAGGACTGGAAGCGACACCAGTGCGATTTTAGACGCAAACAGATGCCAACAAGGTGCGTGAACATGATCCCCAAGTCCAACCGGACACGACCAACATCCGCACGGATGTTAGAAAGGCAAGACAGGCCAGAACCATTTCTGACTAACCTTCGATAACACAACAATCTCAGAAAAACAAAACGAACAAGGAAATTGGGTTGGGGTGAAGAGCCTCCATCCAAGTCGGTCTGTTTTGGCATAACCACGTACAAGAACCATAGCCAGCGAAAAGCTTTCAAGGGAAGAAAAAGAAGAAGAGGAAAAAAAAAAAAGGCTGACCAGGTAGAATGTGAATAGAAAAAAGAAAATAAAAAATAAGAGAACAAGAGAATAAGAAAATAAGAAAATAAAATGCCAAGAAGAAAATGAAGATCCAAAGATCAGAATCAGGATTCAACCGGTACAACCGGGATTCCATCGGGGTAAAGAATAAAGAAGCTGAGAAGCGCTTCAGGACCGGCCCATCGAAAAGTATTAATACAAACAAACAGAAGGGATATATGCCACGCAATCGAAACAGCAACGAATCCAGTCGGAATGCCCGGCCTTCGCCAGCGAGACACGAGTTGCTCAGCCCACCGTCGGAAATTGCTCAGCGAGGTGGAACACCACACTCTCTCAGCAAAGCAGACTAATCAAGGAGTCCTCCCGGATGGAACAGCAAATGAAACCCATCAAATATACGCCACTAAGCACTCCTAAGGCCGTGAAAACATGAATATAGAGAATGTAAGGAATGACCAGATCATGAAGATGAATCATGACCCGGAGGGCAATCCTTGAGAATTGATTTCATCCAAATTGACTAACCCATGGCCATAGTCCGCTAATGCGGGAGAGCCATGACCAGACATGTTGTGCATGGGCAATTCAAAGCTGGGAGCCTCGTGAAGATTGTAGTCGACATTGTGCTTTGGGTACATCTCGTTCATAGAGAGACCATCCTCGACAAAGCTGGACTGTTGATCGTGCGAGAACCCGTACATGTCGGACGAGTGGTGAGACAAGCTCGATAATGGAGGCGAGTGGTTGGCGATCATTGGGTCAGCAGGGCTCATGCCGGAGTAAGGCGAAGGTGCGTGCGATCCCACGGTCGAGTTATCCGAAGGCCCGGATGAGAAGGGGACGTTGAAAGACGGACCCATACTCGCGACAGGAGTCGACTCGCCGGGGAGCACCGCTACTAAACAATGAGGGGCTGGCGAAGTCGGACGGTGATGCGGTGGTCGTTGCGGAGATTGGGTTGGTGCGGAAATCAAGACCATATCCGTCGGTGTCGATGCGTAGATCAGTGGGGAGAGCGTGCACTGCCTGAGGGACTGGAGCGTAGATGCCAGACTCGGCTGGGTTGTATGGCGCTGGGGTCTGTGGCATCTGGAAGGGCATGGGGCCGGGAGCTTGCAAAGCAGAGATGTCAACCGCCGCGGGAACTGACCGACTGCGTTGGCGCTTATGGCCACGGGCAGCCGGAACCTGGAAGCCCAGATGGTTGTGGTCCTGGTACAAGTTCATGTACGCAGGAGCGGCAAAATGGTTGGGTTGAGAGGCTGGGCGTTGGATGAAGGGTGGTGACATTGCGGAGGAAACCGCAAATGTAGGGTTGTTCCCGCTGTATGCCAGACGATTCTGGAAAGACTCAAGCGACACAAGCTTGGCCAGCTGCACGCTCAACACCTTGGGATGGCCTCCCAAGTGGTGAACCATAATCTGACTTGCTTGTTGCTCCTCGGTAAAATCGCCACATTGGTAGAAACCACCCGAGTTCGAAGAATCCATGTAGAACAGAGGTGGGCGGTTGAGCTCGACCACCAAACCACCAGGTCGAGGGGGTTGGCCGTTGGGACCTGGGTTTGGATCGCCGGTCTCCAGTGTGATATTCTTAATGTGCGCGAAGGGATATTCGATCTTATAACCAGCCGAGTCATTGTTGATATAGTACGTCATGCAAGCCTTGTCGGGAGAGTAGAAAATCACCAGGTCCATTGCGTTCTGTCCAATGCGTCGCCAGCTTCCGATCGTCAAGGAACGGCAGGTAAAGTGAGAGATCACTGCACGGTGGTTAGTTACCAGGTCAGAAAAGGGGAAGCGCAAACACCTACCAACTTTGCCGCTTGGGTTGACTTCATTCGCGTACATACCGGCAGCACCAAAGCCCGTTGAACGTCCGAAAGGATCGCGAGCACTGGGCTTGGTAGGATCGAATTGCATGGCCAAGTAGTGTCGCATTGACTCAGGGATCGAGTCACAACCTTCCCCAGTCTCGATGCTCTTCTTTGCCAGCATCTTAATTTTTGCGCGCCTAGTTGAAGATTAGCATTCATGTCCCTTACCCACCTATTGTCAGAACCAACAACTCACCTGTTCTGGAACCAGATTTGAACAGATCGCTCGGTCATGTTAATGTCCTGGGCGATTCGGTCTCGCGTAGCAGCGGTGGGAGTGGGGTTTTTGTTGAATTCGACTTCCAGGGTGACCAATTGATCCTGCGTGGCGCGTTGGCGCTTGTTATTCTTCTGTTGTTGAGTCAAAGTACTTTTGCGAGGAGGGCGACGCGAGGAAGACGCGGAGGGAGCTGTGGTGGCATTTGAGCTAGATGGGGAGGGGGTTGAGGTTGGAGATGAAGAAGAGGCGGTAGTCGGCACACCCGACGGGTCGGGGATATCGGCCAATGAAGACATAATGCGACGTGGTCGGCGGGTGATACAAATGCGATGATACAACTGTCGGAATCAATTGACGGGATGGCGAGTATGTGAAGTAGTGTTATAAATTCACAAGTATGTGTGGCGAACCAGCCGACAAGATGGAGACGTTGGACAAGGATGATGATAAGTCTTCAGGAATAATCCTACTCTCGAAGCAGCGTCAAGCGCGAGAGCGATAGTTGAATAGAAACCAAAGCGGTTTTGTCGGTGGGCTGGGAATCGAATCGTGTTCGAAGGCTGTCCAAGTTAGAACCGGGTGGTTGGGTCGTAAGGGCGCGTCGCAGAGGCGTCCCGAGCAAAGGAAGGTATAAATCGAAAAGGCTGGCCTATGCAGCGAAAAAGAAAATGAATGGCAGGAAAGTATTCCCAGCGTCTTAGATCAATATCATTAAACAAGGGTTAATGATAAAGGATGATAGATCGCGATTTCCCCGGGTTGAGTCGATCAACCGGGCGTCTCGAGGGGGATAAACTGTGCCGATGAAGCGAATGGACTGGATTTGGAGATGCGAAAGAGCGGTACGGCCGTCGTGAAAGAATGAAACGACAAGACCTTAGTTAAAAGAAAAGGGAAAAGAAAAACGAATGGACAGAGTTAGGACAAGAAGACACAAACAAGAAGGGAAGATAGAATTGGGGGGAGAAGAGCGGGATTAGGAGATGCTGACTACGACTGGTGGGCGGTGCCTGTGCCTGGATTGGCGTACCGGGTTCCTGACCGGGGTTGACCAGGACGCAACTACTCTCTACGGGGTACGACCGGTTTGCGCAGGCATCTGGTTTAGGCCCTCTCCTGCGCAGTCCATTTCCCCTGCTTCTTACACCTGCAGACGTACACTGTACTTTGAGTACTTCAGATGCGTGTGTAAACCCTGAGAACCGCTCGTGGGGCCCAGTCGCTTCCCGCACTAAACCTCGATTTCTTTTATTTCCGTTTTTACCTTCCTGGTTTAGTCGCGGTTCTGGACTCTAGACGATCTTTCCCAGTTCGCCTTTACCGAACCTTGGTTCCTCGCGTACCCTATACATATTAATAGTGTGGAGGTTATTCACACAGACCAATCCCAATAGACTAGTTTGCAAGACCAATGTCCCGTTGAGGTTTCTACACTCCCGGATTATCGCTATCTTCGCGACCCCCACTGCTCCTATTGCATGGTGACTTGCTTACTAGTCTTATCCTTGGATGCCGGCCATCCAGTTCAAGGTTTGGTGGGTAAAAAAAAGGGGAACGCCGAATCCTGACTTGGCCCCTGCATCCACCTGCATACAGCCCAAACCAAATCGCCTCCAAGCCATCTGATTGACTCTCAGCCTCTCAGAGTTTTGGTGTCTTCCTCCTTGCTCGGCATGACACAAAGGGTTTGTCCCACCCTGCTGTTCTTTCCCGTTTGGGTTCATGTATGATGTGGACCATCCTCTGCAACAAGAATTCAGTTCAAGGCCCATCCATGGGTACGCGTAAAAAAACAAAACAAAACATAAGAAAACGAAAAAAAAAAAAGTGACCAGAACCACGTCGAGTCCGCACGATCATCGCCAAAAATGCCGGCGAACGGTAACTACCACGTGAGATCCGCGGGGAATCTGAAACACTCCTCGTCACGACCTGTTCTTCCCGGCTTGTCATGATCTTCCGTCAAGCCGCAGCGGGACTGTTGGTGTTGACGCATTGGCACATCCTTCCATCTGACACTGCAACTACAAGTAATCGATGTACAAAGAAACCATGCATGTCCAGTGTGGAAGTCCTTTGCAGAAATCCTAGAACAGAAAGATGTCCCCCTGATGCGAGAATCAACCAACAGCCACGGCTCCCGAGGACGCCACCGTCTGGACACCCACGGGTGTCCCAGGGGCTGATCCAACGGCGCCGCCAATCAGCGCCACCCCTGCCCCTGGCCCACCGCACCTCAAGCCCGGACTGTCAGAACCAGAACGAGGGCGCCTCTACGATTTCAGCTATTCAGGTACCCGCCCCGGGCCCAGCTGTGATTGGTTTCTAGCCCTCCTTTGACAGGTCATTTCCAAACCCGACTCGCCTTAGGAGGGGCCCCGACTGTTGGAGAATCTTAGTCCCCCAAGTCCTTGTACCGTGCGACCGAGGTCTTTGCCACAGAAAAGGGATAGGGAGTGCGCTCCGTGCGTACTGCCCGCTTTGTTTGTGGAAACAGGTGGGTTGGTAGGGATCTTCTGCCTGCGTCTGTTGTTATTGGTCTCTTGGACAAAAAAAAAGGGGGGGATGGGAGGGGGGGGTAGAAGTTCTAGGTCGTGCATGCGTCCCCGTGCGCAAGTTCCGTGACTTCCGATGCTGGGACTGGGAAACGGTGCCGAGACATGCTTGGGTTGGGTTTTTAGTCCGTATGTGATTATGTGTCGCGGAGCTAGGAATTGCATGACCGTAGTGTTGGGTTGACGAGGGGTACGGAGGACCCCGTGCATGGACTAGGTTCCCCGACGGTATGTGTTGGCAGGCTCCGCTCTGATGGCTTGTGTGGCTCATGTACGGAGTAGAAGGGGGAAAATGCCTTGTCGTTGGTTGGCTGCACGCGCCAGATACTGCAAGTACTAGTGGCACGGTGGAGCATTCAATACGCTAGTATCTCGACATTTGCTACCCACCTCAGGTACGCGCATCTGTCTATGGGAACCTGTGCGACGGTCCTCCGTACTTGGGACTTGCAATTGTTAAGGTATCCTGGACAGCGGAGGATCCCAAGCTTATCTACAACCTCTAAGATTGACAGACACTGCGACTGCCACGACACAAGCGTAAGCACGCATAGACTTTTACATGCTCGCGAAATAATGAGAAAACATGAACGGGAAAAACATCAGAAGATGAAGAACCATGACTCCTCGTCCAAGACTCTGATGCGCCGGTCTGCCGCGTCCACGGTCATCTCAATGTCACTCTCGTCAGGGCCCAATGTCTCAGCCTGGTCAGTAATCTCCCAAACACGCTCGGTCAACCGCATCGCCAGATTCCGCTGCTGCTCCCGATAAAACGCCGTCATAGACTCATGTTTCTGGCGCACCCACCCCCGATCCTCGTCCGACAGCGCCTCCCTCGCCGCAAGGTAGAACGGCTGAGGCAGCGACGAGTCCGGCCCGCACCCCGTTGACAACTGATCCATCAGCCCGAAGCACGTATGGGCGAGATGCTGAACCCGCGCCGAGCGCGTGGGGTCTCGAAACACCCGCCGGGCGAGCAGCAGATGCGCCGTCCAGTAGAAGCACTCTGTGAGGATATCCAGGGGGTCGCGGCCCACGTCGACGGTCCTTGTGTAGCGTGTTCCCCAAGTCCGGAGGTCGCTTTCCAGGCTGTGCGCTCGACGCAGGACGTCATCAACGCTGCTGTGTCGCGGCCTTTCCTGCACGTCGCAGGCTAGATGGGCGATGCGCACAAGGAAGCACATGAGTGGCTGCGGACAGCCTGTCATTTTATGGAAGGAGGGCTCCGAGCAGTCCCAGCGCTCTGCGTCGGGGGAGTGCAACACGAAGTCCGCTGGGGCGTAGGGCCGGCGTTGCCGCGAGAAGGCGAGCATGAGATCGACCATTGCGTACCGCTGGACGGTCATCCGGGCGATGGGGGTGGGCGGGACGTCGTGGAAGCGGCCCAGCGTTTCCATCAGGAACGAGGCGCAGCGAACATGGGGTTCTAGCACGCCGTCTTCGGATTGGACGACCACGACGCCTTGTAGGACAACGGCTGTGAGGAGAGCCTCGCGATCGAGCTTGTTGGGCGATGCAACGCTGGCGTCTTCGGTGCTACAGGCCCCTGGCCCGATTATCAGCTGCAGGTTCTGGCTTATGGTTCGGAGCATGCGCTGCTGGCGCTGCGCGGCGGTTGATACGCTGCCTAGCCCAAAGTTCAGCATGTGCTCTGTCGCGATGCAGACGATGGTCTCCCGCAGGATTGGGGTTGAGAGCGCTGTGAATGAGACATAGCGGTAGGGGTTCTCTGGCCCGTCTAGTGCGGGCACATTGGACGAGACCAGCCTTACATCTGGGGATTGAGGTGAGCTAGTGTTGTGGCTTGGGAGAAAGGTGGTGACATACAGTATTCCCATGCTCGCTTTTCATCGTCGGAATCAAATAAGCCGTGGCCCAAGGGGGCTGGCGTTAATTTGTAGAGTGCCGTGCCATCTACATGTTTAGATCGGCGCCGAGACCGATGTCTCGATACTGTGGGCTGGGCCGTTCCTATCCATTTGAAAGATGAGGGCCATTGGCAGTCCAGGCCGCGCTGGGAACAAGATGAGCACGTGGGATGCTGCTCATCACATTTATCATGCTTTCTACGACATTGAAGGCACCCTGTTCGGGAATGAGCATCTGCTGGAGTTTCACTAAAAATGGGCTGCCTCACCGGTCCGCGACCGCGAGAATCGCTCTCCACGGTGCATTCCGTGCGATACACGGCTTCTAGTGCATGAATCGTTGATCTGTGTTTTAAACTTGCTGATGAGGTCTTGTTCCCCGCCCATCACGACATCCCGATCACATGATCGATAACGCCCAATGGCAATCGCTGGTTTTCTTTTCCTCTTCGGGTTTAGTATTGATTTTAGGAGAATGGAGGGCGGCTGGCACAGTATCAAAAGATGTGTTTGAGGTCCGTACATGGTCATTAATGAATAGAAAAGTCGCTGCGTACTAGTATATACTAATGGCGAGTCGATGGTTGCCAACATGAAAGCGGCGGTGAAAAAAAGGAAGACGAATAAGATAAAAGCCATTCAGACTGCTTACTGGCCCAAAACCTCATTGATCACACCGACCACTCGCTCCACAATCAACTCGATTTCAGCTCGAGTTGTATTATATGCCGGGGCTAGGCAGACATGGTCTCCCTTAACGCCGTCAGCGCCACCATTCCCCGGGATCATCGACACAGCATGCTCAGGCTTGAGACCGGTAGCATGAATATTCCAAGAAACAGCCTTGGAAGGAGGAAACGGTTCCTTTGTCTCCTTATCTTGTACGAACTCAATCTGTGCAGACATTAGCAATGATCTAGAAGACATTTTGCTGGCAACTTACAGCCCAGAATAATCCTCGGCCACGGATGTCACCGACATACGGGTGAGCATCAAGCTTCTCATGGAGAAGCTCGCCCAAGTAACCTCCCATCTCGCGCACATTGGGTAGGAGGTTATCCTCCTGGATAATCTTTTGCACCCGGTAGGCGGCTGCACAGGAGACGGGGTGACCCGAGTATGTCTGACTGTGCGAGAAGGCTCCGGTGCCCTTAGTGAGGGTGTCGACAACCCGCTTATTGATTAAGAGGCCTGCAACCGGCGCATAGCCAGCCCCAAGGCCCTTTGCGATTGTCTGGAGGTCGGGCACAACGCCTTCTTGCTCCCACGCGTGGAGCGTTCCCGTACGACCCATTCCGGACATGACCTCGTCTAGGATAAGCAAGGCGCCGTGTCTGTCGCAGACCTCTTTCATTGCCTTGAGGTATCCAGGTAGCGGCGCCATACATCCTAGTGTCTACTCAATCGTCAGTGTATTGCTTTGAGAACTTTGCCAGGCTATTTTGACTCACAGCTCCGGCCATTGTCTCGGCCACGAACGCTACCACCGTGTCTGGGCCCACTCGTTGGAACTCATCCTCTAATTCTTGTGCGAGTCTGCCAACATAGCTTTCAACACTTTCGTCTGGTTTCATCCCCCGATACGGGTAACACTGGGAGACGTGGGACACATTCTTGGCCAAGATCTTCTCGTACAGAGCTCTGCGACCAACGTGGTGACCAACAGAAAGCGAGCCGAGAGTATTACCATGGTAAGACTGTTTGCGAGCAATGAAGTTCATGCGTTGGGGCTGTGGTGTGGGTAGTTCCATGTAGTACTGGACTGCCATCTTGAGAGAAGCTTCAATGGCCTCCGTACCTAATAAAGTGACAGCATTAGACGACGACATGAATCGCTAGATCTATGGTACGCAGGGGCTTACCAGAGGCCACGATAAATGCACGAGACATCTGGCCGCCCGTCGAGTCGACAAGCAGCTTGCAAAGGTCTTCCATAGCGCTATTGGTGAAAAAGACGGAATAAGTATAGGAGACCTTCTGCAGCTGCTCCATAATAGCATCATGGACTCGTTTGTCATTGTGTCCTAGACACGACACCGCCGCGCCACAGGTAGCATCGAGAATTTCCAGCCCGGTGTCTGTGTAGACGTAGCTTCCCTTGCCACTCACGATGTTGAGTGGCTTCTGGCGCAGCTGTCTGTAGAGAACACCGCTTTCATGGCTGTCTCCGTTCAATCCTTTTGCTTCCACGACCGCCGGAGCTACAGAGGCTTCGAGGTCTGGCTTGAAGTCACCCATAATGTGTAATGTAGACAAATAAAACGCACACTTTGAATATGTCTAGATCTGGAGTTTCCAACGGTGAAACCTGTGGGGGAGAAGTCGAGATCTATATACCCGCGAGTGGACAACATGCCGCGACGGCGGAATCGCTTGCGGACTGATATCGCCAGTCTACGGAAGCCATTTTGACTAAGGTTAATGCAAGTGCGCCTCATGATTGGTGAAGACCACGTTGGCGATCCAAACGGGGGTCGCCAGTGTCCTGCTAAACAGCTTATCACAGCTTCTCCGCCAGTCCCAAAGAGGAAGACTTTGTCGGACCCACTGAATCCCCGATAAGACCTGCCACTTCATCTGGAGGCCATGAGGATTGTGAAACCGTCTTATCTGAGTTTGGCGAGTCAGTCCAGGCGAGCTCTGGGCTTCGCATGATCTGATTTGATCGCTGCGCCGACCGTGGCTGGGCTCGAAACGGTCGCAGTTCTGCGTAAAAATACATCCTAAGGCCAGACTTGGAGGAAGTAGATCAGCATTTCAGTTTGCCTTTGGAAGCCATTGTGACGTTGAAATTGGGTTGCATACTCGAATTAATTATGGGATCCTCAGTGCAGCCATGGAATACTTTCGAGGTGGTTTGCCTAGGTCGTGTCCCCCTCAAAACGCCAACGTGGACATTCAGTCAACGGCCACTCGAAACTTCAGCAAGTCCTTCTCTAGAATCTCATTATACTTCCCCTCTAATTCCGAAACATCCCATTTGCACGAAAGAAAGCGGCCTGTCAAAGCATCTCTTTGTGCCTGTGGAGCATCGGTCTTGGATAGCCAGACAGTGAATGCACCCACGAGATCAGGACTATCAACCAGGACTACCCCCAAAAGCTATTAGCACTAGTCTGAGAAGGATAAAGGAACCCTTGGAAAGGGCCCGGGTCAAACCTACATGGCAGGACCTCCGGCGGAGCCACCTTCGCGAGATCACTCACCATCCCCCCAGGATGGACACTGGCAGAGAAAAGACCCCGACTGCCATACTGCTCATGAATCATCTCCGTCAGCCGTGTCATAGCAGCCTTGCTGACGGCGTACGAGACATGCACGTATGGACCCGAGACTCTAGACGCCATTATCGAGCTAATAGTTATAAACGACTTGGCTCCCTTCTCTGACGCCATGAGCAGAGGCAGCAAATAATGCGCCGCCAGAAACGGGCCAACGACATTCACATCAAAAGAGTTCTGGAAGTCACTTGGAGCCTCTTGGACGACATCTGGGATCATAGGCCCCGAGTAGCCCGCGTTTACGACCACGGCATCAAGACGGCCCGAGAACTCGCTCTTCACTGTCTCGGCGAGCTTCGCGTTATCCTCGTCAGAAGAGGCGTCACATTTGGTCACTATTACCTTGGCGCTTGGGTTGATGGAGCGGACTTCTTTCGCGACTTCCTCTAATTTGGGGACGGATCGGGCGGCGAGGATGACTCCTGATGCGCCGGCGCGTGCATAGGCTCGTGCAAGACCACCACCTGCTGCGCCGCTGCCGCCAATTATGCAGACTATGTACGGGGAGGAGAGCTTCGCTTTTGTAGGGTCGATTGCGGCGTACGGCTCAGTGTGTAGGTTGGAGACGAAGTTGGTGAAGTGATTTGAATTTAACTGGCCCAGGGTTGGCGACATGTTGTATGGAGGTGAGATATGTTGACGTTCAGATCGCTTTTAACTTCCTGAGAGTTCATGCAAACCACAGACTCGGGAACTGCTCTTTTGTACTTCGTTCCGATGTCAGCTCCATGAGGTGTCCGGGTTTAATCGGATTTAAAGCGGCCTCTGGCGGATGTGTAGCCAAAACTGCTCAGCTCACCTACCGAGATTCAGGCTTCCTTTTGATCTAGCGCTAAATTGAGTGATAAGAAAATATGCAAAACAAGAAAAAAGAGAAAAGAAAAGAAAAGCGCGGAATGAAATTGACGATTTGGAATTTCCAAGACACAGAGAGAGAAAGCAGCATTCGACGCGGCACCGCAGCATTCTAGAAGTACGGATGAAAGCATTGATTTTCGAAGCGGTGGAATCCAACTCCAAAGGGGTTTCTACAGTCCTACGTGACGTGGGCTCGGTCAACTTGAAGCACTGGCAGCTTCCCATTCTTCAACTTAGAGTACACAGGAGTCGATACGAGTCATGTTATGATATGTACAGTATGGGAAACCTGGCTCAAAGTTCAAGTTCAACCTATAGATTGCGAGTACAGCGCTCCGATAGCATCATGAAGTGGTCCACAGTGGCAGGTAATGGTTTCCTCTACCCCTCCAAACAGGCGCTGTAACTCTGCCTGTTCGGGAAACAAAGCAAATGCGTATGCAGCGGCAGGATCGGCCGTTTCTAGAATATTGCCAACGACAGATATAGCAGGACGGTTATCTGAACGATATATACTGGTAGAGGTGACCGGCTGCTACGTACTAGGAGTTTGTCCCACAGGGGATGTCTGACTATCTGTCCAAAGCGAAGCATAGGCAGAATTCTATTTTGGGACAAGTCAAGTTTCGACGATCAGCATTCTATTCTCTGTTGAGCTCTGAAGTCTGGAGCTGCCCATGTCAAAAAGCCAAGAAGTCCAAAGTGACGCGGGAGCCCCGCTCCAGGATTATTTCCTGTGCTGACAGCGCGGACAAGGCTCACAACCACCCACGCTCGGATTTAAGACGCCCTGGGGTGATGGTCTATCTGGGGCCTTCGAAAGGGTGCCTTACTTGCAGGCGGCGCCGAAAGAAGGTCGGTCTTGGACTTACAATTGCTCGGTAGGAAACTAACAAGGGACTTCCAGTGCGACGAAACCCGCCCCGTAAGTGACTGCAACCCTTGCAAAACCCAGCCCTTGCCGTCTTGCGCATACAGCAGAAAGAGAACTGAGCTGTGAATAGTCCTGTATGAGATGTGTAACGGCCAAGCGAACATGCGGGGGCTATGAAGATCGAGAGAAAGAATTCAAGTTCCGACACTTCGATGACCAAGGGAATGGAGCAGGACCAGCACAGTCGAACGCCAGGAAGTGCTCTTTGCCACCTAGGCCAGCCGCGCCTGGCACGCAGGCATGGGCGAGTGATGATCTTCCCAAAGAGGTCACGGAAAAGGATGTCGATGATTTTGCTGTCCGTAGCTTTTACTATGAGTTTTGCTTACCCCTGCACATCATGCCATCTCCCATGGCTTCTTGAGCGGCCTTGAAGACAGAGCTCGTCATACGAGTGGAAGGTCGCCATTGATCAAGGCCTGTGAGCTTGTCGCATATGCAAGCCATGGTATCAAGCTCAACAGGTTTAAGCTCCTATCTAAAGCCGAGAAATTGAACCAGGAGCTGATTTCATCACTGGCGGTTGACATACAAAGCCAAAGCGCTGTCTCCCCCAGAAAAAAGGAAGATGCAGTCCTTGTTGCGGCATTACTTGGGTTATACGAGGTGTGTCTGTGTTCTCCCTTAACGAGCTAGTGGCTTATCCTACTCTAAGATGATAATCGCACGGGACTCCCACGCTGGCTACCATATAGTCCATGCTAACGGAGTATGTGCGTTGCTTCAAATAGAAAGCTCGCCATTCAAGCTGTTGGAGGAGATCCGGAGTACTAGCTCTCTAGGGCGGTTGAAAAAGTCGCTTTTCGTAAGTCTATTAATTGGGTCCATCCCTGACAGTGAGATGATCTTAATATCCGCTAGAAACCCGACCGCGGAATGATCGAGCCATCATGTTCCGCTTCTCCGGCTCAGTCATTAGACACTTTGATAAATGCGCTCTGCAGCATACATGCTAAAAGAGCGGATGCAATTGACAATCGCTTTGCAGCCTCCGATGACCAATACATTCTAGACGAAGCCGTGCATCTTGAACAAGCCTTCCTGCAATGGGAGCAGGCCCAAGGGACGCGATTCAGGCCAAGTACGATTGGAACCATCAACAGGAGAACTTGTGATAAGGAGCATACCCCTGGTTTCTATCCAGGAAATGTGGACATATATTTTGATCTTTATGTGGCCTGCATTTGGAATATCTACCGTGCTGCCCGGCTGTACCTCATCACGCTGATAGCCGAGCTCCGTTCTACATATAGCACCCCGGAACCCTTGGATCCACCAGAAAATGGATACCAGTTCCTGGTCAGCGGCATTCTGTCTTCTGTTCCCTATCATCTGACCGAAGACCTACATGATTTTGTACAACATGCGGACATGCAGAGTTCGATTACAACGCCCGGGAAGATAGTGGGCGGCCTGCTCCTGATGCAACCATTACACGTTGTTTCGACTTTACCCGTCGTGGATAGTGCGATCAGAGATTATATGAGAAGGTGTCTCATGTGGATCGGGACCAACATGGGAATCGGCCAAGCATGTCTCATGGCAAAGGTATTTGAAATTCCCATTGCGACACGACCCCCCCAGCGCATGAGAGACGGTTACACTAACAGTCGATAGTCCCCAGTCATCGAGACACAAAGTTTTACGAGTAGTTCAATACTCATATTGATTGGTCTCCTAGTATGACCAGGATAAGATAGTCCATATCAGAGAATTGCATTCCTCGCATAGAACCACGCCTTCGCACCGTCAATCCCAAGCAGGGTGACAAGAAGCATCTTCCCAAACTGATCCACGTCATCTGGTTGCGCGTTACCCAAAACCCAGGAGAAGTTCAAGTTCTCCACAACAAAATGTGGCTTTTCTGCCCACGCCACTGCAAAATCAAATGCGCTCTGGGAACTCCATAGATGGGATGATAGATACCATGCATGCTCTAGACCCAGTGTGCCATCGCATTGCATGTCTCGAGTGCCGCGCAGGGTTTTGTATATTCTTGTGAAGAAAAATGTAATGAGGACTGTTCTTCGGGCGGATTCTTGTAAGATCCAGGATTTCCAGAATTCGCTGATGGATTCCATAGATACCGGGAGAGGATACACGGAGTCAGATGGGCGGGGTAGATGTAAGAAGGGCATGAGAGTGAATATCGAGTTCTCCAGTTCGGGAAAGAGTGTGTCGGTCGAGCGGTGAAACAAGACGTCGCCGTCAAAGAGCCGCATTATTTGGTAGAGAATCAAAGCATGTACTCGAGCAAGAATTTCAGGTAGCGTGGTCGGGTGTGTTGTGGATAGGAGTTCGTTTATTTTCGCATCGGTAAGATTCATAATGACTGGCGCGTTTATCTCATTCTTAGAAAGGTACATCGAGCAGCATGAATATGCATCTGTGGTAGACGTCAGGCTCGCCGAGTATCTACAAGTATGACGTGATCAGCAGAATATTTACCTTGCATGACCTTTGGCATTTTATTCTTGTATAGCTGAGGGTGACACCACGGAGTTTGATTTTCCATAATCATCATTCGCGGTGCGTCCCTGAAAACGTCGATGGAATATTGTAGCCGCGAGGCAAGGATTTCGGACAGAGGCTTCGGTGGTTGGGCCCTTGCCCTCGCAACAGACAATTCAAAATCTGGCGATAAGTGCACCTCGTCCGCTGGAGACAGCCATAAGCTGTGATAACACTCGTCATTCGCGCCATTCATATGCGATACGACTCGACCTTGAATCATGTCCGTCGGATGTGGCTCTGCCAAATCATAGCTCACTAGGCATTGTGGTCTTATAGTAGGTGGCTGCCAAGCATCTTGCAGCAGGTCCATTGCAGGTTCAATCTCAGGCGCGAAAGTCATCAGACTCGGTGGCTGCCTTCCATGATAGACACAAGCCATTCTTCTTTGGATGCATCGGGCACAAGCGGGATACCCCAGATCGCACCGACGCTTTGCGGACTTGCATCCTTCACAGGACTTCTGCCGCGACTTTGGGGTTTGATCATAGACCATGATAGCTGCTGGATAAGCTCGATGGAGGCAGCGGAAACCCCGAGGATAAGATGGCGGGTTTCGGCCATTTGGGGTTTAGCGTGCGGAATTCCGCACGCTAAAATGCGGTGGGGGCTCGAAGAGGCCAATTAGATGAACCTTGCTGTCTGTACAGATGCAAGTAGACCGTGGAGTTCTGAGACAAGGAGAGAGATACATAGAGGGCACGGCGTCGAGCAGAAAGAACAGGCTCTGTTCTTAAATCTTCTTCTTCAATCTGCCCTCAACTATATCAAATATGTCCTCGCCAATTGTCTTCGTCTGCGGTGCTACAGGCCGTCAAGGCGGCGCGCTCGTCAATCATCTATCCAAAAAGGGCATCGAGATGCGCACAATTACTCGCAATCCGTCTTCTGAAGCTGCCCAGAAAGTCTCAACGCTTGGAGTCGCCGTAACCGAGGGGAATTTCAACGACAGCGAAGAGACTCTACGAACCAAGTTAATAGGCTGCACAACAATTTTCCTCAACCTAGTGGCCGATTTCCAAAATATCGCCAAGGAAATTGATCACGCCAAAAAGCTCATCGCGGCAGCAAAACAAGCTGGAGTCAAGCATATCGTCTACTCGGGCTCCCTGGGCACTGAAAACCCAGAACGAATCCCCGGTTGGGAGGAGGGCGGCATCATGCGAGCAGTCGTCGAGACAAAACAGAACATCGAACACCAGGTTCGCGATGCTGGATTCGACACTTGGACCATTTTGCGGCCAGGGAACTTTATGACCAATTTCTTTGCACCTCTTGTCTTCATGTACCAGGGGCTCGTCGACAAAGGAATCTGGAGTACAGCCCTTAAAGAAGAAACTGTCTTGCCCATGATCGATCCAAATGACATCGGGAAATTCGCTGCTGCGGCAGTTATCGACCCTGCCAAGTTCAACCATCAGCACATTGAGCTTGCATCGCAGATGATGACCGTGGATGAAATTCTGCGGGATCTATCGCGCGCAACGGGGAAGGAAAAAAAGGCGATCTACTTGACAGATGCAGAAATCGCAGAACAAAGCAAGACGCACCCATACCTTGCAGGCCAGGTCTTCATCCGCAGTCTGGAGCTGTTCATCGATATCAAGAAGCTGGAGCAGTGGGATATCAAACGGGGCACCTTTGCCGAATTCCTAGAGCGCGAGCAGGAGAGTGTAAAAGCGACATACTCGTAGAGTATGAATGGCGCAATTTCTGATCTGAAGGATCTGAGGCTTATCAGGATTTTGGCCGTCTTGCCACTTTTTCTCTGATTTGTAGTGGCTTGAGTTGGAATCGACCTTTCCTTCCTTCCTTCCTTTTTTTTTTTCAGTTCGGCGCCGAAGCCTGGATGAAGCTTAAATCTCTCGGCGCCGAAGCCCGTCCCACCACCTTGTATAAAACCACCAGAAAGCAGCTCAAGTAATCAGGATTCCCACTCAGTCGATTACTCTCTGGATATAAAATAGCACAGCATACACATTAGACCTCGAAAAATGGCCATAAACAGCCAACCCGTGATTGTGGTTGGTGCCAGCCTCGTTGGCCTCTCGGCAGCCCTATGCCTCGCCTCTCAAAAGGTGCCGACCATCGTCCTCGAGAAGCATTCAGGGATATCTCGACACCCTCGTGCGATTGGATTTACACCTCGAACAATGGAGATATACCATAGCTTCGGACTTGAGAATGACAACCCTGCGCCTGATGATTTTGTTCTCCGGAGAGCTCACGTCGAGAGCATCACCGGCAACTGGCTAGACAGCACGAACTGGTCCGACACAGAGAGAAAGCCCAAACAAGATCCGCAGAAGCAAGCACCAAAACAAAAGGAAGGAAAGACTGAGAAAAAGGAGTACTCTGCTGCTCGTGGCTCCGCGATCCCTCAAGACAAGCTTGAGCCCATTTTGGCATCACTCGCTACAGAGCGCGGTGCCGACATCCGGCGAGGGCACAAAGTTCTCCGCGTCGACCAAGATGACAGCGGAGTCACAGCCATCGTTGAGCATAACGGCAAGGAAGAGGTAGTCCGGGGCTCATATCTCATCGCCGCGGACGGCAATCGCAGCACCATTCGCGAGCTCCTTCACATCCCTCGAAGCGGCCGCGGCTATATGCAAACCATCAGCAGCGTTCTATTCCGCGCACCCCTCGAGCAATGGACAAAGGGATACGCACAGTTCAGCATCGAACAGCCAGACCTGAAAGCTTTCCTCGCTTCATACAGCGACGGCCGCTGGGCGCTCATGTTCCACGACGCGATCGACCGCGACGAAACAACAAGCAAGGCCGGGATCTACCAAGCAGTCGGGCGCTCCGATTTCCCGATCGAGATCATCACCAAAGGGCAGTGGGAGCTCACAGCGCTTGTGGCTGACACTTTCCAATCCGGTCGAGTCTTCTTAGCCGGCGACGCTGCCCACACGCTCCCGCCAAACCGGGGCGGCTATGGCGCCAACACCGGTATCCACGATGTGCACAACCTCGCCTGGAAGCTTGCCGCAGTGCTTTCGGGGGCGTCGTCGCCGAAGCTCTTGGAAACCTATACCGCCGAAAGAAGACCTGTGGCGTTGCTTCGGCACGATCAGATCTTTGTTCGTGCGGATTACAAGGTGCATCTCGATCCCGCGATGCCGGCCGGTGAGCAGATTGATGACGATGCTATGGAATTCGGACAGATCTATCAGTCTGACGGAATTATCGGGGCTGATGAGGGTTTGCCACGCGCGATGAAACCGGATGAGTGGAAGGGACAGCCGGGCACACATCTACCACACTTTTGGATTGAGAAGGAGGGGCGGCGCATCCCCGTCCTGGATGCGATCGATTCGTGGACCTTGGTTTCCGAGGCTAGAGAGTGGAGTGATGCGGTCGATCTTGTCAACCAGACTTGGCCGGACAAGGTGAAGTCGCTGCAAATCGGACAGGATGTGCAAATGATTGGTGCCGGCCAAGCTTCGGAGTTATTGGGCGTGCTTCCGAATGGCGCCGTTCTGGTTCGGCCAGATGGTTACATTGCGTGGCGGATGCATGAGTTTCCAGTTGAAGGTGAAGCCGGCGAGATCCTCAAGGATGTTGTTTTCAAAACGTCCTTTGGATATAGTTGAATGCATTCATTCCCTTGTTGCGAACCTCGTGATGTATACTGGTAGTCCTTTTTCTATATATAAATTGATTTGAATTAACAACGGCTTTTGTTTCTCACCAGGAGTCGTTTATCTTTCCTATGTTTCGAATTGGTATCAAGTGTGACAAATGAACAGAGAATATGAAAGAGCGAATATTAGCATCGTATTTGTTGCCATACGGCACATCCATCCCAAGCTACTGGATTCTTCCCAAAGAACACCGAGTTTCCAAGTTTCCCCAAGATTCGCCAGCCAACATGCTATATTCCATCCAATTGCATCTTATATAGAAACAGCTAATTGGAGCTCTGTTGCAAGACTTCCAGTCCTTCCGGCCAGCCGGAGGCACTGGCCAAATCCAGGATTGTCTTGCCCGTCTCATCTTTTTGGGTGAAGTCGACATAACCGCCGCTCTTTTCGATCAGGAGCTTCAACAGATAAAGGTCCCGATTTTCAATTGCCTCCATTATGGCGTTCCATTCGCGATAGCTCTTATCTGGGATCGGCACCCTTTTCAAGAAGAAGCTCAATCATAGTATAATCATCTGGCTCACATCGCCGAATCGCCTTCACCAGCGGAAGATGTTCGCCGGGGGCATTGGGGTCGGCGCCAGCCTCGTTCAGCAGATATCGCACGATAGGTTTGTGGCGCTCGCGCAAAGCGGTCGTTAAAGGCGAGAATACGCCCCCGCTCTTCCATTCCACATTGACGCCCGCGGCAATCAACTGCTTGACGCTATCCAGCTGATCTGCTTGCACAGCCTTCTCCATAACCCCCTTATGGATCGACAAGTCAGAAATGTAAGGCAGAAGAAGCTGCAACAAGGCGGACGACCGAATCGCCATATAAATAGGCCAGTCTTCGCCGCGGAGATTAGGATCGGCGCCGTGCTCGAGCAGCCACTTCACCATTTCGGGGCGGTCCTCTCGAAGAGCAGTGGTGAGCGCCGTATGTCCCAGAGAGTTTCGGTCGTTTGGGTTCGCGCCTCCTTGTTCAATCACCCAGCGAAGGGCCTTCGCGTTGTTATTCGCCACGGCGCATTCAGCGATTCCGGGTGGGTCGCGGAGGTTAGCCCCGGCCACCAACAGCTCTGGCAGGTACTGCAGGCGGTTGTGGGTGATACACTTCCAAGCTGGGTACTCGGATGCCATGGCGTTCGGGTCGGCGCTATGGCTCAGGAGTAAAGAGACAATATCGGGGCGATCGTCGCGAATAGCGGAGCACAGGGGCGTGTATATTCCATCTTTCTTGAGATTCGGGTCGATTCCAGCTTGCAAAAGCACACGGACGCCGTCGATGTTGTTCACGCTTGTGGCCTGCTCCATGATCCCGGGCGCTTTTCGAATGTCGGCGCCGCGGGCCAGGAGGATGCGGAGGCATCCAGGACGGTGGACAGCGGACCAGAGAACATGCTCGGGGCCTGGTAGATTGGGGTTCGCGTGATGGTCGAGAAGGGTTGTCACAACTGACGGTTGGTCAGTCTGGACTGCCTCGCACAGAGCTGTTTTCCCATGGCGGTCTTTAAGGTCAGGGTCGCAGCCGGCGTCTAGTAGCAGATCGATAATCTGCTGCGGCGTCCGCTTACGGATTGCGTCGATCAAGAACGTCGCGTCATGTCGAGCATTCTCGGCCAAGTTCCCTGCGTGAGTCAACAGGGTTCTTGTGATCTCGACATTGCCGCTGGTGATGGCATGGCTGAGAGGGGATTCGATCTCTGCATTCGCCCGGTAATTTGCGTCTGCGCCGTGTTTGAGCAGCAGTGTTACTCCGTCGGCAAAAGACTGGTCTACGGCCAGATAAAGCGGTACGCGGCTCTGAGAGTCGGGGATATTTGGGTCTGCTTTGTGAAGCAGCAACAATCGTACGGCCTCGATATCACGTTGCTGGACAGCCTCGCTGAGTGGATGAAAGTGCTCCGATTTATCGGGCGACACGCCGATGGTCAGGAGTTGTTCTATCAATGGATAATTTCGACCCCGCACGGCGGCTGAAAGCATGCTCTGAGAATTACCGTCGCCACGGGAAAGAGATGGGCTGGGTCGACGGTGGGAGGAAGCCGTATCGGTCAATGGGGTTGCAGCTTGCTTTCCATGATACGCCGAATGGGATTCTGAGCCTCGATCAGATACGGAACTGACTTCATCAACTGGGATAACCGCATGTGTCTTGTTCGGCCCGTAGTGCATCAATCGGTTATCGAGAGAAGAGGCTTCCCCAATACGTCCAGCGGGCTTAAGGAAGGTGTTCAGGGGAGAGGATAGAGGACATGTCATCCGCGATGCTGTCCCCGTCCGTATGCGAGATAACCTGGGAATTTTCTCCACGGTTCGATGGTGTATACCTCTGGCTATATTGGTCCATAGATCCCTTCGGAGGTACCGAGGGCGGCGATCGTGGGGGTTCAGAAGAATGTTGATGGAGTGACGACAGCGACCGGGTTGGCCCGATAGAACTCGCTTTATTGATGCTGGTGACGGACCGGCCTTGTGAGATGCGGTCTAGCGCAGCAGCCAAACTTGAGTATCCGATGCCGACTGAGTCCTCTGGACGCGCCTCTCCAAGGGACCAGTGGAACGCCATGCCACTGATCTGGAGCGTCTCATTGATTCTCTTCAGCGAATCATGGATGCGTCGCAATTCGTGCCCCGGCCGATTGAAACCCTCGCTGCAACTTCCCCAGTGTCCCGCGATGCTCATACTGAACAAGCTTCAGCATCACCTTCTCTAAACGTTCAAACTCGCGATATGCCGCATCAAACTTCTTTCCCACTTCTTCGATTATGACTTCCGGCAGCGACCGATTGGCCCCGGCTAGTTCGGTAACGCCCGTTTCGATGGCCCATAGGGTCCGACACGTGTCGAGGAAGGTATGTGATAGATCACGAAAGCCTTCGGGCAAATCATGGGTTGTGCTGAGATAATTGAGCATCTGCACCGAGATCTGGTTGCCCAATTGCGTCGCCAGGGCCGAAACGGTGCGAATATTGTCTTCAGCCGCCGGCATGACTGCTGAACGGCGAATGGCCAGCTATTCAGGAAGACCCCAAGGAGAGAGCCCAAAGGGAAACGAGGATTAGCAGAACAAGCGGGGGCTCAAGCAAATGACTGACATGCCTACTGATAACGATGCACGCAAGTCCACCTGGGGGGGGCCCAGAGGACCCACTCTAAACTACCGGGCAAGGAACAGACTTCGAGAGAAAACCCCCATGTGGCCCGCCCCTCAATTGCACCCCCGATCCACCCGCGAACCAGTTTTGATGATCCGATGGTCTTGAGAGGTGAGATCGAAATCTATTCGTTCGGGGGGGAGGTGGAGCGAGCCTACCAAACCTAGGATCGCGGTTGTGACCGCGGAATTAGTCAGGAGGGGGATAGCCATGTGCTGGCTATCGTGAAACCCGCTAAGGAGTAAGGTTTTCCCCTCCATGCGTCTCCTGCGCCTCCTACAAACCCGAAACAATGGCCTAGTGACTGGAAATTCTGCTATTGACAATAGGGCTATCTGCTTACGAGCATGGTATAGCTAGGTGGGCAGATAAAAGGCGGCTCGGTACAACCGTGGAAGCAGGGTTGAACGGGTCGTAAGCGCCCCACTGGGCAGAGATTTTCAGCTGGTGATGGGCTTCGAAGGTGGAAAACTGAGACATGCGATGTTGGCCAGCAATCAGCACTTACAAAGCTCCGAGTTCTGAATCGGAGCCTGAAAATGGGGCTTTCGGCTGCATTTGACAATGGCGCAGTCGACGGGGGTCTGTGCCGTGTGCCAGTGTGTCAATGCCAGCGGAGATATCGGGCGCCTCGTTTTTCAGCCTGTAAACAAGGGCATCCTTGCTGATACAATTTCCAACGGGAATAGGGTTTAATTGCAGATGACGGCGGGTTTCCAAGGTCTCGGCGGGTGCCGCCCGCATATTGAAGACCGATCAGGACAGTGTCAATAAGGGGCGATGGAGAATGAGTAGATTCCAGCAGCCCATACGGAGTAGGCGCAGGAAAGTTAATTATATTAAGATCGAGACTAGCACGTAATTCCGAGGCATGTCTCCCCATGCCGACATGATGGCCTATTAGGTATGAGGACGTGGGCTGAGGTTCCCAGATCAGGCGATCCTTTCAAATCCTTCGAGGGCCTCCTGTCTGCCGAGGGCGATGCGATCCGGTCTAGATCTCGACCATTTGCCGATCTTAGCTCGCAGTTGCTTGAATGCTGCGCTAGTGTGTATGAGAATAATTCAATGAAAACAGTAAACCTGACCTTCTCCCAATCAAACACCCTTCCAACTTTCACCAACCCCAGACTCGACCACTGGAGACGCCGTCATTCGCGGTCAGGGCTTGTGATCCTCTATACGAGGGTTGAAAACGTTTCCCAACATAAAGTGGAGCACAAGCTCCTGCAGGGTCTTTTCATTGGTTCCGCCACGGCCTCAAATTTGCGAAGACAGGAATTGGCCACCAGGATGCTTCCGGAGCGCATTGAGCCTGGCAATTTCTTCAAGATAAGAACTTGTGGAGTCCCGGCGCTCGATGGCTGCAGTAAGGGGTCAATACTGTGACTTGTCGCCTCAGTCGTTTTGTGAACCAGGATGATGTGCTTGATCAACTTTCGCATACGATGCATTGACTTGCTGAAAGAGTTTTGAAAACAGCAGACCCGGTATTAACATTCAAGCGGAATGCAGCGTATGAGGAAGTGCAGGAAGTCCTACGGGCTCACTGCTCGGGTGGAGATGCCTCACGTTGAGCGGAAGTGGATCGACCCATGCAGACCGACTGCAGTGGCGCATTTTAGGTTTGTGGTCACCTCGAGCTCGCTGTCACCAGAGAAGATGTTGTTTTAGGAGTTTCTTCTTGATCATGCTCTGACGGAAAGGTCTTGATAGAAGAGCAGGATGAACAACGTTCTCAGTCACAATAGACTCCGCCCTGCCGGGGCATATACCACAAGGAAAAGTCGGGGGAAAGGTTCTATCGAGGATGCATCGTCGAACTCGCAGGCATTGCTCCATAAAACCTTCTCCTCCACAAGAGCCCCAGATCACCGAGCACCTTATCTCTGCGCTCTCTGGCTGGGTATTGTCCTCGTCAAGCGTCTCTCGCCCTATCCACCAGGGCAATTCATCGAACACGCGAACCTCTCTCTCACGAGAAGAGATTTTCTAAGGAACATGGGTACCAATTCAACTGCCAAGGTTGAGCATCTTGAACGAGTCCAACGAATCAGTCCATTGTAGACTCGGCAAGCCGTCGCAAAAAGGCCCCGTAAGATCAAACCCTATGTCATCAGTCATGCCAAACTGATAGTTATTTCTTGTGGAGGTACATCTCGAGATATCTGTTGGCGGTCAAGTCGGGGGGGTTCGGCTACGTAGAACGAAACCAAATGTTAGAAGGGGCCCTTACTTAACCCGGAGCAACCAGCCAGTGATGGATGGATATTCTATATCCTGCTCGCTAGTGTCCCCATGGTTCACATAAATGATACAGCAAAAGTGAAAACCAGGGGAGATACATTACAAGTATAGGAAGGCAGGGTATTACATGGTCAGTAGTTCATCCCATCTTCCATCTTCGATCAGAACCAGCGGATCCACGCTTTGAAAGTAGATCGTCCAACAGGGCCGCAGATATCTCGCTCTTCATACAGTTAGGTAGCACGAACGTCCCGCCGTGCTCTCGCCTGAGAGCCTCTGAAATCACACTCTTCATTTAGAGCTTCTGTTAAGTCCTGCCATTCCCTAGTTGACTTCCATGGTGCTTGGCGCAAGTCTGTAGGGATGCAGAACCGTTCACGAAAGATTAAGACCACCATAATCGGATTTGGGAGCATCAGCGATGTTATTCAGTTTGGTACAAAAGTGCCACCTTATATGAAGCCACGGCCTGTGAGGAACTCATGAGATGCTTTAGTCTTTTACTGTGCCCGTGAATTAGGTGGAGGCAGGAATTGCTGATTGAGGCCAGTATTGCGCCTATTCGGTATTACGCAACGAAATGGGACATTTAACGGCCAGTTCCCCCTTTCGCCTAGACATTTGAGCAGGCTTCAGCATAATCAGCCAGGTCAAGAAAACTGCGACTGCCATCAACACATGGTGTATACATAGCTGGGAAGGAAGGTCATTTCCGGATATTCGTAGCAATGATGTCTTGTCGGTTCTGGTTGTTTGTAGCTTTCCGGCAGAGTGGGGCTGAAGATAACCCACTGCAGCTTTGGTGCAAAGAGCCAATATCAGTAATGGCTATCCACTCTCGTACAAGCTCTGACTGTTCTCGAGCCTGCCAAAAGAAACCCCCCCCCTACAGAAGACATAGGAAATCGCCACTTTCGTCATGATACACTCCGCTCCATACTCCACAACGTTGTAACTTAGCTGAAGCTCACTACTCTGGAACAAAATTGACCTGCTCAGGAGCAATGAGGCTACTACCACTGTCGCTATTATATCATAAAGCTTTAATCTTTGAAGCCGCTTAATGGAATCACACTTGACCACTCCGCCATTGTTGCTATTACGTCGTGGGCGGTGCAAATGGCCGCGCAAATTGCAACTGATTCTGCAACGTCACTTGAAGTCCAAGACATGATCCTCTTTCCTGAGCTGACAGTGTGTGGCCGCGGTCTGTTAGCAGCCATTGGAACCGGTCACTGGGGATCGGCGCGATGCAATATAGTTTACACTCCAAGTAGTCTCCTTTAGTGGCACTCATCAACTTTTATGATTTTGTGAGCCAACTACAAGTGGGGTGGCTTATCTGCAGCGGGCAGGGACGAGTCCATCTGTCCTAATAGTCGAGGCCATGAGATAGTCGAGGCCATGAGATCAATGATTGTCCTCTGGATTTCTTACTCCATTTCGGTAAATTGCGCGAGGTCGGCGAGGGGCACATATTTATGCACGGTGGATGACCAGAGAAATCCAGTGATTTTTGGCGAGCAATGGTTCCAGGTACAGGGGTCAATAGGGACCTCATGGTGGGATAACTAATAGGGAAGTCTTCAGGAGTCTTCAGCCCCGCGAGTCTAGAACGCAATTAGCCCCATCGCCGTCGATCTGCACTCCACGCCAATTCTGCGCAGTACCCCCTGGCCAGTATGAGTTACTTTGCTCAAATAAAGTTCAAGGTGATGTAGCTTAAGTCGAGTACTTCACGGTCGACAGAATAGAGCACTCGGAGACCATCCGAGTATCTTCGCCAGGGACAGTGTCTATCAGTTCTCACGCCATGGGAGCCAATGAGAGATGATTGGCCTCCCTGGTTTCGGCAGCATCGCATTGTGCCTGTAAAAGCCTCTCACCTAGCATTGGGCTGCATGTTCTGGGCGTTACACTTGCCCTCGTCGGCTCACCACGACTGCGTCCTGCAGGATTCAGCTATTTTTAGTGGGCTATCAAGGACTCAAGGACATCTAGTTGTCGTTACAGCCAAAACATCCAACGGAAACGGGCTCGCCTTATGGATGCATGTTCGAGGTCCTAGCAGAGCACTACAGAGGTCGACTGTAACTCTCCTCATAACTTCCATGGACGGGACCGAAAGGACATGCTCGCCGGTATCGCTCCTCCAAAAAAACACCAATGCCATGTAATCAACGATTAGTGCCTGTTGAATCACACCATACCTTTTTTTTTCCCACTTCACAAAATTTCCTTGTAGTCTAGATCGCGGTAGACTAGCGCGGTTTCAATTATCCCCGAGGTCGGTGACCAGGATCATCCCCATGAGTTGAACAAGCCCAATTCCCCTGCTCCCAGATACCACCTTCGGCCTCGCATACGTAACAGTAGCAGTGAGGCCCTCGCGATCCAGAACAGAGAACAAAGCTCAGTGGTGTCGATTCACATAGCTCCTAGATTATAGTGGGGGGGTTTTTGTGGCTCTGCGGGTATCCGATCCGCAGCCTTACAGCGTAGCGTTTCTTAGCCTTCACCGCCACCTGCGCCCCTTCCGAAGGGCCCTTAGCCGGGAGACTAAAAATAAGATTGTCTGAAGAGCCCTCTCCCTGTAGGAATCAACATCCTAGCATGACTGGTCAATTATTGGGCCCCCTGAACGACCCTCGCGGAGTGCGCCCTTATTGGACCGGCTACTCCACTGACATAAAAAAAGGTTGTGCACAGCAGGGCTCAGTGAGACAATTCTGGGGGCCTCTGAGACTTGGCGAATCAAGCCTGACCATGGTTCCATCAACCCCCAAGACTTCGCATCGAACAAGATCCGGGCAAAGGGCTCTGAAGATATTTAACCATGCTAGTGCACCCCCGCTTACCTTCACAACCATCCTTCCAAAGCAAAATCCCCCGCAATTTGAATATAAACACTTTTTCTTTTCTGAACATTCTTTTAATTCTCTTTACTTCTATACATAATGAAGTTCTTCGCTACCCTCGCTACCCTCGCCCTCGCCGGCCTGGCCGCAGCCCAGAGCGCCAACTTCGGTCTCCCGGCAGAAAACGTCGAGCTGAAGGCCGGCTCCGAGACGATCGTCCAGATCCAGCGTCCTGTATGCTTGTCGATCTCCCGTTCCTTTTATTTTCTGTTGCACAGAAACTCATAATCTCGCAGAACACTCTGACTTCCTCGACCGAGATCGGTGTGGCCATTGGTCTCTCGACCCTGGACGAGCCCGCCGACGAGGTCTTCGGCACTGTCCTCCACACTGGCCCCTTCGAGCCCAAGTACCACGAGAGCCGCTCTCCCCCATACCAGAACTTCACAGTCACCATCCCCGAGGGGACCAAGAAGGGCAAGGCTCATCTCACGATTGCCCATGCTACTCTGATCGGCGTAAGTCTTCATCTTTGGCTCCTTTTTGCGTCTGGTCTCCTGCTCACAATGTACAGGCTGGACCCTACCCGGATCTACAGACCCTGAACCGCACGGTGACGATTGTGTAAGGATGACGCCGGAAACCTTGGATTGCACAGATTCCCCCGTTGTATATGATTGGTTTTACTTTTTTCTTACTGTACTTGACTTTTTTTTTGCGTGGAGCGTTGGAAATAATTTTTGGAAGCATACATAGTCCCGCATGGATCAAATGGAAAAGTTTGAATTTAATTTGAAAAAGATGCCGAAACTTGGCAAGTCCACAAAATAAACTCCGAGTGGCGGGAATGTGGCGCCACTCCCGGTTCCCTTCCAAAGATAGAACGTTGCTTCCATGGGACTAGGCGGAGCAGACGTCTTACCCCTGGTAGTCTGTATGCTTCAGGTTGATCACTTGCCGATTTATCGTCCGCAAGATAGGACCTCGATCTCGCGGATCATTATGGAATGCCATCTATCCCCATCTGACGGTCTCGGCATCACAGCCAAGTTCTATCGTAGGAGTGTTGATATGACACTCTCGTCGCTTCATGCTACGGGCAGCGCTATGGAAACAACCCCACTCAAGCTGGTGTGATTTTCTGAGGAGCCACTCCGTCATAGCAGAAGAACCTTCATGTCCACTCAAAGCACCTGTCTAACCATAACCAGTAAGAACGCCCGCAACAAGGTATCGTATACACATTCGAACCCCAAGCAAAAAAAGAAGAAAAAAAAAAGCCAATCATCGTTATCATTACAAGCGGCTCAGAAGCCCCGCGCATCTCAGCGGTGATCTATTTCCAGATACTCAGGCACAATGTCATCCAAACTAGGCGCATGGGCATGCCTGGCCGCCTCCCCGTACGCCGGCAACGCCGAACTCCGCATATGGATCTGCCCGGGCTCAACCACTCGTGCCTCAAAGCCTTCGTGCACTTGAACATCCGACTTAGATTCCCCGATACTTTGCAGAGCAGGGTGCTTCGTATCCTTGCGCACCGGCACCAGGTTCTGGAATTCCACGCCATCCTTGTCATCCGCCAGCGAGCCCGTGATGCTGCGGATCCGAGAGGCTCGGCAGGTATGTTGGGCAGGTCGGGACCAGACTGTCGCGGCGTGGTAGGCTGACTCTTTGGAGTATTCGGGATCGGAGGTCATGAGGCCCCATCGCTGCATCATGCTGGCATACAGAGGCGCGATGGGCGGGAGGCAGGCGCAGACTATGCCGACGCCGGCTTCGACGACGGTGAAGGTCACGGTTTCGAGGTTGTTCACCTGGGGAGTCGACGTTAGCGTTGGGTTTTCCTTTTTCCCCCCTAGAATCGTGGGGGAGAAAATGTTCTGCTTTGCTTACCGTGACATCGTCCGAGTTGGTAACTTCGAAAATGACGGCGATTCTGGCGATCCCGCAGCCTACGGTGAAACAACCGAGCAGGAAGACACCGGACACGGCCACCTTGCGTGCTTTCTCGATTTGGAGATTCCAGATAATCGGGAGAGGGAGGATCAATATGGCGATGTCGGAGGCAGTGTTCAGGAACTGCGGGGTGGCGAGGTGGGCGAGTAACGGAATGCAGCTTCCTTGGGGCGGAGTGAGGCCGTAGTATGAAACCGTTCGCGTCCAGTAGTATTGGACGGGCCAGCATTGGAAGATGAAGACGAACGTCCCCGAGATGCCGAGCCCGACTGCGTATGCCATGTTAACCCACAGAGCGATTTTGAACCATCGCTGTTGAACGAGGAAGAGGCGGCGGTAGAGGACTAGGATGGACATCTTGATAAACATCACTCCTGGGGCCCAGAGGACAGAGACGATCCAGTAGTTCGTGTATAGGTATACCAGTGCATGAGGAGGGTCGCGGTCTTCATACATCACTCGCACTTGATGGAGGCCGGCTCCAGCTCTGAGAGAGAGACATGATGAGACTGTCTCCGCAATAACGATCAACTAGACCCGTCAGTCAGAACCAGTCAGAAACGCCATGAGGTTTGGTCCCTCCTTACCAGTGCAATGATGATGAAGATATCGTCGAGGCCAAACTTGGTTCTATACAAGTGTCGCGCGTAAAGCCGCAAGCCAACAGCGACAGTCGGCGCAACCGTGCAGATGATAATGCCCACGTACTGAGCGACCCGCACGTCATTGCCCCACCTGGCAACCTGCGATTCGAAGTCCGCCGACCCGGGGGCCGGCTTGTATTTACTGCGATCCGACATGGAGCTCGGGACCACATAGACTCAATTCCTTCACAAAAGGGAGGGCCTTATGGCAAGGACTTATAGAAGCTTGCAAAACTCCTTGTCTGGCGGGGAAACTGGTTTAAAACCAACCCCCCTTTCTGCAGGTGAAGAAATGCAGGCACAGGAGTCTCCTATTTCGGATTAGTTAGTTGGGGGCGCAATTGAGCCCGAGTCTGAACATGCACGGATGAAGAATCCGGCGTGGGCGGGCGCTCGAGGATCGTCGTTCCCGCAGGTTTCATCGTTACTGGTTGGCTCGTTCGGAGTGAGCTAATGCGGGGGGGCGTACATGTGGGAATGATGAGCCAAAGTCCTCACTCTAAGGGCAGTAGTTTATGGCCCCAAGCGATGGTGACAAGGACGGTTACCATTCGCTCTTATTGGCCGTGATCGAGCCCTGCACGTAATGCAAGCACTGCCAACGTTACACCCTGAAGAATATACTAGCGCTAGATCGGCACCAGAACCAATTAGCATGCCGTTGGTTATCACCCTCTCGTTTCAAGTATTCACGCGGAGAATACCGCAGTCTTTAAGCGCAAGGTCTGTTCCCGCACGCTAAATGCCCCCGTATCAGCATTACTCCTGATAGTCAATGAGAGCGATCAGTCTCAAGATGCCGAACGTTGAACCGAACAAGTCGATCAGCGGTATTGCAAGTTTGAAGATTCACCACATCATGTGGAATCCGGTATTGGTTCCTTTCAGCCGGAGTTGAACTGATACCGCCGATGACTTGACCCTATATGGGGGGCCAGGTTGTTCGGTCGCTGATACAAGACATCGCCCAGTGGCTTTCTGTGGCCAAATGCTGTGTGGATACCGCTTCCGCCACCTACCCCGTCAATATATATATCCATGGTTACACATCCTGCACCACTAATTTTTATTGGATCGTACTAAATTTAAATATACTGAATACTCAGGTTTTTATACAGACTTCCCTCGCTTAATATTTCGTACAACAGCCTGGTTCGTATACAATTTATCCGTCCTTCTTCCCATACTCATCCATATCCACGTGTCAATCCTCGCCTAGTTTAATACATCCCCTGCAGCACTAATACAGTCTTTGAAGTAGGCCCAATCCTCTCCATATATTCGGATCTACAAAAGATCTAGAAACACACAAAAAGATTAATGCATTAGTGCATTCCAAGCCGGGTTGATAGGGTTAAGATCAGGCGAGTATACAGGTCAATCTCGAACGTATATCCCGTGCTCTTCAAACTAAACCTGTATCTTTGGCTATATGAACCTTTGCGTTATTTGTGCTAAAATATTCATTCCAGGTTGATAGTGATCAAGGCTATGGGGGTGGTATAGGAAAAATCCAAATGTGGGTGGTTGGGGTGATGGTAGGAGTGCACACAGGCTTTTGGACGGGTGGGTGTAGATCCATTCTTTCCCACCATCGCCGACGGGAGGATCTCGGGTAGACGCATAGCAAGCCAGCAGACTTAGGCCTCGGGTAGGTCCAGGATAATCCTCCATATGTTCCAAGCGGGAGCTGTTTAGAAAGACTACGGTCACACATTTCCTCCAAGTGTCCAATGTCGGGAACGAAGCGGGGGAAGAAGATGCGATCGGAAATGACGTATGAACGCTACCGGAGGGGCCCGGCAGTCAATTGACCCATTCGCCCGGCTCCTTTCTCGATCCTTTCTCGATCCACTTTGTTCATGCGAGACTTGGGGCACGAGCCAAGGTTCCTTGGATTCTCCTCAATCCACACCTCGGCAAATGTACTGCGGAGCTGGGAAAGCTGAGGAGCTTTACATTAGGGTTGTTCTACAAAGTCTGGGAGCATGCGGGACGGAACAGAATCTACGCAAATCCGCGCAATGTGGGGAATACAATATGGAGAGAAGCCATTTTTTTTTTTCGATTTGATTTTTCCCTCACGGAAAAATCCCTAGTACATTAAGAGGTCATGACTCGGCAGTAGTTCGTTTTAGCTGGATCTCTAGTCCTTTTGAACCTGGGGGCAGATCAGCCCCATTGTCGTTCCGGTCAAAGTACAATCGCCACACCTCGCGGCCCTCGACGATCCCAAGCTCCTGGTGGATCACATCCTGCGCGTCGTCTTCCGGCAGCCGCACAGCCAGCCACCCTTCCCAGCCTTCCAGCGTCACGAACTGTTCATCGCTCGTCCAATCGAAGGGCCCACAGATGTGACCTTCGGAATCGGGCCGCCCGCCCCACCGCATCTCGTGGGTTTCCGCATCCAAAAACACCCATCGGAGCGTCGGGGCTTCTTCACCACTGATGGTTACCAAGCCCGCCGTGTTGCCCGGTGGGAAGTCGGGGTGTGTATAAAAGCCGCCATTGAAGGGGACCATCGAGCTGCTTGGGTTTTTCGTAATGTAGAGCTGCACCGGTGATCGTAGACGTCAGTCCTGCGTCAATGAACCACTACTGCAACACACACCTTACCATCCAGACCCACTTGGATCTGGGCATTTTGGATCTGTCGACGCGTCTCTGGCGTGCCTTGACTGAGGGAGCATGTGGCCACTAAATGGGTACGCTGCTTGCGGGCGGTTTTGCGCCGGTTCTCCTCCTGGTCTCGGCTCCCTTGGGTAGCTTCATTCAGGCCAATCATGGTCGGCAGCATCGCCGCCATCATGGCCACGCCGAGAACCATCTTGATGTAGCCGGAGAACGGCAGTTGATCTTTCAGTCAGGAGTTGATCCTGAGAGTCAATAAGCGTGGGCGAAAAGATTGGACGGGGGGTGCCCACCGTATAACAGGTACCAAGAGCAGCTTTTTCAGCTCCGCGGTGGAGCTGTGCAGATACCGCGACAGTGGGGTGCGATCTGGGTGGAGATGAAACCCACTTCTGCAAAACCGAGACAAACCTGATGAATCGAGACCGTGGTACTCGCTGATAGGTCCCATCTACGCAGATCGCGGAGGGGATCTCCTACGTAGGCGAGCTGAAAAGAACAAGGGAGAGGTTGAAATACCGATCTCTCTCACCTCTTTTTTACTTTCCTTCCAAGATCTGTCCTCCCAGCCTACGATTCTCTTCTCATCCCCCACAACCCGTCCCTTTCTTAACGACATAAGTACTCTCTACGCTGCCATCCTTCTTCCACAATGGCCGATTCCGTCAGGTAGTCCTCATCCAACCGCATTCTTCCCCTCCCCAAAAGTCCTTGCCTACCTTGATTAAATCATATACTCCTGGAAACCTCCCCCAATCTCCATCCTCTCTAGTCATGTCCTCCCCCCAGACCGAAAAGGGTCAACCAAAAGCCGAAGACAACCCGCGCCGAGACGATACAAAGGCTCTCCAGGATCCCCCCCGCTGACATCTACCCCTCGCCTCCTAGTACCCCTACCGATCAGCGCCCCGTCGGTGGCCGCAAGCCCAAGGGCGACGAAGGCAACGGCCTTGTCCCCAAGTCTGGCGATCTGACCAAGGGCGCCCTCCCCAACAGCGGGATGGAAGCACCCGGCGCCTCCTTGCCGGAAGACGAGAAGAGCAGTCTCAAGATTAAGATCCACCTGAACCTCCACGCCAAGGTGCGCCTCGACCTGGATGCGCAGATCTATGGTGATGTGGTCATTGGTCTCCTGTAGAAGAACAGATGGGGACATGAATTGGTATCGTTGCAACCGATCGCATATTTTGATAATTTAACGCTGATTCGGTCTAGGTGATCCTCCGAGAGCTTCGCGTCAATACTGAGTATAATGTTGCTTGTACGGTTTATGGATAATATACGATATTGTGATGAATAGCCATGCTAGTGAAGAGTCCATATCCTGGTACCTGTAAGCTACTACTGTATCCGAGTTCACAGTTCAGGCGTAGATCCAGACGGATGTGATTTTGGTGCCGTATCTGCGTGAGGAAATGAAGGGAGAAGTAGAGACAGGGAATCATAGATGCAGGGTCTGCAGCTTCTCTGCAGGCTGCAGAGATATTGTAGGGCTGAATATTAGAGTTGATTGTTTCTGCAATTAGTATGCAAGGCTGCTGTGAAATAGTCCACGCGGGGTGTACAAAGGATGTTGGATTCGGAGAGTGTGCACAGGGTGTAGGACCACTACGAACTGGAATAAGCTATGCTACTAGCAGAGAGGCTTGGGATCGGCAATGGGATGAAATCGAATTGTGCTGTAAGATCAAACGCTTGTATTCTCGACTTTTGGCAACGATGTCAACTTGAAGTAGTCTATGTACGAGGACGACCGAAGGACTGACTCCTTCGTGCAACGCGGTGACAAAAACGGGAATCAAAAAGAGCCACTTCCAACGGAGAGGGTATCAGAGTTCTGCACGAGATAATGAATGAAAAGAAACACCGGCGCCAGTGGGTATGGTATCTCGAGCAGTGAAAAGCAACGCTATGAGAGAGAGACATGAAGAGGGCATAATGGAGGGTCATTGGCAAAAACGTAGAAACCGGAAATTCAGGGTGCAAACAACGTACGAGAAAAAGAAGAAACACCGCCCACATATACACATTTACAAACGTGGGACCCTAGAGAAAACAGAAACAAAAACAAAACAAAAGGAGAACGTGATTCGTGGCTCATCTCAGGTGGCCCTTGCGGATAGAGCCAAATCCTCTGCTGAGCATCTCGTGGATTTCGACAGAGCGGCGTGGAGCGCAGGATTCGGGAGGAATAGGGTCAGCTCCAGGCACAGCAGTCACGGAAGTGGTGCCAGCGGCAAAAGGTGTGCCGTTTGAGCCGACTTGGCTTACACTGGCACTGTGGCTGGAATACCCCTCAAGCTCGATCTCGTTGCTAATCGGTTTCAAGTCGGGCATGACGCGAGGACGAGCAAGGAGCTCTCGTACGTGGCGCTCGCGGGCATCCATCTCGGCTGTTTCGCGCGCTAGCTCGAAAGAAGACTTCTTGGTGCCGTGGTCCCAACCTTGCTGCAGCTCGGTAGCAGCGGCTTCTTCGAAGCGCTTGCGAATGTCAAGGTCCTTTTCATATTCTTGGAAAATATCCACGTCGGTTGGGAAGAAGAGGGCGCGGAGTGTGCTGACAATCAGCTCAAGGAGAATAACCGATGTAGAGGCGACGAGAAGAACAGCCCAGAAGAGAAGGTTGTCGCCGACGTGATGAATGAAATTCCCGTTGACATCGTAGACGCCTTTCCCGGATTTGAAGTTGTAGCGCTGCGAGAGGATGATGTTCCACAGGAACCAGCCACCAATGGAAATAATCATAACGATGGCACACAAGTATGTCTTATTGTGGACCTCAAGGAACTGGAGCTTGATGTTGATGACGATGACACAGGTGCTGAACGTGAGGAGACCAAGAGCAAAAGTGTCGACGTCACCAAGGTTCACCTGAATCATACCGAACAGGCCGTACATGGTGAAGAAAATAATCGCAGCTTCACAAGTGGCCATGAACGACCACCCGACCCAGAGCAAGATATTGAACCCGCCGTTCCGTTGGCCCTTGGTATAGAGCTCCGGTACAGCAAGCAAGGTTGAAGCCGCGAGATCTTTGGTGAAAATACCCAAGAAGATAACCGGCAAGGACGTGAAAAGAGTATTGAACATACTCAAACTCCACGACTCGTAGAGACTGGTACCAGTATACCCATTCCAGTGCTGATATAGAGCCTGGGTAAGGTAGAAAAGCATTTCCTTCCAAAAAGTGCCGAGGGTGTACTTGCAAGCCCGCATGTAATTCCAGCGACCATGGACCAGGAGCAGCTTGAGCAGAAATCGGAATTGCGCGATCGAATAATCCGAAATGCGTGCAGCTTGAAGACCTTCTTTGCCAGCAATACCAATACCCACATGTGCCTCTTGAATCATCGCAATGTCGTTTGCCCCGTCTCCAATGGCGAGCGTGATGGCATCGTCAATATGAGTGCGGATTGACTTGACCAAGAAGGCTTTCTGTTTCGGGCTCGCACGGCAACAGATCACCGAGTCGACTCGGATAGCAAGTTGGAAGAAGCGCTTACGAAGGATTTCATCTGCCTCGATGGTCGACAATGTCTGTCCATCGACGACGACCACAGAGTGAGCGACGCGACCGGCGATGACCTCACCAGTAAGACTGACGATCTCTTCCTCGACGTTGCCCTTGGTTTGGTCGAGAATGGTCAATGTCGAGTATTCTCTGACTAAGCGACAAGAGTGTCCAACATTGATAGCAGTTTCACGCTTGTCACCAGTGAGCATCCAAAGCTTGATATTCGCGCGACGTAGCTTATCGATAGCCTCCGGAACACCCTTCTGCAGCTTATCTTCAATGGCAGTGGCACCAGTAAGCTCAAGCTGCTGCTCGATCTGCTCGCCAACCTTCTCAATCTTGTCCTGACGGTCGACGATACTGGTGACAGCCTCGTGGTATGCAGCCTTCCAAGTCTTGTACGAAGCCTCATCCAAGAACCGATGGCCATATAGAAGGGTGCGAAGACCATCGGTCGCAAAGTCATTCAAATGCTGGAAGCATCGCTCAAAGATAGCAGACTCATTGACAACAAGGGCCTCCTCGACCAGATCCTCGTCCTCATCCTCGCCGTTGGTGGAGCTGCCAGACTCGGAAATAACAGCAGAAGCCCGGCTCATCTGGGCAGAAGGCCGGGGACTGTAGTACTCATTGCCCGCCTCGCGATTTAGAATACCGCCATCGGTCTCACGGTCGCGGAGCCAGACATCAATACTTTCGCGGAGAGCGGTAGGATTCTGAATCGATGCCGAGTCCCGGTGACGGGTAAAGCTGGCCTTGCTCAGACTTCTGCGGACACCGCTGTCCTTGCGGCTTTGCTGGTACTCGCTGTTGCGGCGGATGATGTGGTTTGCTTCAGCAGTCTTGCGCTTGCTTGCCCGGCGCTCAATCTCAGCAGCCTTTTCGTGGGCCATGTCGGCGTGCTTGAGCAGCCGGGTCAGGGTGGTGTCGGCACCCTTGCAAAAGAGGCAGATGCGTTGGTCGGGCATGCGGACGACGACAGACATACGCTTTCGAGCGCTGGAGAACTCGATCACGTCCATTATTTCGTACGTTTCGTCGACGGCTGGTTCATCAGAGCCATTGGGGTATGTCCGGAGAGTTAAGGTGTTCGACTGTCGGTCGGTCACCAAGTACCCAAGTTCCTTCGCTGCCAGGACAAGAGCAAGCTCGTCGGGGAGGCAGCCTGGAATGTGATGCCGCCGGTTTCATCCTCTTCGGGAATACAGGTGTGGCAGAGGGAAATAGCCAGAAGGAACAGCTTTGCCTTTCGTGCAAATAGAGTGTATGGCTTCCGTTGAATGTACTGAATCATTTCGGTAGTCCGGTATGGTGAAGTACGGCCGGATTGGCGGAGCGCATCAACACCAGATAAATTGGATGGACGAGGTGTATGGTGAGCTTCGGAGACATTTGATTTTCGAATCATGGCTTTCTTTCCCTTGGCCCGTCGTTTTTTGTGGATGAGCTTCTCACCTTCGCGGGCAGCTTCCTCTTGGAGGTCCGAATCGTGCAACCAGGCAGTGCCAGCAACGCTGATCTTTCTAAAACGCATAGAGTTGTTCGTCAACGTTCCAGTCTTGTCTGAGAAGATATAGCTGACTTGGCCCAGCTCTTCGTTAATCGTCGAAGTGCGTGCCTCGAGAGGGGTGTCGGTTTCCGGGTCGTACATATCAATGTCGTTGAGTAGATACATCTGCACCACCTTGACGATTTCCATACTGACATAGAGTGAGATAGGAATCATGGTATTGAACATGATCAGGAAGGAGGTGAAGATAGGCCCATAGTCAACGTTCGCATCGGTCAGGTACCAAGAATGGCTCTCCACGCTTTGAGACCAGTACTTGTAGCATATGGTGCACACGACAGCCATGATGACGACCAAAAGGACGATCAGCATCACCACGCGGTTGACCTTGGATTGCAGTGCAGGCTTCTTGATTCGAGGGTTCTTGTTCGCGTTCATGCGAATCTTGCACTCTTCGCCGGTGTATATCACCATACCAAGCGCGCAATCGGTGTTTCGCAGGATACTTCCACGATAGACAATCTCGTTGTTGGTCAGAGGAACTTTTTCCTGGCCATTGACGGTAGCGTGGCCGTCGAATTTGTAGAGATCAAGGTTCGGGTCTTCGACCACAAAGGAAATCGAGTTACTCGTCAGATCTTTGACAGTCGAGCAGACTTTGGCCACGGGCTGACAGGGCTGCTTATTCTTGAGATTGGTCTCTCCGTCCAACGCCATCGTCTCGATGTAAGCCACGCCGTTCGGACCATCAGAATGGAGCAAGACAAAATCGGCCGGCACAGGCTCATCACGCCCGAGTTTGATCACATCTCCGACCCGAATGTCCTCCCATTTGATCTCCACCCATTCGTACGAGCCTTCCTCCACTGGATTATACGAAGCATCGGGTGTATAGCGAAGAACCCATGCAACCCGATTGTTCTCTTCCTTATCCAAGCGATAGCGGCGCCAATCATCAAATCCTTCCTTACCCATCGAGATACCAACGAAAATCAACAAGGGAACAATGGTTGTATATGTTCCCGTGGTACTCAGACCCGGAATCATCTGCAGAACGGCTACGATCAAGAAATAGAAATTGGCCAGCTTGGTGAATTGCGCAAACAGTTGTCGAGGAAGAAACTCCAGAAACTGTATCTACTGGATCGGATCCAGTTCGCGCAGTATGGCTTTCCGGTGCGCTCATCGAGGAAGGTTTCGACCGAGGACGGATTGAGGTCGATCTGGCGGCCATTGGCGGTCGGTGGGATATCTTTGATGCGGAGAATAAAGTTCTGCACCCTGACCAGGGCGGCTTCTATACGCGCAGTCAAAATAGTCATCTGCGTTTTCCTTCCATTCCAGCTGCCCTTCAGCAGGGACATGGAGTATTCCTTATTGAGGGGATTGTCTTCCGAGGAAATGTATGACGTGCGGTCATTCGTGTCCGAATCTAGAGTCGTGGTCGGCGCTACTTCCAGTTCGTTCTTCTCATCTTGCGGGCTTGGAATACTGGAAATGACTGCAGTCGGGGACTTCGCAGCACTGACGGGCCCACTTGCTTCGCCCAATTCCGCCGCACCAATATCATCCTGCTCAGAATGGGTTTGGATGTTCTTATTGAAGATGGATCGACGCAATGAATAGCCACGGTTTCGCGACCGCGAGCGACCGTTGCCATTAGAATCTGGACTTGGCGGGGACACGGGCGAGAGTGGAGAGAGGCTAGCATTGGGAACGGCGGGAGGCGAGAGGGGAGAGGTGGGAGATCGAGCGGGAGGTCGCGTGGCAGGAGGCGCCAGGGCCGTGGTGTCGATGCTTAAACCGCGTGAGCTGGGGCGGCGGTCCCAATTGGAATGCCGTTGCTCTTCGGCTGAGGGTCGTTCGAGGTCTGTAGAGAAGCGGACATGGTGTTGTTGAGAAGAGCGCCGACCAGCATCGGACATGGTGTGCGACGAAGCGAACGACGGTCGCCCAACAATGTCACTCTCATTCTGCTGGTCCGGGACCTTTCGGGACGTCCGTGATTTGACATGGCGGGAATGGCAGATCTTCACCCAGATCGATTCCGAGATCGTCTAGCTGGTCTGGAAGATTCTGGTGCCTTGGAGATACGCAGGCTCTTAGACTGAACCTAGGTGAGTGAGCCAGAAGGGCTCAGGTCGGTCATGTCTTTTGCAGTTTCGTCGCAGCTTCTCGCTTCTTTTTCTCTTTTTTCTTTTTTTTTTTCCCTTTCTCTTATCTTGCTTGGCCCCGATGTGGGTTTCAGCGCAGGTAAATGAAGGTAGCGAGACGGTTTTCCCGAAAAACGAAAGTCAATCCCAACAGGCAGGCAGAAACAAGAGGAGATAAGAACAGTTCGTAGGGGGGGGAGAAATTGCAGAAACAAAACAAGCAGCCTAGAACAGAAAGACGAGTCTCGAGGAGCAACGGTTGCGGCAAGAAGCCTAAAGCGGGTCTAGCGATGCGGCCAAATTGCCGACGGCAAAATATTTTGCATGAGGGTTAGAGAAGGTTCAACAAACTCATAAACTAGAAGAATAAACTGGGGCAACCGGGCGACCTGTCAGAAACTCCAGACCTTACAGGTGGACCCCAACGCGCAATGGATGGTTGCATCTCCACCTGCGACAAATGCGGGTTGCGAGGCCGCGACCAACGGACTCAGCCACCGAGACTACGCATTAAGTCGCAATGTATTCCGTACACAGCTACTTGACTAAAGTGGGCTGAAAAAAAAAATGGCCGAACTCAGTCATGCTTGGACGCAGGCACACACATTAAGTGCAGTCTAATTGGCCTGACTTGCATCGTTGTGTCCACCGATATGACCACCCAGCGACCAGTGATTGGCTGGTCGCAAAACCACACCTTATTTGCTCCCACTGGTTCCTCCCGTGGCGAACAACTCTGATTGTTTCTAAAAAAACGCGGTGGCGGCCAAAAAGCTGCACCTGTCCCACCACAACGCTGCTACCCTAGCCTCAGGTGTACTCTGTACGAGGGGCCGAAGACTTCGGAGGCCTGTGAGACTTGGAAACCCGGGCAAAAACACCCTGCCCTCGTCATCCCAGGCCGATCGGCCCACCCCCAAGTTACTTTGTCTACCCTTGGGCCTGGTCCTGTGACCTTCTACTGACCACATGGCCGTCCGTGCGTTCGTTTCACATAGATATAAGGTTCCCAGGGAAAAAATGGCATATTATCATTCGTTAACCGCTATGGCAGGGGTACTGAGTTCCATTTAACAGTCTTGCTGGAACCATTCTGAGGGTCCTAGGGTCCAGAGAATTGTGGGGGGAAACGACTAAAAGAAGAAATCAAAGAGTTCCAGAACGCGATGACATAATATGATATGACGTCACAGTGTCGTATGTTTGTGCGCTTTAGTAGTGACGAGAGGGCGGGTAACCAGGTCCAGGGGGCGGGTATCCATATGGCTGCTGGCCATAGGGCGAGTCCCTTTGAGCACCGCCGTAAGGTGCATGTTGACCCGGGGGTGGACCTGGAGGAGGTGCGTACCCTTGTTGCGGGGGCTGCGGGCTATAACCGCCTTGTCCAGGGCCAGGGCCGTAGCTGGGCTGCGCACCATATCCTTGCTGGTAACCACCGGGAGGACCGCCTGCGGGAGCAGGACGTCCATATCCTTGCGGTGGACCGCTGGAGGGTGGGCCACCGTATCCCTGAGGACCACCAGGAGGAGGACCGCTGGGGGGACCACCAGGCGGGTGGCTGTAGCCTCCATAGCCCTGAGGTGGAGGCGCACCACCGCCATTGGCACGTCCTTGAGCCTTCTCATCCTTTGTATCATAGGAGGAGTCGATAGCACCGAGCATGAGCTTGGCACACTATGAGAATGTTAGTAGCGTTCCAGTGATTGCAATCAAGGAAAACGAACCCAGAGCTCTCGCGTAAGATGCACAGGGGGCACGGCCCGAGACATCTCATCTTGCTCAACCTCAAAGTCTGGTACTGTTAGCCCCGGAAGAGATCTAATCGGTGATGGCTGGACTCACTTGAAGTGCAATCAATCAGAGATCCAATCTGAGGATCCTCATCGAGATCAGAGAGGAACTTGCGAGCGCGAGTGTCGTTGCCAACTTGAGAGAACTGGAAGGAGACTGCTCCACGGCCATAGCGGGTACGGGAAACCTCATCAACGGCATAGCGAATGGTGTCGGCAACCATGCTGTGTGGCTCGCCAGCCGGCTGGCCATCGGTAATGGTGATAACCAGCACGGGCTTCTCAAGGCGGCCAGCGCGCGCAGGGCCCACAACCAGAGGCTCAACAACCTTGTTGCGCAGGCTGGTGCCCAAAGGAGTCAAACCAGCGAAACGGACCCGAGAAACCAGGTTCTGTACATCTGCGACGGTGCGAATCCCATCACCGTTCTCGGCGTTGTTCATGAATCGCACTGAAATTCCATCCTGGTCAAAGGTTGAAGCGGCGGTTGCTACGATGCCCAAGATCTGTTTCAGCTGGTCCTTGCGTAAACCATTCTCTTCGAACTCGATCGATCCACTGTCATCCACGTAAAGAACCACGTCGAATAGTGCGAGCTTCATGACATCTGTGGCAACCTCCATAGGAACATTCCATTCGTGGATGAGCTTGTTGAGCCGGGATGGCGCATCATGAGCCAGGCTCTGGACGAGACGGTCCAAACGATCAGGTGGGTAGAAACTCTGAAGGTTCTTCTCTTGGATAGTCCCAATCAGAAGCTGGCGGTAAGCTTGCGTCTGCTGAGGAGTGGCAGGTGCGGCCTGGGGGGGAGGACCACCGCCGGGAGGGCCATATTGACCTCCTGGCGGGCCTGCAGAGGGACCCGGACCGGGAGGCCCTCCAGGGTAAGGGGACCCTTGTGGGGGATAACCTTGGTTCTATAATCACGTTAGTTTCGTTCTTCTTTGAATTGCATCTCAAGGAAATTGCTCGAAAACAATAACACAAGGTTGTACAAAAGGGGAACATGACGGGGCTCAGCTGTACATAGGAAGGCGGTCCAGATGGCTGTCCATGAGGCTGGGTGGGATACGCCGGCTGCTGGTAAGGTTGTTGAGCAGGATACGGCGATCCCGATGATCCATGGGGCTGACCCTGCGGTGGTGGCGGCGGAGGACGTGCATAACCGCCTGGCGATGCGGGGTAGGAAGGCTGCTGCGGAGGGGCCCTATTGTAGGCAGAGGCGCCAGGTGGGGGAGTTTGATAAGGCTGGTATTGTTGAGCTGGTGAGCCGGCGTACGGAGGAGCTTGTCGATAGTCGTAGGGGCCCGACATGGTTTGTTGGTTTGGCAGACCGAATTCGTTGGAGGGGTACGGAAGGCAACAACAAAACACAGCGGGGAAGGGAATTTTTCAAGGGTAAAGGAACAACAAAAAGATGTAAAATCACGGCAGAAAGCTTACCGATCCCTGGTTTGGAGGAGGGGATCCCGGGTAAGCCTGGTATTGCGGCTGCGGTGACGCTGATGGTTGCTGTTGCTATTCAAAAGTTCTTTGTCAGTTCTCTTTTCCTTTTCTCTCTTTTCTCCTCCAATCCAAATGACGTCGCGCACCCACGCGCGCAGCTGATGATCACTTACGTATCCACCAGGCCGCAAAGCTGCAGGCGGGCCTCCTGTATACCCCGATGGAGGTGCACCTCCGTAGGTGCCTTGGTTACTAGCCATGCTCTGGTTCGGTGGCTGGCTCGAACTCTGGGCTGCGGCAATCTTCGAGGCGAACTGTTGCGGTTAGGAATGTGGTGAAGGGAAGAGTGAAATGCGGACTTACACCCATGATAAGCGACGAACTGAGAGAGGTGAGAAAGAGAAGTAGTCAGCTGAAGGTTGATGACGACAAGGCCAATTCGCGCCACACCCAATGAGGGAAAAGCTGAAGGTGTCCGGTTTGTCTTCCCAGTCAGATCGCGTGGTTTGGTGGGGTACACAGCTTTACAAGGCCACTTTCTCGTATCATGGACGGTATGTCGATCTACTGTCTATTCAATAGGTCATATATTGCTTCTGCGAGTCCAGTTACTCTGTTCTTTCTTCTGACAGCGGGAAAATTCCCATGCAAGACATCCGGTGGGCTCCAGCTTCGCAGGACCGGGAACAGAGCCCCACCAAGCGCCTCTCGGAGCACTACATTCGCGGCTCTTTTTGTAACTCATTTCATGGCGCCACGGGATTTGACGAGATAATTCCGGAAACATATGATCCCAAGGTACTATCAGTACATGACAGTATAGGTTCCCCTCCACCCCAATGCTTGCTATATTTCCTTTGCTTTCCTTTCTATATGGACACAATTCGAATGCAGCCACAAGAAGGAAAGAAAAAGAAAAAGAAAAAAAACATACAAAACTTCAGTCCCTTCCTTGAACGTTTCATCTTTTACTATTTATAACTTATACCGTCCCTTTCCCTCGATTCTCCACGGTTTATTCCGCTACCAATGATGCACATCCCGTGGTTGAGCCTGGACGGATCCAAGGGGATTTTGCCCGTTTAAGAACAGAATGCCCCGCCAGTTCGCTAACTGGTTTCTTTACATGTGGACTCCAACCAAACATTCCCTGGCAAAGTTCAGAAGCACGCCCCTTTCTTCGTCGAAAAGGAACTCTGTCATCAAGTCTCTTCTTATAGTTCAAGCATTTACAAAGAAAGCGACCCAAAGGGCTTGTGACTTTGAGAAAAGTTCATTCAAGAGAGAAATGCTCGCCTCAAAATCATGTCAAAGATGGCCCACTGAAAGACTTCTCCGCACTCTTGTATGTATATTCGGCCCGTCTCCTCTTCTGACTGGTTCCGGCTAGAGGTGATTCCCCATTATCATTCCCCATTATCATTCCCCATTATCAGTACCCTTATACGATCTCCAAAGAGGGTGGCCGGAGGCTATCATTTCGGTGATATGGAATGGGGTATAGTTGCCAACTCAAAATTGGTCAGAGAAGATATACTAATCGCCCACCAAATCAATCGCAGAATTTATCGATTTCTAAAGCTAAGAGCCCGTAGAATTAACAAGATGGAACATAACGGATCCTCGAATAAGGTCATTATATTTTCAAAGTTTAGATATTAAAGACCACCTTACTCAATATGATCGATAGGAAGCAATGTTCGAATAAATGAGCGATGTGCTGCGTTGATCGCGGAAATCCTCTTTTCAACTTGGCGTGCATGACCAGCAGAACTCGCACTTGGAAGTAGCAGAAGAAGCAAAAAAATTCAACGAGCTCGAGCACTAGTAAGACTGGCCACGTGGCATGGACTGCCGAAGTGACGTCGGTCGATGTGTCCCTCCTCTCGTGGATACAAAATCCAATCTAGGTATGGGCTATATCGGCAATGAGTGCTAATTATTATGTTTTTTTTCGCAAGGCATCACCAATCTTCGATGCAACTTAGCCTGAGTGCGTGTGTGGAGTCGGAGCTGGAGAGACCCACAACCTAATAGTCGTGGGTCTACGCGATAGGACGACACTTTAAACGCTCGAAGGTAAGTAAATGCGGGGAGATCAACGCGCCAGGTACTCCTAGATCAAGCATTTCTATAGACCTCATAGGCTTTAAGTCCACACTGAGTCGACACATACCAAAGTACAACTAATTACGTATGATTCACCGGCCATTTGCCTTGCATACTTTCTGTCGATACTTTCCGCTCCCGATTTCATTCTGGCATCGGACATGTAGGACGAATTGCAAGTACAGTAGAACAATGTGTCAAGCTTCAGGCCTCTGATTCCCCAAAATCTGCCATGATCGGCAATTAGTCCAGCCTTGTTGGTTGGTCCAAGCCGAGACAAGCCACAGTAGAAGCATTGCGGGCACTGATGTCACAAAGAACTGTCGACTTATTAAATCAGAGTGACTCCCTTGAATGTGCAATGACGAGAGCAAGGGCCCCCTTATCGAAACCTGGAGCTTAAAACAGCTTGACTCATTTCCCCATTTTCCATACACAACCCACTTCTGCGTGTCATGCGCTTCTAGATCCACGCGTCGCGTCAACCTTGAGTAAGGGACCTCTACCTCTCCCTTTATTTACTCTTTCCCGCGCTCCCTCTTCACGCCCTCTTTCTTCGTCAGAATATATCGATGTCACCATGTCGACCCCGGTCTTACGAGTGGGGATTCTCGGCGCCACCGAGGTGCTTGAGCATACCTTCTTCCCGACCTTAAATTCTCTTCCTCTCTTCGAAACCACTATTATCCATGCATACAACGACCATGCAGTCGCGGTGCGATCTCAACAGCAATTCTCCATTCCATACACTACCACCTCTACCGACGAAGTCCTCCACCACCCGGAGGTCGATCTCGTGCTGAACTTCTTCCCCTTCGAGTCCCACGAGAAGTACACCATCGCAGCTCTGGAAGCAGGCAAGCATGTCATGGTCGAGGCACCTCTGAGCCTGGGCATCCACGGTCTCCGCCGTATCCGCACCGCATCAAAGAAAGCCAGCTCACCGCACTCCAAAAGCACCCCAAAGATCTTCGTCGGCTGCGTGCGCCGCTATGCCCCGTCCTACACCGATGTCTTCAAGAAAGAGCTCGCGAGTCTGGGCCGCATCTACTACGCTCGCTGCCGCAATATCTCGGGCTCGCTCGCCCATCCAGCCGCGCGGGAGGAAGTGGCAATCAACGCAATTGCACGCGGCCATGGCGGGGACGAGAACGAGAAGGTATCTGGCAACGGCACCAAGAAAGCAGCGGCCGGTCTGCACCTCGACGGACTTGGCAAGGACATGCAGATGCATGCTCTTATGGCAGATATCTTTAGCTCAACCGACGACATTACGCCGGACCGTGAGGCGTTCTGCCGATTCCTCGGCACGCTGGGCTGCCACGATCTCTCGTTGATGCGCGAGGCACTGGGGTTCCCTGATGCGGTGGCTAATGTGTCTATCACCGACCCCTTTTACTCTGCGATCTTCCACTACACGAATCCGTCGAAGGATGCGCTTGTTGTACATGGCGACGGGCACCCTTTTACCGTCATGTATGAGACGGGCGTTGATGCTGTGCCACGCAGTGATGCCCATCTTACCGTCTACGGAGCCAACAAGACAGTTTCCCTCCAGTACGAGATGCCCGTCGCGACGCACACGCTGTGCAAGGCGGGTTGTGTGCGTGTTGTCGTCGAGGAAGCGGGCGATATAGTACAGAATGGTGACGGCCCCGCTGAGGGTACTGCTACTGGTGTGAAGCGAATGGAGTATACGAGCTTGTTTGCGGATGCGTACGAGAAGGAACTCCTTGCGCTGCATGCTTATCTTGTTGATGGAGTGGAGGCGAAGACATCGGATGGGGATGCAATGATGGATTTGCAAATGCTACGGATGATCTTTGATCATTACGACCGCCAGTGTGGTACTATTCGTACTCCATTGGGTTAAGCTGCTGTTTTCCTGCTGGGGGTTTCGGGGAGACCTTTGCTATAATAGTTAATATTTCCTATCTTTTATTTTACAATCTAGGCGGAAGATCAAAAGCTCCTCCGATTGATCCTATTTCACTTTCAAAGACTAGAGATCCTGGCGCGAAAAGCGATACAGGGAGCTCCGAGGTTTCAAGAGATTATCAGAATTGTACAGCATATGCTCCTAAGAACGTACTGAGCCTCTTTTGTCGGCTGAGGGCTCCCGCTATTGCTTGACTATGTATTGACAGCCGGTTCGAAGCTGGCTTCGGACGTTGCCTACTTATTTATGGAGGTATTCGGGTCGATGATGAAGGTCATCTCCGCTTTGCCTTCGTATGGGTATAGCAACAAATATCGAGTTTTATTCTATCTATGCACTGTGTCATCATAAGACTTTCCCGAACGCAATAGATGCCACTACCGCTTGCCCTTCTTCTTGTTCTTCTTAGCATTGTTTCCTCCGCCGCCGCCACCGCCAGGTTTCTGCTGTGGCATAGACTCCTCCGTCTTCTCAGACACAGGGCCTCCTTGGGTACGCTCCGCAGCACGTTGCTTTCCCTTCTTGCCCTTGGGTCGGTAGGAAGATCGGTCGCGGAGTGGCAGCCAGCGCTCGGGATCGGGCTTCTTGTCTGGGTTGTAGTCCTTTGGTAACCGCGACTTACGCACACGTTTCGCAGAACGGCCATCCTTATTTACAGCAGAGCGCTTACGGGCACCAGCGAAAGCGGCGGCCGCCGCCGCGGCTGACGAAGCTGAGGGAAGAATACCAGCAGACTCAAGGGCGGCGATGTCAATATCTGCGATAAGCTCGTCGACTGCGGGCAAGTCGTTGAGCTGTGACTCTATTTGCGAGTAATCCGATGTAGCTTTAGACGCGATGTAGCCAGCAATAGCAACACGGTCGTTCGAGTCTTGTTGATACAGGGACCGGAACAAGTCTCCCGCTATGTTTAAGTCTGAGGGATTTTCAGAGTGCAAGAGAGATGTGGCGGCAGCGCGAAGAAGAGAGGATGGTGGCTCAGGCTTGTTGCGCCAGTAGGAAGCAGCTTGTGCGAGGGTCGAACGAATCTGGAGCTTGCGACCTTCGCGCTGATACAAGGAAACAAGGACACTGAGTAAGCCAGGATTGAAGCGAGCTTCTTGGTCAGCTTCAGAGATCGATTCCTCCAGGATATGGAGTGATCGCTCAATAGCGGTGATGGCCGAGGTCGTGTTGCCGGAGTTGACGTAAAGCTGGACAACAGTCAAGAGTAGACCCAGATCCTTCGGCCTTCGCTCCAGGAGGGGAAGAATTTTCTTCAAGGCTCTTTGACCTTCTTGGCCCTGGGCATGGGCCGCGGCGTTGTAGACGGAGAGGAGGTTCGTCTTTGCATCACCAGCAGGGTAGGAGCTTTTAGCAAGACCCTTCGCTGTTGATCGGATCATGCCATCGTATTTCTGTACGAGAAGATCCACGGCGTGGGAGTTACCGGTAAGGATGTTGCTCTGGAAATCAAACAATCGATCGTTATCCTTTGCATCTGGGGTATCGTGGAGAGCCTTGTAAAGGATGAAGGGGTTGAGTGCGCTTTGTTGAGCAAGTACGATGTTATTTTTAGCGATCTTTTTGGTAGACAACTCCGAGATGCTAATCAAAATTAGCCCAGTAATCAAATGCATACAACCCGTCGATACTTACTCATCCACGGCGATCTCATTGAGAAGGGCCTCGGCTTCTTCTGTCTTTCCTTGCTGCATCAAGACGTATAGATATTGCACGGATATAGGAAGCAGCTCCGCTGCCTTCTCCTCGACCGATAAATCCTCAGCGGTTTGACAGATATCTATTGAAACGTTAACCACATCAAACATGAGCGAGACTTGCCGAAGCACTCACTCTTCGCCCGGTTCAGCAATACTTCGCCCTGGCGCAATTGACCCTTAGCAATATTTAAGCACGCAGCATTGTAGGATGTCTCGAACGACTCCAAATCCTCCCGGGAAGGTCGCTCATGGCGCACATAGTCCGATTCGCCCTTCCATTGGAGTTGCGCATCGGTTGCCCATGAATTAATGCTCAAATCATTCGCCTCGTGCGATGAATCCTGTTGGGCGAGTTTCTCGTAGATGTCGGCGGCACGGCGGAACTGCTCAGCACGGTAGCTCTGGAAATAAAGTTAGTGCCCCAAAGCGCCTTCGTATAGATTTTGAGCACATACTGCCTGAGCTTCCAGGTGGCTAGCGCCCCGTGAGGGTGTCGCTCGAGCCACAGTCTCCAAGGCCTCCTCGAGCTTGCCTAATTTATAGAGCACATAGCCATGTTCGAATCCAGCCTGCTTCTTCAACGCATCACCTCCGGCCTCCAGAGCGCGCAGCGCATCCTCATATCGATCCAGTTTAAGTAGGGCAATGACTTTGATATGCTGTGCAGTCAGATCGTTCTTTGATTTGGCGAGAACATCGTTGCAGGACTGAATGACTTCTTCGTGATCGTCAATGGACGCCTGCTGCAGGAGCGAGCTAAGCGACTGCGCAACCATCTTGGGGGTTGCGCGGGAGGCTAAAAGATGCCGGTGGGTAGGGTTCTACCAGAAGCTTCGCTGGCAACTCAATAGGGAAGTAATTGGAAGCGTCGGCCGTGGTGATCTACCTCCGCAAGACCACAGTGTGCGGAAATAGTGTTTCCCCATCAGGAAGTCCTGCGTGGTGGGGCCTCCTGTCCCGCCGTACACCACGTGACACTGTCGCCATCCGCTTTGTACACAATACATCAACCAATGTCCATATGCTCCTTAAGAAAATAAGGATTCTCACAATCGTATATGAATGATATGCTTGGTATATTAGGTGTAAATGTGGACCATTAATTCAACGACTACTATGTCCTCCCAATGAAAACCATCAAAGGGGCTATAATTTTGCTACTGTGTGTATTGTGCCTACTAGCGTCTAGGGAATGAAATTGTAACAGAAAAGGATTGTCAATTCTGTGTCACTAGACGTTACAAGACAAGGGACATCTTACCATGTCATTCATTGTATCGAAAAAGTTTCTAGCATAGAAACTATCAAATGGGAATCGATTTTGGGTTGAGTGTCTTAGCCTATACCGCATCAGCAAAAGACGAAAAGAGGGTGAATGACGGGTGTACTGGTATAACATACCAATACAATGAGTTAGCTTTACTTGAGATGAGGCTAAAAGCTGCCTAGGTGGGATGTGTGGTGTTAATAAGAGCTAGCTGGTCATATTGCAGACTAGCTGGGACAAGTAAGGAGTTGCTCGCTCTTCAAACGTTATCTGGTATACATGAGACCTGGTGAGGGTATTAAAGTAAAGTAACAGGTGGGTTTGGAGCCTACCTGGGTAATTAGTATATGATGACTACTCATTGCTTAGCGGGTGATTGAAAGGTCAAGCTGGTGGATTTAATCCCCTGTAGCTGTATGATGACTACTCATTGCTTAGCGGGTGCGTATAAGGCCTAGTGGGTGTTAGCAAGGCTTAGCGGGTGTTAGCAAGGCCTAGAGGGTGTATAAAAGGATTGGGCAAGCTGGTGTGTGATGACTACTCATTGCTTAGCGGGTGTGTATAAGGCCTAGCGGTTGTAATGAGGAATTATCAGGCCCTGTATATACGAAGAATCTAGTTGAAGGTCAGCTGGTAGCAAAGTGCCGTCTGGTGCAAACAGGTGTTCGTTGATGATCTATTCTCTGGGCCTGTCAGCTAATGCTTGATATATATATCTTCTACTTGGCACAAACAAGGGTCAGCTGGTAAGTCTCTTGAATACAATCCCAAATGCTGAAAGTGTGAATTCGGCTGTGCAAGGTAAGGAAGTAGCATAGCAGAATGTGCCTCTGCGGAATTATACTTCTACGTGTGTCACATATGATGCTGCAAACCACAGAATGGCGGTCTGGCAAGTGTTGCTAGCACTAAGCCGTATCTTAGTATCAATAAGCACCTTGGATGGGGCGGGTCTCTATTTGAAGGAGTATTTTGGCCATTTGTTGTCTGGGCCTTTAAGGCCTATCAGATTGCAACGCGCCCACGCGAATGTTCATAATTTCTAAATATGCACCTTAACTGAGCATTTCTGCCAATGCAAGGCATAACTTTATGTCTTGCTATCAAATTCAGATCTTACGTACTGCTCTCAGATCTTGAAGCTCATCTGAAGCTCAGGCGAGGGAGCGGAGAATGTGGAGGGGTAAGGGTCTAGACTGTGGCATTCGGATCCAGCCCTAGTGCATTCCGGAGCAGACATCACACACGCTGGGTCACTTCTTCTAACCCCAAGAGAACAAAGCCGGCCTTTCGAAAACCGAACGAGGATGGCTGCAAGTACCTCCATACAGATTCTGCGCAGGACCGGGTCCGCATCTGTAAGGCTGCGTAGGCTGTGTAAGTCCCCCGCCAACGATCAGGTAGACGAGTCCTGATACATTAAGCATGCTAGCGGCATCCTGAAAAGCCCAAAGATACTGAATTAAATTAATGTCATGATCTGAATAGGCCAATTATAGCGTCACCTGAGGGAACTGGTGGAGCTGCGATAAGGCGCCGATAGCGCAGTTTGGCGGCACCCGCCGATGTGGGGATTAAGGCTGCGGAACTGGCACCGGGCCCTGGAGGTCAGTTTGATCCGCGGGGAAGTACGGAGTGCAAAAGTCGGAATCAGGCAATGGATTACATACGAGTCGATCTACCGGGGGGGCTTCGGCCGCGACGTTCTCAAGCAGCATGCAATATGAAAAGTACTTTATGAACTGAGTCATTGGCCCGGGCGCAACCTTGGAATCCCGGTAACAGCGGCAAAGCCCGCGTTTGCCTCTTCAGACTCATCAGATTAAATCGCCCCAGATGTCTTGTAGAGGAGGTGATACCGGGGACGTTGAAAAGTGTCAGAAACACAGAGGGCAGATGTCTCATATGCCGAACCCTTCCAACCCAAACCGGAGCGGTATTGCGGTACTCGATGAAGCAAATCCCATGGATCCAAGCAGGGCAGACTCGCCGAGACGCGTGGACGTGGAGACAGGCGGCGGAGGAGGAGCGAGTGAGGGACGAGCGAGGCGGGCGGCGTGGGAGGCCCGGCCTTGGCATTTGGACCCGCAAAGTGCAGGTGTCCTTCTGAATGGAAATCCCCAGCGCCCTGGGATTACCGTCGCACGTAGAATCAGGATGTTCTTGTTTGCGAATAGGGTCTGACTCTGCGAAGCTCGGGTACCACCCCATTCTCGTCGAACCGTCCAGGGAGGCACTCAAGATCGACGGGACCATCCACACGTGATGGTGGAGACGTCATTTCTAGCCCTGGATTTCAGTGAATAAGTCCTCCGTAATTAGCGCTCGAGCGGGAGGGAGAGGAAAACCTTGGAATTCCCCTTTTGAGAAGGAATTGGCCTTTCCTGTTTCGAATCATGATCGTCTTCCCTTCTTCGCCGATTTTTGTCTTATTCTCCTCCCTTGACTCCTGTAAATAAGCCTTCGGTGCTCGTTTCCTCCCAGGCGTTGTTTTAGCTCGGTCTTGGTGTTCTCCGCAATGCGGATGCCCTCTAGCTGATCTTACCCCTGTGTACGAGTACGAGCATCGACGCTAAAAGTCCCCACGGGGGCTCTATACCGGACGAAAACACAGGCTCCCAATATAACCTTCGAAAATGCTGTTCCAATTGCGGGAAGGCTTGTTTCCAGCTTCGTGGGCCTGGAAGAAGCTCCTACGATTCGCCGTGATTTTCGTCGCCATCACTGGATTCACCATATTTTTTTGGCCTGAGGCCGTCCCACAGAAATCCCCTGTCCACGCCGCCAACACCAACATCACTGTATTCGACAGCGTTACATGCAGCCCTGAAATCAGCCTATTACAGCGGCTCGACATCAAGCGACTCGCCCAATACACTCGTCGCGATGTGATTGTTGACATCAACCCCGACAATACCCCTGACGACCTCCCCATGACCCAGCTCCTCGATGAACCCCTTTTCACACCGGAGCGAGTAGTCCGCGACCCCAAAGATCCCTCTTCCTCCCCTCTGGACGGCTGCCAGATCCCTACCCCTTTGGTCGTCCGAATGCCGAAACCGCCACCGCGAGCCAATGCATCGCACATCGACTTTGGCGTCGCCACCTCCATTTCGCGACTCAACGAGTCACTCGATGCCTTCGCGCACTGGGCCGCATACACCGACACGCGCATTTTCGCCCTCCTCGAGCCCGCCGAGGAGGACACCCAAAAGGGCATGGACTACCTCTTCGCCAAGGCCCGCGCCCTCGGCGTGGAGCTGCTGATCGAGATCTCCGAGGACGACTACCTGCGCCGCTACTTCGCGTTGATCCCGTGGCTGGAGGCTAACCTGCGCGCGGAGACGCAGTGGGCCTGCATCATCGACGACGACACCTTCTTCCCCTCCATGCACAACCTCGTCGCGGCCCTCGACGCCTACGACCATACTAAGCCCATGTACATCGGCAGCCTGTCCGAGGCTCTGCCGCAGATCGGGACGTTTGGTTTGATTGCGTTCGGTGGCGCGGGCGTATTTCTCTCGCGGCCGCTGTTGTCGGAGATCACAAATGTGTATGACGAGTGCGAGCGGACGGATTACACTGGTGACCGCCGTATCGCGAACTGCGTTTACATGTACACGTCGACCAGGCTAACTGTGGACCACCGGCTGCACCAGCTGGATCTGATGCCGGATGCGTCTGGGTTCTTCGAGTCGGGGCGCGAACTGCCGCTTTCGGTGCACCACTGGAAGTCGTGGTTCAAGGCGGACATGCCCAAGATCAGCATGGTGTCGGACGTTTGTGGGGACTCGTGCTTGCTGCGCAGGTTCCATTTCAGCGATAATTGGATCCTCACGACCGGATTCTCTGTTGTGCAGTACTCATATCCGTATGATGTCAAGGATCTCACGATGGAGATGACTTGGGAGGAGAACAACGGCGCTAAAGTAGAGCAGTATTTGCATGAGCTTGGCCCGCTACGGCTGAAGGATGAGATGAAGAAAAGCTACGCGCTGGAAGATGCCAAGATTGAGGAAAGCGGTGTCGTCACCCAATGGTTGGTGAAACGCGACAAGAGCATGGGAGATGAGGTTTTGGAGCTCACTTGGCGGAGAAGATGACCGCCATTCTTTGGGTTTTCTTTTTGGTTTTTCGTCCGTTTCTCAGTTTTGCATAGACTCCTGGGTTCTCGCTTGATATCTCCTTGGTCCGGCGCTTGGTCTTGAGCATTTTCTTGTGTATAGATTGGTGTTACGTCCCCCCTCTTATGTCTACGTGGTTATACCTAGGTAATGGAAACGATTCTTACATCATAAAGAGCCGACACCTGCCTCTGAAGGTTGGGAGTAGCCCATGACGGTGATGCCCAAGGCCATTCATTTTAAAAGCTCATCTTAGTCCCTGATTCCTATTTCTTGCCAGATATACTCCGAAAACTCTAGTATTTCGATATACTATTGTCCGGGCTGAAGCCTTGCCTGGGTCTTTTTTGCTGTCTGAAGACATGCTTCTACAGAATCGTCACATCCAACCAAACGATAACGCTTCGTGCCACTTTGGTTCCTGCTTTGCTCTCCCATGATCTGTGGCTCCCTACTTTCATTATCCCCGCCCTGAAAATTGACGATGTTGTCGCGATCGAGATGAAGGAAGATAAAAGGCAGGACACTATTCATCCAGGTTTGTATATGAGCTTGGCAGGTCATCCATGCGGTACAAACACAAGATAGTACTCCCAGAACCCAGACAATAACCGGAAGAGCGAGCCACTGCCAGTGAACGTCCACAAATGAGACCGAGACTTGAGTCTTTCCAGTAGTTGTGTTTGCCTCGGTGAAATCAATTGGTTGATAACTGGTGCTGTAAGTAAAGGCGGAGTCCCTTATAGTTTTGGACATAGCAGCAGCAACATTCTTCATGGCGCAAGACAATTGGTCGGTATCTCGGCAATTGGTACCCGTAAATTTGCCATAGAAGACGGCCTCCAAGGCATCAGTCGTAGCATATGAGCCCCCCGATTGCAATGGCTGAAAATTGAAGGCGTCCGAGCCGGCAGAGATATAGCCGGCGAAGAGGAATTCAAGGAAAACAGAGATTGAGTTCCATGCCTCAAATCCTAGACCGAAAGTTTGATTTTCTTTTGCTCCCAGACTCTCATTCCAGGGTGGTGTGAAGGTATATGCATAGCTGAGATGCTCAACCGTGTTATTCAGCACAGGCCACTCTGCAAGCCGCGTTTCTTGATATTTCCCCATGATCACGGTCGATCGAAAACTTCGAATTCCTGGTTGAAGGACACACTCTGTGGCGACAAATTGAGTATTGTCCCCAATCTCAGTAGATATTCCGCCACCCACAGATGGGTTGTCATTTGACCCTTTTGCCAAAATATACTGTATAACCGGGAAACTGCTATTCTTATAGAACGTCTTAGAGCTTCCTGATAGCACATTGATGACCCTAGGCCTGGCAGCGCCACCGCTAGTCAGATACCATAATGCGACGCCGCTGTCCAGTGATACAGTGCAGTTGGTGTACCTCTGCCCTTGGGTGCATGACGTGCTCAGACTCGATGTGAGATCAGAGCAAAGAGCACGGATTTCCAAAGTTGCGATGGGGTCCCAAGTGCAGTTTCCCGTCGGGCATGTATATTGTGGAACTGCCCATGGCTGCGCTGGGTCTGTGTTGAACAAGGCGCTATAGACATTTGCCTTTAGAATGGGATCCACGTAATATGCTATTAAATTCTGTCATCAAAAGTTGAACGCGCTCCAAATCAACGCTTACATACTGTCACCTCCTGTCAATGGTCCTACTGTGTTATATAATGATGTATTTCCAAGGATTGAAATCTCTGAAGGGCTGTCAATGTTACCTGGCACATAGTGCACTAAATTTTGGATGAAAGGGTCAAACCCTATTGCCAAAACCATAGATAGGCTTCCAAGCAAGGCTATGCCTCTAAAAATGGAGAATTAGAAAATGAGGTTGCGTATGATCTCCTGCCTTGGAGGTGAAGAGCGTTGAGATTCCACATACCGCCCTTGACAAGCCATAGAAGGAACGCACTTCCAGTGGCTCCTCTGCTTGCCATGTCAAACGCATCTAGATCGGATAATGGTCGACTGCGTTTTGAAACCCAAACCCATTTCAATTGACCAATTCCTTGGCTAACCGAGAATACCACGCAAGCTTTCGCGAGGGTGCTTAGCCAAGAAATGGCAGAATTGAGGGAAATGTGCTTCCAACCCTGTTGTGGGCGCCTATTATATTTTCGAAGGATAGCAACAATGGCAATGATAATGGCAGCAGATACAATTATTCCAGCAGCTTCCCAGCCCCAACTTCTGAGAGCGGCTAACAGAGGCCGGCGGTTCCTCTGTTTGTTCGAAGAGCTAAGCAATTCGTAGCGCGCTGGATGATCCTCGTGAAGTTGAGATGAATCTACTCCAGGATGAACCTCTTGTGGCTCGGTCGTAGGTAAAGCGGGACTTGAATCTTTTGGCTGCATCAGATGGATTTGGATACTTTCGTCGGTCTCTTGACCGCTGGAGGGGTGTCTTGGTGCAATCATATCGACCAAATATTTAATTCTTGGTCCAGCTTGTATCTGGGTCAGCGAAGAAATGGCTGTTCTTAATGAACAGTTGTAGGAACCGAAAGTGCGGGGGTCACAGTGGAAAGCGGACTAAACAAGACGAGTACCTTTTTCTGGCCCCAACCGTAGCTGCTTGACTGCACCGTGACACGTATTAAATCTGCGGTTCATCACAGGCTAATGCAACTACTGAACAGAGGCACCCTCAAATTTGTCCTAGTCTTGGTGGAAGCGCCCAAGCATACAGGGAGAGCCAAAAGTGCAAAATTATTGAAAAATTAGTGCTCTAGGAATTATCAGGACGGGATCGCGGTAGGAGATCAGTGTTCTGTGGTGGCTGCTAGCCTAAACTCGACCCAGGGCAGGGTACTGAGTCAAGTATTGCCATTTCCCTCCTGCTCGTCCAGTTAGCTCTGCGCCTCCTTCGACGGGAAAGTCTTTACAGCTCCCCCTAGAGAGAAACAAAATACTCCCTAGCTCGAATTCTCCCTGTCCAATTGTGCGGCTATACAATAAGATATCTATGATTTAGTCTGCGATCATCTTCATAGTAACAGGTGAAACTTCCCAAGAATTGTTCTCAACGAGCGCGCAGATCGACGGCATCGCCGAATCATTAAATAGTCTGTTGAGCACTGAGAGAGATCGTGAAAGCTATGAAAGATTCGCCGTCGAAAACCACGTACGCGCCATCATATCGGTATTGTCCAAAACCCCAGAGGCCCGGCTATATTTCCGTATTGGTGATGAAGTTTCGTTGGAGAGTCAAAGCAATGTTTTGGAAGATGATGAGCAGGAGACGGCAGCTTCTCTCGATATCACCGTGGAAAACCTGCGCGTTGGACTCCGGCCACAACCTGATTTTTGGAACGATATCGTCTAACGGAAAACAATCCGAACTGACAAAGCCCAGGCTGACATATAACGTAGTGTGACTCGTCAGTTCAGTTCTTACTACGAATACTCTCCACCCACCAAGTTGGAACTCAAACATCTACCATGGCTCCGCAGACAATCTATCCTCAAGTGTGTCCAATGCAACCTTGGAACTCACCGACGCTACGCACGACCAACTTCAATTAGCAAGGACCAGAGGATCTATCAGCCGGAGCAACCCCTCGCAGATCTCACACACCGACCACCGCCAAGCACACGATACTCCCCAGCCTTCCACGGCCGTTCCAGAAACTTTTCGACGGCCCTGTTTTGCGCCACGCTAATCTACTTCGTACCTCGTACCGATACCCCAGCCGCGAACCCGGTTCCCTGATGAAGAAAGAGATCGACCCATAACCCTCTCGATCCACCCTCGACTGTCCTTCTTTTTCTCGACAAGACCCCTGGGCGAATCAAACTACCTCAACACCGCGAGAGGTTCAGAAACATTAGATAAACCACCGGTGTCCAACGCCACCAACAAGCTCCTAACTAGGCTATCCTTCGGTCAAGAGTTCCGGACAGCCCGCTGACGCGTCGCCGGTTTAGGCCAATGCCCCGTTTCGGGAAGAGATTGGGAGCGACATAGTGCAGCGGTTGGTTCCTGCGAGTAAGAAGCGTTCTATGGCGGGAGGATCGACTAGACGGAACGGGGCTAACGCTGAAGAGTGGGCTGCGGTGGGCGGAGTGGAGAAGGCGAGCTTAGAGTATTTTCCGATGGGGTTTCTCCAGGGAGATTAGGCACGGATATGAAGCCCCCATGACTCAAAAATTGGCCGGGGAATCCTTGGTCGATCGATGCAATGAGCGTGCCCGGATAAGGCACGGGAAAATCGGAGGGTTAATCCTGCGATATTAGGTAGATTGAGAGGAAATTTTTCAGGATATTTCTTGTTTGGGAATTTGTTTTGGGAGGAACTACTCCGTAGCCAATGCTCGATTTCCCCAGTGACATCATCCTCGTTGGGTAAATCTCGGGTCTTCAAGGCCCTAGCGTGGAAGCCGTTGTTTCCCCTTCTATTTTGGGCGCTTTTTGCTTTTTGCTTTTTTCTTTTTTTAGTTTCCCTTTTTTTCTTCCTTTTTCCCCTTATCTTTCTTGTTTTACCTTTTGTTTACTGACTAGGACACACTTGTGGCCCTGATTTCTTTTATCCATCCTAGTCAAACCTACTAGAGGGGCTTCCAATCTTTACTCCATCTCCCTCAAAGAACCCCCTGAATCTAAAACTTTATCTCCCAAAGTTTTCTTTATTTTCCTCCTGCTCGAGCGGTTGGCCCGGGAAACCAGCCTCTTTGTGCCTTGTTCCACTAATAGAATCCTATGGAGCCCAGGGCGGCCCTGACGCCAAAAGCGTCTCAGCCACAACCATGTGGGAACGGCCCCGTACTCGCACAGCCAATGATTTCCCGGCAGTTCCCACTGCAGGCGGAAGGGCCAAGACAAATCAAGCAGTGCGCAAGCCTCACCTTGAGCGGTGCTTGATTGGTGCCATGGCGGGTTCAGACACGGCTTCCTTCGGTTCTTTCAGTAGAGCTTGATTCTTGTAATGCACGTCGGCACAAGTGCCGTTCTGCAGACACTCCACATATGACGCCTCGATCCATCCCAGCGATTGATCAGGGGAGGCGTAGTTTCCAAGTTGGGGAGTCGATCATGACCAAGCGCCGAGCAGAGAGATTGGGCGCCGGGTAGGGAGTACGGAGTGCTGAGCACACTAGTAGTCATAGCACCGTGAATCATGCCAATCACCGGGGCCTCGCATTCGTACTGGACAGGTCTCCTTTCCGCCGGGCTTAGTCCCTCGTTAGGTAGCTGGCAATTCCGGGCCTCCCGTACAAGTAAGACAATCATGACTATTGTTGTTGACGGATCGTACACTAAGCCGTGGCGAGTGCTTAACCCATCTTACGATCAAGCTTGGAAGTCCGGGATCACGGGGGATTAATTCGCGGTCGATGCGTCCTTCGAGTCGACCGTTCTTTCCTCATGACGTTGTTGGGAACGGAGTAGGAAAATAAATGGGTTGGGCTCGGACCTCTTGGCCGTGCAGACGGGGCAACGGTTGTCCCATTTTTCGTCCTTTCTTCTGCCGAGCTTCTACGGTCCTTCGAAATTCCTTCTGGCGTCCTTCCAGAAGGGCTCTCGAAGGTCAGGGGTAGCCTTGGCAGCATTTCAGCCCGTCCCCGTCTGTGTGGTAGTGAAGTGGGTCTACTGGAGGCTGAAGCCCGGCCGAAGTGGGCAGCGTGGCCACTAGGGGCAGGTTAGTCTTATTCCGGGATAGTTTGGCTTCGGCAGGAAGTCTGAACAAGTTGCATACGAGCGTAAAAGGGGGTGAAGGTAAAATAGGGGGAAAGCTGCACGAAGTACCCAGATGTTTCTCCACCCCGTTGGATCGACCACAGATTCCAGGACGCGTGCAGGTTACGGGACTGGGGACTCGGGAAATCGAGTCAGCTAATGGGGGTTACACCATGTTCTGGATCCTGCACGGCTCCGTAGGAAACATGGTGAAACGAGCCACTTTGTGTTCCGTGTGTCTAGCGGTTTAGGATCGCCCCCAATTCGAAACCTTCTAGAAGGACAAGGACCGCACGTTCTAGTTAATGAGTCCGGTTCTTGGTCAGCATTAGTAGTTAGACACCCCCCGCCCGGTGCCTTGGACGATGATCATTTTGGTTGGGAGTATATTCCCGGTTGGGTTAGCAGGAGTGGGCTCTGGGGAACAAACTATCGAGAGGACGAAGCACGACGCGGATCCAAATCATCGCGATGATGGCCACTAGCCACTAGCCACCACTTAACCTGTCAGACCATCAAATCAACCCCGTGGCCGGCTGCCGCTGTCATCCACGTTCATGGTCATGTAACCCGAAGCCCGGGGAAGAAAGCAAGAGTTCTTTTCTGATCCGATCTCTTCTTTCTCTGATGCTTTTTTTTAGGAGCTCTAGAGACCCTGGTTATGACGCCCGGCTGGCTTTCTTGACAAGGGGCTATAGCGTGTCGCGGATAGGGCCCACATCTGCCCGATCCCATCGTCATAATTGATTGCAAACTTTGTTCACGCGGACAGCTGTTTCACATTAGGTTAGTAGGCCGAGTGCTAGAAACCATGTAGAAGGAGCCGGAGAAGCCAACAGAGGGCCGCCGGAGCGTGAGCGTCGGAAAGAATAGTTTCATAGGAGACATAACGTGCTCCGCCGTCGCCGTGGAGAGTTTCCCTGGACCTGAGGCGTTCTGGAATCCATGATTTAGATCGACAGGCCTCCGTCCCCACTGATGTTCTTTCTGGAACTTCCGTCTTGCCGTCTGTGTGCCTCAAGTTTGAACAATTTGGGAGTGTGGAGTCGGGGGTTCGACGCTTCGTCCTTCTGGCGCCGCCCTGTTTCCTTCTAGCGGCCTTCTCTGGGTCCAACTAGAGGCGCTAATTTGCTAGACGTGCGCGCTGCAGGGATGTGCCCCCTAGTGCGCCTTTTTTTTTCCCGGTATTATTCTGGAAAAGGGTTTATCTCTCCAGGGAAAAAAGGAGAAAAAGCGTGGCTTCGATGTCACCGTTTTGAGACGCAACGGCGATACATGATATTAAAATCAAACTCGTCAAATCAGCAAAGGACGGGGGGGGCCCTGAAATAGAACCCAAGCTTAGAGCAAGATTCAATTTCCAGTCGTGAGTGGGGGAAAGTGCAGAAAGAGGTGATGTCGACCTTCTCGGCACCTACCACACCTAAATACCTACGATCACCATCTCATTGTGCTCCCTATTTCCTTTTTCCCTCCCAACTTTCCGTCTTTCCCTCTTAACAACGCGCTCCCCCCTTTTAATTCCTCTCGATCTCCGTTTAAGAACCCCTGTCCACTTCCCTCCCCCCTTTGAGTACTCTTGCATCTTCCTCAAGGTACGTGCTACATCTCAGTCCCTGACCCTCGTGGCTCGTTCGCAGCGCGCGCGTCCCTGACCCATGTGAAATCCCGCTCTGCAAAGCTTTCTCGTCATCGCGGCGGAGTCTGGGGAGAACTATCGCGCTCTGTTCGCCATTGATTCCTAGTCCCGGTATATCCCCGGTGCTGGGAATGGTTACGTTTCGTGCCCAAAGCCCCGTGGATGCCGGAGTCTTCAGGATCCCCGGCTGACTCAAGTCTGGCAAACGGGCGCGACTGACCCACATTACACGATGGCTATTATTGACATTGAGCTAACTTTGACTTATTTACAGACACTGCCCATCTACACGTCTTCCCTCTTCTCAAAGACCCCGATCGTCGGTTCCCACCTCCGTTGCTAGCCGGTCGTGCCTGCATCTGCTCGATCTCCGTGCATCGCGTTCAGTGCCTGACGGGAAGACCGCCGGGTGCCGGAATTCCCCAGCTTCAGAACCTGCCGTCTTCATAGCCCATACACGCTGCGCAGTGGAACGTGAACGGCCCCTGCTGCTGTCACGTCAGAAATCTACGCTTTAGAAGAACCTCCGCCCGGGGTAACAATTCGGATCTCCCGCGCTGTTCCTTGCCCACGGTCCCTTGATCGCTGGGTCGGGTCATGGACTTCACGACCATCCTGAACCGCAAAACTTCTGTCGCTGCAGCTGCCGCCGCAGAAGCACAACTACACCAACAATACCTCCAAACCGCGCAAATGAACCATCATATGCACCAGAATCCTTCGGTCATGAAGGCGGAACCCAACCCCGGCGACAACGTCGGTGCCTACCCTCCTCATCCGGCCGTGCAAATGGACTCAGGTCTTGCTGAGACCTTCTACTACGCCCAGGGTGGTGCTCCACGCAATATGGGCTACGTCCCTGGCGGATATGCCGGCGAACCCCAGATGCAGCCAACCCCCGTACCGTCGGGACGAACTGGGACTGAGGCGCCTCCGAAGACCTTCCACTGCTCAACATGCAACAAGGGATTTGCGCGTCGCAGTGACCTCGCTCGCCATGAGCGAATCCACACGGGTGTCCGGCCCCATGCATGCGACTGGCCTGGATGTGGCAAGCAATTCATTCAACGCTCTGCCCTCACCGTTCACTCTCGAGTACATACCGGCGAAAAGCCTCACATGTGCGAGCGGTGCGGCAAACCTTTCAGCGACTCCTCTTCTCTCGCGCGACACCGCCGGATCCACTCCGGGAAACGCCCCTACAAATGTCCTTATGCCAACTGCCAGAAGACATTCACGCGGCGAACAACTTTGACCCGACACCAAAATCATCACACCGGCACTATCGAGGAGGCTGCTGTCGAGACCGAGGCCAACTTGCGCCAGAATAAGGAGCGTCATGGGCCCGGTGAGGGCATATTTCCGGATCACGGCTCCATTCATTCTGCCACTTCCTCCCCGCTCAACATGCATCCATGTCACCGGGTGGTGATCTCCCGCCCTTGAACATGTCCCGTTCAGCTGGCGAGTACTACATGGGCAGTGGGCCTATTCCACCGCATGTGCGGGGAGATTTTTCTCAGGGTAGCCCACGTGCTTCACCCACGGCTACCTCTCCATCACTGTCCAGCTTCAGCAGCGCTCCCCATGCGCGCCCTGCCATGACGTCGCATCCGTATGCTCCTCCCCAGCCCCTTGAGCCTCCAGCCACCAGTGAGCACCGCCCAAACAGTGTCAACGGCAGCCCACATATGACTAGCATGGGGTGGGCCTCCCCTCTCATGGCAGCATGCCCTCGCCCGGGTCTACCAACGACTTCTCCTACCCCGACCCCAGCGCTCCAGCTTATCCCTCGGCTATGCCTCACCACATGTACTTTCCGAACTCGACTCTCCGTCGACCTGGAAGCACTGAACCCGGTGACTACGAGACAAAGCCGCGGATGGACCACACCTGGTCGACGCCGGTGTAACGCAAGTCACGCCTTCAACAATCTTATTCATTGTTTGGAAACCTTTTGACTCGTTTTGCATCATCATTTCTCAGCATTTTCTCAGCATTCTCCTTTTGCCTTCTATATTCCCGGTTCTACGGAATCAAAGCTCCTCTCCACCGCCTCTTTGTTCGCGTGTCTGAATTCATTTGTACCTTATATCTCAAAAGGGAGCAATTATCCTGGCGCAGAGACATGTCGAATCGCGTTGCAATGCCTAGGTGGGCTTCGGCATTTTTTTTTCTTAGCTGTTTTGTATCTTTTCATTTCTCTTTTCTTTTCTCCTGGAGCATCACTGTCCTCACCTTCCTGATGCTTTTACGCGCACACGCACCTCCACATTGGCCGCTTGATTTCTTTTCTTTTCTTTTCTTTTTTTTGGGTTTTGATTTCTTGCGTGCAGACGACACGGTTTACCGAGACACGACCAGACGAGGAACAGCATAGATAGAGCGCAAGATTAGGGATTTTTACGGGGTCACATTGTTTGGAATTTGGGATCGGACAGGGGCTCGCAAGGGCCCTGTTGGTGTCTGGCTTGGGTTATCTGTTTGATTTTTTTTCTTTTCTTTTTTCCTATTTCCTCCTCTCCCCTTATGGTCTTGGTTGGGTTTACTTGCATATTTCCCTTGGCTCGTTTTTTCTTTTGTCTATCTCATATCCCTCTAATATTGCGTTGTACTGCTGCTTTGTTGCTTTGGTGGGCATCGAGCTGGAAATACACGCTCGATGAGCTCATTATTTTGACCCTGTTCTGTATGATAGGTGTAAATTATAGAAACCCGGAGCTGTCCACTAAGTTTTCTGTGTATTGAATGTGGCATCTTAGGGCCATTTCAAGTTTTCCAGTAAAGTATTGCAATACAAGTTAGAGCTTGAGATGTCCCTTCCAAAATTCACCCTGTTTTTGTAAACTAAATAGCTAATTAGCTATGAATTTGGTTCAAAGCACTTCTGCCTTGACAATATGCACATTCGGATATCCCACTCGTCCCTCCAATCTTGCCTTGGTGATGACCTCGCTCTTGTCCTTCTGATACACAGTGCAGTCATATCTCCTACTCCCTCTACTACCTAGCGGTAGTTAGGTTTCTGGCTGATTGCAAACATGTTGTTATTGACTACGATCATATCCATACCATCGTATATGTGAATGTTCGCATCAACCTCCATGTCCTTTTCGAAGCCGACTTCTGCATTTACGCTTCCTTTTTTACCGCGTTGCCATATCAAAGCTCCTCGGTGCAATACCTGATCGAGCTTTTGATTCTACAATATCTATGGCTGGAAATCTATCATGTATTGCATAGTATGCGCTAAAGTACACTTCAGTAATCTAGTACAAGATAGACCCATATAGCAATAATAAGAAGCTTAAATGGGTTGAGGCTATAGATGTTGGGTGGCGAGGGTATAAAGCTTGTGTGCGTGTCTACACAGCAACCTCACCACAGGATCTTCATCTAAAGCATCCAAGTTCCAGTTGCACTTGGCGCATCAGGAGACCAATTATATCAGCTCAGTGAGTGGGTTCCAAGCTTCAAGGACCCGAGACACCTTTCGGAAACCGGTGTATACAGCGATCAGCTGACGACGGTGATCCACACGCCAGAGAATCGAGGCTCCAAGTCTTAAAGAAAGCTTAGGATAACCGGCAAGTTCACCGCTGCAAGATTATGCACATAAAATCAAGGGAGCCATCAATGTATCAACTCGAAGAGATCGGTGACACGTACTATCCACACTGGTGCTGTGTAACATTCCTGTGCTAGCTGCCTCTCTGCAGCAGAACGGAGACACAGCTTACAGGCGCCCTTGTGTCGGCGGACCAGGTATCTTTATTCCCATCCGACCTCAAGAATTTATGTGGCTTTGTATTAAGGGTGTACAGTTTATCCTGGCTGCTACCATAACACATAACGGCAGTATATGACGCAGGTGGCAGAGGCGGCACAGCTTAAGAATCCAAGATCTACATGCGGAGCAGAGGTTCTCGGTGATTGTAGGTACAGGCACCAATAGCCCTTCCCGTGACCTCTGGCCAAAGGGACCATGGACGGCCGGTACATACTCCCTCCCGCTTCTCAACCACAGAAGGGTGTTGGGGGGAAGGCTATCTTTCCAGAAGATAAGGGGCAAGGGGATTTATTTTAGGAGAACAGTCTTTAAAATCGCCCTGTCAGATCTCCGGACCTCGGCGAAGTGCTGACGGTAAGCTTCTCTTCGTGGACACCTCCATCTATTGGCGGTCATTGAAGGTTTCATGGGACTGTAAGAAAACCGGGGCGAACCAATTCTCTTTTGAGATCAACGCCACCTCGGGCTTGACTGGTGCGGGACTGTACGTGTAGGCATGGGTTCTGCAAGGGCTGGCCTTGTCGTGGGTACGTACGCAGCAGGGATCATGGATGATGATTGGCTGGATTGTCGCAAAAACCGACAATGGGCAGATATACACGGGCCTAAGATCGGAAGAATTATTTATTCGAGCCTTCGCATTCGCAGCTACATTACCTTACATACTCCCCCTCTTAGTGCCTACAGATCTGTCTGGGAAAAAAAAAATTAAAAGGATTTAAGGTAAGGCGTCCCGGAGGGTTGAAACATTAGGCTTAGTAGGAACCGGAATGTTGGGGGCTGCGATCAGCACCGGGAGGCGAAAAGGGGGAAACCAATTGGGACGTGCTTTCGAGCCTAGAACGAAAGGAGTATGAGTGGACTGCCAAACACTAAAAATACAATCAAGGTGAATCCGCTATCCTGAGAGCAGAAGAGCAGAGGTTCCAATCGCATGGAGAGCGTGAGGGCAAAAGAGTCCATACTGCGTGACTAGAATTGAGACTATCCATAGTCCGGCCAAACCTTGCCCTTGACTAAAGCTGAGCCACTGCTGATGCTCGATGCGCATTGTCTTCTCAGTGCCTGCTAGTAGTCGTGTTTGAAAGGGATGGGCAGGGTATTGGCACTCGTATTACAGTGGCGACCGCTCGTATCGATCGCGGTTGTAACCCATTTACACGCTGACCCCGGAGCTCCGATAACAGAGACAGTCCTGGTATGATGAAGCTGCAGAGAATGTGCAGAGTTCTGGCTTTGGGGTTGTTGGATCGCTTAGGGGCCTATAAATGGAGTCTCGGCTCTTGTCCTCGTAGAGACTAGTATAGCACCCACATACCTCTTGCACCGGTTTCACGCCCTAAAACTGACATGTATATTTTCCAGTCACTACGAGTAGCAGTTTGTCTTTCATCCATTGCGCTAACATGTAGAACCCACCAATCACTTTCCCAGGAGGCCCGAAGCTAACCATGTCCAATCCTAGCCGCGACTGCGTGCGGCAGTGCTGAAGCCTGTGTGGGCACTGACTTTTGCACCACGGCCGCCTTTACAGCCCCCATTTCAACAACGGTAACCACGTGTGTTCCCACAGCTACATGCCTTGGGATTTACGGTCAGTATGGTTGCTTGAGAGGAATCGCTTCGATATTGACTATGAGCAGCGCAATGTGATTTCGGCACCACGATGGGCAGTTGCTGCTCCGGCTATTGCGCTGCGACCAAGTGTCGGTCCACAGACCAACGCTGGCCCAACTGCCATGAAGACAACGGCCCATGCCTGGCCGATGAGCACTGCTGCTATAACAACAAATGTGTCGAGGGTCTATGCGCCCGTGGAGGGGCTTAAATTGGGTATTCGGGAGCACCCCGGTTGGTGCTCAGAGCTGTAGTAGTATATCCCCCATTATCTACACAATCGATTCATACGGAAATTCTCCGGATCGTCCGAGCTCGAGTGGGAGAGCTATACCTACACATTTCACCCCATGTCATAGAGCGGGAAACTTGAAACCTGAATGGCACGAGGCCGCGGGATCGCTTCTACCCGTACTGGTACCTGCGCGCTCCAGCCCTGCCTTGATTAAGGCTGATGCCTACAATCCCAAACGCACTAACTCCAGAAACTCCTATCCTGCAGAAACCTTCAACTGGGCCGTCCGCTAATATCTCCTAGCATCTAGGCATGCGTCACGAAGGGCAGTACGCTTCTGGCATGCGTCAATATCAACGCAAGCTCGACCGGCCGAATGCTGCGTCATGTTCCGCGTCTCCGCGACCCACGGACTGGGATAAGCTATGCCTCGAGAAGGCGGGCCAAGTGAACATTGTTGTAAAATTATTGAAGATCGAAGAACGTGTGGCGAGCTGAGCTCTCATCTTCCCGGGACTGCATCTCCGATCGTGAAACAAGTAGTCATGCTGGATACGGTTGCAGACGCGATCGCAATCATGCCGGGACGACGGAGATCCAGGCTATTTTTCTATATCGTCAGTGCTAAGGTTGCGCGTGCGGATAAATCTGAAGAGATTGATGAGCTGCGTTGTGTCGCGATCCAGTTAGTGTAGTTTATGATTGATCTCTCCATCTACCTGACGCTTCCCGTCGATAGAGTTTCGTGTAGCCCCCCCCACATCGCAAGGCGCGGAAGCTAAGAAATGGATCTGAGAAAATGGATCGGCGCGCCGCTTACCACTTGCGTGGGCTTTCGGAGCTTTCGACGAGCTTTTTTGTTCAGAGGCGAAAAAGTGACTACTGTACATGCCCAGGCAAGAAGCGGAGCAGATCTGACGAGGACTAAGTACCATCTAATGCACATAGTGCAATAGCTGCTGCCTTGTCTCAGACTATGGGGGACGCTATGGTCGTACAATCCCACCTGGGCTGCACGCAAGGGATCCACGGCATGCCCCGGGCCAAAGGTACCTTGTACCCGGGCAGCTTTGCAAGAGCTTCTCGACTGCGATGAGAACGGCCTGAAGCAACTAATCAATGTGCCCGACCCGATCGAAGCGATTCGCCCTACGGTCCTGTCAGCGAGAGTGGTTCCATTTGGGGCCCATGCAGCCGTGCAACGAAGAGAGCGCCAATCAGGACGAACTATCGAGGGAGGCGATTCCTTTGGTGCGCTATTAGCCGTCGACTCAATTAAGTGTGGTGTTTTCTGTACTTGGCAATGTACCTCGCCTACTCCAGTAGTTCAGGTGCCTCAATTAATAATATCCCTTTCCAGACCTGCAACCTAGAAGCGGGTTTCGCCCGAGCTTTTGGGCTTGGAAGGGGGGATCAAGTACGGTACGGATATCTTCCAAGGTTCGATTTTCCCCTGCTTATGCTCGCGGTCTCAATACCCCCGGGGCCGGCCCTGGGCTCCACGTCGTACACTTGGCCCCAATAGGGTTCCGGCTTCCACGACCATCTCGTCGGGAAATTCTTCGAGCTCACGATTGTACCCTTTAGTATCCGTGCCTGCCTGCATGAACGAGGGGGAAGGTCAAAAAAAGGCCCTAGAGCAGTGGAGAAAACGCTGACATTCCAACTGCAATTTCCAGCACGTACATTCGATGGCGGGTGATCGGCCGTGAAGCACCGAGCTTCCAAGGTATGTCCCATACCAGCTGACCTGATTTGCGTCTAATTACTTTACTTCTTCGACGGCCGCTGTTCGATGTTCGATCGCATTAGAATCGGGGCTCCGGAACCCGGCCGCACCCGTGTGTCTTCGGAGAGGGGAAACGGTACTACTAGCCTCAACTAGGTCATACTTCACTAAACAGGTTCTGGTCTAGATTTGTCCGTTCTCTAGTGGGGGGTTTTTTCCTCCAAAATCTATTAGAGAGACTGGGTCGCTAGGACAATAGTAGCATGCAGACAAAGATACTGACAGGGAACAATCCAGTTCAGTCAGCTTCTCTTCGACTACGCTTTAAGGTTGTCCGTGCTTGGTGCCGGTGTACAACGTTACAGCTCCTTCGGCGGCCGGAGCAAAGGAAAAAGTCAAAAGTAGGTACTGGTGGTAGAGCACAATGGATGCGGCCTCAGAGGTCTTTCAAAGCGATTGACCTGTTAAAAGATAGGCCAGTCAAAGAGGCGGGTAGCGGTTCCGGCGCGGCGACCCAGAGAATCGGAGAAAAAGAAAGAGGGGACCCGCGAGACTTCCATTGGAGCCCATCCAGAAAAAGCAGTCCCTAAGGCATAGCACGAAGGATATGTGTATAATATACGTGGTTGACGACGTATCTCTTACAGACCCAAAAGAGAAAAAAGCCGAAAGTGAATAAATCCTCTTTTTCTTTTTAGGAAATACAGCCCAAAACACCCCCAAAAAACACCCAAATCGGCCTAGAATTGTAAAAGGCAAAAAAGAGCGGAGAAAATAGAAAACGCATCCCTGTAATTTTACCAGGGAATCGCCCCGTCAGCGCATCCCCACTCCACTCCGCTTGGCCTTGCTCGGCCCTGCCCATTCACTTCCTCCTCCATTCACTACCCAGGTCTTCTCATCCTCGTTGCCAGACCTTCTCCCAATCCCTTCTGCCACTCTCGGCTCTCCATTCAACATATTGTACGGCGGATGGTGTTGCTCCTACTGTGCAGTTGGCCGCCTGACCTGCAGCTCTCACGCTGCCATCCGACCCTGCTCAACCACTCGAAACCTCCCCCGGTCCCTCTTCTTCTAACCTCCTCTACAATCCCTCTCATTTCACCATGACTGAAGGGCTGGAGATCCCCGAGACCGGGCTGTCTCTCCGTCCCGGCCCCTCGTCCGAGACGTCTGCGGCGAAACCCGCCCAAATCATGCGGCTGAACCTGGCTCAGCATACCCTTGACGATCTCATCGGCCACCTCCTCCGCAATGACAACAGCGCCCGAGTCCGCCTGGGCAAACACCCTTCCATTCACTGGGGCGGCAAGAGTCAGCACTTCCACGCTTACCCCGAGACCCACCGTGCCGAGATCTACCAGAGCTCATCCGACAAACATAACATCTACTTCACTGGTGCCCTGAGCCACAGTCTCGAGGTGGAAAGGGCCAAGGAGGACATGGCTGCCTCGGACCAAGCTCTGGCAAATCTGGAGGAGAGTCTACAAGCCTTTGAGAAGGGGAAAGAATCGAAAGTGCCTGCCATGATTCGACACCCGGATGAATACAAGGCCATTAAGACTGCCGGCGGTGGCAAGAATACTCCAGATCTCAATCGGGGCCTCCTTCGGCCTGCGGCCAACCGTTCTCTCACTGCAAGCCCTCCCCCGGGTGCCGCCAAATCACCCGCTGGCCTCATTCCTACCTCCGCCCCCGCCTCTCAGACCAAAAACAACGCCCGCCTCGAAGCCCTCAAAACCCCCTTCATTCACCTTCTCGCCGTGCGTGCGGTTTCTGCCAAGTTCCTCGCCCGCCAAACTCGCTCCTCTATTGAAGACTGCACATCCTCGCCCAAAAGTACGGAACTGAGAACCGCCTCAACCGTGAGAAATTCGACCTCAAGGATAAAACCTTTAAGGATTTGGACGTGTGGAAGTTCCCGTACCCTAGTCAGGAGGATCGCCAGCAGGCAATTGAGAACGCCATCTCCGCGTTCGACCGCATGCGCATCTCTCGCTCGGACAAGCTCTGGCAGCTACTTCTTCCCAAGGAGGAACGTGGTAAGGGCAAGTGCCTGTCCCGATTGAATCTCGGAAACGGGCCTATCAAGAAAACAGCCACGCCACGAGGTCCTGATGGGGCCGATGATCGGAAGGATGAGGATGTGGACCGGGCGTCGGGGTCTAGCATGACTCAGAAGGCAGACACCGCTACTCACAAGGCCCGGCCCGATAAGCCTGCCAACAAACAACCGGCCAGCAAACAATCTGCTAAGGCTAAGAATACGGCCAATAGTACGCTGACCGGTCGAGTCACAAAGAAGACTGCCGGGAAGAAGGTCCCGGCGAAGGTGGATACGAGCAAATTCAAATCGTCCGAGTTTGTTCACTCCTCGGATGAAGAATCCGATATTCCAGAAGCCTCACCCCCTTCTCCTCCTGCTGCACGTCCACCTGCACAGAACAAGCCTTCCGTGAAGAAGGCTCCGGCTCCGAAAAATCTTCCCGACAAGGCTCAGGTGCCGGCCAAGCGGCCTGCAGAGGCACCCGCTACAACTACATCTTCCTCCAAGGTCCCCAGGGTTGATGCACCGAATCTCAAGCTCGAGTCCACCAAGGCTGCTGCTTCGAAGAAGCCTGCATCCCGGCCGTCGACATCGCCCCAGAAACCCTCACCCCTCTCCTCCCCACCAACCAATGCCTCGGATGACGGGCCGGGTCGCGCCCGGTCTGACAGCCAAAACCATTCTTCCAGCTCGTCTTCGTCTTCTCCCTTGATGTCACAGCTTCGAGCTCAAAAGGCCTCTGCTGCAACTGCCCCCTCGGTGCGGAAGCAGACTGCACAGACCAATGGAGTGTCCAAGCCTGCCGCAGCCGCTAACCCCTTGAAACGCAAGGCGGAGCCAGAACGCCCGCCAGCCCCGGCTGCTCGCACAACTGGTAACCTGGACCACAAACGGCGCCGTGCAGTCAGTACGTCCAGCGGCGGTAGCACGGGCAGTGCCTCTCCGCCTCTGAGCGAGGAACTTGCACGCCAGAAGCTGCGGGAGAAGTCTCAAGATTTCAAGCGGAAGTACCAGAAATATCTCAACTTCCACCGCAAGCTGGAAGCCCAGGCTCATCCTGGAAAAGCGGATCTAGAACTCCTGCAGAAGCAACACGATCGCCTCGAAGTGCTGAAACAGGAAATCTGGGATGAGGATCGGCGTCTCCGCCGTGAAGCACACCACTAAAAACTCGCCATCTCTCTTGCCGATCTACCTTGATGGTGATCTAAGCTCTTGGGCCTTTTCGGTCCATTATTTATTTTCTCTTTCGCTTCTTATTTCTTATTTTCCCTTTCTCTTTTTTCTTCTTTGCATGGTGATGTGCTCACCCCAATGGCGAAAATACATTCCCCCTACTCGACAGCTCGGCGTTCGATGATTATCTTACCATATCTATACCATATCCTTATTTTGTGTTCTCATCCTGGATTTCCCGTTTTCTTTTTCTTGATTTTCTGCATCTGACACACGTCGCGTCTTGAATGATTGGAAGACCATCAACGCGTCACCTTGATTTAATGGCAAAGAACCCTGCATCGCCCAATATTCCCCGAAATCCAGCACAATGTCAGCACTCCGATAGGATGAATCAATGAGAAAAAAAAACAAAGAACCATTCATCAAGATCTTTCCCCGTAGCCGTCATCGCAAAAGTAACCGTCGGTCCTGAATTCCACCAAGTTCCCCACCTATCAGCAGTAGCAGAAGTAGCCACAATAGAGTACAGTAGCACTGACATGCTCCCCCCCCTCCCATTCCCAGCCTTCTAAGGAATTGGCACACGACAAACCTTCATCCCATGACCCGCAACCTAAACCCCCCAAAAAGCCAACCCTCTCAAGCCCTTGGGGGGGGAAACCCCCAAAAGAAGAAACAATGCCCTGCAGAAAACCGTTCAGGTTCCATGAGGACGATCATGATCTTCACGACCGAATCCACCGTAATTTTACCCCGGATCATCAACTCCGGTTCGCCCGCTGGCCCCGCTAATTGCCGCGCACATGGCCATGTCACGGGGGGGCGCGGTACGCCCGCTTTACCGTATTTTACGCTCGACCGCGGTTGGCGCTGCGAGAATTACATCATCCCGCTTTCGTCCATTGGATCAATTGGGACGCTGCGGTCTAGACGAGGCTCAGGCGAGGGGGGTAGTACAGAGACCCATAAAATGGGTGTGCTTGTTTCCTTGGGAGGAGGTCAAAGTCTCCTGGGTCACGGAGGTGATCGGCCTGATGTGCTGGTAGTATCAGTCGTTTCATATGGTCAAGTTTGGCGACCGGGCGTTTATATATCTGGACTCGGTTTAGTACCAAAAACGAAGGACATCGGAAACGAGGACAACACAAGCTAGTGCTACCCTAGTACGAATGAAGTGGACTACGTTACAGCGTTCGCATCGAGGATACTTCGAGCTTCAAGGTAAATCGTGAACCAAATCACCGTTAAAATGGGAATCCCAGCTTTGCTAATGTGAAACACTGGAACAAGATATCATTAATACAAGGGTGGCAAAGCCACCACTGCTATACATGCCCACGCTCTCCCAGTTTTGTAGTCAGGCCCAGATGGACCCCTCCCCCTTCTAGTCTTTGTCGAATGTATTCAAGTCTATTCCAAGTATTTTCCGTAGCTTGAACCAACCCCGCTTGGTTTACGTTTACCCGGTCACCTTGTAGATGGCCTCGGCCAGGCGCTTGACGTTGTCGCTGGTGATACCGGCGACAGAGATACGGCCGTCCTTGGTCGCGTAGACGGAGTGCTGTAGAATTGTAAGTAAATATCGCGCAGATTGACGTTTACGGCTTGCTGGGAAGAATACATACCTCCTTGGCTAGGGCGTCCATCTGCTCGGGCTTGAGGCCGGTGTAGGCGAACATGCCGATCTAAACGAAATTCGGTTAGGAGGATGCTGAGGTGTGAATGGGTTCTGTGATTTTAGCTGACCTGGCTGGTGATGTGGGACCAGTCGTGCTTGCTGCCGAGCTGCTCGAGGTTGGTGCGGAGGAGAGCGCGCATCTCAATGATGCGGTCTGCCATGCCCTTGACCTCACCGAGCCACTGCTTGTTCAGAGCAGGGTCGTTCAGGATGGTGGACGCGACGCGAGCGCCGTGGATGGGAGGGTTGGAGTAGAAAGGGCGGATGAGGATCTTGATCTGGGAGTCGACGCGCTTCTTCTCCTCGGCCGAGGCAGTGACGAGCGAGAAGGCACCGACCCGCTCACCGTACAGACCCTGAACGGATGAAATTAGCGCTTGCATTTCAAACAAACCTCCAATACATCATCTTCACGTACCATGTTCTTGGCAAAGCTCTGGCACAGAGCAATGTTGTGGCCCTCAGCAACGAAGTGGCGAGGCGCGAAAGCGTCCTTGTCAGTGTTACCACTGGCGAAGCCCTGGTAGGCCATGTCGAAGAAGGCGAAGTGGCCCTTCTCCTTGAAGACATCGCTGATCTGGCGCCACTGGGCCTCAGTAGGGTCAACACCGGTGGGATTGTGAGCGCAGGCGTGCAGCAGGATGATGCTGTTGTTGGGGGCAGCCTTGATGTCGGCAATCAGACCCTCGAAGTCCAGACCAATAGTGTCCTTGTTGTAGTAGCGGTACTTCTCGACCTCGAGACCGGAGTCCTTAAAGACGGCATTGTGGTTGGCCCAGCTGGGGTTGGGGAGGTAGACCTTCTTGGCGCCAGGGTAGAAGCGCTCCAGGAAAGCTCCACCGATGCGAAGAGCACCGGTTCCGGAGATGGTCTGGGTGATGACCAGGCGGTCCTCCTTCAGCACAGGCGAGTCGGAGCCGTAAGCAAGCTCAGCGGCAGCGGAGGTGAATGAGGGGATACCCGTGATGCCGGCGTATTCCTTGTCAGCGCGCGACGCAACGACCTTGTCCTCGGCAGCGCGGACGGAAGGGAGAACGTAGGGCTTGCCTTTGTCGTCACCTGTATTTCGAGTAACGTTGCGTTAGCTTCTCTGATGATTGTTTGACTGGGAGGTCTGAATGCGCGCGGCCGGCAATTGCTCCTAGTTTTGGTTTTTTTTTTTTTGGCGGGTGACTCACGGTAAGCACCCACGCCCAGGTTGATCTTCTCCTTGAAAGAGTCGGCCTTGAAGGCCTCGGTGATACCGAGAATGGCATCCTGATCAGACGGGTTAGGATTGCTGCTTTATCAATTCGGATGCGCGTCGGCGACAACGCAATGGGTCGAGCTTACAGGAGGTCCCTGGGGCACGTTGGCCCAAGTAGAACCACAGCGGGCACCCAGGACCAGGCGCATATTGGCCTCGCGGGCAACCGCCGAACGGCTGGCGACTCTCAGGGTGGGGATCATCGTGGAATGCAAGCAGGCAAGCAGAAGAGAGATCTTGGGGATGAAAGGTCTGGGGAAGGAGAGAAAAGGGAAGAACCGGGTAATAAAGGTCGGAGTTGTTGCGTGTCTCATGTGATAGCGGTATCTGGTACCTGGTTTGGAGTGTGGGGTAGCATACAGAAGAAAGTATCTGATACTTATGGTCGGCGCCCCGGAGTCGACCGTCCGGAGACATCAGCCAATCCGCGCTCTCGTCGATTCCCTAGATTGGTCTGTTTACTTGTGCAGGCGGTGATCGTCGCTTCGAGCTACTGAGACCAAAGGCAATTTTTTTTTTTTTGCAAGAGCAACCATAACCTACGCACTCTAGGGGTTTCCCCTAACTAATTTTCCTAATTTTCTACCCATTTCCCGAACCGTGGAAGCTCCGTGGTGGGAGAAAATAGGAAGCCCTGCGGGATCTCCTACTGAATTCCACGTTCCACATCGGCCCTTCCCGGTGAGAGATTTCAAGCAAGATCCACTGCTTCCCCTCACGCCATTCGGGGTAAATTTCATCGATTCTTTCCTGACTCATGCAGGCAAGTGAATTGACTGCTGCGAGGCCTGGACCAGACAAGGTAATCAACAGCCGGAGACGTGCTGGTTGTCTGTTTGATCGGATTCAACTCGGTTAAACACAAGTTGCCCATCCCCACACGCGGAGTCGAATATACTCTCGATCCCCAAACATTGCCATATTGGGAGCTGGATGCAGTGGTCTGTAGATCTAGGGGTCTGCTGCTACAACCTAGCTTTCGTCCCTTATTTTCATTGAGCAGGCACCTCCCCCCCCCCACCGGAGTAGACGCAAAACCGACAATTACCCCTGTCCCTCGTGCGGAGATATGATCGCATGTCATGACAGGAGCAGCTAGCGGACCCAGCAGGTCACGTACAGCATGAGACCTCTTCCAACACCTAAACAGTGGGATTTCATATCGTCTTTGCATTCCTTTCCACAGGCTCAATAAGTGCCGCCTTTTTTCCCTGAGCAATCTGACATCCCTGGCGTCCTGATCGCGCTGATCACCCCCGAACCATGACGCATAAGCTGACAAATAGCCCCGTATGTTTACAGAGTCAGTGGGCAAGTGTCCCCGTAGGTGGTTGATATAAAATGTCGAATACCTTCTGTCATGGGTTGAAATCATATCCAAACCTCCAGAGCTTCAAGCCGAGAACTTGAAAATGGCGTCGTCCGCAGTTTCCGTTACATTAGTACCTGCCGATTGCGGCTCCATCATCCCCGGGAAATCCAAAGCACCACAAGCCTTCCTCGACGAGAACCTCATCAGCAAACTCCGTGATACAGGACTGACTGCCTCTGACCATCAGGCCTTGGATAAACCAGCACGATATTCCCCCCAACCCTGCCCAGCGGGCGGCGCCTGCAACGAGGAGCTAAACGTCCAGGTCTGCGAGCAAGTCGAAAGACAGATCACCAAGAACCTGGAGACCAGCCCGTCCAAGCCTCCTTTCCAACTGATCCTCGGTGGGGAATGTAGCATGGCCCCCGCCATCCTCTCTGCGTTCTGGAAGCACGCCGGAACCCCGTCGCCACCCCAACGGATTGGCCTGATCTATATTGACGCTGACACTGATATGAACACTCCCCACGACCCCCATTTCGTCGGGACCTTTGCTGGCATGAACATGACCCATCTGCTCGGGATGCCTGGGGGTCTGGATAGCATGAAGAAGTTTTCCCGGGACGGGGGAAGCCAGCCGGTCTGTGATGCGACCAATACGGTTTTCTTTGGCACCAATATACCTTTTGCGGGAAACAAGCCTGAGCATATTGAGTATCTTACCACCCATGGCTTCCAGGTGATCGATGCATCTTCCGTAGCGGGGGACCCGGAACAGCAGGCACGTAAGGCTCTTGCGTATCTTGAAGACCGGGTCGATGTTATTCTGGTGCATCTCGACGTGGACGCTATTGACCCGCGGATGTTCCCACTGGCTAATATTCCTAATTTCACTGGTGTAACATTTGACCAGATGATGCGAGCTCTAGGCGTGATGCTTGCCAGTGACAAGGCTGGTGGTTTGACGATTGCAGAAGTAAACCCGGATCACGACCCGGGCCTGGGAATGATCGGGATGTTGACGGACGAAATTGTGGCTATGCTGGGGAAAAGAGCTGGAGTTTGAAAAAAGAAAAAAAAGAAAAAGAAAAACAAGGATATGCATTGAACCGGAATCGACTGGCTTGGTTCATCTTGCCGGCGTCCCTGCGGAGTGACGAAAGTTCAAAAGTTGATCTTGAAGGACCAGATGACACAGGTTGAACCTCACTGCGAAGCTACATTTTTACTAGCAGATAGAATGCTACTCACTAGCAAAGCAGATATCCTAACATAGGGTTTCCATTATTTTTCACCTTAGTAGCTTTATCACTAGACTACAACTTGGGAGCGGCGAACAGCGCATATGCAGAACGGGGGTGTATTTCAACCCAGACGCACACCAGCTTGGCCGGTCTTTCGTGCCTGATCGCCTAAAGCACTCGACATGCCGGTATTTTGACTGCTGTCCACGGTACTCATAGCCTCTCGCTTCTTCTCGTCTTCGATCTTCTTGAGCCGCTTCTCCGTCTTCATTTTCCCGCTACCCTTGCCGTGGAACTGGTGGCTAAGTTGCTTGAATGCCTCCTTCTGGTTCATCGAGCGACCGAACTCATCGACGTATTTGAGCTGTACATCAGGTTTGTACTCGCGGTTAAAAGCCTCGGCAATCTGGCGGGCGTCCTGCAGTTCACGCTGCTGGTTCTCGCGGCGGGCATGCTCCTCACGCTCACGCGCAGACATTCCAGCCAACCGCCCCGAGTTACGATCCCTCTCACGCTGTTGTCGGGCACGGCGCTCGGCCTCTTCTTCCAAGAGGTGCTTCTTGTGGACGAATTCCTGGCGGCTGCGAGTGAGAGCGGTGGCGTCGCTGGAAGCGGGGGTTTTGACTATGCCACGCTGTCGGAGCATGGCGAGAGTGGCGCCCAGACCTCGGTCCAACGAGGCTTCTTCTTCCAGTCCTGTTACACTGAGTTTGGGGTTGGCCTGCTCGGATCCGTGGCGGACGCGCTCCTGGGAGTCGTCGCCTGATTCAACGTCGTTGTAAGAGCGCTCCATATCCACATCTGCCGTTTGATCGTCCTCGTCCTCGTCATCGCGGGCTTCAGAAGGCTTTCGAGAAGTGGCGCGCTTGGGTCGCTCTTCAGGACCAAGATTGTCTAGACGATCGACGAAATTCTCAGTATCGTCGAGGATTATTCCAGACTCGGCGGTATTCTCTTCGCCATCCTCCACCTCCATTGGGGTCTGCGACTGCTCTTCCCGAATTCGCCGGGCGATTTCCTCAACACCCATCTTCTTGCGCTTCTTCAAGGCGGCCTGTCGCTGGGCCGCAAGAGATGCTTGCAGGTCGTCATCGTCCACAAAAGAGATGTTCTGTTCGATAGGTTTCTTCGCAGGTGCCGGGACTCCGCTCGCCGAGTCAATATCCATGGCGCCACCCCCTTTGGCTGCTTCGCCTGGGAAGAGGTCCTCCTCGTCGATGGTAGCGCGTTTCTTCAAAACCCGGTTCTTCGTCTTCTTTGGCTTCTTGATTTTGATCTCGCTGATGTCCTTGTAGTCGGAGGAGGGAGCTTCCGGTTCAAAGTCAAGACTGACAGCACCCATCCGCAGCTGCTGTGAAATCTGCTGCTTCTTGGCACTGCGCTCCGCGGCCGATGACCCCTTGGCATCTAAAGTAAACAGCTTCCGCTTTTTACCTTCAATTTCTTCATCGTAGTGCGAGAGAATACCTTGGTACTCGGCCGTGGGATCGTAGACAGGCTTCTTCTTCTTCAGTTCAAGCCTCTCGGCGGTCTTTGCTTTGTCGACCAGCTCTGTGTTTTCAAGCTCGTCGTCCTCCTCGTCACCCACCATAGTATCTTTGAGAGTAAGAATATGTTCCTCTTCACCTTCGAAGTCGCCCAGATCATGCCCAACTTTGACCCCCGCCAGGTCTTTCGCAGTATACTGCGCCGCCGCAGCCTTTTCCATCTCTTCCTGTTCCTGAGCAAATTTACGCGCCCACGCCTTCTCGGCTTTCTTCGAGCGTTTGTTGAGTTGCGACAACCATGTATCTGTATCGAGATCGGCTCCCTCAGATTCACCGAGCGTACGTCCCACGAGCTGCCTTTCGCGGTCGGCGATTTCGCGTGCCTTCTTGATAGCGGCGTGTCTCTGGTCGCGACGGATCTTGGCGGTTGCCTCCTGGTGGTACTTCTTCCAGTTTTCATGGCTGGCGGCCTGTCGGGTTTCAATGGTGCTTCGAGGCTCGTCTGTATCATCGTTGTCGCTGGCAGGGGAGGTTCGTTGATCATCTTTGGCATCGGGGCGGCTGCTTGTGGCACCAGGGACAGGAAGCGGTTCCATACCCAAGGCCACCCGCGTTTTGTTGGCGGCTAGGATGTCCGCGACGTCCGCCATGGTGATTGTTCCACAGCCCGCAGACAAAGGATGGATTCTGGAGATTTGGAGCGCGAAGGGGTGGTCAGGATAGAATAAACCTTCGGTTGAAGATAGCCAGCCACCAGCTTCACCAGCTTTGTTGGGTTGAGGGCACAAGTGCGGATGGCGTTCAAAAAAGTGCTCTGCGCAAGAGCGATACCATGCATGGAGTTCGACCATGGTGATGGCGATGGCGATAGTCACGTGGTGATAACGCTAAGACAAGAAAGGCTAGCGCCGGAAAATCTTAAGCGCGATAAATAAGGAAGATCGGCCGCCCAATTTTCTCTTTTCTTCTTCAACCGTACACAACCAAGACTTGTGTGCAGATTTCCTGGTCACGGAGGAGCTTGTCTCTTCTGTGTGCCGGTTGAGAGCTGTGCAGTTCGACGATTTAAGGGGCCATTCACTTTTCCATGTATGGCACTTCACGGTATCCGGTCGACAAGTCTAAGATTGAAGGTCCGCGCTGGGGTGTGGCCTGGGTCTTGAGCTCCCTCTGGTGAGCTCGGCTTGGGTGCCCGGTTTGTGGACGGCGTCATATTCCTAATCCCTTTGCCGACTGGCCATTGGCCTGTGAGGTTGGGGAATAACCATGACTAGCCTACATTCCGTTTCGTAAGCCTTTAGGGTTTTCTTTTTTGGTTCTCTCAGTAAAGCCTCAAGGCTATCTCACGAGGATACCCGCAACTATCTAAGCGCGCATCTTTGTATCCGTGCGCCTTGACGAAGGATTGAACAGTTCTTCAGAAATCTATGGTTACCATAGCAGCCAGGAGCAGGAAAAAGCCCTGTGATCGTCATTCATGATCATTACTACCATCTTGCCCAGACGGGCTCAGGTATAGATATGGATATATCTTTTTTTTTACAGTAGCTTCAAATGGCCAGTCACTCCATCCACCACGCTCTTAGGTCCTAGGACACCCAGTACTGTCCGGCTTCCACTAGCAATCTGAGTGCGTCCCGCGTCCTGGATGACACGCGCGCAAAGCCCCAGGCTCATTGCCTGTGCCTGCAAAGTCAAGAGCTCATCCTCCGACTTGGTCTGGACGGCGATCTTGGCCTGGCCGCCGTGCTCCCACTGGCGCAGAATCGGGGAATCAGGTGCATGGGCGAGGAAATATTTGTAGCAGGCGAGGGTCGCGTGGGAGGCTTGGGCAGCGATTTTACCTAGCAAGGACAGACAAGTCAGCTTCTGGAATTTCTTGAGTTTATATCGGTTCCGCCACGGAAACTGCAAACATACCCTTGGTCATGCCGAGATCTGTTCGGACGACTAGCACTAGCTTAACTTCTTCGCGGTTCTCCTTGAAGTTGGCCAGCTCCTCGCCATTGCCCTCATCCTCGCTGTCCTCCTCTTCCTCAGAGTCATCTTCTTCGTCGGAGGAGTCGGCGTGGACTTTGACATCGTAGCCGTTGGGCCAGCCTTGCTTTTCTTTGAAGAGGTTGAGCGAGGCGCCTTGGCCGATGAAGTAACCCGTCACGCCGGCGATGATGGCGGTCGCAATGACGTACGCCGTTGTTGTGGGCGGTAGACGATCAACCGGCACTGGCGCGGCCATTTCGGGACGTGAGGAGAGTGATTGTATGGTTGTAAGAGTGCGTAGGTGATCGTGGCTTGTCATTTCGATGGCCGTTTCTGCGGGCCTCGACCGCCTAGAGGCCGGATCGAGCCTGGCAAGATCTATGCGATCCATGCAACCATGTCTAGCGGTGCTTGTCACGAAACAATTGCATGACCCACTAAATGCACCATGGGAGTTTCTGCTAGGTCTAACATGATTACTAGTAGCCTATTTGGTCACTGAGAATCTGTCACCAAGAAGTACATATCTTATAACCCGGGGTACGGTCGTATAGCAAGCTGCTCGCCGTTACTGCGTCACCAATCACCTCTATCAGAAAAACACACCAGTGCTTTATAGAATGAAAGACCGTAATAGTACGGTCTGGCTTGTCAGTACTCTTCAGGGCACTGCGCAGCTGAGACTAGTAAGAAATGCCAATTTTATCATTTGCACATGTATGATAGGGATCGGGTTCTGGCCCAAGGAGCTTTTATTGGAAAAGATTAAAAGGAACTAGCATAATAAAACAAGCAAAGACCAAGCCAAGCCTCTCAAAAAAATATCAAAGGGTCCATGGAGAGCATTTCGAATGCGCTGACCAAACCCGAATAACCTTAGAACTTCATATGTACAACCTGAAAGCATGAGTTAGCCAGCCATGCCGCGCTTTTAGTTGGCACTTCCACCAGCGGGAGCAGCAGCGCGCTGGCCCGATCCCTGCAGGTTGTTCATACGGCGGCCCCTGGCAAATCACCCAAGTTAGCGACGGACTTCAATGAAAATTCGCAAAAAAAAAAAAACTAGCTACTCACATGATGGTACGACTGAAGAAGCTGATGCCGATCATGAACATCCAGCTAGGAATGGCACCAATACCGTAGATGAAGTATCCGAATGGAATGTTGAGGTTATAGCGAGCAAGGATTCCATCGGTTGGGTGGAGGAAACCCTCATAAGGGGCGCTGTCCTCGTACTTCTTCTCAGAGTGGATCTTGAACAGATCCTGAGCAGTGACGGTGGTGGTGTTCATGTACGTGATGTGCAAATCAGTAGGAAGGCGTTCTTCCCCTTCTGGCTGGGCCTTGGGCACCTTGAAGTAGTAGACGGAGGGCGAGCCGGCGGACCAGGCTGAGCAGAGAATGCGTTCCTCCTCGCAGTTCAGCAGACCAAGGTTTGGAGAGGTCGGATCGGCAGAGAAAAGGATGACCGATTCCTATGTTCCCATGGGTTAGTAAGGGGTGGTTTTTCCGGATATTCAAAGGGCACGACAGGCCGACACGAGATGCGATGCTTTGCGACGCGTCGCGATGCGACACACTTATACGCAGGCAAGATGGTGGAGAATGCAAAACAATGCGCGAAAGCTGCAACTCACATTGAAAGCCTTCTCGGGATGCTCGCAGCGACCGAAGCAGGTTTTGTTGCCACCAGTCACGAAGATCAGCCAGTCCTGGGGCTCGGGAGCTGGGGTCAACAGGGACTGCCAGTTGTCCAGCTTAACCGGCGTGACCCGCTTCTCAGAAACCTTTTCGGCGAGCTTGACGATCGGCTCTGCGGGCACCGCAGTTGGCACGAACGACTTGGCCTTGTTGAACCATCCCTGCACACGGTCCGCGAGGGGGACCTGTTCCTGTGCCAGGGCAAGGGCAGGGAGGAGGGCGACAAGCGATGTGAAATGCATGGCTGTTCAGGTTAGTTGAGATGCTCTGTAGAGGGAGGCAGGGACTACCCACCTGGGGGGATAATTGACACAGGCCCGAGGGATAGGAGGAGGAAGGTCGAGTAGCTGCGGGTAGACGACATCTGGCCTGAGCGCCCGGACCAACCAGAAGCGCGTAATTGGCACGCGGGGACGGGACGATCTGACATGATGTGCATTTCCAAGTTCAAAATATCACCTTCCAAATATTCCCTGGCAAAACCCAACACAGAATGTAAATGTAACAGCGCGTAGTACCTGAATGGATTGATCTCCCCATTGCAGGCGTCCATTGCTGTTCAGGTGACAACGACCCGGTGCAGTGCTAGGTCTGAAACCTATTGCACCATGGTCGGAGTCATCTATTGATCTAGTCCAGTGAAATCCAGAAAGAAGGAAAAAGCTTCGATCCAGCGGATTTCTTGAGGTTCCCAAAGACGTAGGTTCGATTCTGTGGTGGTCCCCAGGACACTTGAATACTGTGACTACGAGCCATATTGTAAGCAACTTGAAGAAAAAGACAAGTCTTAAGCTCCAAGGGCTTGAATGTAACAGCGCTGTAGAGCTTGAAACGGATTAATCTCCCGTAACAAGCAAGTGTAGTACCAGCAGACTGTTCATCGGGCAGAAGACCCGGTGCAAAAAAACTGCCGCAGGGTCTAAGCCGTCAATTGATCGGAATCTGCGTCTCTCCCGCAAGAAGTAGGGTTGGTTCTTGCGGGTGGCCATGACACTGGTAGACCTGCCAGTATCATGGAGAGATATCAGAAATCTTTATTTAGAACAGATCAACCCTATAATAAGTAATCAGTCCTGCTTTGCATCTGGTAGAGATCATGTGTAAAATAGCTCTAAAGCGAGTATTTCCGCGGTCTCAAACATCGATTGACCTAGTTCCGAGAAGAATCTGGAATAGATGGCTCAGCTCGTCCAGGTGCTTATAGACAGCAGTTGGCCTTGGCAACCAAGCATAGATGTATGACAAGACACTCCTTCCCAGTGCCAAATTGAAAATAGAGATCGATAATGAACCTGGCTCTTGTTAATAGAGTAAGCGACCAAGGGGGAAAGGGGAGACTTATCTGGGAGATTTGAGAGAGCAAGCGTCTGAGAACTGTAGAGGACTAGAAGGTTGGTCACTCATGAAGGCAGTTCTGAAAGATACCAGGAGAAGTGGCTGAAGGTCTCCTGGCCGTTGAATCAACGATGATTTTGGCGTATACAAAGGGAAGATGTGGACATAAAGTCTGACAATACTCCGCTGCCAGTGTTAGCAATAGGAATCGACAACAAACCTGGTTTCTTTCCAGTTGTTAGCAGAGTATGATCAAAGGGGAAATGGGCAACTTATCGAAACGTATCGATGAATCGACACAAAGTAGTAAGAGACCAGGGACCCGACAACCCGAGAGTCGGAGAGCCTGACAACCCGACAACCCGACAACCTGACAACAGTGCCAATCTGGAAAGTTCAACTAACTAATAAATGTAGTCCTGATCAAAAACCAGAAGAAGCAGGTAGTATTCTTCTGGCGTTGTATCAATCGAGGACAGTTGATCATGGCGCACGCGAAGGAAAACATGTTGACCGAAAGTCGAACACTACTTTCCCGGCACCAGCAATAGGAGTTTGAATTGACCACGTCTGCTTCTTCTTTTCAATAGGGTAAGTAATCAAAGGGAAAGTGGACACTTATCTATCACATCAAAAAGCAAGCTGTTGTGAACTGCATAGCCCTAGAAGGTTGACATATACGGTTGACAACCATAGCAGTAAAGGCGACGAACGTAGTAGCGATCTAACATTGTCAGCAAGCAAGAGAGAAAGTGCCATACCTACCATGCACTCGATCTCCGTGTAGGAAAAGCGGCGAACGGGGGACGATCTAAAATTGTCAGCAAGCGAGAAGGGGGAGGGCCATACTTACCATGCACTCGGCCCCGGCGGAGGGGAAGAGGCGAACAGGGTGACGATCTAACATTGTCAGCGAAGCGAGAGGGGAGGGCTATACTTATCATGCACTCGGTTCCAGCGAAGGGAAAGCGGCGAGGAGGGCAACGACCTAATACCGTCAGCCAAAGCAGAGTAGGGGAAGGGCATACCTGTAAACTGTGTATCAAAAGATACACGAGCGCCGCGGCGCTTAATGTAGTCCCGAGAAGATCCTGAAAGAAGTGGGTTCGATTCTTCCAGGGTATAAGAGGACATTTAATTTTGGCACACACAAAAGAAAGATGTTGACTGAAATCAAACACCTGCTTCCTCGGCGCCGATAAGTGCACACAACGACGATCTAACATTGTCAGCCAATAAGAGAGGGAAGGGCCATACTTTACCATGCACTCGATATCGGCGAAAGGAAAGTGGCGAACGAGACGATCTAACACTGTCAGCGAAGCGAGAGGGGAGGACCATACCTACCATGCACTCGATATCGGCGAAAGGAAAGTGGCGAACGAGACGGTCTAACGTTGTTAGCCAGCGAGAGGGGAGGACCATACCTACCATGCACTCGATATCGGCGAATAGAAAGCGACGAACGAGACGATCTAACATTGTCAGCAGGCGAGAGGGGGAAGGGACTATACCTGGAAGCCATGTATCATAAGATACAAAATAAACCCCGTAGTCTAAAATCGTCAGCATATCAAAAAATAGGGGAAACGTACCCGATAATAGGCCGCACGCAAGGGAAGATGTTGGGTCATAGAGCCAGACACTGCTCCCCTGGCGCCGGCGAAGGTAAAATGTATGTCCCTATAGGAACCTGAAAGAAATGGGCTCGGTTCTTCCAGGACACGATAGGACAGTTGGTCTTGGCGCACACAAAAGGAAACATGTTGACCGAGAGTCGAACTCTGTTCCCTCGGCGCCGACAGTGAAAAGAACTAACCAGCAGTAAGATGTTCCATCGCATGATCAAGGAAGAGGGTATTTACCTTTTAGTACTTCACTCATCTCGCCCAAGAAAAAGTTCTATGGATACATCTCTTGGATGCACCCATAGGAAATATGTTGACTCGAGCCGGACATCTCTCTGTCGGAGCAGTAACAATGATGATCTAACAATGTCAGCAAGCGAGAGGGGGGAGGGCCATACTTATCATGCACTCGGTCCCGGCGAAGGGAAAGCGGCAAACGAGACGGTCTAACATTGTTAGCAAGCAAAAGGCTAGATGGATCATACCTGTAAACTGTGTATCAGAAGATACACAACGAGTGCCGCGGCGCTCAATGTAGTCCTGAGAAGATCCTGAAAGAAGTGGATTCGATTCTTCCAGGGTATAAGAGGACAATTGATCTTGGCGCACGTAAAAGGAAGATGTTGACTAAAGTCGAACATTGTTTTCCTCGGCGCCGATAAATGCGCACAGCGATGATCTAATATTGTCAGCTAGCGAGAGGGGAGGGCTATACTTATCATGAACTCGATATCGACGAAGGAAAACGACAGAAAGGGCGACGATCTAACATTGTCAGCGAAGAGAGAGGGGAAGGTGATACCTACCATGCACTCGATCTTGGTGTAGGACAAGCGGCGAACGGGGCGACGATCTAACATTGTCAGCGAAGCGAGAAGGGAGGGGCCATACCTGTAGACTGCGTATCAGAAGATACACTTCTGATACGCAGCAAGCGCCGCAGCGCTGAATGTAGTCCTAGAAAATCCTGGAAGAAGTGGATTCGATTCTTCCAGGTCATAAGAGGACAGTTGATCTTGGCGCACACAAAAGGAAGATATTGACTGAAATCAAACACTGCTTCCTCGGCGCCGATAAGTGCACACAACGACGATCTAACATTGTCAGCCAATAAGAGGGGGAAGGGCCATACTTTACCATGTACTCGGTTTTGCGGAGGGGAAGCGGCGAGTAGGGAGACGATCTAAAATTGTCAACGAAAGCGAATTGGGAGAGAGACCAACCTGTTATAAGCTTGTTGATTGTGTCGGGAAAGCAGTAAGCAGGGCGACGACCTAATACTGTCAGCAAAAGCGGAGTAGAGGACAGACATACCTGCAAATTGTGTATCTGAAAATACACAACGAGCGCCGCGGCGGTCAATGTAGTCCTGAGGAGATCCTGAAAGAAGTGGGTTCGATTCTTCCAGGACATAAAAGGACATTTAATCTTGGCGCACGCAAAAGGAAGATGTTGACTGAAATCAAACACTGCTTCCTCGGCGCCGATAAACGCACACAGCGGCGATCTAACACTGTCAGCAAAACAAGAGGGAGGGACCATACCTGTCTTAGTATAGGAAAAGCGGCGAGGAGGGCGACGACCTAACACTGTCAGCCAAAGCAGAGTAGGGGAAGGGCATACCTGTAAACTGTGTATCAAAAGATACACGAGCGCCGCGGCGCTCAATGTAGTCCCGAGAAGATCCTGAAAGAAGTGGGTTCGATTCTTCCAGGGTATAAGAGGACAATTGATCTTGGCGCACGCAATAGGAAGATGTTGAATAAAGTCGAACACTGCTTTCCTCGGCGCCGATACACGAAAAAATGCACACAGCGACAATCACATTGCCAGCGAAGGGGCGGGGAGAGGAGAGAGACTTACCTGAGGTCAAGTCACCTAGACACACGCAAAGGAAAGATATTGACCTAAATAGTCAGACATTGCTTTGCGATGCTGGTGGATGGGAATTGCCAAAAGACGCTTGAAGTCAACATGTACAACGAGCCATTGGAAAAGATAGACAGGGGATAAGAGACGTACATTTTATAAGACCCTGCCGAATGTGGGTGCAAACTCTAAGAAAGCAAATTTGGTGAGCTTGCATTCTGATTATGGCTGAGACCCTTGAAGGATTCTTACCAGCACTGACAAGACATAGTATCGAGAGCAGTCGAAGCCGAGATGCGCGGCTGCGGCCAATCAAAAACCGCGCATCCTTAGTGGGGCAACGGCACGGGCCGTCCCGTCGCCCCCACCTTGAAATATAGCGCACCCTAATGAAATGTTAGCAAATAATGGACCACTGGACCCAGGCATACAATAAAAGAGAACCGACCTTTGGAGCTGGGAGAAACAGCTATGAAGCAGCAAGGATACTTGCAGCGTGTGAAGAATCTTGCATTAGCACTGGGGGATCCATCAGAAAGGTCAAAGAGAGTGGCTCACAGTGACTTCCATGTGGCCGTGAGAATACGTGTGCTGGAACGTGTCAAATCTGTTTTGATGATGGTTTTTACCTAAAAAGGAGATGGAATATTGGAGGGTGAGTAGTGTCATTCCAGGAAACGTGGGCAGAAGCAGGATGAACTTAACTGAAGGGAGCCAAAGGCACTGAGCGTTGGGCCTCAGGACCATGGTCAGCATCAAGAGGAGTCCTCCCTTGATGAAAAAGGGGTACTTCCTTAATGGAAAGTCTAAAAAAGCAGAACAAGAGAGCACACATGAAAGAGAAGTGCCTCGTGTTCTCGTGAGTGATGGACAACATGAAAGTTAGCACAAAAAAGTGACACGTATGAACCTGCCTTCCAAGATGCATTTCACGTAGGACTATCACACCCGGATGCCAATCGCACGTCAGTACTACAAGGAGCCTTGAGAAAGTGAATAGGGGAAGTCTGGGTCTGGAGTTTGTGTGTGTGGTGGAAGAGGAGGAAGAAAGAGGAAAGATTTGGAGGGAGTGAAGATTTAAATACTCAAACAGAATGGGAAAACGTCCACAGATCTCGAGAGCCAATCACGCGATAGCGCGCACACGAGAACTTCCATGAATTTCCGGACACCTTTAGAAGATGAGGGTCACATGGCTGGAATGGAAAAAGCCACTGGGCAAAGGGGAAGGTATAGAATAGTTGATGAGGATATCGGGACACACGTGGCGCGACGCCGGCTTCAATTTTTGCATATTTTTTTGTTGTAAGGATTTATTGGTGTTAGATATAGACTACTTCAAATGCTGAATCGATTATCCTAAAAGGAATGGGGTAGAAAAGCTCTCGAAGCTTGATTATGAGGCCGGAGGGCTAAAAAAAAGTTGGGGATGCGGTAACATGCTAACATACGGCGGATTCTATTAGCACATGTGCTGGCATACCTCAGTGCCTAGTATTTGGACTAGGATTCGGCCATTTGGTAAGTGATCTATTTTGGAAACTGTCACGTCCACTGAAGTTGCTAATATAACGCTTTGGCTTCTTGTGGCCAGTCACCACCAATATGAGCATTTTTTTTCCACCTCTATCTCACTGCAATGACTATCCATCCACTTCTACAATGAAGCTCTACGATTCAATCCGCTATGTCATTCTAGCCTTCCCCGGCACAACTTCCTCTGCAGTCACTTATGGTGAAATCCTGCTAGCAGCGGCCCGGTTTTCAGAGACCATCATTTTCCGCCTCCTATGGTCTGTTTAGGACTTGGACTAACACACATTGCATTGAAGGCCTGCTGGAATCATATTTGACCACGTATTATGCGTCGGACCTTCCTACGTTTCCCTGAGCTGCTCCTCCGGCAGACCTTCTATCGTCGTACCGTTTCCACATGACCTTCAGTCGCGAATCAACTTTGAACCAGCTATTTGCAAACACAAATCTCTACTAAGCCATGAGAAACTATCTGGCACTTTTGGAAATATGAGTCGTCCTCAAAATTCCGGTCCAGGTTCGGGGAAATTACGCCTGTATTTCGAAACCTCATTGTGTTCGTTAATTGCGGTGAGCGAAGAGAGCAGCATGGAAATTGAGTGAGATAAAGAGACTACAGGGAGACCTCCTATATGGTACTGCATAAAGGAGGATATAGGAAAAGTCCCGCTAGGGGACATGAAGCGTGCAATCGCTCTCGATAGGGCTCGCTTGGTCGCGTGACCCCGGAGTACGATGTACCTCAACTCCCCTCGGGCGAAAGGCATGCAAGCTAACATGAACACTGAAAACTTAGACAGAGCCCAAGCTTAATTCGGCCTCCGAGATTTGGCATTTGGAAATGGCCAAATACCAAAGAAATTCCTTACAGCTAATTTCGAACAGGTTTTAAGGCCAGTGCAAAGTGTGTTGAACGTACCAGGATAACCGCTCTATGAGTTCCGTATACCCCGGAATCAAGCATATACAGGATATTTGCTGATTACGAATATGATTTATATGCAGGGCCTCTCCGGTATCAACGGTCCAGGTAGATACCGCACCAATTCAACCGCTGCAACGGAGATGCGTTCAAGCATTAGCTTGTATGTCTTTATAAAGATAAAGTGCTTGCTCCAAGTCCAGCAGTCTAGCTTTGATGCAATAGCCTTTTCAGAACCAAATGAGATACAGATACAAAATTGAGTCCCAGTCCAAAGGTCTTGCGCAGAATTTTTCAATTGGCATACTGAAATATTTTTTAACACCTGAACAATTTAGGCACTGCAATACACATCAACAGATACAATGACTATCCGCCTCAACTCACCTAGGGTACTGCATGGTTCTTAAAGCCCCCATAAATATACACAAGTCTACCAAACCTTGGAAACTTTTTTCACCTACATCAATAATCCAAGTTAGACCAGATGCTGCAACAACACGCCGACTACCGTGATTGCAGCTGTGTTGTTTGGTGTCAGTGTGCACACAAGCGAGTCCAGTCAAAGGCGCACAAGAAGCAAAATGGATTTGACATTACCAACGCCGGTAGTCTATGTTTTCTTGGCAACCAGCATTTTGAACGCTTGTACGAGAGCTAGTTATTTTAGGGCTCGGTGTGAATGACGTCATTGACCATGGCCGGGACTCGGACAGATTCTTCAAGTTCGACAGGGTTTCTACAAGAGCAGTCTACGATAGTCAATCACCTTACACAATCAAATCTGAGTTCTCGACTCTGCTAATCAAGTCTCAAGGTCCAGAATTTTCTCAATAGAACATATTCCATCGGCTTCAAAAGCCAAGCAATCATTTACTAGTCCCGGCCAAATGCCGAGGCCTTGCAATTTCGTCCCATACCAAGAGGCCTCGTTTGTCCAGGTTATCAGGCAGAATTTGAAGTGACAAGACATCCATAACAATGGTGGCTATCGCCCTCTATCTGGGGGGATAAGGAATTTGTGGTTGACGGAAACCGCTTGAGTCAGACCCCGCGCTGGGGGCCGATGTCGGCTTCACCCAGACTAGGCAGATCTACGCTAGTATAAGCAAATTAGGAAACTTTTTTGCTCCCTCGCAGGATCCAAAGGGAATTAGGGGGAAACATTATGCTTTGAGTCTCGATGTGGAATTGATCTTCCACGTACCCATTCATGCGCCAATTGAGTCACAAGCTCAAAGCCAAGGGGAGTCGAGGAGAGGGGAAATATGCGGGCGATGCGCGAACCTCGTCACAGAATCTCCACTTCCGAGCGAATTTTTTTTTTTCGCTTTTTTTTGCCGCCGAGAAAGAGGCATGATTACTACGCAGTACGCACTGGACCACGCACTGGACCACACCGCCCACTCCGCTTTTATGACTCTTACCCTCCATTCTTCCCCTCTAAGCCATAAATTTCGTCTTTGAGTTTCTTCCACTGCTTCAGCCTTTCTGTGTCTTCTATTCTACCCTTGAGAACCTCACTTTCCCCCAATTAAACCTATCCCCATCATGTGTCCTGGCGCCGACCCAGAGCCCAATGGGCATGCCAATGGTGCCAATGGTACCGGTATGGACTCCCCGCTATAGACTTTGGCTGGAAGTTGCAAGTATATTGATCTTCAAGTCCAGACGGCGACCGCGACCACCCCGGCTTCACTGGCATCGAGACCCGCCAGAACCCCCACCCCTCCTCACGGAACCCATACGGCCACAATGTTGGCGTCACCGATTTCCTGAGCAACGTTTCCCGCTTCCAAATCATCGAGAGCACTCTGCGTGAGGGTGAACAATTTGCCAATGCCTTCTTTGATACCGAGAAGAAGATCGAGATCGCGAAGGCTCTAGATGAGTTTGGTGTGGACTACGTGAGTCATCGACCAACAGAGAATGTCAAAGGCTCAAACAAGATGACTGACCATAATTGGCTCCGTAGATTGAGCTTACTAGCCCATGTGCCTCCGAGCAGTCTCGCCAGGACTGTGAAGCTATTTGCAAGCTCGGCCTGAAGGCCAAGGTAAGTCTCGGCCCACGGTGGCGAAGCGGGATTGCGGGCACTGTGTTGTGGATGGCAACTAACAGTACTGCAGATCCTCACCCACATTCGCTGCCACATGGACGATGCTCGTGTTGCCGTTGAGACCGGTGTTGATGGAGTGTGAGTCAAAAGGCATTCTTCAGAACTCATGAGGTGATTTGTGAAACTGACCCGGCCTTAGTGACGTTGTCATCGGTACTTCCTCCTACCTACGTGAGCACTCCCATGGCAAGGATATGACCTACATCAAGAATACTGCCATCGAAGTCATCGAATTCGTCAAGTCCAAGGGATTGAGATCCGGTTCTCTAGCGAGGACTCTTTCCGGTCTGACCTGGTCGACCTTCTCTCCATCTACTCTGCCGTTGACAAGGTCGGAGTGAACCGTGTTGGTATTGCTGACACTGTTGGCTGTGCATCTCCCCGTCAAGTCTACGAGCTCGTCCGTGTGCTTCGTGGTGTTGTTGGCTGTGATATCGAGACCCACTTCCACAATGACACTGGCTGCGCCATTGCCAACGCTTACTGTGCCCTCGAGGCTGGTGCCACCCACATTGATACCTCCGTCCTCGGTATCGGTGAGCGCAATGGCATCACCCCTCTCGGTGGTCTGATGGCCCGCATGATGGTTGCCGACCCTGAATACGTCAAGAGCAAGTACAAGCTCGAGAAGATCAAGGATATCGAGGACTTGGTCGCTGAGGCCGTTGAGGTCAACATTCCCTTCAACAACTACATCACCGGTTTCTGTGCCTTCACTCACAAGGCCGGTATCCACGCCAAGGCTATCTTGAACAACCCCAGCACCTACGAGATCATTAACCCCGCTGACTTCGGCATGACTCGTTACGTGCACTTCGCCTCGCGTCTGACTGGCTGGAACGCCATCAAGTCCCGTGCTCAGCAGCTCAAGCTCGAGATGACAGATGCTCAATACAAGGCTTGTACTGCCAAGGTCAAGGCTCTTGCTGACATCCGTCCCATTGCTGTCGATGATGCTGACAGCATCATCCGTGCTTTCCACCGTAACCTGAAGTCGGGTGAGAACAAGCCACTGATGGATTTGACTGCCGAGGAGCAGGCTCAATTCGCCGCCAAGGAGAAGGAACTCGCTCTGGAAGCCGAGCGCAGCGGTTAGATGCTGCTACAGATATATTTGTTTTCCTTTATTTTGTCTTCAATAGCGTGGGGTGTGCCAGAACGTTCCTGCTGCATCTTGCATAGCGGCATCCCGCTGACGAGATGCTGCAGAATATCTGATGATTTGATGTGATTTACGCGTTTGGGAAATCTTTCCTTTGTTTTCTTTGTTTCCCCCGGTTTTTTAAAAGTGTCTTTTTACTGCACTGGGACCTCGGAAAAGCACGGCTGGAGTGGTCGGAGGGGATCTCTACCTTGTACATAAGCGATGCCGCCCTCACCTGGGGCAGTGGCTCATCAATTCAACAAACGATTCAGAATATGTATCAATGGCTCCCAGCATATCAGAGTATAGACTTGCGTAAATTTAAGGAAATACCCAGTAAAATGAGTCACAGCCAACCCCAGCGTAGACTTTGGCCCACGGGGAGTCATGTGGCAACCTCGGTCCTCGCCGCGTGCAGCGAATCCGGACCCGCGGGCGTGACTTACGCTCACTTCCGCCTTGGGACCTCACCTCTGCATTACTCTATTCCTGAGACCCCCAGGGCAGCATGGGTTCATCCTCCTTTCCTGTAGCCCTGCAGAACAAGCTGGTGGGCTATGGCAGGGCCTCCAGCGCGCATTTGTCTGCCCTGAACATCGACCTGTAAGTACCGAGCGCCGTTCATGACGCAACAGCAACCTTAACCTCCCCATCTCCGCAAACCACTGACTGTCACCAAGAGTCCGAAACATCGTATTCATACTATTCATCCTCCGATACACGCGAAAGACCTTTTACTCGCTCCGCGGCTACGGTGTCTTCGGCAGCCTCCGCAATGTCTACCTTTCCATTCGCCTGTTCTTCTACTCCATTTTCCTCCGCCTCCCCGGTGTGCGCGGCCAGGTTGACAAGCAGGTGACGGAGGCCATCGACGATCTCCAGAAGAAGTTGGTGCAGAGCGGGCCAGATGTGAACCGTTACCTTGAGCTTCCGAAGGAGGGCTGGTCAGCCGACAAGGTCCGGGAGGAGCTTGGCAAGCTTGCGGGTTTGAAGCATACTCGTTGGGAAGATGGACGTGTCAGTGGTGCTGTTTACCATGGTGGTGAGGACCTGTTGAAACTCCAGGCTGAGGCGTTCGGCCAATTTGGCGTTTCCAATCCTATCCACCCTGACGTATTCCCCGGCGTGCGCAAAATGGAGGCTGAGGTTGTCGCAATGGTATGGAATCGATTGCGAATGGTATGATTGATTCAGTGGCTCATAATGATATAGGTCTCGAGCATGTTCAATGCCCCTACCGATGGCGCTGGTGTCACGACTAGTGGTGGCACCGAGTCCATTCTCATGGCTTGCTTGGCTGCCCGGCAAAAGGGTTTCTTGGAACGCGGTATCAAAGAGCCTGAGATGTAAGCTTAAATATACGACAGCGCTACAGAAACATGGTTATTGACATTCTACAGGATCATTCCAGACACAGCCCACGCTGCCTTCATCAAGGCTTGCAACTATTTCAAAATCAAGCTGCACCGAGTCCCATGCCCTGAGCCCGAGTTCAAGGTGGACGTGAACGCCGTTCGCCGTCTCATCAACCCCAACACCGTGCTCCTCGTTGGATCCGCGCCAAACTTCCCTCACGGAATTGTCGACGACATCCCCGCTTTATCTCAGTTGGCCACCAAGTACAAGATACCTCTACACGTGGACTGTTGTCTAGGATCATTTGTTGTCGCCCTTCTCAAGAAGGCCGGCTTCCCCTCTCCCTACGAAGAGGAAGGCGGGTTCGACTTCCGCCAACCAGGCGTAACCAGCATCAGCGTGGACACCCACAAGTACGGCTTCGCGCCCAAGGGCAACTCTGTATTGCTCTACCGCAACAAGTCCTACCGCAGCCATCAGTACTTCATCTACCCCGACTGGTCCGGCGGTGTTTACGCCTCTCCATCCGTGGCAGGCTCTCGACCGGGTGCGCTGATCGCAGGTGCCTGGGCCAGTTTGATGTCCGTCGGCGAGTCGGGCTATATCAACAGCTGTACAGATATCATCAACGCAACCCGCAAGTTCGACTCTGCTATTCGCGGACACCCGCTCATCTCCCTTCACATGGAGGTCGTGGGTAACCCTATGGTCAGCGTGATTGCATTCCGCAGCAAGAACGGCGCCATTGATATCTACGATATCGCCGACGACCTGTCTGGCAAGGGCTGGCACCTTAATGCCCTGCAATCACCTGCTGCTCTGCACTGCGCCTTCACCATCCCCACCGCCAAGGCTGTCGACCAGCTCATCACTGACCTTGTCGAGGTCATCGAGAAGGAGCTCGAGAAGGCAGAGGAGCGCCGCAGACAAGGCAAGTCATATATTCTGCAGCGCGGCGATACATCCGCTCTGTACGGTGTCGCCGGTAGCATTCCTGATAAGAGCGTCGTGAGTCGCCTGGCTGAGGGTTTCCTGGATACCCTGTACAAGGCCTAGGTCCTCGTGGAAATGATTTGACTTTGGTGCGTTCGATTCTGTTGTACATCAGCTAAAATCGCTCTCTATTTTGAACTCTTCGGAACGATCTTGAATTGGCCTTTGCTCGTCAGGTAGAAGTTGCCAGTCTTTGGACAAGCCTGGCTGCTTCGCCTTGGGAGTATTGTACTCTTATGTGTGATTATCGGCGCCTCTACATCTGTCCTAGCAGGCTGGACACGAAAGCCAGAAGCCCTTTATCCTTATTCAATTAATTGAGACTGCACATAATCTTTTTCAAGCATCGGGGGATTTCCCGTATAATACAGTAGGAGGCTTGAAAAAGCAATCCGCAGAAAGCCGTGGGTAGAATACATGACATAAAAAAGCCCGCTCATGCAAAACAAAACATATAAAAATCCAAGCCCTCGGCTCTAGGTCGACACAGCACAACTCGTCGAGGAACCAACTCATGGACAGCTATGTATGGCGATTACGTCCCTTCGCATCCATGCGGCTGTCTACCTTGACAGCTCAGCCCGCTCCTGAGCAGCGGTCTTCTCAATATAGTATCCGGGATCCGGCTTGCGTTCCAAGTGAATCTGCTGCTTGGTGAGGCGCTGCTCCACCTCTTCGACTGTGACAAGCTCCTTCACTTTCATGATGAGACCTGCGGAGGACTGCGACACGGGCTGGAAGACTGTGGCCATGCGCTTCTTCAGGCCAAGGGCGTGGAGAGTGGCTCGCGTGCGTGCTGGGAGACCGATTGCGGAGCGCACGAGTTGGATACGGAAGAATCGCTGGGCGGAGTTGGACATTGTGTAGAATGAGAGGATTCGGATGGAGGAAAGGTTGTGATGGCCGAGAACACGCGGTAGTTGGGTGGATTATGAAGTCAACCGGGCAACAAACAGGGCAGATAGGCTGTAATGTCTCGAGATTGGCAAATTGGGTTCGAAGCCCTTGATTGTGCTGGCAAAAGGTGACAATAGCCAAATTATTATGATACCAATTGCCATTCTTTAACTCGGTTTCGCGGCATCGAAAATCTAAGGCGGTGGCTCACGTGCGCCGTTCTGCCCCCCCCGGATCACCGTGTTGGTGGCAGTACAGCTTCCGCAGCTCCCCCTCCCACCGTCCAATAATGCACTGGACGGGGACTTGAATGATACGAGTGCTTGACCCAGGCAGCTGCGTGTGGATGAGGCAAATCCCACCCCGTCGGATGCCCGCCGTATTGAACCAATCTCCCCTATAGCAATCGGAGCTGCCTACCGTTTAAAGTACAATTACCCCAAACACCAAGGCCACCACCATGGCCCAGAACGCTGCGACGGATGGCACTGTTTCAATGCCGCGGCTCGAAGACCTCCTCCGACATCCAGAAGATCTCGACAAAATCACCGGTCTCAAAGCCGAATACCTGCGCAAGAAGACCGCCGTTGACTCCCGGCTGCGCGAGGGCCTACGAGACCAGCTTGAAGCTGTGCAGCGCGGCATTGCCATCCTGACAGAGGGCCAGCGCCAAGTTGCCAAGACAAAGGATGAGCTCCAGGGCATCGATAAGCTGTGTGCAGAATCGCAGGACAGCGTAGAGGACTTTGCGCAGATTGACAAGTTAGCACGGATTCAGCGACACTTCGATGCTACCTTAATGATGAAGAAGGGGCTCGAGAGTTTCAGCGCAGACCTACAGGAAGTGGAGGAGTTGCTTAGAGAGGATGATGAGGATCTCGAGACTCAGCCGAACCTCCTCCGGGCCCATATGCAGATCTCTCGGTTGCGGGACTTCCGGGATGAGGCTATGGATCAGATTCGGAAGGCAGATGATGCTAGCGCAACGCAGACGTTGCTTGAGTATTTCGACGGTCTGGACTCGGTTATCGAGTTGTTTGATGATCATCTCGGCGCTGCCTGTATGAATTTGATTCCGTTGGTCCAAGAGGATAATAAGAGTTTGGTGGTACGATTGGCGGTCATTGTGCACAATGAGGAGAAGAACGATGATACCGTACGAGCCCTGCAGGAAGCGCAGAAGGACCACAAAGATTTAGCCAATCGGTTCAAGTCTATGAGGATTGGCCCTAAGACAGTCCGCGGCTACAAGGAAAAGTTCCTCGAGGCTATTGAGTATTACGCTCGCAATCAGTTTGAACAGACCAAGGAGAAGTTCCTTGCTGATCCAGACCGTCTGGAGAAGAGCTTCCGCTGGTTCTTTAATGATCTCTTCACAGTCCAACAGGGAATGCAGAACCTGGTTCCGAAAAAGTGGAAGATCTACAAAACCTATACCGATATATATCACCGCATGATGCATGATTTCCTCATTGAGTTCATTGACGACCCTGACGTTCCAGCCGATAATCTTCTGAGGATCATCCACTGGAGCGATAGATACTACAAAAAGATGAAGAAACTTGGTTGGAACCCGAGTGACCTTCAACCTAACATACTGGATGATCGTGAACCAGAGCTCATCCGACAATGGCAAAGTGTTATCATCAATGCCGTTGAGGAATGGATGGACCGCATCTTCGAGACAGACAAGAAAAGCCTCATGGATCGACAGCCAGATGCCCTGGATACAAATGCAGATGGCTATTTCCGCACAAAGACTCTCCCAGATATGTGGCGTATGCTTAACGAGCAGATTGAGGCGGCCAAAGCCGCGGAGCGGGCGGATGTCGTGGAGGGTGTCATTGATGCCATGTTCCGATCCCTGAAGAGTCGCCAAGGAGCATGGCAGTCACTTCTAGACGAAGAATGCGTTAGACGCAGATCACCAGGCAACGATCAAGCCGAGGGTGTGCAGCTTCTTCAGGACTGGTTGATTGGTGTGGCAAATGACCAGATTGCTTGTATCGACGATAACGAGGAAACCGGTCAAATGGGCTACCTGTCACGTTTCAAGGCCGACTTTGAGCCACTAGTGACACCTAAATACATGGCGACCCATGCAAACGCCGAGCTTGCGGTGCTACGTGATGGATACGTTGACTTAAGTACACATTGTCTTGCGCAGTTTGTGACTATTGTTTTTGAAGTGGATCTCGCAAGTGTCTTCCCTGACTTGTTCACGGCGAAGTGGTATGGCGAGTTCGCTATTAAACGGATCACATCCACATTCGAAGACTATATGGCTGATTACAGCCCTGTTCTACACCCGTCATTGATCGACATCCTGGTCGAGGAACTATCAGACGAGCTGCTTGTGCGCTACCTATCATCTGTCCGCAACAAGGGTGTCAAGTTTCGGCGCAACGTCGATCCCTTCACAGAAAAGTTCAAGGACGACGTCCTCACGGTCTTTGCCTTCTTCCAGAAATACGAAGATTCCTTCGAGGGAACCATCAAACAGAAATGGCGCCTTGTGAATTGGCTGGTACAACTTCTCGAGGCTGAGAAGGGCCCGCCTTTGATCCTTGTATATGAGTCATTTAAGCTAGAGTACTGGGATCTCCAACTCTCATGGGTTGAGGCTGTCGTGCGCACCCGTGATGACTTTGACCGAAGCATGATCAATGGCATCAAGGCCAAGGCCGCCGAAATATCCGTCGAACGTGGCATGGAGACTATCATGAGCCGTGTGAGATGATAGCTCTGCTTCTGCATCTAGCCAGATCCGGACCTCAAGCGGGCTTGGGAGTCCAATCAACCATTTTGATCAATAATTTAGCAGGTAACTAGTATCATGAATAATAGACGATGTCTTGGAAAGTCGGTTTACTAGTGTTTCTTAGGTAGCCATGGGTAGGTTCTAGTAACACTGATTCGGGCTGAGATTAGATGGGCGGAGGGCCCTTATGCTTCCCAGAAATTCAAATCCTGCTTCGATATCACAGCATACTGCTGCCCAAGTCGTGCTGGCAGATTTTCGAATTTAAATTGATCTCCATCCAAGAGATCTCCAGGCACCGGATTGTCCGCACTGATATCTTTTGCACCCATCTGACAAATGCAGACTGATTGAATAGGGACATCTTTTGCCCAGACAAACGGGTACTTCGGGCGGAGTTGCTCCGCGGGAGATTCGCCCGAAGCTTGCAAGCTGGTATCAGATGATGCATCCGCCTCTTGTCGCACAGTACGTGCCTCATCGGCATAATAACTTTGGTAGTGCTTCAGTAAAGATCTTACATCCATTTCCAGCCTCTTCGGCTCTTTGGGGCTGTTCTGGGATTTCGACCGAGCTGGCTTGCGGCGAACATAAGAAGTGTTCACGATGGTAGCATGTAACAGGAGTGGCCGAGCACCCTCGTCTGCAACTTCGCCAGGCCGCTGGCTTGTGAGATCAGCGCCTTTTCCTGGCGGATGTTGACCCCCTTCTATGAACCCCGCTTTGATAAAATGCCTTCGTAGAAGCACGCAAAATGCCCACAAACGACCAGTTGGATCAAACGGCTCTACATAAAGAACAGTGGCCTTCCTTGCTGTTGGCAGGGGATGTAAGGACTCTAAGGAGACAGAGAGGGGGCTCGTCAGCGGCTTTGCTTTGTGCTCAGAGTGTTCTGTGTGCCATGGACGAGCTGCGTCATCGGGTGGGATCGCCAATGACTCGGCTTCGCGCATTATCGCAGCCAAATCGAGAGATTGAAAGAGGCCAATCGCAGCGCGAAGTCTCTCCGGACTCGGTAGATACATCACCCCTAACGTGAGATGCAGGGTTCCTAAAGGGCGATGGGCGCCTTCGGGGATAGGCGAGGCTTTGGATTGGCCATCCGCTGATTGGATTGTGCCGGAAGTTGCGCTTTCTGAAGACACCGGCGGGTACTCATCCTTGAAAGCTGCCAGTGACGATTCTAGCTGTAGCAGGGAGGCAGAGTTGATTAAGGGCACACAGAGAAAGTGAGTTGGTTTCGAACGTGGCGGCTGGATATTGCGGCGTGTCATGTTGACTTTAGCGCTAGAAGACGCAAGGTTCAGTTGCTGAGTGATCACATATGATACAGGGCTATGGCGTATGGAGCGCAAGGAAAATACCATCGAGCACAAAGCGAGGATGAACACGATATCTCGATTTGACTTTATGCGAGTCTTCGAGGCACGAGGCTTGGATGTGGAGGTCACGCACGGGCCATCGCGGGCCATGTATACGCCGTGAGTCATGTAGCATCATCGTGCCAGCAGATCAGACTTTGGCCCCGAGTAGCCATACTTGCCAAAGGTTCATGCGCCATATTCAAAGAGGCAGAATCGCCTTAGTCAAATCCTCATGGCCCACAAGAAAAGACACACCGGTTCATGAGAGTATGTGTTGGATAGCAAGTCCTAAACTGTCTTCAGCACGACGGAGACACAACCCTTCTGCGTCAGCCAATGCGCTATCGCGATGAAATGTAGATGCTAAAAAGAGCAGCATTGCTGTCACGAGCTCCCCGAAACTCACCTGATGTTTCTTTGGAAAGAATACCCGATAGCCTTCGATGCGCTATGTATGAAATGTACTAGGTGTTCTCACGGGAAAGGCGGAACACAAACCTTTTGCATCAGCTAGCGCGCGATCCACGTGCGGAATAACAAGCGTAAACTTAGTACTGCTGCAGCGAGTTTCTAAACTCGCCTTAGGTATTGAGGGGCCAATACCTTGGAAATCTCCCAATACCTATGATTTGCGAGATGGGAGAGCTCGAGTCCTAGATCTTCACGGAACAGCAGACAGACAAACCTTCTGCCAGTGCGTCTCCCAAATGTGATAAGAATCCAAGCAAGTGTACGAGCAACACTGCTGTTGTGAGCCTCCCCAAGACTCACCTTGTGTATGGGGAGAAGCGTCATCGCAAGATTCGCACACCGTGGAATGAGAAATACTTTAGGTCTGCACAGAACAGCAGAAGAATTGGCCCGCTTCAGCAAATGCGCATCACAGTGTAAAGCTTGCCGCTTCAGAGAGCAACATTGCTGGTGTGAGCCCCCTCTCGAAGACTCACCAATTATCAAAATTTTAGGCACAGCAAGGGCGCAAGCCTGGAGCGTGTCTGATCAACCTGGAAAGATTTGATAGAGATTTGAAACCATCAGATAAAGTATGCCTTTCAAATGAGCCGTGAAGTTATCGAGACGTGTTGAGGAAGATGAGCGGTGTGGGGAGGTTCGATGAGTGGAATCACGTTGATGGAGGTGGAAAATGTCGATGATGGAGAGGCAATGTCGCGAGATAGTGAGGTGAGAATACGCGTTGCGGAAATGAAGTGTGTCTAGTAAAATGTGAGCTTACCTGGATGGTTTCTAGAGTTGCTCGCTAATCAGCAAGCCAAACAGAAGCGACTGCATGAATGTGATATCTCCGATGAGAGGACAGGGTGCTCGTGGAATCTTGAAGAAGGTTAGGCAGAGGAGTGTCGAGAGTTGAAGAGAAGAAAAAGGCTGAGAGCGTGGTAGCAGTAATTATAGCCTGAAGAGCAGTGAAAGTGGTGTCCTATTAACGAAGTCAGAGGAAGCTAGAAGAGGTTATATATCTAATCATAGGGATACCCAGTCGCAGCATCACTTTGATCCGCTAGACGATTAAGTGGCCTCAGGCTCAGTAGTATCAAAAGTGTTACGGAGCGAGCTGAACAGGCATAGCTTGAACGACGTCCGGTAGCATGACAATTAGCAAATGAGCACGACTCTGACCGAGCCGTTCCATGTGTAATGCGGGTTTACTACTATAGCATCTACTGTGAAGGACCGCAGCTTCAAGTTGACATAGTCTTGATGATCTATAGATTACTTTGATTCGATATAGTGATAGTTGAGAATTATCATGGCTTGGTTACGTGGAAGATGCCTAAACAGACAGTCCCCTTGGGAATGAAGCCTTCCCAAAATTTGAAGCAGGATATCCTATCCAAATACGGAGCTACTCAGCTCTTCTTCCGGCCCTCAATCACCCCCAGCACATCCGAAGCACTGTTCTTATCGCCCCTTTCTCTTCTTTGGCCCACGCTTACGCTTCTTGCCACCGCGATCATCGAAGTCCAGCAAAATACTATTGTCTTCTTCTTCGCCGTCCTCGATTCGACTTCCTCCAAACCCAAAATCCAAATCGGCAGCATCCATGGCGTCGCGACGCCGAACTTCTTCGAAGAACTTTTGGCGCCGCAGTGCTTTTTCTCGATCCTCGTCACTCTCTTCTGCCGACGGCGAGGATTTCTGGAGATTCGCGGCCCGCCTCTTCGCTTCCAAGAGAACAGGGTCATTTTCTAAAGATATAGAGGGGCCCCCTGTTTCATCTGTAGCAGAAGGGCTACGAGTTCCGAACCAATTGCGCGGTTTGAAGGGTACAGCTTCATGCTCGGAAGCTGGCTGGTCATTCTGAGACTCCTCATCCGATGCTGAGATTTGTCCGGAGGGTTGTGAAACCTCCTTTGGTTTGCTTGCTGTTTCGGAGTCTTCATCAGACGATGAATCCTCATCTTCAAGACCGGCCAGGGGGGTTAAAATAGGTGCCTACATCTGGAAAGATATCCAGATCCTCGTCCTCGTCCTCTGGAGGCACACTCGTGGCATTCTGAGCTGCTGCCTGGGCGGGAACTTCCACCTCGGGAGGCTTAGCAGCTTCATTGGCAGTTGGCATTTCTGCAGTAGGCTTCAGTGGCTCGCCGGGCTTGTCAATCCACCGAGTCTTGCGCTTTGTATTTCCTTGGGCATCCGTGATAAGCAACACCTCGCGCCGGCGTCCATTCTCATCTGTCTCGACAAAACGCCTTTTTCCGGGCTTGCTATCCCCAAGCTTCTTGAATCTGGACCCAAGGACGGACTCCGGCTTTGGCGCCGGGGCATTCGCCGCCGCCCGACTCTCCTTTAGTTCCTTTAGAATTTCGTTTCGAGTTTTAGCCGGAGGAGACGGAGGAGCCATATTTCCCTTCTTCTCTTTCTGCCCTTTGAGCACAGGCGTAACCTCCTCTTTTGCTTTCTCCTCCATCAAGCGATCAAATTCCTCTTCCGCCTCTTCGCCAGTAAGCGCCGGCTCCTTCTCCTCGGGCACCTCGTCCTGCGGTTTTTCTGCTTTCTTTGAAACATCCTCGCCAGCTTTGGCTCGCTTGAGGAGTTCCCAGTCAAGCCCTTTGACCAAATGCGTAGTCGTAGTATCACCGCCGACCCCGAGTTCCCTGCATAGCCTATCGAAAGTCGCCCGGTCCATCTGGCCGAGTTTCACCATCTCTTCCAGCGCTTGAACTCTTCTTGCGAGATCGTCCTCTTTTCCTTCTTGTGCATTCCGTAGCTGGGTGCGGTCCTGGTAGCCTGCCGGTAGCTTGGTGCCCTTGGGTGCGGCGGAAGATTTGAATCGCTTCGTAGCTCGCTGGTCACCCTCTGCGCGTTGTTCGGCGAGTTGGCGCGCAAAGTCTACGCCAGTGACAGATCTCCTACATTATACCAAAAGATTCAGTTAGTGAATTCCTCGGAAAAACACATAGGAAGGTGAGCGTACGGGGTCATGGGAATGCTGGAGCGCATGCGCGAACCGAGAGCCCCGCGGGGGGTCGCAGCGCCGGCTGCATCGGTGCGCGAGGAAGGGGACGCTCTTTCGCCAGGCTTGGAAGATGAGTTATTGGCGACGAGTCGCCGGAACTGCTCGTTGTTCATGGTTGTCAAGCTGTGGCTTAGAACTGTCGTCCGCCGACGTCGAATTTAAGCATGCGGAGGTCTTGGCGCGGATAGAGACGCGATAAGACACGATAAAGTTTCCTTATCGCAGCATCACGGGGTCGACTGCTTCACCTCTTAGCCAAATACTAGTTATACAGAGGTTTCTATTTCAAGCATGGCGAGAAAGTTCGATCATTGCATGGTTTTATTTTGGGATGCTACATTCCATAAATCATTGTTTTTGGCGTACCTCTTGCCGCTTCCTACCTAATAGCACAGAATTCAAAAAAAAGCCTCAAACGTATGTTGTGCCCTGCAGAAAACCACGATTCATTGACATCCCCTCGATTCCGAATTTTCAAGTTTCATCCATAACATTGCCACTGCATTTTGAGGTCCCTGGGAGAGGTCTTTCTTTCGCTTATCTCAGTCGATGTCGTCGACAACGCCAACAGGCCCTCATTCGGCAATTAGTACACATGAAGATGTACTCCGGCATGACCTGATAACAAACCGCGCATTCGAGATCACCATGGCAGCGCCATTTCCATTGCTGTGCTCTGTGATGCTCACATCCAAAATCTTCATTGTGGCGAAGGTCTTCCATCACGCGCTGCAACATGTCGTGGCGGGCATTCTCGTCGGCATCTAGAGGGAGTTCTTCATTAATTGCATCGTTCGCCGCAGTTATCAGTCTGTCTTCATGCCAGTTAGCACATTGACAAGTCTTCCAGACTTCTCCGCAGGTGTAGCAAAACTCGTGTCCGCAGCTGTATCTTGATCAGCGCTGAGAACCTCATAAAATCTCCATTAGTAGCAGCCATTCACATACCGACATGTAATATGATTACAACCATAATGCAACTCCACCATCGCCCGGCAATTATTGCAGCGTCGCCATTCTTCGGCACTGGCTAGCTCTAAGACACCTTGAAGGGCGTCGTCATCTGGACAGTCAATTCCGGGGTGTGCAATAGAGCGGCATACCAGGTGAGTCTGTGTGTTGCAGTCCTTGCAAGTACCTATCTGGTCCTTGATATTTGAGCCAGAGATGAATTTCGAACACGCTGGATTAGCACAGTACAGGCGCTCTTTGGAAGTCCATTCCATCGCTTTCTCGCAGAAGGCTCGAAGCTCCTGATAATTGAGAACCCTCATAATAGTCGCGGGTGATACGGGCGTTCCACAGCACCGAGGTGGATACATTTCTTCATTTGTCGTTGCACCGAGAAGAAGTTGACGGACGCAGGCAAGGCAAAATGAATGACCGCATGCACCTTCGAACATGATATCCTCGGTCATTTCAAGGCATCCAGTGCATTCTTTCTTGATTTCCAAGACTTGAGGCCGGTATGCGGGGAGGGACAAGCTTTCGCCATTATCCAAGGTGTTTTGCAATGGAATACGACTCATCAGGTCCCCCATGATAAGCGAGATCGCATCCTCCTCATCGTTTTCTTGGGCCTCATCCTGCTGTTCAATCTCACCATCGTTTCTGTTCAGATCAAGAGCATATCCACGATCTCTGATTGCAAGGTTTTCTTCGCTCTTAATCGATGCCAGCAGGTTTTGGTCCGTTGCAACAGCGGCAATGGTGCTCTGGGCCAAAATGCTGTCTTGGAGACGGATTTGCGCAGTCTGGATATCTTCTCTCAGGCGGGTTATGGCGAATTCTAGATCTGTGGGTTCTCCCAGAGCTTGTTTGTCCTTTTGCTGACTTTCTAGCTCCTCCAAGTCATGTAGAAGGAGTTGAAGGGCCAAGGATGAGCTTTGAGTGTCCGACATTATCTTGGATACCGCTGGATGATTACCACGGAGTATGCGTTGGTTGCAATTGAATGAGAAGATTTAGATCAGTGGTGGGCCTTGTGGGGTCTGACCTTTGCAAGATTCTGCTTGTAGCGCGCGCGAAGCAGGAGTCACAACAGTGTAACGTGTAGAGACGCGAAGGTATGGGACTAAGTTCAAGTGAGGAGGAACAGGGCGGCAGAATCCATTAGCATAGAAGTGTTTACGCGAAAGGCAAACAACAGTTTAAAGCTTACCTACTAGTACCCCTCAAGCACGTGCAACCATTGGTTCCAGTCACGTTGAGCAGATTTTGCTATTATGCCATAATACACCTATTGTACAGTCTGCCGGGGTGTATACTAGTAACGCTACTATATGTATCTCATTGGCTCCTATAAGCCAGGAGGAAAATATGGGACGTACAACATACCAGCAGTAATCGACCTATTAAGACTTAATACAGTTAGAATTCGATGTACATGGCTGTACCCGCTGCAGAAAAGAGGTCACGAAGAAACAACGACATAATAATTGAAAACCCGAAGACTAGCAAACGATAGCTTGTCGGGGGATTCCGCAAGATGACTAACAAAGCAAAGTAGCAAGCAAACGCTGGTCAAAAAAAAAAAAGTTTCTTTTAACAATGGCGTTCATTAAATCGTTTCCCATCCACCGTTGTTGATCTCAGATTCAAGCTTCCTGCTAATGGTTGCAGGGATGGAGTGTGAGAGCCAAACGTCACGTAAGAGTCTGTCATAGCGCTTTTGATTCAGGATCAACTGGCGGTTACGCCGAAGACCGGGGTCGACTTCGCCGTGACGATCGAGGTATGGGGCAAAGTGCCACGATCCGTTGCGGTTGTGGAGATACAGAACAGTACATTTGCGAATATTTATGAACAGGCCGATATTCTTGCCGCATCTGCAGTTGACATGTGGTTAGCACTTGGTCTACAGAGGGTTGATCTTGTTGTTATATACTTACTTCTGCAGGTGCTGGTTGCAACCGCCTTGTTTGCCCTTCATACAGCATACAGCTTGCGAGCAGAAGATTTCGCCACAGAAGAGACAAATGCTTGGATCGGTAAGCTCCTTGCCTGTAGTTGGGCATCGGCGTCGGTTTGCTTCCTCGATAAGGCTATCGAAATACTTCGGAAGGCCGACGAGCTCGAAAATTGCTGGGTGGGGCAGACTTGGCCAGAGGCGGTGGTCCTCGAATCGGATACCTGATCGTGATGCGTTCCAGTGGAATATCCATCCGGAGATGATAGAGTCGAATGGCTTGTTACTCTGTCTCGCTGGGTTGATGGTCAACAAAATTTCGTCCAGGTGAGGCAATTGCATAATGTTTGTGAGTCTATCGAGCTCTGGTGTATCGACATCAGCAAAACCAGTATTCGGGAACTCGACGCCATGCTGGACATGAAGGAGAATAGCCGCCTTGCGCAAGAATGTCAGTGCGTAGCTGGAAATAAGGCGACGCAAGCCTTTGATGACTGCTGGTGTTGCCGACTCCTCTCCGTCCTTGACATAGCCGCTTGCTGCGGGCCAGGAAGATCCCTCAGCGCGTCCGACCGAATTTGCTTTCAGCTCAGAAACAATTGTGTCGAAGAAGTGCTTAGCTACTTCGAATCGAGCGGTAGACAATTCGTTGTCGTTAATGTCTGTGTCTTCGTGCGACGCAATTTCCTCTTTCAATCCGAGGGGCCACAGGATGAAAGTGACAGCCACCTTGACAATCTCAGCAACGTAGCACAATTGGATCAAGTGGCGGACATCGATGTTGAGAACTGGCAGCAAGGAAAGCGAGCATTCTGCAAGGAAAACGAAGGTATCCATTGCGAGCAGAGGCTCAATGTTTCTAACATCATTCAAGAGAGTTGTGCCGCTCATACAGGGGTGACCAACAAGCAATTGACAGATCCTTTGTCGGTGCATCTCTTGGAATTCTTGCGCTGGGCGACTCTGGGTGTTGTGGGAGTTGACGCAACCAACCGCAGCATATGTCAAGGCCGTTTCGGCCAGGACACGAAGATGGGTGAGTGTGAGTGGGGGGGGATCTTGTCCAAGAGAGTAGATCCAGGCTCGGACTCCACCCTCGCTGAGCAATCTCGATTGCGGCGATACTGAATCCGAAGCTTCGCATCAACGAATCAGTGTGCACAAGATCCTCGCCGTTCATAGTCTCAGGGGTGTTATTGAAGATAGAGTTAATGTGATTCGTCTTGATAGTCTTCTTGAGTCGTCGATAGATCTGGACTAACTCCAGAATCGGACTATCAGAGGAACTGGAGACGTGCTGTAATGGACTTGATGGAGGCCCTTCCTCCGTTCCAGGGTAGAAGCCTGGCATGTCAATGCGCAACGTGGATGAGACATATTGCGAGCCGCCAGGAGACTGCATTGCTGGCCCAATGAGCTGGGCAACCCTGGAGGACAAAGGAGGCACAAGGGTCTTCGAAAGGTAGTCAACGAACATATCAGTGTAAGAATGCTGATAACCCTTTTCCTTTTCGATCATCAAAATTGCAATGTTCTGAGGCTGATTCAAAGCATCCTTAAGACCAGTGTTCATCCACTCGTCAAATGAAGTAGCGGTACTCAAAGCTCCGGGGTAAGACTCTTCCTTGCCCTTCCAGGTGATGGGCAGGAATGCATTACCGAGGGCCTTGCAAAGTGGACACACAAATTCCTTTCGCAAGGTGTTCTCAGGATGGTTTCGTGCAATCTGCTGGCTATGCCGCCTCTGTGTCGCTGCGTAATATACCTCAAAGCATGAATAATGCATGATGTGACCACAGCCAGTCGTCACAGGGCCACGCAAAGTGCTCTTAGGGTGAAAGCCTTTGCTCAGTCCCACCTTTTCACTAATCACTTCACCCCCGGAAGAGTCGAGGCGGCGAATAGTGGTCCGGTTTTCACCCGCAACACCAAAAGGACGGATTTCGTCAGCAGATCGATCCAGGCTTGTCGGTGTTCGGAGAACCTCTCGGATTCGATCAGGGTCCCGAATGTCTGTCTGGCGCAGGATTGTGCTATCCTGGAGCAGGGCAAATGTTCCATAGAGCCTGGAGTCATTCGTCTCCTCCTGGCAGAGAATACAAGTGCCACTTGGGTATTTCCAAGCTTTTGTTTCGGGTGCAGCTTCTGTCTCTTCCTCCAGATCGCTGAAGTCTTCCTCGCCCCAGTCAATATCTCCCTGGCTGTTCAAGAAGTTCTGTTGCTGCTGCTGGAACTGCGCCATAACTCTGGCCTGTCGCTCCAGAGCCTGCTTCTTTTTGGTTTCTTTCTCATTATCCAGGTCAATCGCAGGGGAACTCGTATCGATACGATCATACGGGAATTTCAGGGAAGCAGTTGCAGAGGTATAAGTCCGGGGTCGTTTCTGCCAAAGTCGCTTGAGGATATGGCGGATCTTAGCGCCACAGGAGACAAACTCATTCATGACTGAGATTCTCTCCAACAGACCAACGATGGTCAAATTGCCCGCCTTGATTTCTCGGGATTTGGACAAAGCGTGCAGATTGAAAGACTTCCTGTCGTCGGTTTCCATATCTCCATCTTGAGTATTGTCTTCCAGCACAGCAGCGAGAATGAGGTGCAGGATAACTTGCAAGAAGGTCTCAACCCGTGTCGGTGGGATTGTCGGCGTGCACTCGCTCGATGAAATCACGTATTCGAGGCACTGGTGAATAACCTGCGCGAATAGCATAGTTCCAGTGAAACGTGGAAGATCAGAGAAGACGCCAGAGCTGATCGGTCGAAGCTTTGGCTCAAAGACAATATCCGAAGCCTTCTTTCCAGTTTTCTTGGCCATCCACTCACGATAGATGCTTTCGGCTTCATCTCGCTGATTCTTCGTGTAGTGGGCGCTGTATGGATCCACCAGATCAAAGTACTCAGACTTGAGTTCAAATGTCCCAGAATCGCTCAAGCCCTCCGGAGGGCGGAAGTTGGCGACGGTTTCGAGAACATCTTGGAACATGTCCGAGTCAAGCAGCTTGTCACTAAGCCTTGTCGAAAGATCAGAGAACGAGAGCGGCTTGAAGCACAGAACGTGGGCAATGTCTCGGCTGATGTTCTCCTTGGTCATATGGTCACTGTCATCGATGGCCGTCAAGGATGTACGATCGGTCAATAAAATGACAAGGAGATGAACGAATTCTTCAGCTACGTCAACGATCTGAGAATCTTCGTAGCCACTTCGAGGCATGTAATTCCGAGACATCCAGTCGACCATTCCGAACCGATGAGCGATCGATGCAAGAACTCTGCTGGGATCACAGGTCACCAATGCAGTCTGCAGAAGAAAAATGTCGCGGTAGTACGCAAAGTCGCGAGATGAAACTCCGCGGTACTGTGACATTTGATGTCGAAGGCTGAGTCCATTACGAACCCACATGCCAGCCTTCATCTGGGCAAGCCAGGCACAAACACGCAGAGGATAGTCGAACATCGTCAGAAGCAAGTCCTCGGGCCCGAGAGCAAGAAGACTTTCGTCAATGGCCTTTTCACTTGCGTCCTTAGAAGCATGAAGCTCCTCCCGTGCCGCTTGTGCGGCTTCAAAAAGGACACTACGCATGACATCGCCACTCACATTACGCCCGCACTCAATAAGCCATGAGAGTGTGTAGTGCAGGGCATGGTGGAAACTGATGGAGCCCTTCTCCACAACAAACTCGACTACCCGATGACATGGGACCTCACCAGACGGCCCAATTTCGAAATCGAAGGGAGGAAGGGTCTTGAAGCGGACCTCTTCCTTGATCTCAGCTTGTTCGAATCTCTTACGTTCCACTCCTGCTGAGTGTATAATAGCCGAAATGGTCGTCGTCTTGATCGCGCGCAGGAGGTTCTGCCCATTATCCGCCTCGGGGTTACGGAATGCTTCGCAGAACTGTCGACACAGCCGATTGATCTCGCGCATAAGAATGGAAGCGCTGATCCATGCGTCTGTCTCATATTCAACATGCTCGCCAACAGCACGCACATTAGGACAAATGCCTTGCGAGAGCTTTACAAGGTCCAAAAATTGAGGCAGATACTGGCTTTCAGTTCGAACGCGGTGCTGGACGTATTCCGACTGAAGCAGATATCGGAGATCAAGGAAGAAGTGGTACAGGCGCCTGTTGGTGACAGAGCCATCAAATGCTAAGATAGCATTCGGATTGACAGACTGGGGCTCCCCGACTTGTCGCGTTGTCAAGAAGGTGTATAGAATAGCCATAACCTTCGTCAGGAAGTTCCCACGGTGCACAATCTCTTCGGTGATAGAGGGAGTGGTGAGCAGCTGCAATGTCAGGTTGACGATAGAGTGATCTGGTTCTCGGTCCGCAATCAGATATAGCTGAGCCAGGGCAGTGTACAATGCTGACAAGCGAAGACCCATGATGCGCTTGAATTGCGGTACGTTTACGACTGTACTGATGTATAGATCACGCAGGTCGGTACGTGTTTTCTTCCATAGTCTCAAATCGAAAAGGATGAGCCAGTCAAGACGGGTTCGCTGCCACAAGTCTTCGTACGGAGCAGTCTTCTCACCTGGACCTGGCATAGGCGGGCGAACTTGCCAATGGCCTTCTGTCCTGGCTGGCGAGGGCCTGACGACACCAGAGGGTGTATTGGGAATAGACACGAAACTATTCGAGCCGGAGGCCTGATTTCCAGATCCTCCGGAAGGCGTCGCGCCGCTTTCTCTTTCTGCTCGTGCCCGTGCTGCTGCTGCTTCTTCTTCAGCTTGCTCGGCCGTTGGACGCAGAGGTGGTGGTTGACCACTGTCTAATCTTGCCAAGATTTCGGAAAATGTCAGCCCATGATCTGCGGTCACCATGTCCATATCTTCGTCAGACGCTGCTTCGCCTTCAACCTCAGCTTGAAGACGAGCGAGATCGACTTCCATGTCATCTTCGTCATCGGCATCATCGTGGGCTTCTACATAATCGTCATCATTACCCTCGTCTCCGATATCCTCATCTTCATCTGCAGCCTCCTCTTCCTCTGTCGCCAGAATGATCTGGCCATGAGGAGGAAGAGTGAGCATAACAGTGCGACCAGGTAAATGCTCCGTTCTTTCATGATCGTCGATGCCTTTTAGGCCAATTTCTGCATTGTATGCTCCGCTTCCTTTCCTCCACGGCATAAGCAATTCTTCGCAAATGATTTGGCGGAAAATCTCGTTATCATCAAGGATGCTGCAGCCAGCAATGTCAGCCAGCCACTCAACGATAGTCCCACACATCTGTTCACGGAATGTGTCGCGTGCAGATCGAACCGTAACAGTGACCTTGATCTCCTCGATAATCTTTGATACAGCCAAAAGCCTCTGCAAGTCCCTGCTATATCGCACCACCGTGCGGCCAATATCATTGACTTCGTGAGCCCGCTCAATACCGAAGCTGTCTCTCTCACGACAGGCACGACTGACCTGATGGGCGACATCGCGGATGGTATGTTTCTCGTCATTCCACAGCATAAGCGCAAACTCGGGTTCCTCCTCCGCTTCATCACCCACCTCAGACCAGTCGGGACGTAACCGCGATGCCTCCTCATCCTGCTTAATCCCCTCGGCAGTCTTGGGTAACCGCAAATTCTCCGGCGAGCAAGAAATCACATCACAAAAGTAATCCAGCACTCGAGAGATGGTTGAACGGATGGAAGTAATAAGGTCGGGCGGAAGTTCCCGCTGAGCGCGCTCTTTCCCCTTCGCATTGCCGCTGTCGGTGTGGATAGCACAGAAAAGTGGGAGTCTCCAGGCCTCATCATCGCCACAATCACAGCAACCGCAATTTCCAGAGGAGAGCGAGATCTGGTACTGATGCCCCGTGTGGTCTGACGAGTCGAAACACCGGCTACACAAGACACAGGTTTCGTCGGCCGCACAGGTGATGCAGCGGTAAGTGGCCTCACCCGACCGAAAAATATGCCCGCAGCGTTTGCCTCGCGCGGACTCGCTGTATTCTGCTCCCTCACGGGCACCTTGTGCCTCTGCAAGCTTCCACGGTCCAGCCGGCGCGCCGTCGGGGAAAAGGTGGTGTATCAGCTCTTCGTTGTGCCCTACGAGCGATCGGAACAGGAGCTCTAGCAGGTCGCGCTCTGCTTGCGGGCCATAGCGGCAGTTATGCTTGGAGGGTAAGCGCAGAAGACCGTCGCCGAGGATTTTCTCACATTCTGAGAGCATGGGCATGGCTTGTACGTCGGACAGAGATTAGAGCTTGGGACCGCTCGGGACAGGCGTGTGAACGACGGAGGCCGTTGGCGCGCTGGATCGCGGCGGTCTGAATCAAGAGGCGAAAGTGACGCGGACTCGGGAGGGTGCAGTAATCGAGAGTCGAATGTCAAGAGCTGCTGGCGTGAGAGATTCGAGTGGTGGATTGGTATTTCAGGTCCTTCACGAAAAATAGTGGGGTGAGAGAAATAGCAGGCACGAGCGGAGCAACGCTACTTGCTTGAGTCGGCGTAATAGATGTAGGAGATTGAAGAGTGGAAAGAACGAGTCTATGGGACTGGACAGACTCGAGGTCAACAGAATGCGATGGAAGTGTTACGAGGGACGAAGGAAGTGGGAGTGTAGAGCATTTTTCCTTATGACATCGACGGAGTGGTTCTCGCACGCAACGCCACAGCGATCCTCGGGAGCAACCACCACGCACCTCTCTACCGTCTTTTTACGTTACGAACCCAAAACGAAGTGTTGACAAAGAATACAAATTTGAAAAATGTTCTATCGCGTACAATGCGGAAGATATGGGTAATCACAGAAAGTTCTCCGCCAATCCGCTTTTCCTCCCTCGGGCCCCTTTATCACCGTATGACCTCAATACAGAATGATCCATCTTGAGCTCCTTTACTCATCATCCTCCTCTTCCTCCTTGACCATGTATCGGGGCTTGATGTCCTTCCATTGGCGCTGTAGCGGGGAGAAAGGTTAGTTAGCAAACGGTCGGGTAGGTGGGCATGGGGTCGTAGCGCCCCGGCAAGTAGAATGGGATAAAAACATACGCCAGCGTTCCAGTGGTCCCAAATCTTATTGGAGGTAGTGTCAAAGGCACTGTTCACAAGAATTGTTTAGTCAATGGTTCGTGATGTATCAGGTTTGGATGGTGGAGTGACGCACATCTCGAAGGCGAAGGCACCGGCGAAGATGGAAGTCATGAAGATGGCATTCTTGCGAATGATAGTACTAAACACGAAGAACAAATCACAGTTAGATTCACGGCGAACATTGGAAGGAAGGCCGGGTCGGAAGAGGAGGGGGAGACATGCTTGTAGATTGCGTTGGCGATCTGTGATGCGATTCGAGTTAGCCTGGGTTAGAGACTTTGCGCACAGCAAGGCGCCATGGGTAATAATTTCAGGAGATGCTTACGCCGGCCATTGTGACGGAGAGGACGTGTCGACACGACTTGAAGGTGTTGGAGAACGAGGTTAAGGTAGACGGAGAGAGAAAGTGAAGGTTGGAAGTTCAGGACGAAAAGCTGCGGGAATTCCCGGACTGCTGATTGGTCCGCCCGCAACCAACGAGTCCGGCCTTCCGTGGGCTCAGTTGCCGCAATTGTTTGCAATTCCTAACTTCTGTGGGCTCGAGCCTCAGCCTTCCAGCGGCTTTCAAACGCATTTCAACAGATTTGGCGTTCTCTTTCCTTTCACGACAGCGCACCTCCCTTGATCCCGGCATCATGGCCGAAAAAGTCACCTCTTCAGGAATCACTACAAATTCGGCGACAGGCGAACGCTACATCCCCTCTTCGGTGCGTGCTGACGGTTCCAAGCGAAAGGAAATCCGCGTGCGCCCAGGCTACAAGCCCCCGGAGGATGTCGAGCTCTACAGAAATCGTGCCGCTGCCGCATGGAAAAACCGTGAGAGAGGTGGGGTCCCGGGGGCCGAAGTGAAAAGCGAAGAAAACAAAATTCCTCCACCGGAGAGTACGGCTGCTAGCAATAAGAATGCCAAGCGCAGGGAAGCAAGACGAAAGGCTAAGGAAGCCGATGCCTCTACCGAGAAAAAGGGATCCGACTCCGACAATTGGCGTGTGCCCGCAGACAAGCCGGCCGAAGAGTCCTCAAAGGACCCCGTTGATGCAGAAGCCGAAGCAGAAAAGAAGGCCCGCAACCTCAAAAAGAAGCTGAGACAGGCACGCGAGCTCCGCGACAAAAAGAGCCAGGGCGAGTCCTTACTGCCGGAGCAACTCGAAAAGGTTATCAAGATCCAAGAACTCGTGCGACAGTTGGATGCTCTTGGCTTCGACCACAACGGCGACAAGAAAGAGGGCGCTGCTGGGGAGAGTGTCTGAGTCCAGACCCAAGGAGACTTTTCCATGGCATGTCATGTGCTCATCCTAGTCAAGATCTTTAGCTCTCTCATCCGCAGAAGCTTATTTACCTTTGGCAAGATGCCGCGGCGAAGGTCTGTTGGCCATTATATCTGCGCCATGTCTTCGACAAATCTCTTCTAGTCAGCTTCAATGGCCACTCAAATGTGAACGTCGAACACATTTCGCTGCATAGTCGGTCTTACATTCTTTCTCGCGCGAGATTCATTGATGTCTCTCTGCTCGTGCCGAAGCTCCAGAGGGGTGTAAAGATCTACCCTCTTGATCCGTCGACTACACATAGATAAGCTGCAGTGCAACTCAGTCTGAAGTCTATCATGATGCTTCGTGAGCTGGTGATAGTATGCTCCTCTTGATCACGGAAATCGAGAAATCATTATACAAACGTTACTAGTACAATTGTGCAAAGTGTCGGCGGCGCCAACTAATAGTAATATACAACCTGAATGCAAGCCTGTCAATTCCGAGTCGTCTTTGTGGAATCCGTGGGCGATTTGCCGAGAGCTGGGAATCCTTTTCTTGGGGTAACTGTGACATATCTTGACGGTGCGATGGCGACACCACCTTCCGGCGGTACGTTCCATTCAGCCACCGGGAACTCAACATCTGGGTTCCAACCCACACTAGGCGTTTTATCCTGAAAGCCAGGCCCTTGGTTCCCAACGCAGAAGGTGGCAGCCACAAGGCCTTGCCTAACACAATCGTTCACACCGACGCCGTTGTACCAATTTCCAGCGAGAGTAAGTTTCCGGTTGAAGTCCCTCATGACTCTTGCCGATAGCGCGAACGTGTTTTTGAGGTGACCCACCGTATATTGTGGAATGGCGTCAACCTGTAAGCGGCTTCGAGCCAATTTTGGGGCCTGCATAATGCCAAGATGTCGCTGGAGTGTTCTTCGCGCCATGCGCACCGCGCTGTCGTGATCTGGGTAATCCCTCCTGGACCATCCGTCCCAGTAATGACCCCCGAACATGATCGTAAGCTTTGTGCCAGGGGCAGTGTCTTGTGTGGCCTCAGTGACAAGATCAGGTCGAGTACCTTTGCTGGAAGCTGATGCAAAAATGACCCCCAATGCACAATCAGGGTTCTCCTCGAAAGGAATGGAGCGAGGAATCAAATAGCCGAAGCCCTCTTGGCGAAGGAGATCAGGGTCAGAGTAGTACAGGTTGACAACCATGACTGTTGTCGCATAGTTGTTCATCTTCAGGAGGTTCACTGTATCCACCGGGGCCGGTTTTTGGCCGGGCGGGCTTTTCTTTTTGTCGAGAATATCGGCTAAAGCGGGGGCCGGGATAGAAGCAATGACACGATCAAACGTCTCTTTTTTGCTCGAATTTTTGGAAGAGATCTGCGATGTGTTAACCTTGTCCCCACGCTGTGTTAGAGAAAATCATAGGTTAATCATTGCATACACGTATATCATCCGACATTTCGGATTGGGTCAGCCCTGAAACTTCGCAATTGGTCTCAATCCTGACTTTGGGCGATGTGGTCAAATTTTCAGCCAGTGCATCAGAAAGTTGTTGAAGTCCGCCTGTGAAGGTGAACGTCGATGACCGCTTTGTCGCATTGTGGACAACGGACTGGTATCTGTCGCCACGGGGTAGAGCGGCCTGGCCCAGGAAATCATCTACCACCATATTTCTCGCACCCGTCCTCATGTTTCTGAACAGGGTACGAATGATCCCATCGGTCTCCATGTTGCGCATATTTCCCAACAGAGTCTGGGCACTGAGTTTCTCAATATCTCCAGCGTAGATGCCGTGCATCATGGCGGATACAAGGTTATCTGCAATTGTGTAGTTGAAGCGGCGTGAAATGAAACTTCTGATAGATTCATCCTCTTCATACTCCCATGGTGGACGAGGTGGACTGATAAATTCATTTATCATTCCAGATACGGTTTTATCAAATAGCGGCTCCTCGGTAACCGTTTTAAACATTTGGGTGACATTTTGCCACGCAGAGAGATTTTTTTGAGGGCTGGGCAAGCGGACCAATCGATCTGGATAATAGATGAATCGGTTCCGCGCAGCTGGACTATCCTTGCTAGTGAGGATGAAGTCATTAGCAAGTCCAAGTGAACATGCCTTCCAATGATTAGCGTGGATCTGGAACGGGTATACAAACAGTACTCACCATCAAAGCAGTAGGCACCGCCGCAGGGTAGGTGGACCGAATTGTACGAGGCCCATATTCAAACAACACATTTCCACCATCGACTGGAATGGATTCTGACTGAAGCCAGCCGCCTAGTTGGGCCGATTTCTCGTAAAGTGTGACACCGGTACAGTTGGGGTCGTTGCTCAACCTCCAAGCAGCCGTGAGGCCTGTGATCCCACCCCCGAGGACAGCAACCTTGTATGCGCGTCGCTGAGGGTGTATAGCCGTCCTTAATTGTCTTCGCAGGGCCGGGCCCGTCCAGGCGCTCGGGGCTCGCATATTTCGTCAATCTGCCGCGAGTGATGCGCACGAGCTGTCTTGAAGATCCACCCAAGGTTATCGGCGGTACCCCCTGTAGTGCCGAGCCCCGGGGCCCGCGGGAACTTCCTTACTTAAGCGTCATAAGATGCACCTGGGCACCTGGGCATCTGGCCACCGGGAGCCAGGTACCAACTGGGCAATATACAGATGTTCACAAATCTAGTCTATCTAGTCTACTGCGTTCACATTTCAAATCAAATTCCAATGTCATTTACAGTGTTTTATAATCTTCATTAGTCATGACGACTCGCGCTTCAGGATTTTGTAACGTGACGGGATATCTAATACAGATCAATTGGGCGATAGGGCCCTACAAGAATAGAAAGATAAAAGCAAATGCATCAATGAACGCCCGCCCGAACCATTCATAACCAGAGTTTTCAGATTGTACAAGATTGAGGTCTCTTGAAGCGAAGGGGAATCCTCTCAGATAATTGATTTTCGTCATTCTCGTTCAGTTAAGGCGGAGTCAGGCTGTGAGCTCTTGGTTTTGAGACGCGTCGGTTGCCTCAGGCTTAATAAGTTCCTCCGGACCATCCTCCTCGTCGACAAACTTGCGCTCACTGACATGGGTGGCTTTCCACACCTTATCGGGAATTTGACCACGCTGGCCCTCGGCGTGCTTGTATGGACAGCTTGGATTCATGCAAGGGTTGAATTTGCAGGGGGTTTGAAGGTGGGTGAACTGGCATCCCTCGGTCTTGCAATCGGCACCATTGCGGCACAGCGGCATGCTAGGGTGCTTGAAGTGGCAGTGGGGATTGGTGCAATGGGGAAAGAAGCGGCACATTTCCTCGGCTTGATGCGCGGATCGGACCGCTGGTGAGGGATGACGACCAGTGCATTTCCTGTTCTTGCACGCAGCTCCAAATGAACAGACGTCAGTGACATCAATCGAGGTTCCCTCGGGGGCAGCAGGAGACTGGTGGGCGAAAGCACAGTCTTTTCGAGTGCAACGCAGATTAAATTTGCAGGTATTGTTGGGGTTGGCCTCGTCCGTATCCATATCCATGTCGGTATCAGTATTTTGATGGTGTTGGCCTTGGCCTCGCTTGTTGAATTTGGCGCCTCCGCGTTGACCTTGACGCTCAACTCGGTCGAAGAGGGAGCGCCCTTGCTGAGGGCCATTCTGGAATGCCGGGTTGATGGCAGGTGGCGTGAAGCCAGCCGGCATGAACTGGGCCATCATGCGAGCTTGCTCTTCCAACATCGAGAAAAGCTGCATCTGATTCTCTGGACTCATGTTCATACCCATGTTGCCTTGCATTCCCATGTTGTTGCCCATATTTCGCGCGCGGTTATTGTTTTGTCTTCCACCTTTCATTTGATTCTGTCCACGTCCACCAACACGACCATTTCCGCGGACTCGGTGCAGTGAAGAATCGTTGCTGCGCTCTAAGGTCCGGTTGATTTGGTTGAGCATGCCGCCTCGGCCTCGCCCATTTCCTCGCATGGCTCTTGGTCCTGTCGGGCTATCGATGGAGACGCGAAGGTTAGAATGCTGGTAACGATCAATTCGGGGAGGGGCTAAACTAACATGGTGTCACTGGCATCTCCCATCTCTGCATCCACGCCATTTCCTGCAGAAGTATTGCCATTCCCGGGTTGTTGAGTTGCCACGGCTTCACTTGGAGCACCATTGAATTGCTGGGTGAGAACTTCGACTTCACCGAATAGCCAGTGAGAAAACTCCAGCGCCTGGGTGTCGCCCTCCTCAAGTCCCAAGAAGTCATTGGAGAGCTCAGACGCAAGTTGCTCTTGGGTCTTGCCGTTGATCAACATGAGAACGATGTATTCAATCAGCGCAGATTCCTGGCCATCGTCGGTGCTCCAACCCATCTCCACTAGCTTGGGCTTGATGACATTGGCTATGGCGGCAGAGAGCGGAGAGTCCTGTTGAATTTGGGTAGCCATTTTGGCGAAAATGATATTAAACGGGCGATTTCAAATCAGGACTTGTATCTGATAGACAGCAGGTGTCGCACGCCGCCACTGAAGAAAGGTCAAATGGCGGTAGAACTCGTTCAGAAGATGAAAGGGTGGAAGGCGAGATGGCGGTATATGGAAGAGAAGGATTCAGATGTAGGAAACGCGCACCGGATATAGAGGAGCTGGCGGTCGCGAGTTTCACAGAGCGTGATAGTGAATGCAGCAAGCCTAGAGACCGACAATGATAGCTTCGGGACGAAAATGCGTCTTGCACGTGACCATGAAAGTTGCTAGTTGATTCCTCGAAATTGTGGCGACAACCTCCCAATTGGGACTAGTACTTTATTCCCCGATTTGGCCGCTGCCAGTCCTGGGCCTATGCCAGCCTCTTAAGCAGTGACGGACTGAAGCCTGCCCAGGCCTTTTATAGCCGGTGGCCTTTACTCTATGCGCTGACATCCACGCTTGCCATACGCTACAGCTATATTGATTTCGGAGATGAAGCGAAACATGAAAGTTGCAGGTTCATTGTATCCATACCTAAGTAGATATTGGATGTGTCACCTATGTATCTATAGTGCCTTCTTAGAACTGGAAGGCCTCTGCTTGAAGACATCTGTTTTTTTTGAATGAGGTGTATCCCCACATTCGAAGGTCCAAAACACGCATAAAGAAGATGGCCCCTCTGGCTGGAGAAAATCTCACGTAGGAACAATGCCAGGATTGCCCCGCTTCGCGACAAGGGGCTGCATACACCCCTGGAAAAGATCTGCGCTTAGTACCAATTTTGAGGATGTTCTCAATTTAAGTTCGCCTGTGCCATGGGTTGCATAAGACCCTGGACAGATTTCATAAACGTCGACTTGAGGACCCTTGGTAGTTTTACCGGCATTGCATTCAAGTTGAGGGCGACTTGTAGCGTCCAGCCGGGGTAGCCAAAGCGGCATATAAAGAATAAAGAAGCTCATTCATTAGTCGGAACAAGGGCGGGCCAGGCACAATCAGTAATTGGCGGTTGTCAAGGAACATAGATACTAGCATCGATCATACTACTGGTAGTATGAGGAGTACAGTCTCAAAGTAGAGAAGCTCTACTATGCGGGTCGGCCTCCACTCGGAATCATGACAACGTGAAATCGGGCCAGCCGAGGTCTGGGAAAGCCACTCAATGATCTTCAGCCATGCCCATGCTGAACTATGGATAAACTGGATAAATTCCAGAACTGGGTATTACTGCTGAGACAAATAGTTTCTTGCAGAGAGACAATATCTGATTTCGTTCAATTAAATGCTGGTCATTATGGAAATGTCTTACAAGTCGGCTAAGGGGATTAAGTCACTAAGCAGGGCTTGAACTCTCAAACCTCGGACATGGCGATCCTTCCTCTTCATCCCTTCGAGACCCAAGTGATGCTCATAGGGCCCTCTCTCCGTTTTCTGGGGAATGTGGGGAATAGGGTTAATTCGTGCCCCGGATTGATAGAAACGGCTCCTACGAGTGGCCCAGTCACTCCGTCGTACAATCTTAGCGTGTGTTTAAATCAGGACGCCTTCCGAGTCCGGGCTGAGACTCTCGGATCCTCTTTGGGCCTTGTTGCAGTCTAGGCACCCAGGTGAACTAGAGGAAAGGACCTAATTCATCTTCATACCCCGGGCCACCGGGGTTGCGCGCGGGGCCGCGGGCCTATATAGTATTTAGTCCCGCTTAGCATCCCCATGTTTCCTCCACCTTTCTGCCAAAGGACTTCCTCTTCCTTCATCAACCCACAATGATTGAAGAAATTCTACACGGCATGACCCCCGGGAGGGCCGTCCTGTGGGCCCTGGGGATATTCACGGCCCTCTCTGTGTTTCGCAAGCTCCAAGTTTCCGCCCAGATCTCACGCCTGGGCGCACGGGCACCCAAGATCAGTTTCCGGTATCCATATGGTACGAGCTCAAGGATTTGCGGTCATAAGAGAGCCCAATTTGACCAGGATTTGAACAGCACTCGACTTCCTCTATAAGGGCCACCTGGCCAATCAAGCTGGCCAAGACCTCGAATTCTGGAGGAACACTATTATCAAGGCCGGAGGTTCCACCAAATCCAAAACTTCTGAGCTTGATGCAGGTATTTCAACCCGAATGATCTTGACTATAGACCCTGAGAACATCAAGGCCGTCCTCACTGGTCAATTCGCCGACTATGGCAAGGGCGAATCTTTCCATCGCGAGTGGAAAGAGTTCCTCGGCGACAGTATTTTCGCTACTGATGGTGAATTGTGGTCAAAATCCCGCCAACTGATTCGTCCCATGTTTGCTCGTGATCGCATTGTTGACACCGAGATCTTCGAAAAGCATGTTCAGAAGCTGATCGACCTCCTCGGTGGAAGCCCCTCGCCTCAAGGCAGCAAGGTCGTGGATGTCGGCTCGCTCTTTTTCCGGTACACTCTCGATGCAGCGACCGACTACCTCCTTGGGCAAGGCACTGATTCTCTCGAGAACCCTGCCACACGTTTTGCAGAGGCGTTCAGATATGTGCAAGCACGTCAAGCCGAGCTATTCCGATTCGGGTGAGTGGCTTCTCGTACTTCGTGACACAGTTAATCTCCTATTGGTGAACGCAAAAGCTAATGTTTCCTTACTACCCAATAGTGTTTTCAGCTCTCTCATGTCACGCAAAGAGTTCCGCGCTAATCTCAAAATTATGGACGAGTTCATCCAGCCATACATTGACACCGTGCTTTCTCTGTCTACGGCAGAGCTGGACCAGAAGCTGTCAAACCGCGAAACCTTCCTCGATGCACTAGCTCGCTTTACCCGTGACCCGCGCATTCTGCGGGATCAACTCGTAGCTGTTCTTCTCGCAGGCCGAGATACCACGGCTGGAACCCTGTCCTTCTGCCTGTTCGAACTCTCTCGGCACCCTGAGGTTGTCGCGAGACTTCGTCAAGAGATCAACGACCGTTTGGGCCTAGGTGCTAACGGGCGTAAACCGAGCTACAATGACCTGAAGGATATGAAGTACCTGAGTGCCGTGATTAATGAAACTATGCGCGTGTACCCCGTTGTGCCATTCAACGTTCGATACTCGCTCAAGGATACCACGCTTCCGCGTGGCGGTGGGCCGGACGGTCTTGAGCCTGTTGGCGTGCGAGCGAACTCCCGAGTCATCTACTCGACCATTCTGATGCAGCGTGATCCTGATCTGTACGACGGCCCCGATTCGAAGAACTACTTTGACCCCGTCAAGTGGATCCCCGAGCGCTGGGTATCGGGATGGTCGCCGCGTCCTTGGCACTTTATTCCTTTCAATGGAGGGCCTCGTATCTGCATTGGGCAGCAATTTGCGACGATTGAAATGGGTTATACTATTATTCGTATCTTACAGACTTATGAACGTATCATTGCTTTGCCTGTCAGTGGCAAGGATCGTGTTGAGGATCCTCGGTTGCGGTTTGAGGTCACTCTCAGCCCTGGAGAGGAACTCAACTGTATCTTTGTTAAAGAGGGTGAGGATTATCAGCGCTCAAAATAGGTTCTGCTCATGCTACGGTTGATCATGATTTTTTTTTTCTTGGGATGGCGGACCGTGACGGTATGCTTTTAGGCGAGCTTTTCTGATCCATTTCTCAACTCAGTATTGTAACAGCCCCTTATTTTCTGGCATGAGATATGAAACCCCTCAATTTTTAAATTTATGATCTCCTTATTTCTTACTTTAACGTCCTCGATTATTGAAAGTCTATATTTCCTGGTCCTGTGCTATTATAAAAAGCATCATGTCTTACAAGGATTTCGAGCCTGAAGGCTCGGCTGACGACAAGGCATCTATTGTTCGTAGCAGAATTGGGACTAGTCACATAGCTGCCGCTTCCGTGGCCTCTTTAGCTTCTGCAATATCTCCACCTTTCGTAACTTCAAGAGTTAACTCTTCTTCGTCTCCATCTTCAAACTCCCCAGAAACACTGATCAAAGGCGCTCTTGCGGATGATGCCTCGACATTCCTATCCGCCATGCATATCTTCAATTCTATGACCGTTCCTTTAGCACTATTGGTGATCTCTGATATGTATGGTGGAGGAGATGGCCTAGATTGAAAACTAGGGATGAAGAGTCTCTGCTTGTTTTATGGCGTGAACCCCGTTGGTTCTCGGCTCGAATGATTGAGTACTATTGGACTGTTTACCCTCATCATCTCTCAGACAGCCCCTACCCATCTGCTCACCTCTTCCCACTCTGCAGATTTCAATATACTCTCCGCAAATGTCAGCTGAGCTCGAATACTGAGCCTCCTGCCCTGTTCATATCACTCAGGTCTGTGAAGTTGCGCCATGACCCCAATGCGAGTCCTGCGGCAATTGGGGCTCCGAATGCTGTTATTTCGCTCAGTTTAAAGCAATATACCGGAATTGATATTAAGTCTACTTGTGTTTTTCTGAGAATTTGATATTCTTGGTTCCTCCTCCTTTAAGGCGGTTCTCATATATGCATTACCAAATCCTTGTTACTCATGCCTCTGTCGACAGATAATTCAGACAAGGCTTTGCCGCTATCGATCATTGGATCCTAAATGCAACAGGTGAACTACCTCATTATTACTCTTCCATTCTCTCTTTCGTCACTCAAATATTACATAATTTACCATGCCCTTAGTTAGTCAAGTGTCCTAATTCAATATTCAATAACTTATTTGGCTTAGCCACAGTAAAATCTTTAACCTTTTCCACCTTCACTCTTATACCCTATCCTTCGAGTTCAATCGCCAGGAGAACAAGCTACACCTTTATATTCAATATTTGTGAATTATACAGATACAAGATAACAAGATTGATATTCTCATGTTGATTCCCATCAATCAGGAGCTTCGGAGTCGACTCTAGCTATGGCTTCTAATTCTTCCGATATTTGCTCCCCGTTCCAAAGCCTACGAGAATCATGGCCTTGCAGCGGCGTATGGTTTCTTACTGGGGAATTAGCTGGGTTCTTTTTGATATTGATACCTCAAGTCTTCATCCTTTACCTCAATCGTACCCTGTCGACAAAGAAAAGTCCTAAATGTTATCACAACTGTTATCACGAACGTTATGACGAAAAGAATCCTGGCTCTTCTGATTAGAGTATCAGATTTACCGAATCGACTGGTATTTCTATGCTAATCTAGTGGATCTTGCTTGCTAAAAGATATTATGGGTATGTTACTAAGCCTAAATTACTATCCTGAGGTCCCGAGGTCTTTACCTGATGGTGGATGAGTTCTGTTATTCATAGTATTCAGGCACTGAAATAATAAAACATGTGGTAGAAGATTGTCCTTGGGCAGGGGTCTGCTAAAGTGCAGCATCCTGAATAATTACTTGGCTGAAAGGGGATCAAACAATACAACTTTTGCTAACGTGACTCACGAATGGGCTACGCATATGGATGGGCTCCACAGGCCCCCCTGAATCAGAAGAAATACTCAAATTGGATAATATTAACTACCCAAAAAATTAGTGTTTTGCCTACCAGGCCATCTATTACATATATGCCCAACTACTCCACATATTGGCCTCCGTTTAGTACGTTGGGGAGGCAAATTTTGCCCCAGATACAAGGCTTTCCTAAGCTCCTCTGCTGTAATCGGACGGGAGTCCTGTCCAATGGGTCAAATACCATTCCAGGTAGAATCTGAGCATGGTAGGCCCATGGAGGCGGCGAATTGGCTTGGTGGGGCCCCCGTACCAGGCTTCTGAGCCGTATAGTAGCGAGGGCATAACGCAGGTTATTACTGCCTTCCTGAGTGAGTGTGTGGGCGCCAAATTGCGGATATGTCGAGCGACATCCCGCGCTTCAGCGGCCCGTACTAGCATATGAGCGCGCCGTGTAACCTGACTCGGTCCTAAGAAAGCACATATGCCCTAAACTGTGGCACTGGCAGACCCTGTCAAGTGAGGCCGGGTGGTTGGATACTTTCCACTCGGCTCTGCACAATGCACACAGAGCGAGCCTTGGTGCCTCGTTTAGTATTTCCACCGTACCGTTGCAGATTCCATCGCGCTGAAATGACCTGACTGTTAGATTTCGGTGGCTGTGCCTGCCAACATCGCTTTTATGCTCTCCTTTGTTTGATGTTGAGGTCTTAATTCGCTCATATAGCAGATTGTTGTGTTGGAAGCGAGAAAAGATTCTGCGACATTGTACGCATGGTAGGTACTTCCCCGTAATGTCTTTCGTTTCGAATCGCGTATAGCTGAGGTTCCAATCTTTTGCATTGACGGGTGCCCTGTTAAATAATTGGAATCGTCATCGCCGAGGGATGGCTATGGCAGTCTTGAACGTTACAACTCGTGTTATTGAAGGTCTCGCTTCGGGTAGTAATGTTCCATCGAGAGACCTATTGATTATTGTCCAGGATAAGCGAGCATATCTGCGAATGATCATTTCGAGGCTACAAACAATTCTATTGGACCGTTATTTGAAACTCCACATGTATAATAAACTATATATGCATATCTAATCTCAAATTATGACTACCATGTAGCTATATTAGTCTGCGCGCCTCGATAAGCATACTTTCCGTAGCGATAACTCTATTCTGGAGATGCTACATAACAGGGAACCCTCGTCACATGGCCACCAAGATTGGGTGTCATGATGACTGTCAGCAACACGAGAAGAGAAGCTGGAACGTATCGGTGTATCTGAAGCCCTGTATTAGGGAAAAAGGACCGGCACTATTGACCTCCCATCTCGTACGAAGCGGTGGACGGAGAAAATCGCCCCAACACCAAGTCTTTAATGCCTTCAGGTCGATATGTGATCGTGTGTAACCTTCCGTGATTCAAATCCGGCCTGCAATTTACTGAGTCCTCTGATATTGGACAAAAAAAGCTGGGATATTGGATGCGAGGGGTGAAAGGATAGATTTCTTGAGGGGCGACTGAAGCATAGAAGCCCCCCTCTGTCCCACCCAGATCAGCGTATGCCAGGTACGCCCATTTGCAGAGGGATCATCCTGTAGGAAGCGCGCAGTCTTGATAGTGACACGTCTACAATCTAGCATAGTCGAGAGGGCAAAAATAGTTAGCCAAATTCAACCGGCGTTTTGCGGCTTCTGGGCCAAACGACCCGTTTGCGCAAACGAGATGGAAATCAGGGTTGTCAGGTCCCTAGGAATTAGCTCGTCTTCCTTTATTCCGTGGCCAGAAAATAAGAAAAAGGGGCCAACATCCATATTGAGCCATTGGACTTTTCTCAGTCCCTGGAGAGGCCTCCACACTCGTTTTCCTTGACGCCGTCCGTTATCTCCTGTGCATATACAACGTTGCACTACTTTCTCGGGCCCATACCATTTAATGAGACACGCCTTTCTCGCACGAGGGCGCTGCATTCAATCCCCCCGGACCCGAGGAAGGTCAGAAAGTATCACTCGGCGTTACATAGGGACGTGCGGCGGGCAAGATATATCATCCAATGGCTACTCTGTGGCGAGACGTGGAGGGACATCCTGAGATGCCCACGGATTTGGATGTTGCAAGATACTCTTTCACATCGCTAGGTCCTTGAACCATGTATTTGTGTCCAGAAACGAAGACAGACTTCCATCTGATGCCGAAAAACACGGAAATTGAGTGCTCCCCTAGCCATGACGGTGGGTCATGCTCGATTGGTCAGGCGTCGTCGTTTCAGGATAACGGGTCTAATATTGAGACGACTGAGCCGCTCGCTCTGTCACGGCTTAAGGAGTATTCGCGTGATGCTATCTCTGAATTCTTTGGGACTATGATCTTGGTACTCTTCGGGAATGGAGTTATTGCACAGGTCTTGCTTAGCCATGGACAGAAAGGCGATTATCAGTCAATATCATGGGGATGGGGGTAAGTCTTGTTTCTCAAACACTTGTTCTTCGATTCTTTGACCTGAGCACTGATAATCTTTTAGGTTAGGTGTTATGCTCGGGGTGTATACCAGTGGTGCCTCCGGAGCTCATATCAACCCGGCAGTCACCTTTGCAAACTGTGTTCTCAGACAATTCCCATGGCGCAAATTTCCTCTCTATGCTGCGGCGCAGGTCCTGGGTGCCATGTGCGGGGCAGCTATCGTGTATGGCAACTATAAATCTGCGATAGATGACTACGAAGGCGGACCAGGGAAACGCACCGTGCCCGGATACTCAGACACCGCAACAGGGGGCATATTCTGTACTTACCCGGTAGATTTTATGACGAAGGCAGGCCAGTTCTTCTCGGAGTTTCTGGCTAGTGCGATATTGATGTTCATGATATTCGCACTGAAAGACGACGGCAGCCTCGGAGTAGGACAACTGACACCGCTAGGACTATTCTTTGTGATATTCGGCATAGGAGCCTGCTTTGGCTGGGAGACAGGGTATGCGATCAATTTGGCTAGAGATTTTGGACCCCGCCTAGTCTCTTACATGCTTGGGTATGGACAAGAGGTCTGGAAAGCTGGGAACTACTTCTTCTGGGTACGCATGCCTCTGGACAAAAGACTTTTTGGCTTAATTTACTCGGTGCTGACTTTTGTCATAGGTCCCAATGGTGGCGCCTTTTCTGGGTTGCACTTTTGGTGGATGCGTCTACGACTTATTCCTGTATACAGGTCATGATAGCTCGATTAATATGCCATGGTTGGGAATCATGCGATTGGTCAAGATGTTCCGGCAAAATGGCGTGCATCTTCAAAGTCATGTTTGAGCAATCATACGAACGCATGGAATGAACCAACGGGCTATAACAGCCATCGATTTGCTGGGTGGATGGCAGACTCATGTAGCGAAATATTGATATCTTCAATTCTCGTGATAATTCCGAGCTAGATCGTAAGTGCGCTCAAGCACATTTTCTTTTGAGTAGGTATGACCCATTAAGATAGCTCTTGGGTGCTAAAGGAGTTAGCATATCGAAGATATTGATTTTCTGGGGCATATTTCAGCTGGGATTCCCCGGATTCTGAGTTCAAGTTTGAGTTACCGGCACAGCGGAGCACATGCGCACCACCCCTGCTGCCTTTGTCTTTCCGGTATTGTGTCCTACTGTGTGATGAGGACTACATGAATACGCCCCGACAAGTGACAAGACACCTTCCTTCGTAAAAGACGTATTTCACTCAACTGCAGGAACGAAGCGTAACTCGGGGCTCATGAATGATTCAAGTCAACCCCCCTGCGCTAGGGGGCTATTGTCTGTAGAGCTTAGCAAATGTAATCTGCATCGATGATTCGTATTGGTCTATGGAGACGCCGACGTCATTTAAAACATAAGGATGAGCTCTAAGAGCCCAGTGTCACACAATAAAGCACGAATACTCCTGAGGAAGTATCCAAGCCTTGTGACGATGACGGTCTAAACAATGAACAAGAAATAGTCAAAGCCAACGCCGATATGCTACAACCCTCCGCGGGGAGCCACGGGGAAATCGCAAATGAAACCGGCGCAAGCTGGTTAACAAAGGATAAAGTCATAAACGCCATGTTGAGTCATCCAATCATAATAATACATGTCGGCCATGTCGAGTTACCTCTTAAAGGAAAAGAAAAACACCACTGAAAAATGCATAGAAAGTCCACCCGATGTTGGACGGGTTCCTCAGCACAGAGTTGCAACCAGCGTGAGATGCAGTAGGTTTTGAATGAAAATTGGTGGTCGCGGTAGGCCCAGCCGGCGCCTGGATACCCGTCTTGTGGTGTTGGAACCTGGTTCTAGTCTTGGTGGTTGCATGTCGGGTCACATTCTTCCAGGAAGTGGTCTCACGACCAGAAGGGGAAGAGACATCCGAGGAAAAAGCCAAGGGTAGTGACGAAGAGGGGGAAATATACTGCGAAATGGTACCGATCTTAGCGTCTTTTCTAACGGGCAAGTTGTGTTCGGGGGAAGTCTCACTCAAAAAAGCGCCGCCTGGAGGTTGAAGGGAACGAGAGCCTGATTCCCAGCCTGCCGGTAGACCGGTTGAACTTGTAGAGCTGGAGGGGCCGTCCGTGGGAACCCATGGCCAGGTGTCAGGAGTGACCCATGATGCAGTCTCCTTGTGGGTTCCACTCCAAGGGACGGGAATATCCACAGTGGCAGTGATCGCGGGGGCCGATTCCGTAGAGGTGGGCTCCTCACCACTGTTACCATTGACTTTGCCACCGGCTGCTATGATCGACTGCCAATTACCGGTCTTGTCACCATAGCTATATGAAGTGCCCGTCGAATAATCAGTGACGGTCATCGACTTCATGTACATCTGGAAAGGACCTTGGCTGTAGTCGGTCACGCCGCCAGCCCAGTCTAATGCATAGATCAGCATGATAGTCCCCAGCATGGGAGAAATGATTCTACCTACCAATGGTACCCTGGGGGTTGCTGGGATCACCACCAGCCCAAATACCGACCTTGATCATCATAGGCGTTTGCGGGTACTGGCCAGGGTCTGCAGTGGAAGGTGTGAGGACTCGAACAGTCTGTCCATCTATAGCCCAGACAATTTGATTGCTGGTCCAATCCACTGAGTATGTATGGAACTCATCATGGTTCCCTGGATTGTCACTGAAGGCACCCCGATTGTACGTGCTGGTGTCTCCTTTGCCGAAGTAGTTGGTCTGCACCTTGTTGTTGTCGCCTCCAAGCCATTCCCAATCAATCTCATCCAGATCATCAGACTGAAGCACAGCACTGCTCACAATTCCAGTCCCAGAGGCCGCTTTAATCGTGTATTCCACCTTGCCGAACATGATGTACCAATTCGACTGGATCAGGGGGCCGTCACCCTGCTTGGCAATCGTGAAAGTCGCTCCGTTGGTGCCATCGTAGCTGACGCTGCCAGTCGCTTTAAAGGCTGAGGGGGAACCCTTGGTGAAATCGAAGACCTGGTCGGCCTTTCCAAGCGCAGGATCTGCGGGACAAGCTATTTCTGGTCAGCACCTCGTCAACATTCGGGGGAGGGGGTTGACGCTGTCACTCACTGTTCTGGAGCGGATTGCAGCTGGTATATGTCTGAGCTGATGCCGAAATTGACAAAGATAGGAGGCCCAAGGCCACGCCAAGAGCAGAACGCATGGCGGGCAAGAGTATACAAGCACAAGCAAACAATACAATGTTATGATATGCGACGGAAGTGGAAGAGGCTGGGGAGAAAAGATTCGAGGTCATGCAAATGGAAGATAAGAAGAAGAGAAAGAGAAAAGCGCAGCCTAAAACTCTATTAGGCAAGCTCGACCTTGGCGCAGCTTCCATTTGTAGGAGGCAGTCGCCAGCCTCCTTGATTTCTGACGTTGCGGTCTCTTACTCCCGCGCTTTCTGTCGATCCGCGGGTCCCGGTGGGGTTTGGGCGGATAGGGCCAATCAGTGTCGAGCTGCTGCCACGTTTAGAGTCCCTCAGATCGATCGCGGGCTGGTCCTCAAGGTTTACACCACATTCCGATCTGTATAACTCTGCACGACTCGACTCGAACGAAGGGTGTTTCTCACAGAAGCAGCCCAGGCCTCTTTCATGCAATGGTCAATAAACATCCAGTCATGAGTTGGACGACACAGGAACCTGAACGTCGGGCAGATGTGGGTCTCCCAGCCTCTTCATTATCTACTTTCATTCCGAGCCTTGTGCATCGCAACCCAATCAGCTTTCTTCTCCTTAATTAAAGGTGATTTCGTGAAACCACAGCTGGCTTTTGACGTCAAATTGAGATCCTGCCGACGAGTCAGACAGTTGATCACATATTCTTAACAGGGTCTGGTCGACTCGTCATGGCTGCAGGTCAACTTCACTGAACGCATTCATTAATTGCCCGGTAAGATAAAAGAGATTAGGCTGGTCGTTGTTCTATTCTTAGGCCTCAAGTGGGTTGGAAACTCGGTCTAGCTCGTATGTACGGAGTCCTGAGCATCACGAATAGCTACCACATGGTCTTGGCTCTGATCTACAATTAGACTGACCTTCGGAATAAACCATGGACTACAGCGTTTCTGTACTAGCACCAGACCAAATAAAATCGGAAAATTCTCACGCAACTACCATACTGGTTGAGCTCTGATACACCTGAGTGTCGCATAAGACTAACTGATCCTCACCGCCCACCTTTCGCCAGCGCCAAACAAATAAAAAGTCCCCCTCCGGCGCCACTGCGAGACCGCTTCCTAACAAGACAGAAACTTAGACTCAATCCTTTTCTTCCTGATTGATGACATCAACATTCAGTATGGGTGCCATCCTAGAGATGCAGCTATCGCAAAATTTATATGCCCTCGCAGCTGAGGCATCAGCAGAAGCAAGACAGTGCAACCAGGTGACTGCTTTCTGAAGATGATTCACCACTATGCTCACACTGATATCTGGCTGCTCAGTGGCACCGGGACTTGGCGTCAAAACAACAAGAGACGAAGGACCTTCATAGGTAGCCGGGCTCATGAAGAGGCCAAGTAAAAGAGCGGTGATTGCTTGCATCAAGTAATGTGTAATTCCCCATCGGGGCGTATGATACGCCAGCCATTTTAGATCAGGGTCATCGGGAAGGACACGAATAAGAGAACAAGCGGCATCTAAACACTTGGCAGCAAGGGTCTCTGCGAAAGCTCTTTCTCGTCATCCCCTTCTTACTTGCCTCATTTTCCGGCCGTTGGCTTTCGCTCGTCAGGCATGGACGGCAGAAGGTTATCCGAAGGCTGTAGTAGCTTATAGCCAGTTTTGCTCGGTCGGATTCAAATTCGCCACTCACAGCTTCAGGGCTGAAATGGCCGGTCGCATCTGTGAATCTGTACACTTCGGGGACTTTCGAGAGCCATGAATCGAGGACATCGCTATACTTCTGAGTCCGCTGCTTTAGAATGGCAGGAGTTTCCCGCAGGCCTTCTATGCTGTATACCCTGTTCAGAAAAGATTGATGTATAGACACCAAATCGGATAGGCAGTGGAAGAAAAGCGGCTGGCTCGGTGCAGATTTACGCAACCAGAGAGCGGTTTCCATTGCTTCTTCGGGCGTTTGGAGTATCGATGGCTTGAGGCGACCATCTTTCGAAGGGTCTATCACAGGGCCAAGAGTTCTGCCCATTTCTGGGTCAAAGGGATTGGGCAGACTGACTGAGGTTGTGTTTTCATTCAAACCAGAAATTCTGCCGGTGTTGGAAGTGATGAAATTTTCTATACAACTGAGAGTCCACCATAATCGATAGCGTGTCTCCTTGGATAATGGGTCGAGGTTCTGGTCTTCGGATCGAAGATTGGTCCCAAGGATCAGGGCGGATTGCAGGGCAATGCTCATAATCTTCGATGCCCTTCATAAATCAGCATAAAGAGTCGCGTTTCCTTGTCCAAGATTGATTTACCTGTTAAGATGGCCTGAATCTATCAGGTATATAGCTGTTAACGCTTCCACTTGGATCTGTTGGAGATCTGCGTGTTTGAATAGCACATTTCCGCTCATGCTCAATTTCCTTGCCCGGTTAAAAAAGACATGGTCAAGGGAATTCTCGACGGCGGTCCAGGCATGGGAATAGCGACATCCCAACGCTAAGACCAAATTGAGAACAGCCAGCCAAGCCCCAGGGGGGTTGACTGTTTGCTGATAGACGTGTACGAACTGCGACGTGAAAACTGGTTCTCTGATGACCATGAACGAGGAGTGTATGGTTCTCAAATATGTCTTGTAGTACCTCTCGGCCACATTCCTTGGTGGTAGCGTGTACAGCTGAGCTGGATCGTAAAGCGGGAGCTCCTGGTCGTCCAAGTGATAGCTGAGTTCCTTGATTGGAGTCATCACTGCAGATTGGCCCTCTCCGGCGAAAGGCCCAAACATCGGGGTTTTCCCTATCGTGAAGTCAGATGTCCTGAGCCTCTCTTCGACTTGTTGCATCCATGATACGTCAGAGCCTTTTCCATAGAATCCTGTGGCTGCGGCATCACTATCTCGTTGAAGGTCTTCCTGCGCTGTGTCAATACCATCAAATGATCCAACCGACGAAACATCGGAGTTTTCATCATCAGGATCATCAACACGGTCGTTTTGATCTTCCATCCAATCATTGTCAATTTCCATGCGTCCGTCCGGGTCCTGCTTGATTGTGAGACAAGATCACCCATCGAGCGGAGGGTACTAACATTGAGGACCTGACGAATCCGCTTCCCGGTACTCCCCTTCAAGCTTTTTTCAATCTCTTCAAGAAGCGACTCATATTGCTTCGTTTTCTTTGCAAGCCTTTCCAGGGCTTTCCGATCGCGTGCTACCTTTGGGTCCTTGTACAAACACGGAATATGGTTTGCCTCACATTGCGAGCAAACAGGTCTTTCCCCGCTGCATTTGACCTTTCGACCTCGACACGCCTCGCATGCTCGCCCCACTCGGACTTTGGGGTAGTCGGTCCTGGCAGCGACCCCAAGTTTGGGGATGGCGATTTTGGGATTAGGGCCTGTCAGATTCAAAGGGCTAGCGGCCGACGCAGCGGGGTTTCCTAGGTAATGGCCGATACTGTAGGGCTCGAATGCGGCATGTGGAAAGGGCTGAGGTAGATTCTCGCCCGGCTCCCCGGCCCACCCAATCCCAGATTGAGGCGGGGGGAAGCCAGATCTCGAGTTGGTCGAGTCGCTAGGCCCCTGGCCACCAGGATCCATCGCGAGATGCAGCCCTGGAATCGATCTTTTCGATTCCACCAATTGTTTTCTTCTTAGCTGACCTCCCTGTAAATAATTTGCAGTTATCTCAGGGCAGCAAGGGCTCGAGAGGTGTCAGGGTCCATCGGAAACGCAACGTTGACAGACCCCCTCAGTACCCCGTAGCGTTCCCTGTTTTAAGGGGCTGTGCGAGGAGCTCCTGGGTGGATACGATTGAGCCAAGGCTTGCTCACATGCCCGGCACATGTCTTTCTGGCTGGTACGTTAACTCCTTTTGGGTCTGATCTTGTGGGCTTTCTGTTCATGATTGCTGCGATATTGTGGGGACGGGTTCTAGAACCGTTAGACGATGATATCATCTGTACCCACCCAAGCTGTTATTATTAAACGCCTTCGTGGGCTGACTACTCAGTACTGGTTGCTAGAAGTAGGTACAACCTATCCATTGGATAAGTTATATCCCATCGGTTCCATTCAAGTATATCATGTCAGTAATCTGCCAATGCAACATCGGAGCTCCAGTGTTACAGGAATTGACCGACCTCTCCTGACCTTGCAAAGATACGCGATCTGTTCGTGGACAAGTATCTGAATACTAGCGATCACAGCCGCATCTACGAGTACCTTAAGAGAAGCTATCCTACGCACTAACCGAAATCGCTACAAGTATTCAAATTCCAAGAAATAACACTGGTGGAAGATACTGCATACGTGACCCTTGCAGACATTTGGCGATCCTATTTGGCACCCTGGTTCTTCTCAGCCAGACCCTTTTCAGCTTTGACCTCGCGATTCATTTGCATGAAATAGAGAATGCCTGCTATTCCAATCGTGACAGATGTTATCATCCTCCTGCGATCAAATAATATCAGTACTTGTTCGGGTTCCGGGGTCTAATAATGAAAGAGAAATCTACCATCGCGGCCCGCTTGGCGTATCTTGCGGAGGTTGAGTAGGGTCAACAGATTCGAATCGCCTTTGACCGGTCTGTTGGAGAGGACGGCGCGCAGAGAGGTGAATTCGACTGGGTTGTTTAAGCGCTGTCTGCGTCCAAAGATATCGAGAAGTCATGATGAAATTCAAGTATGGAAAGCGATACGCGGACTTGGGTAGTCTGGAGTTGAGGAGTTAATGAAGAAAGAGAAACACCCTCGTGACAACTTAAAGATGTTACCAGAATTACATCACAAGTAACTAAGTCTAAAGCCATTTGGGCTTGCAAGATTCGGATTTGCCATCGAGTTCGAAGTGATGTCAAGATGAATCAGGCAGGACGAAGACCCACAATTTTACCTCGAATGTCCGGAGGGGTTCTATTATTGTTTTTATTACTTTGTACAGCGAAAAGAGCTAGCATTCATGTTTCTAGAAACTAACTCAGAGCTACTCCGTACACCCAAGCTCGCTTCCTGAGACTACTTTTGAACCCGACTGCCAGTCAGTGGATATCACGTGATGATATTTGTTTGTACGTCATCATGCAGCTTACAGCTTCTGCATCTTTGTGTTTCTTTCATCAAGAAGTTATTCCACTTGGAGGATAAATTTGATTTTCTCCATATCAGGCCTATTACTTATCTCTCAACCAACACTTGCATTTTTAATTCCAGACAGAAATACAGCAGTTGGTCGGGTACCGCTTGCTGACCCCACCTGTTGCCGTGGCTACGATCCTACCCGGCTGTGGGCTTAGTGAACACCTGGGCAAACATTCTCACCTTTTTTTCCTATTCCACTCAGACCACATTCCATATTTAGGAGTGATCGGTGGTCTTTTGGAAACGCGCCTTGCGAGCTCGATCAGGGGACACTGCACGCGTTCACCATCCTGCATCTTCAACCTGTTCGCGCCCAGGGCGGCTTGCACCATCAACAGTATTGACCCCCCTCTCGCGACGTCCACAACGATGGCGGACGAACTCGATTACCTACAAGCCGACTTCGACTTGAATTCCCTTACGGTCCCTCGTTTACGATCTATCCTTGTCAACCATGACATACCATACCCTGCCTCGGCGAAGAAGAGTCAGCTGATCCAAATCCTGGAACACGAGGTGCTGCCACAGGCCAGGAGGCTGCTCCGCGAGCGCGAAAGAGTCAGACGGACAAGCGAGGGTATCACGGACATGGGAAGTCGAGGATCTTCCGTTGTCAGCGATCGGGAAGACCGCGATTCTATACCCCCGCCACCGACGCCATCGACGATAGCATCGACCGCAGGAACCCGACGGGGTACTACTCGCCGAAGTACTCGCGCCTCCACGGCGGATACCGACAACGAAGTGCCACCCGCTACACCCGCGACTGTAAAGCGCAAGAGTGCTGCTCGATCGGTTGGAAAACGCCCCCGTGCTTCGGACACAGAAATTAATGATGACGCGGCTACAACTCCTACTGCGGCTGTGGCTGCCTCGGCCAGAAAGTCGACCGCTCGGAAAACACGCCGTAGCGAAGACATGGAGGGGACTACACCGTCTATCAAAACTGAACCTCGTGAGGGGAGTATCTTCACCGATGATAACCCTTTTCAGAGCGGTAGCCCCGAATCCGTCGGCAGGCCAGTTAGCCGCGACAGCAAACGCAAGAGCGGCTCACGATTGTCCGTTGAGAGCTCGGGCTCGAGAACACTGCGCTCACGACGATCTGTCACTCCTGGTAGTGGTGGCAAGCAAGAAGACGGAATAAAGGCCCCCACTAGAGCCTCTTTCGACTTCGCATCACGACTCCAAGCGACAAAAGAAGAACCTGAATCCGAAGACGAAGAATCTGAAGTAGACAACGAGGACGAAGAGGATGGGGATGAAGACGAAGTACCCGGTGAAGAATTTACTCCTGAAGAGCAGCTTGCCTTGGAGAGTGAACAATACGCACCACCGACCAGAACTCGCAAGCATTCTCACAAGCAAAGCTCTACGAGTGTTGTTGCCTCCTGGGTTGTGATCTTATCTGTTCTCATTGGCTTCGCTGCTTGGTGGCGCAAGGAGAAGATCGAGATCGGTTATTGTGGTCTTGGAAAGCCGACCTGGTCTTTGGCTGAAACCAAGGTACCGGAATGGGCTAATGTGTTAGAGCCGCTTTGCGAACCATGTCCGCCCCATGCCTTCTGCTATCCCAACTTTGAAGCACGATGTGAGCATGATTTCATTTTGAAAGCCCATCCGCTTTCTTTGGGTGGCATTGTGCCTCTACCGCCAACTTGCGAGCCAGACAGTGAGAAGGCCCGCCGTGTGAAGGCCGTTGCAGACAAGGCTGTGGAAGAACTTCGTGAACGCAGAGCCAAATATGAATGCGGCCAGCTCGAGAATGAAAGGGAACCAACGCCCGAGATCCCCGAGCCAAAGCTCAAAGAACAGGTCGCCAAGAAGCGTCGCAAGGGTCTGAGTGACACGGAATTTGATGATCTTTGGAAAGGGGCTATTGGTGAGATCATTGACAAGGACGAGGTTGTCAGTACCACTACGCAGTAAGTAACTCTCCTCTTTAAAGAGACAAGCCGCTGTCTCCATTACGAAATATTGTTCCGGATTTTGGCGAAACCTATGGCCTCTTTTCTTCAAATAAGATCTTGGTTCTGACATTGGGCACCGGAACTAACAGAGGCGCCATCGCTATCACAGACCTTCCGCCGTCCTTATCCTCAGCTCAACATCAACAGCCCGACTCCCCTTCACATGCGCCGCTCGCCGCTATGTCCGACTCGCTCTCCTCGCGTATCGACTCCCTATTTCACTTCTAGTCTTGACCGCTTGTGGCTTGATGTATGCTCGTTCCCTAGTACGTGCTCGCCGCTCAGACCTTGCTAGGGTACCCGAATTGGTCGCCACTACTCTTGACCGCTTGGCCACGCAAGCTGCGCTGCATGCTTGTGGCGGGGCTCCAGAGCCGTACATTCCTATTGGGCAGCTTCGAGACGACGTTTTGCGCTTCGAATTGCAAGGCAAGCGGCGTGAAGAACTGTGGGCCCGCGTCCGTCGTTTTGTCGAAGGCAATGCTAATGTCCGTGCCGCCGTTCGTGAAGGACGCAGTGGCGATGTCTCACGCGTTTGGGAATGGATTGGAGGCATCAGCAGCGTGGGACCAAATGGCCATGTGGATGACTTCCGAGGCAGTGCACGCCGAGGCAGCGCAAGGCTATCATGGTCATCCCCCCTAAACAATGTTGAGAATGCTCAGCAGGATACGCCCACTCCCACCCATGACGATTCTACCACCAATCACAGACAGTCCCGTCGATGGGACGAAGGTCGTCCGATATACTGATTCCTTAGCTGCCCTATCCGTCTTCATCTGTTCAGAGTGCGAAGTCGAACCTCGACTTTCGCTGCTTCAAAGGATGCAGTGATCCTGTGTATGCTTCCATGTGCACCCTACGAGTCATGGCCTTTGCTCCCTGTTCTTTTATGCGTCTCCTCTATCTTTTTCTTTTCTATCTTTTTTCCTCACCAGTACATATTCTATTCTCTTTTTTTCCTTATTACTTATCTAGCTTCTTATTCCCAATGTCCAATACCCCGCTTTTCAAGACTATAGTCGTCTCTTTGTTGCTATGATGCTTTACCCTAGTGAGCTTGATGCGTTAGACTCATGAATGAGACACTGGTTTTCCCGCGTCAACATCCTCCCAAAAAAGTAACATGGCTGTTGGTAACCCAAGCCATCACGTCAGCCGAAGAACCATGACAAGTAAACAGTTACGTGGAAGAGAAGACCTATATTACCGCTCCATGTTGTACAGCCTAGAGGGCCAATACAGGAACACACCCGCCGCTATGTATGGAATATCTCGATCGAATTCGAACGCCAACTTCTACAAACCACAATCATGTGCTGCACTCTTACCTTTAATCCCAAGGCTACGGGTAAACTACCAACACAAACCGCACTTTCTACTAGTAAGATCCCGGGCGCTTAAAATCGACAGATCTACAAACTAAATTGTGCGGGGAAGACCCGAGACAAAGGAACCCGCGAATTTTCTAATTTTTTTGATTTTGTTTTCCACTTTTCTGGTACAGGGCATTCGGCCAAAATTCGCGTCCCTCGCAATTGGAATTAGCCTTCGGTATCTCCATATTAAAGACTAATTGTGAGGTAGACCAAAAATGCTGTTCCGACGTCTATCGACGGTTGTCTCAACTGCCTGCTAAACCGCAATCGGGACTGCCAGTCGCTATTTCCAAATCATGGTGTTCCATGGTTTCGAGTGCAGGAATTGAGGTCTCTGCTCTCCCCTTCGTGGGACGGGAAAGGGTAGCGCGGGGGAGGGAATATTCTCCGTGGGTTTCGCACGTGCTACTCTACTGTGCCGTGACTGTACCCAGTACCTGGGAACGCTCGGCAAAGGACCAATTGGACAGAACGAGTGCTAAAGAGGCCATGGCCCCGGATTTACGTATCTTTCGCATCTCGAGATTAGCCCACATGTGTCCTGCCGGCCGCCGTGTGTAGAAGGGTGCATGAATTTGAAGATTAATTCTCAAGGATGAATATGCAGATCCGTCCAACGGTAGCCCTAGATAACCGAAGCGGAACGTGAAACACATTGGCGTTGCCTCATCCCCGAAGCGGGATAGCATGGGGTGTAAATTCAAGTTCTTGTTTTTGCCCCTTGTTCCCGCTGCTCCTATACGCCTGCTTATGGGATATATTAGTGGTGCATTCTACAGCACGATGCGCCGCGCATCGTGCTTGCGCTGTCCATGGCCGAATTCATGGCAGCTGCTGGTTGGTGCAGTGTCATTTCCATTGTTTTGGGTTATCTGGACGAGACTAATAGAGGCTCCCAGTGTCTTTCTATGACGTCTGTGGCACCTTTTCTGTATGTCATTTTTTGACCGCTCCTTGGTCGCTTTGCTGCCATGGTCCTATCAGGGGCATGAGAAAGAGAACAGGTTCCAGGTTAGAACTCCATTACCCTCTTCGAGCCAACAAGTTGCAGCTCCGCTATGTGGCGATTTAGGACGGGGGAGGCTTCGTAAATAACGTATACAATTAGCATCATTAGAAACTGACAGAACCGTTCTTCTTCTTTTTTTTTCTTTTTCTTTTTGCCTTTGTGCGCAGATTGTCAAATGAGAAATGGCACCGTTGCCTTGAGAGCCAATTTTTTTTCCTTTTTCTTTCCCTCTGAATTAACATACTCGGCAGTGCATGCATAGCCACGTAGCAAGGCGACACGGGCACAAAGCCAATGTGGGGAATGGCGCTGAGAAGGATGGTCTTCGAAGACTATCTGTGGGAAGGGACGAATTATTGGTCCGAAAAGTTTGTGACTTATATGGATCGATCGACCTTTCATGATTTAGCCTAGTCTGAAACCTTCAACACGTGTTGACGGCTGGCAGGACAGGTTTGAGGTTGCCAAGGAGAAGAGGAGAGTTGGCCGCATAAGCCTTTGTTAGTCTTTAGAGTTAACGGTGCAGTGATGTGCAACAGGGGAGTCTTAGAGGGCTGAGTCCAGAGGCTGCCAGGCACGAGGTGAAAACGGCTTTTTTGCAACGTTGTAGCATGTCGGAAAACATGGAGGGTCGCCATTGGTGCTGGATCCTGGAGCTAAGATCCGGGGAACGAGGCGTGGCACTAGCATGTAAACACCGCCTTCTCCTTACAACGCATAGTCGTCGTTCCAAGTAGCCCCTTTAAAGTTGTACCGGCCCATCTGTCCATCCATGTCGTACATATCCAGATGCGGTGTACGGTTGATGGATCGAGATGAAAACGCGGAATTACTCGCCGACAGTCAGAATTCACTCAAGGATCCACTCCCATACCCATTTATACGCCGGTTCTGGTACAGACAATCTTTGGGCTTACCCCCTCCCCTTCCGATCTTTTTTTCTTTGCCCACTTCCACTACCCCACTGGTCTTTCTGAATATCTCGCTCTTTTTGTTTTTGATTTCGTTTTTCTTTTCAATTTTCTTTTCGAGGAAAAAGGTCAATGCGGGTTCCCCCAGCTTCTGAACGTTAATGCAAGATCACTTTAGGGTTTAGCCCATGTCCACGGCAGACAGATCTGTGATCGGCTTTTTGTTAGCAATGCTTTTAATTCTCTTACTTTGAGTATAGCGGGCCTCGAGGAGCCGCGAAATCCTTAGCGTATCCAGATTGCTGGGACTATTCCTCGGCCTCCAGCGTATTTTGGACCCGAACATGGCTTCACGGCAGAGATCTCTAATTCTGAGCAATTATTGGAAATACTGCAGTGGTTTAGGGTGCAGAAGCTTGTGGCAAACATAGCAGTGGGATCGGCACTCAAGCTGCAGCGCTCATGCTACGTTCGTAGATTACGCTACTTTCTCCTAGATGACATTATTTACCCGTTCAAAGGTGCTTGTCTAAATATTGAGATGACGAAAGGTGTTTCGGAGAAGCCCACAGTCCCAAGTGCCAATTGATAGTGCCACATCACGTCAAGGGTCTTGCCGTGTGGAGGCGCTGTGTCACATCTTTACCATGCAGCGCCAAAGCCGACAACGCCCACTACGCTTGGAGTTTCGGTGGCAAATCCGATTTTGCCCTCTCGACAGGCTCTACACGACCCTTCTTTGGGGCCCAACAGCAGAGCCTCGGCAACCATCCCGTATACAATGACCGATTTATGGTCCTCATTCCATACATCAATGTCTGGTGTTCAGCCGAAAACGCCACAGTCTGATTGACCCGTGAAGCCATTGACTCGCGAAAAAGGGCCTGTTCTGTACCGGGTGGATGTCAGCCACAGTGGGGAAGGGGGCGAGAACACGCTTCGGCGAAGGTTGCAGGATTGCCTCGCCGCACAGCGGCCAGCACCGGCCAAAGGTGGTCGCTTGAACCTGGTTCTCCATGTGTACAGGAACCCCCTCCCATCATCCTGGCGTATATCCAGAATATGCTGTACTTTCTTCAGAACTCAGGCTTCGGCTAGCTCGTGTTAGTGGGCCTGAAGTGTAAACTTGGGGATGCGGTGCGGATCATAGCTCCCACAGAGGTTCTTGGACGCTGCGGGCTCAAGAGCCCAACTTCCGGAACAAGAAAGCGTTCAATAATCCTCCACACAAATACGGAGACCAACATCAGATGGGCCAAAGATCGGAGACAAGGGAAAGATCTTCTGCCGATCGAAATTAACTCGTTGGAAAAGTTCCAGCGGGTATTTCGACGGAGAGCCCACACCCTATCAAAGCTCGATAATCACGAGGCCGGATATTAAATCCGACGACGCATAGTTGGCTTGAAGCACCATGGGACTCTCCCGGAAGGGGTCGTGTCCGGTTGCTCGACTCGGCAGCTTTTGGTCCCCTTTTGGTCCACGGATCAAATCAAAGTCAACCCCCGAAACAGGGCGTGGTTTTTCGCTATTCTGGTTTTCAAGTCGAGGTCTTTCCGATAATGAAGTATATATGAGTTTCAACAGCCATGTTCTCGATGGCATAAGCCTAGGCTCCTCGCAAAAGGCCAATTCATACAAACAGCGAACCAGTAACTAGCTCGGCCAAGTGTCAGTGGGAGGCTCTGGAATACTGGAAGCCACAGCATTATAGAGCACCCGGCAAGGATATCCGTCTGAGCAAGTAACACGGTACATGCGAGATTAGGATTTCGAGAAATTCGACGAGTTTAGATGCTAAAGTACCCCAGTAAGACACGGTTACCCACAGAGCGCCCCAACGGGAGACCCTATTCAGCCCCTGCTCCATCGACTCACTCGAGCCCAGTAAAGTTTTAGGTTTCGCAGCACAGCATCTGTGCGAGACCCTACACCGGCTTGACATCCATCCGCAGGTTGATGTTCCTGGCCATTAGCGTCCTAGTCAACAAGCTAAAAAAAACTGCTCTGCGGCCCCTCTCCGAACTCATGCCAGGTTAGTGTATTAGTGTATTAGTGTTAGTGTGTACAAGAATGCCCGAGTCAGCTCGATCCACTTCTCTCCCACAAGCTGCGATCTCTCTTTTCCTCCACCCCTACCCCCTCCTCGCCTCCCCAATCCTCTTGCCTGCTCCGCCTTCTTCTTTGGCTGGTGGATCTGTGCGTCACGGTTAGTACAGGGTTTCATGAGCGACTTGTCAGGCCGCCGGGTTCTGTTTCCTGGGTTTTCTGACCATTCCAATAGTGGATATGATCATTCGCGAGGCATAGAATATGTTCCTTTAATGCTTGGCCCTGGATAGAGTCTCGCCCTGACTTCATTCTGGACTTCTTTACTTCTTATTTCATTTATTTTCCCCTTTTGTGCTTTTTCTTTTTCTTTTTCTTTTTTCTTTCTTTTCCTTTTTTCTTTCTTTTTCTTTTTTATTCTTTTTCTTTTTCATTTTTCTTGTGTTCATTTCTATTTCCCACCTCCCTCCGCTCTCTCTCCTCTTCCCCTCTCCTTCCCTCCTACCGGTCCTCCCGATGATGGGCGACGTAGGCCGCCCTTTTCGGGCCATTGCCCCTCGAAATAACCCCGGCGAGGGGGGCGGCGGCCACCTACCTGGTGGAAGCAGTGGAGGGCCTCCCCCAGACGATGGTCGAATGAAAAGGGCTTCAACCGCCTGTAAAGAGTGTCAAAAACGACGAACAAGGGTATAGATCCCAGCAATCCCCTCTTCGGTTTCCTTCCCCTCCCCCACCTCCTCTCCGATGTCTGTCCCTTTGTCCCTTGATCACTTCCCCACTTTCGCCAGGGGAGACCCCTCATTAATATTTTTAAATTCACCTTTTCTCTGACCTTGAGTTTGGCCCAACTTAGTGTAGCGGGCAGCCCTGCTCCGAATGTCAAGCTCACAATCGAGAATGCGTTTTCGACGAACTTTCCGACAGACGTCGGAAAGCCAACGCCAAGAAGACCAAAGAAGAGCTTACCAGTCTCCAAAAATTCGTGGAAGACCTGCTGGGAGCTCTGAGGAGTAGTGACGGGGCTCTCGTGCAACATATTGTCAACACTATTCGCGCAGGAGCATCAGAAGACGAGATTCGCGCCGTCGTCCGGCAAGCTCAGGCCCACGCGGCTCGCACCTCGAATCCACACGACATGGACCCTAATATCATCAACGACCATATGAGCAACTTCTTTGAGCACCACTAAACTTTGCAAAATTCTTGCAGCGATGTGAAGCCTTCAACCTACTCTTCAGCCGCCCACCAAACTGCACCGAACCAACCATCGATGATTTTAGCGTCTTGGTATGGACTTGAAAACGCTGGAGAGTTGGCAGGGGAGTGTTAAATTATCTGTTTACTTTCAAAGTCCCACTCCCCCTCTGGTGGGAGGGAGTGTTTCTGCCCATGGACGGCACAGCCCAGCCCTGATCCGCAAAAGCAGCACACAGTAGCATTGCGACATGCTTTGCATTGACCCCTTCAAAGCTTTCTCAAAACCAATAACTTTGAGTACTTGTACTCTTCTTCCTTTTTCATGTCCTCATGTGTCCTAGCCCTGTATCTTGGTTATTTCTATTTCATGCTCTACTGCTTGGCGGTAGGGCCAGCTACTCATCTTCACGACACGCTGTCACGGATTGACACTGCCAAACTCGCAATACCGGCGCACCTTTTCTAATCATATCGATACGGTCCATTCTTGATTTCGGGCTCATTTCGTGGGAAAGGTCTCTCCCATGTCTGTCGCAGACTTCAGAGTCCGCATACTCTTTACAATAATTTGGCTGGGGCTTACTACTTACAGTCTGGTAATTCGCCCGGAAGACAACTTTCTACCTTTGGAACCAAGCCATTACGGATACCTAGCCCGTAAATTGACTTTACGAACAGGGAGAGCTCTATTCTCACAACCTGCATCAAATATCGGAAAATATACCCGGAAGGGGGTGGCTGCCGAATTCGCGAAGCGAACTGCACAGGCCTAACGTACTGTTGCATCACGATCTGCTGCATACCTGGCTGCATCATACCGCACGATGGAATTCTTGAGCCATCACATTGCCAAGTCTGGTATCTCATTCAACTCTCTCAACCTCCATATCACTTCCTTTTGTGGATGCTCCCTTCAGCGCATCGGAACGTTTCGTGCAATTGGACAGAATCGGCCCCTCGACCATTTGTTAGACCATGCTTGATCTCCGCAGCCGCCGATTCCCACTTTTTTCCTGGCTTCGTCTTTCCCTTTGCTTTCTTCATGGAGATTTGACCTGCAGACCTATGAGCGTTACTTCATCAACTGCATACTAAGAATCAGTGGGGTTTACCCAGTTGGATTCAGCCATGTACATAAAATCGGGAGCTAATGCGGCGGACTTGACGAATAACGATAACGAACACGAATAACGGTAACGAACACGATCACAAGAGAGAAACAATACTATTTTGAACCTACTGTGAATTCAAGCTCGGTTAGAGAAACTAAGACGCATGTAAAGTCAATCGGTGATTCATTCGCTCCCTTCGACGCGGCTACAGCGTCAGTACCTGAACGGGCACTATCTCTAGACTCCTTTCCCGTACTGCCGATCTTAACAAGTGCAATTGTGGCTATTCAGCCAAAGGGCTCACCCCGTGAAAACCGAAATGTCGGGTATGTCTTCAAGTTGGTAAAAAAGCAATCCGGCAGTGGACAGGAACAGCCCCGCGCTCCACTCCCGCGATCTTCCCATCCCCGGGATCCCCCATCCCCCGGATTCTTCTTCTCCTGGCCTCACTTCCAGCACACCGCTGGCGCATCCACAAATCATCAGTTCAGGTGGCACTTGGCAGTTCTAGGCCCAGCGCTGATCCTGCCCTCGCAAATGGCATCTATTAGCGGTCCCGGGGCTGAGATACCTCGGGCTGGGCCGATCGGGCCTGGAAGCCTCGGTGATGACGCCGCGAGCAATCGGCGCAAGAGGAAGTCTGGCTCCCCGCTTCCCTCGAATAAGAGTGATAAGCAGCCCAAATTCGCCACTCGCCAGAGGATCACCCGAGCTTGTGACTCGTGCAAAATCAAAAAGACGAGGTGCACGGGCACTCTGCCTTGCACAAGATGCACGCGGCTATCACTTCCTTGCAGATACAATGCAGCTTATTCGAGGGGTCTACCACCTACACCTCTTCCCGCTTCGCAGGGAAGTGGGTACTCGGAAGCTAGTCGTGATGGGAGCACAGCACCGTCCAGTGATGAATTCTCCCATCGCGCCGCTTCGATCCCACGAGATGCGGCCAGCCGTCACCTCGGTGGTTCGGGCCGGCAGGTAGTTTCGGTGCGCAACTCACCGGAACCGGGATCGACGGACTTCGAAGGAAACTATATAGGCCCAGCGTCGGGGATTTCGTTTATCAATCGCGTATGGAGTCGATTGCATCAAGATGAGAAAGCAAGTGTTCTTGATGACCTGCAAAATGCATCGTCGAAGAATACTGCTGTGTTCTCGTTCGGCGATAACCCGTATAGCTACGATAAGGGCGCGGAGTTCCTGCTGCCAACATATGACAAGGCCATGGAGCTGGTCGCTATCTACTTTGACTTTTCGATGGTGACCTATCGTTTCTTACATCGAGGTCAGGTCGAGAATTGGGTCAAATGCATATATGAGGATAATATTTCGGCGACGAATCTTCCTACGGGGAATATGGTTGCCAGGACGGCTATTGTCCTCACATTATTCGCTGTGAGCACATTACACGCAGATTTGCAGCCAGGGAGGAGAGCAGGAGATCGCATCAAAAGGTGAGTGCTCTCTTCAATATGCCGAGAATCGGAATTACTAAGACAAGACAGTGAACACTGGTTCGCTGCCTCCAAGCATATCTCTTCTATTGAGTCTGGCCCGCCGCGGCTGGAAACGATACAGGTCAGGTTGATCCAATGCCTTTATCTTCTTTCCTCATCCCGAGCCAACGAGTGTTGGTACTCCTTCGGAACGGCGTTGCAGGTTGTGACCGCTCTGGGCCTTCATCGCAAATCACCTGCAAAACGATCCAATCATGGGATCTCGTATCTCGAGCTACAAATTCGAAAACGCATCTTTTGGAGTGTCTATACTTTGGATAAATACCTCAGCATCATGTTTGGACGGCCTCGGCTGCTGCATGATGAGGATATCGACCAAGAGCTTCCGGACGAATTGAACGATGAAGACCTGCTAGAGGAAGATCCTTCACGGCGAACTGGATCTGCAGATAGTATGATGATTGCGTCTGTTTTGCATTACCGGTTTGTCTTCTTACTCTGTCCAACCACCTGTACATCAACCTGACACCCCCAGACTCGGGCGCATCCTTGGTGGAATCTCCCGCCAACTATACAGCATTAACCCTATATCCCGCGATTCGCCGCTCGACACCGCAGTCCGACTCACATCGGAGCTAGAAAAATGGAAAGAAAGCGTCCCACCAATCTTCAACAGCGTCCGCCCAGCTAGCCTCATCCCACCACTATGCCGACAGAGCCACGTCCTCCAACTCGCATACTCCCACGCCATGATCCACGTCACCCGCTCATTCCTTCTTACCGATTTCACCGATCTTAGCCGCCGCCCACACGACTCAAACTCGATAGTCAGCTCGCATGTTCAGAAATGCATTCAAGCCGCCGAAGATATCCTAACCATCATCGAAGCCCTCGTCCAGCAGAACACTTTCATCCCCTCATTCTGGTTCACCCACTACATTTGCTTTTGCGCTATTCTGGTTGTCTACATCCATATCATCCAGCAGCAACGCCAGTCCGTGGGGTCCAGTCCCTTCCACGGGGTCCGGCCGACCCAGCAAAAATGCACTTCTTATTTGCGCTGGCAGAGAACTGTCAGCAGCACCTGGCCGAGGCAACTCGCAAAAACTCCCCGAGCCGTCGCTACAGTATTATCCTTGAGGAGCTGAGGCGTGAAGTCCATCGGCAGATGGGCTCTGATGCCAGGTCTGATATCTATCAGCGCCCCGTGCAGCCTGAACCCGAGTCTCTTGTTCAAGGTGCGCTGGCGCCAAACGGGGACCAAGCGGTGACGCTGGGTGATCAGAGTGTGGAGTTCGAGGGGATGTCGGGGCTGTTGCAGGCGCCCGAGTTTGGGATCAATCCTGTTGAGGACGCGGGGCTTTTCGAGAGTCTCGAGGGCTCGATTTGGTGGGCCCAGCTGGACTCCTGGGTGAGTTTGATATATAATCCCGTAATATCCCGATGCTAATTTGGTTGTAGGCCCTTTCGAATTTTCCTAGTGATTCTTTCTCGTTCAATTTTTGACGAGCCGACGAACATATAGATTCTCTGTTTAGATAATTCTTACGTCTGATTAGGGTTTCTTCCTATCTACCGTGGCGAGCGTGGCCTCGGGGATGATGAACTCGATTTGATGAACTTGGGCAATCGTTTCGTAAAGTATTGACAAACGCCCCGCAGGTACCCAAGTGCATAAGTACCAGCGCTCAGATACATGTCGGTCCATTATAGTTATCCCACCACCGAAACGAGAAATAAGTGGGACATCATGCTGCTAGTCAAAAGCTTATTGAAACGTTCATTAACATACGTGAATAGCAGGTCCCAAAGCGAGGGTTTGGACACATTCCATTCCCGCGTTCCAATACGTGCTGTGAGGCTGAAAAGATGTATCTTGGTTTCGAGGCCAGGTACGGAGGTCAGGCGAGGTGCTTCGGTCAGAATACGGGGGGGATCTCCCGCTCAAGCTCATGATAGCGCCCGTGCACCAAGTCGGCGTCATACTATCATAAGTATTCGCTATCTGCGAATGAACACACTATCACATAGAAAGGCCTTGAAGCGAACATTCAATACCATCTGGGCTCCCCTTCCAAGCAATCAATATCAGATCTGCCGTGTTATACCTACTATTCTTTTAGCATTGTGACCTGAATACGGAGCCCTGAAGATCACAGCAACATTGTTCTTTTCCTCTCAACCATTGGTGTCAGCACGACCAGGATGCAAAACCGGGAGCTTCACAGAAGAAACATGATCTATATAAGCTGGGTAGCAGCCAGTCATAGGAGTATCTCAATGATCAGCTCCACGTAACTCCGTCACTGGATTTACTGCGCGTCCTCCTTGTTTTCGCATCACCAGTTCTGTCATCGCTATACTGGAACCATGTCCGTGCTGAATGTACGTTCAATCACACTCAGTGCAGGACATTGGGCTGCAATGCAATTCCATTTTGGTCGAACGTGCTTGATACTATTCCAAGCACCGCATCGTCAGTCCGATCGGTACGGAGTATGGCAGGCAGGCTGCACAGTCATAGTCAGCGTCTGCTCATCAGTAGCGGGCTTACCTATGGAGCTGACATGGGGTCGCCTGTGCCTGCGAGCATACTAGCCTGCAGCTCCGCATTCAGGATTTGTCAAGCGGCCTATGTGACTATTTTGTTGGTGGCCCAACGCCGTAAGAGCTGGCTAATAGCCGTCGAGCCAAATGGGAGGAAGTTGATGTTGAGCAAGCATTGCTCCTTTTGATTTATTGAGGGATTTTGCCGTGCGCTTCGAGCTTGCGAATGATGAAGCTATGAGAGCACTTCTATTTTGATGCATGCATACTAGAACTTTCAAGCATTTTCACTTTCGTAACTTATCATGTCGGGATCCTCGCGCGAGGAATATCGCCCTCGTGAAACAAAGCTTCGAATGTGAAACAAATAACAAAAGAAACCGGTGAAAACGCAGGTGTGGATGAAAGGGGCCAGATGCTTTTTAGCGGGAGGGAAAAAAAAGTGGACTCGCGGGGAATCGAACCCCGGACCACTCCCATGCTAAGGGAGTATTATACCACTAAACCACAAGCCCGCTTGTTATGATGAGGTGCGGCTTTTTGGCAATACACGTTAAAGTGATAAAATTTGCACAATCTGACCTGATTACTTTAGCAACCTCCGCGCTACCCATAGTTCCTGCTTGTTTGAGGAGTGTTCTAGCCAATTCGACCCATGTTTTACTCTGAGAGCATGTTTAGCTCCTGAGTCTAACCAATATACTCAATTTAAGTACTTATACATCAATCGTAATCCTTCCCAGGTTTGTCCCCGGTGTTCTGTGTTTGAGTCCGGGAGCGGTACTAGATATATATACAAGGTAATGGTATTACCTGAGATTTTAAGTCGCTTTGAAGCTGAGCCCTTTTGATGTCAAGTTTACGAAATCCCACGATATCATCCTCCGTCCTACCCACGCACGGCGGAGAGTACTATTTATCTGGTACTACTTCCTGCGGCGTAGACCTTTAGTAGCTCCAATAACACTTGGGATCACTAGCAGCCGTGTATTGCAAAACAGAATGCGACCGGGGGACGCAACTGGATCAAAATCGAAAATTAGACTGATCCGAGCACTAGCAGTACAAGTACGAAGCCTGAAGGCCACGGGCCCTAAGACAAATACTGGCATGTCTAAAATTAGACAGCTATAGAAGAATTCAAGTTCTCTTATGAATTCCAGTGCGTATATCATCACTCATTGCATCATAGAGAGTATTTACAAATCAGGCAAAGTCCACAGCAGGTTGCCCCTTTGCCCTCAAAGTATCTCGAACGCTCTGCTGCATAGTCTCAATAGCATCTGCCCATGAAACAACGTCCTCGTCTGGGGAAACCTGAGGCTCCTCCTGTCCATGCTGCCCAACGAGCCACATCAACCATCGTACAACAGAGACTGCCTTTTCCGTATCATTCTCCTCGGTTATCACCCTTCGGAGGTATGTACATAGTGCCTCGACGTCGTCACTATATGGGCCATCAGATATGAAGGTTGAATGCCAAGCGCTGATTGCATTCTGAAGATCTTCTAAATTCGATAGGCCTTGTGATGTAAACACCGGTACCTCTGACGGAGACGACTCCCTTTTGCCCGGAGAAGTTGTAGCACCGGGGGTTGAAGATTGAGGCTGGGCCTGGGGCTGTTTCGCAGGCGGGGGAGGTGAAGGAGTAGGCCCAGGACTCCCTTTGCTAGAGGTTGGCGCAGCAGCCTGAGAGATAAATCCAAACTTCGCAAGAGTCTTGTTAGCACTATTATTGGGTCTGTTAGACTTGGTAGGCTCTTTCTTGGGTGGCGATATGTTCCTTTTGCCCTCTGTAGGCCTAGGAGCTGCAACAGGAGAGGCTGCGGCAGGTGATGATAAAGCTGATAGGGGTGCAGCTGCATACTGCTGGTCATAGTAGCCTAATACTTCATTGCGAATGTCTTCTGGTAACGCAGCCAAAGCTTCTGGATCCAGTTGCGACGGGGAAGAATGGCCCGCAGTGCATGATTTCTCGGATTGCGTTGGAGAGGGTTGTGACTGACGCGGCCGAGGACATGGAGAGGCAGACCCGGGGCTTTTCCGAGGCCGTGCCTGTGCCGCGAGCTTGGACCTAATGTCACTCACAGGTGCAGGTGTGCCTTTTGGTTCTGGCCGAGGTGGCATAATGAACTGCGAGCCAGAGAGATTCAGCGGTTTGTGAGCGCTGTTACTCAAGACTGGATCGACCTGGATCCGAGCGGAAGCGTCTTTGTGAGGGCTCTCTAGTTCATCAGGATCCTCTAAATCCAGGATAGTCCTTTGCTTTGAAGGGGTGGTAGTGGATTGCTCTTGATCATTGGCTTGGAGCCACTGATCACCAGCAAGGGTTGTTGAAGTTCCAGCACTCTGTTCTTGGACTGGGGTAGAGTCTGGTGAATTTTGCCTAGCTAGTGAATCCGAGCGCTGAGGAGGTCCCGAAGTCCTGCCCGAATCGGCAGCCAGCAGCTGGGAATTGTACCAGCTGGTATTGGACTGTTCTCTATACCCCGACCGCAAGGTGTTGGTCTCACTAGTCATGTGACCGCCACCGAATTTTAAAATCTTTTGAGATTGTCCTTCATCCACAGCCCGAAATTCGTTCCATGGTAACAGGCGGCCTGCCTTGATACTCTCTGTAACCCATGCGGGCTTCACAATGCGGTATCGTCGGAATTCGTCTCGTTTCTTAGGCGTCAGCGAACTGGCGATGATATGGGTTGCCGACGTCTTGTTGTCTAAGTATTGCAGGAAGCCCCCTCCATGGCTGACAATGAGGCGATGTAGATCTTGTAAAGAGGGCTGGGTGTATCCATTAACGTGCGCAACTATCCCGCGGAAGATTGGAGGGCAGTCCCGAGAGGACGCTCGGATTTCAGCATCCAGATTCTGTAGTTTAATTTTCTTGCGTCGCATGTAGTCTCCGAAGCCCCCAAAAGCAGAGGCCTCATATTCTTCGCCTGTTTCATCGCGAAATTCGTCTAAATCGACTTCGATAAGCCTCGGTCCAAGTTGAATTAGATTGGGTACTCATATAAGTACTCACGATTTTCGATGCGCTTTCGCACCGCGCTCGAATTAGAATCGAGACGAGAGCCCATCCTGGGCCAGCCCGTTTGCCATGTACTAAATACTCATATGAAGACGCGCGCTCAGCAATGGAGTGCACGAGCGACGCGTTGGGGGGCAAAAACCGGAGCAATGGCACGGCGGTGTAAAAGGCGGTCTATGGAGGCAAAGCAAGAGCGGTCTGGGCCGCGCTGATGATATCATTGGCTGAAAATTCGGGCAAAAAAAAAAATAAGTTAAAGGAAAAAAAAAAGAGCTTCGGCGATCTTTGCTACCGAGTTTGGGATCATTCTCTTCCTCTTCCATCCACAACCTGCCTTGCTTCAGTGGTTGCTTTCATTCCTTCTTTCTGCGTTCCTTCTATCTCGCATTGCTCCCTTTTCAAATTCCCAATAAATCAAAATGTCTGGTGTTCAGCCTGTCGCAGTCTACGCCCTCCGGGTTCCTCCTGGAGTTATGGTGCCCGCTGTGCCCGGTGCCGCCGCGTCGGTCAGTATAAAAAAGCTGTGCAAACGGCCACTAAACTCCAGCTAACATCTCAAATAGTTCCGTGTGAGCATGGCCGCCATTGACCCTGATGAGGAGGCCGACTTCGAGGACGGCGACAGCAGCAAGGCCGCCCGCGCGACTTTGAAGATTGTTCGCCCTCCTCCTGGTCTTGACCTGGAAGAGGGTGACGAGGACTACAGCGATGAGGAAGATGATGAAGAGTACGACTCTGACGAGGAGGAGGTCAACGGTGGCCCCAGCGACAAGGAGAAGGCCCGCAAGCTGAAGCAGGCCGCCGCTCAGCGCGAACTTGCTGAGGCCATGGAAGAGGACGACGACGATGAGGATGAGGAGGAGAGCAGCGGATTCGACCTCAAGGCTGCTATTTCTAAGCTCATCAAGGGCAAGGAACCTGCCAATGACGATGAGGAGTCCGATGATGATGACGAGTCCGACGAGGGCCTGGACCTGGACGAGAATGTCATCTGTACTCTGACCCCCGATAAGGTAAGCAATCCTTTGATTTCAGTCTGAAATTACCTATTGCAATCGGGATCTAACAAATAAAAAATAGAACACTCAACAGCCTCTGGATATCACCGTCTGCGAGGGCGAGCCCATCTTCTTCAAGGTTACCGGTACTCACACTGTCTTCTTGACCGGAAACTATGTCCTTCCTCTTGATGAGGCTCGTGCTGGCTCTGATGACGAGGATGATGAGGATGACGATGAATATGATCTCTCTCCCGACGAGGACGAGCTTGACATTGACGACATCATGGCCATGGAGGACGACGAGAGCGACGACCTGGACGGGATGGAGGATCCCCGTATTACTGAGGTCGACAGTGAGGAGGAAGAGGCTCCCAAGCTTGTTGAGGCAAAGGCCAAAGGCAAGAACAAGCGTGCTGCTGAGGCCGCCGAGGGACTTGACGACTTGATTGCCAAGGGAGAGCCTGCCCTGACCAAGGCCCAGCAAAAGAAGCTCAAGAAGAACAACGGTGATGCCGCTGCTGTTGAGCCCAAGGAGACCAAAGCCGACAAGAAGGAGGCTAAGGAGGCTAAGAAGGATGCCAAGACCGATAAGAAGGTCCAATTCGCTAAGAACCTCGAGCAGGGCCCTACTCCGTCCGGAGACAAGCCCGTTGGCACTCTCGGCGTGAAGGAAGTCAAGGGTGTTACAATTGACGACAAGAAGCTTGGCAAGGGCCCCGTCGCTAAGGCCGGCAACACCGTTGCCATGCGCTACATTGGCAAGCTTGAGAATGGCAAGGTCTTTGACTCCAACAAGAAGGGCAAGCCCTTCTCCTTCAAGCTTGGCAAGGGCGAGGTGATCAAGGGTTGGGACATCGGGGTTGCTGGTATGGCTCCGGGTGGTGAGCGTCGTATCACTATTCCCCCTCACCTTGCCTACGGCAACCAGAAGCTCCCTGGTATTCCCCCCCAACTCCAAGATGATCTTCGATGTCAAGCTGCTCGAGATCAAGTAGATTCTGTGTGTCCTTCCTTGTCCCTTCTACCACTGATCTGCACGGGTGTTTTTGTGGCTCTTACGGTTTGATTGCATGATTTCCCATGATATCCTGCCTGTTTTCATTTCGTTTACCTTTTGAACAGAGGTCATCATGAGGAATTTGTACCCCTGCATGGAAAAGTGCTTGATTTTTTTTTTTGGGTCCTGTTTGTATCTCTATTGAATTCATTGTTACCTCTGGCTGGGCAGATTTTGTTACTCCCTTTTCCGACTCGAAGTTTAAATTAAAAACCGTAAAGTTCTCGCTTTCCTTGGGTCGTACTTTCCCCCAATGCTGTGCTCAACTGCGTGAAGATCCTTCTTTCCACCTGGGCAGCATTGCCGGACAGGCTGGAGCTCTGTAGTCCAAACATTCGAGCTTTACACCGTCACTATTTGCAACCTGCTACTGCTTCCCACAAGCGCAGATATTCGACCATTCTCACTATAGACAATCTCTTAACTCGTTCATTTCTTTATTCGCTGACAGCATGTCTATCCTTTATCCAAAGCAAGTCAGAAAGCGTCGAAGCGTTTTCGGCCTCTGGATTCCGACCAAAATTGTCACAGTAACCAACAAATGCGATCCCTCTCCACCTGATTCTGCGATCTCCGACAGTCCTGCATCCGAACCGATCATCAACCACAGAGTAAGGAAAGACCGATTCAAGGTTCGCTTAACTCGTAGCGGCTCGAAGCTGCTTCTGTTCCTTGGTCTCGGGAGTTCTTCCAACAGTAAGTTTGCCTTGGTCAAACGCACGACTGAATGCTGACGGATCTGGCCCAGGCCATAAAACAAACGTGGAATCCGTTTCTTGTCAAGAAAGCCACGAAGTCCAGCCTCAAACCATACCTTCTCCTGCAGTTGATCAGGTGAACCCTATATATATGGCGGACGACATTCAGCGGAGCGAACCACTTGTCACAGTTCCTTCGGTTACTGTCGAGACCCAGAGCTGCAAAGCACAAATCAATCTGCAGGAAGAAAACGGGAATATTGGACCGAAAGAAATTGACCAGCCCGTTGAAGAGGACAATCCCCGGCCTTTCCAGAAAGATGATGCACAAGATGCGTGTGTCGCCGTTAGCCTTGACCCACAGACATTTGGCCCAACGCTTGTCAACCGTCTCTCGCAACGAATTTCCATGACCTTTGGTAATCCAACCGTGATTCGTCGGGCTCACTTGCGCTCTAGGCCAAGTATCTATTTCGCTGATCCTCCAACTGAAACTAGACAGGGGGATGGGATTAATGATAGCTCTGAGCCTTCTAGCCCGAGTAGTCATGGATCTCCGCAAGAGCGCTCCACTCAAGCAACACCAGTCACTTCAATTGAATCCAACAATTCAGGAGACAAAGACAAAGATTCAACGGCAGCATGCCAGGTTGAATCGGAGCACATATCGGAGACACCTGTATCTCCAAGCACAGCCAGCAGTAATTCCCCTATGATTACACCGTCTATCGTAACTGTCGAAGCAGCAGCTGTGGCTAAGGTATACCTTGAGCTATACTTCGATTCGATTTTCCAGAGTGTTAATCCTCGAGTTCAGCGTCAGCATGAACTTGAGCAACACATCTATGCCTTTCAACTCGCCCCCGCGGAGCAGGCGGCAGTCAGATCCAATTGGGTATTGCAAGAAAATGAACATTTGCGCCACTGTCGGGCCTTGAAGACTAGCATGCGATCTCGAAAGCCGAAAAATGCAGTTTCAAACGCCGGATACGAGGTCATCAAGATTCTAGGCAAGGGAAGCTTTGGCGTAGTGCGTTTGGTCCGTGAAAAGGACACTGAGAAGAGACCCTCTCAAGAAGAGCTCGCTTCAACTCATGAGGGGAGCTTCACGAGTGCGAAGTTCGCCACGTTTGGCATGCTACGCTCGGCCGTTGATGGAACCAAGAGCAACAGACGAAGATTCATGACTGCGGAAAAAAAAGAGGTCTACGCCATGAAAGTCATCAAGAAGTCAGACATGATTCGCAACTCACAGGAAGGACACATAAGAGCCGAAAGAGATTTTCTGGTCGCTTCCGAAAGCTCTCGCTGGGTTGTGCCATTGATCACCAGTTTCCAAGATGATAAATTCCTATATCTTGTCATGGATTATATGGTTGGCGGCGACTTTCTCGGGCTCCTGATCCGAAAGGATATTCTTCGAGAAGACTGGACGCGCTTCTATATTGCCGAAATGATTTTGTGTATCGAGGAGGCTCATAGGCTTCATTGGATACATCGTGACGTGAAGCCGGACAATTTCCTTATATCCGCGTCGGGCCACCTGAAGATTTCAGACTTCGGCTTAGCTTTCAATGGCCACTGGTCTCATGACCAGATATACTACAACACGCACCGGAACACTCTCCTGGAAAGGCTAGGGATCAATGTCCAGGGAGATGTGGAGGACCAGAAAGCTGCAGGTGAAGCAGATCCTGAAGGTGCCACAGCCTTCAATGTTGGGTCAAACGGACTCCTTGACTACTCGAGAGCTCAAGTTCCATCGACAGATCTTTTGGATTGGCGCAACAACAAAGAGCGACGGCGCTTTGCCAAGAGTGTCGTTGGCACTAGCCAGTATATGGCGCCCGAAGTCATTCGCGGCGAGATGTATGATGGACGCTGCGACTGGTGGAGCTTGGGTATTATTCTGTACGAGGTGAGTAGGCTCGAGCTGCCCGACGCCTAAGCAAACCCTGACGCTTCTTCGCAGTGCCTGTATGGCTTCACCCCATTTGCCTGCGAAAATCGGCACGAGACCAAACTCAAGATTCTGGTAAATGTTAGCTCAACTCATTGTCTGTGACTGTGCTAACAAACCTGACCAGCAACATTCACGGACTCTTCAATTCCCCCGAGAAAAGCCATCAGACAAGCTGGTATCCAAGGAGGCTATTGACCTTATCCACCGAATTCTTCAAGAGCGTGAGATCCGGCTTTCTTGTGATAAGTACCAGGCTAACGATGTCTTGATCGGACGCCCGGTCTCTGCACACTTTCTATACTCCATGGACCCACGATACAGGCACATCACAAGCTACTTCGTATATCCAAATGATGCCGTTGACATCAAAGCCCATCCCTTCTTCAGAGGCATCCGATGGAATGAGCTGCACCTTAGTTCACCGCCTCTGGTACCACGAGTCCGAAACTGGGAAGACACTCGTTATTTCGATGACTGGAAGTCCACTGGCCGCTGGGACGAGGTGTCCGCTGGAAGTGAATCAGATAATGCGGAGGAAGAGGCCGGCGATGATGCCGGTAGCCCGAATATTACGCCTGAATCACCCGAAGCATACGCAGACGCCGATCAAATCAGCCCGTTGGAACCCGTGGCCCCCAAAGCTGATGCACAGAAAGCACAAGATGCAGAGAAGAAGGATCAAAAGCGCGCCCGTGATAAAATACTCCGTGACAAGAAGGTTGGCCGTGCTGCACTTGAGATCCGGAAGCATGGTGCCTTTCTAGGTTACACTTATCGCCGTCCGAAGGGGCCTGCTCTGGCACTTGGCACAGAGCGAGGACGACAGCCTTTTGGCCGGGGTCATTTGATCGACATGTATTCGCCCTAAAAAGTCACCATTTTGGAGCTCAAGGGGCGCATTTCGGATGTCTGAAATTCCTTTCACTCTCCGATCGGGTCATTTCTACGTGCCAGAACTTGAACACTCTTTCTATGATTGTGTGGGGGGATTTCTTGCTCTGCTTGTCTTGCGCAGCATGTCATCATCGTTCGTTCATTATTATTAGACTACAACCTAGATACCCAATATCACTAGTTCTTCATGAAGCTTAGTGATCGAGGAAGCTTGGTTGCCGTAGCATCAATATAATCTTAGCATCAGTGTCACTACATGTCGAAGACAAGGCTAATCAGCATACAAAAGATCTTACAATGTTCATCATTACAGTTCATGATTCCGAAGCACAGATATTGTGGATTGATTTTGGAAACGCATCAACTTGGGTATCAGATTACAGAACAGGAGCATTCATCGAGAACGCCGAATCAGTGACTCGATCCTCGGGTCTCATAGTACCATTAAGCAACGGACAGAGCTTCTTGTTGGTCTTGATATGGCCGACTTGACCACAATTTGCACATTTGCGCTGCGTACCAGCTGGCTTGCCATCGGGTCCTTCGCCAGTGCGGACGATACCTTTCTGCTTCTCACGAGCGAAACGACGCTCCTTGTTGCGGTTCAAACGCTGGAGCTCAGCTTCGAGAAGTTTGCGGTTGCGAGCGTCCAACTCGGGATTGCCCGTTGGCTGGAGCAATTCCAGCTTTGTGGTCAGAGCGTCAGAGCGATGGCGATGTTGCACGTACTGACGGATAACGCGAGGGTCGGATACAAACTGCTCCTTCTCGACAGTATTGCCGTCTGCATCACGCACCGTGCGAACAATGCGCAAGACTTTGCCCTTTTGGTCCGCGAAGCTCAATCGGCTAAACTGACTGGTGGTTTCGTCGTCACGACGGGGGGCTGGAGTCTGCGCTTCGGAGCGAGGGGTTGGTTTATCAAAGCCGTCGTGCTCTTCGGCTTGATCAATGTCGCTTTCGTCATCTGATTGCTCGATCGTCGAGGAAAGACTGGCTTTTTGGGCGTCCCATATCCGGCGGATCGAGGTTTCATATGACTTTTGCTGGCGGGCAACGTTGTAGCTGTGGCCGCCTAGTTCCTTGAGTCGCTGGGCATCAAGTTTATCTTCAACACTTTCACCGATAGCTTTGAAGCCGCCCTTCATGGATGTCTTGATGAAACTGAATCCTTCACCGCGGCCGGTAGGATCACCTTCGCCGTGAAGCTTAAGCATAGCTTTGCCTTGGGAGGCTAAAAGGAAGTTACGGCTCGCCTTCCAAGGAGCCATTTGCTGTTCGAAGCTTTCACCTTCCTCGTCATCATCGTTATCATTGGCATTGTCTTGGTCATTGCCAAAGCCAGTGTCGGTCAGATGTTGCTGGCCGACCTGCATTGACTCAAGAAGACAGACATCTTCAGGCTGGACCCACGCTCGGATGGTGTCTTGGTCAGGAAGAACTGGATCCAACGGCTTCCAATACTTGGTATCCTTGTCGTGCTGGAGAAAATCTTTGACTTTCTGTCGATTCTGCATGTCAGTCGTGTTTGGAATATGAGCAGTGACATCGCTGATAGAAAGGCGCTCATCGGCACTCTTCTTAAGAAGTCGGTAAACCAGCATCTTCATGCGGTTCTTTGCGACTGTTGTAACCTTGCGCGAATGCGGCCCAGGAATGTCAACAGACGGGAATTGCTGACCAGCAACGTAGAAGTTATCGACGTTACGGATAACATAGGTACTACCGGCGGAGCTGGTAGAGCTTCGGACGACCAAGAAGTCATTTGATTTCGTCTGGTGTGGATACAAGGGTGCTCTGTACATTGAGTTCGAGATTGCGGGCACGACCTCACCTGGGTCAACATGACCAAAAATAGAGAATGGACTCTTGTCTTGTGGGAGCAGGACGACTGTTTCACCAATATCCGCTTTGGGGCGAGTAGGGTCGTCTGGATTTTTTCGACGATAGTAGTTGATGAAACGATTACACATGCCAAAGTTAGAAAGCGCCATGGGCGCTTCTTCCGAATATTCTACCAGCAAAGATGTGGAATTGTCGGCCATCGAAAGGGACTTTGTCGAGTCGTAGAGCGATTTTGCATCTTTCCCTTTGACATGCCGACGCTTGACATGCGCTGGATTCTTGAACCAAGAAGTTTGACCGACACGAAAGACCATGGAAGGTCTGTGGAATGAACGAGCTTGGTCTTTCGCAAGTTCAGTCTTGTAATAAGGCCACTGTAAGCGCAAGGCAGGCATGGCATGCTCGAGAGTAACATTGCCAAGAGTGCTGCGGATCTTGTTCTGATGATTTTGCTTGAGCATGTCGTAAGCTTGGTCATTTGAAATGTTGTAGCGCTGAGTCATGCGGCGAGTAAGAGTAGTGTCAACTTCATCTCGGAGACGTAAGACACCATGCTTGGGCTTGTGAGCTAGTGCCTCTGGTTGGAGTTCCTCTACAAGTATTTTTGGGTCGTTCAAGTCAATGACCACCTTTTTCGCACTTCGTGAGCATGCCTTTTCAGGGTCATCCAGCAGAGGAATATCGATATGGTAGAGCCCAATGACGTCCTTCGGGGTAGGGCCGGTTTTGCGCTTCTTCGACGCATGTTCTTCTTGGAGAAGCCAATCATCGTCGTCCTCCAAAGGTTTCATTTCAGGCTCAGATGCCGCCTTCAGGGTATCATCCACGATATCGTCCTTGACTTCCCAGTCCGCGCAGATGACCCGAAGATCTTGCATAGTGATTCCCCCGGGTAGCAGTTCATCACTGTCACCATCACCCAGCTCGTCAGTTTCCTCTTCCTCCTCTTCCTCAGGAGATCCTTCGATACGTATGAGACATGGATTGTAGTTGAAACCCACCTTCGGGGGCTGGGTTGATTTGAACACACGTTCATGATCAGGCTCTAGCTCGATATTAACCTTTGTTGGAAGGACCGGCTTGGGGACCTTCGAGGGTTTCATGCCAACGAAGATCGCCTTTTTGTGAGGAATGATCTCGAGCCATCGAGGAAGTGTGTTGCGGTCGAATTTAGGGAATAAGGAATGGAGGAATTCTTCATCGCTCTCAGGTGGTGCAGGCACCTCGCCTGGACGGGATCCGGCCATCGCAAATAAGGACTGTTGCAACTTCCAGTCGCGAAGGGTTTCGGCGTCCATCTCCTCAGAGACTATGCTGGCATCGTCGGCCATTTCGTCCAGGTCATCTTGGATCGTTTGCGCTTCCTGCTCTGAAACCGGGGGGATGGGTGGTAATTCAACAGGCTGGCTTGTTAATGGTGGCTCATCATCTTCGAAGAGGTCATGAGTATCATCATGAGCAGCCGAAGGCGAAGCGGCACCTTCACCAAACAGATCATCAAGATTGTCTTCCTGCCCTTGAACTGCGCCATCTCCCTCTCCGAAAAGATCCTCACCCGCCTCAAATAGCCCGATATCATCTCCGGCGTCGGGGAGGGTATCAGTTGCGGCAGTTTCAGTGGGTTGTAGACGAGCTGGCCCGACTGCATCTTCCTCCTCAGGAAGTTCATCGTCATCGAAGTCTTCAAAGTCGATCGCATCGTCTGCCTTCTCGCCTGTTTCTAAGTCTCGTGATAAGAAGTCTAGCTGCGGTCCGTTATAGCTGTTCAGCTGCGTCATCAAAGTATTAAAATCCGTATCATCCGCGGCGTCCGCCTCGGGATTACCGGTGGCGTGCGGCATGGTTGCGATTGTTGCGTGCTTTGATCTGCTCGAGTTGCGAGGTTGCAAGAACACGGCGGGTGGGCAACGGTGGTGGAGTGAGCGGCGTAAATAACAGGCACCGGCGAATGAAGGGTTCAGGTAGAGCACATCTGGTAGAAAAGCTCGTTCACCAGGATGGTGAAAAGTCCAGGCGAACGAGACGGATCGGGCGACGAAGTGAGGGTAATGAAGGAGGAAGTCGCGCGAACCTGATGGACGGGCCGCCTGTTGGCCGCCTGAGAAATCAGGTCCGCGTTCAACGAAAATGGGCTAAACCAAATAAGGAAACTAGCTTCTACAACTTGGAAGGTAAAATACTTGGCTTCAGAAAGACCCAAGCTATGGTGATGGAAGACCCATCCCTTGGCGAAGTGGTTTAAAAGCTATTTTAATTTGAAGCCTCCGTAAAAAACACAAAGAGCTTTGCTCGCGCCGCCCATCGAATAATGCATGACTGTCGCCTTCTGGCCATCGGGGACGTATTTCGCCAGTTGCCGCACATCGGAAGAGCGTGGCAGGTAGAGAGCCATATGCTCGGTGAATAAAGAGTACTCTTTGTAAATTTTATCTAGAGAGTATGGCTCCATTGTGCTCAGATTGAACACTTCGTCTGATCGATATCCTGGGCCTATTCTTACGTATTAGAGGGCTTGCCGGTGATAGCTTGGAATAAAACTCACCTCCCCATGGTGGACTGGCAAAGATGACACTGTATGGGGAAAGGTCTTTCAAGACGTTTCTGAGGATCTCGAAGCAATCACCTTCAAACCAAGTGATCTTATTGGCAACACCATATATTTTTGCGTTGTGTTTAGCGCATTGGAGAGTGGCAGAATCCTTCTCAATCGCATAGACACGCTTCCAGTGCCCTGTTTTTGCAAATGCGATCGTGTTCCCCCCTGCACCGGCAAAGGCATCGACCAGAATGCTGCGCCCAGTTGGGCAAGCTTCAGCTATTTGTATTGCGATCTGCCTGCGGAATGCGTAAGCCGGAGGTTTGTAAAAGCGCATTTGAAACAGGCATGATAACTTACTCTGCAACAGGCTCCGGGGTGACTCCGAACCAGGCATCATCTGTCAGCCAGACCCCCTCGTCGTACTTGGAGAAGATCTGATACCGCTGATTCCAATAACTGCAGGAAAGACGAGTGAATCGCGTAGCTTTTATCTCGGGCGCGGAGAATCTTACCCTTGGATATCCCAGGGGACTTCTTCCAAACCCTCATAGTGATGCACCCCAGGGGGTGTTTCTTCCTCATCAGCCATAGTATTTTGGAGAGATGAAAGCACCTTTGCATCTCATTGACTCTTTGATAACGATAAAGACCCGCTGCGCTGTTTGCCGTGTTTGCACAAATATCCGGCCAGCTCGCATACTCGCGACAGCTTCAGCTTCACCACCAAACCCGATCATTGCCTCTATTTGATTCTTCGCTCGGATCACTCGCTAGGATGTTCGGGGCGCTTAACCGGTTTATCGGGCGCCTTGATGGCGAGCCTGCCCAGCAACCTCGAAGCGGACCCAGTGATAGCGCCTTCGGTTTCCAGGTACTTCGCAACAAAGATCCCGAGCTGCCCTTAGAGCCTTGGTTTGATTTTATTGTGGGAATAAATGGACACCCGATCGTAAGTTGGATACATCACACATATATGGCAAAGAAAACAACATCTAAAGCACGCTTGTAGGAGGATCCCGATCCGAATCTCTTTGCGACGGAGGTCCGCAACTGCGCGGGGTCCAACCTGACTCTAGAAATATGGAGCGCAAAGGTACTTTACCTGTGAATTGTCTTTTGATAATGCTGCATCTGGACCGAGGAACGCTAACCAGAATCTTGCCTCTTAGGGCCAGCGGACACATACTGTCAACGTCCCTGTTCCACCGTCAGGCGCATCCCTCGGCCTCGCCCTACAACTCGCCCCCCCTCAACTCAACCCAGCATATATGGCATATCCTCTCAATCCCCTCATCAGAGAGCCCAGCATACCGGGCGGGGCTTCTGCCGCACTCAGACTACATTATCGGAACGCCCAGTGGAACTCTACGTGGGGAGTCTGCCCTGGGAGAGCTGGTTGAAGACCACCTAGATCGAACCCTGGTCTTATGGGTGTATAATAGTGAATTCGATGTTGTGAGAGAAGTGGAACTTGTCCCGACCAGGAACTGGGGCGGCGAGGGTGCTGTCGGGGCAGAGTTGGGATATGGTGCTTTACACCGACTTCCTGTCGGATTGGGTGAAGAGGTAGAGGGACCTGGCGAGGTCGTTTTCGAAAGCCGTGAGGACGGTGCTTCCGAAACTGTCCTTGGAGCTACCGGTGCAGGAAACCCCCCAGCGGCTCCTACGAACTTCCTTGTCCCAGCAAACATGACGGCCGCACCACCTCTAACATCACAAATAAGGCCTAGTCCTTCCCCCGATAACAGATCATCGTCCAGTCGGCGTGGCAAGCCCCGCCCAGCAGCTTTCGATGATTACTTTGCCGAAGGTGAACAGAAAAGCCGCGAGGAGGACTTTGCTCCTACTCGCAAGTCGCCTTTGCCCCCGCCTCCGAAAGCAGGCTTCTCACCTCCACCCCACGATACACCTGCAGTGGAACAAGTGGAGGGAGCGCCGGGCCCGACGGAGGAAGGTTAATGAGCGGGAAATAGGCAGATATGAGATTACAATCATACCTATTGAAAGGCAACTTGGAAGTTCGGGGTTACTCTCACTAGAAGGAAAATAATACGCAATATTCCAAAATCCAAACCCAAGAGAGCTTCGATCATCTCCATAAGACTATTGTTGACAGAACGACAAAATAGTATTTTTTCTCTCAAACAAAAGAAATTGGTCCGGATATAACCATCGGATCTAACAAGTTCTAAGAGTACATATGCAACGGAGAAGAACCTCTCCAAACCACCGTAATCGGCAAGTGGTATAAAGCCAAGTGAAATTTAGTGACCCTTGCTGACGATCTCCTCCAACTTCTTGCGGGCATCACCGATCTTTTCCTCCAGCATCTGACGGCCCATGGCACTGTGTGCAAGGCCAGTGTGCCAGATCTGCTCGGCTCGGTCACGGATATAAACATGCTGGTCGGCCACAGCGGGGAATCGCTTCTCGTACTCCCAGGCGAGATCCCCAACGTTCTTCATAGTCACGGGAAGAAGAGTGTAGGCGGCGACAGTGCCGAAGGCCAAAGGCGAGAGGGTACGCAGGAATATGCCGCGGTTGCGTGACACAATGGATCCGGCCATGGCCGCCACCACGACGTAGACACCGCCGGGAGTCAGACGCTCACCGGACTCGGGGGAGGGAGCGAGCGAAGCAACGGTGTTGGTGAAGGCATTTTCGATGTGCAGAGCCCGGGACAGGAAGTTGTTGAAGCCGTTCTCAGCGGCAAGGGAGTGCGAGTAGAGGAAGAGACGGGCTTGTCGGACCTGACCGGTCAGGATATCTGTCGGGGTTGGAGAAGAAGGAGTCGAGGGAGACGACAGCAGAGGCTCAGAGATAGGTTCCACGGCTGGAGGCGCGGGTGTCGGTTTGGTAGGCTCGGGAATATCAGCAGGGAAGTCGTCGTAGATTGGTTTCCGCTATATTGGGCAGTTATATGTCAGAACAAGCTGTCTCTTTGACGGTCGCTCTTTTGTCTTAAATAGAAGCGCTAACCTCTGACGGCTCTTCTGCGAAGGCTTCTCGCTTTGGGTACAGGGCCATGCCTCCTGCGAGGAGGGTGGCTGCGATCGGAGCCACTGCCCGCTACACGGTGGGTTAGCGTGCCATTGATAGGTCAATTGTATCCGCGAGCATCAGACGTCGCTCAGGAGAGACTCATACCTGCTGCAACATCGGCCGGAACGACATGCTGGGGGAGATGTGGGGGGGGAGGGAGGATCAGAGAGAGGATAGAGCGGTTGAAGCAAAGTCTCGGGGCTCGAAGGGCCAAGACGGGAATTCTTCGGCTGGGCGGAACCAGAGATCTCTCCGTCATTGCCCGTCGGTCTTCTTCCCCAAATCCTTTCTTTCTTTCTTTCTCTGGGTTTGGGGGTTTGGTTTTTTGTTGCTACTTCAGCTCACGTTTCTCATATCAAGAGAATTTTATATCTATCATGCTTCGCCCTTTGGGGCGCCGGTCGTGGACGTGCGGCCAATGTCTGCTGCAGCGCCGTGCATTCGAGAGCGCCGCGTCGCAAGCTCCCCTATCCCACGCCAACTACCCCCCGGCCGATAATAGTGCTCCCAAAAAGAGCGCTGATGACGATACATTACGCCAGATCTTCGATTCCCAGTCGTTCTGGAAGAATTTCTCCCAGCCTCAAAGTTCCACTATACCAAAGCAGGCAGGCTTAGTTCAGAACCAGTATTTGACAAGTCCAGATGGATTCAGGACGTTTGCACATGCCTCGTTACAGAAATGTCAGGCTATTGTTGCAAAGGTCTTGCGGGCCTCCACTGTGGATGAATACCGGGCGTTGGCGCGCGATCTGGATAGACTGAGCGATCTTCTGTGCCGGGTTATTGACCTCTCGGATTTTATTCGAACAATCCACCATGACCCACATATACAGGAAGCCGCTACACAGGCTTATGCCTTGATGTTCGAGTATATGAATGTTCTCAACACTACGACCGGTCTTCACGATCAGCTGGTTCAGGCTTTTGCCAACCCGGAAGTGACGTCGCACTGGACGGTTGCGGAGAGAATCGTGGCTGAGATTCTGATGAAAGACTTCAAGAACTCAGCGATCCATTTGCCACCCGGTGAGCGACAGCGCTTCGTTAACTTGTCAAACGAGATCAGTCAAGTTGGCTCGGACTTTTTCAACGGCGCAGAGCCAGCCAGACCCCAGGTCACATTTAATGCGAATAGTCTCCAGGGGCTGGACCCAATGTTGATATCGCAAATCAAGAAATGGAACAATAAGGCACCCGTGCCGACCATGGGTATTGTCCCACGGTTAGTGCTAAGATCGGTACGTGATGAACAGGTTCGAAAACAGGTCTATCTTGCTTCTCGAACATCGAGTTCGCGACAGATTCATCGTTTGGAGATGCTCCTCAAGAAACGAGCGGAGTTGGCGCAGCTCTCGGGTTTCAAGAACTTTGCGGACATGACCTTGAGTGACAAAATGGCCAAGTCCCCTGAATCTGTCTCGAACTTCTTGACATCGCTCATCTCGAGCAATCGCGGGCCTGTCCAAGAGGAACTCCTCCAGTTACAACAATTGAAACAGTGCAACTTGCAGCCTTGGGATCATGCCTTTTACGTGCACAAGCGGGTATTAGAATACTCGCAGTCAAGACGCTCTCGAGAGCTGAGCATTGTGCCCGAGTTCTTCTCTCTCGGGACCGTGATGCAAGGCCTTTCACGGCTTTTCGATCGTCTGTATGGCGTGCGCTTGGTGCCCCAAGAAACGGCCCCGGGAGAGACTTGGCACCCAGATGTGCGTCGCTTGGATGTGGTGGATGAGGCTGGTAGGCACATTGCCGTTGTATACTGTGACCTGTTCAGTCGGCCCACGAAACATCCTAACCCGGCCCATTTCACTTTGCGCTGCGCGCGGGAGATTTCAGCTGAAGAGATTGCTGAGTGCGCCTCAATGGATCAAAATGCTCATCCGAATGATGGCATGGCGACGGCGGTGGACCCGCAAACGAACACTTTGCGGCAGCTGCCAACGATCGCTCTTGTTTGCGATTTTCAAGAACCCATGAACAATGGCTCGGGGCGTCCGACGCTGTTGAGCGAGCAGAGTGTGCGCACTTTGTTCCACGAGATGGGCCATGCGGTTCACTCCATTCTCGGCCAGACGCCTCTGCAGTCTATCTCGGGCACCCGGTGTGCGACGGACTTTGCCGAGCTCCCTTCGGTCTTGATGGAGAGCTTCGCAACAGCGCCAGAAGTTCTTGCTCTGTATGCTCGCCACTGGAAGACCGGCGAGCCTCTGTCAGAGAGTATGATGCAGAGCATGGAGCAGGATCGGACAGCGCACGGCTCAATCTATGGTGCTGTGGAGAACGAGTCTCAAATATTGATGGCTCTGGTTGACCAGGCTTATCACTCTGTCCCTTACGAACAGGCTGTCAATGGTATTGATACTACTGAGGTTTACCACCAAGTATTCTCACACCATTCGAGCTTGCCTGAACCAGATGACATCCGCCCCCGGACATCCTGGCAGGGCTTCTTCGGACACTTATACGGCTATGGTGCTACCTACTACAGCTACATTTTCGACCGGGCCATAGCCAATAAAATCTGGCAGGACGTCTTCCTGTCTGGAAAGGCATCAGTAGACCGTGCTGCGGGTGAACGCTATAAAAATGAGGTCCTCCGCTGGGGAGGTGGTCGAAATGGCTGGCAATGTGTTGCTGGCGTCCTGGGCGAATCAAACCCTTCCAACGCCAATGGTCGCCTCGTTGAAGGCGGCGACGAAGCTATGCGTGAAGTTGGTCGGTGGGGCTTGGGTCGAGAGGGCATTGCTGAGTAGACTTGGAAGACAAGTCCTATAGTGCTGTATGATATCTTCACATGTAATGATATTTTGCATATAAGGCGGTCCCAATACATGACCGGGTTATTCGCTCTAAAACTCCTCCATATTGCAATGCTCCTTACTCTGATCTCCTTCATCCGATGAGAGCTTTGATGGTAGTCTCATAGGGTTCTGGTTCTCTCCCAAGTATTTCCACAATGTCCGGTGCAACAACCGCGGTCTCTCCATTCTGAATAGCCTCCCACGCGGTAGACCATTCTCGGGACAAGTCCTTTCCATGGTAGGTATGTTTGTCTCCGATCTGTGGGAGCTGTACGTATTCTTCGACCGAGATTGGTCTAATTTTCAGATCTTTTCCAATTGCCCGACCGAGTATCCTGACAGTCTCTGCCAATGAGATTGCCCTCTGCCCGGTGAGAAGCACCTTCTTATTCAAGTACTTGAATCCCGTTGGGTCTCGCGTATAGGAGGCTATCAGCTTCGCTGTGGCCTCCCCCCAACTCGTCCCGCTTGACCCATGCAACACCAGGCTCGGCTCCGGAATGTGGGATTGTAATCTCATCGGCAGGGTTGCTTGGGTCAAACCAAGCCGTGTAAATGGGGAAGGATTCCGAGTAAATCCCTTCTCTGATGGCAGTCCAGCCGACAGAGTGCGACTGCTCCGCAAGGTACTTCTCAGTTGCAAGATGCGCGCCCATGACGTGGGCTACGCTATGGTCTGAGTCCCCAGCGAATGCGAGAGAGGAGTAGAATATGTACTTGACCCCACTCTTGATAGCCGCATCGATGGCGCGACGATGAGCCTATTTGGTTTCTTAGAGATTCACATCCTTGTCAGTTGGGCGCTGGGATAACTCACTACTACCCGGTGCTCAATCTCAAACGAGGCATAGGATATCAGGAACAATGTTTCGATTCCATCGAATGCATTCTGCAATGTGGCTGGTTCGTCGTAGTCGGCGTGTCGGACTACCGCACCGGCTTGACTGAGATCAGTCAGTCTTTCGGGGCTGCGCGCGATGAGGACGAGCTCTGAAGCTTTGTATAGCTTGGTCAAATGATTGACGGTGCTTGATCCGAGGCCACCGGAGGCGGGGAAGACTCCAACTTTGCCGCCCATCTTGGTAGACTAGCAAGGGTTGGGAGGGATAGAGTATAGAGTAGGTCTGATGTTCTTGTGAGATTTGCTGAAGGGTTTAGCTTTGGCAGCGGGAACAGGGTTTCAATAACTTGGTTGGAGTGGAACCTGATGTGCGTCCCCACCAAGTTATGACGATTTACGATTTGTAAGACCAAAAGCCGAAGTTGGGTTTCCACCATCCACGATTAAGATAGGCGTTGCATCCGGGAATCGGAGCATCGGATTTCACTTTTGGATCCTAAGACCAATATTGTTGGGCTCAGTGGGGACTTTGTGTAGGATGTACTCCTAAAGCACGGTCATTTGAAAGCCCATAAATTTTTAAATTTTTACCGTCTTCATAGTGGACTTGCGACAAGCTACAGTGCATTGAAGGGGGATTGCAAGCGGTGCCATTATAAGGACGGATGTCTTAATCTCCCGCGCGACAGCTTCCCCGTTATGCGCACCCCATTGGCATGGATTTCCCCACAGCTATCCGCGACTCGCCCGGGGCTGGAGGTCACTGCCGGCACGCATAGCATAATATACGCCTTGAATGAGGCACTTGATAGCGCCGCATTCGACTTGTAAAAGCCAACTCTCTTTACAAAAGAAATAATCGATGGATGCCATGACCCGCACAAGACTCACAGCTTGATAGAGGATGATAAAATCGCGACCTTCAGGCCCATAAACTACCAAAGCGACCTCCAACAAGTCCCGAAAAATGATGGTAGACTTGAATGTCCCAAAGTGGCCTCGGACGCAGCTACAGAAAGCGCCAGCTGCTTCACACAAGGAACTTGGTTTGGAGTCAATGCCGCAGCTTACAAGAAAAAAACAGTTCGAAACCTTGCGAATGTGCCCAAGGTTACCCTCATTGAAGAGAATGCATGCTTTATATGTGTATATAGCATGATATTTATACGCAGAAACTGAGCGCATACGCATCGATATCTTAGTGACATATGGATACCAAGAGGACATCTACAAGACCTGTTTCGTCTGATGCAAAAAGGCCTGACCCTAGCGAGACTTCTGGGAGGGAAGTTGTCCATAAAAATGCTTGGGAGCGGGTTTGTACCCCCGCCTAGAAAACATACAAAATGGACGGTACGTGGGCGATTTCCTCCCAAGTAATTTCCAGTCGATGCGATTGCTGGGATTGGCACCTGAGTATTCACATAAAAATTTATGTGATTTCAAAGGCCAGAAATCTTGCAAGTGAGCTCGGCCATTTCACTTGACAGATATGGTTAATTGGCTCCATGAAAATGCTGAGCGGATATCTGATATACGTTGTTGGTTCAGGTATTGGAAATGTTGAATAATTCTTCGTAGATTATCTGAATAGGATAAATTGCACTTCTTGGCGCTTAGTAGCTGGTGCCTAAGACCTTGAACCGCTGACAACTTTCTGTTAAATGGAAACCGCTCAATAAGCCCCATTATTGCATCGGTATGCTCCCTTCTGGTGATACTACTATGGAAAGATGCATATCAAATACCTATGGAGCTTCTAATAGGCTCTATATCCACCCAATCCAACAGTATTAAAACTGTCTATAAACTTGAGCGACCTAATTCTACTTCCCACACTTGAGCTGATAAACAGACCAAACTCGGACTGAGCTGGTGGGTTGACTGAGCTACTCCAGCTACTCCATGGCAAGCGCTATTTCGTAACTTGATTTTGTAATCGACACATTATGCACGTCGTGGATACCTGGGCCTTAGGCGAATACAGCGAACAGGGGACCTTCCTTTGATATATGGAAACACACTGCACAAAAGCAGCGTGGCCTCTTGCACCAAGGTCAGACAAACAGGAGAGGTAGTAGAAGAATGATCTGACATAAAGCAGGGACACGACAATTCTGGCGTGATCTACGTACAGCAGTTTCAACTGTCCATAGATACATACTCCTATGATAAGTGCGAAGCTAAATTGACGGACGTGATAGAAAGGTATAAAACGGGCCATACGGAAGTCGCAGGATCTACAAAGTTACTTTGAATCCGCCACGCCTACGGCTCTTGGTTTGTCTACAATTATACTATCGGTGATTGAAAAAAAAAAACAGCCCACTTAGAGTGTCTCCAAAGGCCCTTGGAAAATAATAACGTGTGAGGGATCATAGCTCGAAGGCTTATGTCGTGAAGCTTGTCAGTTTCGAAATAGTAATTTTGTTCTCGCTGACAGCTCCGGGGAAAAACGAATGGTGGTGACATAGACGATGCAAGAGGTTCTACATTCGTGAGTAATGGCTTTCATCTAATACTGGATTTGAAGTTTTAACACCAGATTGTGGATTCGAACACCAGATTTGGGATATTTCAACCAGCTTGAAAATCAACTTTTTTTTTGCACTTTATAGGAAATCCCCGCTAGGACAGTAAGCTAAATCTATTATGGATAGTGTAAAGCCAAACTAGGACTAGCTCGAACTTTATTCTAGTTCATCGCAAGATCCAGCGACCTCAGTCCTGCAGGCAGATTGTGCCTTGAGCTGGTCGCTGTGCGTTGAATACATCGTAGAATCGCTGGTTACTACCATAACTGTTTATTCATTAATTCTTCCATCAATTCACTTCAGCGTAGATCTGCAATTCCCCTGTGTCTACCGACTAAAACATTCCTACACCCAATTTCGAATCGCGTCACCATGATATCTCTTTTCTCACCTGTTTTGAGATTTGGTACAGTCTTAGACCCAAATAACATGATGTGAAAGAAAAAGTCAATTCTAGACTACTCTTGGTGTAACCAATCTAGGACTTTGGGCATCAGCTTCAGGGGTTTCCACAGTAGCTTTGGAGAACTTAACCTTCTGAACTTAGACCCGAGGCCTCGTCCACGCCAGCAGCGTCATAAAAAATCACGCCTCCATTATCTACAACTGCTCCTTCATCAGATTTGTTCTCCAGACTTGGTGAAAGATCTCCACTCAACTAGCTAGCTGTACTAATACTAATATAGACCTTGGCTCTACTTTGTCATACTAGCTTTACCACCAGCCAAGAGGCTGATGCTGGCTGGTACGAAGTCTGGCCATATGACCTACCAGTGTCCGTTTTTCTGGGGCTTTCTCTTCCGACTTGTAGCTACTAGTAGTACTTTGTTCCTCTCCAATTTAATAGCTTAGTTTATCGCAAGACCCTTACTGTACTCTACGCTATAGATGTAACTGTCATGGCTGGCAATTGACTCGACGTTGTCTCTATATACCCTATGATAGAGTTGCTAGTATACTTCTTAGTTCAATATACTCCTTCCAAAACCCTTACACTTAGTTTCATAGCCGCACACCCTGTTCTGTTCTATTTCACCTACTACCTCTTAGTAAGTCGGGCGCCGAACTTCTCAGGCGGTCTCTCAAGTGCTACACACTACAAAAGACAACTCTGCATAAGCTTTTTACCAAGACTGTCCTGCAATGCCAGCTTTGAGTAACTGCAAACAGATTAGTTCTTAACCGCAAATGCCCTCATTTCGACACCAATATCATCATGCCATTAACATAGCCTTAATAGGATTCCAAAATCACTGACATAGCATCGGTATAATACAGAAACAGCCAATTGATAACTGTGATCCTGGGTTAAGGACCTTGATCGGTTGCAAGCTCCACGGGGACAAGGAAAGGCAATTTTTCTTTTGCGCTAGAGAAAGGGAAATCTAGCAACGCAGGAAAGACAAGCGCCACAATCTGGGTAGAAAAAAAAAGTAGCCAGCTTTCAGAAGAATATAACTATTGGTTTGGTATTAGTCAATAAGAAAACGATCAATATACACAGCCACCCAACGGGCAGTTGACCACATGGAGCAGTTAAAACGTATTAAACATAGAAAGACCGGGACAGGCCAGGCCGTCAAACAGGGTATCCTGGGTCCTATTACATACAGCGCAGTAGTAGGACAGAACGAATGAAACAGGATCACAAAGGGAAATCATACTACATCTGCAGTACTAAATCAGAACAACTATGCAGCGCGAACTTCTTCGAGTTGATCGCCGGTGCCTTCTGACTCGGCGGCGGAGAGGAGGCCTTCGGTACCTGGAGTAGAAGTTTGGCTTCGGGGCGCGGGGTGGGCTTGCGGGAGAACGAGGCAAGATCTTCGATAAGCCTGCAAGGGGAAGTTAGACGTATGCGGGGCTGGATATCAGACGGAGCACAGGTATGCGGCCGAAGTAAGGGGGTCGAGGAAAGATGGAGAATGACTGACCTGCGGTGCTCATCTAGCCACTCATTGTTCGCCGATCGAATGTGTTTAAGCTGTTCCTGGATGCTTGCCATCTACAGTTTTGAAAGGATAACAATTAGTTGCTGTTGGAAGAAAAGGTGGCTGATAATGGCTCATGTAAATGAATGGAAGAATAGGGGTAAACGGGATGAGAAGGATGATTTTAAATGGGGCTCCCCCACCGTTCCCTCGATGGATGGTCCTAGGTCCTCACCTTCTGCGGCTGGACCTTTCTCTTCAGTCTGTTGGTTCTCATCGGTTGCCCATCGACTGGCATTCAATCCAGATGGTTTCTCCTTCGCGGAGTCGCCTTTGACGGAAGCGAGCTCAGCCTCGAGTTCACGGTTTTGGCGGCGAAGGCTGGAGATCTGGGACTCCACCTCGCCAAGCTTTTCGAGGAGGGCCATGTTCTTGTCGATCTGCGCGTGCAGGTTCTGTTCATCGGCGCTGATCTTTTCTTCAAAGGCCTTGCTCGCCACGCGTAACTTTTCTAGCTCTTCGATGGTGGCGTCATGCTTCTCCTTGAGAGATGCAAGCTCTTGCTGAGTCTGAGAGAGCTCCTTGGTGATTGATTGAAGCTCGACATCTGTGCTGCTAGAGGCAGCGAGAGACTTCTGAAGCTGCTCGACTTGGGCAAGAGCCGCGTCATGCTTGGTGGTTAGCTCGGATTGCTGGTTCTGGATCTTAGTGAGTTCGGTAGCGTGCTTGTCCTGAAGCTCGCGGGTGGAAGCATTTGCAGCTTCTTGGGCAGCTGTGTGGGCAGCGACCGAGTCTGCTAGTTTCTGCTCGACCTCGGCGAGAGTAGCCTTTAATCCATCAAGAACAGAAGTATCTTCGACAGCAGATTTGGCTTGAGAAAGCTGCTCGTTGACGTTTGCAAGAGCAGTGTCGTGGGCTTTCTGCAGCTCATCAATCTTGGCCTTGTTCGATGCTTCAAGTTCCTCACGCAAATTTGCTAGCTTGGCATCGCTCATAGTGAGTAGCTCCTCAATAGCTTGGCCATGTTCAGCCTCGGCATCAGCAGACTTAGCAGTCTTGGCAGCCTCCAATTCCGCCTGCAGCTTGGCCTGGTTTTCCTCAAATGCTTTTTGAAGGCTGGCAATCTCCTCAGCATGCGATTCCTTGATGGCGATGCTTGAGGCCTGCAGGGCCTCCAAGTCGGACTGAGACTTAGCCTGAGACTCCTGAATTTGCTTCTGGAGATCGGCAATCTCCTTCTCACGCCCCTCGGAATGGGCAGCGATTTCAGCAAGATGACGTTCTTGGTTGGACTTGAGTTCTTCCTCAAGGGCCTGAACGCGAGTAGCATGGCCGGAAGCAGACTCCAGCTGCTCCTCAAGAGTCTTAACACGCGTGGCATATGTTTTCCTCTAACTCGCGATTCTTGGAAGACAGGTCATCATGCTTCCGCTGCAGTTCATTCATGGCATCGGCGTGGGAACCGGAGGCATTTTGTTGGACACGTTCCAGTTCGATGGCGTGCTCAGCCTTGATGGCCTCAAGATCTTGAATATGCTTCTCGGCGGCCTGCGCGGCCTGCGCAGTGTGCTCTTCAAGGAGTCGAGTAGCCTCAGCTGCCTTATCCTCGAGCTCCTTCAGCTTACTGTCGGCTTCGACATCCTTAGACTTAGACTCGCCCTCAAGGGTTCTTGAGACTATTGTAGAATTTGTCGGCCTCCGTCGCCTTGCTCTGGACCTCCTGCTTCAAAGCCTCAATCTTGCCGGACCCTTCTGAGAGGAGCGACTCCAGTTCGTCACACCTCTGGCGGAGAGCGTCCATCTCTTGCTTGGCAGACTCTTGGACAGATGCATTTCCTTCTTCTTGAGCTTGGAGGGATTCAGCAAGTGCCTTCTCAGACTCCTCGAGCTTCTCTTGGAGAGCCTTAAGCTCGAGTCCGTGGGACTCCTTGAGCTCAGAGACAGCACGGTCCTGCTCAGCCTGGGCGGTGGTCTTGTAGGATTCCAGGGCGTCGCGCAGTTCTTGTAGCTGCTGGGAGTGTTCTGTGCCAGATGACTCGGCGGCAGCTGTAGCGACAGCGAGGGCTTCAGCGTGCGAGCTAGACAGCTTACTTATAGCTTCGCTGTGCTCAGACTTCAGGTTTGTGATGGTAGTTTCATGGGACGTCTCCAATTCCTTGATCTTCGTGTCCAAGTCAGCCGTAGCCCTATCACGAACCTGCTGCAGTTCTGTCTGCAGCTTTCCGAGGGACTCCCTCAGATCTGTGATTTCCTTTTCCTTCTCAGCGAGAGAGCTGGTGATGCCGTCGGAGCTTTCCTGAGCGGCGGACTCGGACTCTGTGATCTTGGCCTCCAGAATAGAAATCTTTTCTTGGAGCTCGGAGGTCTGTTTCTCGGAATCTTCTTTCGTCGCCTGAATCTCATCGTTCTTTCTGGACAATTCGGCCTTGAGGTTGTCAAGAACTTGTTCACGACCTGTTAGCTCTCGCGTGATTTGATCAACAGCTGAGAGTTTCTCCTCTGTCAAAGAAGTCTTTTGCTCTTCCAGCTCTTTCTTCAAGACCTGGATCTGTTCCTCAAGGTTAGTGGCAGTAGCCTTGTGGTCTCCTAGCTCTTTTTCGAGAGCTTCCAGCTGAGCTTTGTGTGTTCCCTTGAGTTCCTCCAGGGCGGTGGCAGCCTGGTCATTGCCTTGAGCAGTGGCAGACTGCTTAGCCTCCTCAAGCTCCTTCTGTGACTTCTCTTCCAGTTCCTTGCGTTGGGCCTCAGCCTCCTCCAGACGAGCTTGCAGAGATTGGAGTTCCTCTGCATGAGCAGCAGTGAGTTTCTCTACCTCAGCTGCGTGCTCTGCACGGGTGGCCTCGGCATTGCTATTTTCTGTAGGGGTCTCCCCTGTAGAGACAGAAAGCTGGCTCAGCTTCTCGTTCACATTTTCGAGTTCGGTCTTCAGACTCGCAACATTCTCTTCGCTTTCTGTGAGCTTGGCTTGGAGAGCCTGCAACTTTTCAGAGTCTCCGGCACTTCTCGAAGTGGCACCAGAGATAGTGCTAAGACGTTTCTTTGGATCTGCGGTAGAGGATGTCGGGGTGCGCGAGGCTGTAGTGGATGTAGCAGGGCGGGTGGTAGCTGTGCGAGATGTGGCTGTAGTGGACGTGGGGCGGGTCGTTGAGGGAGTCGAGGATGTCAGTCTGCCCACTGGCTTGCTTGCCGTAGAAGACGTCGCGGTGCGAGATGTGGCCGTTGAAGGAGCAGTCTTGCGGTCTGCGGATGAGCCAAGAACACTCGATCTACGCTCAGCGGTGGACGTAGTGGATGAGGGCTTTAGCGGGGTGCGAGTGCTTGTCGAGCCGGCCACAGACATGCGCTTGGCTGTGCCCGAGATAGAGCGCTTCTCATCTCCAGAGCTAGCGACAGAGCGCTTCTCGTCTGCGGAACTGCTGATAGACGCACGAGATCGGTGCGAAGACGTCGTCGAAGTGCTCAAGGGCTTGCGGGTTGCTGTGCTGGTAGTGGTAGGACGAGTAGGAGGTTTGTTCAACGTGCCACTAGAGCTGGGCCGCGTACTCGAGGTAGTCGCAGCCTTCGAGACTGTAGAAGTTGGTCGCTTGGTAGTGGTTGTTCCCTTCTCCGGCTGCTTAGATGTTGTCGAGCTTGGACTAGCTTTGGCTGGGGAAGGATTCGGGTTGTTTTCCTTCGAAGCCTCGGGGCTGGTGACATCTTCGCTACCGGAGAGCATGGTGGACTCGACCGGGGTGGCCGGGGGCTGGTTTTCCGCATCGACATCTGAGGCGAGGACCTCGGCAGGAACCTCGATTGGAATGGGCTCTTCAGACGAAGACATTTTGCGCAAATGGAAAAATTAAGAAGAAGGGTAATATTATTTGACAAGTTCGAGGTAGCGGCAGACTCCGGAGGGTTCGACTGTACAGTAAAAAGGGGTTCTAAGAATTTAAAACACTCATTAGCACATCTGCAATCAACGGCTACAGCTTCTCTCTGCTCGAAGAACTTGAAGAAATGGGACGTTTCCTCAATACGCGATGTGTTGTCCAAGAGTGTATCGAGCTCATGATGCAGAGCAGATATAGTTTTCACGTCCGGGATTAATAGCTTCGCAAGATGCAGCCATTGGCGGCTCTCATAGACAAAACCAAACACCGCCGGAAAGATTCTATAATACTTCCAAGGATCCACTAGCATCAAAGCTCGAGCATTGAGGGGCGTGCGCCGAGGCGAAGGTATACTTACGCGCCGCGTGCGGGTGCAGTTGACAAGCTTCAGGGGGGGAGAATCCGGGTGAAGGCCTCTAGAAAGGGATTTCTAGACGTCGACCCAACAACAGCCGCGAAAAAAACTAAACGAAAGAGAAAGCTCGGAAGACGTAGTCGTGGTGAGAAACGCGACAGAGAAAAAGGAGAAAAAGCGGGAAAAGTGAAAGCGGTGGCCAGAAGGTGGAGGAGGGGGGAAGATCGTCGCTGCTGCGTCGGCACCTTACTCTGTCGGGCGGTCAGGTAACTCATCCCCATGGGTATTGATCTACGATCAGCCCAAAAAAACAATTGGTCTGGTCCGAAATGTCTCTGCGGCCAAGAACGGCGATGCTTTGGACCTGGAGAAGCATCTAGGCTGATGATACAAGTACGAGATGAATAAGGAGGCGTTTCCCTGGTGTTAATCACTGTGAGTTCGGATTTTTCGGTCTGCCCAGAGAAGCTGGAGCAAAAACTTTGTATAACCCGAACTATCGTGGGATTTGATCCGGTCTTTGCTGGATGTAAACAAAAGCCCCGAGATTCCCTTGCTACTTTTCGACCAAAACAATCGAACCCATGGTTCATGCGCCAGGTCCCGAAACAACGCCGAGAAGGCCTGTGCGATCAAGAATGCCATTTGCGGGAGGAAAATCTGGGGGGAAAGTAAACCCCAACTATGCAAAACACAAAAGGTACGATGCAGGCGACTAAAAACCTGTTTTAAGGCAGGCTTTGGAATGCTTTTGATGGCCGTGTAACTATACCCAAGAATCGGCATTACGTCGATGCATGAATGAGTATTTTAGTCTTAGGCGGGCAAGGCCTAAGGCTTCTCTAGCACGATTATGGCCCGTTTTCCTAGTTTCTGGATGTACTTATAGTACCTGTCCGGATCGCGAAGTTTATGGCAGGGTAGGCATTGTTCCATCAGCAGTTAACATCAAGGTGCAGTATTTTAACCAATCAACTTCCCTGGTTTTGCTCTTCCGATTGATTTGATCTGCATTTTTGGGAACTCCACGGAGAGAGTTGCGAAGCATGAAGATCTACAGAGCGTCCCAACGGCATTTTGCGAACCGTGGCATGTCGGATTTTCCCAAGCGGCCCCTGCAGCCCGTGTAACCGCCTGAAGAAATCAAGAGGCCTACTTCTCGGTATATGCAAGCTACTGAAGCTCACAGAATACATTGTTTCCTCTCTTTCCTCTTTCCTGCTGCACTACGGTAGAACAGAAACTGGGAACACGCTTTCACAGGAGGGACAAGTCAACCCCATATCCCAGTCGAAGCGTCATACTAGATTTCTGACCGTAGCTAGTGGATAAAACTAGCAGCTAGACTTGATAGAAATCTTTACAACTATGCTTAATGGAAAAAGCCCACAAAGTGTCCGTCTTTGATAAAGATGCTATTTTTAATTAGTATGACAAGAAAGCTATACCTGACGATGGATAGTCCATGTGTTTTACGTAATGGCCCTCTTATGCTGGGTTGTAGGGCTATCTCCATTCCCCGGACCGGGCCACAGACACACTATCCCTTACTCGCGAAGGCATCGCGGAACTCGTTTATTAAAGAGAACTATGATGCCTTTCTTTTAGTTATCTTCAGCGTAGATTTAAGACTCGGACTTGAGAAGTGGAACCTAATTTTATTCGAGTCAGTATACCTATGATCATAATGTCGAGTGGTCGGCTGTCTCGCAGATCCATAATTGAACGACGAATTGAAGATGGAGGGAGAATGGGAAAATGGGGAAGGTATGGCACGACCACGTGGGGAACGCCAACACAGTGAGAGTGTGGGGGTGAACCAACTGTCTGGTGATTCTATGAGGGCAGTAATATTCACAACAGCGTCAGGCTTCATTTTACCAATCCTGCTGCCGTTCATGACAGCCTGTATGCATGTTCATGGTGCTAGCCAGTTTTACACTACATAAAGGTCATTTCGACTGGTAATCAGGCTTTGCTATTATTAATAGACCTTACGGGGCAACCGCGCTGAAATAGCACGATGATTCCATTCGTTTCCACGATTCTGGATGACCTTTTCTTGTGTTCTTGGAAGGCGATGTTCTTGAAATTCATAATAGGGAGACACATGAATTTGCAAACTAAAGAACTCCGATATGGAGAAATACAAGGAGACCCATTTGCTGTGATTTCGAATTGTCCTAACGTAAAAAGCATGACTGCTAGCATTTTGCTTACGTGTTTGTCCCAGGCAGACTCATGCGAAATCTCAGCGGATGGGGCATTCCACTAGTTTCCGTAGATCAGCACTGTCATCAATAATTAGCGCATTGACCGGCATCGGAGTTAAGCATAAACGCGAGGCTTATACTGCGTAAGCCACGGAGGAATTCGGCAGATCCATGGTTTCGAAGCCCGCATTTAACTGGCCCGGTTAAATTTTGTGTGATTTCTGTCCGTCTTTGGATAAATCGCTCATTGGCGAGGAGCTTTAAGATCCAGCTCTCGAAGGATTTGGGTTAACTCCGAGGCTTCCTGAGCTTTCTCGGCGGGAGATTACTGCGGGGCACGGGCACAACTTTACTATATAAGCTCATCAAGATCATCTGTGGATACACAATAGCCAGGATCCTCTTTTCTTCCTCGCATATCCCAGCTCCATGACTTCAAAGTACACCTCCAAACTCGCTGGCCAGCGGGTAATGGTCCTGGGCGCAACCTCAGGCATCGGATTCTGCGTTGCAGAAGCAGCATTCGAGAATGGTGCCCACCTGGTCCTGTCCAGCTCCAATCAAAGCAAGCTCGATAAGACGGTTGCGCGTCTCCGCGAGACCTATCCTGAGCGAACCCAGCAGACCATCGTCACCCAAGTTTGCGACCTGAGTGACGTCACCAACCTCGACAGAAACATTGAGACGTTATTCAAAGCCGCTACCAACAATGGCGAGCTCAAGCTTAACCACATTGCTAGTACTGCTGGAGACGGTCTCAGCATCATCCCTATTGCACAGGCAACTCCCGAAGCGATCTACACCGGTATGACCGTCCGCTTCACCGCGCAGGCCATCCTCGCAAAGTACATTCCGACCTATATGGAAGTCTCGCCCAACAGCTCGTTCACCTTCACCAGTGGCGCGCGCGGCAAGAGGCCCGCGGCAGGCTGGTCTCTGATTACCGCAATGTGTGGTGCGGTCGAGGGTCTCATGCGCGGACTGACGGTCGACTTGCGGCCCATTCGTGTGAACGTCGTTTCTCCTGGGGCTGTACATACTGAATTGTTCGACCAATTTCCCCGGGAGGCTTTGGAGCCGATGCTTGAAAGCTTTCGTCAGGCGACGACGACGGGAACTGTTGGCACGCCGGCGGATGTGGCCGAGAGCTACATCTATCTCATGAAGGATAATTTCGCGACAGGCTCGGTCATCGACTCCAATGGGGGCAGTGTTCTAGTTTAGTTCGCCGTCAGGGAAATTCCCACTCAGCTGTTCTGTTATTATCGGTATGAATTGAACGAACTTTCACATTCTACGCTGGTTGTAACCGTAATTTCGGCGCTAAAGCCCTGATCAAAGCTCACGTTTAACGATGCCCAGGTAATATAAACCTCAATTGGAGAAAATGTTTCAAATCTTCTGCGCGCTATTCACTTCAATTCCCCTCTCCTTTCTCTTTTTGTGTGTACTTCTCTCCTCTCACCTGCAATTTCTCAATTTGGCTATCCGTCATCACAACATTCTTTCTTCTCGTCCTTTGGCATCTCGGTCAACCAAAGATACGGAGCATACTATCCGGGTGCCTTGTGATAAGCAAATCCCTTTTTAATTGGCCAAACAACACTGTCCATCCCAAATCAAGGCACCCCCCCCATGTCTACTACAAGAATTACTGGTGACACGCGCCGTCACACTCTGCCTGAAACGATGAGGGAAGGCAAGAAGAATAGATCTAAATATAGCTAAGTTTACATTGATTTACATATGGCTATGTATCCATTCGTCTTCCGCTAGCTCCTTGGCTGAGCTACGCTTACCGGGCTCCCATTGTAGCATTTTGCGCATTAAACGCAGAAAAGATTCTCTCTCCGCTTCCCCCTCGAGAGTATTTTCCCTCTTTTCAAGCGGTACTAAACCCGTCAGTAAATCTGGATTCAGGAATTCGCCTGGAGTGACCTCGTTAGTGGATCTGGATGCCAAAATTCACCATATACTTTGAGAATAAGAAACTTGCCTTCACTCGAAAAGAATTTGTCTTTCAACTCCGCTTGGGTAAGAAGGCTAGGAGGCGGGGGGCCGAGAAGATTGATTATCTCGGCAAGATGAGCTCGGCTCCGGTATCTTTCAAATTCGGGGTCTTGGCCTGTAAATAAGGACCCGCCTTCGTATATATCCCAAATCTATAATATAGCTATAAGCGATTATCGGATCGTGATCTAGCTGTTAGTCTTACCATGCATCCCACATTCCATATATCGGCGCTAGAAGTCCATGGAACGCCCAAAATCACCTCAGGCGCTCGGTAGATCTGAGGTTGAATGAATACCGAGTGGTATTGATCACCGTGTATGGCTGAACCAAAATCGCAAAGGATCGGGGAGCTGACTTGTTTGGGTATTTTGAGTTCCTGGGACATGTAGATTATTCTTCCGTCCTCTACCTCTTTCCTTGGAACGGGTGTTTGAAGTTCGTACTCTTCAAAGTTAGTGAAGACTGAATCATCCTTGATTCCGAACATGATGTTATCAGCCTTGATATCTAATAGAAAAATAAGTAAGGAGATTATAAAGGCCCGAGGTGATAAACAAAGCCACGAACCAGTATGTGCAATATGGCACTCTGTATGGAGATAATCTAATGCTAGAAATAGGCGATGAAGAACGACTGCGATCACTGGTGAGGGTAGTCTCTCTACCGGATTGCGGCGTAAGAAAGCCAAAACACTCTCCCATAACGGGGGATGTACAAGGCATCGATGCTTGTCCTGAGGACCGTCGATGTAAAACGTATCAAGTAACGTTCTTATCACGTCACGACCGGGATGACCAGTTGGAGATTGCTCCATGTATTTATACATATTGAGCTCGTTATCCACTTGTTGGCCCATGGACGAAGCCTGGACGAAGATCTTGAGCATGACATAACGCCGGTCACTATGGTAATAATGTATAAGTATCTCTGAAAAGCCAAGTTACAAAATAATGAGGAATCTCACTCCATGTCCCGTGCAAGCCACACAGTCGAGGTAGACCCAAATCCCAATTTACCGATGACTTGATACCGCTCCTTGATGACTTCTCCGATCCGAGTTGGATAATACTGCGAGGCGATATAGTCTGGGAGAGTCTCCTCTTCAATTTTGTGCGACTCGGGTATCCGAACGAAGCTGGGGTTGGAGAAATTGAGAGGTTTCCATCTCCGTCCAAGCTGGGGGAGAGATCGTAGAAGCGACGAGAACATCGTCTGAGGGAAGAAGAAGAGCGTCTGCTGGGATGGTGATCTGAATATCGAAGAGAGAACGGGACATCTTCTGAGGTAGAGTTGAGTGTATCCAAATTGTTTTGGTCGCTAAAGGGGCGCCGAGGGAGAAGATGCCGAGTTTCATCAGATCAGGTGATCTCGCTCTCGAAGATGCACTGCAAAGCGCGTATAGTCTGTCTGTGGGGTTCTTTAAAAATACATTTGACATATGTTTCCCAGCGAGTGCTTTCTGGACTATTCCTATCGGCGCTCAACCGCCAATTAGATTTGTTCTTTTCGGCGGCTAATGCCCACCCCTTCTCCCGCACTAATAATGACCCGGGTGTTTTAATTGCCAATCCACACTGCTTCACTAGCCTCTACCTAGCAGGATAGGATATCTTTTTCACCACTCTCTCCTTCTACTCCCAAGTTGGTCTTACTTGCGTCATATAGATCCGACAGTGGCATCTCATCCTGTGGGTCAAGATACGAGGGCGTGCCAGCGCGTAGACATGCTTTTTGGTTGGCGGTCATGCTGCCAGCTCTCGCCCTCCACAAAGACATTGTACCTTCGCTAGCCGCCGTGGATCTGAGAATCAAGAACGCTCCCGTTGGTCAACTGGTGAGCCACATTTCCCAACCATGCTTCGCATTCTCCGCCCGCAGTTTCTAACCTCGTCCCTGCTGATCCCAGGGCATCTCTGGTCTCAGGACAAACCGCAGTTTCTAATCACGTCGCTGCTGGGCCTAGGGCATATCTGGCCCAAGGACATTCCGCCATTCTCAATGACGGCCCCGCAGCCTTGGGAGCTTATGAGGATTATCGATGCCCTGGGAAACCAGGAGATCTATACCTAACTGGCCGATACTTAACTCGGCATCGTGCATCGACCAGTCAGTATAGATCTCCCGGTTCTCAGGGCATCGATAATCCACATAGACTCCTGACGCCGTGTAGCCGTCAGTGACTATGGAACTTATTGAGAGGAATAGTCAGTAGAATGCTTCCTGAAATCATGATGCAATTATGGGAATTCACGTAGGAAGACCTACGTAAACGGTTGTTTCCTACAGGCTCCTGTGCTATTGTGTGCAAAGGATCCAAATGTCCCATGACCGGAGCAAACAAGCCATCAAAAAAGGAACGGGCAGCTTCTTAACCAACTGCAAACTCACGCATCCTCCGTGACACCTCGTTCTCACGATGCTTTTCTGAGGGCAAGAGCCAGGGCGAACATTGCCCCCAGTATTTTTGTCGAGTGCCAGGCCTATGGCTTTCCCCTTAGTTTTCAATGGCTGGGGGGCACCAGGGATACGCTACTCGAAAGGTGGAGAAAGGACTTAAAATCGTTCTGGTCACCCATGTCAGGCGGTTCGGCTAAGAAAAGTGTTTGACGAATAAAGGGTGCCCTCGATGAATGGTGGATGTTGGATGCTCCGATACTAGTTGATACATCGGAGTTGACTGAAAAATTAACGGCAACGATACTGGTCAATAGATATATTTAATGCATAGTGCATGTGGGGCAAAAACGTATAGGTCTGCCTGCCAAGAATCCCCCAAACTTATAAAGACGGATAGTTGCCGCTATAGCGACCTCAGGTCTTTTCTGTGACATGCGCCTTCAAAAAGCCTCCACGCTATCTCTACTGAGGAATTTACTTAGTTGACGATTTCTTCCGATATTGATAATATTTAAGGGGTCTCCTAGCTCTAAGGCTTTAGTAGGTCGCTAGATGGTTGGATATTTATATTAACACAGAACGGACTCTAGCTCCCTCCCCAGCTACCTTTATTCACTATATAGAAAGTATGGCTTCTTCAGAGTTTGTAAACAGCAGAAATTATTTTTTCGCCATGTTGTAGTCCTCAGTCTGTGGACCCCTGATATTATCATACGTCCGGTAATGAAGCCTCATATTCTAGCACAGCAGGGTGTAGAACTCCCCCAATCCGCAGTTTGCTCCAATCCCGCTCCACCCCCTCTTCGATGTCTGGGAAAGGCCCCAGGGGTGTAATCGCCTTAGGATTGATATCCCCGTGGCTCTTCGTGTACTAAAGGTACGTTAGAGGATATGGAATGGTATGTAGGAGTATGAGAGGGAGCTCACATTCTCCTTGATATGCTTAAAATCAGTCGAGGCCCTCGCCGCCTCCACATCCCAGTAGACGCCCTTCAGCCAGTTATGCAGCACGGGGTAATCATGACGAATGGTGCCAAGATTGCACTTGAAATGCTGAACGTAGACTGTGTCGAAGCGCACTAGAGTTGCATACAACCGAATGTCCACCTCGGTGAAATCCTTCCCAAGGACGAAGGGACCACCGTGCTTTGCGATGATTTTCTCGAGCTTATTCAAAGCACCAAAGACGACAACCACATTCTCATCATAGACCTCCTGTGAAGGTGCAAAGCCGGCTTTGTAGACGCGCGTGTTGACATCTGATTGAATCCACGGCGTGAGCGCATCAATCTTCGCGCGCAGATGAACAGGGTAGAGATCAATGGAAGCTAGCTCTGGGGACAGCAGCTCGTTGAATGCCGTAGGGAGCCACCGCAGAAGCTCAGCGCTTTCCTTCGGGCATGATCAGTCCTATCTTTTCTTGATACTAGGATCACCAGTACATTTACGAGCAGACTTACATTATTCACAGCAACCCCTGCCTTCTTATCCCAGAGCAGAGGCACAGAGTACCTCCCCTTATACGCGGGATCGTCCCGAAAATAGACCTTGTGGAGATAGTCCTCACCAAATAACTTATCCACGGTCGCCCCGGGGTACTCATCATCTGAACCTGGAAATCGCCATCCAGGCCAGCCATTCGCATCGCCTTTTGGGTAGGGCTTCACCACACTGATATCGATGAACTCTGTGAGCCCCTTCAAATGGCGCACAAAGTTTGCGCGATGGGCATATGGGCAGAATAGGCCAATGTAGAGGTGATAGCGACCTTTTTCGGCGGGGAATTGCTCGCTCGGAATGACGCCATGCCAACCGTCAGCGGTCGCGGGGTCGTGGACCTTCGAGCTGCCCATTGTGTTGGAATATTGCGGTAAAGTGTTGGAGAGAGCGCGCAACCGATTGAGGGATGAGTCCATGGAGTCATTCGACCTTGGAGGCGTAGCGGATTGGTAATAGGTGGGTTCAATCGCAGCGGAATCGCTCCGCGCTGACGCAAGCTTTGAAGTGACTTCGTCTCTGATTGACTCCTTGCTGTACCTATGTGTGTGTACTTGGTATGACCGAGTCCGGTGAGCGAAAGGGGGTAACGTGAAACTCTGTATTTTGGTCTTGCTACTGGTGGTAGGTACAATCGAGTTCCTCGTTCTGGTATCTCAGGACAAACAGTGGAGCAAAACCCCCCGCTAGCCTGAAAGGATGTCAATCTCTCAATAAAGTCGCAGATCTTTATGTTAACCAATAAATCGATATGTAATCTCCGGCCTAACGATCCTATAATGCGGGTAGTATGGATCTGACCCGCCAGTCTTCAGCCAGCCAATATCAACTCCACTGATCATCTACACCCGCGGGATAATTCATGCTTCTCAAGGAAAACATCCAATCATGCTGCGCAACAGTCCAAGCGCTCCCCACAGATATCCGGGGGACAGCGGCTCGGTGTTGAACACGTATTTGATATGCAAAGCTAATCTGAGTCCAGTTTAGTACATGCATCGACGAACCTCCTCCTGCCGAGTATCTGGTTCTGCAAGCTGTCGGCGATCAAGCCACTGCAAAGTGAGATGAATCATTGGGACTCTGAAGCCCCATGCGCTTGCCCCAAGTGTTTGTCGAGTTCTGCCAAAGAACCCCTTTCGAGTCCTCATCTTTACATGGTCGAAAAATGACAGTTGTGCGCGAAGTCCCAAAATACCACGTGAGAGCCTTCGTATCGACTAAAACGAACAGCCAAGCTGACTTGTAGAAGGATACTGTGGAAAAGTTGAATTCAACCCAGTCAGGGTTCAAGGCTCTGCGTGAAAAAAGACTGGGCGGAAGACTTGACAAAGCGACTCTGGAGGATGTGAGACAATGGCTTCACCGGGTCGGACACGATGTGGGTGAACCAACCCTCCCAGAGCTCTCCTGAACCCCGGTTGACCAGTATCTTCACAGGTCAATGATCTGAACCGTCTGAACGTAGTCCATGTTGCGGGCACCAAGGGCAAAGGGAGCACTTGTGCTTTCGTCAACTCAATTCTTCAGCGCTACCAACAGTCTGTTGGGATTCCTCGTAAAATCGGGCTCTATACCTCGCCTCATCTGGTTACAGTGAGAGAGCGAATCCAAGTCAATTCGGAGCCGATCTCAGAGGAGATGTTTGCCCAGTACTTCTTTGAGGTTTGGGATGCTCTGGAGTCAAGCGCTATCAAAGAAGGGCTTGACCCTGCCCGCAAGCCCACCTACTTCCGATTTCTCACCCTGATGGCATTCCACATCTTCATACGAGAGGGAATCGATGCTGCTGTAATCGAGGTCGGGGTAGGTGGAGAGCTAGACTCTACGAATATCATTCCCCTGCCAGCAGTGACCGGCATTACGACCCTTGGGATCGATCATGTTCGTGCGCTTGGCGGTACAATTGACAAGATCGCGTGGCATAAGGCTGGGATATTCAAAGCTGGGTCTCCCGCTTTTACAGTGCCCCAGGCCCCCGAGGCTATGGAAGTGCTGCGTTCGAGAGCAGAGGAAAAAGGCGTCAAGCTGGATACTCTTGCCATCCATCCTGCTCTCTTCGATATAAGACTCCGAGTGGCGGAGGATTTTCAAAGAAAGAATGCGTCTCTTGCCATCGCGCTGGCGGCTTCTCTGCTGAATCGACTCGGTGTTTCGGTTGATATCGACTCGGAGCCTCTTCCTCGAGAGTTCATCGAAGGTCTCGAAAACATGGTTTGGAGAGGAAGATGGGAGACTCTCGTATCAGATAAACAAGTATGGCATCTTGATGGGGCCCATACGGAAGACAGTCTCAAACTATCGACCGCATGGTTTGCGCGAACTGCGACTCAAAATCAGCACAAGGATGGGCCCAGGTACTCCATGAGATAACACGACAAGAAACTGCATATCAGACAAGCCCAATAGATCCATTCCGACGGTGCTCATATTCAACCAGCAGTCAACCCGAGATTCGGAGTCCCTTCTTAGAACTGTCCACGAGACAGCATATAACGACTGCGGGATCGAATTTCAGCATGCTGTATTCTGCACGAATACCACTTATAAGGGAAACTCCTGCAAGACCGGTAGGCCTCTCTCGGGAAATGCCTCATTCATTCGAACGAGCTATGAGACCTAACACTTTAACACTGCAGACTTCGTGAATCGAAATGTCGACCCAAAAGAACTTGGGAGCTTAAGTCTGCAGACTCGTATGGCGGAGGTCTGGCACACCTGAGACCCTCGAACACAGACGGCAACGTTCCCCTCTATCGAACAGGCTATCGAACATACGGAGAGTATCACATGCGAGGCCGGACAGACATTGGTTTTGGTGACAGGGAGCCTTCACCTCGTTGGAGGTGTACTCGCATTGCTAGAAGGAAAGCAGTACATAGGCTGTTGAAGAAACGAGAAAGCAATATCCGTAGGAAACATAATGGAGCTGGCAAATTTTCAATATCTCGCAGTTACTTGATTGGCGGGTGGTGGATATTCGATCGGATCCGCGTGGAGAATTCCCAGCAATGGATTGTGCCAATGACAGACGCAAGACATCATCATTACCGCGAACCCCATCAGACCACCAATGAGAGGACAGGTTTTGCACCAATGCTATACCGAGTCTCAGTAAGCACATGAGGAGTTTCCTGTTTCAAACATTCTATCTGGTGTCACGACTATGGCCTGATCTTTCGTAACGTGGCGAACTAATTTGCCGGTCGAGCGATTATCTGACGTCAAGAGCTCGAACGCATACCAGTAAATAAAATGGCTGATCTGCAGATCCCGTAGGAGGAGATCTTCCATAACAGCAGAGCTTTAATACTTCACGCTTCCAATAGCTCAAATCTTCAACGCATCCCAGGAGCCACGCAATTCGAGGAGTAGATTGAAACTTTACCAAATACCAACGCGACAGCCGCCAAAATGCCTAGTTCTGTGACCAATGGCCGTGCGGGCGCAGTCCGGTATGTCGAGGCCCAGTCTAAGCGTGACTCAAGAGCCGGACTAATCTCTATGCGAACTTCAGTACGCGTAACATGGCGATTCTCAGCGTTTCCGCCGTCCTTGCTGGGGGTGGCTCTTGTTCCGTGCCCAGTCGCCGAATTCCAAGGATGTCCTGACCTCGGACAGAGAACAGAAGATGATGAATGGGGTCAATGCCGAGGGAGGGCTTCAGACAGGACGAGCGCCAATTGTGACTAAGAGCGATAACCAGTCTTGAAGAACTAAGGAGTCTGGATGAGGGAAGGATTCTGGATGCTGTATATTAGAATGCAAATTTATCGAAACTAAACTAATGCATGCATGACCAAGAAACAAATATTAGATGCGAAACTAGTAGGAAAACAGGGGTATGCCACAGAAAGAATTGCATTAATCCAGTCAGTTCATATATATGGCCTTGCCACGATTGAAGGCGGATTGCAGAATTATGCCTCGAGATTTATGCCGCCGAATTGGTCGTGATACGGGCTTCCTTGCACTCCACCGTCTCAGCAGGGCTTAGTCCCTCAGAGGAACTCGGCAGGGTTTTGGGCTCCGGCCGATCGAATATGCGTGCCACTTCCTCCAGGGACTTCCCCTGGGTCTCGGGGAACAGGAAGTATACCACCCCGAGAAAGAAGACAAGGCATGCCACATAGACCAGGAAGTATCGCCACTGGAGCGCATCGAAAGCCACGGGATTGACATATTGATTGAAGAAACAAGCTAATGAATCAGTCGTAAGTGTAATAGCGAGACCTTTAGCGCGGAGCTGAAAAGGCAGAATCTCAGCCGGGTACGCAATGAACAAAGGCATATATGCAAAATCGTAAGCAGCGCAGAAAAGGAAGAGCATCGGGACAACGGCAATCCCAGTTTCGTAGATATCGAGCTCGGAGAATATACCTGCCATCGTCGTAGCTGCTGAGAGGAATATAAACATCAGTGTTGTTGCGCTGAGCCACAGGATACGCCGTCCATATCGGTCGGACATCTTCGCGCCTGTGACAGCGAAACCCAGATTCCAGAACTGAAGACAGCTGTTCACAATGCCTTGGTGCCGAGAATCGTGGATGCCAACAGAGGAGAGAATTGGTGGCAAATAGTACGACGTGACGCCTGTTGATCGACAATTAGAATATGAGATCTGGCAAGTGAAAAAGCGCGAGACAGCGGGCATACCGTTTCCAGTCCATTCTTGCATAAAGCCCAGCAGAATGCAAATCAAAAGGCGATGAGCATCGCCTTTAGATTGAAGGAAAGTGCGCCAGCCTGAATTGCCTTTGAGATCTGTTTCAACGTTGATGCTACTAGAGATCTGCTCAAACTCTTCCTGTACGGCAGGATCGTTCAGGTTGCCATCGGCATGGTACCGAGTAAGAACACTGCGGGCCTCCCCTGTGCGTCCCCTAGACACCAGCCACCGAGGACTCTCGGGCATGACGAGCAAGCCCAGAAGGATCGAGATCGGATAGAGCATCTGCAGAAGACAGGGTAGTCTCCATGACCAGCTGCTCGCAAGCGGAAGTGTCAGCAGGGACAAGCCCGCCGCGGAGATAGATCCGCAGAACCAAAGCGAGTTATACAAGCCGGTGAGGACTCGACGGTGTCTGGGATGTGCTGTTTCAGCGATGAGCAGGGGAGCAGCTGTTTGCGAAAAGCCAACCCCAATGCCCGTCACGACGCGAGCCGCAAAGAATACCCATACCTGTTGGACGGTGGCCTGCACAATCGCAGAAACAATAACTAAGCCTGCCCCAATTGTAATGCTCTTCTTCCGCCCCAGGATATCGGCAGCATATGACGCTGGAATGAAAGCCAGGAAGGCCCCAAGAGAAAAGGATGCGATGATAATCCCCTCAGCACTGGAACTGAGGCCGGACAGAAAGAGCTTGACTGAAGATAACAGCATCAGTACACATCACAGAGCAATGCATGGCGATGCATCGCGACACTTGAAAGACAACTCACACTCCGGCAGAACCAGCAGACTGTTGATCTGACTCGCATTATACCCCGCGGTTGCTGAAGCTGACAAAACCAGGGCAATCCCAATATTCAGCCTCCAAAGCCCCGGATCACTCACTCTTGGTAGCTTCATCGTGCACAAATGTACCCTGCAGCCATTCCTCACGCGGAAGAGGCGCCTCGACGCTACTTTATTCTACGGCTGTACCGGAGCTCTTTCTTTTCCTTTTTTCCTTTTTCTCAATTTAGGTTTCCTTTTCCCTTTTCTCTTTGGTTCTGCGTAATTGCTGGCGAGTCACCGCGTACATTCCTCACTCCGCGTGTGCCGATCCTCGCAACCAAGGCCAAAATTGCTCACCAGCAGGCTTGGAATGTAGGGTTGCGCTGACAGGCGAATCGCCAGATGGAGATCCATCGAGAGGCTCCCTGATCTGACGTCTGGGTCTGCTGATCTGCAAGGATCTTGCTGCCTTTTGGGTCTACCTCCAGCTGGAATTATGTAACCCTGAGCTTGGGATCCTCCACGGGCCCAAGGGTGCCAATCGGATGGAGGCCTCATCTAGGCGTCGGAGCGGCCGGGTGGTTTCTGTGGGACTATTTAACAGGTGATACTCTGTTTCTGGATCTCAAGGGGCGTGGGGGCCTGTATTTGGCTTTTGGAGCTTTGGGAATGACGAACGGAGTGAGGCTTGGGAGCTCGGAGCTCGAGAGCTTCCGTTCCTCGTACGCGTCCAAGTATCACGCGTCTTCGAATGCCGATATTGCCGTGGAGCGTGGTTTGAAGAATCCAAGATGCTACTAGTACACAGCTCCCTAATGCCGACATATGGAAGAGGGGCTTTGAAGCTGGGTTTTTTTTCTTTTACCATCTTGTCAACGCTTGGATTGTAACCTTCAGCGATTTTGTACTCCTGTATTAGCTATGCTAAAAGCTTGAGAGAATCCAGTGGACATAAATTAGGTTGGTCATGCAGCGTTCAGGATATTGGAAAGGACACATAAACGCCATTGAACTCCCAGAACCAGCGCCAGCAAAAATGCAAGACCTCCTCAGCGGAACGACCTGATGTAGTGGCCGTTTTGTTTCTTGTGTCGAAGTACCAAACCCCAGGAGACCATCTAGGGAAGCCCCTCATACATCGTCGTCCTCATAGACGAAGTTGATATCGCGGATACGACGGCGATTATGAGTAATAAATTCCTTGTCTCCTGGTGGTCGCTCGTCCTTGGTGTTAGCTGTCAGCATACTCTGGATGCTCATGCAGACACTTTCGGCCGTCTGCACAGGCGACCAGCCGGACCGACCCAGAAGATCGAGACAGATGATTCCATTGCTGTAGATGTGAGGGTGCATGGGGATAGGACGTGGGGTGTCGGAGTTGTCGGGGACTTGGATGAACTGAACTTCGGGAGGCTCTGAGTAGGTAAACCCCGGGTTAGCTGATAAGGACTTGAATCTGTGCTTTTTGCGCTTCCAAGTCTGATTTTGAGGTTTCATGTCTCGTGGGGTGGAGGGACGTCATCACATACCAATGGGGTACCTGTCGGAAAAGGTAAACTTTAAGCGGAAGGTCTTGTTCATGTACAATGGATTCTCATCAAGTACTTTGATGTCCATTTGCCATTCTTTCAGATCGTCGGCTTTCACAATGGAGATTCCCTGTGGGAGGCCTGCTTGCATCTATACCAAAACGAAAAGTTAGAGAGCCTTCGTACGAACCGCTGGTCGGAAGATATGCCGATGCTGCGTAAAGTATATGTTGCGCAAAACGAAGGGGTTGGCAAAATACCTTGGTAAGCTCCTATTCTCGAATAATGGGTATTAGTGACTGAGGATCCAGCATAGATGTCTTCAAGCAAACCCAACAGCTCCTACCTTACTCAAGCGCTTGTGCGCAAACCCAGTCGCCATTTTGGGAGTTTGCGCTGTCACGCGTCCAGGTCGGGGTTTCAGGATTCCACAAGGCGGTCCAGTGGAATCAAAGTGACGATGCAGCTGAGCAGATATTCAAGGCCAGTCAAACTCCAGGAGTACACCTTGTGCGCCCTGGGAAAGCCAAAAATGGAGAACCCAAACCGGTCAAGATGAAGTGGGACGATGAGCAAGGACCAGGCGGGGAAGATAAGATTGGGCCATTGCGGGCGCGTGGGCACGTGATCTATAACCTGGGGGGTTGAGCTCATACAGACACGATCAACCATGAGAAAATCGGGACGAGTGCTTTCACAGAAGCAGCGATAGACTGCATTATGTGCATTGTTAATGACTATGGGGAATCAAAAAACCGTATAAAGTAGAGAAATTACATGCTGGCCAGCATCACCATCGAACCCCGAAAACCGACGTAACCTCCAGAAATCAGATCAAGCAGAAGCAGCTTTCTCGCGGACCTCCTTTTCCATCTTGTCTCGCTCCTCGTTATCCTTCATTTCACGGACCTTGGCCAGAACTACCTCGCGGAAAATAGCACCACGGGCAATCTTGCCAAGGCTATGTTTCTTAGTGTGCCCAGAGCTCTGTTCACTTGACGCGGGAGAATCACCGGTCTCAGCAGAAGCAGCCATGGCAGCGGGGCTGGGGATATCTCCCTCCTCGCCTTCCTCCTCATCTTGCAGCTTGAGTGCTTCAATGCGGTTGGCAAGTTTGACGATCTCGATACCACGGCGAAGACGCGCCTTGGCATTGTATGCACGGATCTCAGGCAGCAGATCGCGGTCGCCAGCAGTCTTACCGGTGAGCCACTCGTGGGAAAGCGCCTCCTCGGAAGTGGGCCGCTTGGAAGGGTCGGGCTGGAGAAGACTCAGAATGAAGTCCTTAGCGTCTTGTGAAACATCTTTCCAGTAGCGCTCATGGAAGATGATGCGGCCGGTCCGGCATTCCTCGATCAGATCGGTCAAGTTTTCGGACCGGAAAGGCGAGTAGCCGCACAGTAGAGTGTAGGTGATCACGCCCAGGGACCACAGATCCACTGCCTTTCCGTGGCCTTGCTTGAGCATGACCTCGGGGGCAGCATAGCCAAATGAGCCCGCCATGCTGGTGAGAACTTCAGATGGGTTGTCCAGCATCTTGGCAATACCGAAGTCCGCTAGAACAAGCTCAGAATCGGGGGCGCGAGTGAGATATAGGAGGTTCTCGGGCTTCAGATCTATATGCATGGTTAGTAACTCTCGAACCGTGCCTGTCACACCACAACGAACCTCTGTGGACGATGTTTCGCTTGTGAAGATAGTCGACAGCATCCAGCACCTGCCGAATAGTCTGGGACGCGTCTTTCTCTGTGAATTTTCCATAGTCACAAATTCGGTCGAACAGCTCTCCACCCGTGGCCAGCTGAGTAACGATGTAGAATTTGTCCTGGGATTGGTCAATATCGTGCCACCGTGGTCGCTGGGAGATATTGGAGATACCTTTGACTCAAACCAGTCTACAAAGGAGACAATGTGAGGGTGCTTGAGATTCTGCAGCATCTTGAGCTCGTCGTAAACCATATCTTCGTTGCCCTTGACATTCTTCTTCAGAATTATCTTGACGGCAACCTTCTTGCCATCGTTCGATTCAGCTTCGCGAACAATACCGTAGGTACCCGCGCCGAGTGTGCGTCCGAACCGATAGGAGGCTCTGGAAGAAAAGGTGTCAGCATGCGCCAACGATGCACTTTTTCATTCGGGGACATACTTTTTTTCATAGCTCTCCGGCTGTCCAGACAGCTTGTTCATCATGCTAGCGACTACGAGCAATGGTATTAGTCATTTTCCAGGCCTGACCCGGGCAGTGCGGATTGGAGGGGCGGGCAAGCATGTGAAAACTCCAGGGGACTTGCGAAAACCAGACCAGAACAGCAGATAAGAAACAGAGCCAAAGCCAGGCCGACCAAATAGCCGAGAGAAGGCAAATCAGGAGATAAGACAAGCATGGTCTTTCCAGACCAATAGATCATAGCGAAATGGACAGACAATGCCAAGACCAGCGACAAAATAAGGAGAAGCAAACGAGCTAGGCGTATCGTACAGGAAAGGTGAAAGGCGATGCAGATCGCAGGAGAATAGACTCACAGCTCATGGTGTGGGTATAGGGCTGCAGGTGGCCTGGACGGTCTTTATTTTCTCGTTTGTAATGGGCAGAATCCCCTGATCAGGTAGCAAAAAGCGGGCTGGTCGAACCCCGCAGTAGACGGAGAGAGAGGCGGGGCGATGGCGAGAAGGAGAGTCGTTTGAGGAGGGAAGTGAGAATAAATTGAAGGCGATCACGCACGAACTGTTGCTCAAGGAATTGAGTGAGCCTGGTGAAATCCCACATTAGTTTAGAAATTTGGGAGAAAAGAGCGATCGCAGCGGTTCAGATGAAGCGGGGACAGGGGAGCGGAGACGCGGCCGTGGGTTTCAGGTACACATGAACCAGGGGAATCACCTACCGGGTCAGGAACGGACAGGAGAGCAGGACAAGGGAGAGAAAATAGGAATCCAGCACCTTAAGAACTCCTGAGCTCTAGATCCACGATAAGAGGGTAGGGCTTAGTGGACCTTGGCGGGTGCCTCCTGCACCGCCACAGCTGAGCTGGGATCCCCGAAGTTGCCCATGGACGGCGTTTTGGCCCCCAGGAAAAGTGTTGCCTAAGAGCGTATACATGGCTGCGTACCTGGGGCTGAGGGCTCTGGATATCTTATACTGGGAACTCGAATTTGATACTCGATCCCTCATCTTCTCTACAGTCCAGAATGACCATTTTGGTGTCCCACTAGGCATACGGAGCTAAGTTCGCAGAGCCCTCCGCGTCAGCCCTACGGCAGCGCACCACCACAGCACAACCAATCATGGGCTCTGCATAGTCCTCGAGACGCTGCGTCCCACACTCCCGATAGATGCCTGGCATGGACGATCTACGGGCCATGCGTCGGTCAGCATTTGAAGCCCCTGATTCAATGGCCTAGTTATTCGACCAGCAATTGCCGGCCAAAGCGGGAAGCAGTGCCCTGTCGATCACCAGGACGATGATTCCATTACACTTCTATCTCCGAGGGTCGACATGGAGTCGGCAATGGAGTGCTTTAGTATGGTCCTCTCTTTCTAAACACGTGTCTGTCTGATGTGAACTTGGAAATGTTGCCTTCGTCGAGTCGGGAAACACAAATGCATGCAGCATCCTCATCACAGCATGAGAATTCACTTTTCTTTCTGCATAACCGAGTCCATTGGCTATCTATGATTACCCCGAAGAACGACTTTCGGATGGACACAAGGCTTCTTCAAGCCAAGAGATTATATGTAACGAATTGATTGGTCAAAATGGAGATTGATGCAGATAATCAAAAATCAAAGGCATTGCTAGATTACTCCTATTAAAGCCGCGGGCGGAATGGCTCACCGGGCGAAGACCCGTCACAGCAACGTAATTAATCACCACTGGTAGTGCTTTTTCTGGGAGAGTCCAGGAAGTACTAAGCCGAAGGTACTAACACCCACTAGCTGACATATGGACTTGAATTCGCTTCTTCGTGACTCTCACTCGATTCCTAGGCGCTAACTTGTCAACTCCAAGGATACGCTGATTCGACATATTGGATGTCGTCAACATTAGTCTCGATTTGCAGGGATATTGATCCGATTGTATCACAGTAGCCGGGATGCGATGGTCCATGTTCCACAACGCCGTCATTTCTCACACCCCCACGTCATAGGCGCCCGCAGCTGCATGGTATATAACCCACATGCATTTTGCAGGTGCTTAATTCTCCGGTGCTTGTGTCAACAGCGAGATTGTCGGTTCAGCGACTTGAAAAAATGGTTTACTTCTTTCTATACCTCATGCTCCAGATCGCCCTGTTTGGTGCTTGGGTATCGGGTGCCTTGGACCCCTACCAGAAAAAATGCCAGGAGATCATCTTAGATGCCATGGGGGAGAATAAAATCTCCTACGGCATGAAACGTATGTCGCTTGCTCATCAGTTGGAGCTGTACAAGGTGCTGATGTTTCAAAAAGGAAGCTTGACAGGGAAGAAACTCTCAGAAGATGAAAATCTGAGCAAGATTCAAGATCAGCTTGGCAGTCAGCTGGGAGGAGTCTTCGGCAAAGGAGGTCCTGCAGGAGGAATTGGTTCGGTTCTGAGCAAGAGTCTTTAAACTGACGCTACTCTTGGCGATGACCATTGAACATACTACCCAGAGTTAATACGACCACTGGTATCAGGAAACTTACAGCTTCTGATTCAGTCTCTGTTGGGTTCCAAGGTTTGATTCATATCCTTAGTAAGAAATTTATCCAGGATCAGCCAATGAATGTACAAATAGCTTTTGGTTGTCTAACGCCGTCTATGCAAGACCAGATACTCATGCCCAACGATGACATGTACAAATATTGCCTAGTTTTGAGAGAGTATTAAAAACGCAATCACTTGCGCTTCTTGAATTTACCACCGCCCTCTCCATCATCACCCTTGCGCTTCTTGCCCTCGCGCCGCCAATAGTCATCGCGCTCCCGCTTCTCACGCTCGGCCTTCTTCTCTAGGTTTTCAGCCACCTTGGCACGGTAGAACTTGCGACGCTCCTCCTGTTTAGCCGAGCGCTTGGCCTGTTTCTCGTTGCGCATCGTAGTCAACTTCTGCATCAGGTTGCGGGCCTTCTTCTCCTCGCCGCCGAGGACAACGGCACGCTTCTGCATGTACGTCTTGTCCTTATGGGCCTTCATCTTGGTGATCTGGGATTTGTAAGGCAGCTCAGCGGCGAGCTGACGCGGCACACGGAGGGGATTGAAGTGGCGTTCCTGTCGCTCAATCTTGTGGTAGGCTGAATCCTTGTTCAAAGGGGTTGGGATGCCCTTCTCGCGGCGGACTTCGCCGGTCAGTTTCATGCCCTGCCAGCCGCTGTCGGCGGCAGCACCTCCTCAAGGTCGAGAAGGTTTGTGACGGGATTGTAATAGCGGTGAGGCTTGATGGGGTACCATGCTCGGAGGAAAACGATGTCGCTCATCAGGATCTTATCTTCGAATGTGGCACGGAAGTAGCCGTCTGGCTTGCTGAGAGCTCGCTTGATTTGACCGCGGATACCGGAGACGGTGCGGATCGAAGCTCCTTCAAACTTGGCAATTTCGAGCGAGGAGTTGAACATGTCTTTGATGAATGCAGTGTTTTTGAAGATCTTGTACGGGACACCGGTGAGCTTCAACTTCTTGACAATTTCAGTATGCTCGTCCACGTTCAAGACAACACCAGTAGCGGCGATGCGGAAACCAGGATTCTTGTTGGAGAATGACTGGACGCAGCAGAAGCCGGTGTTGGGGGCGACAAGAGGACCATAGAACACGCCGGTACAGTGCATGTGCTCTGGTGTGTACTTGAGCATACGGTTTCTGGTTCGACTGTCGGAGGTGCTGTAGATTGGCATGGTCTGGAAACGACGCCAGCCGAGTGAGAAGATCAAGGGATCGTTGCTCTTCAAAATCTTCTTATGCCAGCGATGGCGCTTGATGCGGATCTGGACATATCCGAACCGGTCTTCAGTGGGTGAAAGTCCTCCTACGATGATAGGGAAGCGCGGGTTGAATTTCTCCACGAACTCGCAGGGCACATTCTCCAAGACAATTCGAGCGTAGGTACCTGCCTTGTAACCTTCGGCTCGGGCACGAGACGCGGGATCAAGGGTGTCGAATTCGGCGCGGTTGATGTCCAGTTGCTTTTGCATCTTCGCTTTTTGGAAATCATACCAGTCATCTTCGCCGAATTCTCCATCACCACCATCTCGCGTTCCGTCCTTGGCATTTCCGAAGCCCTCTCGGTCTTCCTCCTCGAAGCGCAGTTTCAGCTCTTCCTTCTTCTTGGCATTGCGTTCACGTTCTGCTTCCAAGTCTACCGGGCCTTCCGGCTCGGCGTTATCTTCATCATCGTCATCCTCATCTCCGTCACCATCTTCCTCGTCAAAGCCATTGAAGGCTTCGCCGGTCTCTAGGTCCTCAAACGCACCGTCACCCTCGTCGTCTTCGTCATCATCATCAAAGTCATCGAGATCGTCGTCGTCCGAACCACCGTCACCAAGCTTGGCAGTGACAAAACGTTGTCGAAGAGATTCAATGAGTTCTTCATCCCGCCATTTGCGCTCCAGCTCCTCGTAGTCATAGTCTGGAACAGCACGGAAATCGGCTTGCTCTTCTTGTTCGGTGTTAGTCTTCTTGAAGAAGTCGTCACCGTCTTCTTCGGCTTCGATGTCTGACTCCTCGTCTTCCTTATCGTCGCCAGCACCGCTCCATATTTTCACGACATCGACAGGGTTGATAGATTCGTCATAAATCATGCGAGACAGATCCACAGTGCGGAAAGCTGGGTGGCTGCCCCGGAGCTCTTTTGCATTGGCCAGCATATTTTCTTTCCATTTAAAATTGCCCTCTTCATCCTCATCCTCCTCTTCCTCTTCCTCATCTTCTTCTGCGTCGCTATCCAGCTCCTGGTCATTAGCTTCGGACATAGAACCTAGATCAGAGTCGCTATCGGCGAACGCGATATCTCCGTCCACTTGATGAGCGTTTCCGTTCTGACGGTCCTTGAACTTTTGCTCAAAATCTGCTGGTGCTGAAATATCGACATCGTCGTCGACATCAGAGTCCTCCTCACCAGCATCGGAAATTTCTTCGTCATCGTCACCACTTTCGAGGCCTTCTTCGTCATCCGATGCAGCCTCGGTCACACGCTCGGAGTCAGCAAGGCGGGCATGTCGGCGGTGCTTACGACCTGACTCCTCGTCTTCGCCATCTTGCGCGATTGCTTCACCACCTCGGAACAGACGGACACCTTGATCAGCCTCACCAAGCAATCGGCGTTCGCCCTGCAAGCCAACAACAAGCTGCTCGCCAAGACCGCGATCTTCCTCGTCTTCCTCGTCTCCCGAGTCGCGATTGAAATTTTGTGTCTTGACGTCGATGTATACCGCATCCTTGTCGACCAAAACACCACCCACGTCAGACATGGGCGCAAAAAGCAATTTCTGCTTCTCGCCCAGCTTCCGCCTATTTGACTTTCCTGTCGCCTTGGCAATCTGCTGGTCCATGTGCGGCGTCGGGCAAGGGTCGGGGAGACTTTCGATGCCGGAGACCGTCAGATCGCCCACGCCAGGGACATGCACTCGTGCGCCCTGCGCTGGGAAATTGGTTCCTCGTAAATACCCATATAGAGCCACTGAGCGGTCGCACTTGGGGTTCTCTTCGATCTTCGTAGGGGGGGTGACGTCCAAGAATCGGTCTGCGAGGGCGTAGGGGTGGGAATTGCGCCAGATGAGCGGACGAGGGTTCTTCATGACGGACAAGAATCGAGAAAGATTGTGCACCTCACGATCGGGGTAACGACCATTGATCACCCCAGACAGGTAGAAGAGCTTGGCACCCGAGTACAATTCAGACCAAAAGCGCTGCTTCAGCCGCTTCTTGGTCATCTTCAAAGTACTTTGCTTCTTGAACAGATCGAGATGAGTTAAAATGCCAAATACATTACCGGGCATACCGCTTGTAGACAGAGCATTCAGGAACTCCATGGTCTCCATCTCGAAGCCATAATTACCGTCGATCATGAGGAGCACGATGTCTGCGATTTTGGCGACGTCGATCATTGCAGCGAGGGAGTCTGATGGGCATTCTAGGAAAGTGAGGCGCTTCTTCTTCGAGGTCACGACCGTTAATGGTCCTTGGGGTGAGCTGAGGGTCTGCTTGGTGTAGCGACGGACAAGCGACTTGATCAGTGTGGTTTTGCCGACCTGCGATGCCGGTAATCGTTAACAAGAAAATTACATCTCAACGGAGCATCCCAGAAACTTACACCTGGTGGCCCAACACACGCAACAACGGTCGGAGGAGCCTCTTCGGGCATCCGGTCCACCTGGGGGACGTGCAGTCTCTTTTCCTTGACCTGAACACGAATTTCTGATTAGCATCGGACCAAGCGAGCTTGAGGTTGTAAAAACGTACATCGTGAGACCGCGCCGCCTGCTTATTGAGCTTGCCGGGGTTCGCATAAGCAAAAGCCCTTGGGTTTTGGCCTGTTGGTTATCATAGAATAGTTAGCATCAGGGAGCTTCATCTCGAGTCTCGAGGGCCATCTCCGCAGATTGGCGGAATTGCTGGCGTGACACACCTTCATATTTCTTCTTCTCCTTTGCCGGGCGATGGGCCCGGTTAGACTGCTGCTCCATTGTGCAGGTAGAGAGGTCCAAGACCTCGCACGCAGCTCTCTTCTCAACAAGACCTGTGAAATTGGGTAGAGTCGTCTTGACCTGCGACGGTATCAAACCAAAATTATTATTTCGGGGCGGAAATATATGGATCCGGGCAGAAAAAAGTTGCGTTTATTTTCAGTTTAGCGCGGTTAGGCTGGTACCTGACACCTCAGGCATTAACTTCGTCTTATCGTTATCGCTATCGATATGACCGGCCCGGGGACTTCCCCTCGTCGGGCCGACGAAGTGGAGAAGACGAGGACTGAGCAAGCACGATTGAATGGGGGTGGTGGGGGACTGAGATGTATTCTTTCGCGTAATGGGTTTTCCTCCGGATCCAGAGTAATGAATACCCTTTATCACTGCTGAAAAGGTGTTGAACCCCCACCCACTTCTGGCTGGGTCTACGAAGTCTACGTAGGGGTAAGCCCTATGGAACCAAAGGATTTAGGAGCCCCAAGCGTTATATAATAGTCCAGATACCCCGGAATCGAAGATGTAGATTTCTAATCCAATTTTACCAAATCCCACTGTGTATACCAACACAGTTGAATTTCTACGCGAATCTATTAAAAAAAAAAATGGCTGCCGCCAACCGACCTCCCCCAGCCTACACAGCCCCCCCCAAATTCGGGGATCCACGCGACATCGTCGCTTTACCACGCTATCTCGCAGACTGCAGCTGAACCCTCGGCAAGGACACCAAAAGAATCCTTCACCATCCGTCCATGCTCAGGACAGGCTTGGCTTGTGCCTGCAGGCCATATCTGTCGCCTCACGACGCCCAAGGGCCCACAGGTCGGCGATCTCAACATCTGGAACGCAAATAACCCGCGCGAGCGAATGTGGGCTGCGCGAACCCGCCAGATCCATGCCTCGCATGTCTCAGTGGGGGATCGGCTGTGGTCCAACTTACCATATTTAAGACCGCTGGTGACGATCACCGGGGATTCGCTGGGCGGCGGGCAGCTGCATGACGTGCTAGGGGAGGATGGGAAAAGGAAACCAGAGGCAGTGTTTGGCACGACGCAGTTCGGGGGCCGCGTGCATGATTTGCTAGGTACTCGATGCGATCCCTACGTGAACCTGCTGATGGGCGGCGAAACCTTTGACTTCCACTGCCACTCGAATCTCACGCGGGCGGTGGCTCCGTACGGGCTGACGGAGCTGGATGTGCATGACGTGCTGAATGTGTTCCAGGTCACTGGGTTGGATGAGCAGGGCAAATATTTCATGGAGACCTCGCCTGCGAAGGCGGAGGAGTATTTCGAGTTCTTTGCCGAGGTGGATGTACTGTGCGCCCTGTCGGCGTGTCCTGGTGGTAAGTAACACATCAGAGGTGGTAAGGGGCACTGTGCTAACGATCCCACAGGCGACCTTTCTAACTGGGGCTGGGATGACAAGGCAGGCGGCATGGGCGCGACCTGTCGTCCGTTTGGGAGTGGAGGTGTATCAGTTGGACGAGAAAGTCTTGGCCGGATGGGAGGCACCAGTGAGCCCCGCATACAAGGGGCTGCACGGAATGAGCATGCCACCGCGCGAGCAGGACGGGCTGGTCGGCATATGATCATGTGACCTGCCCCGCGTTCGGCACGCATATCGTCATCGTCATCGCTCCTGCCGCATTGTTACATCAACAGCCTGAAATCAAATGAGAAACCGCGAGGAAAGTTTGGTGTAGCCGGCGTTCGGGGAGGAAGTGGTGGGCTGCCTTGGTTCGAGGCCTAGTCTTTCTTCATGTTTTGTTAGGATGATATTTGAGCGAGATTGGTCTTGTGTCTACCAGTAGACCGTCTTCCTTGGCCTGGCACCACATCCAATCACTCACTGAGAAGTATGTAAATATTTTTTTCCCCAGAAAGGTTGATCAAGCCCTTCGAGAATAGGCCAAGGTACGGCAAATGACGGTGTAACTTGTAGCGTAGAAAGTAAAACCGAGCCAGGGACAGACCAAGATCCATAAAGGTCCTTGATTGATGGAATGGCGTAAGACAAAGCGCGCCCCTCTTATCAGCCTTGACGCCGCATCCGCCGACTATAAAGACTGGAAACTCCTGCCCCTCAAAAGCTCCATCTCCACCTCCGCTTTCTTTCCCTCTGCACCACTCTAGCATTCTTGCTCTCACCCCGAATTTACCAGCTTTGCATCACTTGCTTCCCGGGATTCGTTCTCATTTACTCTCTATCAACATGCCTCAGTACAATGTATGTTGCTTGATGTTGAATCATAGCACGCGAGCTAATATGGTGCCCCACTAGGTCACCCTGAAAGCCGACGCTCCACCCGAGGAGCTCGAGAAGTACGCCTTTTGACAACTCTATCAGCATGAGTTCTTTACTAACTCCTTTCACTTTCAGGGCTAAGCAGACTGCGCAAGAGAAGGGCGGTACTATCAAGCACGAGTACAGCCTTATCAAGGGCTTCATGTAAGGAACCGTTCCCTTCAAATGAAATTTCTACCATCCTATTTTTGTTTTGTTTTTTTATTTGCGAGCTTCATACTAATTTACATGTGCCACAGCGTTGAGTATCCCGAAGGTCATGTCGATTCCCTCGAGTCCAACGAACATGTCCACGTCGAGCAGGATGGTGAAGTCAAGACCCAGTAATGGCTTGATCACTCAAAAACTTCAGAATGGATACACGAGTCGCTTCTGACCGCTCTCTCGATGCTTTGATATGAATAGTTGGATGGGGTTGGTGGAACGGAGGGTTACTTTGCTTTTCAGGATGATTGATACCAAGTATTACGCTTAGCCAATATGCGCTACGTCTTTGCACATCTTTTTTTTAGCGACCTCGGACGGCCGCAGGGCAAGTTTCCCTATTCGCAGACGATATCAACGACTTCAGACGAACCAAATTGCCATAACAAATCTTTTGATTGCTGGGACTGAACCCAAAATGCGGATGCCTTACACTACCAAATAAACTCATTGAAATTGTAATGTGATAAAATCCGTAAGTAGACCATCCAGGTATGAACCGCTTAGCAAAAGTCCGACATACAAGGTACCAGAACCACCAATTAGGCCTGACGAACACAGCCCGCCGCGTGAACTGGGCTTATTTACTCTGTCGCAGATTGCCCTGTCTCAGCCTGCGCCTTGAGTCCCTCCACCCACCGCTGGAAATTGGTCCGCAACAGACTCCCATACATCCACTTCACCACATGAACCAGATAACCCTTCTGACACTCCCAATTCCTCACCTCCGTGCCCCCCTCCACCTCCTTCAGCTCATGCACCCGCTCCGCATTAAGCAAAGACCGCCAGAATGCGCCCGGGGCATCCGGGTCTGTTACCCAGATAATCCGCCCCGGGCTTCCAGCCCCGGGGTTCGGGGCCACGGCCTCCGTCACAATAAGGTGGGTATCAGCGGGTGGCTGCGGCTTTGAGGCTGCGGGGTCCATGCAGACGTGGAAAGTTATCTTCGTCCCAGCGCGCAGGACGGGAGAGAGGGGTGCGGCGGCTGGTCCGTCGGGCTGCGAGCGGATGGTTACGCGAGGCACGAAGGTGTTCCATGCTGGCCAGGTGGAGGTGTCCGTCAGCACTTCCCAGACGTGGGACGGAGGCGCGGCGATAAAGGTGGAGCTGCCGAGGTGGAGGGTCGCGTCGGCGGCCGAGATGTTTGGGGTCGACCGGGTGGTGTTTTCAGGGTCGGTAAGGGAGGTCATTATTGAGCTATAGGGTCAACGCGATAATGCGAATCAGTGGCTGGGATGGTTGCTGGGATGGTTGCTGGGATGGTTTGCTTTGTCTTGAGATCGCGGGATGCGGTGTTCTTGGCCCCCATGCGCCGATAAGACACCACCGCCTGGTCTCACGCGGAGGGCGTATTGTTCGGTTGGTCAGCGAGATGCTGCTATTCGCGACCAGGGAGGCTACGATATATGAGAGCGAGAACCCATATGGTTAGGCTCAGATGCCAACCTTTGAAACCAGTTTGGTTCACCACAAGAGGCTGACGCCATGTCTTAGCATGCGCGTAACTGAGACGGTGTCTCAACACTCTAAGTACCCTACTAAGGTAGTCTACTACTAGTGTTGAAGTTCAGAACATCCACTTACGCTATGAATAGAGTTCGTTGTATTTTCGGCAAGTATAGTTTTGAACATATAACAGAAGCTCAGGCAAGTAGAGCAGAGCAGAGCAGTACAGAAGATTATGAGGATCCAACAGAGATAATTGGTAAGACACAGCCACCGTGCAGATCGTGACTCTGAGCATTTCAATAAGGAGCCGCCCCACGGCCATGTAAGAGCTGGGATATCTCAATTTCCAATTCTTGTCAGCCTACCAAAGCACACTCCCGCTTTTTCTTCTTCACGATGTTCGAGCAGAGTGTTGACAATGTCCAACATGTTCTCTTGTACCGCCCACCAGGGGGGAGAACTCCCGTCCTTTGCGCACAGATTTGGATTGGCTCTGGATTTGAGGAGCAGCTCGGTTATTTCGAGGTCTGCCAGCTGTGCAGACCACCAAATTTGGGGAGTCGTTATAACGACCCAGAACTGCATTGATGCCGAGGGCGAATAACATCCTGGCTATCTCTATGTGCTGTACCTGCACCATTATCCAGGGCGATGGGTAACCCTCCTCTTGATCCGGGTCTGCAACAAACAAGAGTAGTAATTTGAGTTCCAAATAGTGATATTTATGCTAAGTACCAATACATATGATATACAGGATCTCCTCGTTTCAAGGATAATCGGTGAGACGGGGCGAAGGGACTGTGGTGTAGGGATAGAGATGCTCGGTCCTTCTGTGCATGATGCGAGAATAGACCCAGAAGAGAAAAAGACCGACGAAAGCAGCAAGGGAAACACCACAAAAAGTGAGGAACTGCCAGTGTTGGCCCATCTAGATCGGTTAGTGGCAACCAAATGGCTTAGGTTTCGGAATCCACTAACCCAAAATATTAGACGCGCATCCTTGCCATGCCAGCTGTTTCCAGTATGGTGGGTGAAGAAACTCCAGGTGTACTTCTGATACTCCTCCGGCATAAGAATACGAATGCGACTCATGTCAGATGGGGAGTCTTGAATATACTCTTTCCATAGAACCGACAAGAACAGTGGCCCTGTCGAGTACATAATGGTGATGTACGGGAGACCCCATTGGTGATCATATTGCTGGAGCACTTTGATGACGCGTAAAAAGAACGGATGCTGGGGCACAGAGCCCATTACATCGTTCGAAATACCAGTAGGCATAGTCCTCCGTAACCATGCCGGATAAGCGAGCAGGGGATCTAAACGACGATTGCAGCCCTATTTTGTGTTAGACCATCTATCTCAGCAGAAACTGCTGCGCGGCGGACACATACATCATCCAAATCGATATACGTTCCGCCATAATAAGCCAGCACAAAATATCGGATCGCATCTGCGCGCTGGATAGGGTAGGCGTAGTTATCAAACGTTTTCAGGAACCATGGATATTGAGCTGCGATAAATGCACGCGACTTTTCATCTGTCCACAACTAGAAAAATGGTCAGCAAAGGTCTGAAGCTAGTAGTCAAACGAGAGACATACAATATACTCATAGTCCGGGTGCAGGTCAATGCAACTTTGTTGGGGATTCCTCCAATGCTCTGGGATGCTTCCGTTCTTGTAGGTCTGGTGGATAATCTTGGGAATGAGCTGGGGGTGCTCGATCAGGCTGGAGTTGAGCGAAGGCAACTCGGTAGATTGAATTGCGTCCGCAGCAGCATCTTCAAGAAGAAGCGATAAGAGTGTTGAAACACTGCGGACCAAGAAAAATAGTACAAGAATGTTGATCAGAGCAAATATCAATAGACCGCGTCGCATGTTTATGTTGAGGGCTTCTGAATAGACGGTTTTGACCAGCCATCTGAGCAGAAAAAGTTACGCGAGAGGAATAAAGGAAACTGTTGGTTAAGTGTCCATGAAAACGACAATTCTAGTTAGGCAGAAAAATAGTTCGGATCAAAGATCAAATAGGAGTATAGGAACGGAATTTTTCTCAAGTAAATTTCCGTCCCTTGATGTTCGCCGGATAATCGCTGGATGCTACGCCGGCCGCGCCGCAGAACCTTGGAACCTCCTCTAGAACACGCTTATTCAGAGCGGCCGAGGCAAATTATTCAGGGATGCCTAATTGCTATAAGATGAGCCCCCTTATTCTGTTGCCTGCGACTTCGCAATTTGCTCCCGTGTTTTCCGTCTTTATCAAATCGGCCCAGGCGGATATACTTCGTTGAGATTTGAAATTCCTACCGCAAGAACACGCGGCCGGATCCTCGGCACCGTCTTCGTCATGCACAATGGAGCGCGCCTCGCAATGGTGGCAATTTTATTGGGAACTTTGTTTTCGTTTTATCTATTAAACAAGCACCTCAAAGATCTTGAGGAGCAATATCGTGTGCGCAACGTACATGGAAGGATGGCTCCATCACTATCGCCCAAATATCTTTCACCCAAGACAATAAAGCTCTGCCTAAGGATGAGTTCGAGACTTAAGCACTTTCCCTTGTGAGATTCTCACCATTAGTGAATCCCTTAGAATATCCCTCTAATCCGACTCAGCAACAATAGCTGTCAAGAGCCATCAGTCTATTTACGGAATAAGGTTTGACTTGGCAGGATGGGTAACACGGACAAGAGCTACATGCCCAAAGTGAGGGACTAATCAATGGCCCAAAGATAGATTGCATAATGAGACATGGATCCCACCAGCGACAATCGCTTCTAATAGCGGCCTTCAAACTACTTCAGTCCCAATGGAAAGTATCATATCCAAAAATGGCGCTAGGACTGTCGATTGAGTCCCCTTGCTTCTACACCAACATTATAGTAGGCTATCCTCACCAACTTCAACGAATAATTCCGTAACCGCCAACAATATATTGAAATATCTCGGAAGCTGATAGGGATGGAGCACGTCCAGTCTCAGAAATGACCAAGAGTATCGCAGAGTGCATCAAACTGTTTTGTTGAACTGATACCTCACCGATGATGCGGAGGGGCCAACCGGAGGGACTCGACCAATGATCAAGTCGCATCGCAACTACCAGACCACATCAAGACTAGCGAATTTCTTGGCGTCTGTAGAATCATTAGCATGCTAGTTTAACAAAACTTGTCGATCTGTTGACCGCAACTCCATTATAAATCAAGTACGGCTTTCGCTATTCAAGGCCTTGGGGACAACTAAGCTTGAGGCGCTGACCCATGCTGGTTCCAATATTTCAGTAGAACAAAGAGAACCATCGCCATTTAAAGCTACGGGGAAAGGACTGAATTCTGCGCGACAATATCGGGATTCTGATCTGACTGACCCTGGTCCAAACTTTGGAGTCAAGGAGCTTAGGCCCGAGCAACTATTAACCTTCACGTGGACCAAGTTTTGGTTTGGTTTATGGCAACATTCAATCGCCGTCAGGCAGCCGATAACAAAAGGTATTCCAAGACTGGACCTGATCATTGACTCACCCTGTCTTTGTACCGCTCACACATAAAAGCAATGCTAAAGGGCTTTCAAAATAAACAGAGGTTGGGTTGCTCGTCCTAATCGTAGTTCCAAATAAAGCCCCGGGGACCTGAGGGCCGTATATAAGGAGTCTCGGTGCCAAAACAGCACTCTACCCTAGGCAAGCGGTATGATATCAGGAGGGGGCTTGCCTCTTTATTTGTGCATTCATCAAGTAAGGAAAATTATCCTCTACCTCAGGCTTCCCAATAATGTCCGACTCCGATTGCCTTTTCATACGAGAGATAAGTGACGACGCCATCGAAAACGCCTTGACTGAAGGACTTGAAGACCGTTGGGTTGAAGATGATTCCAGAGCAAATGTTCCTGCTTTGCAACATTCTTCATCGCCCATGGTTCATCCTGTCACGGTTCAGGACCCGGAAAGACCTCGTTCTCCTCCAGCTGTTCCTTCAAATAGAAGAACCACTCCGGATCCACAGACCCTTGAGCTCGCTCCGACATCGACGTACCTGCTACCTCGGGTACAAGAGATTCCTGCGGTCAACGAACCTCTCCCACGAAACTACACGGCAAGCCCTACCAGGACTATTAACATACATCGCTTGAAGGCACCCGCAGGATTGCCTATCACTCAAGGCAATAGGGATACTACACAACCAAACAACGCGGATGAGCCTCAGAGGCCTACTGCGTTCCTTTTTTCCGGGAGGGAGAAGGTTATTTCGAGACGTCGGTCCTTGAGGGACGTTGAATCTCTCGAATCACGAATAGCCAAGCTCCTTTCAAACTGAGAGAACGAGAGTGTAAGACTTGAACCGTATTTAGCTCTTAATTGGGACATGTGAAAATTAGCAGAAACATACCACAAGGTCGGCTATCAAACTTGACAATGTATAGTTTCTGGGTCTCTGTCGACAGTTAGTTTAGCGTCTGGGCCTCATAACCCATCCCCTCTACCACAGCCAGAGACAGTTAATCATCAATATCAGAGACATTTTCGCTGTTCGTCGCCAAATTCTGTAGGTAACAGGTCTAACACGTCTAGTATTAGTGAAATAGCCCACAGCAACTTCCACTACTATTTATAACTCCATGCGAAACCGATCAAGCCCGATTCTCCATATAAGGCAAACAAGCCTCATAGATCCCCCTAAACCCCGAATACCTGGCAATGCGCTGAAAGACGCCTTCGTCAACCACCCTCGCGCACTGCAAGTTCCCCGCAAGAAAGAAATCAGAATAACTCGGCTTCGCACCCAGAATAAAAGGGCCGTCCGCCTTATTGGTCTGGATAAGATCGCTCACAGCCTGCAGCTGGCCATCTATTGTGGCCCAGCTCTGGTCCTCGTCCTCAGGCAGCACTTCCTCAAGGGGCTTTCGGAAGGCCGCTTCTCGGGTCCTTCGGAAATATCCTGGGATCGAGGACTGAGAATGTTGATTTCGCGCGGAATTATCGAACCACCCCATACGAGCTGTACTTCCCGAGAAGCAGCCTCGACTTGCTGGCCTAGCTCGGAATGCAGCGGTACGGGTGGAGTGGGATAGGTGGCTTCTATAAACTCGGCGATGCGAGATGATTCCAGCATGCACGTGTTGCTGGGTATGTGGCGGATTGCTGGGACGGTGTACTTGTTCTTAACGCCCGGTGAGGATTCGCCTGGGTCCAGGCCACTTTCTTCTTATTAGTAAAAGACCTCCGACGTTGTCATCGAACCTTAAGCCATGCAGATGGTTGTAGCTAGAACTCACAGTTCCTTCAGGGTAGGTTCGATGTCTGGGAATTCCACGAAGATAGTCGAATATGAGACCCCCTTGTAGTTCAGCATCAACCTGATGCGCCACACCACCGGGGAGAAACATTCATTCTTCTCAGATGCTAGGTCGTAGAGCACAATATCGGGCTGCGGACTTGTCATTATACCTCTAATTGGGATTGTTCGCGAATCGAGTTAAAGATTGGCGTTCTTGTGCCCGAAACCCTCGGACTCAAGTCGAGGTGGGGGGTGGTGCTAAATATAGGGCAGACAGGCTGTGGATTTATACCCCCACCATATCAGCCTCAGGGATCTGTCCAGGTGGAGATTAAGAGGTCTGGGCTTTCTACGCTGCGTACTGCTTCGACTCGCATGTCGATCTTCATATTACAAACGTTTCTACTGTTAGTCGGCGTCTTCATTTCATTTTATTACCATGATCACTTGCGGGCAAGGCGTCAAGTGTCTGATTGGTCTACCATACTGTCTACCACATCATCGGGGGCGCACTTGACCGAGATCCCGAATTCAAGGGGGGTTAAATAATTACACATAAAGAGCACAGGTCTGGCAGTCGGCGCAGCCGACGATTCACTAAATCATGAAACGACCGGATTTCGTTGCCATCGTGACCAGACATGATACATGGCGCGTTAAGGGGAATAGAACCAACACCGATTGTGCAAATGCTCCAGCTTTTTTCTGTTTCAGGGCAGCTCCCTAGATCGTCGGGTCCATAAAATGTACATCCGTGAAAGCGATCATCCGCTAAACCGGAATCGTGTTGCCTCCAGACGGCCGAGGCCATCACGAGGGGCGACATTACGTCGGCGGTAAGAGTTCGTGAAGTCTATATCTCGTTAGAAAACGATAGGTATAGTTGGAATAGGAGCACCCACCTTGAAGTAAGACGCGGATTTTCCGGATCTCGCCAGACTGAACTTTGTCGGAGACGTTCTTCAATAGACGCTCTGCTTCACCTGGTTTCATCGTTCCGGCTGGAAGCATCTGCAAGGTGTTCTGCAACCAGGCTCCAGTCTCCTGGGGCAGAAGATCGAACATGGTCATCATGACACCAGATGCGTCAGGGAAACAATCACTTGGGAACGTAAACATCATACCCGTCAGCACACGCTGTGCTAGGACTTGACCCTGTGACATAAGAAGGGCCTTGACAGCCTCCCGAACCTCAGGTGGGTTCGTGTAAGGCTCACCCTCCGGACTGACAAACTCAGAGACGGTGGGCTTTTCATAAGCAAAGCTGAACAGATCACGGTAATAATGTAGAGTGGCAATTATGGGGTCGGGTTGTTGAAGGGTAAGAGCACTGAGTGCAGCGGAAAATATGGGAACTGAAAGGGATGAGCCGATAGATTTTTTGGGGTAGAATCGGACGGCGTCTGCAGAAAGGCGGAAAAAGTCCTCGATAACTGCTTGAAATTAGCATATTTAAAAGGCCAAAAGAAAGCACAAACCATCGAACACAAAAATAAGAAAGATGGGATCGGTTGCAAAGGCATGGTGAGGAATGGGGGAGGGGCATTACCATCAGGCAAATTTTCCGGAGGAAGGTCGTTCAAAATCCGGAGAAAGGCGATAGCCTGCTGTTCATAGAATTGGAACACAGCGTCGCTTGTCGCCTGGTCCACATATTCCGCACCGTCGGAAAATTCACGCACAACGGCATCCGTTGCCCAGAGAAAGCAGCCCTCGCGGGATGCCTGGAAGCCATTTGCGATGCTTTCGGCTAGAGTAGGGAGTAGGGGAATCATAGCAGTCCGGTAGCAAATAATCATGTAGCGCCAGCACCGACAGACCCGCTCCTGGATAGGCGTAGAGGAGGTAAAGTTCATGACAATCGTGGTCATGATGGGCAAGATCTCGCCGCAGTATTTCACAGCAGGGTTCTCCTGGCGGGGGCAACAATAGGAGTCACCACCTGCACGAAGATAGTGATGAGCTGCAAGTGATCGGCCACCGCTCGTTGGCCGTCTTCATCTTTGGCGTTATTAGCAAGGTTCATGATCCGCTGCATAATTGGATCACAGAACATCTTGAATGAGTCATAGATCTTCTCCAGTGGTTGAACAGAAACCACCGCGGCAACACCCTCGGTCACCTCTTCTTGGCTGGCTGGCTTCAATTTGTCAAGCACAGACTCGAAAAAAGAATGGAGGTGATCGATATGGCCGCCGAGAAGTTTCTGGCAGTCAGTGCCAAGGAACTTGAACGCGAGCGCAGACGCCTGAACGACTTCTGGTGAGCTGTGGTTGAATCCTGAAATAACGTAGTTGAGCTGCGCCTCCAGTGTCTCGGGGTGGAGAGCAGTCCACTCGGTATAGCGAGCGAGAGCCATGATGGCTTGGAACCGGACCTTCTCCTGATCAGGGATCTGGACAATCAGGTTGACAAGTTCGCTCAACACGGTATTCTCTTCAGGATCCACCATACGACCCATGGCTCTAAGGCCAAAAAGAGGCGCCTCCAGTTCTTGCCAATGGGGGACGTGCTCATTGCTGGCTTGCGCCGCGTACTTCCCGACCCATTGCTGAATGATCTGGTAGATCTTACCAAGGCAATCGGTCACTCCGACGACAGCACAGCAATCCTTCAACACGTCGCCCATGTTATGACGGAATTGGCGGTACTTCTCTTCCTGCTCCCGGTCCCCGCCGAAAAGGTCAGTTTCGCCTTCCTCGGGGCTAGGGAGCTCAAGATGCTTGACCATAATGTCAAGCAGCTGTGAATATATATCTTGGAAGTTGATCCGCGCCTCTCCGTATCGCGGGAGCGTGATGTATTGCTTCAGTTCGTACCAAAACATGAATGTGAGAGATACAGCATCGCGCTCCCAGTCACGCGCAGCGCACTCAAGAACCGCCTCGACGAGACCTCGGAATTGAGCAGGCAGTCTTGCGATCAACACAGCCCACGCTTCGCCCGCCTCAGCAAACATTCTAGTGATTCCTTTGAAAGCTTCCGAGTCCTCTGCTTCGGCGGTTTCGACGATCTTCGGTCGCAGGGCCATCAGTCGGGGATAGAGGGCTTCGATGACGGGAAGGGATTCATTGACGTCTTTTGTGTCACGGTAAAGTGTGCACATACACTCCACGCCTGAGTCGAATGATACATCGTTATCCAATGCCTTCAGGATCACATCCATGAGGGGGGACTCGACAACTTTGGCGGCAGGAATTTCGCGTAGCCATGAAGTGATGCAATCCAGGAGGCGCGGGTTGGTAGCAGCCGTATCTTGCGAGATATTAGTATAATAATTTCACATCAATGCCTGGAGAAAGCCCAATATACATACCCGATGATTGAGCATACTGGATCAATAATTGCATGACATGCTCTGCGTTATCTTCCAGTAACTCTTTCGTTCTTTCGATTAAGTCATCCTCCTGTTTATCGTTAGTGCCGGACTCCACAAGAGGCATAGAGATCCCACCCACGCTAAGATTGATTTTGCGGCCTTCTGTCACTTCCTCCGGGAGGATCTTCAGGAATTCCAGAACACAATCCCCCGCACTGTTGCCCAAAGCAGACCCCACTGTCGCCAAAACATCCTTCCATGCCAGCATTTGGATCGCAAGACTTGCCAAGCACACACAAAGTTGAGTTTGAATGGGGCGCGGGCCTGGCGCAAATGCAACCAACAATCCCAATACTGAGTCACGAAGTCCTACGACAGACTCGGGAGGGAGTTGATCAAGGTCGAAAATGATCTAACAGAATATCAGCCACAATTCCCCTCCCAGTGTATCCTTTTCTCATCATATTCCTACCTTTCCCTTGAGTGTAGTCGCCGCGAACAGTTTGGCTTCGATCGGTACATCGGGTGACTGTAGAAGAGCATGTGTTGTTGTCCATGCCTCCAGCTAATGCGCCAATCGTTAACATGTCATCGAATTGAGCATCAGCGGAAATTCCTATTACATACTGACTTCTGGAATTTCTCTAGAAATTCATGAGCCTGGGTCTTCTCGGCCTTTGGCACATTCCCTTGCATGGTTGCGACGGCCGCCAGGACCGGGGCAAAAGCCTGCCCGCTATCCTTGCTGGCCATTTTGTGGATTAAGTAGACGATACCAGGCACAGCAATATTCGCAAACAAAAACGAAAAGAAAAGAAAAAGGTGAGGTGTAAGATAAAGGGGGCGGCAAGACGCGATAGTGGGAGGAGGAGATGGGAAGGTGGGATGGTTTGGCCCGTGACTAATCACGGGAACGCAGAGCTTGACCTGCTTGAAGATACACCGCGCTCGCGACGTGCACGCTTCGTTTCCCAACTTCGTTCTGCTTCACTCAACGCGACACAATGCCTCCTCGTAAGACTTTGTTGGCACCTATCCACTTTGTCTTCGGCCTTCTGCAGAGGCGCACGACTGTGGCTGTCTGGCTTTATGAGCAGCTTGGATTCCGCATTGAAGGCAAGATTCGTGTATGTGCCCAATCTCCCAAGCCACGTTTCGTGCTCGAACAATTACTTACGCAAAGTCCAGGGATTCGATGAGTTTATGAACCTGGTGCTCGATGACGCCGTTGAGGTGCGCCTCCCCACCAATGGGCAAGATGAGAAGCGGCGACCACTTGGTATGACATCCGATATAGCTCGCATCTTTGAGCTATTGCAAAGGACCTTGAATTTTTTTTTGAAAGCTAACTATCTTAATAGGCCAAGTCCTCCTGAAGGGCGACAACATATCCTTGATCCAAGCTGCATAATTCGTTCCATTCTTCGTTTCGTTCACCGGCGGTCAAGATATCGTCCATCGCCCACAATAATCGCGTCTATCAACCAGTCATGCGGCATGACTGGGACTTCCTCGACTATCTGCTCTTGGAGCGACAAAGCGACTGGCACCGGAGTTAGTTTGGGTTCAAAATAAAGGGGTTCTGTGTTGTATGGATTTTGAGATTTACCGAGAAATGGCATTTTGTTGCTCGAAGTCGCATATCGCGTTAGGAAATGATCATAATACCCCTTCCCATGGCCGAGTCTTCGGAATCTCTCATCGAAGGCCATTCCGGGCATCACAATCAGATCCAACCCTCCTTCCGTTAGACAATTGCGGCGACCAGGGAGCTGCCTAGGATGTAGAGATGGTATTCCCCACTTGTCGGATTGTAGAGCCTCCAACTCATCCGTAGATTCGAGAGCCAGCATGTCCATGATAGATGTTTTCTCGACCGTGTGAATATATGGGATGTATACTTTTTTACCACGCTCCAGTGCATCTCGGACTATCCCAGACGTTGAGAGCTCTCCGACCGGCATAGACAGATAGACCCCAATGCTTTTGGCATTTTGGTATTCGGGTAGAGACAGGAATTTGTTGGTTGCGACTCCGGCTTGATCATGGTCAATACGGACTGACTCATACAGCGGCCAGCCTGTCTAGTGTTCCTTTGATGAACGCGAACTTACATTGCTGAGCTATCGAGACCGGCGACAAGCCTTGGAAGACCTCGCGCAGGTGCTTGCGTAATTCGCGCTTTGCGGTTTGGAGAGCGGCCATGGTTGCTGAAGAGAACCCCGCGGGAAACGGGATCGCATTCCAGCCGATATGATAAGAGTGGACCGGTATGCTCCAAACAAGGGACCCAATGAAGGGGGTCAAGCAAGAGCCAACTCGGCGTCTGGCTCTGCTCTGGACACTTTGCCTCTAACAAGCATCATGGTTTGGATTTGGAGTTTGTTCGTGTCGGTAGTAGCCGCTACCAGCGCGCAGGACCTGGTCGGTACTTGGACTAGCAAGTCCAAGATGGTCTTGACAGGCCCGGTACGTTCGTTTCCCGGCTTATGATCAAAGTCGCTAATCCTGTCAGACCTTTTATGACCCTCTTGAAGACAAGTTTATAGAGCCTATCTTGCCTGGGATTTCCTACTCGTTTGATGCAAATGGTTACTACGAAGAAGCTTTCTACCGGGCATTGGCCAATCGTGAGTTTCCAGTGGATCCGTTATAGATGAAACTCTTAACACCACGCAGCATCGGACCCTTCCTGCCCTTCCGGTATTATGCAATGGCAACATGGATCTTATGTTGTTTTCCCGAATGGCTCTTTGAGCCTGCACCCTATTGCAGTGGATGGCCGGCAAATGCTCTCTGAACCATGCAGAGGAGATACTAGCCACTATACCCGATACAACAACACTGAGCATTTCAAGGTGAATCTCAGCATGAAGAGAAAATGGAAACATCCACTAATATCACATAGGGATACTCGGTCTCCATTGATAAGTATCATGGTGTGCGAAGACTGGATCTGACCATGGCAACCGGTGAGATCCAGATGCCTCTATACTTCGCCTACAAAGACCCTAAAATGCTACCCACCAATACCCTAAATCCGGTCCCGACAGGTCATAAGAAAAGAGAAATAGTTGGGCCTGTCCAACTGGCAATTAGGGAGGAACTGCTTAATCCAGACCGCTGGTGGTGGCTTGGGGTATTTATGACATCACTTGGTGGAATGGCTTTTTTCTTTTCCTCATAACTGCATTGGGCATGTAATTCGAAATTTTCGTGATACAATTTGAGTTAGGTTTGGCCTCTGTCACCGGGTTGAAACGGCATGAATGATTCTAGATGTCCCACCCCTGGTCGGGCTGTAACTACCTGGTATCAGTAGTTTATACCTTCTAGCCTATTTACTCCTAGTCAACCGTGACGACCAACAATGAAATATATATTAAGCTGTCAGTGCCGGGACGGTGTTCTTGATGCATCTAAGCATCAATCTTTTTTCATGGTCCGCTTCAAAGATCAATAAGTACTCAAATATTATACATTCCTTGAATGGAGACCTTGTCTATAGTACACTGGACATATTGTAGAGGCGCACCCAAAGCTTAAACAATCGCTTTCTTAACCAGACCAGCAACCTCTTTGCGATCCGCGGGCTTGCCATCTAAAGCCCCACCAGGAGCGAAAAGCGCTTTGAGGACTTGGCCTGCATCTAATTTGGTGCCTGCCTCTTTGATTGCTGCAACCTGCTGCTTGATGATAGCTTCCACTTCCTCCGCTGACAGGGTCTTGACTTGACTCGCGTACTCTTCCAGGATTGCGATTTGCTCATCCTCCTTCTGCTTCAGGTCTGGTCGCTCTGCCGCAGCGAATTGGTCAGCAGCATCTTGCGCAGCTGCAGCGCGTTTCCGGATAAGTGACAGAAGTTGAATGTCGGTCTGGATGGGGGATGCAGTTTTGGCAGCGTTATTTGTTTCAGAGATCAATGCGCGAAGGACATTAAGGCTAGCAGAAATTAGCTGTCATTTCACGAGAAACCAAATTGTTGCCCTACCGAGCCGTGTCCTTGGCTCTCATTGCGGTCTTCAGATCGGTGCGCAGCGTAGCCATCAAAGGCGGAACTGCGCTGGAGTTCCATCGCACTTGGATTGGTCGCACAGCGCCAAGGGAGCGTAGCGTCGACCGCACTGGTAGTGTGGCAGAAAACATTTTCGTGGGAATTGGGGGAACTCAAGTGAACGAGAGAGTTTGGATTCTGAAACGAACCTGGAGCTTACAGAAGGCGGACACATAAAGTGGTCCGTGCGCGTGAACCTGGAATTGTTGATCTCGTTCCCATTCTGATTTCTGCTCCATCTCGAGCTACCTTCGCCTGCAACCCCCGCTCCTTGGACCTTCTTGTTCCCTCTTACTGCTGCCAATTCCTTCTTCGTCCAGCTTTGGGGAGCCTCTCCTCCCCCAGCTGATCGCCCATCATGGCGTACCCCATTCTTCCTACAGCCTCAGCGACACCGCAAAGACCTTTACCTGGGGCTTTCTTGCAAACTCCTGCTGTCCGAGCGACAACGACTCAGCAGCCAGCTCAGCCTGTGATACCCACTACCCAGCAGACGGCCACTATCCCCACAGCATCAGCAGCGACAATCCAAAAACCCACCTTGACCACCGAGGAACGCGGCGCGCAGACTATCCGAAACACATTGGCTCAAGAATCGCGATATCCTGATCTTGACAGCCTCCTCTCGCGTATGCCGCGCAACAATTGTCCCGCCCTTCCCACTTCCGTATGCTAACAGACATCAATCTACAGAAGGATTCTCCTCCGAGTATGACATGCCTTCCGAAACCGCAGCGGCGTGGATGCCGTTCCAGAAAGGCAAAACGTACAGCATTCCCGACCAGATATTTGATCAGTATGATCATGCGCAAGTACAAACTAGCATGGGATTATTTGCGGAGCTGAATCACGCATGGGTGTCCATAGACAACGCGTTGTATCTGTGGGATTTTACCCACCCAAATCCCCAATTGGTGGGATTTGAAGACCAACCCAACACTATCAATACTGTGAAACTAGTCAAGCCACGTGCTGGGGTGTTCCTACCTGCTATCACCCATCTGCTGGTTGTCGCGACCACGGCCGATATCATCATTCTCGGGATGGGCGTCGAGACTACTCCTTCTGGCTCACCACAAATCGAATTGTACCGTACAGGAATGACAGTCCCGGTCAAGGGCCTGGACGTCCAAGTCATTACATCGTCTGATTCAACCGGTCGCATTTTCTTCGGTGGCTATTATGACAATCATGTCCACGAGTTGACATATCAAACGGAGGAGCGATGGTTCCAAGGCCGATGTGGAAAAGTTAACCACACCAGCTCCCGCTTCTCTGCTTTTGCGCCCTCGCTCAGCTTCACCAACCTATCTGCTCACGCCACCGAGCATGTTGAGCAAATGGTGGTAGACGACAGCCGCAAGCTGTTGTACACCTTGTCATCTATTTCTTCCATTCGGGTATTCCACATGAAACCTGATGGGTCTCTCTCTCGCCATCACCAAGCATGCTGTCGATATCTATTCAAATATCGGCCACATCATTGCATCTAATGAAACTTTGAATCATCGTGTGAAAATCATTTCGATCAGTCCCGTGCCTGCAGCTGAAGCTTCTCGCTATCATTTGGTTGCAACCACCGCCACTGGCTACCGCATCTATCTGAGTGCTACTGGTTCTTACAGCTGGTCTCCTGCGCCCTTAGGCACAAATGCCCCGACGAGCATGCAAGCCCAGCACGTCAAGACCCCGCCCTTGATGAATCCTCCCAGTTTTGGGCCAAATGTCCCGCCCCCAACCGATAGATCTGCTGTGCATTTCTTGAACCCAACACACATGGCCACTCGTTTCCCTCCCGGCTACTTCTTTTGTTTCTTCTGTCAGGACCCTTCGCAGAAAGAAGACAAAGTGTTTCTTTCAGCCCCCAACCCGGGTCGAATCGTCAAGTCCCAAGAGAACGTGATATCTAACAAAACAGCCGAGACTGGAATGGTGCTGCGATTGGGATCTCGCGTTCAAGACTACGGCCTTTGTTCGGGTCCCGTGGCAGATTCCCCTGGTTTTGGCAACGAATTGGCCATTCAATTCGACCAACCTTCTGCTGAAATCGCCATTCTCACCAATACGGGTATTCAAATGATCCGTCGGCGCCGTCTTGTGGATATTTTCGCAGAACTTGTTCGTGGAGGGTCTGCTGGCGAAGAAGGTTTGGACGGAGAGGTGAAAAATCTGATCCGTACCTACGGCCGGCCCGAGACTTTGACTACTGCGCTTACAGTTGCCTGTGGACAGGGCGTTGAGGTGGCCTCCGATCACCGTCTGACGCCTATTAACGACCCTGATATCCTGGAGTTTGCGCGCAAGGTGTTCACTCGATATGGCGGACGGCCCAAAGCAAGCGATGATATTGTGGCGGACAACCTCAATGCTATTGACGCCGTGGATCCCTCTCCTCGACACACCAGTATTGCGCTCTATATCTCCCGCCACCTGCGTTCGATCTGGAACAAGCAGATCGTCAACGTTGGCACAGCACCCACAGGTCCAACCGCCACGGTTACGGTCCCTGCTGCTAAATTGCAGAGCATTCAGCAAGCCCTCTCGGCCTTGAAAGAATTCTTCCACGCCAACAAGTCTTTCATCTCCGGTCTCAGTGGTCCTGAAGCGCTTAGCCGAGTTTCCACCAAGTCGGAAGAAATTGCATTGCAAGCTGAGCATCGTGCGCTTCACTCTCTTGTCCAGCTTGTCTCTCATACCATTGAAGGTATCTCGTTCGTATTGGTCCTTGCTGAGGAGCGATTGGAAGAGATTATTGCTACCCTCCCCGCGGAGTCAAAACAAAAATTCTTGAACCTGACTTTCGCTGAGCTGTTCAGCACCGGGAACGGCCATGACATCGCCAAGGAGCTGGTCAAAGGTGTGGTGAGCTGCAACATCGCTCGTGGCTCTAACGTCGAAACGGTTGCGCAGGCGCTGCGCCGTCGATGCGGCAGCTTCTGTAGTCCTGAGGACGTCGTGATCTTCCGGGCGCAGGAGCAGCTCAAGCGTGCTACGGAGGCCGGTGCCAATACTGAGCTGGGCCGAAACCTTTTAAACGAAAGCTTGGCGTTGTTTATGCAGGTAGCAGACTCGCTCCCGATGGATTACTTGGTTGCAGCAGTCGACAGTTACATCGGTAACCAGTTCTTCGCAGGTATCTTATCTTTTCCTCTGTACTCTATTTCCCCCCCAGCCGCTAATCATATTTGACAGGAGCAATCCAATTATCTCTTAATGTAGCAGGTCACTCGGATAAAGCAAACAAGGCTCTTTCCTGGATTATGGATGGCCGCCCCGAACAGGTACCAATGCCCCGAGCTCTCCCGTCCCGGCAGCAGCTAATTATAACCAGGACCCCCGCAAGGCCCACTTCGATTTCCGTAAGCAGTGCTACGATCTAGTGAGCAAGGTTGTGGTCGCTGTCGATGCGCTGGCCGGCTCGGACCCGGGCATGATCGATGGCCAACCGACTGTGATCGCCAAGCGTCAACTTGAGGCGTACACGGTCATTTCTCAGTCTACCGATGAGGTGTTCCTGACCAGTCTCTACGATTGGTACCTTGAGGAAGGCTGGAGCGAGCGCTTGCTGCAGACGCAATCGCCCTTTGTCGTTACGTACCTGGAACGCAAGTCGAATGACAATATCGCCCACGCCGATCTGCTCTGGCGGTTCTTTGCACAGTCACAGCGGTTCTTCGATGCGGCCAAGGTGCAGTATCAGCTTGCCCAGAGTGCATTCAACCTTGGGCTCAGCCCGCGTATTGAGTACCTGGGGCGCGCCCGGGCCAACGCCTCGATCTACACACCGGACGTGGGCCGCCAGGCTCGCCAGCGCTTACTACAAGAAATTTCCGCCCTTATCGACGTGGCCAACGTGCAAGATGATATTTACCAAAAAATCAAAGATGACGATCGGATCAACCCAGCTCGGAAAGCCGAGGTCCTGCAGGAGCTGGACGGGCCCGTGTTAGATATCAGCACCGTGAGTAGTTTACCCATCGACCCGACCAACCCCCCCCCGGGGGGTCAGCCACTTTTCTGCAACCTCTTATCTAACCACACCTGCAGCTCTTCAACCAATACGCCGATTCAGCCAGCTACTATGACATCTGCCTGCAGATTTTCTACCTGGCCGACCACCGCAATGCCGCCGACATTAAGGCCACCTGGCACCACTTGATTGAGGATTTGCACGAAGCAACCGTCGCCCGTGGCTCCCCCGAGCCATACGAAGCGGTGATCGACAAGGTGCGTAGTCTTGGCAGTCGTCTCCGGATGTCGGAGACCGTGGTTCCCGTCCGCGAGCTAGTGCCGATGCTCGAGCGGTATTCCCTGGAGCACCAACGCGCCATCGTCCCGCCCACTGGGTAGTTGATCTGTTCCTAGAACTCGGCGTCGCTCACGAATCGCTCTATGCCGTGCTGGAGGCCATGTTCTACACTGACGAGGCTCCATTCCACGGCAGCAACCGTCGCTTTATCGCCGTGGATCTGATCCATCTGCTGAACAACTGGTTTTACGAGAGTATGCGGATGGGTGGAATGGTGTTTGGCTCGGATGTTGTTGCCGAACGTGTGCTGGAGACCCTCGGGCTGGTGCAGACAGGCCAGGGGACCCCCCCCGGACGTTCTGGAGGCGTGTGGAGATCTGCGCCGAAGGGTCGAGGAGCTGCTGCGCTGATTGCGCAATCATGTCATGGAGATTTTGCGTCACGTCATCTATTCTTGTACTCTTAGTCCCAGGCGTTTCTTTTTTCTCTGGGATGGTAATGAAGGTTTGCATTTCAAGGATTCTTTTTTTCTTTGGTCCATTCTAAGCTTCAGCTTCTACCTTTTTTTCCCCCGCTTCCTATCGACATGATCCACACAGCAAGTGGCAGAAGGAAATCCGCAAGCTCAAGAAGAGAAAAGTAGGAGAGAAAATAAAGTTAATTGAACCCTAGTAAATCCATCGCATTAGGGGGTACTTGTACTAGTTATTACCGAAACAACGCAGTCTAAACCGAAACACCCCCCGCTTTTCTTTTGAAAAACAACCATTCTATCGCAAAAATGCACCCATTACTCAAACTCGTCGTACACCGGAATCGGCTTCTCGCCCAGCGCGATCAGCCGGAAAATGTGCCTTGGCTTCGCCCCGAACTCCTCATCCAGATAGTCTACAATTGCCGAGTCTGCAAAACAATTAGCAATGAGATTTTTCTCCCCTGCGCCCCTAATTGATGAAGAAAGTGCGCAAAGTAAAAAAGACCAAAAAAAAAAAAGGGAGTGAAACTCACGAGTAGTAGCCCGGTTATCAAACATCACAATCGTCTTCGGTTGCCAGCGTACGCGGGCCTGGAAATCATGCCCCGTCACGATGTGGTTCATCAAAAAGTCCAGCAACCACTTCGTCTCGGGCTCCTTCATGCCCTGGACCTTGGTAATAAACTCCGCATTGACAAACAGACACTTCTCCCCCGTGACCGGGTGCACCCGCACCAGCGGATGCACCGTATCGACGGGGTCCTTGCGCACCAACCCACCCGTCAGCCGGGTGTGGTTGATCATCTTTGCGCTGGTATGCACCGTCTTCAGCGTATCCAGGAAGGCGCGCAGCGTCGGCGAGAGGCGCTTGTAGGCCATGTCGGTGGCGGCGAAGACGGTGTCGCCGCCTACGTCCGGGCCCTGGAGCAGGCCCAGCATGACGTAGCCCGGCGGCTGGATCTCATAGCTGACATCCTGGTGCCAGAGGGTGGTGGTGGTGCGGGCTTCGAGGAAGCGGGCGATCTCGTCGCGGTTGCCGTCGCGGTGAATGACGTGGAAAGCTGGGTGGTTGCGCACTGTGCCTGAGACGGGCTGGTAATTGGGTTTGCCAAAGTAGCGCATGAATGATTCTTGGGCGGCGGGGCCGTCGTCGATCAGGTCTTGGTTCGGGAAAGCGAGGACCTTGCGCTCCGAGATCAGGAGGGCGAGCTCGTCCTTTTGGACATTTGTGAGTTGGTTGAGTTGCAGCCCTTCGACGACGGAGCCGATGGAGGGCTGGATGTGGTTGACTGTCACTCCGTCGTGGAGAAGATTGGGTTTGGCTGGGTCGGCGCGCAGGCCGGGGTCCACGTAGTCGTGGTATGGGAGCGGGTCGAACCAGACGGGGTCCCACGTGGGGAGGTACTCCGGGTAGGGAGTGTTGGTTTTGGAGAGCTTGTCGACATCCACGTATGGGATGTTGATGTCATAACTGATGGGAGCTTCGGGCTTGTGCGTGTTGTTCGCCTTAGGGCGTAGGGGGACGGAGGAAGGCATTATGAACTGCTTTTCCCCCTTTTTTTTTTTTTTGTCCCGCAGGGGATTTGCTCCAGTTGACTTTATAGGAATTGCTAGGAAAGGAAGCAATTGCCACTAGAAAGCGTGGAGCGGGTGCTCTTGATGTTATAGTTCTGGAACACAGGAACCACTGATTGATAAGAAGGAAAAAGCAAAGAAAAGAAAACACGCTATGAAGCTCGGCATTTATATACCTCACAACGGATCGTAGACAGAAGTGGGACGAGATGCGATCTGCAGCTTCGGACGCTAGAGCTTTCCTCTCTTCGCAAAGACTCGCCAGACAAGCGGTCAGGCCAGCAATCAAAAGGGTCCCCCCGGTGGATTCCGATAGCATTACGACTACACCGCTAGGAAAGTTTCATTCAGGGCCAGCAAGTGGGAACGGCAACCAGGGACAAAGGGGGAGGGGGGAAAACGAACACATCAGAGATTAGGGGGAGCTTCCGAGCCTCGGCGTCAGAGACCGTTTCTCGATAAGGCAAGATGCGGGCAGGATCCCAATTGCATTATCTGCCGCCATCAGTGCAGAGTGGGGAGGGGACAGGTGCTGAGCAACGTATACGTATCTCAAACTCCTGGGAAAATTGTCCCATCATCCCGGAACCTCTTGCTCCACCCCTCCGGGTTGGTTCCTATCCATTGGCCCAAACATGCGGTCTGCACATCCCACTGGGTTGGCTAAGATAGAGGGTTCGGGCACCAGGACCCCGAATGTACTGCCGAATGCATGCATCCTGTACATCTACCTGATTCCGAGTGGTGGGCGTAGAATCATGGATTAGGGCATGGATAAGCTGGACTCCCTGGGAGCCATGGACTGGACTGGGCCTCGACACAACTCGGAAGCTGAATTTTCAGCCCGGCTCCGGGTGCCAAAATAAAGCCTCCACTCTGCAGCCGGGGTAAGGAAAGCTACACCAAACAGGAAACGGCAACAATCAGGGAGAAAAAAGGGGACGAACCGGAATTCTCCCGGCTATCAATGCGTGGGGCAAACGTACGAGCGTCCTATAGTTCTGAAGTGGCGTGAGAAGCCTCTCACAGGATACTCCCGACCAGCCCCATCCCCGTCGAGAGTCGAATTGGTCGTTCCAAACTCTGAAGCGTCTTGCTGGCCCGTGGTCCGCTCCGATATAGGACCCCTCTTCATGACCCTGGTCTTCGCTGCGTCATTCAGGGGACGAACGCTCCCACGCCTCGTGTGATTTGCTCAAGTGGATCTCTGGATCTCGGTCCTTCTTTCCACGGTTGGGAGAAGGTCCGGCCTGGGGGTCCCCAGAGCCATCTCACGGGTTTGGCTTGGGGTCAAATGTGCTCGTTGTTTTGTTCCCCCTCCTGATGCCATCCGATGTCACCCTGAAACCGCTATAGAACAGCTCTATAGTAGTGGAGAGCTCCACTGAGCTTAAATCGCCCGAGGAGAAAAAGCAAACATGGCCCCGGCGATCGCCCCGCTGTCACCTGACTTGAGGCTTTACCGCTGGGATTTCATCACGTTCCCCACAGGATCTGACAGTGGATGAGATTCATACTGAGGAGGTGGCAGAAGCTGTTCCGTCATTGATCACTAAACATGTCTTTGGTCTGACTTTCCACGAATCAAGAAGCCCCGGCCCCGAGGTGCAGAATGCCGGGAAGTGCTCCTGCAGGTCCGATCTACGAGTCATAATGCCGAGGCGGTGTACTTTGCAATCTCGGCGCTTATTGCCAACAAGACTGAAGATAAGCCTTTTCCAACTCCTCCATAGTTGGAGGTCTTTCCTGCGGATCGCATGGCTTCCCCCCTTCCCTTCCCCCGCCCGGGGGGCACCCGTTAGGTTCTGAATTAGATGCGATGATATCACCCATATCTCGCTCTCCGCATCCCCAGGACCTTTCACTCGTTCCCCCACGATGGACCCCGATATTGCCACACATCGTGCGCCCTTCGAAGAATGTGCATGACTGGTGCCATTAGTGCTGTGATGGCCAAAATGGCATATCTCATACTTGCAGCAATGACGAGAACCGCGCCGGGAGCCTCGGCCGGAGATTAGCCAACACCACAGCGGCTGCAGGTGTAAGAGCAGCACTATACAGCACATTCCCCCCTCATGCAGCCCGAACTGTAATTTCTATACAGAAGATTCTTCAGGCCACGGTGCAGTGATAGACCGCTGCATCTTCGGGCCGGCCTCGGCTCGTACTAGTGTCGCTGTCCTTAAAGGACGAAGTATCAAAGGCCAAACCCGCAGCTAACACCACTGATAGTAACGAATGAGAGCACCTGATAACGTCTCTAGCTTCGGAAATATGCAGATGCATGCTATCAAGGTTGGCATTGCTGGAGGTCCGTGCAGACTTTGCGCATAAAAATGTGACAACAACGCTAGATTAGCCATACCGATGAAACTGATAAGGCTGTGTATTCACTCCAGAAGTGGGAAAATCCAATTTGTCTTACAGGCGGTGACATCGCCCCTGGTTATCGACCAACCATCGCAGTCGGCCCTATTCGTCACTAGAACGTGAAACAGCGGCAGCCCCTGTCCATTAAATGCCTTGGCCGTAAGCAAATGAAGTACGTTTCTTTCAATCTCAGAATCCAATTCAAATGATAGACATAGGTGATTTCGGATCAGGGGCTGCCGCCTTGCTTATGGCAACAGTTGTCGGCCCCGCCGGAATACCTCCAACTCAAAAATTAGACACGATCAGGAAGTGGATCAGTAGGGGCGGCTACATCGTATGATCCTGAATCCTCATACACTGTGTCACAGCACTACCGGTAACTCGCAAGATACATCTGACCTGGCTCTACATTCTGGACATTGGCAAAATATCTTCTAGTATTAAACGTTCCAAATCTGGGTCCAAATGGTCTTGAGAGTAGCGCTGACCACCAGTATATCAGTTCCCCCAACATGATCTGCCATGGAGGTTCTGCGCAACTCTGCGATGCCTGTCTTCTAGATCGGAACAACACATGACCCGTGGACCCGTTATCTTATCTAATCGCGCGTGCCAGATCCATAGATCCGTTGATCGCGCGCCACGCGCATTTTGCTAGCTCCAGGCCCAGTACTCACCCAGCACCATCACCATGTTCCCCTCTCGCAAGCGCGATTGCGCCTACCTGTTCTTCTTCCTCACCCACATCCCAATCATCTACCTGATCGACACCGTCCCCCTGCAGCCCGCCTGGCTACAGAGCTCCCTTTCACCGCCAATCCGCGCGTTCTATGTCAACACGTACCGCGACAAGTTCTTCGAGGCGGCTCCTGTCTGGTTTCAGTCGTTTATGTGGATGGAACTGCTATACCATGTCCCCTTGAGTCTCTGGGCCGTGTGGGCCTTGATGAAAGGTGAGCAGCGAGTTGTCACGATTACTCTTTTTCTTTTTTTTTTTTTTTTTCAGGAGGGCCCCGTGTGCTAATACTGGCAGATCATCCTTTTGTGCCCGTGCATCTCCTCGGATTTGGTGTCCAGGTGGTTGTGACCACTATTGCGTGCTTGGCGACAGTTTGGTCTTGGGAGGATCGGACGGTGGAAGAAAAAACGAGTCTCACGAGTCTGTACGGACCTTATATCGCTCTCGGTAGGTACAATGGGGGGAAGTCTTTTGTGGGCAGTGGACGCAGCTGATACAAGACCAGGAGCTGGAATGGCGATTGATATGGCGCTGAGACTCCAATCGCAGCTGTCTCCTAAGTCGAAGCGGGAGTAGGAAAATAGGGGGGGGGGGGATATTCACCTCGGGTTCTAGATCCCGTCCTAAGTCGCTTGGATGCAGAGACTGCTGTGCATTTCTTTTCCCCTTCGGTTGAGGATATCGAGGAAACTACTAATCGTACAAACTCGTGTCGTTTATGGTAAGATAAGCCAATGACGCTAAATACAACACCCCAACGCCGCACATGCGAACATGTCTGCCTAGATCAAGAATCCGATTGCTCCGTCCAGATCTCCGTTGGCTGCGTCCAGCGCCCGCACCGCTTCTTCCCGCGTGAAGCCTAGTTCGGTAATCCTAGCAATAGAGTCTTGCGGCCACCGGGATGACGGGGCTGGGGGGTTAGCAGGCCGGATGTTGATCTTCGGCGCCGGCGCAGTATTGCTGCTGGACGCGGCTCCAGAGCCTTCTGCTTGGTGCGTTACAGCGCCCGTTCGGGCACCGATCTCCGCCCCATCGGGTCCCTTGACCGTTGGCTCATCCTCAAACTCGTCTGTCAGATGCTTGGGGATATCGGCCTCGCCCAAAAATGGGACGGCCTGGTCCTGGATCACGAGCGCGCCGCGCCGAAGGTCGATACAGGCTTGGTGTCGTCGTAACATGTCAAGCCCCAGCAGCAGATCGATCTGCTTGCCTTCCATCACGGTAAACGAACAGGGCAGGAACATCTCGCCGATCTTGATCTGTGCACTGTGTACACGGCCCAGGATCGGCGCGGTGCCAACACCCTTGGCGATACCGCCGTAACGTCGATCTACCAGTCGCATGATGTTGCAAGCTGTCGCGCACTCGGGGGACATGATTGTGACCTGGGCGCCGGAATCGACGAAGGCGTTCAGCCGGTGCCCGTTGACTTCGACGGGGATGTAGAGCATTGTCACGCGGCCAAAAGCTGTGGAAAGGGAATGATTAACGATCGTTTACTTGGGAGAAATGAGCAGCGGGAGACCGGTAGAGGATCGTAACTTACATTCGGGGTGGTGCTCCATGGCATTATGCAAGTTCTCGGTGACAGCATTCTGGCGAATAATCTCTTCGATCTCACGTTGGTTATCAGGATTAAACGGATCAGAGTTAAGCATGGCAATGCGGGCTTCTTTCTGCGCCTTCTCTTGCGCCTCCCTATTCTGCTGAGAAAACAGCACCTCGCGGAATCGTTGAGGATTATCGGCAGCCTCTGACAAATCGGGGTTCTGACGACGCACGGCCTCACGCACCCGCGGGTCACCGAGGATGTGTAGACGGATAGTCTCTGGGTCTGGCATGCCCGCCGGGTTGGGGCGAGAGGGACCGGAGCTAGGACCGGCTACAGGGGCGGAGGATTGTTGTTGCTGAGGGCCACCGGGAGCCACGTAAATCATATCGCCCTCAACGATGCCCACCTGGTCCAGTGTTTGTGCGGGGTTATGGAGGAGCTGGTTGTTGTATACAAGCTGTTGCGCTTCCGGGGCCAGGTTTGTCTCGCTTTCGATGATAGCTTTCAGCAGCTCGAGGTTCATGTCGCCGCCGACTTCTAGGTTGATGATGTCGGACTCGGCGTCATGGCGGATGACGCTAACTGTGATACGCCTGAGACGGATTAGTTAGGTCCCTTTGGAGTATGCGGGGGGAAAGGGGAGGGGAACTTTGACTAACATCTCTGAAGAAGGCCAAGGAATGGGCGTAGGGGAGAATAAGGAGGAAGGAGAGAAAAGCGAGGACGGAAAGGGACCCAAGCTTAAAAGGAAGCGCTTAGCAATAATCGCAAATGGTCGAAGCAGGAAGAAGTGGAGGGACGGGAACTTAGGCTCCCTCCTTACTTACGCCGCAACGCGCGAAACTTCCTGCTCCACAGCATTGTGCCACCCCTAAGCGACCCTACATACGCGTAGTGCTCGTTTTGGCTGCGGTAACTGAGAACGACCCTCTGTACTTATGCGTTTGCTGTACGTCCCAGGCTGACGCAGGTCCGCGGTGGATCCGAACTCCCCGCAATTAGCTCCGCGATCGCGACATAGACGAGCTCCGGTATGAGGGGGGGAGGGGGGAGGGGGGGGAGGGGTGTCAATCTTTCCGACCTCTGTGATCTTATACCCAGCGTCAAGTTTGGATTGCTCCTATATGATCCAGTCTTTGTGACTTGTAGCTTTGGGAGGTTCTTGTTCACATGTCTCGTATAGCCTCTCTGCGGCTCGTGGTACCACCTCGACCTCCCCCTCAGAAAGTACCAAAGGCCTTTAGTGAACCTCTGAACCGGGTTTGCTCGGATCCATCACCGCCAGTGGATACCATAAGTCTCCCTTGACTGGGCCCCGAGGTCACCAAATTCCCACTGTGGATTGCTAGACTGATAACTAGCAGCGCGGCACGACGCAGGCCCCTCCGCGCTACCTCCGCACTACTGCACCTTGTGTCAGAGCACCTTCGTCGTCAACATAAAGCCTATCATAGCTGCGGGAATTTCCCGTCCCGAATGCATTGACAGCCGCGGTGGATGTCGTGGTTGGATTTAGTGCCATGACACTTATTCTCACCACACCGGAAGCTACTTCCTCCACCTAAAGACAGTGGTGACTGACGCTGAAGTTGGCGCTGAGGCAGGACCGGTAGTTACACTGTTTCCTGCAGCTGGCCTATTTGATATCATCATCAGCGTTGTGTCCTAACTTGAAGGAGCAACCCCCTCTTTATGATTACTGCAGTCGGCCGAATTTGTTAGGTCAAAGTACATCTTTATTCAAGTCAGCGAGACTCGAGAATAATCAGCAACTCGACTGAGACACGCATGATTGAATGCTAGTGTACCCCGAGTCCCCCCGCGCCCCTCTCCATATGTGCTTTGATAACCCCGACGAAAGGGGTTTTCACCAGCGAGACACCACACGGCGTGGCTCAGCCTGTAAGTCGATCCGTCTTCTCTTCCAGGGTTTGATCTGTCGTAGTTGTATACATATATGTCTCATTTTACCCTCATGTGCGTGCATACGGGATACGGGATATTCTGCAGCAGCTTCTCTTTCGGCAGTGATTATTTCCTCGTATATACCGCTGTGCCTTTATTGCCGATAGCCCACCTTGGCGAGCCCCGCACTTTTGTTCTTCGACTGGAATACAGGCAACCCCATGAGGCCAAATAAGGCCTGCCCGCTAGTTTAAAGCCGGATTACCTTCCACCATACAGGTTGACTGCCGTGAGTATCCTCGGCATGCCGCGATCCTCGCATCCCGAGTTTGAAGGGGGATCGGTATGTATGCCGTCTCGATCAATGCACGATTTTCTTGTTTCATAACTTCATTGAGCTATTGTCCCAAGTGCCAGTAGTCCATGCTGGTAGTCCGGCGGGGAGAAATTTTGGGGCCCGTCTGGCACGCTTTCTAGTGTAACGGTAAGCCATGGAAACTTGCAATATAGTATTGTACTCGAGTGATCTTGAACGAAATATAGCATTTGAAATATGCTGCGCGGCTGACACTCCGCCTAGCATGAGGAGAGACTAGCCCTAGTATAGGGAGTCCAAGCAGTAGTCTCTACACAATTTATTCCCCATCTATCGAAAGCAGATCTGACCAGCCTATCTCTCCACTCTAGTTTCTGACAACTGACGCAGATCCTCCGGGATCCTTTAGCTTGAACCTAGCCGCGAACGGATTCGGATCCGTATTCTGATTCAAGTTCCCAAGTGTATGATTCACATCAGCATGATTAGCCTCATCGGCGCGAATATAGAGCAGGAGTGAGCGCATACACCGCTGTCCCTCGGGCATTTGCCAGTATCGGACCGCCATACTAGGCGCTTGTAACTTCTCCCACCCCGGAAGGTACCCGTTGTCCAAGTCATTGATCGCCTTTGTATACGTAATGACGGCCTCTTCTTCCAGATAGCCTACAAAGCGGTGGCAGATCTGCGGGGAGACCAGGTATGCAAACGAGAACCCGCCAAAGAATATCCACTGTGCGCCGAGGACCATGATCCGCATCATGGGCCCTGGCTGGGCGAGTTTGAGGAAGGTTAAAAGGTGCATTCTTTCGTTGTAGGCTTCTTCGAGAAGGGTCTCTATCCTATATTGAGAATACATTAGCAAGGTCCACACTTCACCATCCGACGGTGCATACCATCCGTGGTCTCTTCTGAATGCCCGAATGCTCTTCAGGTGCCGGAGCATACCTGCAACCATGCCTGGTACACCCGCGACACTCTCGAGGAAGATGAATCGAGTTATCCACTTCTCTTCGGTCATTATGCTCCTTAGCGATGTATTCTTATGGCCCGAGTTTGCCCGATATCCTGTCACTAGATCCATGCCCCAGCGCAAGAACCGAACTGTTCCAAGGGCTACCCCATCTTGCCAATTCTTCGTTTGTCGGTGTGACGGTTTGATGGCCAGAATCTGCTCCGTGGTATGTCTATGAAGATTCAATTTTAAAACAAGTATTTACAATGGTAGATGGTGATTACTTACATTGGATGCGTCCATGAAGCTTTGCGCGGTGCCTCTGTTGTATGGCATCGCGATGGAACGGAAATAACAGGTTTCGGAGCATAAGCTCTAAGAACCTGGGCTTGAGATACACGAATGCGGGTGATTGAATGAGCCATGGTGTCCCCCCAGCAGGGTATAGGGATTCACAAGAATGCTTCTTCAACAGGGTGGACGATCCCAATTTATAGACTTCCGAAGGTTGATGTGCCCGCTCGTACACTGCATCGCTGCGTACTCCAGAAGTACTGACGTAAGTGAACCCATCAATCAGCTGTCAGCCTTATCACGTCAATTCTGAATTCTTGAGAAAAGCCTCGGTGTATTCGTGTGCTCTCTTGGACGGCGCACAGCCCACATGAAGCTCACGGGTGCCCACCCGGCTCACCCCGACCCCACCCGAAGATATACGAGAGACCACGCTTAAAATCAACAGTATCATGGATATTTCACGCGCATCTTCTTCGCTCGGCTTCGGTGAAATGAAGTGTCGGAACGTACAGGGTAGGTTGGGACAATGGAGGTGTTGGAGCATGACCCGTAGTGCACCAGCTTCCCGGGAACCCGCTCCGATATGGAAAAATGACAACAATGTGAGTTCTCAACGTGAAAAAAAAAGTATCTATTATGTATCTTATACTTTCAAGAACGCCTATATGGTACATTAAATGCGTGTTTTCAAACATTTCCCTCATGAATCTTCGCTCCGAAGACTTGCTCTTCGTATTCGCCACACAAGTCTTGCCATGGCAGCCACCCACCGTCGATATCGGCCCATGCTCCGTAAGCCTCAATGCCGGTCTGATGAGAGTCTTTCGGAAGGGTACGAGCGGGCTTCCAGGTTCGCCCATTCGAAATAGCGATAGTCTTCTCTTCCTTGAGAGACTTGACCCCCGCCTCGAATAGAGGCCGGACCCATGGGTAGAACCATAGCTTACTCCATAGATCATCGATATAGCCCTTTTCGCCAATACAGTGGAACATTCCATATACATGCTTGGTGACCAGGTTGGTGTGCAACTGGATCGCCGTGATATCAGGCAGATCCGAAACGGACGAAGAGATGGAATCCAGGAGACGTCGAATCGCGTCAGCCAGACTCAACGGCAGCATGATCTTGAATGGCCTGAAAGTCGGCGAATTGCCGACGTTCTTGTCAACCCAGGCGTAATGCCCGTGCTCGTTCGTCTCATTAAAGCGGAGGAACTCGAGGACATGTTCCGAGCCCACCCGCGTCTGGAACAAACTCGATCGGTGGTCGACACCCATGTGATACTCGAAATGTTCAGGCTCAGTAGTCGGAATCATCCGTTTGCCCGGAGGAACCACCTCACTAGCGTCGACATCCCCATGGAAATATAGCTGGCGCGCCTTGACGCTGCGCCAGTACTCCTGGTACCCCCAGAGGTTGCTCAGATACTTCTGGTCCGAGTCGCTGAATTCCTGACCCGCGTCATACGTCTTATTGATCAATTCCACCGTAGCCCGAAACATGCGGCGCATGTCGCCTACCGGGCCCATGATGGTGCCGGAATTGAGCCAGCGGGGTGGGTTGTTGTCGAAGCCACCGTCGGGCTTCCCGCCGTAAGCGCCTATGGGCAGGTCGATGTCGCTGGGGGCAGCCCAGCAGCCGATGCGAGTGTCATCGACCGGGTAGCAGATTTTCTCCGGGCCAAAGAGAATGGTCAGCCGCGGACTGTCATCACCGATCAAGCCGTCCGGGGCATCGAAGCCGAATCTTGACGCGATCTTGGTGGAGACCGATTTGGTGAGTGCAAAATACCTGTCGATCAGGACATCCGGGCTATATTGGAAGACGACGTCGTAGCTGTCGATCATCAATACCAGGTCGTCATCGGAGTCCGGGACAAGTTCTCTAAATAGTTGAGGACTGTGCGGACTTTTGCCAGGTGGGTTTTTGACGCGTCGAGGTCTCCCTCCTTCATCCACCCGTTAAATACCGGCGCGGGATATCCCAGCATCACGCCGCTTGCGATAGCCCTGCATAGTCGGAAATGCTTCCCGCTTGCTGGGGCCAATAAATGGAACTTGGAAATTGGATACTGGGCCGTTGTTGACTCGTTTGACGGTTGTAGAATGTGGTCTTCTGGCGGCCTATAATTATCCAGCGTCGCGGAATTTGAACCGCTAATTTGAATAGGCGTCGTTGATCCGAACTGGTGGAAAAGCCCTATAAACGAAAGGAAAATCACCAGCACGCCGGCTGCTCCGGCCCAATGCCAGCGATTCCGCGGCGAGAAGTTGAACTCCTGCCCCCCAAACTTCATGGCGTCAGTGAAAGGTCGAAGACTAGGGGGGGTTCCGGGAACAAATTAGGGGCACAGAAGGTTGGAGATCGTGGCTGGCCACGTCCCGCATGATCCCGCCGAGGACCGACTGTCTAGCCAAGACTAGGACTGCATTGCTGATCCAGTGGAGTAAATTACAGGCTCTTAGTCCGCTCACGTCGTAATTGGGATCTAAATGCGGACATACCCAGCACGTTACAGAGTATCCAAGGAATAGCCTTTTTTTATTTAGTGCGTAGGTACGGGGAATCACTTTCGCGTGATCCCGAAGTCCGCAGGTTGGGAATCTCGTAATTTATATCGTTCTAGCCGGTTTGAGGTGAGACAGTGCCATATGAGGCGCACGGGGGGCTGACCATTGGATCCCAGGCGATGCGCCGGCGCTGCGACCCACGCCATCGCCAAGCCGGTGAAACAGGTTCTTCATAGCGTGGTGGGCCTGGTATTACCGTTTCGTATGTAATACCGGTATTCTATGCAGATATTCGCTTCGCTAGCAAATTATGCCCAAAACTCTCGATAAGCGGTCAATCGTACTTCGCCCCCAGACGAGACCTCCTTTATAATACGGATCTCCTCGGTCGTGTGCCCCAGTTTGCATGGGTTCTTTTACCCCCCCATATTCTCCCCCCACGCCCTTATAGACGACACGATGGTCCATCAGAAAGACCAAGAAGAGGCCGAGCTAGGGCTCCTCTCCGGGGATGAGTCCAGGTTATCGCAAGATGCCGACTCGAGATCATCACGCGACATCGATGTCGAGGCATACCCTAAACACGAGACCCGGATGCCTGCGCCAGAACCCGAATACGAAACACCCACCGCCTTGAAGTTCGTCTGGATTGGCGCATACTTTGGCTTCAGCATGGGATTGACTATATATAACAAATTTATTTTGGGATCGGTATGAAACTTGCAAGTCCGGTGTCAGACTTTGTGTAGGGCTGACCGTGCTGCATGTAGTTCAAAGCACCGTGGTTATTGACGTGTTTGCATACAACCATCAGCGCTCTCGGGACCCTTGTCATGTTGAAGATGGGCTACTTTAAGCTATCAAGATTAGGCCGCAGAGAACACCTGATCCTCGTTGCATTCTCCGTCCTCTTTACCTCCAATATCGCCATGTCGAACCTGTCGCTCTCTTTGGTCTCTTTGGCCTTCTTCCAGATCATCCGAAATACGGTCCCGCTATTCACCGTCGGAATCTACCGTCTCTGGTTTCATCGGTCATACTCTACCTGTACATATCTCTCTTTGATTCCGATTGTGGTGGGCGCTGGCATGTGCACGGCAGGCGACTATCACTACACGTTGATTGGGTTGCTTGTCACTATCGCGGGTGTTATCTTAGCGGCCACGAAGGTACGAGCGTCCATGCTAACAGGGGTATGACAACTTTCTAACGGAATATTATAGACTGTCACTACGAATCGCCTGATGACCGGGTCCCTGGCCCTGCCCTCGATGGAGCTCTTGTTCCGCATGTCGCCTCTGGCCGCCATTCAGTCCTTGGCCTTTGGACTCATTGCCGGAGAAGGGCCTGTCTTTTGGGAAACTATGAAGGAGCGTACCAACGGCCTCGCCTTCTGGGCCACGTTATTGACGGCTATTCTGTTATTGGGTAATGGCCTCCTCGCATTCGTCTTGAACGTTGCATCCTTCCAGACGAACAAGATTGCCGGCGCCCTGACCGTGACCGTGGCGGGCAATTTGAAGCAAGCGTGCACACTGGCCCTGGGCATTGTTGTATTTGGCGACTTCTCCCTCAACATTCTCAATGGCCTCGGCATTGCCTTTGTCGTGGTCGGCTGTGGCTGGTTCTCCAAAGTCGAGTTGGACAATAAGCGCGCTCGTAAATAGACTACACAACGCTCCTGTACAGTATATAATATAATTTAATGCCGTAATTATGATATGATCTGGCTAAAAGGCAATATCGGAAGCGAAAATCTTGGCATGGTTTGGAGATACTCGGTATTAATTCCGTCCAGGTTGTATTACCGTCGTAATTGGGGATATTTCAGTATCACGTAAAGGGTAAAGGGTTTCCGCTGAAGATATGCACAAAGACTTGCACAAAGACAAACGAAAGGCCCACCTACGGCCCTGCACAAGCATGCCAAGCACTTAGGTGGCTCGACTCTGCCTCGTGATCCGGGATGGCCGCTCAAACGAGCGGATGGTCGGAATAGGAGCGGACCCTACTCCGTACTGCTAGTCCTAAACTCTGGGCATGTACGATGAAGCCAAAGCGTCCGCCCTGTTCCATGTGTACCTGGGGCTGTACAAGCTAGAACAGAGGTCACTCATAGCGGTCTTTAACCGCAGATCCAGCCAATAAGACGCGTCCTTGTGGAAAACATACTAGTAAACTATGGCAAGCCCCTTCAGAGCCCCTTAAAACCCCTCCCCCCCAACAAAATTCAGCAGCCGGCAACCCCGGAGATGAGTGTGAAACTAGACTACGGTTACGGACGTAGCCCAGGTTTGATTTGGTCAAAGCGTACCAGTATTCTCCACCAAGTCCAGCATCGATGGGACCTGTCGGCCAAAAACCGGGACAAGCCTCTAGCACAGCGATCCGGGAACTCGTCCCGTGATCCACGCCAAGTAGGGCTGATCTGTTCTCGGGTGGGCCCCACCCAGCTTGGGGAATGTCCTGTTGCTAAACCAAGCCAATTGTATGGCTCCAGTTGCCCTCGTGCGCCAGGTCAGGCTTCCCATGTCGCATTTTGGTTCCTCCGTGCGGTGAATTCGGTTCTGAGTACGACAGCGGAGCTCGTTCATGACATCTGCCCCCCTTTATTCCGCCCGTATATTTCAAAAAACTATATTGTCACCTGGCCCCATCTCGAGTGTCTATAGTAGAGCCCTTTTTTGGAAACTAGCAGGGGCCCTGCTGATCAGTGTCGACGGGGTTCGTCGGCAAGGAAAGGCTCCGGGGCCTGGACCGGAGATCTCGTAAGATCTCTCGGGTCGGCACAAGGAACAAGCCATGATCCGAATGGAAGTTTTCACGTATCTTACGAGTACGAAAAAGGGGTAAGAGAAGGCTTACGGAGTACGGAGTAGTTCATCGATCGCTTCGAAAAGTAAATTACGTCGTGGTATTGCATTACCGATGCACGGATGAGCCGGTGGGTCTGATTGGTCCGAAATATCAAGATTTGGCAGTTCGCCGTACGCAACCAAAAAGCAATGGTTGCATTGTTGCATGTTGGTATTGCCATACAGAGGTACTGTACTCAGCACGTTGTGCCCGCCGGGCCGCCTTAATACGTGGCGACTATAGGATCCATTTCTCGTGAACTCGAGGGCCGATTCGCCTGGGCCCTTGCAGACATTCCGGCCGGGATTTCCCACTGTATGGTATTTCAGGGTAAGGTAGCTGCTTTGTGGCAATCGTATCATGACCCAGGATACGTCGGTGGGGTTCCGTACATAGGATTCGGCATGGGAGGCTCGCAATCATTTTGGGCTGGTGGTAGCAAAACCAAGATTAGGGGGGAAGCCCCCGGAAGTTCTTAATCGTTTGCGCCCCCGGATCCCGGATCTAACCCCATCCCCTGGTTTCTGTCCTGGACAAAAACCATATACAGACCAAGTATGGGGGTCGAGTCCACTCTAGATACGGCCACGGTCCATTCCAGTGTTGCGGAGATCGCGACCACCCTTACCTCTCCGGAGGTCAGTATTCACAATGACAGCACAGACGAGCTAGATGACGAGTCCTATAGCAAGCCTATCCCCGACGACAGCGATGTTGAAGCTCAAATCCAGCCCAAGGCCATCCACAACATCTGCTTCGTTGGGGCCGGTTATGTCGGCGGTCCTACCGCCGCCTTGATGGCGCTGAACAACCCTCAGATCAAAGTGACCGTAGTCGACAAGGACGATCGTCGCATCCGCAGATGGAACTCGCGCCACCTGCCAATTTACGAGCCCGGCCTTGCAGAGATCACCCGTATTGCGCGGGACGGCCTCGAAGGCGCAAAGGACGGCAACGCGGCGCCTCGCAAGCCGAACCTGTTTTTCTCCACCGACGTTTCTCGCTGCATTGGCGAGGCGGACATTGTCGTTATCGCTGTCAACACGCCTACTAAGATGCGCGGTGCTGGGAAAGGCAGCGCCACCGACATGACCAGCTTCGAGGCGGTCGCGGGCGAGGTGGTCCGCCACGCAAGGGATGGTACAATCATAGTGGAGAAGAGCACAGTGCCCTGCAGGACGGCTGAGATGATCGAGCAAATGGTAGGTTTCTTGCGACGACTGTGTGCACGTGCGAAACTAATCTGTCATTGCAGATCAAGCTCCAACGTCCTGGTGTGCATTTCGAAATTCTTTCCAACCCAGAGTTTCTGGCCGCTGGAACGGCTGTGCAAGATCTGCTAAGCCCTGATCGTGTGATTATCGGATCGTCGCCCTCCGTGCAAGGTAGAATTGCTGCGGAGACTCTTGCGTCAGCATACACGGCTTGGGTCGACCGGTCACGCATTATTACCGTCAATGTCTGGTCATCGGAGCTGGCGAAGTTGGTTGCCAACTCCATGCTTGCCCAGCGGTTGAGTAGTATTAACAGCATATCTGCGATCTGCGAGGCAACTGGTGCGGAGATCAACGAGGTTTCGGCTGCCATTGGCGCAGACGTGCGTTTAGGCAACAAGTTCCTCCGTGCGGGTACGTCATTAAATGTGCATTTCACGATTTTTCGTTTTGCTGACAAGAAGTGAACAGGTATTGGGTTCGGAGGCAGCTGTTTCAAGAAAGATGTGCTGTCACTTGTCTACCTCGCCGAGTCTCTTGGCTTGGCAGAGGTGTCAGACTACTGGCGCAGCGTTGTCGAAATGAACGAGTACCAGCGGAACCGCTTCAGCACCCGCGTCATCCGACGACTTAACTCGACCCTTGTCACGAAGAAACTCACCATCTTGGGCTACGCTTTCAAGAAGAACACGTCCGATACTCGCGAGACTCCCGCGCTGGAGATCATCAAAACCCTGCTGGATGAGAACCCGCGCGAGATCGCAATCTATGACCCCTGTGTGAACCGGTCCGTCATCGAGAGTGAGATCCGAGAGATGCAGTCGTACGGGCCCCTACTCAAGGAAGACGGCGGCTGTATCTCCGTCTACTCAGACCCGTACGAGGCGACCTCCGGCACCAATGCCATTCTGATTATCACAGACTTCGATGAGTTCAAGACGAAGCCAGTGGCCCCACCTTCGCCAAGCGCTGCCGGGCCTGCTGCTGGAGTAACGGATGCTCTTCGCAAGCGCTTCGTGGCTGAGCCCGATTGCGCTGCTGACTGTCCTGACTGCCACACTGGTACAGGGTATATAGACCCCAGTGCCGAATACAAGCCTAAGCAACAGCTTGACTGGAAGCGCATTGCTTCGCACATTAAGTCCCCAGGCTGGGTGTTTGACGGCCGATGTATTTTGGATGTACAGGAGATGAAGAAGCTGGGAATTCGAGTCGAGAGTATCGGCTCTGCGGGCGGACTGTAAAGCAACCAAGGCTTTGTTTTATGGAGAGTTTCCTAGTATAGTGACTGATCTATGGACATATGGAATATATAGCCCCTAATTAGCCCCTGATGAAATGACTTGAACATAATCATAGGCAGGTGCATTGTTAAGAAAAAACTTGTAGCCTTCTCAACTGGTAATGTTGTTTCGCAGGCCGCTCATCCCCGGATGATACCGCGAATTCCAGGTTGGAGATCTACCATGTCGCACAGTCGGCTAGATGAGAGCTACTTTATGATATGCCACCCACAATAACTCTGAGACATGCCGTGAGAAGATTTTATCTTCCTCCGATCTTCTGAAAAGATCCTTCATGATAACCATAGTCCTACCAACTCAAATTCTTTCATTTACTACAGTACCTCTTGAGGCTACCGGGGCACCGAGCTAGTTTCTAAGCTCTTTGATGCAACCTAGGGCCCCGTTTGACAAAAAGCATACCAACTGGACTTTTCAAAATTCAATTAGACTAAAGCTTATTTGAACGGTTCCAAGGTTTGTTGCCGGTCTGCAAACTAAATATTGACGGCAGTCTTGCTTCATTCGATAAATCCTCTCCTCACGCAACCTTCATTTCAACACAGTGCCCCAATTTAAAGCTCTTTCTGATTTTACGACTTTGCCGCCATTTCCCATCGCGCAAAATTTTGTGAATTCGCCGTCAAAAGAAATGAATTTCATGAAACTTCCCGCCGAGCTGCGCCTGAAAATCTACGGGGAACTTGCTACTGGCCCACTCGGGGGTCCATGTTATTCGGCCATATGTGAGTGGGCTCTACCCAGACATCCTCCGCACTTGCAAGAAGGTGTACCAGGAAGCCAGGGAGGTCATTTACAGCAAAAATTTGTTCCTCTTCGTCGACGCCGACGATTTTGTCATCATCTTCCTTCAAGCCATCGGCATCCAGAATGCCTCCCTGATCAAGCATGTTCATATATCGTTTCCAATCTTTGACCAAACGGGCGATGATTACATTTTCGACCGAAATGAGGCCGTTGTATGCGATGTCATAGCCCAGCGCTGCCCTCGGATCGAGCACGTTACTATCATCCCTACCCATCCTCTATTTTTCCAATACACTCCCGACGACGATGTGAATGCTTCCACGGATCGGTTTTTGGAGCTAGTGAATAAGCGCTTTCGGGAGTTTACTGACCGCATCAGTATTTCCCTGTTTGAGGACGCATGTCATGATATCCGAGGGAAGCTGAGCTCACTCGGCTGGGATGTGATCGTCGAGCGTAAGAAAGAATACTATCCTCGTCAGTCTGCACCTCAAGGAGACCGAGAGCTCACAGATACTGATAACAATTTTGGGGATTCGGGATTCGGAGTCTGACGGTGATATCGACCCGGAAGATGTAGTTCAATTTCCGCTCTGATAATTGAGAGCGGAAGAACTCTCTCAAGCCTTGAAAGATTATTCAGCTCTCGTTGTCTTACTACCTAGATATCAACCAACCAGTATGAAAGCCAAGTAAGATGTAACCATTCAGAATACAGAATTGACAAAAAGATACCTCAGATGAACAAACAATAGAGCAGAATGAGAAGTTGCGAGCCCCTCAGTCTTCAGCTTCAAAATCGGTATACTACCCACCAACTATGCATCCTACCGTTCTTCGCTTTCCTCACCTTGATTCAGGAAGAGAAATTCGAAGCGTGCCCCTCAGGAAGGCGGTAATCTCAGCCACATAAGAGCTATGTCATATCGTAGGATATACTATGGCACTTGGACCTATTCAAGGTCGTAACCTCGTCGCGCATCGTCCATCAATGGGTCTCCTCAAAGATGCTCTTGACCAGTGTGGACTTCAAGACTATCTTGCTTCTCACCGAGCTGCTTTCATATTTACAAGATCTACTCCTTTGCGGATATAATTCAACTTGGGACTTAGCTCGAATCCAACCAGCATCAGCAGTTTCAGTACTTTGCTCTGGACGCGGAAAGGATAAATAAAAAAGTTAGTTTAGTGTGTAGATTAAGAGCAAGGGGGGGTATTCTTCCGGCTCTACTGGTAAAAGCCTGTGAGGAGGAAATTCATTAAGCTAGACCGAGACTATCGAAAAAGGCAGTTCAATCTTGCCGCAGAGCAACCGATAAAGCGTCGAGCCTTGGAGAATAACAGGGACCAGCCAACTTCTGCTTCGCATCGGCATTCATGTTGGATTGATACTCTTTGCGATGTCTGGGACATTCATCTGATAGCAGTAAGCACTCCAAATCCGGATTTCGGAGTTTGGACTGCAGACTTTGAAAAGTGCTCGGAAATCACTCAAACGACTCTCAGTTTTACTTCTTAAGACAACTCAATTTTCAATTATCTTCTATCCTCTGCACTTGCGCTCCAGATGTTACATCCATAGTCTTTTCCTGTCAATAAACTTCCCCTCATTTCAGTAACATTGACCTCCGGACAGTGGAACGTTTCAACTTCTTATATTCACGTCTTCAAGCTTCGATAACATTCTTCTGCAAATATCTGACCTTTACATCAATCAAGCGGTAGCGTGTCATACTCCACATTGATTTCATGAAGTGCATCATACTAAATTCATATCAAAGCCATAGATCCTGTCACCATGCCATCTCTTGGTACGCCAAAAATGCCACGGCAGCCAACCATCCCCTCTTTTGGTTGGACAGCATAACACAGAATCTAGCGACCTCCACAGGATATACCTCCTTGGCGCCTTCTCTTACTGCTCACAACAGGCAGTGGAAGCACGATCGAGTCTCAGACATAGACTAGAAGAGAGCCTCAGATATACTTCTGACACTGACGACGAAGCACATGAGCTTTTGGCTGACGCGCTATGAAGATGCTTGTATTTGACGCTGCTTGCTTCTGGGGGCCCCCGGGGGAGGATGGCCAGGTATCACATCTAGATTGTACCCCGGTTTCACGAGCCAAATACCATATAGCGGGAAAGAATCAGCACAACATATACGCTCTGCCCGAGTCAGGACCTCCACAGCGAAGATCAAGATTATATGCAGCTCTTTGGGCTTCACAAAGAGCGTCAGTGGGATATTGACATGTTCCTGCTAGGTTCTTCTCCATTTGACGTGGATTCCCTTCCCAAAGAGATGAGAAAAGCTTCAATCTCTGATTCTACATCTGGACGCTTATCAGTTGCAAAAACACGCTCGGGCCAGCATAATATTTCCAGTAGCTTCAAGAGGCGTTCTGCGTAAGGAACGCATTGACCAAACCTACAGATCAAGTTTTCTGAGGATATTTGGAGAGGCCAGATTTCCTGAGGACTTTATCATCAGTGCTCTGGTTAAAATATCCAGGTCTCACTCTGCACTGGCCTGGTCTTCAATGATCGCTACTGAACGACGTTGTTTATCCGATATTATTCAGAACGCTCGAACTGGTCTTCAACACCTTCATGAATGTGCCCGATCTGGTACTATGGTTGTCAGGCCACGCTCGTTCTTCTCTATTTGATGTCGATGCCGGGTACCCATCATCCCCCGATCTTGGGCACTTGTAAGCCGGTGTTATACGAAGCAAGGCCCAAATCTTATACCGTGGAAAAAAATTTAGATCTCAGGAGGCGGCTACATTCTACTGAGTAAGCGGCTCAAAAACAGCCACCGTGTAACCAGCATTTAGTCGAAGTTCCGTTCCTCAGCTATTTGCAAGATGGATTCATTATCGAAAGAAATACATTCCCATGTTTTGCACCTCATAATTATCCTGTGTTGATCTCAAATGTTGACCCACCGTTTTGACCAGGCTGTCACGCTTCTTGATGCCATAGGCATCATCTGCAGTCCATACACGGGAATCTTTGGCGGGTGCTCATTCGGTCCCGAAAATCCATCATCCTCCTCTTTGGCTGAATCTCCGTGATATCGCCCTGCATGTTATGTATACAGGCCATTATTGGCTTTTAAATCTCCGCCTTAACGGTCCGCAAAGCACTGTCTTCCACGACAGTTTTCACGTTGGAGCGATGGCTCGCGTCTCTGAGGTCGCCGTGCTGCCAAATATACATCGGAGCTTCGTGGAGATGTTTAACCGAGTTAGCTGGGTTGTGGCTATTCATAAACCGGAAAAGCAAACCCCCAAGTCCAGGCTTAGGAGGTACGAGCACACTGGAATACCATACTGGAGTCTGACAGAGTTGCCTGGCCTATTCCCTTTCGATAGCTAGCAACGGTCCGCAAGCAAGACTGAACTCGAATAGCGAAAGATGGTATTGCATAGCACCTTGCTGCTGGATCAATACTCGGAGCTTGGTGTGGTGTCTCTTCCTCGGCGTTCTTGAGCGTGTTCTCCTTTTTCCTTTCCTTTTGCTCCATACCACTTCCCTAAAACTTGTTTGCCTGATTTAATATTTTCGACTCGTTCTCAATACTACTCTATTGTCCGCTGCGGAGCTTCTAGTCAAGTAATCAGGCCTAGTCCTCCATAGTACCAGCATGATACGCCCGTCAAGAATGAAAGCTGGAAATCCGGTTGTGGCGGGGCGATGTCAGACTTGCATTGCCGAACAGCCCCCATTTCAGGCTGGATCTTATCTGATTCGATGATCAGGCGTCCACGGGAGCCCATCGTCTGCTTTTCCTTATTCGGCGGGAACGAAAGCAGATACGGACTCGGACGAGTTATTTTCCAAATAGTTAGAGAAACACCAAGGAGTCTCCGAAACCTGCCAGCACATAAGATCTGAGAACTATATAAAGGGGCTCCTACCTGGCCACGGCTCAGACCTCTCAGCTATCTCCAACCCCATCTCTCATCAATATACCCAGACTTCAGGCTTCTTCTCTAATCTACCATCCACAATGAAGTTTATCAGTATCCTTTTTGTCGCCACCATGACCGCTGTCGTTAACGCTGACTGTCTCCCCGGTATGGGTATCTGAAAAAAGAAAGACCGATCAACGCTAACATTACCTATAGCTGGCGCAGCTTGCACTGGCACTACCGAAGGCTGCTGCACGGGCTCATGCGCTGAGGATCTCAACAGCAAGCTTTATGTTTGCATGTAAAGGGTTTAAAACCTGAGAAGATTGTGCTTGTGGCTGTCAGACTTCGAAGAGAAACGCGAACGTCTGGAAGTGTCATTGGCTGGCTGTTCAATATTACCAGATATCGAAATTTTTCCCACATGCGGAACCATGATCATGTGGAACCTTAAGCATGTATAGGCTCAAGATAAATCGCACAATGGAAGTTACTCACGGTGCACTTCTGGTTTTCTAGTTGGGAAGTTTGCGTAGATGCCAGGCAGCGGCGATCATTTTAGCACTGGGAGTAGTGGGGACTTACATTGGAAGCAACAAAAGGCCAGAACCGTTCAATTGGAAAGAAGAAAATAGTCCTGACCCCCTGAGTAAACATAATCGCTCATCACAGCCCCTTGGCCCCTCCTATTATTGCCTCTCAATTTGTGTGGATCCTATAGTTTCGCGGAGCCAATCGTCAGCCAGCGCTAATATTCTGCCATGGCTGACCGCTCTCCTTGCGGTGTTGAGACCACATCAGTAGTCCGCCTCCGCAAAGTTTACTTGAAACGTGACAGCGAGACCTTCATTGAACGCCAATTCTTTTTGAATAAACAGTCAAGCTTGCGGCTTGCTACCCAATATGGATCAGGGAGGCCAAGGAGGCCAGGGAGACCTGAACTGGCGCCTCAGCGCGCATCCGATCACGCTACTTGTCTTCTTGGGAATCCGCATTGGTAACTACTCGTCCATGAATGGCCTTACTTGGAAGATTTGAACTGATAAATTCATGGTACAGGGGCCTTGCTTATGTACTTGTTTGGTGTTCTCTTCATCGGTGACTTGTAAGGACCTTCCCATCTGCCGCTCTACCCTTAAACCTCCAGATGTCCATAGCTAACATGTCTGCTACTAGCGTTCTCGTCTTCATCCTCACACTGCTCCTCCTGTCTGCGGATTTTTACTATCTCAAAAATATTGCTGGGCGACGTTTGGTAGGATTACGATGGTGGAATGAAGTCAACACGGCCTCCGGCGACTCTCACTGGGTATTTGAATCCTCCGACCCCAACGTCCGTACTATCACTGCTACGGACAAGCGCTTCTTCTGGCTCAGTCTTTATGTGGCTCCAGCCTTATGGATTGGCTTGGGTATCGTGGCCATTTTGAGTCTGGGCAGCCCGATTTGGCTTAGTTTAGTCGGTAAGTTTCTATCCACAGATAGGCTTGAGGTTCTGGATCCAGAATGCTAACCGCGAGACACCAAAGGCATTGCGTTGATTCTTACAATCACCAACACCATCGCGTTCTCACGTTGTGACAAGTTTAGCCAAGCGTCGACGTATGCTAGCAGTGCTTTGGGTGGTGGGATTGTGAATAACCTCGCTGGTGGCCTGCTGGGCAGGGTCTTCCGGTAGACAGTGATTAGTGACTCGTATCTTTCCAAATTCCTGCACTAGTCACTTTGGACGGGATTCTTTGGCTGAACTATTGTGTGTATCATTCCAGTTGTCTTGAAACATTAACGGCAAAGGTAGCTGCTATTCAATATTATGTGTTCTATTGACGAGGTATCATACTCATGGCATTACGATGGAAACTCCTTTTCGATTCCTGTGCTCGAAAGGTAAACAAAATCGGGTGAGGTTTGACAGATCGTGGTGGTGTTTTGCCATAGCGGTTATTTGTTTGTTCGCCTATACAAGCTGTCATCTGCTGGCTCTCACACTTTCTCGTCTTCAAGATTCGTGGCACACCTGAGAGCTGGTGTTCTCCTGAACTTGGGACCGATTTTGCTCAGCCCCTCCTGGGGTTCTTCCTTCTTCTTAAACTCCTTCATCTCCTTCCTTTCCTTTCCCAACTTCCTCTTGTCACTTCCCTCATCTCCTGTCTCCGAAATCCCACCTCCGAACCTCCTGACTGTAAGTGCCCTACATGCCTTTCATGCCCTCCTTCATCTCAAACTATTGCGGAAGTCCTGGCTGGGTGATTCCACGGTGGTGACGTCGCGTCATCGTGTCGTAGTCTCTGGGTTCTTGGGCTCGACTTAGAGCTTCTCGGCATTGACCTCGACGCGTCTACTCAACATCACCAAACGGAATCACTCTCAGCCCACCTCACTCATTTCACTTGCGCCATGAAACTTATACTAAACAACAAATTTATGCATATAGTGTTAACAAACTTTAAAGATGTCTGACGTCTGGGAACAGGCGGCCTCTGGCATTGATCCCTGGACTCCCCAGGACAATGACCAGTCCGCAGCCTTGACTCAGGTCGAGTCTCCTAGTGACGGTATGCTAGACATTTGCATCCACTTAACTGCTTGCATTTGTGGATATGCTTCTGACACAGGCGACGAAGCACATGAGCTTGAAGACTACCGCCCTCATGACACTACTGCTTCTTCTGCCCACGCTTGCCGAAAGTAAGTACACCTCGCATATGGAAGTTGGACATCACTAAATCTGAAACAGCTGTGGCTCTCCGCACCACCTCACTCGCATGTGCCCGGAGAATGATGCGCCGCGCGGTCGTTCTCCTGGTCCCCAAGATGGACCCCGTGGTTGCTACAACTGTGGCGAGGAAGGGTATGCACCCATCAGCCCAATGCCGTCTAATCCCTTCACCCACGCTTCTGACTCCCCCCCCCACGCATCTTCTAGTCACATGAAGTCCGATTGCCCCAACCCCCCTGTCTTTAAAGGCACTTGCAAAATCTGCCAAAAGGAGGGCCATATGGCCGCCAAGTGCCCCTCCCGCACCCCGGACATTTGCAAGAACTGCCTGGAAGAGGGCCACATTGCCTTTGAGTGCAAGGCGAACCGCAAGTTCGATCTTGGCAATGTTCCTGACGTCCTCCCGGAGGAGGCTTGGGAGCTCATGAAGAAGGCCAGCGACGTGAACGACCTTGATGACTTCCGCGAGGTAAGTTGAAACTTTCCCATGGCAGTCTAGTATTTACTGACCCCATCCTCTAGGCCGTCAAGATGTACTCCAAGGCTGTGCCCGATGCCACCTGGGTCGATATTGAGAAGAAGTTGCGTGAGGGGAAACTACGTTACTACCTTATCGCCTTGGTTCGTATTCCCAAATGGCAAGAACGTAGAGAACGCATGCTAATCTAACGGTGTCAATAGATTCATGACACCATGGATGTCAACACCTTGATCGACTTACAGGGCAAGCTTGACCGCAAGTACGCCATCAGCTTTCAGGAATCTCAAACCCCTCCTCGCCGCTTTCTTCGCACTCGCTGGCCCGAGTCTCCTGAGGACAACATGGAGCGCCTGAAGGACGCCGGCCTGCCTTATGATCGTTATGTTCCCAAGTGCCGCAACTGTGACAGTGAGTGACCCTTTGCCCAATCCGCCTTGGGTATAATGCTAACAAATGAAAACAGAGATGGGCCACATCGCCAAGCACTGCAAGGAGGAGCGTATCGAAGTCACCCACACTGAGATCCGTTGTGCTAACTGTGATGAGCTCGGCCACCGTGTTCGCGACTGCCCCGTGCCTCGCAAGAGCCGATTTGGGTGCCGTAACTGTGGGTGAGTATTTCCTCCACGTGCCCTTTGCTAATTCGAATCATTAATTGTGATGCAGTTCTGAGGAGCACGAAGCCCGTGACTGCCCTGTACCTCGCTCTGCCGACGATGTTGAATGCCGCCGCTGCAACCAAAGTGAGCCGATCCACGAATCCATGCCTCTCAACTACCGTGATAATTTTACTGACATGTTCCCCAGCCGGTCATTTCGCTAAGGACTGCCCAAATGTCGAGGCCCGTCCTCCCCGTACCTGCCGTAACTGCGGGTAAGTCAAAGCCCATCGAATGGTCACACCTGGACTTTGAAGCTGATGAATGATTACAGATCTGAGGACCACATCTTGCGGGATTGCGACCAGCCTCGTGTTGAGTCCAGCATGGTTTGCCGTAACTGTGACCAGGGTAAGAAGACACGCCTCCCCCTGCTGTTGTCATCCAATTGCTAATCCAATCCTACAGAGGGCCATTTCTCCCGTGAATGCCCCGAGCCCAAGAACTGGTCGAAGGTGAAGTGCAACCGCTGTGGCGAGATGGGCCACACTGTCAAGCGTTGCCCCCAGCCTGAGGATGTTGGGGCGGCCTCCCGCTCAGTCACCCACGAGGGCTTTTCCAAGTCGGACAACGGTGACGACTTTGACATCACTCACCAGCTGACCGACCTGACCTGGTAGAGGGTTACGCACCAGGCGAATCCTGACGACCTGATCTTCTGCGTAGCCGTTATGGCTTTTTGATTCTTTTTATTTTTTTGTTTCCCAGTGCGTATGAGCGAGGGATCCTCTCTGAGTGCTTAATTCGCCGAGGTGAGTCTCGTCTGCGCAGTCGAGGATGGTTTCTTGTTTTTCACTCTAATTCCACTTCTTACGACTTGGAGACCCCCTGAGGGCTTAATGCGCCGGGGTCCGTCAGTCAGCACGGTTGTGCGTGTTCTCGCGGTCGTTCAGAGATTCACCAATGAAATTTCCTCCTGGTTCTAAGGAGCTTTTAGCTTACTATGTGCTCATCGTAGCTTGATATCGCGGTCACCGTAGGGGACCTCCATCTGGCCCGGACAAGGCTCAATACCAGGCTATCTACGCCGCTCTATACTACCCGTAGACTACTAGGACATCATGATCTACGGCCAAAGTCTGCAGGCATACGATCCTCAAGGGCGGCCTCGATCCTATGGTCCTATTCGAAAGTCATGTACCACTCATACCTACTCTAACCGAGATCAGACTTCCTGTAACAGCTTTCCCTGGGCACCAATTCCCACCCGGTGTTCATGTCAACTTTGGAGATAGTGTGGTCCTGACAAAAGAAGACCTGATAGCTTTAGGGAGATTCCACTGGGTTCCGGGCAATGGTTACCAGCGACGGCGCCGGGGCCCGTGCAGCGGCAACAGGGAAAGTCCCAGGCGCGGCATCCCCTAACGTCGACACGGAATCGAGACACCCATGGCACCCCAACTCGCATAAAGTTGCTGCAACCCCTCAGGCTCCCACGAGGGCAGACCAAAATGCATATGCGCTCGACCATCTGCACTGTGACATCATGCCCAGAGACAGCGCTCGTGCGCTACTCTTGGGTGCTGCTTACTATGGAGCTAGTCGCGGGTGGCTTGATCGGTGCCGATCCCTGCATCCCACTTGTCATGGGATTGCGGGTTTTACAACAGTATCACGGGGATGCATCGCGAGGATATGCATTTACTTCTGCCACTATGGAGTGGGCGGGGGGCGGGGCAGTGGTAGGCCTAAAGTGGACTTGGGGTCAGGCCCTGCTGCCGGGGCCAATTGCGAGAGACAAGAGGCTATGCGCTCCAAAACAGTTATGATTAGCGGCGGTATCGGACGGCTTGATTATGCGTTCATTTACTCCGGGTGCTTTGTCCGCCCGGGACGCTGGGACATACCCTTGGTTTGGCGCAAGTGATTCAAGAATTTCTGGGCTTGTTTATTCACGTTCTACGCACAGGCATCCGTGTCCGTTTAAGCTTTCCTTCGCAATTCTGTGGCGCTGACGGCGATGCCCGAAGCCACCAGGGCGCGGTCGGAAACCTTTTACTTCAGACTTGATAAGGCCCAGGCACGTAGCACCTTGCAGATGTCGAGCCGTTGTGCTCAGAGTTCTGAGAGAATTCCCGATACACATGGGGGCCCACAGAAACCGGGATTTCCTCATCGGGAAAGTATTGGCGCGGCTCGGCATTCTGGAAGAAATGCAATCGGCTTGTGAGAATCCGGTGCCTGGACAGGATTGACGGCCACCTGTCCAATGTGTCCGCTTAAATGGTCAAATGGAAAGAGAAGCGAAGATTGGGAATCGCCTGTATACTCTACTCCGTACTCCGTACTCTGTCCAGCAGAATCACTTCGGCGGGAGTCTACCGCTGGGCTACCCGAACCCCCGCGAGTTTCGGCCCCTGCCGAATCAGCTGGGGTATCCCCGGGGAAGACACACACTTTTTCAGTCGCACTTGCGCTGCACCACTACTACGCCGTACGGTCTCTGTCATCCCAGCATCTGAGCCTAGCTGTATTAAGAAACTCCTATTAGCTCGATTCCTTCCAAACTCTGTCTTCCGGTGCATATTCTTCTCGTAATTGCCGTGTGCTTGCTCGTGCCGATGATGTCATACCTGTCGGTTCCGTACAAGCGCAGCCCCAAGTTTCACCCTGGGGTGCCTATTCAGGACCCTTAGTGGCACGCTACCCTAGAACAGGCAAATCGTCAAATGGATCCCAGATCATTCCATTCTGAACGGGGATGCAAGTTCAGCTCTCTCCCTTGCGGATGTTCGTGGTGAGGGCCACAGCTTAAGTTGAAGAGAACGGGCTCTCCTGCAGTAACGAGTACGCGTCCATGCGACCATGCCACCCGTGCAAAGCCCATAGCCCATGGGAAGCCCATAGGATATGCCTGCACGACGCAAGGTCGCTGGAACGTGGCGGAGGGGCCCGTGTATTCCAGGAAATCGGAACGAAAAAAAGCCGAGACGCTGGTTTGTCCCAGTGGCCGACACGGCGGCGCTGATCCCTGTCGAATCGGCGGCCGAGAGCCCTACCGCATAATGCCATGCCGAATGAAAATGAAAAAGTCGAAAAAGCCAGAGGGTCCCTACCTTCCGAAGACCCCAGGAATCTGGGGAGGCATCGAACAAAAGGACCAATGGAGCCATCATACAATCATACAATCATACACTGTTGGACTCCCTTCATTCAGGGTACGGTAACTTTTTAGTTTTTGGTACGGCCCGTAGTACCGGATACCGATGGAAAAATCTCCCGCTCGGTGGAACCCGTTGAAAGGAGAGTTGAAAGGAGAGGCGCCGACCGATGATTCGGCTTGGGCAAAAGCGGAGCCTCTATATTCCTTGTTTCCCCGTCTTTTTGGGTCTTTTTGGGTCTTGGAGGGGTCTTGACTTTTTTTGGCCCGATCCGGGTTGTTTCTCTCCAGTACTACCTTGCGTCGCTTTCAATGTCTCCCCATGGACTCGGCGGAGCCTGCAGCCCATTTGGCGGGTCTCTCTTTAAAACCCCAATTCCCCAGATATGCGTCTGGCGATTTTCTCTCCATATCCGTCCACAGGCTTGGACGCGTTTACCGGACGCTTGTCATTTCTATTTGGAAGAGCTTCTTTTTTGAATTTGCATAGGATCTGTCTGGCACATTGACGGTATACAGCTTGTCTTCGACCTGCCATCATGCAGAAATACTTCGGCCTTCGAGGTACGCACCTCAACATCATGATCAGTGTCATCGCTGGTCTGGATTTTCTGTTGTTCGGTTATGATCAAGGGGTTATGGGAGGTCTCTTAACTCTGGACTCATTTGTCAAGACCTTCCCGGAAATCGATACGACCAAGGCTGGTACCGTGGGCCTCACAGCAGAGCAGAAGAGCACTCGCTCCAATGTGCAAGGTATGGTCCTTCAAGTTGACTCCTTATATATCCCACCCCCGCTAACTCTTTCAGGGATCACCACCGCTTCATACAACCTGGGCTGTTTCTTTGGCGCCGTGGCCTGTATCTGGGTGGGCAACTATCTCGGCCGTCGCAAGACTATCTTCGCCGGATCCATTGTCATGGTCATTGGTGCCGTTCTCCAGTGCAGCGCCTACTCGCTTCCCCACTTCATTGTGGGCCGGATCGTAACGGGGATCGGGAACGGCTTCAACACATCGACTGTTCCCACCTGGCAGTCTGAGTGCAGTAAGGCTCATCACCGCGGTAAGCTGGTCATGCTGGAAGGCGCTCTGATTGCCGGCGGGATCACCATCAGTTACTGGATCGATCTGGCATTCTCCTTCCTCGATCCCAGCTCCGTGGCATGGCGTTTCCCAATCGCTTTCCAGAACGTGTTCACTCTTGTGATTCTGTTCTTCGTCCTCCCTCTTCCCGAATCGCCTCGTTGGCTGATCATGAAGGGCCGTGAGGAAGAAGCCATGGACGTGCTGTCGGTTATTCTGGATCTCCCAGAGAACGATCCCTATGTCTACGCCGAGTTCGGGGTCATCAAGTCGGCGGTCATGGAGCAATCATCTGCGAGCTTCCGTGATCTGTTCACCATGGATGAGAACCGCAACTTTCACCGGGTTTTGCTCGCCTACGTCAACCAGATGTTCCAGCAGATCGGTGGTATTAACCTGATTACTTACTACGCCGCCACCATCTACGAGAACTCCATCGGTATGGACGGGCTGACCTCCCGTATCCTGGCAGCCGCAAACGGCACCGAGTACTTCCTGGCATCGTTGCTCCCGATCTTCATCGTCGAGAAGGTCGGTCGTCGTGTGCTGATGCTCGTCGGGTCTGCCGGCTGTGCGATCTCGATGGCCGTGCTCGCCATCACGACCAGCTTCGAGGGCAACAGCCAAGCTGGTATTGCCGCAGCAGTGTTTCTCTTTGTCTTCAACACCTTCTTCGCCTGGGGCTGGCTCGGCATGACCTGGCTGTACCCCGCGGAGATCGTGCCTCTGCGCATCCGGGCTCCCGCCAACGCCCTCTCGACATCCGCAAACTGGATCTTCAACTTCTTGATCGTCATGATCACCCCCGTCTCCTTCAACAGCATTCAATACAGGACCTACATCATCTTTGCGGTCATCAACGCCGTCATCTTCCCCATCGTCTACTTCTTCTACCCCGAGACCGCTTACCGCTCTCTCGAGGAAGTCGACATCATCTTCAACAAGACCAAGAGCGTCTTCAGCCTCGTCTCGGTTGCCCGCAATGAGCCCCACCGCTACGGCAAGCACGGCGAGCTTCTCAACTACGAGGACACCGCGGGCAACCTGCGTCGTGCCAGCGATAGCTCTGAGAAGCACGGCGTCGCGTTCGGAGCCAGCGACCACGTGGAGACCGGCAAGGCCGAGATCGCCGTTGAGAAGCAGATGGAGAGCACGACTGATAACTCGGACTGACATTAATCTTAACGCTTCAAGAGCTATGAAACATGCTGGATCTTCATAGTGGGGTTTGGTATATGTTGCAGTTAGCCTTACGGTTCATGAACATTCAGCTCTTCTGCTGGCCGCTTGGCCTTTTTTTTTTCGTTTTATACCCAGGTGCTGCGGCACTTTGATAAAGATTCTCGAGGTAAATGGAGACTAGGTCTCTCCGCCGCAAACTTTCCATACTCGATGTACGGGATTTGAATGAGATGAAGAACATTCTTGAATAGCTTTTCACAAGTAAATCCCATTCTGTAGTCGTAATAACAGATATCTACTGGAATCCTGTTCGTCATGCAAAACCCTCTCCCCTTCGTCACAGTCCAATAGCGAACACACCAATAACTGCCACAAATGAGATACCTATAAGCATAAATGCCGAGCTCGCAGGTACGCTATTTGCCGCATCGTCCGGGCTGGGCTGGGTTGGGGGTCGCAGCGTAGCGAAGGGCACGGATAAGGCTCGACGGAATACGAGTTTACTCGTTTAGTGCGGCCCTAAATGGTATTACCTCAAGCCTAGAAAATTAGTATCTCGTAATTTACTGGCTCTACCGACCAGATACGCGCACAGAGCTGTAGGCTATGTGTCTATTGTCCAATGATGTGCCATCTCGGGCCTTAAGATTAGGATAGGGCTTGGCTTAAAGAAGGTCATTTCTTTCCCTAGAGCAACTTCGGCACCAAAAAGAGAGATTCATAAGAGAAGAAAATAGTAAATAATGAAGGTGAAAGGTAGGATCAGCTTGGTACCTGTGTGGCCGGCCATCGGATGAGATCAAAGACAACTATTAGAAGCATATCAGCAGATATCGCAATATTTCCCTGGCAAGAGTGATAAAAGGGTTGGTCCTTACCGACCGAGGTATCGCGTGGGAAATACAGTGTAGGGAGGCCCGAACCCACTTGGAAGAATGAGCAAGAGAGGGCAGACAGGGCAAGCAATTTAATCCAGAACTCTCCCCAGTTCTCCCAAGCTAATCAACATCTGCTTTGAATGGCTCCGAGGGTAGATGGGAGACGGCTTCTGGAGGTTCATCTCCACCTCGACTTAGTGGGAGAACCTGTGTGCTTTCTTCGCTCTCCCTGTCTCTTTATCGCGAATTCCTTTCAGTTTTCTTCCTCTCCGAAGATACCGTCTCCAAGATTGCGACCGCATTTGTGGAGTCGTGTTCAAATTCATATTCAAGCATACTACATCTGTGTGCACTGGGTCCCATTATCATCACCCTAACAACCACCCACATTTTTATTCTTTTTCTCCTATACCTCCCCCATGGCATCGATCACGATCAATCTGAAATGGTATTCTAGCAAAATAATAAAAAGATCTATATAGCGAAAGATATACAGGTTTGGTTTGAAGAGCACAGGATATATATTAAAGATTGACCTGTATACTTGCCTGATCTTAGTCTTATTAAACTGGTCTAGAAACTACTAAAATGTTGAATTCTTTGTAAACTAAAAGACCTTATATAGATAGGAAGATCTGAAGAGGATCTGCCTTATTTTAAAGAGTGTTTCCATGTTATATAGGATGTGTTAGACCAGACGAAGATTGATATATTAATATTGAGTATAGAAGGAAGGATAGATAGATTGTATACAAACCAGGGTTATTATATAAGATATTAAACAAGGGAAGTCTGTATAAATCGGATTATTCAATATATTTAATTTTGGTATGATCTAATAAGGATTGTTGGTGTAGGATATGTAACCATAAATATACATCAGTATCTGATGGGGTAGGTGAAGCGGTATACATACAGACTTTTGCCCTCTATTGTAGTATTCTTGCCGATTGCACCAGATGGCAATCTTAACCAGATCTCGTGAAGAAAAGCCTACAGTCAGTGTAGTTGGGGTCGTCTCCGAGTCTCCAAGTCTATGATCACTACTTCATATGGCTGAGGAGCTCCAAATTGGAGCGGGGTCCACGGCGATACTCCGAGCATCCTACCGTGAAAGAGACCTTCCGCCGGGCTGACTACCGAACTGCCTGTTCAGGATAGTCTCCTTGTAAGCCCCAGAGAATCCGTGGGGGGGGAAATCCGTGGGGGTGAGAAAAAAAACAGAGTTTCCCCCGCGCAAGTGAAACTGCAAAATGACGTTGGTTGACTCTGGGGCTCCAATCAAGCATCAACCCCGGGGCATGGCCGACTGTGGAGTCCCAATTGCGGAGATGCTGCGGAATGTGGAACCTGGTGCGCTGGCGGGTTTAAATCCAAGCTCTTGCCCAGATCCCTTGTTTTGCTGCGGTTTCCCTACCTGAATCATGGCATTAGCAACTTTGAGCACGTGCTTCCTCCTGCTTGCTTCGGTGTCTTCGGCCAAGTTACCAGCGCAGGCGCAGTTTATTGACCAGAGAGTGTTCAATGTGTTGAATACGACGCTGCCACCTTCGCAATTTAACGCTACTAATGTGAGCTGTCTTTTCGATGCGAACCTTTGAGAATGCCAATTCTGAAACTCATAGGTCTTTATACCCCCGGGGTCGACCGAGGACAGTTTGACGAAGCAACCCTTCCATGTGTATGACAAGGAGTTTTTGAAGATTCTGGGGAATAACCCCACCCTAACCCGCATCGCCCGCTCTGCCAAAAATCCCCTCTACCATGAGGCTGTCGTATGGTACGTCTCGTCCCATCATTGCATGCCTTGAATAGGCAAATCTAATAGAACGGACAGGTCAAATCGAACGAACGAAGTATTCTTTGCTCAAAATGCTGGCCCACCGGCAGCGGGCACAGGGCTTAACAAATCCGCAATCATTGAGAAAATCTCCCTGGCACAGGTGGCTGCGGTGTCAAACCGTACAGATGCTTCGGGGCTCGTGGACGTGATTACAGTCAACGCTACCCCGCCGGTGCTGAACGCCAATGGTATGACCCGAGTACCTTGTGGACTAGGAGAAGCGGCACCAGGACAAGAGCTAAAAAGAAAATGACAAATCTAGGTGCGACCAATTTCCGGGGCCAAATAGTTTACACTAGCGAGGGCCAAGGAGATCACGGTGCGCCCGCCTTGTACCTTATGAATCCAGAGGAACCATACAACACGACCGGTATGTTCTACTTCAAATTACACCCTACCCAGTGTAGATGCTGATCGGTTTAGTCCTTCTCAACAATTTCTTCGGTCGTCAATTCAACTCATTGAATGATATCGTCGTCCATCCCCAAAACAAAGATATTTACTTCACCGACTCCCTCTACGGCTACCTTCAGGATTTCCGCCCTGCGCCAGGAATCCAGCTCCAAGTCTACCGGTTCAATCCCGACACGGGTGCTGTTACGGTTGCAGCTGATGGATTTACGCTTCCGAATGGTGAGACTGGCCCTCTATTATATCTTTCGAGCTCGAGACTAACCTTACAGGATTCACGTTTTCTCCTGACGGGAAACACGCTTATGCGACCGACACTGGTATTAACCAAGGATTCTGGGGTTATAATTTCAGTCGTCCCGCTTCTATGTAAGTTACAAAAAGCTGACTATGATTCTACAGAGGGTCTTCCCTACTAACACCCATGATTAGTTATCGATATGATGTTGCGGATGACGGCACGCTAGAAAATCGCAAGACGTTTGCTTTTGTCAATTCCGGTGTCCCAGATGGTAAGATATAATCTGGTTCGTATTGATGTCTCTCTGTTAACTCTCTACAGGTGTACACTGTGATTCATGGGCAATGTCTATGCTGGGTGTGGTGACGGTGTCCAAGTCTGGAACCCCCACGGAAAGCTCATTGGAAAAATTTATCTCGGCACCACCTCCGCCAACTTTAACTTTGTTGGAAACGGTAAGATGGTGATCTGTGCAGAGACGTCATTATATTATGCGACTCTGGCGGCTGGTGGAAACTACGTTGAAAGCGAGATGTGATGTAGCTGGAAAGCTATGGAATCGATCTGCAAGATATATAGCCTCTTCAGGAAGATTGCTAAGAGGGTTGGTCCTCAAAGGTCAGACCACACATGTTGATCCCGTCCACCACCATGTCGCAGGTCAGGGTATTTTCTTTGTTGAGATGGACCATATTGTTCAGAGGCCCGTTGGCGGTCCCCAAGTCGCGTTGGATATTGCCTGCCTTGATATCGTAGTTGTGCTCGTCCTCTATCTATGGTGGGCCTATATATGCTCAATGTATGGTCTGGATACGTGATACGTTAACTTACCATGCGTGGATCCCACTAATGTGTCTGGGATGACCGCTTGAGGACATTTTCACCGGGGAACGGTCCCAGGTACGGTTTCAGAAGTCTAAGATGTGTAGTCCCCACAAAGGCGAGATTTTCCAGAGATAATGTGTTGAGAAATTCTTTTATATAAAGCTCTGTACGATGACGATTTTCTTGGTCGGAAAGTGTCTCGTACTCAATGAGATCGTCTCGGAGCTTCATAACCTGATGTGCAATTCTCAGCCTTTTCTTCATTGCTTTTTGCGTATCTGTATCCGTAGATACTGCGGCATATTCTGCAGATGCATTATGGACGGCTTTGAGCTCTGCCATGTTGCGATCGAGAATCTGAATGATCTTGAACCTCTGTAAACTTTTCCAAAGGGGATGGATATGAGGCATCCACTTTAGAAATGGCCACGAGAAGGCAAAATGCCTCAGGTCTGATGTGTCATTCAAACCAAGGTAAGCAGCCAGCCGACTCTCAGAACAATGTGGAGTGTAAGGCTCATAAGGTACATTCCTTAGTGCCGGAATCTTGGTAGGAACCTTTGATTGTGCCATATTCAAGATCTTCCTGGATAAGAGAAAGAGTATTTGAAGAAATAGCAATCCTGCGTTATCTGCGCTGCAGATGAATCTGCTCGATGTTTTGGTATGCTGGCAGTCGAAGCAAGAGGGGGGGGTCCAGATAGATTTGCTCGATGCTGGCAGTCGAAGCTGGCAGCCGAAGCAAGAGGGGGGTGTCCAGATAGATTTGCTCGATTCTGGCAGTCGAAGTGAGAGGGGGATAAGTTCTCTTCGCTGTGAAATATCAGGTTCTAGAGATTTCTGGTTGATTGGTATTCTCTTAGCCTTTTTTGTATGGTAAATATGCTTGGGTGGTGTAGAATTTTCAGAATTGTAGTAATGAAGTGAAGTTAAAGTGGAGTAGAAGTGAAGTTAGAGTGGAGTTGAAGTGAAGTTAAGTGGAGTTGAAGTGAAGTTAAGTGGAGTTGAAGTGAAGTTAAGTGGAGTTGAAGTGAAGTTAAGTGGATTTGAAGTGAAGTTAAGTGGAGTTGAAGTGAAGTCATAAGTTGTATGAGATTGTAGTTTGATAGAAAAGGCGTTTTACTTCCTGAATTTTATAAAGAGCTACTAAAGGTGTGTATAGCTTTTGTGGTTAAAGACTGGTTGAATAGGATGATAGAGGGGGAGATGATAGAGAAGACAAGTAAGCGTAATTAGCTAGAAAAAGGTTTATATTTACTTAATTTTTAGATAGGGCTGCTAAAATGTGAGGAAACTACCAGATTTAGGTAGCACTGTCAATGGTGGCCTACTTTGGGAACAGGAAGAACCAGCAACGGCGCTTGTATTTGAGATACTAGAACTAGAGGGGGAAAGGAGAAGAGGAAGGGGGAGGAGCTACTGTAGCGACCTGTCTACTCCTACGCAAATCTCTATCCCATCTATGCCCACCTTGTAGTTCGGACGGTCCTCCTCTAGTATCAAGACGGTGACAGATACTAGTTGACCAGGCGAGATAATGATATTCGATGGGATCCCACTATAGGGTTCCGGTCTGAACAAAGACTAAAGCTTACTCTTCTCTTCTAAGCAAACAACCCCTTTTATGGGGTAAAGTTTAGATAGGATAGGATAGAGGGTTAGATAGAGTAGGAGGATCTGCTGTAATAGTTCCTCTTCTTCCTCTTCTCTTCTTCGGCGCTAGTTATTACTTAGCGGCTAATTATTACTAGATTAAGGACCTTACCAATATTGTACATCCGCTTGCCAGGTGGATGTGGGGTACAAGACCCTGGAAATGGCGGCGGAATCGAGTAAAAACTTTCAGAGAATTTCGCTCACAAGAGTCGATGCAGGCAGTTAGTCTTTCGATGAGGTTTTCCCCATACTTTCAAGAAAATATCATTATGGTAGCTTGCTGGACCTGGCGGATGTCACCAGTGTGCCCGCTTCTATGTAAAGACGAGAAACCGCCTTTATTATGCATCATGGAATTGATATTAATCGCTCATGTGGAAAAGAATTAGGCACACCCCGTAGGAAGGCTCAACGCACGCTCAGCCGTTCCACGTCTCTTCGCTCTGCTCAACATGGTGTTCTCTGCTGTCGTAGAGCAATGACCGTCAACGATCAACGTGCTCGATATAGATATGAATAACGAGAACTCCTTCCGCATGTAAAGCTATCAGAAGTAAAAATTTTTAGGCCGCTTTGGCCTCGGACAAGTAACGATGAAGCCGAGGCGAAAACTCCTGAGACCCCATAAGGTGCCGCTGGCCACCGTGCAGTTTCCAGTTTGGCATCCTTTATCCCACGCGTAGACGCTTTCCGTCTCTTGATTCTATTCCACGTAGTTCTCTCTTTGCTGCTCGTGGTCGCTTTGAGATGAGCAGACGTTTCAACGTGGAGCGATGGAAGTCGATGATCAACGCCCGCCCGAGCTCTTCGTTCCAAAGGACGTTTTCACGGCGAAGATCTCCATGGATTACTCCCAAGCCTTCGATTTCCTTGTCGGATCTGCGAATCTCCTGGAGAAGAGACGGGGTCAACTCCATCGTTGCTGTGCTTTCGCCTCCCCAGCCCATAATGAGCATGTGGCGAATCTGGCCAGCCCCGTGAAGAAAGTAAATTTGTGCCAAGTCGATGGTACCCAGGAATACAGGCACGGCGGACCCTTGAGCCTTCCCTAGAACCTGACATACCTGCGCTTCGCGAGAGACTTCTTTCCACAGCTCCGATGTAGTTCCTTTACCGACCACAGTATATCCATGGGTAGTAGACGTAATTTTAAATGGCGCACCGTATGCCCACAGCTTCCAAAAGGCGTGCACTGGTCAATGTCCTCATCTAGCTGTTCTTTCAGTAAAAGCACCAGAGACTCTGCGTTGATTGGATGTCTCGAGCCATCCTGACCCTGTCGATGGATTTCCACGTTTGGGCAACTATCGTCTAGGATGCCCCCAGTCTGCAGCCCGAGTAAACATCGCTGGGTGCAAAATTGCACATCGCGCCTTTGGGGCCGGTTGCCTTGGGTGAACCTAGTCTCTCGTTGACGAGCCGCTCGTTGAGCAGACGGCGAAGATGTCACTTGACTGAATCCCCGTTTGCGTCCCGTCGCTTTGTTCGAGTCGGAGCCGGAGGAATCTGGAGACTGCGAGCGTCGTTGGTCGCTGGAAGGTGTACATCCGGCTTGCGACCTTGTGCGTACTCGACGGCCTTCTGCCGTCGGAGATTCGATAGAAGACGATGACGGTTGATAGTCCGAGCTGGACTCCGGGGTTGTATACTCAAGATTGTGGTTGCGAGACTGAGGCGGGGTTTGCCGTAACTCTGCTTTAGGTATCAAAGAATGAGAGTGGTCGAAGCTGGTCTCCCAGATATGAAGTTTCGACCGCCAAAAGTTCCGCCATGCCTGGTCTCGAGTTGGGGAAAGGAAGCTCATTAGACAGAGGCATAACTCCCTTGCGATAGATGTTTGCGGTTGTCGCAAGTGTTGCCCAAACTCGTCAATTTCCGTATTTGGTTCACAGAGACGATAGTATAGTGTCGTCGGGTCATCGTGCGGCACATAAAGAAGGACTCGGGCTAGACCGTTCGTCAAAATGGAATATGCGCGCCCTTCTTGGATCATCACGTCATAAGACTGGACCACTGCTGAGTTCGCTAGAACCTCTGCATTGTATTGTAGTTTTCTCCGCGGGGTCAGTCGGAATATAGCTTTTCTGGACCAATTCTTCCCATACGTCCATAGGTCGAAGTCCGGCTCGGAGATTCTCTACCGACAGCTTGTGAGGCGGCTTATATTCGACTGTAAGGAGGAGTGTGTTGGTACTGCCATCGACTCGGTGGATACAAAATTGATCGGGTCGTGGGCGACGTGAAATTGCGGCTTCAGCTTGGTTTTCTTCTAGCGCGTTGGTATGATTTTCAAACCAGATTCCATCACCAAGCATGAACTCTTCTCGAGCTGCGGGGATCTTACACAGCTCGTCAACGATATCACGAACATGATCTTCCACAGCGATTCGCTCGTAAGTCTCGAGGCCTTGCTCACTGCTGATAGGCCGACGGGCGAACCGCCTAGCAAGATCTTCAAGTGCTACTTGGGGACTGAACAGCTGTGCGTCAGTTTCGTCCGTTGATTGTAAATAATTCCACACAGAGTTATAAACGGTCTGCTGTTGGGCGTGACACTCTGTCCATGGTCGCAGTCGTGTCGGGCAGAACTTCCCTTTTGGAAGGGGTATTGTCCCTGTAGTCGAGCGAGATGGTGATTCGACTCTCAACGGTCGGGAGAGTAGGTTGTGGCATGTGTGTATGAATTCCGCAAAGGTTGTTCGTCTACTGCGCTCTCTAAGCAACCTCCCTTCGTCTTCGGCCTGCTTTCGCCTCTCTTCGGCCTGCTTTCGCCCCTCTTCTGCCTGCAGAAAGAGACTTTTGTAGTCCGGGGAGCTGTTGTCGGCCATCGGCTTGTTGGAAGGGAAAACAATAGCTTGCAATCCACTTTTACGCGTCTAGACCAGCGTTCGAAGGTTCCACCCAGGCCCCTGGGCACCTGGGCACGATTCAGTAGCCTTATGTCAGCGGATCACGGCTCTCGGCAGGGGTATTTCTCCATCCATCAAGTGACGTATGAATGCCTAGACACCAACGCGCTCTAGTTAGCGATGCCGACTTTCAGACATTGGTTCTAAAATTATTGGCCAGGGCTTAGCACAAGGTACCTCTTGGTCTCGTCAGTAGATCGTGAAGTCACAACCTTCGAAGGAAGGGAATAAATATCAGGACCAAGGCCTCTGAGCTATTTATTACTAAATACCAACAGGGCGCAAAACTGTGTGCATACCGCTTCACCTACCCCATCAAATACTGATGTATGTTCATGGTTACGTATCCTACACCACCAATCCTGATTGGATCATACTGAAGTTGAATATACTAAATAATCAGGTTTATATAGTTACAGGTCTCCTTCGCTCAATGCGCAGTATTTCCGTGACTTGCCAGGTATACCTGATGTGGAAGTTGCAAGCCATTCTCCTTACTGAGTGGTTGAGTAACGTCCAAATCAAGAATAAGCCATCGTTTGAGAGGCTCCGATGAGTCAAAATCAGCGGGGATACGGACATGGTCGTATCCCGCAGGCTGAACTGTACCACTGAATGGACGATTTAGAATGTCTTCGCAACATGGTTCCCACCAGTTTTGACATAGCGCCGCTAGGGGCAGCCGTCGATATCGGTTACACAAGCATAGATAGCTATTCTAATCGGATGAAGCTCCATATCGACAAGACTAATGGCAAGATGAGCAACGCAGTTTTGATATAATAGTTGGCTTACAAGCAACCAACGGATTAGTCGCGGTCTAATAGAGAAGTTGAATCTCGCAGAATTTTAGGAAATCGACAGAGAGTGGGAAAGTGAGGGAGCGGATGTTTTGACACTAGGACAAGGACCGCTCACCACTCTGCCTGTCGCAACCCTAAGAACATGTACATACGAACATAGAGATACAAGAAGGAAAAATGTGCACAATGGGAGAGCTCTGGCCTTTACAGGTTAGCATACAGGCAGTTGAACTTTCTTCGGGTCCCGATAGCTCGGAGGCCTTGGTCCTAACATAGTGCTCTGATGTCTTGGCGCCGCGCTATCAGCACGTGATGTGGAGATTTTATTTTGCCGTCTTTCACCGATCAGAAAAAAAAAGTAGGAGGATTAGTTGCCTCTGGCGTTGCTACTAAATTCCCGGAGACCCAAACATACTCCTACGGGATCTCGACTCCATTGAACCGGCCAGCCGTTCTTGAAATACTCAGGATACTGCCGATTCCTTGATATCATCCGCCGTCATGCCTGGCCCCGTGGACACCGCAAAGTCCATCGCCAAGAAGCGTAAGAGGAAGCACGCTACTAAGCCTGCTACCGACGACGAAGATGTCGCTCCCGTAGCAGAAATCTCAAGCCCCGCCGTGAAGAAGTCCGCGTCCTCTTCCAAGTCGTCTGCCGATAATTCGACTAAGAAGCGCAAGGTCAGCCCTTCTGCCAGCGAGGATGAAAGCGCCGACGAGGTTGATGCCGTGGACGCCAAGGCGCAAGAAGGAAGCGATGACGAAGTTGAGAATATCGCCGATGAGAAGGATAACGTGGGCGCAGATCTACCAACTATGGAGGATGTGCGCTTGCCGCAGACTGAGGGCACCGAATTGCGAAAATTCACCGAGCTGGGACTTTCAGAGAAGACCATGCAGGGTATCAAGGATATGGGCTTCGAAACTATGACCGAGATTCAGCAGCGCACCATCCCCCCGTTGCTTGCTGGGCGCGACGTTTTGGGTGCTGCGAAGACTGGTTCCGGAAAGACTCTGTCTTTCTTGATCCCTGCCGTTGAGATGCTGAGCGCTCTACGATTCAAGCCCCGGAATGGCACTGGTGTTCTCGTGGTCTCTCCCACTCGTGAACTGGCTCTCCAGATCTTTGGTGTTGCCCGTGAGTTGATGGCTCACCACTCCCAGACGTACGGTATCGTCATTGGTGGTGCAAACCGGAGGGCGGAGGCTGAGAAACTGGCCAAGGGTGTTAACCTGCTCATTGCTACCCCCGGTCGTTTGCTCGATCACCTCCAGAACACCCAAGGATTTGTCTTCAAGAACTTGAAGACCCTTGTGATTGATGAAGCTGACCGAATCCTGGAAGTCGGTTTCGAAGATGAAATGCGCCAGATCGTCAAGATTCTGCCTTCCGAGGAGCGTCAGACCATGCTCTTCTCTGCTACTCAGACAACCAAGGTCGAGGATCTTGCTCGAATCTCGCTGCGTCCTGGCCCATTGTATATTAATGTCGATCATCGCAAGGAGCATAGCACTGTTGAGGGTCTGGAGCAGGGCTACGTGATCTGTGAGGCCGACAAGCGATTCCTGCTTCTGTTCTCATTTTTGAAGCGCAACCTGAAGAAGAAGATCATTGTCTTCTTTTCCAGCTGTAACTGTGTCAAGTACCATGCCGAGCTGTTGAACTATATTGATCTTCCCGTCCTCGAGTTACATGGCAAGCAAAAGCAGCAGAAGCGGACATCAACTTTCTTCGAGTTCTGCAATGCTAGCCAAGGAACCCTTATTTGCACTGATGTTGCCGCCCGTGGCTTGGATGTTTGTCTCCCCCGTTTTACGTCCCCCTTCATATTCATTGCTAATTATGTGCAGATCCCCGCCGTTGATTGGATTATCCAATTCGACCCTCCTGATGACCCCCGTGACTACATTCACCGTGTCGGTCGAACAGCCCGTGGTTCCAACGGAAAGGGCCGCAGTCTGATGTTCCTGCAGCCATCGGAAGTTGGTTTCTTGAAGCATCTGAAGGAGGCCCGGGTGCCCGTGGTGGAGTTCGAATTCCCTCAGTCCAAGATCGTCAACGTCCAGTCGCAGCTTGAAAAGCTCATTGGTCAGAATTACTACCTGAACAAGGTAAGCTGAACAATCACTTTCCCTACCTAACCGATATTCTAATTCATCTCCTCTAGTCTGCCAAGGACGGATACCGCTCGTACCTCCAAGCATACGCCTCGCACTCTCTCCGCTCAGTCTTTGACGTGCACAAGCTGGACTTGGTCAAGGTGGCTAAGGGCTTCGGTTTCTCCGCTCCGCCGCGGATTGATATCCAGCTGGGTGCCAGCCTGAGCAGAGACAAGAAACAAGAGCAGCAAAGCCGCCGGACCTACGGCAGCCAGCCCAAGCATAATAAGGGGCTGAAGTTCAAGCGCAAGCACGAGGATTGAAGCGATGAATTGAAATCAAAAGTCTAGGGTCATCTGCATTGTTTCTTGGGATCGGAGTTTAGTGTAGATATATCAGTTTCCATTACTTATTTCTTCCTTGGTTGCAATCCGAGTACTATGTTAAAGGTGACATGTTATCTATGCGACGATGCCCGGCATTGGAACGTGGCTAAGCCTTACCCGGGTTTGGAATGCTAGATCAGGCCATGTGGAACAAGAGACATGAAGCACCACGTGGGATTTTGTAGTCAGGCTCGAGTTTCTTGGATCTTTTCAAGTTAGTGCTTTGGCCGTAACAAAGCTACGATTGACTTAAGCTTAGCGTATGTCGAGGGAATCCTGTATGATTGAAATCGGGCCTCGGTCACAAGAAACAGCAATCGCAGCGTGGACGGGCGCGTTGAGCACTCTCCAAGCTGGCCCAACCTTCTTCCGTTCTTTGGAGGCGTTCCGCGACAAGCGAGATCTGCGGGCTTCTCCAGGCCACGGGAATAGATCCTCATAGCCGCATGGATCATCTCGCCCTTCTGAGTTTAGCCCGCCACCTCGGAAACGAATAAAAGCAAACAGTATTATCCTATACAAGCAGTCACGATGGAAACTCCAGGTGACTTGCAGCGCCCTTGCGCGCGCCCAGCACCAGGCTGTAATTGCCGGAATCCAGGCTACACAGGGCGATGAAAACCGTAAGATTCCAGAGTGTCATTGCAGATGTGATGAGTTGGCAGGTGTCAGCACCAATCACGAGAATAGGGGTCCGAGGTCGTCTGGGAGACCCGAACACTGGTTCCAACGGGGAAAATGGGAGGGAAGTGGGAAGATACGGGAGATACGCCAGTCCCACCTGAGGCTGCGTGGGCTCTGAGTGGCTCTGGGGGTGTGACGACGGAGGTGTTTGTCGAATCAGGGATCCGATGCGCTGTTCGAGGATCTGGTCCCAGCCACTCAAGTTTCCGAGATCCAGGCTGAGTGTTACCAGCTGTTCTTCCTATTGTCTTGTATGGGATTGGTATTGAATGAGAATTGGGTGTGCCTGGGGAGCTTTTTAAGTCCATCGAAACTTGTGCGAACCAAGGAACATATGACCCTCCCGCAAGGATCCGCAGCCCAAAACCAGGGTTCCGTTTGTTGACTGGTCGAGGTAAAAGAAAAAAGGAAAAGAAAATGAAATACATGTTCCTCGCAGGTAGAGTTTGTATGGGTGGCACCGCGTGACGGAACCTGAAGTGTACCTCTACACATCATATCCAGCCATCTCTTTTTTTCCCTTTCAAAAAAAAAGTAACAGAAGAGAGGCTGGGCTCTTCACCTTATTATTCAATTTATCCGGACCCCGTACTCCTCCAATGCCAATTCCCTTTCCTTCTGGGATCAATCCTCTTCTTATCCCTCGCGTGTACGACGCTTCTCTCCCTTTCTCCTTCTTCCCTTCCCTTCTCTTCATGTGAGGGATCGGCGAAGCTTGATCCGCATAGCAACCACCTCACACCTCACACCGTTGCTTCTTCTCCCCCTTCGTCCTACTTCCTTTGGTCTCGCCTCGCCAAAGTAACTGTGCGCTGGTACGCCCTTCCTTCTCTTGAGAGACCCTCAACCTATCCTTCCCCCCCCCTTCCCCTCTTCCCCCCTCCCCGGATCCTCGATCTCTCTACCCAACCACCCCCACCACTATCGTGTCAATACGGGCACGGTTGCGCTACTGGCCGCCTCTCCCTCCCCTCTTTCCCTCCCCTGCCCAGCAATTCTGCCTGACTCTACCATCCCAGAGCATGCGATTGTCGGGTTGCAAGAGCAAAACAAAGAGGAAGAGAGAATAATAAGCCAACCATCTTGTCTGCAGAATGGGGGTCAACACCCGCCGACCAATCCTACCCGCTCCTACAGAATCCCTCGTCGATACCACGGGCAGCACAACGGGCACTGATCTGGCAACTGACCTTTCTCGCCGTACAGACAAGACGTCTTATTCCATCCCGGACGACGGAAGCCCAATCACTGTTCCTACCCGGTCTCATCGAGATCGGGACGACAAACTGTCTCGTTCACACCACGATTCTCAAACCTCCCTCCTCATCGAGTACTTTGAGGGCGGGAAAGGTTCCGGTGGTCTCGCATCTCGTCCAAGTGTTCGAGTCCGTGTGACTCCTTCAGGCGGCCGGAGGTCCAAGAAAGACGATCGCCTTCACATCACCGAGTCGGGTAGCAGCCGCAAACCGTCATATACCCATCGCATCTCATTGTCCTCGCCGAAGTCAAAACAAAAGCAACTGGTCGAGTCGAACTTGGATGATCACAGTGACCTGTCGAACAACTCTGTGGAGGAAGGCGATCACCCGTCCCGGCTGCCTGTAGAAATCGAATTCCTCAGGCGCGAACGGGGCAGCGAAATCTCTGGCTTGTCGCGCGACGCCCGCTACATGCCTCCCTCATCGGATATCTCCTCCATGCCCGCCGACAGCATGTTGGACACCTCTTCGGCCGGTCCGCGACGGAAGCGGAGCCAGAGCGCAGAGCGCGAGGCACCCGAAGAAGATCCGAATCTCCTCAAGACACCACGGCGACAACGAAGTCGCAGCCTCAGCACCGAGCGCATTGCTCATCGGGTTGCGGAAAAGCTTAGTGGCTCGCCACAGGAGACCTCAAGTGGCAAGAAGAGTCGGAGCAGGAGTAAAAATGTTGGCAAGGAATATCTGGAAGCCGAGCCAACCAAGCCATCGCGCCGAAGACGGCAAGTCTATGGCGACGAGGACGCTGGTCTCACAAGCCCAGAATCAAGCCTACTCAGCACATCGGCTGTATCATCGAACCGAAAATCTGGGGATCAGCACTCTATTCGCTCGGGCGCGTCCAAATCTTCTATCAATAATCCTAAATTGTTGGAAACTGTGGAGGATGCCATCCGTCGGTTGATTCTGCCCGAGCTTAAGGAGCTGAAAAAAGATCAGAAGGTCATGTCGAACAAAACCAAGTTTGAGCGTGATATTTCATCGTATTCATCTACAAGTTCTCGAGATGAGTTGGGTCGACGACTATCAAAACATGCGAGTGCACCAGACGTCATGAAGCCCAAGGTCGTCCTCAACAAGGATAGCAAAGATGAGGGCATCGTCCTATCGGGTGAGCGTGAGCCCTTTTCTCAGAACAAGGAACGCAAGTCGAGCAAGAGCAGTGAAACTTCGGACTCTGCATGGGTGAAGTGGGGCCGGCCTGAGCTCACTGAACAAGAGAAGCTCCGAAGGCAAAAGAGTAAAGGTTTGCGCGACGCTCAAGCTGCCGCCAGAGTGGGGTCCGCATTAACTGCTGCTTCATTGAAGCACCATGATTCACAGTCCAGTCTCGGTGAAAGAGAACGGCGCGGTAGTGAATCACAGCGAGGCAGTGAAGCTCAAGGCGCCAAATATAATGAGACTGAGCTCCTCTTCCAGAAACACAATGTTGCGCCTATGCCTATGCGAAGTGCAATCGACTCTGAAATGACAAGAGCCTCTCTACTCTCTGAGCGTACCGAGAGTCCTGCGCCTCGTCAAAAATTCTCTTTCGAGGACCAACCTGGTTCGCCTCGTCAACTTTCCTCTCCTACTACCCGCACTCCCAATCGCACTCCACTGGATCCTCGCCACGAACTCGGCATGGGCCACGGAAATCCATCGCAGCGAGATATCTCCCTTCACAGCACCTCAGACCACGACATGCGTGCGAAGAGCCAATCGCCCGGTAGCGACTGGGCTATCGCTGAAGCAGCAGCAGCAAATCTGCTGGATGCTGCCCAGCCAGCCAAGCACGACCCGTATGAAACTGGTCGCCAACTGAGTCCCATTCAGAGCGTTGCCAGCGAGCAGACACAAACACACGGCGCAGAGCACCCCAACAAGCACTACTCCGAGGCAGAAAAGGATATGGAGCCTCGGCTGTCCATTGATTCTTTGTCTTCTGCCCCCAGCACCAACCTTGCTCGATCCACTCGTCAAGATGGCGCCAGTCCTCGAAGCCAGGATGGATTCTCGAAGAATGGCGAGAGCCACGAGCTTGGCTACGAGCAAACGCCCCGAGTTTCAGGCATCTTCGGGCCTGATGATGAGGAATCCAGACTCTCTATTGGTGTTGACAGCCAGATGATGGACGAAAGCGATGTCGATTTCATGGACAAGGTCAAAGAGGGCCAGCACGTCGCAGCACCGACTGCAGCAGTTGCCAATCCTCAATTTGTCCACCCGGAAGGCATTGAATCTGCCGTTGCCTCTTTGATGGACCCTCCGTCTACCCTCGAATCCTATCAATCCAACCGCTCTCAGACCGATCTCGCGCAGCGCTCTGGCAGTCGCAGCCCTGAGAAGCCTGAGAGCGAGGGATACCGTGGCAGCCCTCTCAAGCAACGCCAGGATGCCTCCAGCCCTGATAACTCGTCTTTCCCTCGTCGCATGGGAGTCACTTCGCCTCCTCAGAGCGTGACCCAGTCAATCGAAGATATGGAGGAAGCTGGAGTGGCTGCTGCGGCTGGCCGCGGCATCGAGAGTCCGCTTCCAGAGGACGAGCAAAGCCAGGAATCCGAGTCGGAGATTAACACCAACCCCTCAATCATCCAAGGCCCAGCTGGTGGCAACCGTGACCATTGGGCGTATGATGCCCGATCTCCGCCCAATGGGCAGGTTCCTTACTACCACCCTGCTGTGCAGGCTGGAGCTAAGGACCTTCGTCCAGGCCAGCAGCCAAGCCTTGACGCCGAGTACTATGAAACCGCTCGAAACATCTTTGGTGGCGACGATGAATACTACCCTGACAGCCAAGCTCAGAACTTGTTCGGCACACCGCCTGGCGCTAGCAAGGACGAGGGGTATGTCTCTGCTGCCAATCCTATGTCTCCTAGCGTTGGCACTCCCAAGCAAGGAAACCGAGCCCTCGGTGGTCCTGGTGCCGCGTTTGAGAGCCCAGAACTTGACGATTCCTTCGGCGCTGGCCACCAACGTCATTTCAGTGGCTACTCCCACGGCGTTGGCTCTCCAATCTACGACAGCGCTACCGGCGCGGGAATCGACAGAATCAAGTCCAAGGACATCATTGCTCTGATGGACCATCTCACTGTCCGAGATGCTCAGCGCAATGCGCGTGACACCGAGATCCTCGTGACCCTCGTCCGGAGTGCCGCAGAAATGCGGAACTCCTTCGAGGAAATGAAGAAGTACATCGCTCAACAGGATGGTCTTCTTATGGACGCCAATGAGAAGCACCACGAGCGCACCCAAAAAGCCCTCGGTGGTCCTCGGCCCCTGCCCCCCAGCGCATCCCGAGGCCGCCAGTTCAATCCAGCGGAAGAAGATGATCTGCAGTCCAAGCGGAAGAACATCTTTCAGCGCGCGCTGAAGGGTCTTAGCCTCAAGTCAGGCAATGACTTGGCCAGAGTTGAGGGTATGCTTGAACAGCTGTTGGACGAAGTTGAGGCGTTGCGAAATGGAAATGACATTCCTCCCCCTCGCATGAGCGTTCGGACTGGAAGTATCGACACCAATGGCTATGAGACTAAGGGCCAGAACGGTGCTGTTTCTGTGACCCGCTCACCTCCTCGCGTAGCCAACGGCGACCAGCGTGTCAGCACTGTCCCCGAACAAGATGAAGAAGAGGATGAAGAGCTGGATGAGAATGATGCGTACATGACAGCTCACTTGCCTGTGCGCGAGCCTGCTCGCCACGAGAGAGCTGGGTCTCTGCCCCTCTCCACTCCTCCCCGCAAGCCTGTCGCTACTGGTCCTCGCAGCACCGAGACCACCCCCCAAGGCTGTCGACAAGAAGCATAAGCACAAGTCGAGCAGTTCATCCATCTTCCCAAAGATCTCTCGCTGGTCGAAGAGCACTGCCACTTCCATGGGTGACAACTTCCGCAACAGCATGCAGCCTGCCCGAAAGGAGCGCCCCCTCTCAGGGATGTCTCGTTCCGGTTCTGATCTTGCCCTGGGTGCTTACAACAAGCCCGGCGGTTACTACGATCCCGAGGGCGATGATCGCATTCGCTCCAACTACACCCTTGAGGATAACCAGCAGGAGAACCGCCCTCCGTCCCCGCTTGTGCCTTCCGCTGTCTCCGAGGCTCCCAAGTACCGCGCGCACCGCGGTAGTCTCGATCTGAAGCACCCTCAGCCTCGCCAGGGCCCTACCGGTCGCTACCAGTCCGCGCTAGAGAGCCAGGCTCAAATCTACACTACTCCTGCTTCTCCCAACTCGGAACAGTGGGGGTCTAACCATAGCTTGCCAGCTGTTCAGAACCACAACCGCTACAGCGGTGGCAGCCGCCTCTCGCCCATCTCGGACGCTGGATATTCCGAGTCTAGCTCTCGCCAGCCCGGCCCACCTCGTCCTCCCAAGCTCAAGGACAATGGCCCCTTGGTGCCAGAGCGTCCTCCTAAGATCCGCGAAGACGAAGAGCCATCCTACGGTGACCGCGCCGTCTCACGGGTACGGTTCCATTTCTGTCTCTCTTCTATCCATTGTCATCACTAATTCGCAAATAGGGCTCCGCTGTTCACTCTCCACCAACCCGCAAACCAACTGGCCCCCGTCCCCTGACATCTGGCGGAGCTTACAGTCCCAGCAATATCAAGCGCACGCGCTACCGTGGCAGCCCCATGCAGATCGACTATGACGACGACTATTAAGCATTGAGATACCCCCGGGCTGCACCGCCCTTGCGTGAACCGCTTGTCTGGTCTACTCTTATGATTGTGGCATGTTTCTTTTTTTTTTTACGTTTTACCCCTTTATCTATGAGCGTTCTCCGTCCTCCCCTCACGAAATCACGACCTTGATTCTACCCATCCTGTCCATTTTCGAGGACAGTGCAACTCTTCCACCTGTACGTTGAGCGTCTGTGTCCTGGCATTTGCGACAGTGCTCTTGCACTCTGTGTTCATAATAGGCTTCAACCTGGGCCGGGCAGTTTGTTTCTTCTTTGCCTGCTACTCGCCTTCACTTGCATTTTAGCGAGGAGCTGAAGCAGAGTATCCATTTTTTTTTTTCATGTAGTTTTTTGTGGGTGTAGATATTACGGGATATATCATGTCCTGGTCTGTGTGAAAATACATGAATCCTCTGTTCTGAATTCTTATTTCTTGGTATACTAGTATGCCATTGAACTCATATATAGTAGGCCAGTTGATCTACGTCCCTTTATATCATTCAATGCTAGAACGGTGTGATCAAGCGGGAAAGAGTTCATACTTGGACTCGACTTTCAACGCGGACCTAGCTTCCAAGAGCAATGCCACATAACCAAAGGTTCACATCATAATAAGGCTAGCAGTAACAACATACGCTAAGCATAAACCCACTTCTTCCAAACCGGGAACTCCTCGCTAATAATCCGAAAAAGGCCTCACAGTCGTCGTCCCCTTCTCCCGAAACGCATACTCCGCCGTCGCAAGCTCACTAAACTCCATCCCCTCGCTCACCGGAAACTTCCCCGGATAACTCTCGGTAGAATGACACTTCTGCCTGCCCCCAAACTTCGAACGTACCTGTCGAGCCCCCTCCGCTGCCGCTGTCCTCGGTTCAAGCGCCCGCTTCGCGGCCGCAAGATCCCGCGGTCCCTCCAGCGATAGCAGCGAGATTGCGGGCGATTTAGAGCCCGGCCGCGCGTTCTTGTACACCGCTGCCGAGGGGAGCGCGCGCGGTATACTCAGCTGCGCATCTTGAAAGTCATCTTCCTGGTCTGAGCGTTCGCTGTTTTCTTCCTTGGGCGCCAGAAGGCGGGATGCATTGATACCCTGCTGGGAAGGACTCGGGGCCCTAATGTCCACTATAGCGGACAGGGGTGGACGGGTGGGCGAGTGTGCTGTTACCCGTTTTCCGGCATCGTAGACGGTGATGCTTGTTTTTGAGCGTGAAGGCTGTGGGGTGATGGTGGAGGCTTCCACTGTGCGGGCGACGAGCTGGACGTGCTCTGGTGCGGTGATTGGGGAGGATCCTGGGATGGAGGGCCGGGTGAAAGACGGAGGGGTCACGGGTCCAGTGATGCCATGGTTGATTGTCCTGCCGGCGTATGTTGCTGCTGCTGGGCGCAAAAGGTTCTCGGTGGAGAAGAGGCTGGTGTGGGGGGGAGAGTGGTATCGCGCGAAGGGCACGATGCTGAGGATTATGTCGACGGTGAGTCGCTCGGCATGCTCGATTGAGTGCTGGAAGGGTGGGAATTCCCGAGGTGAGGTCCAGCATGGCCGGGCGAGGAAGGATATAAAGTAGATTGTCTGGAGGTAGCAGAGGGCTAGGATCAGAGAGCAGGTTGTCCAAAGGGTGATTGGGAGGACGGCGTGGGTGCCGGGCGAGGGCTTGTAGGTGACCAGTGGCATTCTGCAAGAGAGCAATTGGAGTTTTACATATGTAGGGGCTGAGGTCTAGGATTGGAAAAGGCATCGCAGCCTGAGGATAACACGGGTTAACTGGATGGCCTGTTCTATAGACTCGGAAGGAGCGAACGAGCGTTGGCCAGAAGGGAAGAACACCTGAGATAAGACGAGGTTGCAAGAGTTCAGTTTGCAGCAGTGTGCATTTTAGTAGTGTGATATGGGTGATTGAAGGGTACTAGTACAGGTGGGAAATCTTCATCGCTGATCAATTGAACCTGCATACTCTATAGAACGGGTCGTTGGCGGCGGCGCATATCAAATGGCTAGTCCGGGCCCGCTTCTCCCCCCCACTTCATGCCATGACAACCCCGCGAGCTGCCAGTGCTGTACAGTCGCTCTTCTCAATGGCTTCCTCTCGCCCGCGCCGGTTTGCCCCGCTTGATCCCGGCCAGCAGTCAGATGCACCGCTCTTGAAGGGCATCGTATTTGATGTAGATGGGACCCTATGGTGAGGCTATGGCTCCATCCCCTCGTTGCCTCTCTGGGCAGCGGAATGCTCAGCATCGGTTGTACCTCATGCCATTTGGTCGCTTTTATCGGTTGTCGGCGATATCTTTTTGGATCTTGTATCCATCTCAAGAGTCTCGAGGACTGCGCACAAGTGACCTGGAGTGCATGACCGGTCTGACTCATTCGTCTCATTCGTCTCATCTACTTTCCAAGCACTGCTAACATGAAGTAGCTTACCGCAACATCATATGTTCAAGGAGATGAGGTAAGTATGTCAGAAGCTTTCATCTTCCAAGACGTCTGGCTTCACTTCCCAGATTCGTACGCGCTTATGGATTCCTGACGCATCACAGGGATGCCCTCGGAATCGATAGCAAGACTGACATCTTGCATCATATACGGAGTCTCCCCAGCGATACAGAGCGCGCCGTGGCCACGGAAAAGGTGCGGGCTGTAGAGCGCCGCGCCATGGTCGAGCAGGAGCCGCAGCCCGGATTGACACGGCTGATGGACTACTTGCAATCACGGGGCCTGCGGAGGGCTCTCTGCACGCGAAATTTCGAGTATGTCTCCGGCTATCTTTTGATACCAAGCATGATAGCGCTCATCTAGTAATTTCCGTGAATTCCCGCGGGAAAACACCACACGTTGAAGGCCATATCCTAACGCCGTACCAGAGCACCGGTGCAATATCTCATCCAGAATCATTTGCCAACACATGTCTTCCTCCCTATAATTACACGAGATACTCCCAACGTGATTCCCAAGCCGGATCCAGCGGGCATTCTGCATATCGCGCAGGAATGGGGTCTGACGAATCGTGCTGAAAATCTCATTATGGTGACTATCTCCATATCGTCATACTTCGAGCCGATCTAACTTCATTAGGTCGGTGATAGCATTGATGACATGACGTCTGGGCATGCTGCTGGCGCGGCGACTGTGCTTCTTCTCAACGAACGCAATATGCATCTCAAAGAGCACGCCCATACTGATGTATGTATCAGCCGACTTGACGAACTAATCGATATCCTCGAGCGGGGATTTGTTGCCCAGAAATGATGAATGGAAGCGTCGAAGATCAGACATAACCCCATGCCATGTTCTGTTGTTCTCCAGTTGGAGACTATACTGTACTATCAAGATTTCTCAAAGGCACTGGGCCTGGGCACACCTGAAATATTCAAATCTATGGCGGCGTCATCTTCCAGACCACGATAAGATACGGCTACCAGTTTTAGAGTGTGGCGTAAATGTTTGACAAAGGTATCTTGAACAATGCTCGTACATACGTTAAGCACTGGCCTGTGCTATCCTCCTATTTTCCTCGGCGACCAGGCTTCCCACGCCCTTTTCCACGGCCGCCACCTCGAGAAGGTGGTGGAGGACGAGAGGCACTGGGGGCAAACGGAGGTGGCTTTCCCTTGCCGCGCCCAGAGCTCCGAGAATTGTCAGGTCCAGAGCCATTCCGGACAGTGAAGCTGTCTCCGAAACGGATAGTGCCACGACCCCCACCGCGGGCACCCCGAGCACCACGTGCAGCTGGTGGTTGTCGGCCCTTACGTGGTAAATTATCTTCACTGGAGGAGAGTGTCTGCGCCTTCGGCCTGTGTGGGTTTCCATCTCTGCTGTAGTCTATTGGTTCCGGGCGCTTCCTTGGGGCCTTGTTCAGATCAACAATTTTGATCGAGGGGTCGATGCCCTTCAGCGTCAATGATGTTTGAAAGGGCTTAAGGTTAGGGCAATCACCAATGAGATGGGCTTGACTGAGACAATGGGCACATGAGATCGAGACGTGGATCTCCGTTGGGGCTGGAATAAGGGCTCGCGTTGGGAACGTCCAGATGCTCTCACACTGGGACTCGAGATGCGGCCAGCCACATAGATCACAAGGTACCTCAGTCACAGAGCCCTTCAATTTTGAAGTGCAATCTTTTTCATCGTGGCCTTTTTCTCGACACCTCTGGCATCGCAACCAAGTGGGACATCGATAGTTTGGATGTTGATTCCAGGCACCGCAATGATCACACTGTTAAATAAACATTGATTAGTTCATGAGGCCAACTCGGCGGCTCTTTCGGGTTAATCCACGTACCTCTCTGGCGGGGCAAACATCAGTCAGATGGCCATGTTGAAGACATTCGGTACAGCCCACGGGGAGTTGCATATCAATACCGTCACTGTCTCGGTCCCAGTAGATGTACTGCACTTGAATCTGCAATTCTTCTTCGTCCAGGTCAGCCAGGGTCACTGGTGCGGTTGGGTATTTCTTGGCAAACTGTTGGAAAGCAGCTTCTTTAGACTGGGACCGCCTAGGATTGGATGTAGCGGAAGACGCTGTCTCGGGTGTTTGACCGTTGGCGCCATTTACTGTCCCATTCCCAACCTCCATTTCCGCGGGATCGTAGTCGTCGCTACCAGCTCCATCCTTTGTGCCGATGTTCAACAGCATTGAGTCGTCTTCTTCAGAGTCCAGAGACCCTGACGAGTCTGACTCAATGTTGATTGATTCATCGTCTGACACTTCTCCTTCTGAACGGCTGTCACTGTCCTCTTTGCCATTGACTATGTCGCTCGCTTCATCGGAGGCAGAAGCACTGCCAGCCCGCCAGAATGTATTCACATCCTTAAACTGGGACTCGTCTTGCTTGGCCTTCTTGTCCGGTCGCTCCTTTTCCTGAGGTTCCTTTGGCCCCGACTGCCTTCCGGCCGGAGTCTTGCGTTTTCCCAAAGTTGTGCGTACTGCGGCCTTTCTTCCCGAGTTCCAATTGATGACTGGCGCGCTCCCAGCATGAGGGTTGGCTACGACCTGGCGCTTGCCCATCTCCGCGTCGCTGTCAGACTCGTCGCTCGAGCTAGATCCTGAACTGGAAGTTTCATCGGGGTCTACCGCGAGAGTATCAGCACTAAACGCACCGCCACGGGGAACAAAGTCGGTCACATCGCTGTTTGCGCGGGAACGGTTCCGCCGTCGCCTCTTTGCGGGGCGATCCTCATTGTCGCCGGAGTCTCGGGCGGAGTTGGGATAGGACCGAGATCGTGGCGCGTTGATCAATGCTGTTCGCGAGTCAGCATCATCCTCGGTGTTGGCCATGCTGGGAATGGGAGGCGAAGCCAGCAGCGCAAGCAAAATGATCTGGATGAGAAAATCGCGTGAAACCTCGATTGCCGACGGAAATTTTACGGTAGGCGCGTGGGACCGCTGGTGCAGGTTTGGTTCGGGGCTTCCAGTAACTTGGGGAGGCTTAGGCGGTGGGCCGGTGACATTTCAATATTCGTCGCCTGTGCAGAACAAGGCGCAATTTTGATTGGGTGCTTCTATTGTTCTGTGTTCTTCTGTGGCAGTAATCGTTGGGGGAAACCACTAGTATGAGTCAACTTCATTACGGGTTGTGGCGGCAAAACAGAGATAGCAGGAGCGAACAGTGGCACATAACAACTATATTATTATTCTTCTTTTCGAGTTTATAGTGTATATGGGGCATAGGTAGACTTATCAGCCAGGACTTGTAAATAAAATCAGAATAAAGAATTCCAGCGCGGAAATGAGGGACCGCAAAAGGGGTCGATCCCATCTGGGGCGATCTCGTCCCCAAAAGTACACAGTACAAAAAAAGACACGGATTGCTGGAGCTTGCACGTGCTTGGAGCCAACCACTTGGGCTTAGTTTCTCATTGAGCTTTCGGCGATCTCCTGCATCGAGACGGTCTGTCCAGCTACTCCCAACGCCTTGCGAACGCGAACCGTCTGGAGCAGCCCCGTGACCAATAGGCCCGCCTTTCTCTAGTTCTGGGCCGCGTGTGCCACTTCCATCCCCACGCTCCTTTTGGAACCTTGAACCCCAACAACCCCCCCCTCGGCCATCATCCAAGCTGGCTTCCAACACCAAATCCTCCCTGTTGGTTTCTCGCACCATCTCTTTCTCTGCCGAGATGGACGGACCACAGCGGCTTTCCCCCCACACCCCGAAGCAGGGCCGTCGCAGGCGCTCCTCCAGCATCATTTACCAAGAACCCCCCGAATCCATCGAGCACACAAGCGACCAGGCAGCTCTCCCGAATCTCAATGCCAACTGGGTCAACGCAAAGGGTAAGTCGAATTGGCGCTCCCTTCCTCACCGGTCCAGCCCGGATGAGACACCGTGGGGGCAGTTAAATTTTGCGGCCTCTTCGGGGGAACCGCCTTACATGAGGCTGTGAGGCTAACGAGCATGTTCTGACACGACAATAGGAGCCTGGACAATCCATTTCGTCCTCATCGCGGCGCTGAAAATTTTATTTGACATCATCCCCGGTGTATCGCAAGAGACCTCATGGACTCTTACCAATATCAGCTACATGTTTGGCTCGTTTCTCATGTTCCACTGGGTGCGGGGCATCCCATTTGAATTCAACGGCGGCGCCTACGATAACCTCAATATGTGGGAGCAGATCGACAATGGTGATCAATATACCCCGGCGAAGAAGTTCCTGCTCTCCGTGCCTATCATGCTCTTCCTCCTGAGCACCCACTATACCCACTACGACCTCACCTACTTCACCATCAACTTCCTGGCTACGTTGGGAGTGGTCGTTCCGAAGCTGCCATTTGTAAGTTCTGTCGAGGAGCTGTTCGGCCATTCAGGCTCTTGCTATTTTGCTCTCCTGCCCCGTTTCAACCGGCATCCACTAACCTGTTCTCCAGTCGCATCGGTTGCGAATAGGCCTCTTCTCCGACTTACCGGATGAGCCATAGTATTTTTTTTGCCGTTTATCTTCTAGTCTCGCTACATTGGCGTCTGTCAGCCTTCGGCCTTTCACACACCGTCTCCTTCAAACCTCTCGAATCGAATCCTGTCCCTTGCTATTTCCGCGAAAAGAGTTCCTCGCATTGCGTGTTGACCCACGGAATCTATTTTATTTTTTTGAATCCGTCAGTGGCTTGTCAGCTTCTCCAGGTTTCCGTCCTTTCCCTTGGCAAATATGGAGATGCAGCCCGTGGCCCCCGGCCTTTAGCTCCAGCCTGTCCTTTGTCTAGATGTTTTCTGTTTTAGAGCCCTGCATATCTCTTATACCACGTGTTTATTCAATCCACACGCTCGGTGCGTCGGTCCTGCTCTTCTTGTGCGTAGCTGGATTAAACTGGGTCTGAAAAAGCCAAGCAATGCAAGTCATCTGTTTAGCTCGGACCGTGCGGGGATCAAGGATTAAGGGGGTTTAGCGTCAGATGGTGCGGCCGCCTGCTCTCATGAAAAGGCTGCGGTTGGGATTGGCCATTGTTCGATTGCTGATTATCCTCTGTTCTTACTCGGCGCGCTTCTCTTCATTTCTTTTTATCTCTTGTAGAGCCGAGACGTGCCCATATCTGGGGAACGATTTATATCTTTGTTCTATACTTAGACAATTTCGATTTGAAGCGGTTTGATTATTATGGCTTTTTTCCGATGCTACATCTGAATGAGATATTTGACAAAGACTTTTCGATCGCCACGCTCCTCTCCCTTGTTCTGTTCTAGCATAGGGGCAACGATCGCATATCATATTGCCTTGAGGTCTTTGGCTTACCGCCCAGAATCCATCAATATGGAAGTGTGATAGGAGCAAAGAAGTCCCGTATCGTACAGCTGAGAGTTGGAGACGTGTACGATATTCAAAGGTGGTAAGTATCAACCTTCGAATCGAAGCTGCGTCAAACTTCTTATCAAGTTGGCGTCGGTAGTGCAAGTTTCATGGAAGTATAAACTTGAAAGCGCCAACAGCGGGCGAAAACGCAACACAAATAGCCACAACCAGATCAGCTCAATGTTCTCACCACTACCTAGTTATACTTTGACGACGACTCCAGCATCCTACACACTGTCGTCCGCTCTCTTGACTCCGAGTCTTGACTCTCCCCAGATTTGTACACCTTCCTCACCCAAAGCCTGACTAATCGTTATCGATAAGAGCGCGTCAAGACGCGAGACAGCAACGATGTCACTTTACCGCGAGGGACAGACGACGGCCATGGGCCCCCCAGCAGGTCAGGCGTACCGAACGCCTATACCCCTGCCCTTCGAATTGGCCCAGCATACAGGGATTTTCTTCGAGGAAAAGCTATGTGCGGGACTATTCTCCCCGACTCCTGCCCCGCAATTCGAACTAACAGATTCTAGATACCCAAGCCTTGACCCTCCTCTTCAACACACTCTCGTCAGGGACGTATGCCTCGAAACATGCGCTTCTCCCACGACCGCAGCATCTTTCTCTTGCTGTCACCCTCCTCGTCCACCCGTCTACTACGACTCGGGCTAAATCCGCCGAGGAGAAAGAGGCTGCCGGTGCTGCGCTGAGGTTACTCCGTCTTCTCATTACGCTTGTGAGGCCCCAGGAAGCTGGGCTAGGTGAGGCGTTTAGCTTCACACTTGCGTCGTCAAGGTCCGGCCGTCGGCAGAATGCGGAGAACAACTCTGCTTCGACCGAGAGCGAGCATGTCAAGGGATTGCAGATCGATTTAAGCACCTCTAATTCACTCTGGACACGTGCACAGGACTTCTGGCATGCCGTGGGGTGGGCTTTCAATTGCTCGGTGAATCATCCGGAGAGATGGGAGCGATGGCAGATTTGGCTTTCGTTCATGTGCGACGTTATCGAAGACGACTGGAACGACAGAGTAGCAGCGCTCGAAGCAGAGGAGGGCACGGAACAATCGGAGACTGAGTCAGACCATAGAAGGTCCCGAGTAAAGGAGCGCGGGGACCGCACGGTTCTTCGCGAGAGTCTCCTGTACCAGTACATGACATCTGGAGCGTCATCGGGGCGATTGCGCAGGATTACAAGGGCAATTTTCGCGGATGGCAGTTCTACCTCAGTCAATGAATTTGGACAAGTGTTCAGCACGGAATTGAAGGCCCTAGGGACGAATGACAAGACTGAGTCGGTCAAGAAACGGGTTCGCGAGGTGAACATTGACCAGGAAGAATATGGCGACTACTTGGAGGATGAGACTGATGGCGACAATAATGACTTCCCTGGCCTTGATGGCTTACCCTCCGTTGCTTCGACTCCTCAGTCGGCTGCCCCAAATGGAAATGCTCGACGGTCGAAGCGGACAAGACGAGGAACACGGAGTGCTCCCGACCCAGCAGGCGCACAGCCTGTCAAGACCGCCGATGCAGGGCAGAGCTCTCACGGTACCGGCGTGTCGTCTATGGGTGGAATCCATGCTATTGGATTGCGCAAGCGGCTTCTCCAATTCCTGGCCCAGGCCGCCTCCTTCCTGCCAGGCGATTTTGAGCCCGTGTATAATCTATTCCATCTTTTCGTGGAACACATACGCCCGCTTCCCCTTCCCGTCTTCCAAGCTATTGTCAGCCCCTTCGTTACGCCTGAGCTCAGTGACGCAGGCCAAACTACCCTGTGCGAACTCCTGATAGCCCGCCTGCAAGAGAGCGCCGCGCCTCGATCGGACGAGGATTACATGACACAGGCCAAGCTAGAGGATTGTTTACTCCCATATGCAGCGGCTTCGTCTACCGTGGCTGACAACGCCAAGATTTCTATTTTGCTTGAGGCTCTTATTATCCTGCTAGCGGACGACGGAATGCTCGTTATCACGCCCACGTTCAAGAAAGCGTTGGAAAGTGGTATCCAGCGCCGGAGTGAGCAGCTGGACGGTGGAAGCCGCCGTGGTCGAAAGAACGATAAAAAGAGTAGTGGTAGTGACTCGTTTGAATTGGTGTGTTTAATAGAGAGTGCAGAGAGACTGGTCTACTTGATGGACTTGGTGCCGCAGGATAATGCTACAGGGACGACGTTTTGAAGACCGGTTCTCTTCATGGTGACGATTCTCATGAATTATGTGTGACTTGGCGTGGCTTTTCATCTTTCCTCTCACATCTCTTATGGATATATAGAATATAATGACAATATGGGTGCATACTAGTACTCTTTCTAGTACTAGAAGATTTTACAGACCATTTGATTGAACTTTCAAGCTACTTTGATTGCGAACTTGAGCTCGAAAATACTAGCTTGGCATACGCGGTCAATGCTGGACCAAGAACAGGGTTGGAAATTCAAACTTGGAGAAGATATAGTAAACAAGCCGGGGGAGAAGAAGTAAATAGACCGGGAACAACCATCCGGATCGCCGTCGCAAAGAACAGGGGAATAAGACCAATAGAGCTACAGCCTAGACATATAGCAAGAATAAGACCAAATGAGACCCAAGAAAAGTGAACAGTGCCTAGTCCAGCAGAACACTCCTGCTGGATAGCGAAAAAATGCCGGCCAGAATACACTTATGGAGGAGGACGAGGGCCAATGATCTGGCGTCGAGCACCTCCAACGCCAAGGCCAACACCGCCGCGGTTCTGATTATCACCGCCCATGTAGCCATACTGATGGATATCCCAGGATTGGCCGGGGCCCGAGCCAAGAGTGGTGTCGCGCGCTGCGGCTTGCGTTTGCTTCTGGTTTTCTTCCCATTCGCGCTGGCGCTCGCGCTCGCGCTCCATTTCACGCTCGAGGAGAGACTTGGAGGCCCAGCCACCGGCACGGGTTTTCTGCTGTGAGGCCTCACGCCGGCTGTTCTCTGCGTCGACTTCTGAGGTAGTGCTATAGTCTTGTGGGCGGTGTGTCCTCGGGACCGAGACTGTTGGTGCAGGGTTGGAATGCAGGAAGCGATCAGTGCGGTTTGCATTGTACGCTACCGGGTCTGGCAGAGGGCGGGAGGCGACGGTGGGTGGGGTTGGAAGATTTCTAGGAGGAATGACAGGTTGCTTACCTGCCACAGGCTGGGGAAGAGGACGTGGAGGCGGAGGTGGACCTTCTTCTTCAAATTCCTCCGCACGTTCAGGGGCCGGGGGAGCTTCTTGGTTTCTTTGCCATTCTCCACGGAGCATGCGACGCTCTTGCTCGAGAGACGACAGGTCGTAACTGGGCTTAGGTGGAACAGGAATGGGACGCTGTCGAGGCTGTGCCGAAGACTTGACACCTTCTTGGTGAGAGTTTCGGCGGCCAGCCTCATATTCGCGCTCACGCGCTTTGGCTTGCTCCAACTCCCGCTCGAGCTCTTTGATCCGACGGCTTTCGGGCGTTTCATCAGGAGACCCGCCATTTGCGGAAGCTTGGCCAGCTTGATATTGGCTAAGGAATTGCCCATTCAGGCGAGAATCATTGGCCTCGCGACGGCGTTCCCGCTCTCTCTCAAGACGCTCTTCAGCCTCCTTCTCCTCGGCGAGTCGCCGTTGCTCCTCTTCATCCCAGTGTCGCTTCTCGTCGTCCCATCGCTTCTTCTCAGCCTCCATCTCCAGCCGCTCCTTCTCCCGTAAACGATTGGTCTCTTCTTCCCAGCGCCGCTCCTCTTCTGCTTTGGCTTTGGCCTCCTGCTCTTCTATCTCTCGTTGGCGAATGCGCTCAGCTTGCTCCCTCTCTGCTTCCTGCTGACGAGCCAGCTCCTCTTCTTCGCGCCTGCGCTTCTCCTTCTCAGCGAGGCTTGGAACGGTTGGAGATGCGGAAGTGATTTGTCGCCGAGCGCCAAACGCAATTCCCTGGTTCCCTTGACTAGCCCCGCCCATGTAGCCATATTGGTGGATGTTCCAAGCCGGCGCGGTAGATGCTTCATCGTCTCTCCTACTCCATGAGCTATACCCTCCAGACGATTTGGTTGGACTCACGGGCCGACCCGGAGCGGCATCGCTGGCATTGCTCGCGGCACGACCCCCGCGCGTATAAGATCCTTGGCTCGAGGATCCCGTGGCACTAGGACTCAAGACTCCGCGCTTACTTTGCGGTCCGACGGTGCGTGGGAACTTTCCGGGCTGAAGCGCATTCGCTCTGCGACTAAATGCAGCCAGGCACTGCAGGACTTGGGCGGGATCCTTCGCTTCGTAGAGGTCAACGGTAAGGAAGACATCGTGCGGAGGAAGGCTGATAGGAGCAGTTTGGCAGGCGCGCAGGAAGTGTGAGATGTTTTCCATCTGGACGAATGGCATTGCGGACTGCTTAAACTTCACTCCGGGCGATACGGTCATGTTGACTAGCCTGGGTAGAGATAGGGATCAGTTCAGATTCTAACTGCATATATGGCAGGGCAATTTTTGATCCTGCAGGAATATACTCACTTGCACAGAGCCACGCCATCCTTCAAGCCCTCTAGTAAGTCTCCCGAGGGCAGCTTCTCATGCAAGGCCTCTTCAATCCAATCGCGTACCTCTGCGGCTGCCTGCGGGGTATAGCGGGACAAGCGCATATTGCGCAGGTCCTTGTCTAGCGAAGTCACCGACGCCATGATGATTTTGTATTATGGACTCTCCAGGTCAAATAGTCCCTGCGATTGAGCCAATCTGCTTAGTTGAGTAGTGGAGTCGCCGCCCCTTTTTGTAGGGATATCCCTTGTCGGAGTGTGCCTGATGGGCCGCGCGTAAAAGGTTGGGTAGCGAGGGGGTATGAAGTGGAAATCAGCAGATAAAAGGCAGTGACAAAGGCCAAAGGTCCAAGACGAGCCAACTTTCAAAGAGTGAGAGAATCGAGAGAGGGAGAAAATAGAATGGAATGCGGCCCTCTCGGGGTACTCGGGGCTGTGTTTATTGCGCGGCGGACCCGATGACGTTTCTCCTCTTTTTTTGCCGCATCCACCGTTTTCTTACTCCACGATCTTCTTGAACTGCTTCCCCACACAATGGTCAACAGTCTCTGGTTCAAGTGGAAGTCTTTGCGCCTTCCATGGCGCAAGTCTCGTCTGGTCGGTGAGTTTGTGGCATTCCGATGTTCTGCCTGCGCCTGAGATGGCTGTCGCTAACTCGCCAGTGCAGGCCAGGATCTGTCCGGAAACACCTTTTGGGAGTTCAAGGATGCCCTCAACGCGGGCCGATGGAGGCGCATTGTCAAGTTTCACCCCAAGACCCACTATTCGGATGTGAAAGTTTCTCGTGAGTTCAAACCTGCGCATAAGTGCTCTCTCACTCCACGAGTCCACAGCTGCTGACCTTTGCCGCTTAACCTCATAGCACAATGGCACCAATGGCTCCGATATGTCCGCGAAACACCCCCTAGCGTCGCGGAACAACAGCAAGATATTGTCCGCCAGGTCCAGATGAAGGAACTGGCCCGCTTGGCCGATGAACGATGGGCCAGTAAACCGTCTTTCCTCGACCAACCCAAGGCACAGCAATCGAACCCGACGATAGACGCTGCAAGCCAGAACCAATCGAATATAGCCCATGATAGCGCAGCAAATGTCAGCAAGGTGGAGAATATGCCATCTGCCCCCGCAGCCCGGACTCGCAGTGCCGAACCGACACCCAAGAAAGAAGAGAACCCGTGGTTAAAAGCTGACGCCAGAGGTCCAGGAGAGGCCTGGCAGCCGGAGTCGTGGTCGCCGAAGTCTCAACGTTGAAGTGGGTTTGGAACCTTGGACACTTGCAAATCTGTTTCATACCCAGGCCATAGGACCCATTTACCGATCCATGGGGCTCGCCATTCTGATGGGTTTACCACTGGTAGCCCTGTTATGCTGAAGCAACGCTATCCTCAAGGGATGCTTCGCATTCTTATTTATGGATTCTTCCTTCACCTTTGGTATATCACGTACGCTCTCATGGTAGCCACGAGGCACAATCCATTGAATATATCTTGGAGCGGGCTCCTGGCCCATGTATACTACTCTGTCGCTGTCTTATTAGGGCGCCCTTGTCTTTGACTAATAGATTACCCAACTCAAATCAGATTTTTGTAACAATATTTGAGAGCTTGAAGCTATTTTCTTAACACCTAGTCTAAAGGTTTCGTTATTTAGTGTTATTGATGTGGTAATAACCTTCTACTAGTAGTAGAGTGTCGACGAGCATTCGTAATTCGCAGTAATAGTGCTAGCATGATGTGGAGTAGATCTACTACGGTGGTGGGCTTTTCAGAATCTTATCATTATCGACGCCCTTCTCGGACTGAAGCTTAAGGCATTGGCTACGAGGATAGTGAAATTGATTTTGAATTGGCCACAGCCTCATTTCAATCTAGCAATCTCAATCTACCTTGTATGAAGACACGAACGCAATTTCAGAACAATGGCGCAATATCAAACCCAAGTCCAAAGCCCAAGCTCGAACAGAACCGAGAGCAAAGCCTCAAGCGCACCTCCTCTTTCTTTTTTTCTTTTTCGTCTTTTTTCGTTCATTGTTGAGCTTTCCTCATGACAGCCCCTTTGACGTTGCTTCTCCTCATGGTCATAAATCATCCAAGTCACCAAACCGTAGAGACAAGCCCCTGAATAGGTCAAACTCCCTTCATAGCTAATGCGTACCAACTGGACAAAATCCTGAAAATACCCTGAGGTGCCAAATTGACAGTGCTCAAATGCAAGAAACCGGGACCTGAAAATTCGCCCAGTTCAAGTTGCTGATACCATCCACACAGAGAAATGTAGGAGCCAAGAAGCTAAGAAGCCAAGAAGCCATGCAATGTCCGCTCCCCTTCGAATTTGACGGTGTGAAATCTTGTTTTTTTTTTCGTTCCTCTTTTCTCCGTTTCGTATCGGTGCCTTCAAACGGGGTTCAAAGACTGCAAGTAGACAAGCCTGCAGACAAGCGGATCACAAATGCAATGCAAGGTTCATGAAGTCAAGTACAGATGGTCCAAATCAAGCATGTCAAATTGGAACTCAAATGTAGATCATGTGATTAGCCACACTGGGATGAATACCGTATCGAAGACGACTCAAGTCCTTTTCTTTCACCGGGTCACCTCGTAATTCTTTCGGAATACCATGGGGGGTCTTCTCGCTCTTGGAGGTTGAATGCACTGGCGAACTTGCCTGCTCGGTCACAAAGACGGTCAGCCAGGAAAGCAGGGGTGCAGTAAGAAATCGAGCGCGTGCACCGTCCCATGACATAGCAGATATGGTGGGTCAGCTCCTGCAGAGTATCCGACGGCCGTCCTGTAGTGTTCGCCAACTTATTGGTAAAGACATTATCCCACATGACAATGTAATGGGCGGGGCGAGCAGATCCTTGAAGAGGTGCCTGTGCTTGCAGATAAAAGTCCCAAAGAGCCGGCCGCGTCACGACACGGTCAACAATAGCACCATTCTTGGGGTTGTTGGTCCGGTCACAGTCGGATTGTCTAGTAGGATAGAATCGTACATGATGACGCTTTGTCACCAGGATCAATGAAATGCGGGGCAACTGCTGGTCGCCATAGTTCTCCCTGATGGCATTGCGAATTTCCGGGAGCTCTTGGTTCAGAATATGGTCGTATTGACCTTCACTGACACCATCCCGGAAGATAATGATATTCTCCGGAAGGGCGTTGTTTTCCTTCCGCCATCTCTGGAGTCGACCACCCATCAATGAATGGAGGAGCTTTGCCATATTCTCCACACGGGATGGGTTCGCCTCAACCGCTCCAGGCCATTGCCCAAGATCCTTATTCGTGTTTGCAACAATTGCCCCCAAACTTGGATGTGAGGCAGCAGCACCTGGAGGGGGATGGGTGACATCCAAGCCGACAACCATAGTCTTCCCATTTGCCAAGACCTTTGGCACGTTCTGAAGAGTCTGGCAAGTCCCACCAAGCTTCAAGTTGACCTTCATGGCGTTGTTTGCCATATACTGGTGATCCGGCTGAGGCTTTCCGTGGAACTTATCAGAGCGGCAACAATGATTCAAGAGACCGTAACCAGAGTCTGCCTTCCATTTCAGGAAGTTGAAGGCTTTATCATCCAACCCATTCAGAATGAGAACTGCAAACTTGTAACCGTTCTTCTGCGCATTCTGGACAAAGCTCTCAATGTCCAATCGCCAGTAGCCTCGACGAATGGGAATAGTACGGTATTGATCTGGCCGAGGCATCTGCAGGCCCAATTCTTTCAACTTATTTGTGAAGGCATCGAGGTACGGCTGGACGTTTGGGAACAACCGAGCATTTTCATCGTGAAGTGTGAAATATCCCCATCGTCCATTGAAGGTGGCACCTCGGTTGAACTTTTCTCCACGCAGGTTCCAGGAGCCATCCCGGGGCTGCATGGTTTTTCCCTTATAGAGAAGCGTGGGAGCCTGGAGTATCCGACCAGGTACCACGACCATATCTTTGGCCATTCGCATTCCGTAAGGAATGGTTTGGTCGTTAATGATACCCACGATCTTCCGGCCATCTTCCATGATCGACTTGAAGTTGTCAGGCGGACGTCGGCAACTGAAGCGAATAATCTGCTGACGCTGAGATGTCGCCAGCTCGCCACCGTAGGGTTGTCCGGGAAGAATGACTGCAACATCCTGTGGGACATATTGAGGTTTGAGATTGCTCCCAACATTAAGCACAGGGACCGTTGCCAGCCGGCGCATGTTGTATTCTTTTCCGTTAGTTAGTGTCATTCACCGGAAAGCTACAAGGGAGAATACATACTTCTGCCAAAGTATTCTGCAACACTCACGTACTTCCCCTTCTTTCCCGAAGCATCTGAGCGATCAACCTCGAAGAATTGTACGTTCTCGGGCGAGGAGCCAAGCCGCTTAACGCGAGGGTTCCCTTCCTTCTTTTGCGGGTCGCCATCTGTGGGATTCGCTAGACCCCAGACATGCTTCTGGGGGTAACGCATTTTCCCATCGATCATCTCCTTTGGTAGATGAGTGAGCTCGACACGTACACCACGGACAAACTTATTGAATCCCGGGCGGTCCTCGCCGAAGACTCTCACAAAGTCGTCGGTACAGGCCTTGAATGCACCGGAGAGGAACATAGAGTTGTGGCACACATTCAAGTTCAAAAGGATATTTCCAGCAGCAAGACGGACACTGGAAAAGAATCCCCGGCCGCATTCTAAGCCTCCAGTAAGTGGGGCGAAGTTATTGCGGCGATCATCAATCCGGAAGAACTTGGTGGCGCCTTTACCGATCGTCTTCACATTCTCTCGATCAGTGAAGGGGTATGCGCTCATCATAATGTTAAGTGCCCGGATAAGTATATTCTCTTGCTCGATGGGATATTTGCTCGAAGGCTGACGTAGAGAAGCGAGGATCTTTGTGTGATCAATCACGGCAACCAGCTTGAAGGCACATTTGAAGACATGATCCGCATTGGACCTCCCGCTTTTCTTTTTCTTGTCCTTGTCGATATCGACCATGACATGTGTCATGTCGATCTCTTTAACAGTAAAGATTTCATGCATGAAATCGGTCATGGCATGGCTTTTCACCATGCGATCCTCCTTGAGCAGCTCCAAATGGATATCCTTCATGAGCCGAGGAATCTTGGGCGTAGGCTCGATATCCACACGATAGCAATAGAATTTGATACTTTTGTTGAGCTCCATGTTGAAGAAATTTGCTCGTAGATGGATCGGTTGGCCAACGGTTCCATAGTCGGGGCGACGCTCAATGGCGTTAGGCTGAGTCTTAAGAGTGGCATTGTGCTTGACCGCTTGGTCTTCCAAGTTGATCACATTTGCTGGTGCTTGTGGGCGTTCCATGAACATGACACTGGGTTTGAATCTGTTAGCAATATTATATTCAGGATTAGAGAGGAGAAATTACCTCGCATCAGTAGAAGGAGGGCCGCGAGATTGAGGAGGTCCACGTCCCCTTTGTGATCCTTGGTGAGGACGGTCATCGCCATAGCCACGACCACGCTCTGAGCCGCCACCACGATGAGCAGACATTGTGAATGAGTGTCAAAGATTGTATGAGAAGTTGGTAAACCACAGTGACAGAGGTGGAAGATAAATTGAGATCCAGGAAATAATGACGAGGACGTCTGCAGAAAGTGATCCGGCAATGGTTTCCGCAATTGCCCAAGTCTTCCAGACGATACAAGTCGTCTTCCGAAAGGAGAAGGAGATATCAAGGAGGGGATAAAGTCGGAGGACGATCGGAGCGGCAAGTATGGAGGTGAGGAGTCTCAGGAAGGCAATCCTTTGTATGGATCGAATCTATATGGAAAGTTAGTTTTTGCTGGACCCGATAAACATAGTAAGATAAGGTTTTTGGTGGGTCTTGCAAGCGGGGCAGCTAACGTAGATCCGGGGGTGCTTGGTATCGGTGTAATAGCAGCAAATGCTGACGATACAAGGGGAATGTAAACCGTTTAAAAAAAAAAAGCAGAGATAATGGCAGTGGTGGTAAATGGTGACAGCGAACGAGCTAGGTGGATGTAGGTGCAGGTGGAAATTGATAATACTCACAGGTTGAGAAATTTGGAGAGTGGAAAAGTAGGGTAAAAATTTGTAGATGCTCTGAAGCTGGTTAGATGTGAATAGTAAGAGAGATGTGTTGTGATACGGAGTTGAAGGGGAACTGAAAATAAATCGAAAGGAAGTTGAAAGAGAAAAGAAGTGCTTGCAATGCAGTGAAAAGCTGGCAGATTTGAGGTTCTGATCTCGCCAGCAGTATGGAGCCACAAACCTTAGGCTTTATGACGAGGCAGCCCAAGAACAGTGGTAAGGTATAAATGAAGGAGAGATCATAATAGCAAGAGGATAGCTAGCAATCAAAGTTGAAGTTGGTAAGTAGCAAACATACCTTTAAATCCCCACCATGTAGGGTAATAGGAGGGCAAACGGAAGGTATATGCTGTGAGCTGTAGGCATAGAAGGTAGGAAATAAATATGAAAAAAAGTAGGTGTCGTAAGGGCTTAAATAATTTTTTAGCGGATATAAGGAAAGTTAATAAAAACACCTAACAGGTGGAAATGGTTAGGGGAATGCTACGAAAGGCTAGAAATTGAACTCGAAAATTCGAGCACCATGGAAATTGTTGTCTTATTAGCTTTGGAGCCTACCGAAACTGCCTTAAGATATCTACCTTAACCGGTACTTTGCAGATTTCAATATTACTGGTCGGACCTTAACTCTTAGCGTAATCTAATGTATAATATAAAGGGACTAATTTGAGCATCACATAGAGGTTCTCCCTCTTGTACTTTTCTGTAGCTCTAGTATCTCAAACCTTGGTACTACGACGTTGCGCTACATCTGCCTACTAGGTGCCATTCTCCGTGGGCACTTTGGGGCTCTGTAAAATATGCTCCCTAGGCTCCTCTGGGCTGAGTCTGTAACTTATTCTCCCAGGTTATCCAATAATAATAGTCTTACTCTTTTGAATTAGGCCGCCACTGGGAGTTATTCAATTGTGCTATTTCGGTTCCACAAGATCATTTGGTACAGTATAGAGCCTAGATGTTTAAGAACAGCGTAGAACTGCTTCCTCCACTTCCAAATTAGCAGGCCCCAGATTGGACATTTGCCTAAAATTCGTTCTATCGGTGTACCAGGAATATGGGTTTGTGGATTTTCTCATTTCAAACCGGCAATACCAATTGCCAACTGGTCCATCACAGGACTGTTTTTTAGAGTCAAACTTCGAGATCACCCCATGACCATTGTGATTTATTCTTGTACTGTGATTTGGAGAAGTTTGTCAGAAGCCCAGTGTCTTGTTCTTTTCCAAGTTCAAGTTTTAGACCAGACCTACATGGTTCTGAGCTATCCAGAATTTTTGAACAAGGCCTTTAGGCTGGATTCGCCTCTTGGTCTTGATTTTGAGATTCAACCTTGGGATATTTCCTCCTAGTAGCGCTGGCGCTGGCACTAGCGACCTTAAAGAACATGGACCCAAAGACATTAGACGGTTGCCCAAGATCTGAAGATATTAAAGATTACAAAGGAAAGTTTTGAAATCTCCACATAGTAGTGGCAAAGACACATATATGAATGTCTAGATTAATAGTACATCTAACATTGTGGGGTATAACCCGCGGTAAAGCAAAAACACCAAACGACCAAAGCAAACCCAATGATATCAACGCCGGCTTTAACGAAAATCAAAAGGACAAGAAATAATTATTTTTGCGACCTTGTGGTCAGCAGAAGACAGCCTCGAGGGCTTCAACATCACCACCCGCATTGCGGACAGCGATCAGAGCAGCTTCGCTCAACTTGCGGCGCTTGTCACGGGCCTCCTGTTCCCGTCGTGCCTTGGTCTTGGAGCTACCCGATGGTGCGACACCGGTAAGGATTCGCTGGTGGTCGTTGGCAGTGAAGTTGACAAACGATACATTCACTGACGACTTGGAGCCTCGTGGGCTGGTTGACTTGGCCGTCTTGGGGCCGTTCATGCTCTGGCCGGAGAGTTTGCGGCCATGTGCGCGGCGTTGCGTGGCCTTTGTGGCTCTGGATGTGGGGGAGAGGGAGGGAGAGCGGGAGGGACCGACTTGGGCGGTGTTGGGAGTGACGAATTTATGGTTGTGGGCGGGCAGCATGTTGGAGAAGGACGAGCCGGCAGAAATATCAAATGAGGGATCCATTTGGATCATGAGGCCACCCTGCATCATGTCGTTTTGGCAGGAGACACCTGGCATCTGGCGCTGAGTAGTGGGAGATGAAACCATGTTCTGGTATGATGGCTGCTGTTGCGCAACCCGGGGAGCCATGGGTGACCACCACGTCTGGTCGTGGGCCTGGATATCGGGGGTGAAAGAGAGAGAAGAGGCGCCAAGGGTATCTGACTGCCATGATGAGATGGAGTTGGGGTCTGAAGAGTGCGAGGAGAAGATTTCGTCTGCAGAGGGTGGGCTGGAATTTGTCAAAGCCACAGAGCCTGGATGGCTCATATACTGTTGTTGGTGTCGCGCAAGAGCGCCGACGGATGGAGATGACATAGAAACAGCAGGAGATTGCTGAAAGAAGTGAGGTGCCAGTTCGGCAGAGTCTCTGTGATTCATGGTGCCTTCGGGAATGTTCTCATGCTTGACGAGAAGATCAGTGGGTGGGGGAGATAAAGGAAGACGGTCGTCAGAGCCAGCCAGGTTGAAGTTCTGAATGCGCTGGGCCCATGCCTCTGGATAAGCCATTCTTCCTTTTGGGGTACTTGAACGTATCAAGCTAGGAGAGAAGCTTTGCTTGCGCAAGATTGTCCGGCGCTCATTCGTGTCGCGATGGCGGATAGACTTGGGAGTCACGAGTGCACTTTTGGTGACCTTGCGTCGGGGAGTAGCTGGGGGTGTGGAAGGAGAAGTGGTAGGAAGCTCGTTGGATCCTGCAGGGCCGGACGAAACCTCAAAGTGATTCACGGCAAGATCCGAGAGGGAAGAAGGAAGGACAGGATCTTGGAAAAATTGAGCACTGTCATCTTGAAGGGACCACTCGTTACTCCAAGGTTGCGGTGATGATTGATGGCGTTTAGAAGTGGAGTCGGGGGAATGATCGCCACCATCGCTTGAAAGCGGGTCCAGAGGGAAAAACTGGTCCAAGTCGCCAGACAGGTCTTTGTGGCCATCCGGGCCCGAAGACTCCATATCGACATATTGGTTGAATAAGTCATTGAACGAATGATCGTACGGTTGAGCGAACATGTTGGCTGGTTTGGTTTCCGTTTGCGGAAAAGACAAGCGGGTAATGGGACGAACACCCGGAGAAGAAGCCTAGCGGACGTTTATGATTGGAGGGACCAAGAAAACCGAAGGCTTCGAGGTGACAAGATTAGGGCTCGATCTGAGGATGATCGGCGCGTTGCAAAAGAAATGCAAATAGTGCAAAAAGGGCTGAGGGAAGCTTGTTTGATAGTTTGACAATCAATCAAAACACTGCAGAGTATGCAAAGGATACAAAGCAAACAAACAGATTCGGGCGACTATTTGAACTGTTGCTGGCCCGACCAGCCCTCGCATTTTAGCATACATTCCTCACAGATCGGGATGAAGTGAAGAATGCGCCGTGAATGTTCCGGTTGGCCGAGCGCTGGATCCACCAGGCCTGCGAGGAATGACCAACCTCATCTGGAGAGCTTCCAAGCTAATGGAAGTCTTATCCAGTGTATTTGGCCCACTTCTATCATGAACTCCCCCGGATAGCCACCGGATAGAATGTAACCTTCTGCGGCTAGGCCTAGAGCGGTGCGTACTTGAATAAGTGGAAGTGGCGGGCATGGAGGAAACATGCCCATGAGCGAATCAAGCCGCTGGATCAACCTGAGTATGATTCTCTAGCGGCTAATAGAGGGGCCCTTGGGTGGATGGATCATGGATCGGAACCCTCGCCGAGCCCACATCTCGAGGGACCAGGAGATACCCGCTTCCCGAGCTTTTCCGTTCAGTGTAAACGTCATGACATGGATGTTATAATCATCCATAGCTCGAACAAAATTCGGAGGGTGGAAGACTTGGCAATTCAGCGACCTTTGTGGCTGTTCTATTCTATTATTGGTGGCTTCTGGTTTCTATTCACACCATAGTACCTCAACTAATTCCCGACGCTGATAAGGCGTTGGAATGTGTGTTGGAATGCTGTCACCGACTGTGGCTGGGTGGAATGCTACGCTCGCTCCGATTATGCATTGAAGATTCTTTTGCTCTTCGAACGGGAATGATTGACACCTCAGGCGTTCCAGTGAGGAATAATGTGCGTGGGCCAAGCTTGGGAGCTTGCATCTGGAGAAGATCGTCAGTCATGGCTCTATCCGAGCTTCTCGAAGCACTCCAATGGCCTTTATCTATCAGTCCTGATAGGTGATTCGAGATGTCCTTATCTTCAGCCTCTTGTCGAATGCAGCGTGCTGATCCTTGTGAGCCATTTTTAGCTCTCTCATAGTACAAGCTGCAGATCACCGAGTCAAAACGGCCAGTAGGACATAGTGGCCGAGGCACATAACCCTCTGATAGGACCTCTCTCGTGACCCCTGCATAGGCTGTTTTGGTCCCACTGCATTGCTTTGATCATCCAGGTTCGTGGTGAGAGTTTTGATTCTCGTGGAAGAATCTCTGCCGATAAGAACTCCGTAGCATTCACCTACGAATTGAATATTGTAACTAATTTTGATTATTAGTATATTATTGTTAACTACCAGCGAACACTAGATTCATATAATCTTGGGAATTATTTTGATCCCAAAGAGCTTGGGAGCCAAACGCATCGTATAGTATATCCTCTCCTTCGTTTATGTTCTATGTACATATCTTATTTCTGGGGAGGAGAACGTACTTCTGGGTTTACAACCTTCCCCCTAGGAGTCGCTTATCATTTCTGACCGGAAGCGAAAGACAAAATAGAGGCTATAATGGGGCCCGTTGTGTCAGCTATCCTGAAGCTCAAGAGAGGCGGCGAACTATGAGTGGTGGTGAGAGGAGTAGAGCAGGGGAGACATGTGAGGCGACAATGGGCCCCAAGGCACTCATCTCTCCACTACCTTGGCAACTCCCTATTCTTTGAGAACCAACATGAACATGAATGTACCAAAGCAAGTGCTAAACCAGGGATCGCTCACAAAGACCTATTAAAAGGTGTAATTAGTTAGGGATACCAAAATCCTTCGCACTGGGAGATCCTTCCCGCAACTGGCTAATGTCTTTTGTGTTAAGATTCACAGACGAATTCTCAGGCGCAGCATCCGAGATAGCAGTCATGAACCCAGCTGAGTTTGCCCTATCATCAGAGACTTTCTCGGTCAGGCCCATAGTCTCCGTAATCATGCCAAGCATATCTGCCGTAACGAGACTCTTTACAACTTTAAGCAAGCTGCCAAAAACATTGAGTAGGAAAGTGAGGTCATTAGTGCCGTACCCTGCGGGCTCTGTTCCATCCGTGCCCACGGTAACGCTCTTTCACCAGTGCTGGAATCATATAGAACAGTGTCGTACTCCTGGAGCCACATGTATGCTTTCAGTGGTTCATAACTCTCCGTTTTAGCCATATACTCCTGCGCCAGCCCGCGATGGGCGTCGGACGGACAGCGCCCGATCCTTATCATCATCAGAGACCGTGACAAACTTCTTGTAAAGGTCTCGCGTGCCATTCATACCGAATAGCTGTTTCGGAAATAGTGTGATAGCACGGCCAACGACATTTACGCCATGGTTCCAGGGCTCGTTATACCACCAGCGTTCGTTGGCATATCTTTCTGCAAACTTGCCAGTCAAGCGATCTGACGTTTTGACGCAAAGGAACTCATGTCGATTTTCAGCATCACGTCTAATGAGAAGGGTGACCTTCTTGGCTGCAGCATAGCCTCCTGATCCAGAAATTGTGATGGCAGGATTACTCACCTTCGGAGCGCGGATGACCAGCCATTGATTTCTGGACTTTCGATTGGCTTCATCTATTATACTCCAGCCATTCGAATTTCAAGCCATTGTCGCGTACGCTTTTGAAGAATCCCCAGTCCTAAGAGTAGTCGAAAGTGTATGGCCCGATCGTAACCGTCATGACGCTGGCATTGCCACGAGGAATTTTTATGTTAAGGTCAAATAGGCACATATCTTCCTTATCGTGGTCGAAAACCGTCCCTTGGCTACCACACCCTGCTGAAAAGTACTGCAGAAAACTAGTTGCTCCAAGCACCCCCTAGACCGTTGAGTGATTCTTAGCCAACTGAAAAAATCTTAAAATACCGAAGAGTCAGTGCCGCTTCTCTGTCGCTCTGGTGTCTAGATGGCCTACCAGCCGGCTTTCGCAGACTGTCATTATGAAAAGCAGGTAATGAGCAAAGGACGCGTCCCGTCCGATTTCCTTTCAGTGGACATAAAAGATCAACACCCTATGTTGACTTGAGCTAGCAGGCTAGAGAGATCGGATATCTGGGTGTAGCCTGATGCCCAAGGCTCATTATTCGTGTTGATGGGTCTGGAAAGGGCAGCTGATGAATCTGTGTTATGAGTGCCATTGCTAGTGTTCCATTTATAATGCCCGATGTTTCATTCTGTAGCTTGCGTGTTGGGCACGAGACCAAGAGGCTCAAGAAAAGTCGGGAGGCACAGTAGTATCCACATCTGTTTCTTCATGGGGATCATTTGCCTTATGATCGAGCGACGGACAACCTGGTGGATGTTTGTAAGTAGCATTCAGGTTCAATCCAAACAGTCTATAAGCATGGAGCTGGCCCAGTTCGTCATTCTATCCTATCGTAATTATGCAGAGTCTAATGAAGGCTCTATCAGAAGGCAAATGTACAATTCCCATCCCACGTAGAGAATATTGCTCTCCTGATCATCCCGTGGGTGAAGTATCTGGCTTGTAAATGGGACTGGGCATGATCAGGTCGGGACAAGGAATCATTGGGAGTACTAGGAATAGCCAACGCTGGACATCAGGTAGGCATGAAATCGGCAAGATACGCCTCAGCACAGCCCATGAAACCCCCACCTATACCCCTGTGACCAGACGATGGTCCTAATTGCAGATGACAAACCGGCTCGCGCGGCTCCTTGCAACAAAGGTCGGCTTAGTCACAATGACGAACTCTCCGAGGTCAGCCCTGAAGAACCCTTTCGAGTGACGGAGGCGAGAAAACCAGGTTCTAGCAAAAGCTAGCCGCTTCGTTTTAGGCATCTTCTGATCAAGAGGTCATTTGATTATCTGTCTTACAGCCCGTGTTTAGGCCGACACTTCAGGCCCGCGCTCTTGCTCATCCTTCCCTCCAACATCCGGGACCCCCGTATGACTCAACCCCTCTAATTCATTCACCTGCGCACCCCGCGTAACGTGGGTTCCTTTCCTTCCCGATCTTCGGGAACTTCATTTCGATCTTCTCTTCGTCTCACACCGGAATTGATCCCTGGGAGGACCGCCCACATTCAGGCTTGCGCTTCAGCATTCTCGTGCCGTTTTCGTCTCTGAGACTCGGGCCCCCTTCCAACATCGCGCCTGACTTGTGCGATCCATCTTTTCAACATCCACGCATCGCTTTTCTCCCCGAACCCCTCTCCTCCCCACTGCTTGAGGCTACCCTTCAAACAACTGCACCAACAGCCAGCCGTCGCCCTCAACCCCACCCGATCGCAGAGACCGGGTGTCCTTCAACGTACAACATTCAAATACACACAATCCATCAACATGTACTCTCTATTCCGTGAGGTCAGCCTCATTAAGGAGTACCCCTAAGTTATCACACGATCCACGTGTGCCTCACAATGGACTTTTCTTTGTGCCTTGGAGGCTTCCGACGCCGCTTTCATTCGAATATCCTTATCTCCTACTGAACCCTCGATCAATCACGCGCCTCGCGCCTGTTGTTTCTCGTTTCTCTGCAGCGAGAGAGATTCCAGGAACGAGCGATACCACAAACACCCAAACTACTACCAACCGCACTGTGCGACCCACCGCCTAGGAATAAAAGCCCGAAATGACAACTATTCAAACTCGCCGGGAGTCATGGGACTCTTTATCCTCCACATTTGGCAAGCTTGACGTGTCGTTTTCGCAAGATAGCTCTTACGGTTCCGATGAAGTATCAGTCTCCTCAACCACTACCGCGCCGCTTCCATCCAGTGTCTCGACTGTTAGCGCACCAGACACACCTTCCTTGCAGCCTTTCCTGAAGTCTATCCTCAAAAAGCCTACTTTTGATTCGCTCGAAGACATCGAATATGAGTCGGGCTACGAATCAGACCACATCGAGTTGGAATATGACTCACTTTCCGAAGACAACGATAACCCTGAAAACAGGGACGGAGATCAAAGTGAGAGCGAAAGCGAAGATGACGCTGAAGACGAGGACGATGAGGACGAAGACGATGAAGACGATGAAGACGATGACGACCTCGACTGCGCTTCAGCTGACTTTTCCGACTTCTCTGTTTGGGACGAAGATACAAATGTCGAAGTACCTGAGTCACGAAACGACCACACTGAATCATTTGATGACACTTTCATCGGGTTTGGGGCCTCAGTTCATTTCCACCCCAAGATTGAGTACTTTGATCGTGCCCCCATGGATGAAAGCGAGGAGCCGGATGGTCAAATGACCGCGCATGAAATGATGCTTCTTGCCATGAAGTCGGGCGATTCTCAAAGTTCTTGGCCTCAGCCTGATGGGGACGTCTCAGATGATGAATGTGAAACCGACCATAAAGAATTTGTCGACGATGTCCATATCCGTCTCGAAGACTTCACAGATGAGACTGTCGAAGACGACCGCCGCCAGTTCATCGCTTACATTATTGCAATTCACGGGGACTCAACAAAATACGAGCCTTACCTCAGCGCGCAAGCCAACAACATCCGTCTCGGCCGTAAGGCTGAGTCTCCCGACGATGGCCCACCCATGTACCTCGACACCGTCTCCAATCATGTCATCGGACTCTTCCGACATTTACTTCCTGCAGACGAGCTGAATGCTCTGATTGCAGCCCGCAAAGACCAAAGGTCACAGCACATTCAATCGAAGAGTTCGGAAGCCGGCACGCACGAGCTCACTCACTCACGTCTGCTAAATCAGATTGAGTGCCTCTTACTGGACCGCTTGACAAACGGCCAAGTCGAAATTACGCCGAACGAGTTGAGCTTCTTCGCCAGTGGTGTTCTACATGCTCTCGGTACTAACGACCTGCCACCTTTGGCGTAAGCTATGGACTTCAACGTTCAAGCTAATGAATTTACGATCATGAAAAATGGGATTATGGTTATGCCGCGATCTATTCCGGCGACAGGGCACTACTTGATGTCACTGGGAAAAGTTCGGAAACATGAGTGCAAGGGCATGTCCTTCACACTATTAGCTACTATGGAATAAAAGTGCATTTTTTAAGATTGGAATTCTTGCAAGACTAAGGTACTCTAAGCATGGCTCGAACTTTACCTAAAAAAAGAGAGAGAGAGAGAGAAAGAAAGAAAGAAAGAAAGAAAGAAAGAAAGAAAGAAAGGGCAGGCGGTCCTCGCTTGAATCTCCTTATTGTGGCACTGCTATTAGTCAATGATCTGTGGATACACCAGACGATATTCACTGACACCGCGATCCTTCTGATGAATGTCTAGGGGATAGAAGCATAGAGCATATCCCTCTGAGTCTCCCATAGTTTTATCCTGCTTCAGAGCAAGGCACCCCTCAGTCCAGAGTTGAAAGTCTAGGTCTAGATCTGCCCTGCACCCGTGTTTCTGAAATATTCCACTCCTTTCTTTTGAGGTCTGCATGGCCCACAAGTCACGTCCAATACCCTGACCACGTACAAGCCTGGCCCCAGTCTAATCATGCAGGATCAAGACACACCTAAAATCTCCGAGATCATTTCCCGATTACTACTCCGAAGCTTCCCAAACTACAAACTCGAGCTCCGAGTTGCTCCCTAGGCTTCAAGTTCAAGTTGCTCCCTGCGAACAATTCACAAAGGCGCCCGTAACATTGAAACAGCCAGTTGACCGACTACAACAAGATCAACAAAGAGGACTCAGCTCAGACCTACCTCGCTCACTCTTTCTCCTTAATTAAGAACCTAACTAACTACCAGCACCGGACCAAAGCTCCCGTCAAACATGAAACACCCGCAGTCGCACCCCCCAATCTAATCCCAGGCCCCCGCTACCACCTGGTCCTTGCCACCCCTGTCACGCTGATCAACTCCAGCTTTCCAAGGATGCAGAAACACCGGCGACGCAGGGGCAGTCTCTAACAACGCTGATACTCGAAGGAAAGCCAGAGGAAGAATGCCGTTGACGGAGAATTTCGAATTTCGAGGTTCCTTCCGCTTAGGGCAGGGATGCGCGAGCTCGTGTGTGCGGTCTGTGCTTGAACGTCTGGTTTTTGCGCCGTTGGCATGATTCAGAGGATCTGTCAAGCTTGGGTGTGGTGGGCATACGGTTTAACTGGTGTTCATCTCAACGTTGCTCTAGCTCGTACGGTCTTATTAGGACCTGCGTGACGATGCATGTTTCCGAGTCCCCGAGTGCATTTCCTGATGGCTTGGAGCTCCGTTTGTGGATATGTTGGTGGATGTGGCCAAGGAATAGGAGTAGGCAGAATTTTGCACATGTTTCTCGGAGCTCCTAGCCATGCTACAGGTGGGTTTCTAGCACTGAGGGGATTGCGGGACACAGGTGGAGGGAGGATTCTATTCGACTGGGAATACCCAGAATACGGAGACATATGTGGTGTTTAAAGTTGAATGGAACATATGTAGCCTAATACTACTACTAGTCATTTGGCGCCTCGCGTCTCCAATGTGAAGGCCCGGCCACTGCATGTTAGCATCGATTTGAATATGCCGTGTGCAAGCTGTACTAGGTCGCTATGCAGGGCCTCGTGTGACTGCGACGCTCAATCGAATATGCGGAGGGTAACCGAGACTGCAGAAGCTATTAGCTCCCGTGTCGATCTCAGCGGGGCCACAAACATCAAGTCCACATGTGGCTTTTGCAGGTGAGTAGATCATAATCTTGCACCATGCGGTGAGTGTGATGGAGTCTTTTACCTCGTCTCCTCTCGAATACGAGCGTGGGTACCACAGGTGAGGAGCTACAGCAGCATGGATGTCTGCACAACCCGCAGGTTGACACATCCAAGGCCGTACCCCTGATCTTCTGGACTTCCTGCAGTCAGTACATAGTCCGACCCGGAAAAATACACTGTCCGCCCAAAAATCGATCCCTTCTAGAAACCCGTCTAACCCGCGCTAACGAAGCCACATAGAAACCACGTGAGAACAAGGTCGTTATGCAGCCCCCTTCTAGTCCCCCCAAAAGAGGCAAACGCCCTCCCCGAAGCCCCCACTGCGCACCAGGTACATACCCCATATGCGGAGTCGCCTTGGCTCTGAGCATTGGAGCCTGACAGCGGACGGGGAGAAAGTGGGCCGGCGAGCTCCCACGGAAAAGGGGAGGAAGAAAGACTTTTCCCGCCAAGAATCAGGTTTTGCGCCGTCGATCAGTCCACCCTCCAACAGAAACCAGAGAGACAGCGCAGCGATGAGGTCCTCCCTTGCTTTCTTAGTAAGGATACTAGCTCCGCTGACCTACGCTCAAGCACGCTCACGGGCTCTCGCCTGCGGGGTTAGTCCCGCAGGCGCAGACGATCGCTCTTTCATTGATGGAGCTACGTAGATTGGACCTGGACCTCCCTGTGACGGGGCGAAGTAGAATCTGTTCCTCCGGCGTCCTATAAGACTACGAGATACGGTCCGCAAGTAAGATGCAGGGATCGGAGGGGGCTGAAGAGCTTGATCGGAGCCAATGACGAACGAGAACGGCCAATAGAGGCCTGCATGGGCGTGGAATCTGATATATCGGCGGTCATGCGCGGAGAATAACCCTGAGCCGGTCCGGTTGACAAATCTACTATTATAACTACGTGATTAGTTAGTTAGTTAACCAGCGAGGACTTAGTTACTAACTATATAGCAGCGGGGTGCAGTTACCTTAATCTCGACGATCTTCTCTCCCCCTTTTATCCTCCCCACGCCCTAGTGCGGAGTCAACAGTGGTTGCGACCCGGAGATGATCATTGGTTGTTCTGCTCGTCGATATGGTGAGCAGACGATATTCTCTGATTATTGGGTCAGGGGAGCGTGGTCGAGCTGACCGCTCCTTGGTGGCGGTACTTATGGGGGTACTTTGGAAGATTTCGTCTGTGATACTGAGTTACCGGGGAATTCCATGTGCGTTCTGGGTAATGCAGGGGTGCGAGGGTGACGACACTCATTCGCACACACCAGACTGCATCAGAAGATACTGTCCCGGGCGAGCGGTCTCGTTGTCTCGGAACGTGCGTGTTCTGGAGCTTGATTCGACGAGGACCAATAAGCTAGACCAGCCACAAATCTCAGACCATTTTCAGACTCGGCATCTTAATCGCGCAGAGGCTTGTATCTCCGAATCAGTATTGCGCGATGTGAGCATGTGGCCCTAGGGTTTGATTAATTGATTAGTTTGCAGGTTCCATCGTGGTCGAACCAGTAATCGTCCTCGGCTGATAAGCCCTCGGATTCAGGTACTGGCCCTAGTACGGTTAGAGGCGTTCAAAGAGACTAAACATCACTTCGACTGCATTGCAGGAGCAAACGGACGCGCAGCTCGAGTTTCTATAATTGCGTTAGAGAAGGATTGTCGCATTTGGGGGCCACTGCACGAATGTTCCATGCCTTTTGGATGATCGCCTACTCCGAGGAAGGGAACGTGTTGGAGACAAGAGCGGGGCTGAGCGAGAGAAGCAGACTGATTTGTGCAGACGGGCGGAAGGTGGGTCCCACGGCCAATTTGGAGCGCCATCCAACCCGCAACAGCAGGCCTGTCTTCGCTCTTCCTGGCAGCAGTCTGATAATTGGATGACTATATATGACCATCTTTTTTGCGAATTGATTCCAAATTGAACCTGCACAAGTGCCAAGGGTCGAGCGGGAAGATAATTAGAATCATTCAATAATGCGTACGAATGAGGACAAGCGCGAAAGACTAAACGCCCCGTCGGGCCCCGCTGTCCACGATTGATTGGCGGCGGCTGTTCCTGATTGGCGGCAGTCAATAGGGAAGCGGGGCACAGAGGCTGCTCTGGGGCCGATCGTGCTCTTCCATGGGCCCTGCTTCTTCCCCCCTGGTCCTCCCATAGGACACCTGCGCTCTTTGGCCCGTGGTTACGAGGCTGGGGCTCAGGTACTCGGAAGCGTTCAAGGGGAAGCAATTGGTTGGATCCAATATCTCGGCTACAGTTTATCAAACGATGAGAACCCGCCACCTCCGTGCACCTTTATGCTTGAGGTGTGGAAGAGAGGGGCTTTGAACAAAAAGACCCGATGTCAAAGACAAGCGAGCGCTTCTCTGGAAGCACATGGTTTTTAGAACTGGGGAGGAGGGAAAGAGGGCGCAGATGAAGAAAGAAAATTGGGCGTGGGGATTGATAATGGCGTCCTTTGGTGCCAGATGGAGACAATGGGCAGACTACTGCAGGCAATGAATGATCCCACGTTCCGTCCGTTTGAGCTCCATAAATTATTCTTTATTCCGGTAGTCTAGTCCGGACTGCTCCAGCAGGGCTCCACTAGGGTCATCTGAAGACTGCCCTCTTAACTCCTGAATCGTTCCCCCTTCTCTTCCCATCCACGTTGAAGACGAAATTCGCCCCAGTTGTCCGGGTATGTAGACCTCCCCTCGAACCACGCACCTGCATTAGTATAGGGGCCAGGAGTGACGTTGCTGTCGTGCTACTAGGGGCGAAGCAGCCACCAAAAAAAGGCCCCCCGACGATCTCCAGCCAGAGTACAAGTTGTCAGACTGACGGGTGCACAGGATGATTTAGAAATTTGATTCCTACCCAGTCCTGCTTCATTTCCGTGAACCAGGGCCGGAGCCCATCACCATTTCAAGGGCCTACAGAAAAAACAAAAAGAAAGTTTGGCCGAGCAGTTGGACTCAAAATCTCCTTCGAAAAAAAAGAAAAAGAAAAACACAGTCTCACATCGACCATGCAATACTACAAAGCTTCCGACTCCCTGGACACCGGAAGCATGACACGTTCCCGCACCAGCAGTATCTCCAGCGACTCGCAACACCCCCGAGTCGGCCTTATGTCCCCTCCTCCTCCTGTGCGCCCATCGCCTGCCTTTATTTCTCCTACGGCCGCCTCCGATATCATTACTTCCGACCAGGAATTTAACACCGCGGACTTTGTCGCCAAAGATGAGGAAACCGGCGCCAGCGCAGATGCGGAAGTCACCCCCGCGGCGCTGGCCCTCTTAAACGGTTTCCTAGATAATCTCTTGTATAATATTCTTGGGGCTTCAAAATCTACACAGCTCGCCTGTATCCGGGCCACCCTCCCGGACGTTCTAAAACCGCGTCTCGCCTCGGAAGTGGTCGCGACCGCCGACGAGGAATTAAGCGAATACATGGGCGGCGCGGAGGACGAGGAAACCGAATTTCGCGGAGGACAGGAACCGGGCGGAGATTTCGACCTGGTCCACTCGTGGAAACTGACTCGTCTACGGTGTATGGTATACACTCGCCTTGGGGACATGGAGGAAGAGGACGAGGATGAGTACATTGCAAGCGAAGGGCTGGGCGATACCGACGCTACTCCTCGTCGTTTTTCCAGCCATGTCGACAACATCACCCCGGCAGCAGCGATCTTCCTCACCTCAATCATCGAACACATCGGCGAGCGGGCTCTCGTGATTGCAGGCGAAACCGCACGTTCACGGCTGTCCGCGAAACTAAACGATGGCGACGAATCGGACGGGGTGGAAGGCCGGAAACGTATCGCGCAGCTGATTGTGGAGGATCTCGATATGGAGAAGTTAGCCTTAAATGCTACCCTGGGCCGGCTATGGCGCACATGGAGGAAACGCAGGCGCAGTCCGACCCTGTCGCACACACTGTCGCGCGAGTCGATGCGCCGCCCGCGCTATTCCAGCATTGCCCACAGCCGCAAGAGCAGCATTGCTACCATCGAGGAGCCGGTGACTCCCCGGGACCCGGTCGAGCTGGAGGCTCAGGCTCCTTTTGATCCGGCCGACATTCCTCTCCCCATGAGCGATACTGATGTTCAGGAAATCGAGGTGCCCGGATACGTATTGAAGGGTGAGGCCGAGGTGCAGACTATGCAGGCAGTTGTTGCACACAAAGTGCGACCGCGCAGTTTGATGGTGGTACCATCGCCAGTGATGTTGTCAAAGTCCGACAGAGGACCCCTGAGTGCATCTGCGGTGGAAGGAAAGCTTCGCCACTCGCGCTCAAGGTCGTTGCCGAACGCGGAGAAAAACCACCTCCCGCCCCGAGAGGAAGAGACCCCCGAAGAGGCTGGGGAACCAGCCCAGTCATCGCCTAAGTCTGCGCCATGCTCAAGATCGTCCTCTAGAGAGAAGGCGCAACTGGAAACAATGTATGAGGATGATGATGAAGCCGACTTTGTCGATGCGGCGGAGACCGCCCCTAGCACTGCCATTACTACCGTCAAGGAATATGAGGAAGATTCACCCGTCTCTCCTGAGACCGGGGCTTTTCGATATGATCAAGATGGAGATGTCTCTCCGATCTCTCCTGTAACGGAGGAGTTTTTTGAAGAACCCGAAAGGGAGCTTCCGGCGTCGGAAAAGGAAAAGACACGCATGTCTGTTGTTCGCGAGGAAGATGAAGAGGAGGCTACCTCAACACCTGTCAATGTGACCATGGCGACGCTCCGATCTCGTCTCGAGGATGATGACACCGACGATCAATCCGACAGCAAGGACGCGTCAGCCACTAGGAATGTGTCGGTCCAGGACTCGGAGACTATCGAAGGCCAAGGTATGGCAGAGAAGCCTACGCTGACTTCCACGATACAACGGCCTCGGAGAATGTCGAGTAAGGACGCTTCTCTGTCTGCAAATCCAATCATTGCATCAACTAGTGACCCTAATATGCATACCCTCCCGGAGCTGCAAGGGGGTGAGCCCGTACCACCTGCCGTTGATGTCGAGGCTGTCAACTCTTCTAGAACCATTGAAACTATTGATGACGATCGCGATCAAGATATCCATGTTGTGGCATCCACAGCTGTGGTCGCTCCTGCGAGGGATGGTCCCTCTGATATTGCTTCCGAACCCACTGCGACTCCTGCGACTCCCGCGACCCCTCATACTCCAGGAACACCTGGAACCCGGCCACTGTCGACATCAGGAGACAGCGAAAATTCGCACCAGCGCAGCAAACCAAATCGTCTGTCCGTCAGTAACAGTAGTGCGCGCAATTCCCCGACAGCTGAACGAGCCTACGTGCAACGCATGCCTCGCTCAGCCGCATCCGCCTCTATCTCGTCAACGACCCAATCGAAGGCCCGCCGTTCTGAGAGCTTTAGCAGCTCCCGCGGCGGTACACGGCCCATCACCTCTACCTCTTCAAACACTTCTCAGAAGCTCAAGGGCTTGATGGGTCGCTCAGGCCCTGGCGAGTCTCCGTCTCTGCGTCTGCGTAGCTCCTCTGAAACAAGTCGTGCGTCTGGTAGCGGAGAATCTGTCGAGAACGATCTCGATCTGGACAAGCTGATCAACAGCGATGAAACGATTCATTTCACCCTGACTCCCCGCAGCGTCCGAGAAATGAACTTCCCAGATCTCCCCCGCCAGATTCCTCGTTCCGATACTGCGGATACCTCCGACCTGGCCGAGTTCCTGAAGAACACTGGACCGCCAGGAGAGGAAACTCCTGCCAGTACCTCTATCTCATCCCGCGGCGAACAAGGAAAGCCTGATTCTCCAAAGCATATTCCGATTTCTTCAATATCCTCTCGCATGCCGGCGCCACCAGTCCCATCTAAGCCTGTCGCAGCAGGCCCGCAACCCCCTGCCCCGAGAGCGAAAGCCAGTACTTCTTCCATGGCCTCAGCTCGGTCAAACCCCAATCGCCCCAAGCTACAAGCTCGCGCTGCCGCTACTGCTGGCTCTGCGACTTCTGATTTGATTGACTTCATTCGTGAAGGTCCGCCCCAGCCAGATAGCCACCGTATTCCCAGGAATGTCGCGCCATTCCGGAACACCATCGATTCAGAAGATCTTCAGTACGGAGCTGCGCAGACCAACAGGGACTATGCTCCTCGCTCGATCAACAGCACCCAGAGCAGTTCCACTCCTAATAAGTCTGTGACTTCGGTTGGATCGCGCACTGGACTTCTAGATTCATCGAACCGCCCCAGCGGTCAAACCAAGGCTCCTGCGTCGGTTGGTTTGGGACTTTCAGAAGATGCTGGTCCAACCCGCAAACAGCGCCGAGTCCGCGACCCGTACGCCATTGACGACGATGATGACGATGAGCTGTATGATGAGTTGATGAGGAATGAGAAGCCCCAGCGACAGGAGGAGAGCCTCATTGATTTCCTGCGCAGCGAGCCACCTCCTGATTTCGACTCCACGCCCAAGCCTATCATGGTCCCTCCACCTGTGCCCAGTAGCAAGACTTCTGGATTTGGTGGTCGCAGGGTGAGCGATGCGGTCCGGGGCCCAACATCAAAGATGTCTTTGGCCTCGCTACGTTCCACCAACAGCAACAAGCCCCCGCAGACCAGTTACTCGGCCAAGGTTGGCATGGAGCGAGGCCCGGGGCCCGCACCAGCCCGCCAAACTGATACTGGCGCGTTGGCTGATTTCCTCCGCAACACTGGCCCACCTGACACTGCGCCAACCAGATCCATGAGCACTATGAGCCCGAAGGTGAAGGAGGGCGGACTGTCTCGCTTTTTTTTCTCGCCGCAAGAAGGTCGAGGCTTGAAGCGTTGAATCATTGTCCTTTCCTCAACATATTTGATGCTATACTTTTGAGCGTTATTGCCTCATCTAACGATCCACATACTTCATGTCCATCGTTTCGACTATTTGAACGCAACCTTTCACAGATTTCCTGGTGTCTACCTTTTCCCTACGGAGTCTCTTATCTTTTTCCTATAGATCTGCAAGTTTGGAGCCTGTTCCCACCACTCTCTGTTTCTCATGGCTACGCCCTACCTTGTGTCCGAACCTTCATTGACATATTTCCTTTTCCTTGAATACACAGTTACGACTAATATGCACACTTCATTTCATTTTCTTGTTTTCGATTCTACTTTTGGGTCATGGGATACCCTGGTGCCCTCTGTGATTTATTCGAGATACCATGTTTGAAGTTCTGATGCCTGTATTTAAACCTCGACGCTCGAAAGACCATTTCCTTTACCCATTGCTCTTATACAAGATCCATCTCAAGTCGTCGTAAATCTTCATTTCCCAATATTCAAGTTCAACGAGTCCGATATCAGATGTCTATCAAAATGTTATTTTGTCGATTCTTCATTCAATCGCACAACGTAGCCCATGCAAAGCTTGCCAAGAACATGTAGTCCCGAACTTGCGCGCAGTCATTGATGATAAATCCGATAATCCATGCACGCCAATAGTCAATTCAAGGCCCCCCCCCCCCAGTTCCCCACCGAATCAGGCGGGCCATCACTGGGGAAGCCGAGGCATCCTTTGTACCACTCAACTTACTCTCCTCCAGAGCATCACATTTTCCAGAGCTTTATAAATACCCCAAGTCACACACTGTCTACGCATCCCCCGTCGCCAGAGGCAAAAACATCTACAAGAGTCCCAACTCTACAAACATGTCAACTGCACAGCCGCCAGATACCCTCCCTCCCTCCACCAACCTTACTCCTACAATCTTCCTCAACGAACCCACCGCCAGCACCCCCTCCCAAACAATCCTCCTCGCCTTCTGGATGAACGCCCCCGTCCGCACCTACACGAAATACCTCGCCGAGTACAGACGGCTCGCCCCCGCCGCCCGCATAATCTCACACCACAACCTCCAGCCGCGACTTCCTTCTCCCCACCTCCACGCCCGCCCTCCAGAAACGCCTCACCCCGGCCGTAGAAGTCCTCCGCGCATCACCCACACCCGTGCACATTCACCTCTTCTCGAACGGCGGCGTGTTCGCTGTAACGACGCTGCTGAGCGCGTACAAGGCGCGCGCGTGCGCCCCGCTGCCCGTTTCAGCGATACTCATCGACAGCGCGCCGGGCCGGGCCTCGATCCGCGAGGGGCTGAGGGCGTTTTCGTTCGCGCTGCCGAGGACCTTTGTGCTGCGGGTTTTGGGGAAGGCGGTGCTGTGCGCGCTTTTTGTGGTCGTGTACACGGTCAATTGGGTGCTCAGGAGGCCGGATGCGATTCAGAGGGGCCGGATTGCGCTTAATGATTCGGAGCTGGTGGGTGGGGATCCCGCGAGGTGTTATCTTTATTCGGATGGGGATGAGTTGGTTGGGTGGAGGGATGTGGAGGATCATGCGGATGAGGCGGAGGGGAGCGGGTTGAGGGTGCGGCGGGAGAAGTTTGTTGGGTCGCCGCATGTGGCGCATATGAAGGCTGATCCCGTAAGGTATTGGGGAGTGGTGAGGGAGTATCTTGGGATTTAGAGTGGGATTATGTTTCGTATGTAGATTAGATTAGCTTGGCGGAGAGACGGTTATAGAGTTTGGGCTTTGGTGTTGTGGTATGGAATTTAGTATTATACAGAGCAGGTACCTTTGGCCGGTAACCGTGCAACCGTATCTTGTGCGAGTCGGTTTAAACGGAGCATGGCGTCCAGAATAGTTTATCTTGGTTAGATCCGGTCTCTTGCCGCTAGCTCGTTTGCCCAGTGGAAGGTGAAGCCGTAATTTGACTGTTCTTTTGCTTATGGCCAGATACATAGTTTGTATCGGAATTGGACGAATTAGGTAAATGCGATTATGTTAGGATCTCCGAAGGTGTGTTTCTGGTCTGAGATCGTGTAAAAACTTGTTGGCATTCTGACGAAACGGTAGCGGAGATGACGGTACTTCATAGGATGAATCAGACTTTGGATGGGTTCTTCCAGCTCGTCGTCGACTTATTGTTTATCTGAAGCTGGGTGCGGAAGATCGAATATTAGTCGTTATTGGAGTAAGGCACGAATATCATCCTTGCGTAAGCTAAGCTCTCCTTCCCGAGGTCGAAGTTGCAGGGGAGGCTGCCTTCGAAAACCGGCAGATAGTACATGTCTCTAGATTGTGGGGCACACTTATAGGCTGATTCGAATCTTGTCAGTTGGAACGTCCCTTGAGGGCAATTCTTATCAGACTCAAGGAGTCTATAACGTATGTCATTTGTGTAGTCAACATTGTAAAACGATTTGCTGCTCCAAAAGGTTCATTTCGCTCCGCATGGGAAATCACAGGTGAAATCCCAAGAACTTTATGATGTTGCCAAGGACCCAAAAATTTAGACATCCAGGGAGGATTCTACTTCTGGTCAGCGCAAAGACCTCTTCAAACAATTATTATTGAGAGATTCATATCCCACTGTGTTCTTTATCGATTCCTGGGATGAATGCCGAACATCGATGTCTTGTCAATTTGGTCTGCCAGCAAGGAATCCTCATTCAATGACCGGATCTCGGGAACGATGTCGGTACTATTCGTACACCCAAAACTGGTTGATTCTCTTGAATTCTGACGCAATATACTTTTCGTCAATTTTCATTGAGATTTGGAGTTGATAAGGAAGTACTAAAGTAAAGTCTGGCACGCCGCGTACCTGGCAATCCGGAACAACGTTGATCCCGCCCCCCTTACCAGGTGGCATCAACATCAACAGCTTTCCGTCGACAAGCCAATCTCCCCACCATGGGCTCCTCTCCGTTCAATATGAGGTCCTTATTTGCCCTAATTCTGCTCGTGGTACAGACAGCCACAGCCTTGAAGTTCGATCTTCCTGCCTCATCGGGTGGCAATGAGCGATGCATCCGCAACTTCGTCGCCAAGGACCAATTGGTAGTGGTGACCGCCATCGTAGGCGGCTCTAAGGGTGATGGTCAGAAGGTCAACATGCATGTAAGTACCACTGCCTTTTCGCTAGCTGGCATGGCTGGATTGTGGGCTGGGCTGCAATGGCTTACTACTGCCCATGGCCCGGAATACGATAATTAACATTACCCACAGATCAAGGATTCCATGGGCAATGACCATGGTCGCCCAAAGGATATTGTCGGTGAAGTCCGCCAGGCCTTTACCTCGACTGCTGACACCGCTTTCGATGTGTGCTTGACGAACCAGCTTGTCGGTCGCAGTGAGTCCCCCGCGAGAACGGCCGGGTTGAAAGACTGATCAGCCATGACAACTTGGACTGAATCGCTTTGCTAACAATGGCCAATTCTAGGCGGCTCAAACACCCCCTTCCGTGACATCGAGCTGGATGTCGAAATCGGTGCCGACGCCCGCGACTGGTCCAGCATCCAGGCCCAGGAGAAGCTCAAGCCCGTCGAGACTGACCTGCGCCGTATCGAAGAGATGGTTGCCGATATTGTGACTGAGATGGACTACCTCCGCGCTCGTGAGCAACGCCTGCGTGACACCAACGAGAGCACCAACGAGCGAGTCAAGTGGTTTGCCTTTGGTACTATGGGTATGCTGGTTGGTCTGGGCGCGTGGCAGGTTGTCTACTTGCGCGCCTACTTCCGCTCTAAGCACCTTATTTAGAGTTAGGCTGGAGGGGCCATTGCATTTGGGATTTTGCATTTCGAATTTCTGGATTTCTTGAAAAGCAGCGTAGGGAGTTGCTGCAGCCTTTGTCACCTGTTTTCCTCTCATGTCTTACGGCTTCTTGTTCCAACAGTCATGACCTCAATGATACAAAATACATGCCCTGCTTGTGCAGAGGTTAATCTATCATTTTTCGAGCATTAAAGGCAAGAATGCTGGTATTATAATAGAGCTCAGCTGGCTCGGTCAAATGATCGTAAATTGGGTATTTTTCTTAAGGTTATGGCTTGATAAGTATTCGAAAAATGATCCAGGATTTCAACCAGGCATATTGAAGGCTATTTCGCTTGCGACGATCGACTAAACATGGTTGCTAATATCCTCGGCTTACTGGACGGTCAACTGCAAACTATGCAAACATCGGAGCGCTTCGCGTTTTCTGGTGACTTGAGAATGATGTCAAACCGCCATTAGAGCTTCTCAATCCATCTTTTCTCTTAGAAGAAGTTTTAAGCACCCCCCACCAGAGAGCACAGTAAAGATGACAGCTCCAAGAATGATCAGTCGGGCTACGCGCTCCATTCCCTCAGTTCAAAAGTTCGCGGCATTCAACCGCTCATTCGGTTCGACAGCTTTGCGCTTCAAGGATGTCGAAGATCCAGCTGCCGCTTACACCGAAGCTCACCGCAAGAACCAAGCGAAGAAGCCTGTGAACCCGGTTGTTCCCAATACTACGTCTACTATGACCAAGGATTTCCCTAGCGTTGGGCAGAGGCCCTCGCCGCCCGAGATGATCAACTCAGTCGACCCAAACTACCGCCCGGCAGATCCATACCCAGGCCGCATTGAGCACTTCACCGGCGGTCGGCAAAAGAGCGGTGCTCAGAAAGCCGAGCTTGGTGTTGGTGAAATGGAGGGTATTACCTTCAAGGTTGAGCCGCTGAAGCGCGAGGGCGAAGACGTAGCCACCAAACGAGCACGACTACTATGTAAGTAACCGCTTAGCCTAGCCTGAGTGGCGAGACTCGAGTCGTTCTGCATATGTGGCTAGTATTATAAGAAGCTAACACGGCACGCAATCAGACCAAAGCCGGAAGCGCGGAATCCTGGAATCGGATCTCCTGTTATCCACTTTTGCCGACGTTTACTTGGGAAACATGACCGCGGAGCAACTGCAGGAGTATGATAGCTTCTTGGATGAGAACGACTGGGACATCTACTACTGGGCAACACAGGACCCCCCAGAGGTCAGCCAGTCGTCGCCGCCGCCTGAGGACACTGTCACCGAAACCTGGAAGAACACTGGGGCCAAGAGTGGTGAATGGGCGCAGACGATTGGTGCGTTTAAGGCTGCGTATCGTCCCGTGCCACAGCGCTGGAAAAACTCAGAAGTTCTGGGCCTTTTGAGACAGCATGTCCGCGATAAGAGCGCTACTGGCTTCGAGTCGGCTAAGAATAAGCGAACTGGCGGTGGTTTGGGCCGCATGCCGAATGTGCAGGTCTTCAATTCTTGAGTCGTACAAGCTCGAAATGGGCAGGCCTGTGCGGCATGTTGATGGATACTGCTGTGTATGATAAAGAGGTAACTACCAGTGTATATTGATGTGTAAACCGTAGTGTCAGCTAGGATCGGTGCATATTGAGTGTTGAGAGCCGCATAACTGAACAGCGTAATCTTCACACGATAGTGGAATAAGATATGAGACATATCATTGCAAATATTAAGCTGGTCAAGCCAGTACCCCAGGCTGGGATTGTATAGTTCGCGATAAGATAGCGGCGACCCACGTGATCTGGTTCGCTTAGACTAGGGCACGGCTCCGCCCACTAACCACACAAGGCGGGCCAACCGGGTTTAGGGCTTGAGCGGGCACGCAGCATCTCCTTCTTTTGCGATTTTAACTCCCCAGCGTCAACGACCTACTCCGCCCATCCTCTCCCCTTCCATCGTCTCATTCCCATAATGGCTGAGCAGCTGGTTCTTCGTGGCACCCTCGAGGGCCACAATGGCTGGGTTACCTCCCTCGCGACCTCCCTGGAGAAGTATGTATTCCGACCCAAATTTTCGCATCGATTTCATCGACTGACTGATGGCCGTGTTATAGCCCCAACATGCTGCTGTCCGGTTCCCGCGACAAGACCCTGATCATCTGGAACCTCACCCGCGACGAGCAGGCCTATGGTTACCCCAAGCGCAGCCTGGAGGGCCACTCCCACATCGTCTCTGACTGTGTATGATTTACCCCCCCTCTTTTCTCTTTCTCCGGGATCGACACGCATGGCCTGGATGGATTGTGAACTGGCACACGGTGGAACGCGATGCTATGTGGATGTGGAAATGAACGGTCATGGAGGATTCTTTGGGACAATGGCTGATCATTGGTCTCCTTTTTCGTATAGGTGATCTCCTCCGACGGTGCTTACGCTCTGTCTGCCTCTTGGGACAAGTCTCTCCGCCTGTGGGAGCTCTCCACCGGTAACACCACCCGCACTTTCGTCGGCCACACCAACGATGTTCTGTCCGTCTCTTTCTCCGCCGACAACCGTCAGATCGTCTCCGGTTCCCGTGACCGCACCATCAAGCTGTGGAACACCCTCGGTGACTGCAAGTTCACCATCACCGACAAGGGCCACACCGAGTGGGTTTCGCAAGTCCGCTTCAGCCCCAACCCCCAGAACCCCGTCATTGTCTCTGCTGGTTGGGACAAGCTCGTCAAGGTACGCTATCACCCCCTTCGGGATACTCGATATACATACCCCACGCGCCCACCCAAATGATGTTTGCATATTCTACGTATTTGCTACTTCAGAGCCTTCACGGCGATGAGACAACCATTCACCCAATGCCTGATGAAACTCCCAACCCGAACTTTATTATCTCTTTCCATGAAGTATCGGGTTGATGAGAAATCTGCTTGACAACTGTCCACATGCTCGGTTTTTGAAATGCAGAATTGCTGACAATGTCAACTCACAGGTTTGGGAGCTCGCCTCTTGCCGCCTGCAGACCGACCACATCGGTCACACCGGCTACATCAACACTGTCACCATCTCCCCGATGGATCCCTCTGCGCCTCCGGTGGCAAGGACGGCACCACCATGCTCTGGGATCTGAACGAGTCCAAGCACCTCTACTCCCTCCACGCCGGCGATGAGATCCACGCTCTCGTCTTCTCCCCCAACCGCTACTGGCTGTGCGCTGCCACCAGCAGCTCCATCACCATCTTCGACCTCGAGAAGAAGAGCAAGGTTGATGAGCTCAAGCCCGAGTACGTCGAGAAGGGCAAGAAGAGCCGTGACCCCGAGTGTGTCTCTCTCGCCTGGTCCGCCGACGGCCAGACCCTGTTCGCTGGTTACACCGACAACAAGATCCGTGCCTGGGGTGTTATGTCGCGGGCATAGATGAGTTGAATGAGCGGGTAGAAGGAGGAGGCCTCTTTTTTGATCGGGAACGCAAAAAAAAGTTTCAAAAATCCAGAACAAGAAGGGCTTTGGGTTTGGGATGTATGAGCCACGAGCAATGAAGCACTCTGGGCCGGGTCCCGGGGGTTTTCCCGGCCTGGTGGTTTTCTGACATGTCTAGCTTACTCGATTCGCCATTAAAGTTTGAATGTTCGGAGTCCTGTAACGGCATGTGATGTTCTAATACCACATAAGGCATCAAAACTGTTTCCTATTTTTTTCACTGTTTATTGTTGTTCCCACGTGCTCCGTAAGCTGAGTTCGTAGCGTCAGCGAGGCCAGTTTTTACTGCTCTGCTAATAGTTTCCATAGGCAGTCTTATCTGGGTTGATAGATGAGTTAGTGGCTTAGAGCATCACTAGTATGTAGATCTACGATCCAGTCATAGATACATCTTGATGTACTCTTCATCCGCTAGCAGATAAGAGCAGGCTCAGGGTCTGAGGTAGATGCATGGAACTTAGATCCATTGGCCCATGATCATTTGCTGCCAATGGGGATTACCTATACTGGGATTCGAGTAGAGAAAGCCCGGACATTTCATACTGGGCCTTTTGTCTTCTCTTGGTCAATACTCTGACAGACGCAAGAGGCCCAATCTCTTCCCTACTGGTCTAGAACCACAAAAGAAGGAAGAGCACTAAGTTACTGCAGCACTGCCTAGGAGAATAACTAGTCTCCTCTATAGTCCTTGAGGTGTAAGTAAAGTCGACAAGTACCTTCTACTCTGAACGAGACGAAGAATCCAAGACTCGCTAGACGTGCTGGATGATACGGAGAAAAAGGTCTTTGGGTATAATATTGAAGCTTCTTGATGTGGTCAAATAGGAGAAACTCCCAGATGCCCCTAGGGACCCCGTGTCTTTCTGGTTTGGGAAGTCCTGCCAACACCGAAGCCAAGAAATAATCTGTGAGCTGACGGATATATCTATTCGTCTTTTTCCCTTTTTGGATCTTCTTGATTGCCAGGCTTTGGTGTTTCTCACCACCTTTACTTTGTAAAGATACCTATAGGGGCGAGAATGGGGCGATCTCGAAAAGGTGGAAATGCTCACTTAAGGCTTTTCAAGCCCAAATGAAAGGTATCCTGTTTTCTCAAGGTCATGGACCCGGGCCCGAAGACAGGTAGGTTTGTATTTTCGCAAACTTCTACCGGGGTATGAGAGAAGTGCATTCTGTTGAGTCTCTGCTTGATTCAATGTAAGTGTTTGTCTTTTCTCATCAACTCGTCTCGGCACAGTATGGCCAAGCTGAGAGGGATCATCTAGTACTAGTAGGGAAGTTTCCTTCTGCCTTGGGATACATACACAATAAAATAGAGCATGTGCATATCAGAGTAGTGACGCCTCAAGTTCGAGTTGGTCAAGGCTATCTGGACATGTATGTCTCAGCTTGTAAACGAGTGTCTGCCTCCCCATACCCTGTTTTCTTTTCCTTATCTAGGAATATAATCGGGGATTTATTTACCTTTGGCTTATCAGCTTCCCTCGAAATCGATTTAGCATGCTAAAAACCGTTGGCACAGCACAGCTACCCAGCACAGTCATGGGGCTGAGGGGCGGGGCGCTAAGGTGCAGGCAGTGGCGGTGCGGCAAGAACCCTGTACCTGCCAATCGTCTCCCAATCGGTCCTTCCTGTGCATGGTCTCGATCTCGAGTGCATCTACAGATGTCTGCCTTGCACAGTAAGCTCCTCTGGTAGAAATATAAAGGGCCGTACATCTCTGCGTGTCTCCCGTTCTTTCCACAGACTTTGCTCCAATTCTACTGTGTATCTCATTCCGCATATATTCTATGTTGTAGAGCCGATCATCTTCCAGTTCAAGTTGAGAAAATGCCCAACCAGAAGCCAGCAAGCGCAAAGCTTCTCTCTTGCCCAGGATGCGAGAAGAAGAATTTCCAAACTATCCCGGCCTTGAGGATGCATTTCATCGCCAAAGGGCACAGTGCTAGCCGTTGCCGAAAATGCCAGAAGACCTTCAACGATGTCTTGTCTCTGATACAGCACTATCAGAAATACACGATATCGACCGATCCGCCAGCTCTGGTTCAAGTCTCGGCGAAAGCGAAACTGGACAATGCGCCATCGCCAGCTCGGAAACAGGAGAAAGCAGAAGTCGTCGTCGCAACAGCGCATTCTGCGGAAACTCTAAAGGAGGTTTCCAAGGACCCAAAGTCATCAACGACTCGCCCGAGCCGTGTCCCACTACCCGCTGTTGAAGACTATGTTGTAGTAGAGCATCCAGGTAGGGAGCATACCAATAATCATGGAGAATCGTTCAATTGACATCGCCTTTCCAGTTGTAGAAGCAGCTACACTGCCGTCGTCAATACTCCCAATCAGCTTGACCCCAGAGGAGCAAGAAGCAGTTTCCCGATCTTTGTCCACACGCTGCCATCCGCCAAAACGCCTCTTGGCAGAGGGGTACATCATAGAAGGCGGGACTGTCAAAAACAAGGAGTTCGTCTGCAATAGCTGCGTCCCCTTGAACCAATTCCGAGATACACCGCGCCCAAGCGAGCAATCCGCACCCAAAAGACGCGCTGTCGCCATCGACTGCGAAATGGTCGAGATCGCAAATCATCGACAAGCACTCGCTTTCCTCAGCGCAATTGACGCCCTAACAGGCGAGGTCCTCATCAGCCGGCTCGTTCAGCCGTCCGAGAGAGTCCTACATTGGAGGACCAGGCATAGCGGCGTGACGGCCTCACTCATGTCCAAGGCCGTTGCCTCGGGGGAAGCAGTCAAGAATTGGAAAACAGCGCGCCAGATGCTATGGGCCCTGGTGGATAGTGAGACGGTGCTTATCGGCCATTCGCTAAAACACGATCTCCAAGTCCTTGGGATGCGGCATCCGAAGATTGTCGATTCGGCCATACTGACGGCCGAGGCGGTCTTCCCTGATCCCTTGGTCACAGGGACAATGACTCGTTTGTGGAGTCTGAAGAAGCTCGCGAAGGCCTTTCTCGGCGCGGATATACAGGTGGGTAAGAATGGCCATGCGGCGCTAGAGGATGCATTTGCTTCACGGGACATTGTTGTTCAATGCATTAGAAGGCCGGCGCAGTTGGAGGAGTGGGCAAAGAGGATGCGCGTTGAGGAGAAAGACCGGCAGATCGCGAGAGAGATCCAGAGAAAGCTGAAAGCAGCCCAGAAACTCGAAGGGGATAAGAAGCCTGAGCTGGGAAGGGCAGACCGTAAAGGGACTCGCAGAAAACAGACTAAACCCAACTTGAAGGTCGTTGGGCGAGCGAAGGGACTGGCCCAAACTTGAACGAGAGACGATTTTCCTCCGGTGTTTATTCGTGTTTTTTTTTCTGCTCTAGATCCCAGTTTAGCGATTGAAAGTCCTTAGTCCTTTATGAATTGTCTTACATCCCCTTGGGAATTTGGAAGAGTTTTCCGATAATAACAGATAAGACCGACAGCCAGGGAGTAAGGTTCTATGAATTCGTGAATATTGTACATAAGTGATAACCCCGGCAGCCCGTGGCTATTTCTTGGAAAGCCGTTTTAGAGCTGCATTAGCCATAGCGACTCCGTCTTCATAATCCAGGCCCTTTGCAAGAGACAAAGCTTCCGTGTATCGCGAGCGAGCTACATCTGGCTTTTTCTGGAGCTCTGCGATTTCGCCCAGATTGTAAGTCGCCACGACGCAAGTAATATCACATTCCTCGTCTCGAAGCGGCGGCTGAATACGCGCCGCTACGTCGATAGACTTTTGTGCCCACTGACGGGCTGCCTCAATGATCTGGTCCTGCGAGCCCTGCTTCTGTCCAGGAGTGGGCTTCTGCACCTGACCGGTCATGGCGGTGGCAACGTCGTTCAGCAAAACAACTTGCTTACACGATACCGAGTTTCCCTCCGACTGGCGGATCAAGTCCAATGCACGCATGTAAAGCGGCATGGCGAGCTCGTATCGCTCTTTGGCAGTATAAGTAGCTGCCAGTTCAGCGAGCGCTGTGGCAATCTCAACCATGTTCAACCAAGGCTCACCAGCCGCATCATCACTATCAGCTACCCCAACAGGCAAGCCGAGCTGCAGTCGGCGGTGCAACTCCTTCAGACTCAACTCCACAGCAGCTACCTGCGCAGCCTCCGCTTTCTTCTCATCCTGAATATGATCGCTCGCATACAGCTCAGCAAGCTTCATCTCCATACCGACAACCTTCTTCAGCGCCCGGTCCCGCTGCCGCGCCTCAAACTCCTGCATGGCCACAAGATCCTTTTCCGCTTCGCGCAAGGCCTCATCACTGACCTGCACTTGATCAGCCTCGACCTTCGCCTGTGCAGGCGACGGGGCAGGCTTGCCAGCTCCAGCGCCAGCAGCCTCAATCTCTCCCCTGCTCAATCCAGTTGAGCGCTTCGCTCCGCGTCCGCTCTAGCACTTCGACCGCCTGTTTCACTAGGCCCGCCTTCTCCAACATCATCGCCACCTGCAGCTTGATGCCGAGAATCTCGTCCGAGAAAGGATGCATGCCCAGCTCAAGGCCCGTCCGCAAAGCCTCCTTATATGCGTCTAAGGCCTTGAACGGGTTCAAGTCGATTTCGGTGTAATACACGGCCGTACGCAGCGTGTCGGCTACTGGACCCGGAAACTTGTGATACTGCGGTGCCACCCGCGTGGCTTCGACGTAAGATGCATATCCGAACGCCGTGAATGCAGCGACGAAAGAGACGAGGGCAAGAGGGAGGAGAATCGGGTTCTTGCGGAAAATCCCCTTCGAAGCTTCACGGTAGATTCGACGGATGCGTTGGGTGTAGGATAGGTGGCGGACGTGAGGTAGTTGAGAGCGGACGAGGGATGGCGCGTTGGATGACCTTAGAAGCAGCGATGGCCGCGCATCATTGTGTATTAATCGGCTCAAGGGCTGACGTTGTGCTTGGGACAGTCTCAGGGCCGGGGTGGAGGAGGCGCTTGCGCGCCGCGACGCCGCGCGGAACATTGGGGATTTGTGGGTTGCAGTCGGGATGCGTATTGTGGGCCTCTCTATCCTCAACTCAAGATGTACAGCGAGGATGGACGAGTTCGTTGTATTGCAGAGTTGGCTTGAGAGAATAAAAATGGTGATTGAAGGTCCGCAGAACCGCACCCGATTTTAACTTGGCCCAAGCTTCTCTCTCCGCCATATGACGTCGCTCGTCCGCCAGGAGAACAATCTTCCCTGGTTGCATTGATAGTTGGATCAGTTACATAGGTTAAACCAGAGCACACGCTCTCCTTGCTACGACATGTGTGGACGATATGCTTTGGGCTTGGTATGCTCTGTCAATGTCTGCGTTGGCCCTTGTACTAACAGCTATGCAGCGCTTAGCGTACGTCCGCCAGCGCCTCACGAATAGAGGAATGCAAGTGGACGATACACCAGCAGATGACCAGGTCAGAGAGACATACAATTTTGCCCCAGGGAACTTTGGTGTTGTGTACCGGGCTGAGATCCCTGGTGATGACCATCAGCGCCGAGCGGACGCCAATGAGCAGGATGAAGCACGTAAAGAAACATCAAAATCAACCAAGGACACAAATCCTCAGCCCATAAAATACAAGCTTCAGAGCATGAAGTGGGGGTTAATACCATTCTGGACCAAGCGTCAACCAGACTACGGATCCTTGATGCGCACGATCAATTGTCGAGATGACTCTCTGATCGAGGATCGGGGCATGTGGACTACTATGAAGCGGCACAAGCGGTGCATTGTTGTTTGCCAGGGATTCTATGAATGGCTGAAAAAGGGGCCCGGTGGGAAAGACCGAATCCCGCATTACGTGAAGCGCAAGGACGGTGAGTTGATGTGCTTTGCAGGGCTATGGGATTGTGTGTCATACGAGGGTCAGTATTCCTCTACCCGCCCGGTAAAGCCCTGAGGCTAACTCCTGCTGTACAAAGGCTCCGACGAAAAACTCTACACTTACACAATCATCACTACATCTTCAAATCAGTACCTGAAATTTTTACACGACCGAATGCCCGTCATTCTTGATGCCGGAAGCGACGCCATGAAGACTTGGCTGGACCCTAGCCGAACTCACTGGTCAAAAGAGCTTCAATCCCTTTTGAAACCATATGATGGCGAGCTAGAATGCTACCAAGTATCGAAAGAGGTTGGTAAGGTCGGGAACAATTCCCCCGACTTTATCATTCCAATTGACAGCAAAGATAACAAGAATAATATCGCAAACTTCTTTGCTAGTCCTAAGAAAAAGGACACCGAAAAAGCAGACACTAAACCACAGACCCCGAAAGTCGAGACCGAAATGGAACCAAGTGACAGGCTTCCCGTATCAGGCGTGAAGCGAGAGCACACACCGGATACACCGAACGAAAAGCAAGACAACAAAAAGCCGAAAGTTCTAGCGAGTAGCTCGCCACAGAAAGGAAAAACAAGGAGTGCTACTCATAATAGCCCGAGAAAAACAGCCAGTGGGCCGAAGCCAACTGACGGATCACAGCGAATAACGAACTTCTTCAAGAAATGAAAACCACGGGTGTGGTCAAAAAGAACAGAAGGAACTGGCAATGATATCCAACTCCGAATATGTACCGAGCAAAAGGAACAAACAATAATATCGCATATGCTATCGCCAAGCGCGTACCTTCGTGTGACTGGTTATACTTAGCTATTCCTTTAATTGTTCCTTCCCGGTTTCCTTCGGCTGTGGGCTCTCCAATTGTGTGCTCTTCTCATTAGCACATCCCTTGTGAACCTCAGCAGGTTGATACTGTTCAGATTGTGCCTCTGCCTGGCCTTTCACAGGTGGATAGAAATCAACCTTGCCACCACCTTGAATGACACCTGTTCTGTCCAAGATAGTGCGAGAGCGGATGTAAGGGTCCAATCGCCAGTAGTCTCTCTTGGAGCTTTTTGGCCAACTCTTCTCGACGGCTCTTCACAGTATCATCCTGGGGATTCTGTGTCCATTCCAAAGTAGCAGCGAAGAGATCTTGTCCAAGCTTTTTCCTCTCAGCAAGAATGTTATCTCTGGTAGCTGTATCTTGGAGCTTGGCATTCTCATTCTGTTGAGGTTCGAGGTATTCAAATTCCCAGTCCTCTTCACCTCCAAGTTCCTTGATTATGTGGGACCGAGGAATGAGTTCCTCGAGTCCATCCACGCCAGTCTGGAAACGGACCTTTGATGCAACTACAGGATCGAGAAGGCCCTTCACTATTCTCCAAAGACCTATTTATTTTTTTTTCTCGATGAGCAAAATCCAGACGTGATCTCTTCACAGCGGGTAGCAGATTGGAACGAACCTGAGAAAACCCAAGGAGCATTGTAATAGATGATCGCGCCTAGGCATTCGGGGTAATTGGACTGAAAGGTATCGACGATGAACTTGATAGGTGCCAAGTCCTATCTTTAATCAGCAATCGGACATCGAACTAGGGAGCTAGATCTCGAGGCTGGAGACTTACCCAGTTTGCATAACCGAATCCACCCATGTCAAAAAGGATCGTCTATAACTTTATTAGCATCTCGAACTTGTCGAGCCAGATGGCTATCTTCGCTTTGAGACAGCCGGGCGGAGGATCTGGATCAAGCTTACGATTGTTTCCACCGGGTGAACGAGAGTCACACGGATAGTTTCCAGAAGGTGAATAACAAAGTCATTCATACCCTTCGGTGTCTGGCCACTTGGATCGTGTAGCTTAGCCCGAATAACCAGTATGGGACGTCCCTCCTTGTCTGTACCATGCACGTGGCCCTCGCCAGTGCGCACAAGTCTCATAAAGCCCTCGGCGTCTTTTCGTTGTGACGCATCTTTTGAGGTCTTCAATACCTCGACTGCATGGGGCTCTCCTTTAGGCATGACTTCTTCGTCCACTTTATACTCATTGGCTCGCCAATTGAGAGCAGAGACAAGCTTAATCCATGCCTTGGAGACATCCCACTTCTCTGCGCGGAGATAGCGCAACAGGACTGCATCGGGATGGTCCTGCTTGAGAAAGCCCAGATAAGCGGCAAGGAACTGTTCACCAGGAAACTTGGGCAGGAGGGACTGGATAGCACTGATTTCGTTTGGACCTGTCTTCAGATCGTGGAGACTCGCTGCAAGTTTCGGCGGCAGGGAAACAGATGCGCCCTCTTTAACTTGGGTTGGTGTTCTCATAAGAGAAAACCTTCCGTTAGTAGTCCCGCTCGGTGCCACGGAAGCTCTTTCGGTTGAGCCAGTGCTTTTATCCCACGATTCTATCAAGATCTTCCAGAGCTGTCGGACGTTCTCCTCTTGAGCTGCCGTCAGGTTGCCCACATGGCCGGGGGCAGTCTTCTCAGAGCCCGACATAGTGTCAGAAGTCTCACCAGTACGACAAAAGGGAGATTTCTCAAAGTGCTGGACGCTTCGGAAAGACCCCAAATTGTATTTAAATTGGCGGATATGCGCAGATCAGGATTTATGACAGGTCGAGCCTCGGATTATCATTTCCTGCGTTGGCCCTAGAGCTTCATACTAGTGGCTGCCCTTAATCGTACTAGAGAGAGTAACTACATCACGTGAGGGAAACGCTGCACGTGGAATGCTCTATTTCTGCGTAGTACACGCTATTAGGACGTTAAATGCACAGAATCTATAGAGTGAGATTGCAGCCCAGTCTTGACTCGGGACTCGGTGGATTCCAGCTGACAAGCCACATCTTTTTACCAAGCGCTCTTGCCATCAGTGATGTGATGTGGGGTTTCTCCCGCACAAGCCCCTGAGCGGGCATTACAATGAACGGGTCTAGCCTCCAATTTCAGCTTTCAATTCCGTGCCCCAGCTTCCTAAATGGCGGGGGCAGAAATCTCCGATAGCAGAGCAACACACTACTCAAACAGGAAAGGATTCCAGAAAGTTTCCGACCTTGTTCCTTGCTCCGTAGTTACCGCGGGTAGCCCCACCAATCCGCAAGGCCTTTGAATCATACCGACACGGAATGTCCTGGGCCCCTAACCTCCCCTAAGAATCATGGAACAAGATCCTGAAGGGGCCGAAAGTTATATGGAACTCTCCATCTACGTCTACGGGCCCGAAGCAGACCAGATCAGCCAGAGAGATGGGCGAGATTGAGACCGGCCCTCGGATTCGTATCGGACGGCAGTATGCGCCGACTGAGGCTGTGTATGCAGTTGTCAGGATACTGCGGTATTTTGAAGGAATAGGCAGTAGCGATGAAAAATTGTAGCTGCGATACGCCGGGCCCATAAAACCCGATCCACTCTGCTCAATGAGTTTAATTCAGTTTTGCGGTGCATTATTTGTACATGGAATGAGAGATCCTAGAAAGAACTAGAGAGCATTCTTTCACTTCTTATCAAGCTCCTTGAGCCTCTGGACCAGTTTCCCTCGGAGGAAATCGCTCAATCCCAGACTAGAAGAGTCAGTATATCCATGAGTAGTTACAGGCGGGAGAAGAATAACTTACATTCCATCACGTGTCACGACTCTGTACGTGCCTACTAGATTGTTAGCATTGAATAACGGTATGGCGCCAAGGAAGCATGTATAGACCTACCGCTAGCTTGGTATTTCCCATCACCGTCGACAAATTGACCATTTCCATCGACCTCAAGACTACCAAAGATATCTTCGGGCCTTTCAAATCTGTCAGCGGAATCCCTAAGAAGCCTGGTTCGCGCCATTGCTGTACATACCATGCAATACGCCCATACTCCGGGGCCCTCCGACCATCTGAAATATGGATCCAGCCACCACGGCCAGCAGAACCCGCACCACCTTGTCCACTTGCACCGCCGCTGGAATCGCTCGCGTCGGCCCGACGCTTGCTCCGGCGCGAATTGGTTAAGAGTACACCACCAGAAGTCAGATTGGCACCAGATGTAGATACCATAACCTGTGCTTGGGATTGTGCATCTGGGTCCTCGTGCGCATGCTTAGCAAACACCTCTTGTAGGATTGTGATAAATTTTGGGTTCTCGGTGAGAGAGTCTGGCGTGGGAGGCAATTTTGTGGTGGCGCCAATCGAAAGATCGGGATTGACAGGCTCAGAGGATAATAGAGATAGAATATGAGTTCCCTTCGCTCCCTGGCTTGGGAATACGTACTGCATCCATGTTAGTGTCAGCCTTGTGGCTAGGGAAGACTCGACCAACGATATGAGGATTGCCTTCCAAGGTTGAAAGGCTCCTAATCTGTGACCACCGTTGCAGGCCCAGGGCCTGCCGGCAAATATTTCTTGACGCGAACATCCTGTTCAATCGATATTACCACGATTGTAAATTCAGATTGTGCAGTGCTCGGGTTTTGAGTTGTCAAGTTGATTCGACGTCATTTGAATATTGCAGAATCCCGGCGGTGGGTGAGGCGGTAGTGGCCGTTCAAACTAATGCGCGTTTATGAAGAACCAAGATCGACCGCCATCGCGAAGCCCCAGCGGTGCATAACAATTGCAGCACGGGGGCGGATACCACGCCTGGGAGCTGTAGGCCATCACACTGTGCTTGCAATACTTGCCAGCCGCGCTCAAGTTTGTGCTGAGGCCTGCAGCTGGCTGTGATCGAGTACGCGTTCAAGGATAGCCACGCCAACTGAAGACCCCACACAGGCGCGCTGACTTCCCACAAGTCTGCGTGTCTCGGAGGCTTTCATCTCGTGTAATTGAATGTACGCAAGAAGTTATTGAGGAGACATCTAGCCCACCATGGCGACTCCCTCTGCGAAACCTGGCGCAACGCCAACCCACCTCACTTCCTCCCCACACCCCGGTTCCGCGCCTCTCTCTCGCTCCATCGCGCATAAGTCGCCCTCTACAAGAACACCGACAGGATACGGAGCTGGCCACCACAATCACGCCAGTGTTTCTTCATCCCACCAATACGCCACGCCTCTCGCCGTCAGCAGTGGCGTTGACGACCCCGTCAACTTCAGCTCGCCGTCTGCACTTCTGGCGCTGGGCGCATATACTGGGATCAGTCCAGGTGTCGCAGTCCATGATGGGTTAGTGGGTACCAGTATGAACGATACCGATATTCAAAATTTGGGGATGCAGGGTCTTAAGCTGGGACGCGATAGCGACGAAGAACAAAGGCACCGTATCGAAGAAGTTGTACAAGTTCTTCGAGCGCGCGTGGCTGGCCGAGGTGTCTCTAGAGAAGGCGTGGAACGTCTTAGTCGTCTCGAGGGCTTCGAATCTATCTGGCAGCACAACGACATCAACATCGCTGGAAACTTCGTCGATCTGGAGATTGAATTTCACGCCGGCCACGAGGTCGTGAAGGACGTCAGTTTGCGGTATGCCACACCCGAGTACACGGAAGGTGAGCGGAGGGAGGAAGCCACTTCCGTTTTAAAGCGCAATCTCGTTCAATCCCCGCAAGATGCCGATACTGGGAAATGGAGATCGTTGCAAGCTTTCTACGAGAACCTTCAATGGCTTGCCAAACTTGACAAGCTCAGCCAAGAAGTCAATTGTTTTGAGGCGCTGGAGGGTCTTGAGGAGAACGTCAAGCGAATTTGGGAGGAAGAAAATAAGGACAACAAATACGGCGGTGCCTATGAGCATCTCTGTCGCGGTGTTATTGGTCGCCCCAGCATGCATAAAGGATCTCGAATCGGTCTTGGTCTGGAGTACTGGGTGGATCAAGCGATGGCGATCGATAAGAAGAAGAACAGCTCACCCGATGCGATGGTCCTGGACAATCAGGAAGAGCAAGAGGCTAGTGACCTAGAGGACGAAAGAAGGGTATGGACTGCTATGATTGAGTGCGAGGAGGGCTATCCTTCACTTCGCATTTCCAAGGAATGGGTTGGAACCGAAGTCTTTTCTACTGTGGAGAAGACAGAGGACTCTGACTCTGCTGAGCCTTCACAATCTGTCAATTGGCTCGAGCCTCCACAAACCATGCGCATTTCCCACGGGAACCACCCTGATCCAATGGCCCTTGATTCCAGCATGCTTGAGTCATCACCACCGAATCGCCGATTTGTTCTCAAGCTCGAACCCGCCCTTGATCTACCCATCTTTGTGGTATCGGAAATATACAGGCATCTGGGCTTACAGCAGCACCAAGAATTCAAATTCATCACATACGACACCTTGCTAGTCTCCGGGCCAATGGATGATGCACCCTTACCCGGCCAAAGGAAGTGCAGAGTATCTGTGGACACGTTTGAGGCTGATGGAACCTTCCGTAAAAAGCACCACAATTGCAGCTTCCAGCCATTTGAAGCGGTGTCAGGTCGCACCATCAGTGAACTCCCCTTTTCCCACCCCCGTCAAATTGCCGAGATCATCCCCGTATGTATTAGCCCACCCCCTGTTTGAGTGACTTCTGCTAACTGAATCAGACCTTCCGGCAATATGCAATGCTCTCAAGCCTCATTCGAAGGGTGTTCAAAGCGCCAGCGGAAGAAAGGGCTAGCGAGCATGGTTCTTCTGCCAACCCGCAAGTTACCAGTCCTGGCTCTGTAGACCAGGCGTCAGATGCTCCCCCTGATCACACAGGAATCATCACTCTCAGTAACGATGAATCTACCGACGATAAGATTGCCGTTCTGCTAGCAGGAGGGTTCCCATCTTCTGACTCCGACGCCGAGACCCTGTCACTTTCAAGTGGAGTTAAGAGCTTACACCTGGACGACGTTAAAGTTGATGTGACATTGCGGACTCAAATCGGACAAGCACCGGCCCTTATCCTCGTTATCTCCGAACCTGGTAGGACAACCAGTGACACCGAAGAGATTACTACTGATGAGGTGAACATCACGATATGCATTGAAATCGGCCTCAATGGCCGTGTCACCGTGACGGAAAGTGCCGGCCTTGCGGCTCATACTCCCGGAGGCGGGGACACGGAAATGCAAGGGGCCGATGACAGCGATCCGACGCTGCAGGATGTCCACAGGAAGATCGCCCGGGTGCTAGAGATCTCGCAGGACCTGGGAATCTTGGTGGAGTGGGTCCTTCGCTCGCAGCGGCAGCGGGCCGGCGGTGGCTGATGCTGATGCTGGCTGCCGGGCATTCCGGATCTGGCAGATCTCGGAATAAGTACGAGAATTACTGTGTCGGGATGTTTCGATATCATTGTTCTTGCAAGAGGAAGCAAGACGTTCATTCTCGTCTTGCTGTCAAGAGCAAGGGGCAAGACCTGGTGAAGCGGTCAGAATATCCTACTCTCAATGCTTCTAACGTCCTTGCAATAGCCTAACAGTTGTCTTCGACGCCATATGATGCATGGCTGGCTTGGGAAATGCTCGATGAAGCATGGAGGTCCTCGCCTGCCTCGGACGCATTATTTCATGTTTTGCCATGACATATTTGATACCCGGACGCATTAGGGCGCCATGAGCTTTCTGGGCGCACTAGATGGCATTCAATGAAAAGAAACGTACCATAAGTCTCAGTGCCAGCCGCCTAGTAATCAGTTAATTGCGAATGAATTCATCCATGAATAGTCAAGATAACCCAACTCTATACCTCACCGAAGACACTCATGCATCAAAGTGCACAGGCCTGAAAATTACAGCAGACACGGTCGATCCCCTGCTCTTGACGTCGATCTGTTCGTCCAAATCCCCGTCTTGGATCAACCAGTCCCCGCGATCTTCCATTCCTCATCTACAAACTTTACCAAACAAGCAATGACATCACCCGATCGCCCATCCTAGCGTCAGCCACACCCAGAGAACTTTGTTCACACCAAGACATCATAATGTCATCGCGTGGCCGATCTCATACCCCAGACTACGACGCGGGGGCGCCACCTGGGCGTATACTCCTGCGTGGTTACGTTCCCCCCTTCAGCACGGCCTTTCATCTAGAGCAGATCGTCTAATTATTGCCGACTCGAAGACACCGGAGGTCAGTAAGAGGTATAGGCTTGATGGCTCCCAATCAAAGAGCGAGACGCGCTAGGCGAGGGATAATAAGACGACTCCGGAGGGTCTTTACACGCTAGAGTCGTTGATCTTTGACGGAACAAGAAAATAGGGTGCAAATCTTGAGTCTTTCACCGATTTTCGAAAGCGTTGGTGCCCCACCTGAGGCTTTTGATGCTTCTGAAAACAAACCATAGCTCGTAATTTTGCTTTTTTGGGCTGTCCGAGGAGATTCATTTCCTTTTGAACTCTCCATCCTGGTGAGGCATTTATGGGAGAAATCCCTCGGATTTCATGCTGCGGGGCAGTTTTTGAGGGGTTTGGCCTCATTTTCATCTACTGTTGAAAGAGACAGTTCGTTTTGGAAGGAGTATAGGATTATGATCGTTAGTTGTTACTAGGTATGCCCGTTGACGATGAGGTATAAAGCACTGGTAGTTAACTAGTCCACTTAGTTAACTATCGCCACACAGACGAGAGAAAGAAGATATTACGTGCAGAGTATTGAAGTTATGACTAGCGATCCAGTCAGCGCCGTGAGTCAAGCTAGCGTTGAGCCAATCAACGATACCCGATAAGAAATACAAGCCCCGTCGATCCACGCAAGGCCCTCTTATTACTGTGGGGACCGCCCTCTTTACCCTGTATGCTTGGGATTCTGTCATTTTCCGATCACACGCCCAGTGCTTAAGAGCTTATTGCGTATCAGGCGCGGGAAAAGGCGCAGGATCAGATAGTAACGTACTGACCCTAATTTACAGTGCTCAGCCTCGACTCGGCAAGACGCCGCCTGACTAAGGAAGGCCCTGAATCATGTCTCGGCTATTCTGGGGAATCGAACTTCTGTGCTATGGCGGTGCTGGGGTGCCCACTGCCACTGTGCTACCCCGGAGACTTAGGATTCTCGCGATATTCTTAGACAGGGCTGAGTTCGGGGGAAAAGGCGCCACTCGGCCACTCGGCCACTCGCTGCCTTCCTGAAATTCCCGACTTGGACTGAGAAGGAAATACGGGAGAGTCCCTGGTCGTGTGATAAGACGCTAGCATCGCATTCTCCCGGTGGCTAACCTTCCCAACGGCTGTGGTGCACAGTATACTTCGACCCCTCCGTACCGACGTATAGAAGCCGCTGCTAAGAAGCCTTTGCCGCCCAGAACCACCAGCGCATACACAGAAGCAGTCAACAATTACATAAAAGGAATTCCGGAAATAGAAAATCTCAACGCAAAATACAAATCAAGATCCAGTATAAAACTGGTCTCGACTCGTGACATCTTGCATACGGGTACCAACTCCTCAGGCCGGTGTCGGGGGCGGTACCAGCGGCTTGGCCCCGCTTGATTGGCGCTCGGTGGTTTCGAGAACACTTTCGCCACGCTCCACTTCGGCTCTGATCGACCCCCTTTCCTGGTCTGGCTACTCCAGTTTCAAATGGGGTTTGATGGGGTTGCGGATCGGTATTGGTACATGTAAGTACGTACCTACCGGTCATAATGTGAAGGCGTGATCAGTTGAGAAAAAGTGCGGTGTAGTGTGAGGACCGCTTAGGGTTCGTGGATCAAATGGCTGCTGTACATTGAGGTTTGGACGGGGTCTGTGCGATGTGTCAGCGTCTGGTCCAGAGCCCTGGAGTGGCACCTCCGCTGCAGGTACAATGGCCGCAGTCTCCAATTGATTGTGCAGATAAGACCTGCTGCTCGTACCGTGCCACGCGGAATCACCGAGCTACGCGCCGAGGGGCGATAAGAGACCGCGCTATCTGCGATTGCCGTGCATGTAGGTTGCGCCTAGCGTGGACACGAGGGGTTCGTAGCGTCTGAGATGGCTCACCGAAAAGAGGCCCCTGATACTGGATAAGATATTGACTACTAGTATGGGAGGGAATAATTGCTTTTTCTGGACGGAGGGCGCCGTCAAGATCAGAAGTCTAGAAGCCTGCAGATCGTAAAGAGGGGTACGGACCTATCGTTAGCCCATGCAGCTAAACACGCCAGAGCCCTGATAGTTGAATAATGGATAGGATTCTACTTAGCAATCCCGGTAGCCCGTGACTCCGGGTGGTTCAGTCGGTTCAAGATCCGCACCCGTTCTGAGCCGCCGCAAGGGAGTCCCCGGGGAGAATGTTGCCCCAGACTTCCATGCTACACACCGGGATCCGACGTGGGGTGAGAGCGCACGGGGTAGGAGACCAGATCTGGGAAACAGATGCGCATCTCCTCCAATTGATAATGATGGATTAGAGATGGCCTGAGCAGGCGTTCCTCTCGTTATCGGCCCAACGGGATCAAAGCAATTGATCATATTACTGGGGCTTATTACAAGGGCCTGCATGCTGATTGGGCATCAGTAGGTGAAGGGTTATCAACGAGGCTAGAAGGCTAAAGGTAATTATCCAAGCCCTACAGAGTACACTGTAATTGTTCGAAACTATCGCGGCTGGCTCGGTAATGGGGTTACCATGTGCAAGGGCTAGAAAAGTCACAGTCACGAGAAACGGGGGAAGTTTGGGGACTATAGATCGGAAGGGCTATTGCGGGCAGATTTCCCATTGGAGGCATTCCAGCTTCTGACCACGAGAAGTCGAAGCTTTAGTCGTGCCTAATGCCCGAGGGAATTCGCGACGATCTACTGTTCTTTGTCACAAATCTCGGCGGCGACCGGGCACAGCGGTCTTGTATGATGTACCAATGATGACACGGGGAAAGATTCGTGGGAAATGATTACCGCCTCGGATCTCTTGAAGACCACACACATTAGAGAATCTTGTAGGGATAAATCCCCGGGTACCCAGGTAGAAATGGCACAATTTGGAAAGCTGCAAGCAAAGAAAGGAGTATACGAAGCTCAACAATGCGTGATTTTTTCGATACTTGTTTCCCCAACGACCCCCGGTTTCGGGTGGTGGGAATGTATGAAAATGTATGAGGCACTTACGCTGCCATGTTTGCGATTGGCAGCGGATACCGAGAATATACGAACATTACCGGTACTGCTCCGTACCGAACAATACCGCTAGGCCGCATTGGGGGTGGCTGACCCGTGCTGCCTCTTCTTTCTCGCTCGTTCGCCGTTCGTTCGTCGCTTCCCCCACCCGAAACACTGGGAAAAAAAAAGTAAAAAAAGAAAAAAGAAATTCGAACGGAATTAATTTCGATTTTTGCAAAAATTCCCAAAAAAACCGCAGTGACTAAATTTAAATCTTTATCGGACCTTCTTAACCTCTCTCCCTCGCCCCCCCACCATCTAAAAACTCCATCTTTCCCTCGCTTTGGATTCTCCATCCATCGTTTCTGTTTTCCTTTGGTCCTTCGGGATTTCACCTATCTTATAACAACAAAACCGCATCTGCTTGCTCGTCAAGCCTTGCTTAATTTTCACTCATATACCCATAATCCTTCATTATGGTAGGTCCTTCCATCTGTGACTCATGCCCTGGAACCCTCAGTACTAACGAACATCACCTCCAGGCTGCGGATTCAACTGTCGTCTCCAACACGGAGAATGTGCGTTTGATCCTCAATGCATTGAATTTCCACAATGGCCTTTGAGCCAGAGAGGAAATACATATACTGACTTGTCCTTGGATGGATAGCTCCTGAAGTACATGAACCTTGACCAGCGCGGTCGCGTACAAGCTGAGTACGTCTGGATCGATTCCACTGGAGGCACTCGCTCCAAGACAAAGGTAAGATCACAATCTCTCTATGGCGAGTGGCTTGAGGGCGTTATCGCCCCTCCCTTGATAAGGGCTGCGCACGGGGAAAATCGCACGCGACGCCCCTGCACCCATCCGCATCACGTGGTCAATGGAGGGGCAACCCGACTGATTTTATGAAAGCAAATCAAAACTAACACCTTATCTTGCTAGACCCTCTCCAAGGCCCCTAAGAGCGTCGACGAACTCCCCGAATGGAACTTCGACGGTTCCTCCACCGGCCAAGCCCCAGGCGACAACTCCGATGTCTACCTGCGCCCCGTCGCTATCTACCCTGATCCTTTCCGCCGGGGTGACAACATCCTCGTCCTTTGTGAAACTTGGGACTCAGATGGATCTCCCAACAAGTTCAACTACCGCCATGATGCTGCCCGTCTCTTCGAGACCCACGCCAAGGAGGGATTCTGGTTCGGTCTGGAGCAAGAATACACACTTCTCGGCACTGACGGCTGGCCCTACGGCTGGCCCAAGAACGGCTTCCCCGGTGCTCAGGGACCTTATTACTGTGGTGTTGGTACCGGCAAGGTCTACTGCCGTGACATCGTCGAGGCTCACTACCGTGCCTGTCTCTACGCCGGTATTGAGATCTCCGGTATCAACGCCGAGGTGATGCCTTCCCAGTGGGAGTACCAGATTGGCCCTTGCCCTGGCATCTCCAGTAAGTCACCGTCAATTTGACATACCCTCCCCCGTACGGAACCTTCCCCCAGTCAACTAACAATCTGATAGTGGGTGACCACCTCTGGATGTCCCGATTCATCCTCCACCGTGTTGCTGAAGAGTTCGGTGTGCGCATCTCATTTGAGCCCAAGCCTATCAAGGGTGACTGGAACGGCGCTGGTCTGCACTCCAACGTCTCTACTGAGGCTACTCGTGCCGAGGGTGGCCTGAAGGTCATCGAGAACTACATGAAGAAGCTCGAGGCCCGTCACGTTGAGCACATTGCCGTCTATGGTGAGGGTAATGAGGAACGTCTTACCGGTCGCCACGAGACCGGTGACATCGAGAAGTTCTCATATGGTGTTGCCGACCGTGGTGGCAGTATCCGTATCCCCCGCCAGGTCGCCAAGGACGGCAAGGGCTACTTCGAGGACCGTCGTCCCGCCTCCAACGCCGACCCCTACCAGATCACCGGTATCATTGCCGAGACTCTTTGTGGCGGCGTTTAAATTGAATCATCTTTTGGTCTTAGCGCTCCGATACCCTCCGGCATCAACTGGGAGTTCGGAACCCTGAGAGCGGCCTGACTGCGTGAGGGAGCCTTAGATTACGCCATGCTTCATTCTTCATTTGGCGCGTCCCCGTCGCGTTCCTAAACCCCATCTATCTTTCCTATCCCAACGCCCGGGTCCGCTTCTCGCGTTCGTTTCTTTCTCCCTCTTGCACTTGCCGAGCTCTTGTGTCTTTTCTTCTTTTTTTTTTTTGGTCTTGGATCGCACCCTTTTCACATGGGTTTATGTGACACGTACAATAGCATAGAGCAGTTACATGGATGGAAAATCGACCATCGTTTGGAGAATCATCCGCCATCTACGTCCAGTTGTAAAAGCCAGGATGAAATCTAGCATACTCGTTAATACCCAATATTGATGATGCATCGAGATTATCAGCCCAGCCCGCGGGTCTGGTAGATATTGACCATGCATGCATGTTACCTGCAAGACTACTAATAGTACTTGATAGCCACTCGTTCCAGTACGGACGTCGGGCTATCATGCGTTGCTAGCCTTTCTGGAAGCTGGAAACTAGCGGCGCCTTGATGTTTTTTTTTCTTAAGCGAATTTCGAGCTTGGGAACAAACAGTGCACACGACAGATAGAATGGTTTATCCGCGCGCACTTCCATCTTGTTGACTTTCAATTAGCTATGTCAATGATGGTCATTTAGCAAGATGGACACTACCAGTACTTTCAAGCCTAAGAGTAAGATCTAGTGTCTGCTTCACTGCGTATCATCTCAATAGGCCTTGAACCGATCTACTGCTTATCTTTGGCAGTCTTCCATGCAAAATTCATGGGTACACCTCCGAATAGCCTGAAGAACATAGTACTTATTACTGGTCGATGAAGGGTTCAGGTTCAACGGAAATAAGGTCGATACCTCCGAAGTCAGCCCGGTTCTAACATAGAGAATGCAATTAATATATAGAGACGGAATGCACGGGTTTAGAGGTGCATCGCAATTGCAATTGCCTCTTTCTAGGTCCCGAGGTGATCGATCGGATTGGAGATTTGTCATTGGATATTTTACGGTGAGATCCAATGGTTAAGCCTATCTGCAGGGTCCTGTGTGATCATCATCCCGAAAGCTTGGCGTGTTCCTGGCGATCCTGTTAGGTCGATCATTATGACTTCAGCTCTGATATGATGACCCAGATTGAGGATGTCAGGTTATGACTTATAGCAGGACAGATTAGTTATCTACTGAGAACCTTGGAAGAGTCGAAATATATTACCAAGGTTAGACTCCCACAAAATACCAGTACCCTGATATAGCATATCTTGCTTCAAGTGTGAGGGTGAGCTCAATTCTCTGGACCAGAAGATCGATTGGATGTAATGCTTAGGCCTCGCGTCTCGCTCAAGAATACAAATGGGCTTCTCTAGCCCGCTACCAGATACCCGCCAGCCGAATGACCATCAATGTCTTGAGCACGATGGGATTCAAGGCCAGACCTGACCATCCCGGCCTAGTGTCAGCTAGTATGATGATATTCCTGTGTGAGGTCTGGAAGTCGAGCGCACTAAATCCGATTGGACAATTGACTTCAATGAGTCGGTGCAACGATCTCGAACGCCAGCCCTGTACATGCACTTCCCTGCGACACGTGGGATCCAGGAGGCAGGCCCAGATGCAACAGGCAGACACAATCAGAGTACGGAATGACTAGGGAATATTCCACGAGCCATTCTTTGGGGAAGAGAATGTATGATTGGCTGTTCGCCTCGCATGGCCGGTTCTGCGTGCCGAATCGGGGCATCGAATTCAAGCGAAGCACGCCATTAGCGGATTCCATGCGATGCAACTGATCCAGGGCGCACTCCGGGACTGGTCCGACAGCGCGCTTACGCGAATGTTGACCGAACGACACCCACGAGGCATTTGCTTTTGATCAAGGTTGATCAGGGCTTGGCCATACATAAATCTCAGCGATCTCCGCCCGCTCTCCACTTGGGCCCCACGGGCCAGCTCCGCCCAATCGGCGAACATTCATTGCCAACGGCCCCTCTTCCATCCCATCTCGCGTGAGACCGCTGAGGAACGTGCTATGAATCCACCCATCTGATTGGCCCGAGGTATTATGTGCTCGGTCCTTTCACCGATGCAAATGTGGAGGGATATCACCGTGGTCGCATCAAGCTGTCGCCTGGCCCCGAGGACTGTCGCGAGGTTTAAAGAGAGCTGTCTCGCCCGGTAGCTGTTCGAGTGCGAGTCGTTTTCCCTTTCCAGATCAGGATCTTTGCTACTTGAGATGGCCTCCGTGACTGCTCTTCTTGCCTTGGCCGGCATGGCCGGCATGGCCGCTGGTGCTACCATCACCACCACTGAGCCGTCGTTGGCCGACATCAAGGCTGCCCAGGCAACCACCGTGCCTCAGACCTGGACTTCCAATATCGAGGGCAAGGCTTTCAACCGTTTCTATCAGATCTGGCTGGAGAACGTCGTAAGTATTCATGGTCTTGTAAGGTTGGGGCCCATGCTCATGTTTGATGCCAGGACTTCGTCGATGCTGCCAAAGACCCCAACCAGAAGTGGTTGGCCAAGCAGGGCATTGAGTTGACCAATTTCTATGCTGTTGGTCATCCTTCCCAGCCGAACTACGTTGCTACTGCGAGCGGTGACAACTACGGCATGGACAATGGTTAGTTCTCTTATTCCCTCTGGTATAAAGTGTGTGTAAAGCTCATGATCCAAATAGATGACTTCCATAACATCCCTGCTAATGTCTCGACAATCGCCGATCTGTTGAACACCAAGGGTATCTCGTACGCTGAATACCAGGAGCACTTGCCCTACCCTGGCTTCCAGGGATTCAACTACTCCAATCAGGAGACCTACGCCAATGACTACGTGCGTAAGCACAGTCCTTTGGTTTCGTTCGAGTCATTCACTGCCAATGACACTGCTCTTCGCCTGCTGAAGAACTTCACCTCTTTCTATGATGACTTGCACAACAAGGAGTTGCCCCAGTGGGCCTTCATCACCCCTAGTAGGTTTCCTGTTACCATCTTATCAATCGGCATTACTAACAATGGGCGAAGACATGACCAATGATGCTCATGACACCAACATCACCTTCGGCTCCACCTGGCTGCGTGGTTTCGTTGAGGGCCTGATGAACAACACTTACTTCTGGGACAACACGCTTCTCCTGCTGACTTTCGACGAGACGGAGACCTACGGAGTTCCCTACGACGAGGCGTACGCCGACCAGAACCGCATCTTCAGTGTTCTCCTGGGAGGTGCTGTCCCCAAGGACCTGATTGGTACTAAGGACAGCACTTTCTACACCCACTACTCGACCATTGCCTCCGTCGAGGCTAACTGGGGCCTTCCTTCCCTCGGCCGCTGGGACTGCGGTGCCAACCTGCTCAAGCTCGTCGCTGACAAAGTCGGCTACACCAACTGGGATGTTGACACGACCAACCTTTGGCTCAACGAGTCTTTGCCCGGTCCTCTTTCCGAAGACAAGCTCTCCCACTACCGTGCCAGCTGGCCCGTCCCCACCACCAACGCGACCTGCTCGTCCGGTCACGGCATCCTGAAGTCCGTCGTCGACGCTTACAAGCACCAGGCGCCCACCTACAACTACACCGCGCCTTTGCCTCACGATGCTGCCTACGGCCTGGATGTGAACATCCCTTACTCCCGCCACGGCACTACCTATGTCACTGGTGTGAACTCTACTGGAACTATTGCCTTTGACAAGTCTTCCAACTCCTCTGCCACTGGCTCTAGCAGCAGCTCTGCTCATTCCTCGACCGCCACTGGGAACGGTGCAGTTTCCGCTTCGACTGTCTCCGCTGGCCTCCCCGTCGCTGCCATGGTGGCTGCTCTTGTCAACTTCCTGTAAGGTTGATGGTGTATATGAAGTCATGTTATCGCATCGCTGGCAGGGGGAAAAGACCCTGTTCTGTAAATCATATTATTCGTAGTAGTTTTTCCTCGGTATGAGTAACGAGTCAGATGAGTGGGTAGCTCGATGTATTCCGATCTGATAGCAAACGTGAATAAAAGACTTCGATGATTGCAAGGTTAACATCGGTCGAAAAGATGTGTTTGCAGCAGGATTCAAAATAGCATGGATAGAGACTCTTTGTCCCTGTACGACTGGCTGATTGGTTGTGTGGCTGATGACTGACCGGTAGTACCAGATCCCCTAATGAGGGACGCGTCAGACTGAGTATGTAGGTGTCAGGTGAATTTTGAAATATAGCTTGAATATTACCCCAATACTATAGTAATGTCTGGGATTTGTGGACGCACTTGACCTACTCGAGTATAGTAGGAGGCCTCAAAGCGGTCATGGAGCGGTCAGTGAGTCGCTGTCTTAGTAACAATGCGCGACCGTGATCCCCCGAATACCCTGGTAGGACTGGCCATAGTTGACTGGCAGGAATAGCCGGTCTTAGAAGAAGCACAGACCGATCATTCAGGCTCAGTTGTATCAGCCACCAGACAGAGTGGCTTTACTGTGGCGACTGGAAGGAGGGAAAACATGGTTCGTCTCTCGGTTCTCTTGGTCCACCCGCCACGTACCGGAGGCTGCAAAATTTACCTTCTAAAAATAGCGGGCGCGCTAAAGATGTCTTGAATCTCGGTCTCAAGTAATTATCACGAGCAATTAATCTACGGGTAGTCCGTACATATGCTTGCAGTCAATCAAGGCAAGTGGTTATCACTGCCCATTACCTCATATGCACATTCCTCTGGGCGACGATCGATGATCGGCGTGTGGTGCGTCGTCGTGCAGGATACGGGGAACTCCACTCCTGGTTGCTCGGACGTACATTGGACAAAAAGTATTCAGCACGTAAAACTTTGCAAACCCCCCGTCAGTATCTTTCGATATTGAGGAGAAAGTCGGTCTCGGTCTGGCTCAGATTGGCTCAGGATTACAAAGAGTCTTCATGATCCACGTCAGCTTTAAGGATCTGTAGCAGTACTATAGCTTAATCCCAAGACTGTCAGCACAAAGATCTACATCTTCACTCGCCCGCCACGGCCATGGAAAGGACTTGCTGCAGGTTAGTTATATCTGCTCTGTACAAGGCGCGGAAGCGGCCGACGTATCTAGTTGCGGTACAGTAGACGCGAGTTCCACGGCCTGTCGCTTCGGCTTGCCCCTTGCGCAAGAATCGAGAGCTCAACAACAGCAGAGCGTTAACTTGGCGCCATGCGCTGCAGACGCTGCCAGTTCTTGGCAATTGGGACACGTTGTACAGAGTAGTCCTGTAGTCAAAGAATCTTACCATGCTTGAGACAAACGGCCGAAGAACATGGTCGCTGTCATTGTTCTCCACAGCCGGAGGCAATAGTTCCTTTGGTACGGAGCATTAAAATAATCACTCTGTAGCGCTGGTGACCCACTGGATTCCACGACCCATCACCGCTTCCGGGGCTCAGGAGCTGGACGATCCGTATGCAAGGATATTCAGAGCAAAGATTCGACAGAGAAGGAGGGATGTGGGAGGGTGAATCCAGCTCCGACCCAGAATAGGCGAAGTCTAGCATGAAATGGGGGTGCCTGGGACGAAAGAGGGCAAGTCTTCAGAGACTAAAACTTTCTGTCAAGAACTTGGTGCTGAGCCACCGACCAATCTGGTTACCACCTGTTACGGTATTACGCTCCAGTGTCGCCCATGATTGGATATACGAGTCAGCGCCCGGGTCCAATACATTACAGTACGGTATTGCATTCCATTCCAGGTTCCAGGTGACCCGCATTGTCTTTCAAGAAGGCATCCTTTTCTCATCCCTCCCTACCATAGCAAATCCCCTCTCTCCTCCCCAACCCTCTTTCGCTGGCTCATACGCTGTGTGTCGCCATTCCGCTCGCTCTGTTTCTTTCTTGCTGCACCGGAGGTGCCCGAATCTTCATCTCCCGCAGTCTTCCGCCCAACCTCCCGCTTATTTCGATCTCGCTCTCGCCCTCGACCGCTTCATTCACCGACCGCTTCACTTCCAGCATATTACCACGGTTGCCTCGTACAAGTAGCTAAAAGGAATTTACGCGGCTGAGCTACAAAAACTCCCCGACGAAGAATCCTTTTTCTCGCGCTGCGCGCTACTTCGACTTCATTGCTCCATAAAAACAGATGACGCTGTAATCACGGAGAGTAACCAGCCACCCGTCCTCCACGGTCCAAGGAACTGGCTCACTTCCCCAGCGAATATAGAGCGCCACCCTGGAGCGCGACTCAGGTCCCACCTACGACCATCGAAGTCTCGGCCACTGAGAGATTTCCGCATCCGGCGACGACGTGGTATTCGAAAGTACCCCCTCTAACGATCCGTCGCACCCACCGACAAATTCTCCTTCTACTTTCTTGAAATCTTCAAGCCCGTGGCTTTGACCTTCTCCCCGAAATCGCCAGCTTTCGCCGATATGAAGTTAATATCGGCGTTGGCATGTTTCGTCGCCTTCGCGGTGCCGGCATTTGCCGTGGACTTCCTTGAATCGAACGCACTGAATCTCTGCATGGAGAGCAGTAACTTCACGGCCACCTACTTTCACGTTAAATTCTACCCTAACAACAACTCACTCGAGATTGGCTTCGATGGGGTTTCGCAATTATCCGGCAAGGTCATCGCTGACCTGACCTTAACTGCGTATGGTTACAAGGCCTACTCGAGCACTATCGACCCGTGCTCGATCGAGGGCATGGGAATGTGTCCTATGGCTTCGGGGCCTATTGACTTGCAAAATGTTGCTCTCAATCTTCCCGGTGATACTGCTTCTAGAATCCCTGGTATGTAGCTTGTTTTTGGTCTCTCTGTTCTGTTATATCAAAACTGATTCCCGAAACTTTAGGTATCGCCTATACTGTTCCTGACTTGGACGCCAATGTCCGGATTGTAATCAAGACAAAGGACACAGATGACGCTATTGCTTGTGTAGAGGCCTCTCTCTCAAATGGAAAGACTGTTTACCAAGCCGGAGTTGGATGGGCAACAGCAATCATTTCGGGCTTAGGTCTGGCGGCATCCGCCATTACGTCTGGCCTGGGCTATTCCAACGCAGCGGCTCACGTGGCTGCGAATGCTCTTTCGCTTTTCGGATTCATGCAGTCCCAGGCCATCATTGGAATGACTTCGGTCCACATGCCCCCTATTGTGGAATCGTGGACACAGGATTTCCAGTGGAGTATGGGTATCATCCGAGTAGGATTCTTGCAAACCATTGCCACCTGGTACCAGCGCGCGACGGGCGGCACACCCTCTACGGTTTTGGACAAGCTAACCAACACTTCTGTCGAAGTCCTTAAGCGTGAGGTCGTGGACCCCGCACTCATGTTGATGAAAAGGGCGACTGGTATGGTTCTGAAGAGATCTTCCGGCTCTCAGACCTCTGCCCAGTCGCTTAAGGTGGTCCGCGGTATCGACCGAGTTGGCTTCCGCGCCAACATGGAAGAAACCAATATCTTCCTTACTGGTCTTATCTTCTATGTGGTGTTCGTGTGTCTTATTATCATCATTATCAGCGTTGTCAAGGTGATTTCAGACCTTCTGGTTAAGCACGGTCATATGAAGACCGAAAAGTTCCAAGATTTCCGTCGTGGGTGGAAGGTTGTCACTCGTGGCATTCTCTTCCGAATGACCCTCATTGGTTTCCCCCAGATGGTGATTCTGTGTCTGTGGGAGTTCACTCAGCGTGATTCGCCCGCAGAGGTTGTTTTGGCGGTTGTCATGCTTTTGTCCATGCTTATCGCGATGGGCTGGGCTGCTCAAAAGGTTATCCGCTTGGCCAAACGTTCCGTTACAATGCACAAGAACCCGGCCTATATTCTCTACTCCGACCCAGCTTGTCTCAACAAATGGGGCTTCCTTTATGTCCAATATCGCGCCACCGCCTATTATTTTGTGGTCCCCTTTTTGGTCTACGTGCTCGTCAAGGGAATGTTCATTGGACTTAGCCAGCCGGCTCCGGTGGTCCAGACCATTGCCCTCGTGGTGATCGAAGCCTCCATGTTGGTTGCAGTCTGCGTCCTCCGGCCATGGATGGACAAGAAGACCAACGTCTTCAACATCGCCATTGCCGTCGTCAACTTCATCAACGCAATCTTCCTCCTTGTTTTCTCCAACGTGTTCGACCCACCTGGGCTCATGATTGGTGTCATGGGTGTCGTCTTCTTCGTTTATAATGCCGCATTCTGCCTGGTGCTCATGATCCTTGTCATGATCGCCTCCGTGTACGCCGTGCTATCCAAGAACCCAGACGTTCGATACCAGCCCATGCGTGATGATCGCGGCTCTTTCATCAAATCTCAGACCCAGCTCAACACCGAGCTGGATGCGCTAGGTGTCACCGCACGCGGCGACAAAGCCCAATTTGACGCCACATCTGACCCATTCGAGAGTGATTCATCACCCTCAATCTCCAGCGGCCATGCCCCAGCCATGCGCCAAATCAATCACGGCGATGGTCCCCACGCAGTGCCACTCATGCCTAGCAATACCGCCTACCACGGCGCTGCCGGAGACTACGAGCAGCAAAGGTCCGTATCGCCATTAAACGAAGACGACATGTCCAGTTTCAGCCGAGGGACAAACAACGCCAGCACGTGGCAACGCGGTGCTGGCTACGAACATTAGGCGGAGACATGCCGTCTGACATCTTTCATAATATCCTGAGATGAAGATATGTGATTTTTTTTTTTAGCGTGGGACAGCAATGGGCTCGATCCTTTTCCATTTGCCGCCCGGGCCTGATACTTTTTTCTTGTCTTCCCCCCCTCCCCTTATCTGCTTGCTTCAATCTCGTCTGTCGCCGAGCCAGCGCCCACTCTTCCTTTCTTTCTCCCTCCCTCCCTCCTTCTCCTTTCTTTGCCCTCCGAACTATTCCCCTCCTTCCAGAGTGTGGCGACTTGGTCGATGTGTAATTCCCCTCTGTCCTTTAAATACCACCCGGCGTTGTGTGCATCTTGGAATTCATCGGGTTTCGGTGTTGCGGGCTTGGAACATAAGTCTTTCTTAAAATTTTTCGTGTCTTTCCGTACTCTATATGTACGACTAGAATAGCTTGACTCAATGATGAATTTGATCATACTGTTCTTCCCAAGCTTGCATGAATAACACCCTAGACGCATGTGATGTGACTTTGACTGGTTACAAGTCGCTGTCGGTCGAAATTTCCGGCCGCATCTGACTGGTTCTATTGACTTGTCGGCTTGAAGGTAGCGCTGTGCTTCAGTTGGTAGACGCTTACATCAATTGAGGAAGATCTGGGACCACTCGCACACTACGAGCGAAATCCTGCCAGCGATGGTTGTCTCCCGTCGCAGTTGGTGGCAGAGAAATGCTCGCTCTGGATAGGAACGAAGGCGCAATGATCCACAGACATGGTTCAGGGTATTGATCATCGCCCCCTCAAGGCATCACAGCAGTTGTTTGAAATAAGATGTGCGCCATGTCCAGAATGTCGTTGTGCCTCTGGCGATGTTGCTCCGCTGTTCGAGCAGTGCTTAGCGGTTATTTCTCCTGGTTGACTCGTCTGGTATCTCGGACCAACGAATTTTCTCTTTCTGTACCCGAAGAATCCGACGATCTTGAGTGCTTCCAACACCCTCTTTCGAAACATGATCATCCAGTGGTTGCGAAGGCCAATATTCTGGCAGCTGGTGAAGAACATCAACCTAGTCTACCTGAAGAGAAAGCAGATCCAATCCTCTACGAACTTGATGTCAGAACCTTTGGGCCAAAGCTCCACTTCATTGATAGCCAGAATGAGGACAAATCCTACCCTGAAATGCCAAGATACATGTGTGGCATGCTAGGGCAACGAGAAGCAATCCATTTGTGCAGGATATCAAGCGGAGCTTCAAATGGAAGAGCAAATACTGGATTTGTTAGGCAGATACCCAAGAATAATAGGGTGTGGCAGCCCCGAGTTCGACGATCTATCATATTAATCTGCATCCCTTGTAGATATATTGGTGTCTCAGATGAGTCCCGCGGGCTTCTTTGCGGAGACGCTAGTGATGGGGTTTTGCAGACTTACATTGACTTGTATCACCGTGATGTCGGTCTCTCTCTTCGAGTAAAGTGGTGTTTCCATTCAGACTTGCGACCAGAGAATTTTTTTTTTATTACACTCTGACCCCAAAAGAAAGCTCAATCCTTTGCTATGTGACTTTGGAGGGTCGAAGAGTGGTGCTATCGATCGTGGGCATCTTCCTGACTCTGGACTTTTCAATCCAGCCAGGCCGTGGGTTTCCACAAAAGCTGTGGATATCATCAGCCTAGGAACTATTTTGTACACGAGAATGACAGGCCAATGGCCGTATAAGTCTCCCGGGCCTTTCAAATCCATGGCAGAGAAATACGAGAAATGGTAGATGGTCTGTTTTCCCGTCAAGAGTATCCTTCTGTCGACGGTCTATTTGCGAGTGTTGGACAGAACGAAATCATGACGTTAGCTTACTCACGCAAGATCTGGCATGTCTTTCAGCACAATTGGACTCTTCTTGAGTAGTATGGGTGTACCTCCTTAGATAGATCCGCGGCATCATGATATCTAAGGAGCCCTGGAGACTATTGGATGTGACACTAGCACTAGTATAGTACTCGTAGAATCGGAGACTGAATGTGCGACTGGGACGACTGTGGAAAGGCTATCTTAATGGTCGATCCGACCAAGATGTGATATATCTCAACTAGTGAGATACGCAAGCCAGAAGGCGAAAAAGAGGCAAGAATATACACGCCCGAATACTACTTACTCCTCCCTATAGCAAGCTATGCTAGAGATAAAAGTTTCTCAGAGCTCCTAATACTTAAAGGTCGCTTTCATTGAATTTCCCTTCAGAGTTCTCTTATTTTGGAAAGACTATTCAAGAGTCGATGTCTTAGGTCTCTCTAACGGCGGCCACCATATCAAAATTTAAAAAAATACACCCATTGATCAGACCTTTCAGCTTTTCAAAGACCTCCTAACCACGAAGAAAATGGGCGAGCATAAGAAAAAGATTCAAGAAAATCGGACAGAGCTTAACCTTGGAACGCCTTGATGACCACCTGATATGAAACTTTGAGAGGGTCCCTACCACTGACGGTCTCCCAGGCCGGGAGGGCCACCCCCAGGAGGGGGGGTATCGCTCTGGGCCACGGAGGCCAGGCGAGTTGGTCGCACCAGGGTGGCCTGGCATTGGCGCGGGGAAAGCGCTAGGCGCACCGGGAGCACCGGGGGTGTCGTGACGGAGACCTGGAACGCCAGGCTGGAAGCCACCCGGAGCCGGCATGTTCGCGCCTGGAGGCATGTTCGCACCGGGAGGCATACTCGCGCCGGGTGGCATATTCGGCAGAGGGAAGGACCCGGGAGGAGGGAGGCTACCGTCGTTGGCACCAGGGAAGGATGGTGGAAAAGGAACCCGGGCACCGGGAGGGACTGCACATGGGCGAAACGTTAAATTAGCATGGAAAAACTCGACCTGATTGCTTGCATGGTCCATGTGAGACTCACGATTGGGAAGTCCAGGCGGCGCGCCAGGCGCACCTGGAGGAGGAATTCCGAATGGAGGCACTTGGCCTGGTGGAGAAGGGGTTAGCTCTTGCGATTCGACATCATCGTGCTCGGACTGAGCAGAGGGGGTAGTACCGGGGACGGCGAATGGGGGTGGGGGGAATGCTCCGGGAGGCACCATGAGGGGGTTAGGGACAGCCTGGCCCTCCGCCGCGTAGGAAGAGGTGATGGAATCGATGACCGACTGAGCCCTCTCTTGGCCGATTTCTAGAGAACGTATCAGTGTTAACGACCTGCAGGAACTCGATCTCCGAGAGCACGTACGCTGATAGTACTCCACAACGTTGCGGAGGTGGTTTCGACCCGAGTTATGCGCCTTGCGCACGCTCATAGAGTCGTGAGTGAGGTACACATCGCAGTAGTCGCCTATGAGGGATTGATATGTTAGCTGGATGATCATGGAACTGGAGTTTCCACGCAATGCGCGTCTCGTATAAAAAGCTCGAAATTCACCGCCGGGTTCGGGATAGGCGCGGAGATGGAGGTAAATCGCGGCGCACGCGGCATAGGGGAGTCACTGAACCTACAAAAGAGTACAAAGAAGTTAGCCAGCGCATATGAGGGGTTCCAGGGAGGGGTAACTTATATTTGGGCATCTTGGCAGTTCTTCAGCAGTCGATAGACTGCGCGCGTACGGGAGGAAAATTCTCAGTCCAGGCAATGGTGGTGATGGCACAGACCACAGGCAAAACAGAGAACGAGATTCGGTATGGTCGAAAGCCAGAGACTGTCGACAGTGGAATCTGATCAACAAAACAAAGAGGGAGGAAAGTTCGCGACGACGAGGTCTGGAGCTTGGATGGTGAGATAAAGCGGTGTTATGCGGCAGAATAAGTTCTTATCATGTGCGGAAGTGGGAACGGAACATGGGGTCTCTTTGGAAGGCTTGATCTACTCCCCACCGCTGAGTGGTCATCCTTACCACGGCATAATTTGAGGATAATTATATCATATGCTTCAGTTCCCCCGAGGTCGAATGATCAGATTTCACTTTCTTCGCTTCATATTACAACACCGCAGCTACTTCAGGATCAGGAACTGTATATAGCATGCTTTTGGAGGAAGCAGGCACCTTGCGTTATTTACAGGTCATATAGATGTTCCCAATTAGGTCCAGAGAATTAACTTAACAGGATCCCAATTCATTGAAAGGAGACCAGTCTCTCGCATTTTGAGAGTGTGCTTTGCGGCTTGATCTCTATAATTTATGGGACGGGCTAGAGTTCTGTTTCCCCAAGAATGTTAGAGCCCCAACACAAAGAGCATCCACGCCAGCTCTCAGTGTTGGCTGGATAACCGGCTTGAAGAGTGCCGAGTGGTTACTAGCCACCTCTATTAATGAGTCCTCTTTAATGGCGCGATCCCAGACTCCATGGTCAATTCCTCCCAGGAACCAAAATGCAGCTGGGATGCCTTTAGACGTGGCCAATGTAGAGAAGTCTTCACTGACGTTACTCCTATCTGTGTTTCCGTCAAAGTCCTCTCCAAAGTGTTCGCCGAAAGACGCTGCTAACTGATCCGCCATCTTGTTGTCGTTATCGGTAGGAGGGAAGCGTCGAGTAGGTGTGAAAATCGGTGGCTTTGGTGAGCCACTGGCAGCACATTCGGCTTCCACAATCCGCTTGATGGCAGTGATAATCTTCTGCCGGGTTTCCAGCTTCACAGAACGGAAATCCAGGCCAATCTCGGCCCGATCGGCGATGATGTTCTCGGTCGCGCCAGCTTGCAAGCTTCCCACGGTGAGGACTCCCAGGTCACTTGGCTCGATTTCTCTGCTCACAATAGTCTGTAGTCGGACAACGATATGGGCAGCTAGAACGGCAGGGTCGACGGTGAGATGAGGCAGCGAGCCATGGCCTCCGCGACCAAATACTGTGACCTTCATGCTGTCGCAAGCAGCCATGATTGTGCCCGGGCGCGAGCCAATGGTCCCTGCGCGCAATCGCATAACATGCTGGCCTAGACAGAAGTCAGGGATAGGGATCTTCGAGTAAAGACCGTCGTCGACCATGGCCTGTGCGCCGCCACCTCGCTCTTCATTTGGTTGGAACAGCACGATCAAAGTGCCGCTCCAGGAAGCTCGTGCTTTGGCAATGTCTCTGCTGCTGCTAAGAGGCAAGTGATGTGCATGTCATGACCGCAGGCATGCATGACTGGCTTGTCATTGCCATCAGCATCGCACATGACGACTGAACTTGCGTAGGGAAGCCCAGTGAGCTCCTTGACGGGCAGGGCGTCCATATCGGCTCTGAGGAGAATGGTCTTCCCAGGACCATTGCGAAGAACTCCTACGAGACCATAACCGCCGATGTTTGTTTGAATTTCGTATGCATTAAGCTGCGCCAAATGGGCGGTGATCTTTTCCGATGTCGCTTTCTCTTGCAATGAGAGCTCCGGGTGAGCGTGGAAGTGCTTGTATAGATCCTCATACGAGGTTAAGTCTATAGAGAACCTTCTTAATATTTCAGAAGCAATTCTGCCCGCCATTTTCGGAGCGCGGGACCACGTGAAGAAGAAGAGTTGGAGCTTAATAAAACTCGCGGGAAGACGAAGCCGTCGGGGAGCGCCTTGCAGTTCCCCCGGTTGGGGGCAGGAAGCTCAACGCCCCGCTTTTTCGATTCCCCGCGCCAACATTATAATGAGTCAATTCAGGCGAATGTGGTGGTCCTACGACTGACTTTCAAGCAAAGTGATATTTGAGTATCACTCTGCCAGTGGTCTTGCGGAAGCTAACCTCATGAGAACTTGAACATGTACTACCAGTATTTCTGTCGCTCGTCGCTGCTGCTGGGCCACACCATCAATCGTGGATGCGGCGACTTGGGCACGTAATTTGAGCGAGTATGGTCCACGTAGCACCCCGATGCGATGTCCCAATATGATTGACCGAGCCCGATGTTGTGCATTAGGATCTGAGTCCTCGGGGTCTGGGGCGAGTGTACAGGCCAATCTTCAACGTACATCCTGTGCTCTTTGAATTAAACCTGTGTATCTTTCGCTATATAGATCGTTTTGTTATCTTGCTAGATACCATTCCATGTTGATAGCGATCGATGCCACGGGGAGGTGTAGGAGAGAACTAAAAATGTGGGTGGTTGTTAGGGTGATGGTAATGGGGCCGAGGGCACACAGACTTTTGCGCGGGTGGTGCAGTTGTGTGGTTCGCTCAGGAGCAGCTCTGCGTTGGTCGCGGTGGCTGGTACTGCGATCAGACCACCAATACAAACCGCAGAGCCATTGGATGAGAACCCATAAAAGACGGGTTGGTGAGTTCGGTGCCCAGCTTAGACTATGATTCCAGCGCCGCAATTCCGCCTTGTCTCTCGGCTCGAAGGAGCCAGGTGGTATCAAAAAGCTTCGATCGCATGATGCCTTTCTCACTTGGCGTGTCTGGGAGAAGGACAGGAGGGAAGAGAGGGTCAGAATTAGGCCCAGGCCCAGGAACAAGGAAGCAGCAACTTGAAGGAACTTGAGTTCACTCCAAGCCAGACGAGAGCCATAAGCAGTAGTGACCAGGGCGCGGAATTAAAATATTCTGGTACATACCACTCGGTCAAAAAGCCCCCGGGGCAGAATCCCAGCTAGTCTCCTCTCAATGGAGTATTTTTTTTCAACTTTCTCTGTTCCCTCTTGTGAAGTGGAGATCTTACTTGGGATGCAATCCAGATGGCATTCAATAGAATATTGAGGGTTCATCACTATCCGGACGCCAAGTCGGCCTCACGGAGCGCTTTCGTCATACTGTGTATGTGCAAGACTATCGATGGGCTAGCACTCAATTCGTTCAGGTATGTCTACAGTCCCTCGCCAGTCCGAAACCGGCATGCATATGACTACTCTCTGGAACAGTTGATCTATTCTGAGGTAAGGGAAAGGTGGATTTCTCAAACTTTGGACATGGGGTCGATGCGAAGTATGGGGGTGAGTTGGCTAAGGCTGCCGAGGAGGTCGATCTTGGCGTACCGGGAAGGGTAAGTGCCGATGTACGAGTAATCGCGGGGTTGAATTCGCAGACATGCCTTCAGACAGTTGGGGGCAGCAACGCGTTGTATTTTACCGCAATTAGACACGATTTTCTTTCATTACCTTCTCGCGGTCACTCTCATAGTTCCCTGGAACCGTGTACGTTGTCCGGGCTCTAGTAACAATCATAATGGTTCCCAGGCCATAGGCACATTGACATCATTCTGCAAATTGCACAGCAGCAAACCAATGCATCTCCTCTCGTCCTGGAAAAAGCAAAGACGGAAAAGCAAGAATTCCGAGGCAAACACACGAACCCATGGTCATGGGTTGAGCAGATTCTGCAAGGTCCACGGAAGTCCGGGGAAGGAGGAAAATCTGGGGAAACCGGCACAGCGCACATGGCAGGAGGCCGCACTCATCCGCCCTTGTGATTTGCCACGATGACCGCTGCTCGGCCGGGCCAGCCACTCACAAGCCGCCGACCACGCGCGCGGGAAAAATTTTACAGCTTTACTCACCAGTGGCGTCATTTCGCTTGGTTCTGAGCTTGGATCCGGGGAAGGGCTTGCCTTGTTGGGTCGATCTTCTGGTTTCGCCCGACTTCTCAATACACAAGGGGCGAAAGGGGGCTACCCAAGGTTGGTGGCGTGGCCATGCCGGGTTTTCCAGCTCTGCTGGGTGGTTTCTAGGCAATTTCTGGGCGGTTTCTGGGCATGGACTGGGCATTGCATTGGGGCGGTATTAGGTGTGGGGAGTCAGGCCATGGCGAGTCAGTTAATGAAGATCTCAGGTACCCGTGCGATGGACTAAGATGGGCTAGTGGTGTTAGAGAGGGGAAATATCCCGCAAACTAGTGTCAGGGGATGAGCCTAGGAGGTGAAGTCGCTGTATCCTTGCGTGGTAGGCGATGATCAATCAATTCAAGATGAATGGAACTGGTCTCCGCATCGTGTACAGGGACACTACGTAAATTTTACTTTGCAAGGTTGTGTTGGGGGATGGGGGTGATGCAGAGAGCTATACCGTATAGATCCCTCATATCCGGGTGCCATTATTATTAGCTGAGACGTGCGACTGCTTTGGGCGACTCGCAAATGCCTCATAGTACTCTCGTGCTTCAGCTCGAGTGTTACGAATCTCCATGATCATGCACACACGGCTCTTCTATTGACGTGTTTCAACATGAGAAAAGCCCAATGATGCAATGGGTGCTGGAACGCTGTGAACCAGTCAGTGTGGTTGCCCCAGTCACACGGGGCAATATGGCGACATCTGAGCCACGGTGCGGTGAATGGGGATTTTGGCTGGAATCTTCCCTTTGACCCGTTGAGGCCTTTTTTCGGTTCATTTTTGCCTGGATGCAGTTTTCTGGGGGTAATGGAAATTGCGGCGCCATCCCTGTTTTGGGGATCGACGCCGGTGATTGGCGGTCAATGTACTCAGAGTGGTTTTTGTTACGTGTATAGGACCTGCCATTGGTTGGACAGCCCAGTCAGATGATCTCAGGCTATACTGGGAATCGTTAAAGCAGCGAGTAAAAATAAGCGGGGCGTTTGGGGTTTTCACCAATCGCTGGCCAAAATGTAGTCACAGGGCTGCTCCTGGTGGATGACTCAGGGGCTTGGAAGTCTCAAACAGGAAAGGCCTCTCGCCGGTTTGGTAGCAACTGGGGCTATGACGCTGTAAAACCCCAAAAAAACTCGCAACTGTCGAAAAAATTCGCAAATTTTTACCCCACGAGCCCCACCAGCTGTACACCTTGTGACCCGTGGATGTCGTGCCTGGAAACAGGAGTAGATTCGTGTAGCATCTAGTACGTTATAAAACTGGCTCGCCCCCGCCATGGGAGGGCCCATAATAATCCCTCAAGATCCGAAAAGACCTCACTCGAATTCGTTCTGCGATTCGTTTCGCTTCATATGGCCTGTTCCTCTTTATAGCTTTCCGCAGCTTCCTGAACAATTGCAACTATGCCTTCAAACTACCGAGTTGTTGAACCGCACCCTTCGGTGCCCTCCTCTACCCGCCCAGCTCTATACACGGGTCGTGGAGGAAGCGGCAATGTGATCAGCCTCAAGAATACTAGGACTACTCCTTCCCGGGAAGCTACTGGACCTGCTTCTCTCACTCGCCTGGATTCGCACGCTCCGTCGACCTTCACTTCCGGCCGTGGTGGCGCTGGCAATGTCCACAGCAGCAGCGAGCGCGCAATCTTCAGCTTCGACGAAGAACTTGAGCGCGACCTTCGCCGCGCTGCTCCTGTCTACCATGTCGGCCGTGGCGGAGCTGGAAACATGATGTACCGCGACGATTCCAGCGTCACCAGCGTCCTTAGCCGCCGACAATCCGCTGGCAGCTCGACTACCACCAGCAGCACCGACTCGGTGGCTGACCGTGCTCGCAACATGGCTCGCCGTGGCCTCGAGAAGGGTTGGGGAAAGCTCAAGGGCAACGCATAGATCTATGCATACCCGCTCTCCGCTTCTCTACTGATGATATCACGACACTTACGACAAACCCCCCAAAAGTTCTTCTTTCATTCTTCTATTTCGCCTTTCTAATTGCGTCGACTATGGCGAACAAAATGAAATCGTGGACATCATCCGGCATCTTAATCTTTGCCTCGGTGCGCCATCTATTTCGCTTCTCGACTTCGTGTCGTTGATACCCCCCATTATTACGCCTTGTCGCGTTGCCATTGTTTTGTCTTCAAGAACTCCTCACTCAATTATCATGGGACCGGCGTTTCTTCTGTGTTGAATACATTTGAGGCTACCCATGGCTCATATCTTGCATGGTGCCGGTTTCTCAGACCATTTCCTTTCAACCATTCCCTTGGATCGCTTTAATTCGAGAATTGTCTCTTTCAAACGAGGATCTCGTTGCATCCACCGGAGTTCGTGTATTCTTTTCCAATCTATGCGTCTAGCATACCTTTCTTGTGTCCTCTAGTCTAGCTTAGTTCTTATCAGATCCTCCCTCGCCTCGACTACTACTTTCTAGTCCTGAGCACTCAATGGAACACATGCCCACGTGGCTGTATCAAATGAGCAAAATTTTTCCTCAGTATTTCCTATACAGTAATTCTACGCGATGTTGACTCAAAGCTCCACTGCCGTTTTTTCCCCTTTTTTTTCTTTTTCTTTTTCTTTTTTTTTCTTTTGCCGGTGGGTCCGAATGGCAACACCGTGCCGATCAGAGATGAACCGAGCGTATGCGCCAGTAACCGACTTGCCTGACTCAACGTGGACCTGCGTGTCCAGATCATTCGCATTGCAGGATTTTCCGGTCAAAAAAAGCAACTCTCGGTGACCTCTATACGTCGTTAGTTTTGCCGCCAGCCCGGCGCCTATGACGCGCCCCAGAGCGGGCTGAAAATTTTGCGGTTTCTATTTTTGCTGAATCCTTTCACAGACCATTTCTTCGGCCCTATGCAGAATTAGTGGCCGGGGTGCCCGGGCTTGCCACGGGTACTGATCACGACATGCTTCCCATCGCTACCCAAACACGCAAGAGCGTGCTGTCAGGCTGATGCGATTGACGCAATACCTTGACGCAATCGCCTCGGTCCGGCTCTCGTCCATGGCCCCGTCTGCCTTATGGAATAGATTAGGAGATATCGCACAAAGCTTGTGTATCTGGCCTGAGGCCTAGACTTGTTTTGATCTATCGCCACATCATGATTTCACTGCATAATTAACTCTAGGACTATTCACGCCTTCTTTCTCAGGCCCATTAGAGTGCTTTGACTGACTAATAAAGAAGACATCATCCATCTCTAACTTAGCACTTCTCTATAGTTTGCCTAACAAGCTTCCAATATGAATGATCTAGATCTTTGTGAGCCAAAGACCTAAAAGCCATGAATAAACTTTGATACAGATACACAATAGCTGATGTGCGGAAGACCCGACACATGGAACTGAGTCTTGCTTCTATAGAAAAAGAAGCGCTAAATTTAAGCTTTGTTCCCTTTGCACAATACAAGGAGTAAAGGGTTTGTGTGTGGGCTCCCCCAATCTTTGTTGAGTATCAAGGGTGCTTCAGCACTCTCTTTGTTCTAAGGCCTCGAACACCGCACCGGGATACTATATAATAGCCCCGATCACTTCTCTCGGGCTTTTGGATATAATTTCACTATTCGGACCCGCGAAACTTGGAGAGCGTACCAAAACTCAGAACGCAACCCTACACCCGAACACTACGAACAGTCCAGCCAACGTCTTATATGCTCCATCACTCCCTCAGATTTCTACCACGACATAGCCTAAGCAACACTCTTCGTATCCATTCAAACCCGTAACATACTAAGCTATCCCAATGCATCCCGTTTTCCCCTTTGCGATCTTCGTCGCAAGCAGTCTGCTTGGGACATGGAATGACATCCCCTCGTACCCAGCGATTATCGGCTCCTTACAAGTCGCAGGTACCTTGTGGGCACTCGAAAAGAAGTTGGACCCAATCATCTCGGAGGTCCAGGACATCGGAAAGGATGTGGCCTCGGGCGATTACCCTGTCGCTGAGCTTCTGACTGACATCAAGGGAGTAGTCCAAGGAACGTCTCCCAACCTCGTATCTAGACTGCGCTCCAAGTCACAAGATAGTGATCTATGGGACAATGACGACGGTGAGAAGCTCCCTCCTGCTGACTTTGCGGCTGAATCTGGAAAGCCCAGGAACGGGTTTCTTTGTCGAATCTTCAGCGCGACTAGGACTTACTTGCTTGTTTTCTTTGTAATTGCTGTTGACTTGGTTCTTCATTTCTGGATTACGAAGACTGTCACGGAATATGTGTAAGTGTCTCCAAGCATGTGTTGATTACCTCCTGAGTGGCCTGCTAACGACCGAGTAGATACCTGCCTGCACAACGGAGCTTGGATGTGGTGCACCGCATGTCATCTGTGTGCCTTGATGAGGTTCTGTCTCTGAAACGCGCAATGATAAGTATTTCCCGGCAAAATCGCTGGAACTGGCCTGAAGAAGAGAGACAAGAAGTAGCCGTTGATCATGTCGTGCCTGAGTATTCTGGTATGGGCCTAGAGGCGGAGCCGGCTTTGAATACTGCTATTCTGTCTGTTTTTTCTCTTGCTGGATTCTGGGTACAAGCCCTCAGCTTGTACATCCTCGGACTATTTGGCAATTCCAAGAAAGTAACGACGAGCTCTAAGGGTCCTGGCAGCGCTGGGACCATTACTTCTGCGGCCTCGGTTGATAAGTCTGAGATTCCAGGCGCCAAATCATCAAAGAACTCTCTCTCTGATCTACAAAAGGACCGGACCGGGGCTGTGAATTCTACGAAGCAAGACTATGGCTCTAGTCAATCAGTCCGGCCACCATACACTGCTTCAAGCACCCAAGCTGTGCCCCCAGTCGCCAAACCAGCAAGTACTACTCGTACACAGCCCTTGGTTACCAGCTCCAATGCCAGCTCTCCAGCTGCTAACTCGCATGCCCAACCGCCGACAGTTACTCCAAATACGGACTCCTCGTCTCTTACCCCAAAGAGCCTTCCATCGACGACCGGTGGCGATCCAAAGATCCAACCCACAGCCTCCAGTCCGAACATCCAGTCTCCAGCTACCAACCCCTTCGCAAGACCCCCAACTGTGAGTGCCAACAACGGGCCCCCGCCTCCCAACCCAACCACAAAGCCTCCAGCTCTCAGCTCAGCAGGCAAACCGACTGCTAAGCCCGCAGCTAAAGTTGTTTCTAGCGGCCGCGGTCCATCCGCTAGCCGACACAGCGTTCCTAGCAAGACCCCCTCGCGGACTGAAAGCCGAAACCCTTCCGAGGAAAGAGGAAGAGGTAGGCCTCTTACGAGACCTGAAACCACACCTGCTGCACCTGCCGCACCCGCCGCACCTACGAGCAAGCCAGCTGTAGCTGCGTCTGCTAGCAAGCTGACCGGTGCTCCTGTGAATATCCCACAGAATGAACTTAATCGGCCTACGGGATCACGTACACCTGCTGGTAAACCAGCTGGTGCTCTGAGCAGCCAACAAACTGGAGCTTCGCGGGGCGGCACTCAGAATCGTATGCCCGCTACTTCAAGCAGGCCCAGTGGTCCTACTGCCGGTAAGAGTAATCGCTAAGTTTTAGCGTCCGACCAAACGCGGTTTTCTTTAGTAGAGTTCGTCTGGGTGTTTGGAAAAATTTCCCAGTACTAAGTAGTATGCACCGGTGAGTTGACTTTGTCTCCAAAAGTACTTTGAAGCTCGAAGGAGACACAAAGTACTAGGTATTTTTGTAGCAGTCATTGAGTAGGCGATCTATACAGATAGCATCTCGCACTCGGTTCTCCATCCTACATCTCTTTTGTTTGGGTTAGAGCGGTTTCTCGCAACGGTATCCAGGTACTTTATGTTGAGAGCAACGGTACTGCTAGCTATCAGCTCGTGAATGAAGAGTTACTTGACAATGATTTAATATTCACTACATGTAAACAAGCTTTATTCTAGTCCTCTATGGTATATACTTGAAATGATTGTACTAGTAGACTCAAGTAAGATCGATCACAACCTTCTTCCCAGTCTGTTCATATCCCAGCTCAATCGCTTCTTCAAGACTGACCTTCTTAAAGGCGGTCTCATCCTGCGCTTTCAAGAGTCCAGCAGCGATCCAACCCCCCAACGATCGCAGCGCTTCCGCCATGGCCTCCACAGAAGACAGTCCCGAGTTGAACCCCGACAGAGTCAAGTTCCTCCGATAAGCCTGGAAGATATCAAAACTTACCCTTTTGCCAACATCTCCCCTCGGCGCTGCAATCCACACATACCGCCCACCCTCTGCAAGTCCTTCAATTCCGGCCGCCATCAACTCCAGGTCACCCACAACATCAACAATAACATCTACACCCCTCCCACCGGTGAGACTGGCCACCCTCTCCTTCAGCACCACCGCCGCCCTCCCCCTCCAACAAAACATCCGGCCCCTCCTCCTCCCTCCTCATCCCCGTCAAAACCCTACACCCCATTAGATTTCCAATCTGCACCGCTGCAGCGCCCACAGATCCATTCGCCCCAAGCACAAGCACAACATCCCCCTCTTTCGCCCGCCCTCGCTGCAAACAGAAGAAAGCAGTCGTGAACGGGTTCCCGACCGTCGCAGCCTGCACCGCCGACAACGCATCGGGCTTCTCGACAAGCGCCTCGTTTGGGACAACGCAGTACTCGGCATGGGGCCCGTCAGCTTCGAACCCGAGACTAGAGCCACTCGTCCCGTAAACATGCTTGCCGACCCACCATTCGGCGGCAGGTTCGGATATACGGGTCGACCCGGATATAGCGACTACTACGCCCGAGTAGTCGCGGCCTGGGACCCGGGGGAAGGTGGTGTCTGGGAAGCCACAAACAGCATTGAGGCGGTCGGAGGGCTGGATGGAAGTGTATTCTATTCTGATAAGGGCGTGGCCGGGTTTGAGGGGTGGGATGGGGAGAGTTGTTAGGCGGAGGAGTGGTGGTGAGTTTGAAGTGGAGCGGGTGAGCTGTAGGGCTCTCATGGTGCTGGAACTCATTTTGCGAGGTAGAAATTCTTGGTAGTCAGTGTTTGATTGGGATCGGATATAGGCTGGTAACCTGGGTCAGCTTTATGCAGATGAGATTCTAGATTGGACGCCTTTTAATGAGGTCAGGAAACAGACAGGTCCTGATCTATAGCAGCGGAAGGCGGGCCGCGCGGACCGCACGAAGCGCAGCGGAAACTCGGAATTATGGATATATGCAGGGGCCGTTCTTATCAATCTTTGACATAATTGTCCCCACGTGGAAAAGCTGGCGGATCTTTTTTTCGTCGCGTTTCAGAAGCTGTGGCTAAAAAGACTGGATTCCCCTATCTCATGGCTTTCTCAAGTCCAATTCTAAACCACACGTCAATATGGCTGCTTTGGTCAATTCGAAAGAGCAGTCTATCGACCGCAGAGGTATGTCGATCAGAAGGCGCTGGTCCTCACTTCACTATTCTAAGCTAATCCACACAATATAGATGAATCTCCCGCGCCCACGCTGAGCGGCATAAATGAACAGAGTGAGGACGCACCACAGACCGCAGACCCCGAATCGCTCAAACATGAGCCGCCGACATTTTCGCCCCCAAAGTCGCTGCTGCACGAAATCGTCTTTTTGATCGTGATATGTGCGGCGCAGCTTCTGACGCAAAGCGGCTTGTCGCTCTCCATTGTGCCCCTAGATCTCATCGCCGACAGCTTCGATAGCACACCGAAAGACTTGACATGGGCCTCCTCGGCATACAGCTTGACGGTCGGCACGTTTATCTTTGTATCCGGCCGACTGGGCGATGTATACGGCCACAAAATACTGTTCGTGATCGGATTCTCCTGGTTCGCTCTGTGGTCCATGCTCGCTGGCTTCTCCATCTGGGTCAACCCTATTTACCTCGACATCTGCCGCGCCCTCCAAGGAATCGGCCCGGCGTTCCTCCTCCCGAACGCCGTCGCGATCCTGGGTCGAACATACCCGCCTGGCTTGCGCAAGCAGGTCGCCTTTTGCCTCTTTGGTAGCGTGGCGCCGGGTGGGTTCATCGTTGGCGGTCTTTTCGGATCGCTGCTGGCGCAGTTCTTGTGGTGGCCCTGGGCATATTGGATCATGGCTATTGCATGCGCGCTATTCGCTCTGCTGGGTTCGGTCGTCATTCCATCCATCCCCCAAATCAAGCCCCGTGAGGACCTGTCGATGATGGCCCGACTGGATGTGTGGGGTGCTATTCCCGGGATGGTCGGTCTGATTCTCATCAATTTTGCCTGGAACCAGGCTGCCGCGGTCGGATGGCAGGAGCCGTATAACTATACGCTTCTGATTGTGGGACTATTAAGCATCGTGCTGTTCCTGTGGGTGGAATTTCACGCTGCATACCCTCTTCTCCCGCGGTCAGTCTTTCGGGGAGAGACGGGGTGGGTGATTGCCTGTATTGTTTGCGGCTGGGCTTCGTTCGGAGTGGTGGTTTTCTACTACTTCTCGGTGATGATGAACCTGGAGCACGAAAGCGGGCTTCTCGTGACGGCGAAGTTCGCGTGGGCTGCTGCTTCGGGCGGCGGGGCTGCTATCCTGACTGCTTTCCTGATAGGCCGCATCCCAGCGAGCTACATTATGCTTATTGCCATGGTGATGTTCACTGTTGGTCAGATTCTGCTCGCTACCAGGCCGCTGGGGCAGATCTACTGGGCTAATGGCTTTTTGATCCCTCTGCTCATGCCGATTGGCATGGACATGTCTTTCCCGTCGGCGATCCTGATCATGAGTAATGCGATGCCGCAGGAGGATCAAGGCGCGGCTGGTTCGCTGATCAATACTGCGGTGAACTACTCCATTGCTATGGGCCTTGGATTTGCGGGCGTGGTGGAGACCTACGTCGCCGATGGCGATACCCTGAGAGGGTACCATGGAGCTGAGTATATGGGTGTGGGTCTTGCAGGCTTGGGAGTTATTTGTGCGTTGTGTTTCATAATTGTGTCGTGGCGGGCATCGAAAGTTCAAGCGTAAATGTCATTACAGCGTTTTAGAAGATAGAGATACCCCGCCACCTCGATGCCTTTACACCATTTAGCATCGTGGCTTTTTCTTATTAGACTATGATTGATTGGCAATAAACGATAATGAGACGGTGACTTCATTATTCATTGGTACTATCCTTTCTACCTCTTTTCATATCTCGTCACTCATGCCTCGTAATTCTGCCTGAAAGACCATGGAGCTCAGGGAAGCTGGAACTCCATGGCCCACATTGCTCCACATCTACGGGCAGCTCAGGCATGAGCGACGGACTCAGGAAGTCCATGTTTTGCGGGACCTGAGCAGCCTCAGATGCGATCCCCGGGGAACACGGCCCGACAGCTCTTTCAAGGGCCTCCACGCTCTTTCGCTTTTTATTCAACGAGGCCGTGATCAGCTGCCGGGCTGTACCGAGCGCCTCCTTCGCCAGATGCGTGTTGAAACGACTAACGATGAACTCCAACGCACGCATGGTCTCACCGAGCTTCTCACAGCTGTCATTTGTATCCATGACAAGCAGGGCACAGGCGAACTGGAAGACCGACCCGACCACGTTCCACCACGGCTGCTTCAGACTTGCTAGTCTTTCGGCAGCAGGCAGCGCAGCCGAGCCCGCCTTCATTACCAGCTCGTTCTGGCCTCGTTGGAAGCTCGGATCCATGACCCGGAGGCGACGGTAGATCCCCAGGGATATATCTGCTCGTACGAGGAGAAGAAAATCGTGCTTGAGAGTCAATTCAGACATGGCCTCCAAAGCGCGCAAGAGCTCGTTCATGAGGTCTGCCAGGTCCCCTGTGTCCTGGTTAGTGGGCATGGCAGCTACGAGGCTGCATAATTGGGAGGTGAAATCCGCTTCTCCATTAGCCTGGGGGGCTATTTCTGGTGCCCGGCGATTCAGAGTCATTATGGAACGGCCATACTCGAAAGCAATGAGGAAATGCACAGCATTAGCAACCTGCGCAGTCCGATTGACAATATTGATCAGTTCGCCATCTGGGGCGCTGTTTCCTGTGGCCTGCATCTGGAATTCTGGCGCCTGGTGCAGTCCTGCTGCTTCGACCAAATGCATCAGATTGCAACTGAGACATCCATGCCACGTGGGGGCGCCCGGTACATCTCAGGTAGAGCGTGCGAAGGATCCACGCTGCGATGCTTTCAACGCTTGGGAAACGGCTAATGGCAGCGTCTTCCAGGATCTCCTTTGCATGCAAAACGACCCACATTTCGGTCTCTTCATCCAGTACGTCACTGAAGAGGGAGCCCATCGCAATGATGCCGCAGATCATCGCTTCGAAAATCATATCCTGTTGCTCCCCAGACCAATGTTTCTCACAGAGCGCGTTCACAGCATTGAGATTGAGAAAGCCGAAGACGGGGTGTATTACGGTCGCATAAACATGGATCAGTACGCTGGCCAGTCGCCATGGAATCCTGTCGGCCACTGCATGAGTTACTGCGCATTCCGGTTCCCGCCGAACACCCGCATGGTAGCCGAAGGAGTGCAAGCGCGGAAGCTTGGTCGCCTGAACCTCCAGTCCAGTGTAGAGAGGGAATGCCACAGATGAATGCCTTCCCACATAGCGAGGCTTTGGTGGTGCAAGAACTCCGGGCAGGATAGACGAGTTCGCGTATTGCTTTGGGGCAGTCTGTGCCTGGGCCTGACGTGAGGCATTGGCGGGTGGCGAGGCTGATGGTCCCTCATAATTAGATGGGGGATTTGAAGAGCTAGGTCTAGTAGTATTATCGTACGCGCACTGATGTTGGTAGCCAAGGCATAAGTCGCACGGAAATTGGCCATTGCACTTTCTCTTGCGCTTTCGGCACGGGATGCAGGCCTGTCTCACGCGTTGGCGCTTCCGAACTGTCTCATGTTGTGGTGGTGGTTCTCCTGCTGGGGAGGGTTCATAATACTGCTGTGACATACTGTTTGAGATTGTTCTGATTGAGCTTGGACTAGAGAGATGAAGAGAAGGATGAAGAGAAGGAACTTGGACGAAGGACGCTTAAACACGAACGTCCACAAGGAGAGGTTGAAGAGGGAGACATCAACACGAGATATGCAGAGCACGGAAGTAATGCGCTCTCTCGAGTTATCAATGTTCCTGAAGACTCAAGGCGGTCATGGACGCGATCTTCCGACGAATGGTCGCGTGTCCACGTGTTGATGGGGCTTGAAATGACATTGATGCCTGAGGCATATAAATCACTCTAGCCTTGCGTTTTTCTTCAGATTGAAAATGCCTTGGTTCCTTTCCGAAGGTGAGTAGTAACATATATTTTCGTATATAATAGGTATGCAATCATGTATATGGTTATTTGAGTCCGTCCTTTTAATGTATGAAAGACTCTTGAACGAATCATATCACAGTGTTGTCTAACCAGGACCCGCTTTGAATGACATGTCAATCAAAGCGGGTCCTGGTTAGACAGTCATTTGATTTGATTCGCCATGCTCCTGACGACTTACTTCGGCTCCAGCAGAACGAACAATTTCTATGTTCACCAATATCGGGAAGCGCTTGAAGGTCTTATTGCGTAATGTTCCAGCATTGCCACAACCAGGGATTATTCTCCTTACAATTTACACGGCCTTCAGCATTGCAGCAAATTTTTGCAGAGGGTCTTGCTGTCCCTGATTCCTGAAATTTAGCCCCCATTGAGCTCGCAGCAACGAGAACTACGTTTATGTCGTCATGGCTCACAATCAATTACCGCTGACTCGTTACAGAGTGGGGAAAAACGGTGACACCAGACCTTAGGTGCTTAGAGCAATGGGATTTTTGGGAGCAACTCCACTTTCTCAAAACTTGGAGGCCGTTAGGGCAACTAGGGGATAAATTGATCTTGAAATTGAATGCTTTAAAAGCTTGCAGTCTGCCACTGGTGGCCATGCCTCTTGTGCTTGTGCCATCTCAGGGTACATTGATCTGTATGATGAACTCGATCCTCCCCCGGAAATCCACGTCACGGAGAAAGCGGGCTAAACGAGTTTGCAGAAAAGCAACAGTGGCAGTCGCCAGATTTATCAAAGCATTCTCTTTCAGCAGGTGAAGTTCGCCGCCATGGATGACTATGCATGGCCCGTCAACACAGACAGTTCCCCAAGTCTATGGCTAAATGCCGATACTGCTGTTTACTCGAGTACTGCTGGCAGGACGAAATATCATGGTTCCAAAGAGTGCACAACGAGAAATGCTACACGGGACATTTTGTGCACAGCTTCTCCTTTATTCAATATAACAGGAGATTTGTGGGTGGACAACCAGGACTGCCAAGTTTCTAAGACACCTGAAGACTATGTCCTACTATTGCGTAGTCCGCTCCCGCAGACCTGCCACTCATCAACAAGGACAACCTTGGTATCGTTGGTGCATACCTTGGCGAGATATATTACTACACACGGCTTCGAAGACTTCCAATGATCCAGTCTGCATGGAAAATTGGGATCCGTGGTATCTACTTCTTTGTTAAATGGTGGGCTACAAAGATCCCCAAGTACTCGAAGAGTAGTCGGGGCGTGACTATTAGGCGCACAATCAATACCCAAGGTATCTAGTCGGATGAGCCGGTTTGGCTCGCAACGGATACACCATACAAATTACCTGGTACCTCAACACCGCGGCGTGGGTCACCAATCAGAGGCACATATTAGACCAAGCACGTTTCAAACGCACCTTCGAGCCTGCATGGTTGGAAACCACCGTTATACATGGTATGTTCTACCCCTGGCTGCTCCGAAAATCTTTTAGTTAAACTATGAATACAGCGAGTCAGAAAACCCCGGACTATGGTGGCTCTCTAAGCATGCAAATTACGCCCTGTGGAAAGAAGCAAGTCATTCATCAAAAGGAACGCCGCAAACGATACTTCAGGAGCCGTGCCTGAAGCTTCTGAAAGGTTTCGACATCCGCACCCCAACAGTGAGTGTTGGGGAGACCACATGACTGCGCGTAATCTATTCTTTTTCTTCGTAACCGGATTATTCCAAATGGTTCTAGGATCAGGTCGATCTGGAACCAGGTGAAGGTCCACATTAGGGACTGAACCATGAAATCTGAGATGTTTATATGGCGTTGTGCTTACCGTGCGATGCGGCGGACCGTGATGGGAGCGACGGTGCAGAAATGGAGTAGGAGTAAAGATATACGATTACTCTGCAGGATATTTACAGGTTCTTTGCAAATAAGCCTATTGGTGTTCCTGACCCAGCCTCTCAAATACCCGTGCGGCCCCTAGGCATCTAGGTAGTGGTATTGAAGCCTCATCCCTTGAAAAGGACTAAGCAGTTACTTAGTTGTGAATACCCTAGTAGTCCTATTTCGATAAACCAGATCACATTAAGTTAGCTGTTAGATCATTGCTCATATTCAGAAGTATTAACAAACGAAATATGTACTGTTCCTATTTAGTATCTGCCCAGCACCTCAGCCGATTGAATCTTCAGCACCCGCTTGTATATGGGAACGACAGCAGCCTGTGAGCAAGAACTAGAGACGATCACAACCCCACACTTGATATCAGATAAGCATAGCCGATAAGGCAGATAAGGCGGAGGGGCGAACTGCCAGGGCGGTAAGCCGATAAGCCGATAAGATAGACTATCAACGCGTTTCTTTCGCGTTATGGAACCGTTGTTCTTTCGATTCTTGCCTCATCCTTCCAAACCTCGGGATCCTTTACCTCACTACCAGGTGACCTGGATATTTCACCTAAGCCCTCTCTCCTATCCTGTTTTTGCCCTGGCCAGTTTCCCTGGACGCGACCCGTCTAACTTGCCAGGGCACCATGTCCTCAAGTGATGATAGCGACTCGCCTGAGGTCGATTTCCCCGACAGAGCCAAAGATCACATTTATCATGATCCCTTGAACTTGAGTGGCTCTGATGCAAACTTGGAGGAAACCCAATCCGACTCCAAACCCTCTACCGACTCAAAAGACACGTCGCAGCCTCGCTTTGAGGATAAGTCTATAGACTCCCGTCGAGCTTTATCTTCAATCCAGGTTGTTGTGCCAACTCCTAGGAACTTGAATGACTACAGACCTTTGGCTGGTCACTCCATAGTTCGGCATGTTCTGCGATTGGAGTCGGACGATAATGATCTCACAACTTACTCTATCTTACATCGGAGTGGAGAACAACAAATTGTAAGGAGTGTTCATTGAAGCTTACTCTTATATGAACACAATTCTCACATTTCCTTGCTTTTAGGTCTCTCTCGAACGCTTACTTGATATGGAGAATGGCGCCAAGGCATTAGAGGCCTTTTTAGACTCAGACACCAGCGACGACATAAACATGATCTCACCACGCCGGTCCAATCGATCTTCACTCCACTTTTCGGGCGACGCAGCAGCAGATTCCGACTCCGATTATGGCAATGAAGGCTCGACAAGCCGACGTAAATCCCGCCGCAAAACTGCAACTCGATACACTGAGTTCTTTGAAGTCCCAGAGAGCTCTGGTGACGAAACCAACCAAGATGAAGAATCTAGTGATGAACTGGGTGGCCCTCGTCATCGTCACTGCCGTCATCGCCGCCGCCGGGGTTTGCGCAAAGGGGAAGTCCAGAGGTAACACACGACCTGCGCTACCCTCCTCCGGTGACGAGTCGTCTTCCAGCCATGGGATAGGCCGCCGTAGGTCATCACGAAACCGGCAAGGCATTCGCAAAAGATTCCGCGAACGAGATGAGGATGATCTTTCTGAGGCAGAAAGTGAAGGTCCAAAAAAACCCAAGTATACGGGGGCCAAAGAAAGCTTTCGACGTATCCCTTGGGACGATGATTTCAGACAGCGACATCTGGCGTTGTGCATCACTTGCGGACTCTACGGAGATGACACAGTCAAAGGGGAGCTTGTGTTTTGTCAGGGTTGCAGCTTCTCATATCATCAAAGTTGCCTTGGACCCCGAACTACACGCGACCACCTCGTGACGAAAATTAGTGAAGGGGATTTCATTCTCCAATGCCGCTTCTGTCTGGGCATGAGCCACTCGAAATACGACATCAGCCCACACACAGGGAAATGTTCTGGATGCAAAGAACTGAATTCGATGTCCGAACCTCTTAGACCACGTCTCTCGTCAAAGGAGGAACAGCATCTGCGAATGGAGAATGGGGGTGTAGACCCAGTAACTCGCATACATCCGCATAAAGTCAATAGTCTCGAAAATGTCATGTTCCGTTGCACCAGTTGTGATCGGGGATTCCACGCCGATCATCTTCCGCCAGTTCAGGGTGTAGATCCTTCGGACAGATATGATCATTACAGCAAACATTGGCGATGCCACGAATGTGAAGTTGCACCTGGCTCCGTTGAAAAACTTGTCGCTTGGCGTCCGGTGGACCCAACTCACGAAGTTGGCGATGGTATCGGTGCTGCTCAGCTAATCCCTGGGGACCAGAAGGAATATCTCGTCAAATGGAAGGATAAGTCCTACTTCCGCGTGACCTGGATGCCTGGCGACTGGGTATGGGGAATTACCAAAACCGCAATGCGTCGTGCATTCTACAAGACCCCTAATGCCAATAAACCCATCTTCAAGACTGAAGATGCATTTCCGGAGGATTACTTGCGCGTCGATATTGTGTTCGATGTCACCTACATCAGAGACGGTCTCACAGATGAACAAAAGAAAGACATCGATATGGTCAAAGAAGCCTTTGTCAAATATCAAGGCTTGAACTATGAAGACTCTGTCCGAGAAGAGCCTCCCAGCCGGAGCGATACGGAACGATGGGCGGACTTCAAGGCCGCCTTCGAGGATTTTGTTCGCCGCGACTCGATCGATAACCCTGACCAGTATGTATTGAGCAGGCATCTTTCTCGGGTTCGTCTTCTCGACTTCGAACAGAACTTAGAGTTGCATAGGCAATCGGCGCTTTTGGTCCACGGCGAGCTCATGGCATATCAGCTTGAAGGCGTGAACTGGCTGTACTATAAGTTTCTACAGCAACAAAATTGTATCCTTGCGGATGACATGGGTCTCGGAAAGACAATTCAGGTCATTGGACTTTTGGCGACACTTCTTGAAAAGCATGCATGCTGGCCCTTTCTCATCGTGGCCCCTAACGCCACTGTCGCAAATTGGCGGCGGGAAATCAAAACATGGGCCCCGGCAATTAGAGTTGTGACTTATTTTGGCTCCAGCTACGCTCGCAAGCTGGCCAAAGACTATGAAATGTTCCCTGACGACACAAGAAACCTCCGGTGCCATGTGGTGATTGCTTCCTACGAAAGTATGGTGGACGACGAGTCGCGACGAGTCATAGGCAGGATTCGCTGGGCTGGTCTGGTGGTGGACGAAGGCCAACGGCTTAAAAATGACCAGTCTCAACTCTACACTCGCCTATGCCGTCTACACGTCGGTTTCAAGGTTCTTCTTACTGGAACGCCTCTGCAGAACAACATTCGAGAATTGTTCAACTTGGTTCAATTCCTTGACCCTGAAAGGGACGCTGTAGAGCTTGAAGCACAATACGGCCAACACGGCCAGCTGACCTCGGAAGAGATCCGTACCCTTCACGAGATGATTCGTCCATTTTTCCTACGGCGCACGAAAGCTCAAGTCTTGCCGTTCCTGCCACCCATGGCTCAGATCATTGTTCCTCTTTCCATGTCGCTTGTACAAAAGAAACTTTACAAAACGATTCTCGAGAAAAATCCCCAGCTGCTCAAGGCGATCATGAAAAGTCAGACAAGCGGGTTGGCGAAGAAAGATCGGGGGAACTTGAACAATATTCTTATGCAGCTCCGCAAGTGTCTCTGCCATCCATTTGTCTTCAGTCGAGAAATCGAGGAGGCACAGCACGATCCTCAAGTCGCCCTTCAACGTCTCATAGAGGCGTCCGGAAAATTCCAGTTACTGAACCTGATGATACCCAAGCTTCGAGAGCGAGGGCACCGTGTTCTTATCTTCAGCCAGTTCCTGGAGAATTTGGACATCGTGGAGGACTTCCTAACCGGAATCGGAATCGAGTACTGTCGTTTGGACGGTAAGCTCACAGCCCGCCAAAAGCAACAGCAGATAGATGATTTCAATGCGCCCAACTCTCCATACACTGCTTTCCTGCTGTCAACCCGATCTGGTGGTGTCGGCATCAACCTTGCTACTGCTGACACTGTCATCATCATGGACCCCGATTTCAACCCTAAGCAGGACATGCAAGCTCTGTCGCGTGCTCATCGAATCGGTCAGAAAAACACCGTCCTCGTTTTCCAGCTGACAACAAAGGGGACTGTTGAAGAGAAGATCATGGAAAAAGGCAAAAAGAAACTTGCCCTGGACCATGTCCTCATCGAGCGGATGGAGAATGACGAGGACGAAGAAGACCTGGAGTCTGTCCTTCGACACGGTGCACAGGCATTATTCACTGACGATGATTCGGCCGATATACGTTATGATGCAGAGTCCATTGACAAGCTTCTTGATCGAAGCCAGATTGAAAAGGATACAACGGCATCTACTTCTAATGACAATGCAGAACAGCCTCAGTTCGCTTTTGCTCGTATTTGGCAGAATGATCGTGGGACCCTTGAAGAAGTAGTTGAGACGGAGGAAAAACCGATCGATTCCAAGTTCTGGGAGGAGATCCTAGATAAACGTGAAATGGAGGCCATGGAAGACCTCAATCGCAAAGCCGAAGGATTGGGACGTGGTAAACGCAAGCGAGCCACTACTTTCTACGGCACGAAGGCGGAAGATCCCATGGATGACGATGGCGAGTCGCCAGAGGAACCCACTCCAGTCAAACCTACCAGGGGCAAAGGCAAAGGCAGAAACGTTGATAGCGACTGTGAGTTCGAAGCGAAAGATGATGCGGCATCCTCGTCGGGTGAAGACGATTCAACTTACTTTGATCTTGAAGACCTGGCTGTTCGAAGTGGGAGCAGGAAGAAACGGCGCCCATTCGTTCGCGGCACCGTACCGCCAACTTCCAGCAATGACATGATGGACCTGGGAGGCGACGGTACCATGGATATCGAGCGCCCTTCTTGTCCTGCATGCTCCCATGTTCATGCTCCTGGTGCTTGTCCCTTGAAACTTGCTGGGACCGAGAGTTGCCCACTCTGCGGCATTGCCCACTATGGAGGTCGTCGTGTTTGTCCCCACTTGCAGTCCAGAGTCCAGATCAAGCGGATGCAACAAGCTCTCAAGAATAGTACGGAGTCTCCTGAGCTTATTCGCATGGCCAGGAAATACCTCACCAGCATTATTAATTCGTGGGCCGCTGTGGAACGCGCAAAGGCAAACAAAACGGAACAACTGCCTACTTCCTCGGCGAATCTTGAGCGTTTCTCCTACTCGAATAAGCCCATGAATCAAGAGAACACTAACCCCATTCCCCTCCCAGCCCCCACCAAGCCTCAGTCCCATAGCCCGTCGCTGCCCCAGGAGTCGGCGAGATTTCGTCCTCCTCGAACTGACCAACCTTGGCCGTTTGAGCGACCAGAGAACATTCAGAATCGCTGGCAGCAGCAGCATGAGACAGCACCTTCAGGCCAAGTCACTTCTGCCTATGTGGACTTGACTTAGCTTCTATTCCTTGGCAAACCGTTTCCCATACCCTCAAAAGTGTTTTTCACCGAAATGCAACTCTTGCCCTCTGCTCTGAGCCCGTCACTCTGTTCCCGCGCGATAATTTTGAATTTTCTCGCATTATCTCGTTTACTTTTCAGCGCTGCCTTTCTGCTTTGGACTTCGTCCCTTATCTACAGCAGAGCTCCTACATTTCGAGCTTCTCCTATCTTTCATGAGATTGACATCTCGGCTTGCATTTAACTCGGTTTCCCTTTTTTCCGGACCATGGTGGCGCCTGGCAGATACCCCCTGTGTTTTGTTTTCCAGATAGCAATTGATTCTTCTGTCACAAAGTAGCCCTTTCTTCCATCTAAGTCAATTGGCAGGCTACAATCACGGTGGTTGTTGAGGTATATTTCGTAGATACAAAGCAGCGGGGGGTTTCAATAGCTTCCTGCATCGCGTCGGCTGGTAGGTTATGAAGTTGTGAATTACTGCTGAAGGGATTCTTCATCGCAAATAATCCATCTCACTGGAGCTTAGGTATGTGCTTTGCGTTCCAGTACTCGTCAAACATATGTAATTCACTGGGGTGGTATTCGAAGAGGGAAGTCAAGCCAGACGCGAATTTCTCAACCCTCATGCTGTAGCCTGTAGTATATCCACCAACAATAGAGATGCACAATCGGGCCTCGTGGGTACCTTTCCCCATAGAAACTGGCGAGGTAAGGTCCTATATAATACAAGCAGCGTTATCCGTGCTCACAATGACATTGGAGCCGTCCCAATCAAACTTGTTGTCAAAGGCCATGGTGCACCTCAAAGTTAGAGCAGGGTCTTTGGACACAACAATGCTTTGCTAGGCCGACCTTCATAGTAGTTATCCTGAAACAAGTCTTATGTCTTCCAAAGATCTATCTTCAAAAAGATGAATATTGTTGGGTGAGGATAATTGTGCTGCGCGGCTGGATAGAGAGCTGGATCCTGCAAGTCTCTTTGGATACTTGCTCAGCTTTGGGTATCAGCACTTATATATGATTATTTTAAAGGCATCGTACTCACCTTAAACAAGTATCCTCCCCATGCTGGGCTCTCTGTGACCTCAAGACATCGCATATTGTGTGTTGCAGATAGTTGCGCAAGCTGGCAAGCAAACTGGGAGACGATAGTCTTCTAGGGAGAAAAGTGTTTCTGTGTTTCTATTTCAACACCACTACCAATACACCTGATTGCAACTATAGCATTTAGCCTCTTATATCTACAATAGGTAAGTGCTACAATATTTCGACAAATCATATAGTTATCATCAAGGTGAGGCTCTTTCATGCAGACGGACAATAAGTGAGAGGAAGAAAAGGACCGAATGCTCACTTGAGATTCTTGCTGGTTTCCATTTGAGAAGGGTGCTTTGAGCTCAGAAATTTCCACTAGTCGTTCAGCTCTCTCACTTCTTCCAGTACTTCTTCTCCCCTACCTTCTCTCACTCTCACTCTCGCGCTCTCTCTCTCTTCTTCCTTCACCACTTCATCTTCGTCAACTTATCTTTCTTCGCACCACCTTGGCCTGACAGGCTCCTTATCTTTCTTATCCCAGTATTCATTTTTTCCTACACGTTCATTACATCTATTTCTTGACACTTATCCTGCACAAAGTTCATCATGACTTCCTCAGGCCGTCCCCTGTTCTTTTGTTCCCGCCCAAACGGTTCCTTGACCCCGATGGTGGCGATTGATGAGCTCCCAGCCTCGATCACTCTGCGTGGAGTATCGCGCACCTTGACTCCTGGTGACACTCAGGGCATGACTAGTTGCGGTGTTGCTACTGCTCGATCTGAGCCTTGGGTTGTCGAGGGCCTCCCTGCTTCGGCCTCGACCACGGCTGCTGGGACTACTTCGGGCTCTGAATCTCGTGAAGGACTCAATGAACTGCATGACGTTCTTTTGAAGATCGTGTCCGACAACGATGTTCCGTCTGACCACCGCACTGCCGTGCAGGGCATTCTTATGCGGGGTCTGGAGACCATCTACTCCTCCAAGACCGTTGTCCCCCACCACCCCGGTGGCATCTCTAGCCACAAGGCAGTAAGTCAATCGGTTGACTTTGGCCGCTCGGTAGATTTTGCTGACGTCTTCGACTTACTGTAGCTTTACAACAATAAGAAGGAATATTGCTCGTACTGGATCCGTCACGGTGAATGTGACTACCAGCAGCAAGGTTTGTCAACATCCACCAACCTTCAAGTTCGACTTAGTATGTACTTACCAGAAACAGGATGCATGTTCAAGCATGAGATGCCCACTGATCCCCTCATGTTGGAAAAGCTTGGCCTTCGCGATATCCCTCGTTGGTATCGTGAGAAGTATGGTGTCCCAAGTCTGGTCAACCCAGGTGCCTGCAATGCACGCATGCAGCTTGTTGAGCAACAGAACATTGCTTTCCAACCAGCTTCTACCACTATGCAGCCTATCTCTGAGTCGTCCGAGTTCAAGTCGATTACTTACCCCGGCCATGGTTCCTCTTACCATGGAGTTGTTACCCAAGCCCCGATGTCCCTGAATGAAAACGACCCCTTTGCTGGTACCAACAACGCCCTTAACGCTCACTCCAATAGTCGTCGTGCCGGGAGCCACAACCGCTATAAGAACCGTGGAACCGGCGCGAATGGAGTCAAAGCTCGTGGATCTCCATGGGGCAAAAACGGCCAGCGTAACGCCAGCGCCAATGAAACCAACCAGGCTGACAACCGTACTCATCGAGCCAGCAAATCCCCTGTTAGCGAGAGCGGGGAGTCCAACATCACGACTACCAAGCCCGCCGGAACGGAGGCCGAGAAGCTGCATGATGACAATGTTCTGACCACCAATCCCTCCATTACGAACGCCAACCGCTTCACCCCCGTGGGCCCCCTGTCGTTTGGTCCATGTTACCTGAACAATGACATTGCCTTGCGTCGCCCTGTGTCTTCTATTCGCGGTGAGAGCGTCCCCAGTGCCCACTCGGAGCTGAACCGCCGTCGCAGTGAGGAATTGAGCCGTCACTTCACGAACCTGGATGTCGAGCCCAGCCGTGAAGATCCTCATGGAGTTTCTCTTGGCGTTGGATTCAACACCTCTTCTGTGTTCGAAAATCCCTCCCGTCGTCTTTATGACTTCGGATTTGATGGAGAAGACTCTCAGCGAGTTTGCCCTGTCATCCCGGCCACTGGCAACCTCCTCGACATCTCGGAGACCAACAATAACAGCAAGCTCAACGGCACCAATATCGCCAACAAGAAGACTGCTGACAGCAAGACCACCGACATTGGTACTAAGGGCCCTCTGCACACTCTGCTTAAGGACAGCGAGCCTATCTATGCGACTGACCTGCTTCTCAACTATGGCGCTGTCGGTGAGCCTGTTCTCTTACCCCCTCTTCGTCAGTGCAACAAAACAGGCCTGTTGCTTGGTTTGTCCACTGACTGTGTACATCCTGCAAAGTATGATACTAATAAATTGAACCAGACCACTACGAAGGAGTCCCCTATTACTGAGAGCATCGAACATCGCCAGCAAATCTCTGATCTCACCAATTAAAGTCTCGATAATATGTGCATCTCAGCATGACTTTCCGGATTGCTATGCACGCACTCCACGCGCAAATATGAACAATATGAACGAAGATGATATGAAAAATCTAGATAAAATCTGCTGTGCTTTATCCTAAGGCCACTTGAAACATGCCTTCAAATTGTTTACTACCGTCCAGACTCTTGGTCTTTCGAGATCTCCGAGGCAAGCCGAATGACATTCCTTGGCTCTCCGATGCCATACTAATGCTGTGTCATTCCTAGTTCAACGAGAGCGAAGTTGTACTTGGACCTCCCACTCCGGCAAACTCAAGGCTGGTCATATGGACATTGATTTTCTTTTGACCAGTTCTGTATTTGCTTTCCTATTTTGCCTTTTCGAATCAATTTATTCCTATTAACCCAATTGTTATTGTTATTAGCGCACTGGCGTTCTCGGCGGTGGCCCATGGCTCGGACAAGGATGAACATGTGGCTCAGAGGTCGGTGTTGCGGCGCTTGCTATTCCTGTTTATTGATCTTGTCATGGCTCTTCTTGATTTGGTTTTTAGGTTGACACCGTCGGGGCCCGTAAGGAACCTGATATGTCCCATGCCAATATCTTGAATCTTGCCAGCGTCTTTGGGATCTACTCCTGTTTTTATTGATATTTACCTTGTCTTGCTTTTTTTTGTTTAAGCCTGTACTGGTACTCTTAGTCAAAGACCTATACGGTGTAGCCACACTCAGGTCTTGGCTTCTCGCTAGTATCAGGCTGCGGTCGTCAGCTGGTCTCCACGTGGGGCTCGTCAATACATTTCCCAACGACCAGGGTTCAAGTCTTTTCTTTAATATCACGGAATACCTTTTCTTATCCGGCCTTTGTCCCTCTAATCAGATTTGGCATAGCCATGCTTAAGCACATTCATTAACAAACATCTTGAGCTTTCACACTCCAACGCTCGATGTTGATAGGATGGCCAGCGAGGCCGAGAGGCTCGCTTAGCGCAGTCAAAATCGTCTAGTAAAGAACGAGAACCGGGGGACAAGCGATGGAGACTGAACAGGCCAGAATCAATAAGGGAGCTTTCAAGATTCCTCAAGTGACGATGCCATTGGCCCTTTGTTCAAAAGCAGCTGTTCAATGTTTCAAGAATACCCGTGGAACCTATGGGATCTCGTGCATCCGATCTTGGATACTAGGATGATCGACAAGTGACTCGTGAGAACAGGTCGGCTGGTGGGGATTGGGTAAGTTTATGTTACAATCACATCAACGTAGGTAGCAGCGGGATACCACTAGATTGAATACATGGCTATTGTACAGTGAAAAAGAATCGAAGTCGCTAAGACCTCCAGAAGAAATGCGCCCGCGCCTCGCAAACAAATGATTCTATCCCTTCACCCCAAAGAGATCATGCAAAGCATTTACAATGACCGCGTTTTAGCGACGAAGAGGCGCAGGCCGCTTACTACGAGCGCCAGCCTTAACAGCCACGCGCTCTCGCTCTTCCGTAGCCCGGGCCTTCAGGGCGGGGTTGAGCTCCGGAAGGGCGATAGAGGCCTGTCGGACGATCTTGTCTCCGTCAACAGTGGCCGCACGCTCCCGTTCAGCGTTGTATCTCTCTTCGCGACGAGCGGCAAGTTGCTTGCGGCGCTCCTCCGTCATCTTCCAGGATTCGGGGAATTTGGGGCTGCTCTTCGGTTTGAAGTGGCGGAGATCCAAGGGGACATCGGCGAATGCATCACCCTCCTTGGCTTCTTTAATGAGCGAGTTTACGATGTCGGCCAGGTACCGCTTGTTTTGAGCACTAGAGCCAAATTGTTCGCATGACATGCGCACAATATCTGTTTGGGGGTTGTAGCGGGTGCCAACCAACTTCAAGAAGGTTTGGCGCTGAGCTTCGGTGAGATACTTGGGTGTTAAATCCTTGGAAGCGAGCTCGACCACAACTTTGGGTTCGGCCGGGTGTTTTTCACCCATGTAGGTAGTGTATCGGAATCGCAAAATATGAGTTTCGGGAGGCAGGGTGAAGGGTTTTGCCAGCTCTGCGCGTCACGATTAGCAACTGGGCGTCGATGATGGGCTAGGAAAGACACATACTGCTGAGCATTGGCATATCCCATGCTGTGATACGTGCGTATTCTCTCATTTCGCGATGGAACTCCAGCTCGGCGTGGGCCATGGAGGTAATTTCGTCGTCGTTGATTTCCTCGTCGCCGTCCTCCACTTGGGCGAATTCGTCCTCTTCATCGTCACCCCAGAAACCTTTGGACGCTTTATCCCGAATGTCCACGAAGCGGATATCTTCTTGCTTGTCGATCTGATTGACCTGCCTATCGAGCTCGGCAAACACCTCCGCGCGCAAGTCCATGTCGTTGAATTCCTCTACCATGCGGCGGTTCTCGGCATCAAATGCCTCCCTCTCCTCGGGAGAAAGCATGTCGTACATGGATCGGTCTTCTTTACTGAGTAGGTCAGGAGAATATTCAGGCATTGACGGATAGTCCTGAGCGCGTGGCATCCTCGGCGGCGGAGGCATCACAGGGTCCTCTTGGACGAATCGAAAAGGGGAGACCGAGAAGGACCGGGTAGGTTGTAGGCTCAGCCCATAATGGGCCCAAAGCCTCGAAGAGCGAGCCAAAGACCTGGTTGTTGAGGCCATTGCGCCGAGGGTAGATGCCAGAAGGACTGGGTATCTTTTTTTCCAAACTCCAGCATCGCCGGGCTGGAAGACGCTAGCGTGCCACTAGACCGCGTTTGTCAATCACGTGATGGCGAACGCCCGCTGATTGGTCCCCCGCGATGCACCTGCCATTGATACTCTGAAGTTGATTGTCTTTCTCTTTTGATCCCACTTGCATTTTGTTTATCAAGCGCCCCTCCATATACGCTCTCGCCATCAAGCCGAGAGATGCGTCTTTGCTTTGTGACTGTGGGTGCGACTGCTGAGTTCAAGGAGCTCGTGGAGACAGTCTGCTCCGAGCCGTTCTTCAAAGCACTTGCGGCTAAAGGCTATACTCACCTCTTGGTTCAATATGGTTGGCATGCCAAGCACATCATTGATGATTTTCTGGTCGCGAATCCTGCTGGGAGCCCCGCCATGCATGGATTGCACTTCGGCCACTTTGACTTCTGTGACGACCCAAAATACTGGATAGGCCAGTGCATGCCGTTCGAACTGATCCACCGGGAATTGGGGCTTGTCATCTGCCACGGGGGTAAGGTGCCTGTTTTAATGTGATGAAAAGCATGCATTATTGACCAAGATATCGCAGGCACCGGGTCTGTCCTCGAAGCTCTGCGCGCGGCCCCGCGTCTGATCATTGTGCCAAACCCACATCTTGCCGATAACCACCAGCAAGAGATGGCAGATATGATGTCTCGCCTCCAGATGGCGGCGAGCTCGGACGTCAAGTGAGTCCCAGGCACATATTCGGTTCAGTAAGTCAGCGCAGGATCTCATCAAGACTCACAGGAACCTGATCGCCACCGTCGGCCAAGTCGAGCGGCGCGCAGGAGATTCGGATTTCCTGCGTTCCTTCGACTATCCCTTCCGCGAAGGAGCCATGGGGGAACAGCTCGGCACGCTCGACTAGGCTGTCGGTGCGTTGTTCGGAGTGGGACCCCTTTGAGGCTGTGTAAGATAGTAGGGCCCGTGAACGTGAAGCAAGGTGTATTTAGCAAGGCGTCTTGGAGTCGAGTCATTTTGAAGTTCTGAAATTTCCTCTTTTCCTAGGTAAATATTGAACGTGGAGAAGGACTGCTTGGTCCGTCGTTTTGGCCCAAATATCTTTGAACAATGTCTCTTTGGAATTTCTTCGTTCAACGACAGTATGATCTCTCTCTGACGTTGGAATCGTTCGACCCCATAAACAAGAATAAAATGGACGTCTTCGATCTCAAAAAGTCCCACTACAATACTAGTTAAACCTGAGGTATAGGAGGTACCTTACAACCAAGGACGACCGTGGTTCAGGCAGATAAACATCGGGGTTGTCTGCATAGCGCAATTTTAGGCTATTCATATTTAAATATAAGTTTAAAAGTCTTTCGCAGAAGAGGCATCATATATGTGATCCAATGGCGCTCTCAAAATTGGAGAAAAAAAAAAAACCACTGAATCCTATGTAGATCCTGGGTTGAACTACGAGAAGTGGAGGGCAGCGCCGCCCATCATTGGCCCAAGCTTCCTTGTTGACAACTCCCGACGCGAAAACCCTCCCTCCTGAATACTCGAGAAGTGCACGTCGTCGCCAACCATTGCCATCGTTCATGTAACTTGGCCTCACAGACTGCTCTCCGTTAGTCTGAGATCCAGCGTCGCCAATCCCAGGCCGTAGGGCCGTTTGTAACGCGCCTTCAAGACCGATCTTCTGCCCCCATTCACCACTCCCCGCAATGGCTGAAGCGACCCTCCACAACGTGCCAATTGTTATTGACAATGGAAGCGGCACCATCCGAGCTGGTTTTGCTGGAGAAGAAATCCCGTCATGTTATTTTCCTTCGTTCGTGGGCCGCCCCAAGCACCCCCGGGTCATGGCCGGTGGCTTAGAAGGCGACTCGTTCATCGGCCAACGCGCACAGGAACTGCGTGGGCTATTAAAAATTCGGTATCCTCTAGAGCACGGCATCGTCACAAATTGGGAGGATATGGAATCGATCTGGCACTACGTCTACGAGAATGAAGTCAAGGCCCTCCCCGAAGAGCACCCCGTCCTCCTCACCGAACCGCCGTTGAACCCCCGTGCCAACCGTGATATGGCCGCGCAACTCATGTTCGAGGCATTCAACGTCCCTGCACTGTACATGTCCATCCAAGCTGTTTTGTCTTTGTACGCGTCTGGTCGCACCACTGGTGTGGTGTTGGACTCGGGAGACGGGGTGTCTCACGCTGTGCCCGTTTTTGAGGGTTTCGCTATCCCAAACAGTATTCGCAGAATCGATGTCGCCGGTCGTGACGTCACAGAGCAGATGCAGCTACTGCTCCGAAAAGCAGGCCATGTCCTGCATACTAGCGCGGAGAAGGAAGTGGTGCGGATGATCAAGGAGAAGGTGTGCTATGTTTCACTGGACCCGAAGCGGGAAGAGAAGGAGTGGATGAACAGTTATCACAAGTCTGACGCGAAAGCGATGGACTACATTCTCCCTGATGGCCATAAGATTAAGGTTTGTCCAGTCATCGTTGTTTCCAAAGTACACCACTGACGCGATTTTGGTCTCTAGATCGGTCAAGAACGTTACCGTGCACCTGAAATCCTGTTCGACCCCGAGCTGATTGGTCTGGAGTACCCCGGTGTGCATCAAATCGTTCAGGATGCCATTACTCGCACCGATCTTGATCTCCGCAAATCACTATACCTGAACATCGTGCTCTCTGGTGGATCAACGCTGTGCAAGAACTTCCCGGATCGTCTGATGCGCGAAATCAAGCGACTTGCTGTGGAGGACATGAAGATCCGAATCTCTGCCCCTGCGGAGCGCAAATATACCACCTGGATTGGTGGTAGCATTCTGGCTGGTCTTAGCACATTCAGAAAGGTGAGGAGTGCCATAATATTCGGCGGAGCAGGAAAGACAATGCTAACGATCTTCTTCAGATGTGGGTGAGTGCGGACGAATGGCACGAGGACCCCGAGGTCATCTTCAAACGATTCGCATAGACGGATCCTGTTCAAGAGCCTCGGGCACCTTGTGCGTCGACGCGCCGATGCTTTCGAGATGAATTTGACTTAGCAGCGCCCAAATCATACACCACCGCGAGAAACAGCGTAGATACCCCCAATACCACCAATGTTCCGGGGAACTCTAAGCGAAGAAATGAAGGGACATCAACCACTTCAGTCCGTTACTCGAGTCGTATTTCTGCGCGACTTTTGATACCCCTTATCCACCATGTCATCTACCAGGTCCCTTGGGCCATTAGACTCCTTTGTCTAGGGCAATTTGTGCAAATATACTTTTCTTCTTATTTGATGGGAGTCTGTGGGGCAGGTTGTATACTGATAGTAATAAATATTTTTCTAGAGACTTGGAGTACTAGTAAACTGGCTGGGTTCCTACGGACAACTTTGACCAATGTGTAATGAACTCTGACAGGTTCAGACTTAGATTTACCTGGCGCCAGTATGAGTGCTCATTTATATGAACATTAATCTCGCTTTTCTATCCTGGCTCCCGTAAACGCATCCCATTCAACTTCTAACTCAATATCTATTGGGGAGACAGTAGCAACAACGACAACATGGAAGAAAACCGGGACATTTGAGTAAATGGTAGTGCGAGAGCCTCTATTGCGGAGGAGGCGACAGGTTCTGATGAAGCTCCTTACGCTGAACCGCGCCAAACCGAAGATTTCCCACGTCAAAGATCTAGCCCCGTCAGTCCCAGAATATAACATTCAGATTCAAGGTAAACTTACTGCGTAGATTGCCTTCAAGAAGGTATCGCCCAGGATATCCATTTGCATAGACCCGCGGCTCTGGATACCCCCGTAGACATATCCCTCCCTGGCTTCCGCAAAGCCCAGATCCTCCTTCTGGACAGTAAACTGCTTGTCCCCAACGGCAAAGGTCACAACAGGCAGCTTATGGGCCGGCGTGTTCGACGGGAAAATATACCCCTGGTTCTCCTCATCGTACGACGAGCCCTCGATAGCATCATAAATGGCCTTGCAAGTCTCATCGTCGACTAGCGCAAGCGTAGTCCCAGTATCGGCAATCGCCTTATTCCCAGACCGCGCAATGGACTTACCGTTCACCGTCGCAGACCCAGAATCAAACAGCCAGAATCCCTGGCTATTGTCGACGGGCGTGTATGCGATCTCCTGTCCGGACTCCTTCACCGTGTCTTGGTCAATGTAGCCAAAAGTATAGAACGACTCGCCCTTATCCGGCTCGTTGGCGTCCCGCCATGAGCCCAGCTTCGCTGTGAACAGCGCCGCCGACTTGGGGATGTCGGCTTGCGTAATCATGTTCTGCACAGGCGTGTTCACGGCCTGGGGCGTGACCGTGTTGATATTGCTGAATGCGAGCCCGAGCAGACCATCGCCTTTCCCAACGGCGAACTGCGTCGACAGGTGCTGCGCTAGCTCGACGGCCTGGTTCTTAACGATCACGCCGCCGATATCGACGACATCAGTGCCGACACTCCCAGACGCCGACGAGCCATCGCCGTACGAGATCTTCCAGCGCGACCCTTCCTTCGTCTTGAACGACGACGACTTCTCCGGGTCGAAGACGGTATGATGTTTATGAAGCGCCAGCGTTTCAAAGGGCAGTTGTGTAGACCAGACCTAGGGAAACCCCATGTTAGCACCGTCCACAACCTGCCAAGTACCCACGGCAGCACATACCCAAAGATCCGCTGAGCCTGTATCGAAATCCAACTGTAGGTTCTGAGCCGGTGATCCGATCCCCACCTGTGCGAGGTACATCGCATCGTTCTGGACATCGTCGGCATCGACTTCCCCGACATGGCCGTCGCTGCTCTTCTGCATCACCTGTCGCAGACGGGCCTTGCCCCCAACGGGCTTGTCTGTGTACTGGCGGCCCGTCTGGTGCAGGGTGGTGCCCAGAAAGTAGGGGCCGCCTAGCGTCGGGGTGAAGCGGTACTTGCGCATCGTGTGTAGATAAGACTTGGTGCCCGATTTGCGGTAGTCGGGGTTGGCGATCAGCTTGATTTTAGAGGCAGGCATGGTGGCTGTTTTGCGACAGAGCTTGGATTTGAGAAACTTGATGACCCCCATTGTTAGTATAGGGCCTGGTGGCGCTTCGGAATGTATTGTTTATGCAGGATGATATTACTATATTAACGGGTGAGAGAGGGGGACTTGAGCCTTCCAGTTGGCACCCAACCGACGTACCTTGGACTATTTAACCTTTCTTCAGAGGATGAGCTTATCGAAACATGAGAGCGTGATCGAGGTCATGTTGTCTACTTGTACGATCTAGATAACTGGGAAACTGGTTTGTTTCGTCATGCTGGGTGCGGAGTGGGGAATTTTAGCGTCCGGTGGCGCGTGAGGTCGTATCGGGGATCGGCATGATTTTAATCAGGCGGCAAAGCCACACGATCCAATTACTCTTTCTATCCTGAGCATACACGCGGGGGAAGGAAAAGGGAAAAAAAAAAGATAACAACACCATCTGCCAATCATCTTTCAAACGCCGGACCAGAGCACCCAGCGAAAGCAAAAAAGAATAAAATAAAAGCAAAACAATCATCAACAGCACTTCCAGAAATCATCTCTTGCGGCCTCTCTTGGGCCCATTTGAAACACTGGCTACGCGGGAAGTAGTAGCCGATGTAGTCTTGCTGCCGGCCTTGGTTTGCTTGCCCTTTGCCTAAGAACAGAAAATTAGTGGGGGGTTCTAGTAAACGCCGGCAGGCTGCACGTACCGTGGTGCCATTCTTGGCCTTCTTCTTTGCAGGAGCCGCCTCTTCATTCTCATCCTCCTCATCGCGGTCTCGGCCTCGGCCCTTGCCCTCGCCGTTGGTCTTGCTATCGGGCTCAAACTCCTTGGCAATGGTATTCAGCAGGGTAGTGCAGCGACGGCCGATTTCCACGGGGGTACGGCTCAGGAAGAACCAGTCAAATCGGAACAAGGGCGAGTCGCGAATCTCGTCACGGATCTTCTCGTACAGGCCATCGCCCTCAACGCCATACTTGTCCAGCATGACCAGGAGGAAACGGTCTTCCTCCTCGGTGTAAACCTTCTTGTTGGTCGTAGAGACAGTATAGTTGATCTTGAGCTGCTGCAGAGGCACGCGGTACATTTCCATCTTCTTGCGCAACATCTTCCGTTGGTGGTTCATCTTCTGCAGCTTCTCCTCGCCTTGCTGGATCACACGGAGATACTTCGGATAGTCTTGGATCTCCTTGTATCGCCGCCAGAACACCTCGGCGTACTCCGCGATTTCATGTGGCTCCTTGCTGTCAACCTCTGTGGCAATGCCAACGTAATCGGTCTTGCCAAACTTGGCGGTGCCGTTAATGAATTGTTGGAAATCGCGACGGTTCCAGTTGGAGAAGCCGTTCTCTGACATGCGGGCCTTCTCAGCCTGCTCCTCTTCGGTCAGAGGCGTGGAGTTGTCAATCTCCTGTTGCTCCAAATCGCGCTCCGCCTCACGCTCGCTGAGCTCTTCCTCTGGACCGTCGGGGAGAACAGCTTTGTAGCCGATCTCCTTGTGGAAAGCTGCCGTTTCCCTCTCCTGGAGGTCCTGAAGACCGGGCGGGAAGAACTGCCAATCATGCACCGTGATCTGCTTCGGAGCACGGGGGACCTTCGGCTTGGTGTCTGCGGTACGGCCGCCAGTCGCAAGAGCTTGCCGATAGTACTTGTCAATCGAGTAGAATTGCTCCTTGCGTTCACGCTTGGCTGGATTAATCCAATTGACGCCAATATCCTTCTTGCGCTCAGTAAAGTCCTTGCCGTTCCACTCGTAGGCACTTTCGGAGCTGAACTTCTGCAAATCATCGATACCAAGCTTTTCATACTTCTTGTTCAGCTCGGCGGTACGCTCTTCACCCTTTCGTAAGATGGAGTCGAAGTCGTCCTCGGTGATATCCTTGGTGCTGTCCTCTTTCCCAGGGACGCGCTCGGTCTCGAAGACTTTAGCGGCACCATGCTGAATCATACCGAGTAGTTCGTCTTTGGAAGCGGCAGCCTTCGCTTGTTGCTGAGCCCGTCCTTGTTGAATGACCAGTTGATCCAAACGCAACTTTTGAGCTGCGCGCTCGAGAACCTTCTCCTCGATCGCATTTTCGGTGACGAACCGGAAGACTTTAACCTGTTTGGTTTGGCCGATTCGGTGAGCTCGGTCCATAGCCTGCAGATCTGCCTGAGGGTTCCAGTCACTGTCAAAGAGCACCACGATATCAGCTGTAGTTAGGTTGATACCGAGACCACCAGCTCGCGTAGTGAGCAGGAAGATGAACTTGTCAGAATCAGGCTTGTTGTAATCATCAATCGCAGCGATACGGTCCTCGTGGGCGGTGGTACCGTCAATACGACAGTAATTGTAATCCCGGAATACACAGTAATCTTCAAGGATGTCCAACACACGGCTCATTTGGGAGAAGATAAGAACTCGGCTTCCATTGGCCTTCATGCGCTTGAGGAGCTTGTCCAAAATAGACATTTTCCCGGAGTTGTAGATAAGGTGCTCATCAGTCGTGTAGGGAGGGCCAGGCTCAGCCCCCTCGAAGAGGTAAGGGTGGTTGCAACACTTTCGCAGTTGCATCACAATGTTCAACAGACGAGTCTTGGACTCTCGCTTGCCTGATGCGCCGTTCACAGCGTCGATATCTTTTTCCAGAATTTTCTGGTACCATTTGACCTGCATATCGGACATGGGCACATACAAATTCATTTCCTGCTTGGGGAGCAGGCTCTTTTTCGACGTCACTCTTCACACGTCGAAGGAGAAAAGGACGAAGGACACGGTGCAGCTGCTGCACCACGGTATCTTGGTCCGATTCCTGGTTCGTGAACCATTGATCGAAAGCCTCCGAATCGCCAAAAACATCAGGGAGCAGGAAGTTGAGAAGGGCCCAGAGCTCATGGAGATTGTTTTGCAGAGGGGTACCGGTAATCAGCAAACGATTGCGCGAGTTGAAAAGACGAATGATCTGCGACAAAGACGACTCCTCGTTCTTAATACGGTGAGCCTCGTCGATAATGATGTATTCCCACGCAAACTTCTTCAAGTGCGATTTTTCTCGGAGGATCATCTCGTAGCTGGTAATGCAGACGTCGAAGCTTTCAGGAATCAGACGTTCGTTGATAAGGCGCTGTCGCTCTTCTTTGTCACCCTGAAGGACGAGAACATCCATTTCAGGAGTCCACTTGGCAAACTCGCGCTTCCAGTTGTCCAGAGTTGACTTGGGCACAGCAACCAAATGGGGACCAGTGATGTCGCAGACGTAGCGCAGGTAACCCAGGAAAGAAATAGTCTGCAGGGTCTTACCCAGACCCATCTCGTCGGCCAGGATACCGGAGATACCATTCTCGTGCAAAGAAACAAGCCAGTTAAGACCGGCGATCTGGTAATCACGGAGCTCACCCCGGATGAAACTGGGTGACTCTCGGAAAATAGTGGTGGTCTCGCCGCCGCTCTTCTCATCCTGCAGAAGCTCGGCGTCTTCCTCCTGCTCAGTTCGGCGTCGGCGTTCGCCACCTGCACCACCGGAGCGAGCCGAGCCCTTGCGAGCTTTGGCTTCGGATTCCGCATTCTGGCGGTCGATCTCTGCCATGATCTCCTTGATACGAGGGTTGGGGTTGGTCTCGATGAAATGACGGAAAAGGTCGGTCAGACCAAGAAGGTATCGGAAACGACGGATGGAATCATCTTCCTGTAAATGAAGAGACCTGCGATCAGCAATGCAACGAGAAATCCGTATAGCCCATCAGACGTACCTTGGACTCATCAAGCGTCTTCTGCTTTTTACCCAGGATGTTCTTCCTCAATTCTGTAGCCTCCGATTTGCGTTTGCGGCCATCAGCCTGCGTCACATCGCCTGCGATGCTGCTCGCGGTTGTATTGGGATTGGTATCCGATTCCTGGCGGGGTTAGAATGCTACTTGGTGACACGATTCCATCTCGACCGCCTCTGGGGGAAATGAGCATACTGTGTATTCAGGGGGTTTCTTGATTGCTCTGCCATGATAATTGATAAGTATTTGTTCGACTGGCATAATTGTCTTGGAGCCCCGCCCCATGCTGAGGATCATGGGACCAGAGGTAATTTGAACAAACTTACAGGCGCGTCAACTGGGACGGAGGGGATAACATCATCATTGACATCAGTCATCGAGGTGTCAGCCTGAGAAGGCGATTCGGGTGCCCGAGACATCGAGTGCGGTTTGGCGCGCAAAGCGCAAAGGTCCGATGTCGAAGCACAAGCACGTCTCGCGTTCCAGGAAAGCTTAGAAAATAATCAATATCCGCGAGGCCGTACTTGGGCTCTGTCGACCAGGAGACTTGAATTGTGAGTGGCACTGGTTCAACGTGGTGATACGAAAGACAGTGGAAAGGGGAAAAGTCTGAATGTGGGAAAGTTCAAGGGTTAGAAGGCGGACGCAGTGATCACAAGTGAAGGACAGTCGCGCAGAAGATTGATGGAGCAGGCGCGGCGGACCTGCACGCGCTGATTGGCTAGAGCAACCTCATTAACTGCGCTGAGTCATCACGGAAAAAGAGTTCTCCCACTTTCTACAAGTGGGGTCACGTTACCGGGTCAGTGCGAAAAAAAGCGCCTAACTGGACTAGCCGATCAGTGTGCATTGGTAGTGTACTTCCCCTCTACGAGTACCTTGGACCAAAACATACCAGGGGCCAACACTCCTTGGTCTGGCTTGGGTTTCTTCTTTTATTCATTGTCTCCCTGAATTGCTAGCTGCTTTCAGCCTATATATCCCGCTCTTTGGGCTTTGTTTGCCCCACGCAAGCCGCTTTGCAGGGTTCTGGTGGCAGAAAACCGGCCCGTTGTCCCGATATATCACACGCCTGTGACTCCGCCATCCCTCCCCTTCTTGAAGCCAACTCTACCGAAGACTTTATTTATATCACTACATCCACCATGGATTCCATGAGGTCTCTTAATACCTCTCTGCCGAGCTCCACCCCCGTCCCCAACCATCGGAGCAGCTCCTCCAGCAGTTCAAAGCCGCGGCTCTCTCAGTGACCAACCTTTACAAGAATGCGGTTTGCGAGCAAGCTCAGGCCAAGGTAGCTGGTTATCAGGAAGCCATAGAGGATCTTCTCCACTTCCTTGACCGTGAGAATCTGGGGTTAGGCGACGGAGAAGGGTGGCAAGTCCGGCAGTGGGCAACGGAGAGGTGTGATGGAACTGCTTCACAGAGCAGCGATGAGGAAGAGCGTGTGGACTCAGATAAGCGTGACCGCAGCTCAACACCAGTAGCTACTCGCAAAGAAGTTCCTACAGAGAATAGCTTCCGTCAACCTCAAACCTCCGCCCCTACCTCCGAACCAACCCCTGCTCTTCAGCCCGGTGCCGCCTCCGTTTCTCAAGCTCCGGACTCGATGGGAACTCCTACGGTATTTACATTCACCGCTGGGCCGACTTTTCCCCAGTATCAAGACCTAGATATGGATATTCAATCTTCGGATAACAATGCCACCCCACCTTCACAGGATGGGGCCCCTGTCAGCGTCTCTGTTTTACCTCGAAACCCACGAACTCAACATCGCCACAACAATATAGCCCGACCAAACCCTCGATCAACCCAGCGCGAGTCTCCTGCGACTATCGGCTCGAAACGCAAACATGCATTCCCTGATTTCTTCGACTTATCAGGTATGAACAATTCAAAGGACATGTTTGGAGGGAGGAAGCGGGGCCGGTTCACCTAAGTGATGTGCCAGGCTCTACGACATTGACGAAGTGACGAATACTCCCTTCCGATGGGCAGTGGCTAGTTTGGTAAATTTTGGGCGGCCTCTTCCTTTTCTTTTTCCTTCTATCATTGGATGCATCATGGGGAGGAGAATTCTTGCATATGGTTCTATTCCGTGATTTTGCGGTTCTTGGAATTTTCATAATTTTGTGTCTGTACTTTCCTTTTCTCCCCTATTGCTCTTTTATACCTCGTCATACAGCATATAGAGGCTTAGTGTGGAGGTGATACCCAGTACAAGAACTATCATTAATATGGTAGTGTTAACAATTCATATGTTATTTACAACAAGAGAATTAATTCTGTGATCAGACCAAGACTTGGCTTGTATGGTCCTTTATTGATCCCATCCTCGACGTGAATGGAGATACTCATCGTAGCCTTCCTATCATACATTGTAATAGTCCTCGAAACCCGATCAGTTGAAGAGGCGATATACACCCACGCCTACTAGACTTGCAGAAATAGTTGCAATGCCCAGTTTCCTTGAACCCATCTTATACTTTGTCGTGCTGTTCATGATCACTTGTTCTTGTTTTCGGAGGTTGCGCATGCCGGTGTAGTAGCTATAGACACCAAGGCCAACGAAAGCAGCAGAGCCTATCAGAGCGTAAGCATACTGTGGAAGTAAAAACGAAATCACTTCAAGGAACTGACCAGTCAACCTGCAAGCTGTGCAGTCATATTTGTCTTCCTCCAATGCTTGTTTGGCATCTTTTAGCCGAAGCTCACGAATCGGAGTATCAGGAGGTGCCATGACAATTCGGAGTCCACTCCCGCAAGCGACAAGAGAGCGAGCAAAGAAAATGATCAACCCAGATCAGCAATGTTTGTAAATCGCGGAGAGGCCGCGGCAGTGGCTTTCACGTTCGAGGCGGGAGTCGCTGGCAGAATGCAGCTTGATAGTGAGCTATACACCGTGGTGGTTTCTGCCTCCGACACCAATCACCATGAGCGGCGAGATCGACGCCGTCTACATATATGACGAGCAGAAGTATGAAGTTCCGTCTCCTTCATTGCTAGGTTCAAGCTAATGTCCTCCAGCTGCCCTCTCGTCGAGCATGTATACCGAGCCCGGCCGCCCTCCGCTGCCGCGATCCTGCCCCTCTATCTTGCTCACGCCGCTCCACGCCCTTCCTTGCTATACTTTCCAAGCACCAATCCGCCAGTGACTGTTTTCTCAATTGTTCAGTCTAATTTACTTTTCCTTGCGGTGACAGAGGTGGATACGGAGCCGTTGTTGGTGCTGGAGTTTCTGCATCGTGTGGTCGACGCACTCGAGGACTTCGTCGGGGCTCCGTTACTCTCTACCAAGATACAGGCCAACTATGCCGTCGTTGCGCAAATACTACATGAGATGTGTGATGGTGGGGTGGTATGCAACACAGAGCCGAATGCCTTGCAAGAGGTAGTCGAAGTACCGGGGTGGATGGGTAAACTTCTTAGCGGAATCAACGTACCAGGGTAAGCCTTCAACCTGAAGCCACTCCCAAAAAGTCTTCTTATACTGAAACTTGGGGCTAGAGCGTTGAGCCAGTCAACGAACCCTTTGAAACAGTCATTAGCTGCATCTAGTGCGGCCCAGGGCCCTGCAATTCCATGGCGCAGGCCTGGGGTACGGCATACCTCAAACGAGCTCTACGTTGACATCATTGAATCTCTTTCGGTGACAATGGCTCCTTCAGGAAGGCTACTTTCGGCCCTTGTTTCAGGAACTATCGCCTTGACGGCCAATATCTCCGGAGTACCGGATTTGCTTTTATCTTTAACAGCGCCAGGTGGCCAGCAAGCGATTGCTCAAAAGTTGGATCTTCCTGTTTTCCACCCCTGCGTTAGGCTATCTCGATGGCGTGAGAAGCCCGGAGAACTCAGCTTTGTGCCCCCAGATGGACAATTCATCTTGGCTGGTTACGAGGTTGACCTTCTTCCGATAGATCCTAACCTTGACGAGCCTCCTAGCCATATGGAGAAGCTTTTTCTCCCTGCCATAGTCGATATTCGCAAATCCTTGGGACCGAATGGATCGGATTTCGAAGTTCGGTTGACCTTGAATACGAACTTCCCCGGACATAATTCATCCCGTCCATCACATCCCCGGAATGGCTCGGGCACGTCAACCCCGTCCTTCCTTGGGGGAAGCAGCAATTCTACTGGACCCGTCCTAGAAGAAGTTGTAGTCACAGTCCCTGTTCCGAAGTCCGTTCGGCACATCACAGACATACAAGCCAGCCGCGGCGACGCCCAGTACTCCCATAGCACCGGGCTTCTTGAATGGAAGGTGCCAACAGGCAAAGACGCAGGAACCGTTACAGGAACCGCGACTCTCCGCTGCTCAGTGGCGGGCTACCCAACACAAGACGATGACTTCGAAAGCCTCGAGGACGCAGAAGAGGACGCTAACGCCAACTTGCTCCAAGGCTACTACGAAGCTCCCACCTCCTACCACGACCCCTCTGCCCCCAGCACGCGAAAGATACGAGACCCCAACAAGAAGAAGAAAAAGAAGAAGAAGTCAACCAAGAAGTCCTCTCGCACTGCTGCCCTGCTCGACGAGACAGCCGATGGCGGCTCAGCAGAGGGGCCCTCAGGAGACTCAAAAGCATCTGCCACTCCTTCCCCTGCCCATTCGAAACCTCATACCCCGACTCCCCCCTCGCAACCTCAGACCGTCTCCCAGGACCCATCCCCGCTGCCCACTTTCTTTGCCTCCTCATCCGCGTCTCGCCCTGTGCCTCGCAAGAGCAAGGCCCAGCTCAATGCTAGTCTGATGCCGAATTCGGCATCAGTCTCCTTTTCTGTGCGCGGGTGGCTACCATCTGGTATTAAGGTAGATAGCCTTAATATCGACCAGCGCCGTAGTCGTGGTCTCGGCGACGGTGTCAAGCCTTACAAGGGCGTGAAGTATCTGTGCGTTAGCAGGCGTGGCGTAGAGCGACGCTGCTGATCAAAATCTCCCGACACATTCCATGTAATTTACGAAGCACGAAGCGTTTTGAATCTTGATCGCTATCTTCTTTGCTTAAAGGAGATACAACTCCTGCAATAGCTGAGAATCAAATCAACTGGAACGACCTTAAGGAGCGGGATGCTAAGGCCATACACAATAAAGATGTGAAGGTCGAGTAATTGTAGGAGAGAAGTCAGAGAAGCAGCAAAGATTTTTTGCTAGTATCTGGAGGGAAAACCGTCAAAATTGAACCTGGTGGATTTTATGGCAGACGGGTGTCATTTCTTAGAACCTGGTGTGGAAGCTGTTCTAGTATCTAGGAGGGCAAAGGTAGAAAAAGCCCAAGCCTACTGCCTAAAACGAAGTGTAGGGAGCCAACCCCTAACTCCCAGTTATCTGCGAGAAACTAGACTAAATAAAGATGCTTTTGTTCATGATCGTACGAGATGGCATAAGAATATCTATCATTGTCTCTAAATGCCTTCTGCCTCATCAAGTCTTACAATTCGTGCCGTTGCCTGGTAGTTGCTCGCACATTACCATTAATGCTACTGCTAATACGCTCGAGGCCTGGTCTCCACTGTAGAAGCTCAAGCTTCCCGAGTGGTTTAAGTTTGGCATTTATGAAGATCGACAAAAGAAATCCCAATCTAAATTCTGCTAAAGCTATCTTAAATTACAAACCGAAGCCGCCGCCCCACAGCAATTTGATGATTCACAGCTTCGAAGTGCGGCGCTCAAGCACCTGGAGCACGAAGTAGGCAACTACAAAAACGTTAGAAGTTGTTTTCAACCAGATCAGTGCAACGATGAATTCATTAAGATTAAGCATTTAAAGCGTACTGGATTTCCTGGATGTCCGACTTGGGGAAAAGGGAGCGACAGGAGCAAACCATAAAGGAACCGCAAAGGACTCAAAGGGATAACCCGAGCAGGTATATACATCGTGAGAGGGGGGTATCAAGGTGGGGTATATAACGATTTGAGGATTATTTTTCTTGGGGCTGGGGAAGGAAGACAGTAGAGAAAATGGAGAAGATATCCGAAAGACATGTTGGGGGAATAGCGAGATAAATCCACAATATATACGCAAATAAACAAACTCCTACTTACTAGCAGCAACAACGGCGGCCCGGCCAGCCCCTGACTTCGCGCTACCGCCGCCGAGGGTCAGGATGTAGCGCAGCCAGCCGAAGGATAGCTTGCGGCCGCTGCGGTCGAAGTCCGGTACCAGGGTACTGGCAGCCTTGAATTTGCTCAGCTTGCCGGCGTAAGGCGGGTAGCGGATGGCAAGGATGCTCTCCAGCCAGCCAGGGCTGGTGGTGACGGGGCGGCGGTGAACCCAGACGTCGAAGCTCGCACGGCCACGGTAGGCGCCGTTCCCGCTCTCGCCAACACCACCGAAGGGTAGGGTGGGGATGTGCAGAGCGGCGTCGTTGACAGAGACACCGCCGGAGCGGGTAGAATTCAGGACTGATTTTTAGTTAGAACAAGAAATTTCATACCGTAGATTGGGTTGGGGCTTATGCTCACTCTTTTTGACCTCGGCCTTCGAGCCGAAGGGGTACAGGCCGAGGGGGGTGTCCATGACGCCGTTGGCAAGCTTGATAGCCTCATCGAGGTCCTCGACTGGAAGGATGGGAATCAAGGGTCCGAAACTCTCCTGTGTTATCAGAGAGTCGTCAATGGAGCTCACCAGTACCACAGTAGGCTCAATGAAAAGCTCCTTCTCGTTCAGGGTACCGCCCATGACAATCTTGCCCTGGGTGTTGTCCAGCATGGACTTCAGGCGCTGGAAGTGGTTCTGGTTGATAATACGAGAGTAATCGGGCGAGTCCTTGGCGCCATTGGGATAGAACTCCTTATACGCCTTCTTGAACTCCTCGACGACCTGCGACACGAGACTCTTGTCGACAAGCAAGTAGTTCTGTGACGTGCAGACCTGGCCTGCGTTCAGAAGCTTACCCCACAGCATACGACGAGCGACGAGGCGCGGATTGGCATTCTTGGTGACGATGGCGGGGTTGATGCCGCCCAATTCCAAAACAACCGGGGTCAGGTTAGGGGCAGCGGCCTTGGCGATGATACGGCCGACGTTGGCACCACCGGTGTAGAAGATCTTGTCCCAGCGCTCGGAAAGCAGGGCCTGAGTCTCGGGGACCCCACCCTGAACAACGGTATAGGCAGAGGGGTCCAGGGAGGCTTCGACGATCTTCTGCATGACGGCGGCGCTGCGGGGGGCGCCTTCGCTGGGCTTAATCACGACTGTGTTACCGGCGGCGATGGCACCGATGACGGGACCCATGGTCAGCTGGAAGGGGAAGTTGAAGGCACTATACAAAAAGGGAAACAATCGTCAGTTTGATGCCTTTTCTTCGATCCGATGGCGCCCATCTGTTAAGGAAACGTTACCCAATCACCAAGACAGTGCCCAGGGGATCCTTCCTGATCTTAGGGTTCATGAATTTGAACGTTAGGTCGATATCCGGAGCCTTCTCATCTTTGACCCATTTGTGCAGGTTGCGAGTGGTGAAGACGATGTCGTTGAGCAACCAGCCGCTCTCGGCGACCTCAGTCTCAAAACGCGGCTTGTTCAAGTCCTGAGCTAAAGCCTCGGCAATCTCCTCCTCGTGGTCCTTGATGCTGTGGGATGAAGTCAGCGGGGATACCTTGAGGGTGTTTCTAGGTGCTTCACTCACGCCCAGTAGAGCTTCCGCAGCTGAACGAGGCGGAACTCCACATCGCGGGTCTTGTTCTCCAGGAAGGCCTTCCGGGCGGCGGAGACGCGCGCGGGAATCTCCTCGAGCGCGGTATATTGTAATTCAGGAAGTGTGACACCCATGTTGAGTATATACAAAAGAGGTACAGATGGGAAGAGCAGTCCTTCAAAAGAAAAAGAATGCTTTACGTCACCAAATACGGGGCCTCGGCCGCTACTTGTAGGAGCCGTAGACTTCGCACCTCCGCATCCACATGCGCGTGCGCTCGGCTGGATAGTCTGTCCGTGTGTCGATCTTCACCCCCTTTTGGGAACTAAAAATCGGCCTGAACTCGAACCCCCGCCCTGTATCCCAAAGCTTATTCCAGCCCCCTGGTCGATTTCATGAAATCTCTATGCCTCTCCCACTCTATGCTAGGATTCCAGGTCTGATCTGGCCCTCCGAAGTTGATCACATCAGCAAAATCCAGATGTCAGCACGCAAATCCCGAATGAGCTCCACCAATGCTTTGGCCGCGGCTTCACACTTCGGCCCCGCCGTCCCTAGCGTGGCCCCTTAAAAGTACCAAGATACGTTTTTTTAAGATTACCAGCGGCGCAAAAGTTCCTATTCCGGAAACAGCACGGTCGCTTAACGTTCGTTCTCGAACATCCACGGCTGTGATTTTTGAATGCTAAGACAGGATATACAGGAAAACGGTAGACAACGCCAACAGAACCACCACTATACAAGGAGCTATGTGAAAAGGGGGGTCAAAGGAGATCTATCAGTTTTTGAACTGGTCCTCCGTAACACCCTTGCCCATAGCGGCTGTGCTGCTCACGCCACCCGAGACCATCTTCAGGAGGTTATCAACATAGTTAGCACCGCTCCACTTCTGGTGGGTAACAACGTCCACACCCAGCTCCATCTCGGGCTCCTGGACCAGCTCGCCGTACGCGCGCATGCCATTCTTGGCGTAGGCCTGAGAGAACTGGTGCGAGATCAGCGCGGTGGTGTGCAGACCGGCGAGGGTAATGAACTGCCAGGTGTACCCGAGTTCGCCCAGACGCTTGATGTAGGTCTCCTGCTCGTCGCGGGGCATGGCCTTCTTCCAGTTGAACGAGGGCGACAGGTTGTATGCAAGTCTACGGGGTGTTAGTCAATCGGGTCAACCCAAAGTACTTTAACTTCTAGGCGGGGTGGGGAAACATACTTCTGCTCGGGCCACACAGCGTGCACGCCGTCGGCAAATTCCTTGGCCTGGTTGTAGTCGGGCAGCTTGCTCTCCATCCAGATCATATCGGCGAATGGCGCATAGGCGACCGCACGGTTGATAGCGGTCTGAGTACCGCCACGAATGCGGTAGTAGCCCTCGCGGGTACGGGGAGCATCCCAGTCGAAGTGAGACGTCGACGCCGGTGATGCCCTTGGCGATGGCGCGAGCTTCGGAGTTGCTCTTGCCCTTGGCGGCCTTGAGGTACTCCTCGATCAGGCCCTTCTTGTTGCCGGGGACGCTGGCATTGATGATGTCGACGACGGCCTCGTCGAAGAGCTTGAGACCAGCCTGGGCGGTCCATTGGTCCTCAATGGCTTGCAGAGCCTCGCCGGTCTTGCCGGCCTGTTCGGCAGCGACCATCAGGTCATTGAGAGGCTGGAGGTTGGGGTTGGTGGCGCCCACAATGAAGGCGTGGTCGCGATGGTCAATGGTGGATGTGATGAGAGTAGCGGCCTCGGAGTCGGTACGGGCAATCGCCAAGAGGTCGGAGCCTTCCAAGAGGGTTAGAGTTTGACGTTTCTATTCATTCAATGTGCGAGTTTTGTGGACTTACCCATGATATCAGCCTGGGCACGAATGGCAACCAGACGGTTGATGTGCTCGCTGATTGGGACCAGCACCTTTCCAGCCATGTGGCCACACTTCTTGGTACCAGGAGCCTGATCCTCAATGTGGATACCGGCGGCACCACGCTCAATGAAGAGCTTGGTGAGCTTCATGATAGCCGTCAAACCACCATGGCCGGTGTCAGCATCCGCAATGATGGGTCGCAGGTAGTCGACATTCGCAACCTTGTCACGCTGCTCCTTGGGGGTGGTGATACGCTCCTCACGCTGTTTTCGGTCATGGAAGAGCTGTGCCATGAACAATTGGTTGACCTTGCGGGGGACAGTGTCCTACAATACTCTGTAAGCTTAGATTCCGGATTTTCTTCGCGTCCTTGAAGCGTACCATGGGATAATCTGCAAGATCGGGGGAGGGCTCGTCGGTTGAAGAGGCGGTTGATGAGCTTTGCCATCCGGAAACGTAGATTGTGTCGAGGAACTTGGCCATCTGGGTGATCATCGTTGGCTCAAGACAACCGTAGGTGAAGCTGGCTTGCTTGTTCTACAGGGAGGAGCTGCGTTAGCCATATTGATCCGCTGGACTGTATCGTATGTGGTGCGTATGCAATTTACCTTCCAGTTCTCCTCCACAATACCCCAAAGCTTCTTTGCCTGTACAGACGAGGGGTATTCAATCTTCAGGTTACCGCGCTTGGCCACGATCTGCTCGGCCGTGAACGGACGCTTGGTGAAGCGCCAGCGCGAGTCCTTCCACCAGTCCTTGACAGCCTGAACCTCCGCCGCATACTGGCGGTCTTCGTCTTCGTGGAGACCCATAGTGACTTTTAGAGTGGCAATAAATGCAATAAGCAGATGAGTATATATTCCACGGGATGTATAGGTCTCAAATAATAGATAAGAGGCAGAATCACGTCAAGAGGTGGGGAGGGTAAGAAGCTCAAGAAAGTCCAAAGGAAATTCGAGCTAGATAAATGCCTTGATCACAAGCCAGGGAGCCTGGGGATACTTATCCGGTCCCGAATGCGTCACGACAGATCCAATGGTCGGTAAACGCTCGGTTCACCGGGAGTAAACTACAACCCCAGCCGGGGCCAGCCTAGGCAGGCGTCCAATTACAGTAATTCTCGGTCATGGTCCATAGATGACGCTCCGAAATACGGCCTGCGCGGTTGACTGCGGTTCGGGAGAGGGGATCCAACCTTGCAGAAGATCCTCGGTCTAATGGAGGGTCTGTGTATTTGATTTGTCTTCTCGAGACATCTCCGCCAGATCTACGGATTGGTAGTTTACGGTCTCTGGATATCTACATTATAAATTGCACCGTTGAATCTTCGCCTCTTCATCTTCAAGCATCTCTTCAACAGAGTCGTGAATACTGTAGTTTGGGGCAGCTCCCGGACGTCCATGACGTCGTCAGGCGTGTTTTCGGATACGTGACAATTACAGGGTACTTTCACGTGCACGGAAGAATAGTTTCAGCTCAAAGCCCTAAAGGACTGTGTAAGTCTTGGACATAGCCCAAGCATGGAAACTGCAGATGAAGTTACATTACCGTCATCGGGCCTCTGTTCATCAATTTTGCCTCTTTGCCTCTTTGCCTCTTTGAACTTTGATGGTCTGGAAGCTGAAGCGATTGGGTGTTCGCGAATTATGAGTCATCCATACCGTTTTGTCATGCCCCGGTATTCAGTGCATCTCCACCGCATCTTGCGCTGAGGATGAGTAAAAGATACAGCTTGCACCTTGTCACCCGCGACCCATGGCGTCTGAAGAATCCATAATTGCTGAATGGTACCCATGAAACTGCCCTTCTCCTAGAGGCTTTACCCCAGCTCCGTCCAAATCATCTCAACAGCCAAGGCCTCGCCGTAATGCTCGCTGCGTCTGGACCGTTGACCATCTAACACGAATACAGGTCGGAACGTCTGACTGTATTGAGGATGGCCAAGTAAGACCCGTCCATGCCAGGCCAAGATCCACCCGTGGGCGATCAAAATGACTCAAGCTAGACCCAATCCGTTGGACCTCGGCTCAACATTGCTCGTCTACTACCCCCAGTCACTACTGGTGAGCTGTCTTCCAAGTGTCGCTAATCAAGTTGAGAAGTGTAATTTGGTAATTTTGAATTACAATGCCAATGCTTGGTCTTCTCGGCTGTAATTCTGGTTTCTGGACCCACCAAGCTGTGTTTTAGAGTTCTCCAAGAGTATCACTGGCAGCTGCACTGGTAGCCACTGAGCATACAAACGTATATAAAAACCAGCCTTCACATGAAGCTTTTGCTTACCAGTACTGTCCATTCAAGAACAATTGACTCGTACCTGAAGCTCACAAGAACGACCTCGGGGAAACCAGGGACATGCATTGCGCCACCCCCGGGCGATGGTCGACGATCGGGGCATATCAAACTGCGGAGAGACTGAGAATGGCGTCTTCCGCAGCTCGAAATCCCTGGCAATCTCTCGGAAGTTGACCGGATTACGATGAAAATACTGAAATGGTCCGGATTATTTTCGCGAGGTCCTCGGAGTGTTATACCAAAAACCTCGAAAGTGACGAATGAGGAAGTGCATTATCACGAGGGCCGGAAAAATATCCGGACTCCTCACTCGGCACCTATGACTCGATAGCAAAAGGGGAAAATACTGGAATTCATGCGTCGTTTTTCATCTAACTCGTCTCTCGCTTCTGAAACTAGAATCATGCTGCCACAAACATCTTCAACAATTCGGAAAATGAATAAACCCGCCTGCAGACTCAAATCTTCGGAGCGTCAACTGTCACTTTTCGTTGTTTTCCTTCTCATATAATAATTGTTTTCCCCCCTCATATAATGAAAGAGAAAAAAAATATCCACATCTCTGATGACCCTCATACATGTTTCTAAGATGCGCCAGATCTCCCAAGCAGTCTCAGAAGACACGCACATAAGCGATTCATGCTTCAATGCAACCTCAATCAGAACGCAGCCTCCGATGCCTCCTGCGCACTAACCGCCTTCTTGTACGTTTCATATGGGGTAATGGTTCCCAAAGCGCGGCGCATATGCGCGTTCAGGATCTCCAGTCCATAAACGTAACTGGCGTTGACCCACCCGAATCTGCGAATGTTAGCACCATAATCACCCCATGGTCTCGGCAAGCCGAGTATCGGGAAGTAGAATGGAGAACTCACCCTTCACGTGGCGCGCCCTTGAAATTAGTGCCCTGATTACCGTACTCCGCATCAACGCGGTGCGGGTCAATCGGCCGTGTCACATCGTACTTCTCAACAACAATGCCGTTGAAATCGACAAACGCCTTCGTAATCATGTACAGCCACTTGTACGCCAGCCGCTCGGCCTCTTCCTGGTATCCGTACCGCAGGAAGGCCGTCCAGGCAAGCATTTGCTGTGGCGCCCATCCGTATGGGTAATCCCATTGTCGGTTGGGACGCTCCAAGCCTACCGGTCCACGAGACTCCTCTGTTCCGGAGACAAGACCGCCGAATGCCTCAAAGCGAGGCAGTGCTTTCTCTGTCATCATGGCTGCTTGCTGGGGGGACGCAAGGCCCGCCCACATAGCCCAGAAGGTGGTTGCGGTCTCGTAGGAAGTGCGCTCCTTCTTGGCGGTGTCGTAGTCGAAGAACATGCCTCGCTCAGCATCCCAGCAGCACTGGTCCATACGATGCTTTCGCTTGCGGGCACGGCGATCCCAGGCTGCAGAGGATTCGAACTCGATGTCCTTGGTCAGCGGGGTGCGGAACTCGACGGGGATGTTCAGCTTGTCTTTGAAGTGGATGCGGATGATGCGCGCGATGTCCACTTCGTATTTGTACAGGAGAGAGTTCAGGTCGACCGTTGCGAGGTTGCCACACACGCGCTCCAGTCGGTAGCTAGTGTCGTGGCCGGATTCGCGCACGGCACGGTCATGCATGAAGTACTCGTCCAATTCTGGCTCCGCCACCTTACGAGTGTTGTATGCCTCGACAAACTCTTTGAAGGTCATGCCATGCTTGTCCGCGTAGGGCTGGAGGATGTGCAGGAAGTGGCTCGGTTCAGTCTCAGGTGGAACACCCCAACCCTCAGGGCGGTACCTAGAGAGCCCAGTGACAGGGTCCAGTCGCGGCTCACAGGCCCAGACGCTATAATACTCCTTGATAGCGGCAAGAACGGCATTCCTCAAGAACTCCAATGCGTCTGGCTCTGTCTTGATACGCTCATATACACGCAGTGCCATGTCTGTGAGGAACGGAGGCTGAGAGCGGGTGAGGTAGTAACTTCGGTTGGCATTAAGGATCTTGCCGTAGTGCTTGATTTCGAAGCAGAAGTTGATCACCATGCCCTTGGCCAAGTCCACCCGGTCGCTGACAATGAGGCCCAGTGACTCCATGTAACTGTCCCACCCATAGAGTTCGTTGAAACGGCCTCCCGGGACGACAAATGGAACACCCTCTAGCTCTTCCTCTTGAGTCTTATCGTTCAACTTGGTCTGCATGGCCAACGCTAGCAAGCCAGGCTTATCGACAAGGCTCATGACATAGTCTGGTGTGATATTAGCGTCCAGCATTATCACGTCCAATCGTAGCTCTGGGTTGTTCTTCGCAATATTGCTGTAGTATTCGAATTGCTGCGGAGCACCCGGGGGGACATAAATTCTGGGTCGAGGATCCGCAGTCCAGTCCTTTGGATCTTTACCAGCAACCTCGATGTTCGAGCCATCGATACGCCTGGTCAGCGCCTTCCAGAACGAATGCTTAATCAGCCTGGATAAGCGGGAGACAGGGTTCTCGTTGAGACGAGCCTCGTCAAGAATGATAGTCTTTCGACCATAATCTTTCGCAATAGTCAGCTCTTGTAGTAGATTCGAAAGCATGTATGTGCCGCGGACATCTACGCGGTTGATTCCAGATGATCCCGCAGTGCCGACGGAGATTGTCTAAATCCGGTTAGCTGGGCGCCTACGGTTTGTGTCATATTCGTCGCATACCTTAGGACCAATGTCTTCAATGGTGATCTGCATATTGCTGTCGGTATCTTCTTGCTTCAGCAGAGCGTCCAGGGTCGGATCGACCTCGATGCGGAACTTTCGGGGCTGGCCACTTGGTTCATCTTGATGCTGTTAGCAATTTGCTACATTTCGACAGGAACTGTAAAGGTACCCTACCGTGACTCCCTCGCCGTGACGGCGTGGATCCTAGATAACCTTGAATATCTTCGCGTGAAAAGTCCTGGAGAGTCTGTGTCCGGTGTTAGCTATACCCCGCGGGGATCCTCGTCCGAGCGCGGTGGTAACTTACCGCCGAAAATGCACGTCGTCGATCGCGAAGTCGAGCGAGAGAATCTCCGTCGCCATAGTAGACATCTGCGTTAGAGTATGGGTCCACGATGGGGATAGATGGGGCACGGTGCCCGTTTCTTTCGGTCATGGTAGTGTTGTGGAGGGGAAAACAGAGGGATCGATGCAGTCTCCGGTTGTGCGTGACGCAAGGCGGCTATTCCCACACCGACTCTTCCTTAGAGTCTCCTTTTTTTTCTTCTATTGGTTTCTCTGTTTCTCACGGGGTGTCTGACAGGAATCGTTGTTCGCGGCAAGCGCGGTAGTGACCTCAAGCCCCTAGGGTACCTAGAGGGGGGAGAGCGGTAGCTGCGCTAATTCAGCTATAGGGATCGAAGGAGAGGGTGGCAGGGGCGACCTGGTGTTCGGGATAAGACAGTCTGGGCTGCAATCGATGCAGTTTTCGTCTGAATGAAGTGAAACGGCCGTTGAGAATTGTATATGCGGTGCGAAGTGGGATGTCCGGACGATCTTCGAGATATGACGGCATAGAGCGATGATGTTACCGATCCACACTTGCCCAGTCTTGCCTCCGATAAGCGAAGATAACGTCGTCCTGGCCACCGAATGCCCGGTTTGAAAGGCAATTTGGTCAGAGTTATTGTGATTGGATTTTTTTTGCTTTTGCTAATGGAGGCTTGAGCTAAGTGTCTGCATGAGACTGGACGAATAACGTGCAGACACCTCAATGGACGGCTAGTATTGCCTGGATCAATTACTAGTAGCCGGCGAGGGGCTCCGCAGAACACTCCAGAACACTCCGACTTTTGACCATCGTGGAGGCCCTTGACAGGATCAAGACTGGTTCATCGAAGAAAAGACCTTTGACTTCTAATGTTAGTAGCCATCCAGAAATAGAATACATGTTGGCTTTGCGTTTTACATATTGTCCCACCCTTGTGATCCAAATAGAGGCTTACCCTTTACTAAACACAGCTAAGCTTGTACGACGCGGGCGTTAGTCGCAACCACCAGCATTTGAGCTTCTCAGACTAGATCCCCTCTTGGCAGGTATCAAACCGGCACTTCATTAATATCGTGCCGAACCAAAAAAAAATCTAGGGAATGGTTGCGTGGCTGTTTAGAAGTAAGCGGCATTGCGATTGGCAGACTTATTGCTCATGTCAATACTAGTAGATCAAAAGGACTACTTGGAACTATGAGTAGCCTTTCCTCGAACTTCGGATGGAATCCCACATGTAACGGTAAACAGAACTAGTTATTATTGAGTTCTTTATACAAGTATATGCACGGTCGTCGCGCTTATCTCAGATCTTTGCTGAGACGACGCTGCCGCCGTCCAGCGCGATGGTGGCACCATTCACGTAAGCACCTGCCCGACTACTCAGGAACAGGCATGCGCCAGCAACGTCCTGTGGGGTTCCAATGCGTCCCAGTGGCACTCCGGCCTTGATCGCTTCGCCAAACGATTTCAAAGTAGCCGCCATCATCTTACTCTCAAAGGGGCCGCACGCCAAGGTGTTGGAACTATCGGTCAAATAAGCGATTAGTCTAATTAGCTCAGGTTACACAGAGGAATTCTGCCTGCCGTGAAGAGCGCTATCGACGGAGAATTAGGTGAAGCTTACGTGATATTTCGCTTGCCCAGATGATTGGCCAGGACGCGGCTGAGGTGATGCAAGCCGGCCTTACTGGAGCTATAGGCGAACGTCTCCAGCGAGGGCACCCGGAGGCCGTCGATACTTCCAATATTGATAATTCGGGCTGGGTCACTGCTGCTGGATGCTTTCTCGAGCAACGGAGTCACAAGCTGGGTGAGGTCGAAGACTCGGTGGAGGTTAAGGGTAAGGACGCGAGTGAATGCGGCGGTAGGATACTCGTCGTAGGGCGCGCCCCAGTTGGAGCCGGAGTTGTTGACCAGAACATGAAGCTCTAGAAAAAGATTAACTTATTAGCGGAGCCAGCTTTTAACGCAATGTAGCATAGGTGTCACTAACTGCTTTCCCGCTTGCCCAGTTCCTCGGCCAGCTTCTTCACATCATCGTACTTGTAGAAATCGGCCGGGATGGCGTGCGCCTTTCCCTTTCCGAGAGCGTTGAGCTCAGTAACAGCCTGCTCACAGGCCTTTGCATCGCGCGAGGAGATATAAACAGTAGCACCATTGGTGACATATCCCTCGGAGATCATTCGACCGATGCCTTTGGCCCCGCCGGTGACCAGCACCACTTTGCCCTGGAAGCGAAGTATAAGCGCACGATCACGTTGATAGGGATTAGCAGGGGAAACCCACTTTGACGTTGAACAAACTCTCTGAATCCATGATTGCGAGCGATGATGGGAATCTTGCAAGAGGGCGAAACCCGTCAAGGTTCCAGTACTTTAAATGAGACCCAGCTGCTTCCCATACCCGGGCTCCCGAGCCGCTGTTAAGCCGAGGCTCACCAAATCCACTCGGCGCCGCATCATATATCTTCCGGGGAGTACCTGCACCATGTCTTTTTCGGACGCGATCTAGGGCACCGCAGTCAGGGTTTTGCGGGGCGGCTTTGGCGTCCCGCCCCAGCTCTACGTATAACAGTCTTCAGGCTCGGCATCTACCTCGTTTGTTCTTCGACACGGATTCGGATAACGGACGCAATGGAGGACCTTCTGGCCAAGCACCGCAAGGAGCAAAAGGACCTCCAAGGACGTATTACCCAGAAGAAGAAGTCCGCCACAAAGAAGACCCGCAAGGGTGTTAATGACGAATGCGAGCGCATGCAACAAGAACTCTCTGAACGACACCAGGCCGAGATTGCGGAGTTGACTGGCGAACCCACGGCGCCCGTGGATGGCTTGGAAAACCTCACCGTTGACGACGAACCAACCTCCACTAGCGATCCTGTTGAACTTGCCCCTCGAGATGCAGAACCAGCGCCGGCCGCTACCCCCGAAAACACCTCCAGCCGGGTGAAGAAGCCCAACCGCCAAAAAGCACGTTTAGCCCGGCGCGCGGCCGAGCAAGCCGCTGCATCTGCTGCCGCCGCGGAAGAGGCAGCCAATCAGAAAAACTATAGAGGCGATGAGAAGGAGATCATGGAAGCGGTGTTTAAGAAGCTGGGGTTGAAAGAGATCGAAGTTAATCCAGACGGACACTGTCTCTACTCGTCGATCGCAAAACAGCTGGACGACTCCGGAGTCGGGTTACGACCCGATCCAAGTCGAATTGTTCTACAACCCACGACCCAATCTCGGATTGACACTGTGGCTTCCCCTCAGCATGATGGCTATCGTGCCGTCCGGGCGGTGACGGCAGATTTCATTTCACAAAATAAGGATGACTTTGAAGCTTTCATGGAAGAACCTTTGGAAGAATATACCCGGAAAATTAGACTCACGGCTGAATGGGGTGGTCAACTAGAATTACAGGCTATTGCCCGAGCATACGGCATTGAGATTAATGTTGTTCAGAGTGACGGCCGGATGGAGAAGATCGAAGCCGGAGATATGGATAGCTTTGATGAGGAGGAGAAGCGCAAGCGGGTCGTCTGGTTGGCATATTACCGCCACTCCTACGGCCTGGGTGAGCATTACAATGCCCTCTCCAAGATACAATAAGACATAGATGAGACCAACTCTACGAATCACAACTACGTAAACGCCGGCTCGAAGTTTGCATACGCTGCGGCTGCCGTCAAAGAAGACATCGACTCATATATCCTATTCCGTTATTCTTTTTTTCGTTTAAGCGGCCCAAAGAACTGGCGATACGCTTAGTTGCGTCGACGCCAGATAGAAACTCTATCATGGATCACTCCATCTTTACCCTGGCCCTTTTCATGAGTTCGCTCAGGCTGCCAGAAAGCCACTCTTTCGAGGCCGGCTTTGCTTGGCGGCTGCAAAGGATTCTCCTTGACAAGGCCTTGGTCATTGTAATGCACTTCTTCTCCGGGATGGCTTAAATGCTCCATATACGCCTCGGAGGGCGAGGCCCATGGGGGTCCTGCCTCTGATGGGCTTTTGTGCCGAGGAAACTCGAGACAAATCAAATTGCCAGACGGAGATGGAGCGAGAAGTTGAGTCTGACGGAGAGCCCATCGGGGACGCATTGAGGGGCTCAAGGCGCAAAAGAACTGAGAAGCAGTTAGAGTCGTCGATTTTCATTGCATTGAGAGAATATAGCTGATCTCAGAGATCGTAGTATTGCAGCACAAAGACCTCACTTACCGTATAGTCGTATACCACATCAAAGTGAGAAACACCAATTTTTTTTCAACCAAGCATCATCGAAGAAATCACCCTGTACCCAGTTGACCTTGCCTGGGCCAACGGCTTGGTCACGGGCACGGTACCAGCTATGGTTCTCTTTCTCCTCCTTTTTGCATGCCTCGATCGCATCTGGGCTGTACTCGAGGCCATATGCGTCAAACCCAAAGCTCGCCAGGAGCAGCACATCAACTCCTCGTCCGCAACCTGGAACTAGAGCTTTACGTCGGTATGGCTGGCCCTGTGCATCGTGGCCAATGGCCTCTCCGATCGTGGCTTTGTGATTCACGAGCGCGTCTTCTAGTGCTGGATTGGGGAACCCTTCGTCCCAGGGCAGGCTTTCGCCTTTCTTCCATTGAGCAGCCCATGCATCGGCGTACTTGTCGCCTTGGAACGCGGCTAGATTGGTAGGAACAGGTGTCGAGGCAGGCATTCTGCAGCTTGAATATGGTTGAGAAACAGTAATGATATTAGTAGAATAAGGGAGGTAGCGAAGCTATCTTAGAGGAGCGATGACCTTTGTTCGATCGAATAACTTGTTTCTCTTGAGCTCATCGTTCACCGTCATTTTATGGCAGCAGTCGGAGGGCTTAATAATCGCCTCCTTGCAGCGACCGTGATGTCTATGCGCAGAATGAGGCCTTGACTCATGGAAGTCATTCTCGTTTCCATATCCTTTGCCTCAGCTGCCCCAGAATTTGAACAAAATGCGAAGGGTAGGGAGGCTTCCCTTATCCTGCTTTTACCGGGTCGAAGCCAAGACGCGAGTGGGTTCGTCACCCCCGACTTCCCCGAGCACGCCATAAAAGAGCTTAATGACCACCGCAAGCTTAATATAGTCTATTATGACTTATATGGCTTCGATTCCTCCTTCCTCTCCCCATCCAAATGCTTTTGTTGACCACCCAACTTTTCTATTCTTGTCTTCCCCAGCCTTATCAAGAGACTCACTCGACAGGATGCGAGCCTGATTGCCGACGGAATCCCGGCACTAGTCTTCTTCGAATCTGACTCGCTCAGCTACTTTTTCACAGCCCCCACGAGCAGGCGGTTCAGGGGGAGAACTCGCCCCACGGTCTCCTTGCTAATCATCGAGAATGGTTACCTCAAGATATGGCAGATAAGCCATAGCAGGGGGGTTTCCCACCATGATTGGTTCCTGCATGTTCCAGGTCATCAAAATGCCCAAATGCCAAAATGCAGCAGGGGACCCTTTGGAGCTCTCGGGTTTGCTGTCCTCGAAGGAGGGCCACCGGTGGACCCCGTGCCCGATGATCTCGATTCATACGACCCTACGGGCACCAGGAGGCCCCAGGAGGCACCAGGCAGAGAACTTTCCATTTTCCTTCTCGGATGAAAATGGCAGGCGCACGGGACGATCTCCTCAGGCTGAGACAACCTCCGCGCAAATTCCTGGCTCGTTCCTGCATTTTGGCCCTATAGTTCCACCGTCGAGGCTCCACGGCTACCCATTAAAGCGTTTTGTTGGCAGATCCCTACTACCCACACCATGATACCTATGGTCTTGGCGTCGCATATCGAGTTATCACTTCTTCTTTAGGAATACGCATTGAGCGTAGTTCATTCCCTTAGCTCGCAAGGCTATGGCTGCCCTGTAACCTCTGTCGGTCACAGCCTAGACGATTCCGAATCCGTTTCCTCGCTGCTAGGCTTTTCAGGGAACAACACCCGTCCCTGGGGTCTACAAGAGGCTGGCCTGACCTCTGAAACTTGGCCGTAGGGTCACATTGACACGACCTTTGGCCGGCATATGTCCACCCGGTCTTCCACTAGCCTATCTTCTCTGGGAGTATTTATCTTGTCGCTCCACCGGCAATAATCTTCAAGATGGGGGAGGACTATAATCACCTGAACGTCAGCATGTCGACTCTGGTGCCTCCAAGGAGCGCTAGCAGTCAAGCGCCCATTATCCATGGACCGGCAACGATTGAGATGAGTAACACTTCCACGGTCTCGCGTCGTTCCAGCGTCACGACGGCCGTGCACGAGAAGAAAGACGTGGAACCCTCGCCACCACCACCTTTGCCTCGCCATTCCACCGAGCTGGGCGCACCTGTAAAAGTACCACGACTGCAACGAAAAGGGTTGCTTGGGCAAATTACTTTGCTTGCAGAGGTTGAGAATCCACGGACATATTCCCGGCGCACAAAATGGTTTATCTCTTTCGTTGTTGCTTTGGCAGCCATCGCAACGCCGCTCGGAAGTTCTATTTTCTTCCGTACGTTCATCTTCGGTTTTTGATAAATTGGGTCTTCTAACAGTCTTCTCCCTTTTAGCCTCCCTTTCACAAGTAGCTAAAGACTTGCACGCATCCGATACGATCACCAACCTTACGATTTCATTATACTTGCTTGCCATGGCGATATTTCCACTGTGGTGGTCGTCATTCAGCGAACGACTTGGCCGGAGATCCATCTACCTGGTCTCATTCGCTTTATTTGTCGTGTTCAATTGCCTTTGTGCTATCTCATCTTCTATTTCGATGCTTATTGTCATGAGGATGCTAAGTGGTGGTGCGGCCGCTTCCGTCCAGGCTGTTGGGGCCGGAACGATTGCCGACATATGGCACCCATATGAGCGGGGCCAGGCAATGAGTATGTTCTTCTTGGGCCCTCTTTGTGGACCTTTGCTGGCTCCTATCATCGGTGGCCTCCTTTCAGAACGCTGGGGTTGGCGCAGTACTCTGTGGTTTTCGGCTGCGTTCGGTGCCTTCATTCTCTGTATCATCCTTTTCAGCCTGCCGGAGACCCTGGCTGCTCCAAAGCCTATCCTGCCCGACCTTCCCAATGACGCTTCCTCGGAAAATAGACGACTGAGCCGTGTGTCGACCCAACAGGTCGCCCGTTCCACCACCAGATATCTGAAATTTTTTAAAATGACCTTCATTGATCCACTCAAGGTTGTTCTCTACCTACGACATCTCCCCGTTCTTCTCAGTGTCTACTACGGAAGTATCGCCTTCGGTGCCCTGAATGTCTTGAACGTTAGCATCGAGTATTCCTTCGACAAACCGCCGTATAAGTTCGGCACTATCATCGTCGGCTTGTTATATATCCCAAATTCGCTGGGTTATTTCATCGCTGCCGTCTTCGGTGGGCGGTGGATGGATAGGATTATGCAACGCGAAGCGAAAAGGGCGAATCGATATGACGAGAAGGGCCGCTTGGTCTTTCACCCCGAGGATCGCATGCGCGAGAATGCCTGGCTCGGTGCATTCCTGTTCCCTGCCGGGCTTCTCTGGTACGGATGGACCGTAGACAAGGGGGTGTTTTGGCTGGTCCCCATGATCGCCAACTTCTTTTTTGGTATCGGGTCCATGCTCATCTTCACCCTGGTGACTACCATGCTCACCGAGTTCATGCCCAAGAAGTCTTCGACGGGGGTTGCCTTGAACAACTTCATGCGGAACATCTTGGCATGTATTGGATCTCTCATTACTGCGCCCGTTATTTCTGCTATCGGCAATGGCTGGCTCTTCACGATCCTTGGCATTGTGGGCTTCGCAAGTGGCTCAGTTGTTCTCGCGATGAAGGTTTATGGATCTCGATGGCGTGCGAAGATGGATGCTGTTGCGTGAGAATTTCGTTCTCAGAATTTCCGTTGTCATGACTTTTTTGTATTGTTTGCATTTCACTTAAGCATCGTTTGGGATTTGGCTTGGTTTACTCGGAGCCTGCCTGTGGCATCATTGTGCGGATATTGGCGCTCTTTTATGGTTCATGGATATGATGGATTGCATTGGGGCTCATGGAGTTTTGGTCTACTTCTTACAAATTCATTATTTTTCTGACTCGATACGAACTGTTTTCTTTGCCCCTCCTACCCACTCTTCGACATATTCGATCTAATTATAAACAGCGAAGGCCCACGCCGTTGCGGGGTGCAATGGCGAGGGATGTGAACACGTTTCACGTCATTCTTTCACAATCCTTCAAAATTTGCAACAGCGGAGATTAATCACTCCTTTTCGGACGAGACGGATACCACCAAGGACCATCTTCTTATTCGAATCTTGCAACTGTACATTCTGGCTATTGTGCAACTCGGGATGTTTAATTTCATATCAGGCCCTACATCACCCACACCTAGGAAACGTGTGGTACTATCCTCCAGCATGACCTCTTTTATGGTTCTCGAGGATTGAAGTGACTCTGGGAATATCATACAAGCGCTTCAATCTGATCACCGATTCAAGTTGATCCATTCCCCTCAGTCACGGCTGTGCCGATAAGTCACTGCAAGCAACCCATTGCATTTGTGGCTCCGTTCTCCATCGGAAAATACTCCTAAGTTCTCTCTAAGACAAATTCAACAAGAAGTCACTCAATCCCAGATCGTCTATCTCCATCCCCCAGTCACGCCAAACACTCATCGGAAACCCCTCTTCGGCCTTATACGCCCATCCCCATCCTTCCAAAACACCCACGAAACCGTAATAGCACTCTTCAGCGCCATAGCAAACCACAAACTACTCGCCATAGAAGCGACCTTCGAGAGCCCTCCCGCCGTCATCGCCCCCAGAAATAGCGCCAAAAAGGCCCCAATCCGGCGATTCCGCTTCGGATTCGCAGACCATGGCCTAGCGCAGAGTTTCACGTCATTTAGCAGATCGCACAGCAGCGTCGTCACGACAACAGTTGGCACCTCGTCGTATTCCAGTAGCCGTGACGCGCAGAGCTGGCCGGCGGCTTGAAAGGCGAGGAGTGCGATGGGGATGATCTGGCTCCATTCTATCGGGGCGCGCGGGTCTTCGGGCCGGGGACTGACAATGCTTAGTTGGACGAGGATAGCGGCGACAAGGAGCGCGGCTGTTTGGGTGCCGAATGAGAGAATTAGGGTTGAGCGGCGGAGAGGGTTGAGAAGGCGGGAGAGCTGGATGAAGAAGATTGTGCTGGAGAGGAAGACCGTTAGGGCAATGAGGGACTTGGCCCATAGGTATGCTGGGTATTCGGGTTGGCCTGATACACCGAGGGCGATAAAGACGGTGTTTCCTGAGAATCTTTTGTTACTGCGAAGGTTCTGTAGGGCGGGCGGGGGAGTATACCTGTTTGCATGCTTGAGAAACTTCCCCATGCGTTGAACGAGAGCCCGTCGACGAGGCCGGCGACGAAGCCGCAGATTATCAGGACGAGGTCTGTGTGGGTCCGATCTAGCTCCATGCCCATATACCTTGATATATATTGCAGTTTTGATGCTTTGCGCGCAGTGAATGTTGCGGCAGATACATCGCTGTTATCTTCGGAAGGAGGTGGAGTATTTCTTTTGACGTCTCTTGGGAAGCCCTCATCATTATGTTTACTTGGGCCTTCATGGGGAGGGTCCGTAATTTGAGGAGGTATGCTGTTTGTGGCTGGAGGAGATATTTGATCGGACCTCGTCATGCTGGCACTTGAAGCTAGTGAAGAAGAAGACGGGTTGGAATGCCAGGTTTTGGAGATAGATATAAAGCCGCGCCTCTAATCTATCAGTCCATGAAACAACGGATTCACGTAATATGATGCCTAGACCGATTCTGCAGATCATGCTCTTTATCCTCTTCTTGGCTGCCTTGGTATCTTGGCTTTGCCAGGGATCTGCAGGTTTCTCATCCGTTCCAAGATTTGCCCTCTTCAAGTCCAGATCTTGCGGAGGTTTCGCAGACAGAGCCCTTCGTGAAGACAGGTGTATATACGCAGACTCATGGTATATTGACATTCTTGTTGCTTTAGTCCCTTAAGAGTGAATAATTACCAGCCCTACGCCAGGCGGTTCTAATACCGCCTTACGCCGTCCGCTATACGAAAGAGACCCCTCTTCTGCATCTCGCAAGGCCCTGGAACCTTGGCAGTCTTGGAAGAGCCGTCGACACGAGTTTTTGGAGGGGAAGAATCGATAACATGTCATTCCGATGATGTTTTTGAGCTTGGCGTCCACGGTAGAATCCCGGGTAAGCCAGCTGCATAGCCTCGTTCGACCGCAGGATCTTCAATATTTAGGCTTCCGTTAGTTCCCTTGGTAGCCCAGAGTCGAAAGCGCGTTGAATGAACGGCCCAGCCTCCAATTAAAGCCCAGATGTGGGGTGGGAGCTCTTATCAGAGTTTCGGGCGGAGACAAGATGCCAAGATGATTCCGCTGTGGCGGAGTGTGTCCCAGCCCTGAAGGTGCCGGGGAGCATGACGTATACCTCAGCCTCGATTCGATCGCACAGCTCTTGAAAAATGGACGAGAGAGGCCCGTATACTGCTATGACACGGCTTCAGGTCGTTCTAAGAAGGGTTTCGTGTTTGATGAGAAGGTAGCTACTGTTAACAGCAAGACCCTATGCCGGCATACTGGGGTAGGGGTTGTAGAAGTTTCCAAAAAGAAGAAAAAAGGGGACACTAACATTGGCATCTTCTTTAACATCGCTCATCCTTGTCAATGTGGCGCTACTCGATGCGTAAGACGAACTCCGTTCGTCTCGGCGCAGGTGCGGTCTAGGCTGTGATCGGAAACTCGCGATGCCAAGCAGCGTTTCACGGCTCAGCTGGCTGGAGTGAAGTGGATCTTGGGGGATCCCGCATCCAATTGTCGGGTGGTCAGTAAGCGATGGCTCGGTTCTGTCATTGTTTGAATCAACCACATGTGCACTGCCTTGATTATGGAGGAGACTGGAGTCCCGTGACGGATAGGAATCATGCACAGGTACATGCCCAGGCGTTAACTATCATCTACGCTGATCTGACAGAACGCGTCGCCAAGACAATTGCATTAAGCCATTAGGTCGGAATGAAAGCGAAAAAGTCTGGCCCAACCCTATGTGGTGGCGGCCCTCGCCGACCAGGGGATCATCCCGTTAAGGGGGGGCCTATATGGCCGACATGGACGACCAGGGTTCCTGTAACCCAATCTCAAGCGCAGGATGAATTATTTCATGGCACAGGCATACATCAAGCCAAGAATGTGGGCAACTTTGGAAGCCATTATTCCATTTGGACTGGGATATTCAGTCCCAGGGGCTCTAGGGCCATCTGTTCAGGAGTTGCAGGAAAGTCGTAGCCAATTCCCTTTGACTGCGATAAGGGGCTTCATGTAGCAAATTTCCCACGATTCAGGCCTAACAGAGATTCGCAAGGGCTTATACTTCACTGGCTGATACCATTCACGCACAGAGAATAATACCATGCAGGCTGTCCTGAAACATGTAAGGCCTCATGCGACGAATACTACAGTTAAGGACGGTCGACATTTCCGGGGTTGTTTCCGCTTTCAAGGTGCGAGGACTCACATATATGCTCAAAGAATTGATCATAACAATTATAGTGTCAATTGGGATTTGACTATGTGAATATGGCCAACTCAGTTTACAATCCAAAATCATTCCGCTTTCCATGGTCTGGATTCCCAAAGATCTCGACCCGACCCGCCCCCTAAGAGTAATCGGGGAGTGTCGATCAAGCGTACTTTTAGAAGCTGCGCACCGTGCAAGTCTCCGCTTTGGGGGAGAAATTACTCTTATCCTTCCCGCTGGGTGAGGGCTGGAGAGTCCGCGCGCGGTCGCAAAAGACAGAGATTCCCTGGTAGGAGGCCGAGTTCATGCTGGATGTGGGAGGATCCATGGCATTGCATTCGGTGCAGACTCCCCAGGATACGACGTGCTCGAGGCTTCTGTGCTCAGGCCCTTGGGCATGGCCAGCAACACAAGCATACAAATTACGCTCAGAAGACGGTTGTCTGTCCCAAGCCGTAGATATACCAATCGACGTCATTAACTCTACATAGCGAAACTCTTGATAGATTGCCGAAGCCCAGGCTTCAATTCTTGAAATTTTGACGGGTCCAGAGCATCCTGGCATTTCCGGATTAAACAATATGAAACGACCGGGCAATAGCAGGCCCTTAAGCCGTTAAACCCCACTCAACGTGGTCGGACGCAGGGCTCAAATTTGAGCAAGCCCCATGAATGCGCCACCGGGAAGCTTGAGACGCAGTAAATCCTGCAACGCGCCCAAGTTTTGTCATGGCATACACTGGCTGTTGATGTCCAAAGGCAGACAGTAGGCAAGAAAAAAAAAGTAGGGGCGCAGGAAGAGGTTGAGGTTCAGAGAATAGTGTCAATAGCCGTTACGGCCAGGTCGGGGTCCCGCCCTGTCATGCGCGGCTAAAACAAAGTTGGTAGGGATGTTCGTACCGGGATATTTAGCATGTCTGCACAGACACCTTTCTCCAATCAGCCTAGACTTAATTGACTACTTCACCCCCCCGGGAGTACACCGGTGATCCTTCATTCTGGTACACCCACGTGGGCCTGCCCGCTAAGATTAGCGCACAATTAATGAGACGACGATTCTACAGGGGGGAGGGCTCCCTTTGCTTTTTGGCCTTCATCTTCTCCATGAGTCGAGATTGAAGACCACATTCGCTTTCAGGGGACTAGATCTCTAACTGCGCGCTGGATCGCTGCGATGGTTACAATAGACGAGGTCTGGCATGTCTCAGTAGAGAGCTTGATCGGGCCTCCGCCTCCTGGGCTTGACGTGCATCGTACTCGGACGATGACTGATAATGTCGCTTGCGTGGCTCTTGTTGTTGTTACTACGATCGTCGTTGCCATCCGTTTCTTCGTGCTGGTTCATATTCAAAAGATTCGACCTTACCTCGACGACTGGTTGATGCTATTTAATCTGGTGAGTGACTATGCATTACACTGTTCCGAATGGGCCACTTTTGACTTTTTCCTTGTTGAAGAAAGAAGAAAAGCAACAGAAATCTAATACCCTCTAGGTTCCTCTGATTGCACTCACAGCAATAGCATGCCTTGGCGGAGAAAGATATGGCCTCGGGAAACATATCTGGGCTGTGAATATCGGCCCGCTGATCATTGGAAAGAAGGTTAGTCGTCAGTTGATGGGATTCACTGTGTCATACTAAGACTCTGTCAGAACTTGTTCATTTGGCTGATCCTCTACGTGTTTCAACTATTCATGGTTAAAGTATCCGTCTTACTCTTCTATCGGCGGATTCTGGGAATGAGCTGGATGATCACCGCAAACGTAGCTCTCAGTGCGGCCTGGGCCTTAGGAAGCATCATTGCCATCCTTTGTGGACCCGCCCCAATCTCATATTTCTGGCTGGAGTATATCAATCCATCCGAAGGACACTACCGATTTCCTTTTTACAACCTGTGGGTAGGCAATGCTGCGTCGAATGTTTTTACGGACGTTCTGATCATTCTCGTTCCGGTCCCAGTCATCTGGAGACAAAATATGCGTGTGAGACAAAAGCTCATTGTGTCTGTATTGATGGGCCTTAGCATCGGGTGAGTGACATTTGGTGCCCATCCCAAGATTTTCGCCCACAGCTGATCTGTGAAAAGTGTCGTCGTTGCGAGTGTAATCCGACTTCACTACCTGACTCTTCTTGACAACAACAAAGACATCAGCTATATCATGGGCATAGTCTTTGTGTGGTCTACCGTGGAGCCCTGTCTGGGAATTATGTGTGCCTGTCTACCGGCAGTGCAACCCTTCGTCAGATTCCTTCTTAGAATCGAATACAGAGCCTATGCTGGGGGTAGGCTCAGCTTCAATTCGCATCCTGGTAATAGCATTCCACGAGTGCGGGAACACAGGCGGATTAATAGTCCCGTCGTTGGGCTGTCAGATGGCGGCTTTGATTTCCGGCCAGACCTTTGTGGGCCAGACGGGAAACACGATGACAAACTGCGGCTTACAATCGAGGCGCTTGTAGAGACCGAGCACGACAAGGAGGAGAGAGAGAAGCTGCAGCAATTTCTGGGGCCGATGTTTATTCGGGTACAGCGTGATGTCGAATTGACGGTCTTCGAAGGACCTCGTTGACTATGGCAAGTTTATCGAAGAAATCGGAGGCTATCTCAGCGGTGTGCCAATTTGCTCTGATATTATGCCTCCCGATGTTTCAGTATACCCATACTGTACCCACACTGAGATCTCCTTTTTACACTAGGATTGCAAAGGGCTATAACAATACTTCAATTCAACCCAATTGTGCTAAGAACTGTGTTCAACAATCTTGTATAAAAAGGAAAAATGTTACATACGTCTGCTAAGTTAACATGAAAAGGTCACGTATAATATCACAACTGCGACCTGGTTGGACACTTCCTCTCTTACTTTACCCCTCCATGCCCAGTTGACTCTGTGGCCTCTTCCATATCAATGCTAGTAAGCTATCACGCCTCGAATTCAAGTCCTTGGGAACTCTAAGCTTTAACGAGATGTCCGCCGGTAATAGGCAAAAGCACCAAAGGCGACGCTTACTGCCGCCAACACCCCTGCTCGAGACAGCCATAATCCCCCTGGTCGTTGGTCTTCGATGGTCTCCCCTCGCTTGAATTTGGCTTTAGGTTTTGGCACCTTAGCTAGCTTAGAATTGTCGTAGGGCGGATACCGAAACTCGATAAAACGCTCCAGCCATTTGGGCGTGTTCACGACTACCCTTAAATGTGAGAATTGCTTGAACCCGTACGGCCCATGGTAGTAGCCGTGGCCACTTCCTCCAACTCCCCCGAATGGCGCACCGGGAAAGCCTGCGTGGAGGACGACGTCGTTGATTGTGACACCACCGGAATTTGTGTTGTTGAGTACTATTTCTATATTAGACCCTGGATCGGAGAGATATGATTCTCACTCACTAGTTTCAATTTCGCTCTTATCGTTACTGAAGATGTATAACGCTAAGGGATGATCCTTGCTACACTGGAGTGTTAGTTACCTACTGTCTGACTTGAGAAGAAACAAACTCACGTGTTCACTGCTTCACAGGCTGCTTTCGTATCTGCCTTGACCACAGGGCAGATAGGGCCAAAAAGTTCACCCCCCAAGAGGCTGTCTATACCCCACGTCAATACAACTCGGGGAAGGAAACAATTTCTGCTCACCATCCATCTCAAGATTCGACACAATAGTCGGTTTCATTCTGAGATATTGAGAGTCGCCATCGCCGCCACAAATAATCGAGCCCTTGGTTTGCTGCAAAACTTCGGACAGTCGATCCCGGTTTCGCTTGTTGACAATTGAAGTCGATATCGTCGAATCTCCATCCAGAAAAGTAGTACACTAGAATTGCAAACGCTTGATAAAGCTATCGTAGATGTCCGGGTGGACAAAGGCATGATTGACAGAAAAACATATCTGCCCGGCGTTGAGAAACTTGGCGAACGCGATGCGCTTTGCTGCCTGGTCTACGTTTGCTGTTCGACCGACGATAGCGGGACACTGACCCCCTAGCTCCAGCGTAACAGGCGTGAGGTGCTTTGCTGCTGCTTTGCTGACATGTCTTCCAACATTCCCTGAGCCGGTGAAGAAGATGTGGTTGAAGGGGAGTTCCAGCAACGCCGTTGTCTCCGGGACGCCGCCACAAACCACTCTAATGGCTGTGGGATCGAGGTACCGCGGAACGAGTTCTCGGAGCAGTGTTGGGCAAGCTTCGGTCAGCTCGGATGGCTTCATAATAGCACAGCAGCCTGCAGTTATAGCTGCGATGAGCGGCTGCAGGACCAACAGAAGAGGAAAGTTCCATGCACCGATAATGAGAACTACCCCGAGGGGTTCTTTTCGAATTCGAGCTATTCCAAGGCTCCTGGTGATGAAATCATCGCCGACCACCTCATCTGCCGTCCAGGAATCGATGTTGTCCAGGTGATAGAGTATGTCACTCCGGATGCCTGACAAATCTGTGAGGTAGCTTTCGCCGTGAGACCGATTTAGATCTTTCTGGAGCGCATCCAGGAGAGCGGTTTCATTGTCGTCGATTAGCCACCAAAGCTGCTTCAACTGCCATTTGCGCCAGGCCACTTCTTTGGTCTTCCCCTGACGGAATGTGTTTGCAAGTGTTGAATAACAGCTTTGAATCTCCTCCGGAGTGTCGTATTGACTGTTATCGTGGCCCATCTTTTGGAAGTGCGATGCCCTGCTCTGCGACTGAGCACGAAGCTTTGGAGAGACTCCAATGGAGAGACTCTCATGGCCCAGGCCAAGCTGTCGCCTGCATGTCCCGGAACGAGAAGTATCCGATCGCTTTGTAACCCCGCATTTTCCGGCCTTTTTCGTTTAGACCCGCACCCAATCTACGGAAATTCTACATTCCGAGGTCATTTCCTTCCCCAACCTATCAATACTCCTCAAGCTTATGCATTGGGTTCTTGCATGACCTACTGTTGGGAGCTAAGCATGTGACACTGGCTGGGCCCAATGAGGCTCCTTTCCAGACGCACGCTGGTCTAGCGGAGGGCACGGGTATTTTATACACTTCCCCGGCGGCCACCCCCCCCACCCCGTGAGCGCTCCATCATCTCACCATGGCCGAAAGCGAGCTCTTGCCAAAAGATTGGCCACCTTTCATCAATGTCGACGGCGTTTCTAATTTCCGTGGACTTGGTGGCTATGTATGCCACCCTCCTCAAACAGCCTTGGCTTTAATCAACGCAAATGAAGCGAAAGAGTGGCGGATCCGGCCTGGATTTCTGTTTCGCTCTGCGCAGCCATCTCAAATCACGCCCGCTGGACAGGAAACTCTGACGAAGACACTTTCTATCCATTCGATTTTTGACTTCCGCTCAGATAAAGATGTTGCATTCGTTGCTGACCACATGCCTGGGGCACTTCTCGACATCCCAGAGACTACCCGGTACTCGGTTCCGGTCTACCGGCAGATAGACAAATCATGGGGATCGGCGGCAGAGCGATACCAAGCTACATCAATCGGGCTCAAGAACCAAGATGGCAGCGGAAGTGGTTTTGTCAACTCATACACCCTACTTGCGCGGAGTGCAGCGAAGACTGGCAGCTTCCGCACCATCTTACAGCACATTCTGCAGCATCCTGATGACCCCATCCTGGTTCATTGCACCATTGGAAAGGACCGGACGGGGGGTTTTTGTCGCACTGCTTCTGAGTCTATGTGGTGTTGCGAATGAAGCTATCGCGACGGACTATGCGCTTACCTCAGAAGGATTGGGTTCCTGGCGAGAGTATATGATCCAGCATGCGCTTCAAACAGGAGAGTTAGAAACTCGTGAACAGGCGGAGTATATTCTTGGAAGTCGCAAAGAATATATGCTGTCTTTCTTAGAAAGTTTTGAAAAGGAGTTTGGAGGTGCCAGGAAATACTTTGTAGATCTCTGTGGCATGCAGAATAGTGAGCTTGACAAGATTATTGCCTCGATGGTTGTCCCCGGATACGACTGAGGTATAAACAGGCATAGGAACTTGATCATAGATAACAAGACTCATATTTTTTTTTCTTTAAGTATTGAAAACATCATATATATCAAGAAAGCTTACGAGTGCCTTGATCGCGAAATCAGGGGATCATTTAGAAAGGTTTCGACCACTCTCGTAGTAAAGGATCTCGGGGAAGCTTTTCAATACTCGGTGTAGAGACATTAGAGCCAAGATTCTACGTTCAGAAGTTGGCGACCACCTGGCTTCGCCCTGATGCTATGGATGATCGGGAAAGAGGACTTCCCCTCAGTAAGGTCTTCGCAAAGTCATTCTATGAATAGACTTATTATACTGAAGGTTTGCAAAGGCCGCAAATCCATCAACTTTTCAGCATCTCCACAGCCATCTCGTAAGCCATTTTCTTAGCCTTGGCATGCTCAGTCCCGTCAGTGGTCCGTTTATCGAACCCATGGGTACAACCCTCCATTCTTTTGAATTTCACAAGATTATCGCTTTGCTTTTGGAGGGCACTGACGAAATCCTCCGCTTCTGACGCCATATTATCCCGAGCGGCAGTGATCACCAAGACCCTTGCTGGGTAGCGTGCCGGGTCCGCGAAAATAGGAGAAATGCGAGGATCGCGCGCATCAACACCATCTGGAATATAACATTTCCTGAAGAGCCTCGCCAGCCTAGGGGGGGATGACTTTTCCAGTAGGATCAGGCGCAACCATCTCTTCGGGAATCCTAGTCAAGTCCGTGCCTGGGTAGAACGCGAGCACCGAACGGAAGGTTTTTGGAGGCATCAGCACTCCTGAGGCCACGAGAGCGAGGTTTCCCCCGGCGCTGAAGCCCGAAATACTCAATCTGGAAAGATCGAACTTCTCGGGTTGACTTAGCACCCATCGCACTGCGTCTTCGACGTCGTTTACGGCGGCCGGGAAGGGATTCTCGGGGGATAGACGGTACGCAACGTCGAGGACCGCGTAGTCTGCGTTTTGGGAAATATAATGGCAAAACTCGTCGTCTTCCCCGAAGGCCGGGAATATCATGCCGCTCCCGTGGAAGTTGATCAAGGTTGGTCGCGGTTTCGAAGCATCACCTCCGTACAGGTGAGCTGTGAGGAATCTCTTGGCATCTCGGCTTGGAATGAGAAGCTTCTGGTGAGGGATTCTCGGCAACGATTGCAGGACGTGTCAACTTGAACACAGTTCGAAATAAAGTGACGACCGTTTTGAGGTATAGATATCTCAAGAGTCGTGTAGCCCACCACATCTTTCAAGTGCACTGACTATGCTTCGGATGGGCCCTATCTTGGCAGGCTACACACTCCAGGTGCTCCCAAGCTGATAGGATTCACTCCTGCCGCGGAAATCGATACTTATACCCAAAGGCGTAGAGGAATACGCAAAATCGGCGTCCAGAAGAGGAAACAACGCGCGACGATCTGTAGCCTAATCATTAGCCCCACTATGGGACGCCTAAGGGGGGGATTTTAAAATTTGAGCAAAAGCCTCCTAGTGGAAATTAGCCGTGGGGGTGTTAATGTTGCGCGAAGCTTTTGTGGTGGCTCTGAATCTTCTACGAGAAAACAGTAGCTCTACGGCTACTAAAACTTTGACAGGCGTAGCGAAACGGTTAATCACGACGAGAAGAGCCCAGGCGGGAAATCCGCCACGCTAGTCGCCATATCATTTCAGTGGCATTACTTCTCGTTTATGACTTTGCTCCATGGTTTGTATTGTTAGCTTTGGTGTTGGATTGACTTTTCGACACAAAGGCGGGCTACTGGTCCGGTTTCGTCATCTATGAGTGGTCTATCGTTTGTTGTTGATATATGGTAGAGACAAGGTCTACTTCAGAAGACATTTAAGCTGCTGTCAATTGCTCAGTCATAGGCGGCGAAAACGCAATGATTTTAGAAATTTCCATTATTCCGGGAATATGCCTTTGCCACATTATAAACATAAAGAGATCTGTATTTACTGCATCGGCTGATGAGGAGACAGCGACGACATAGCATCCTTCGCATAATCCTGGAGTGCCACTCGCATCCACTCTGGAACCACTCTTGCCGGCTGAGATAGGCCAGCCGAGGGCGGAATCATCCTGTTCTGTGCTCGTCCACTCCAAATTATCTCTGCGATAACCGAGGCAATATCGCCAGGCGTGAGAGCTGGTAAGAAGCTCGGGACTTTAATACCACGGAACATGTTCGTCTGTACAGCGGAAGGGGATATACACGATAGCCGGACCGCTGGTGCTTTGTAGTTATGACGAAGTTCAGTCTGAATGCCTTCGTAGATGGCTAGAGTGGCCGCTTTTGTAGCGGCATAGTCCACGATTCCGGCGGTAGAGAGATATGCAGCTTGCGATGCGATGATTAGGATATGGCCATGGTTTTTGGTCACCATTGCAGGGAGGAATGTTTGGATCGTCCATATCAGGCCCAGGTTATTCACTCCGAAGGTCCTGGACATGGTCAACACTGTGCGGTTAAAGAATCATAGATTGGCCTACACTTCGATGTCGCGCTGAGAAGCATCAAGGATGGTCTTGCCGCGACAGATACCAGCGCTGACCACCACGCAAGTGGGTGTGCCAACTTCCCTGGATGGAGTCAGTTCGAGCTTCAATTAGGGCTTGAAAACTTGGGTCTCCAAACCTCGTCAGGGTCTCAGCGACTGTTGCGAGCCCTTCTCGGTTTGTTAGGTCGCATTTATAGTAGTGGACATTTTTCGCTAGAATGGAGTTGTTATTAGCGGCAGGGCATATGTTTTCTCATCCACGTTCAGGCCCTTACGAGCTTCATAAGTTAGAGGCAGAATGTCCAGTACGGCAACTGTCGTCCCACGCTCGGCCAACTTCTTTACAGTTGCTGCTCCGATGCCGCCAGCTCCTCCAGTCACCAAGATGATTTCCTCCTCCCAGTCAAATTTAGCTGGTGTGGCATTGTTGAGAGCTCGACGGCTGAGACGTTGGTTGATACGATGTGTTAGTAAAAGAACACCCAAGGGAGCCAATATTTTCCAGTATTTCGTCGGCAAGAGCGACATGTACTGGGATATGAGGGTCTTCAGCGTCATGTTGAGTGGTTAAATTGGAGATGCTGGGGTTGCTCCTGTCGGCGGTCTACGAGAGTTTATACAGGATGATTCGATGAATGTGGCGTACACTAAAACGCTGCATTGACGGCATCAGCTTATGCTCGGTGGAAAGGAAACAGTTCACGGGCCTTCACGCTGACCCTAGAGTGGCGGTACCCCGCATTCGAAGGTCTCCTTCGAAGTTACAGGACACAGGGCGTTATTGATATTACCATGTTTCACCAAATTGGTAAGGCGTGAGATTTAATTGCATTTCTAAGGATCGCAGGTCTGCGGTATATATCGGGTACCTGCAACCATGGATTCAGGGTCGCAGTATATGCGGCCAGTGTAAACAGTTCTGGATGCCCTATGAACTTGAACTTAACATTGTTCATTGAGAGACTGGATTGAGATCCAACGCAGAAAGAGGTAGCAAGGCCGAGCTGTCTGCTGGGAATGGCGCAGGGGGGTAGCAGCCGCCACGATGAATGAAGGGTGCTAATACTCAGACGCACCTTGCCTGCTCAGACATCCCTTCTGCCTACTCAGACATATCCCCTTCATCTAAATGGGTAATCTTGATGTCTGACGCGAGTTCGAGCAGATGAACAAGCTCGATATGCACTTTTAATTGAATCTATTGGAAGCGGCAAAGTGCCACGATAGCTTCCAGCCTGACTCGTCGATCACGGGTCCGGGGTTAGGCGAGCCGAATCCATACCTACCAATAACCACAGCAATTCTTTTGACCTTTGATGTTGAAGGGACTCCGAGTCTATTATTGTCGAAGCATGTGGTGCCGTTACCACCGCATTACAAGTCGCTCACTTCTTGGCGAATACTCATGACTTTCTTATGCAAAACATACATAGCATAAATAGCAAGTTCCAGTCATTTTAGAACTATCCGAGTTACATATAGTTCATCCCCTTACCGTACTTTACGGACCATGTTCTCCCTATCGTTCCACCAATCATCATATCTGAACACGATAGTTGAACACGGGTTTACCCTGTCTCAGTCTTATGTACCTCTTCGCTATGGCTGAAATGCAGCTTGAGCCATGGCTGCTTTGAGTGATAACTTGAACTCAGGGACGGCCACTATTCGAGGCAACAAGCGGAAACAGCACTTATCCTCCAACTCTGTTTCTCCGGAGCAATGGTAGTTTGAGGGCCGACGTTCTAATCACCGCCTCCGGTGGTGCTGCTTTTGTCATAGGTGGACTCGAAACTATTGGGACTAGCATACCGCTGCCCAGGTCATGTCTCCCCTGACTATGTAATGCTTCTCAAAACTGTGACTCATAATTGAACTGACCTCTCTGATTATTTTCGGGTACTTTTCATAGTTAATTGAAGTCATGGGTCTTCTGTCATTCATAGTTTCCCGGCGTCCTAAGCGGACGCAGCGTAAAACTACCCAAACTATACGGCATACCGAGCCATCCAATCAGCCCTCGGCCAAACCACTGTACCTCGAACGAACCCGTCAATATGGCGCCGATATGGAACTATGAGGATTCCGCCGTGACACGAAGATGTTCGGGGCTATGCGTGAGTTGGAGCGGGCTGGATTCGTCATTTGCAGTATCGGCGAGCTATTGGCGGACAAAAGAGAGTTGCGCTGGCTAGTTTGGCTTGTGGATTGGTTCCTTCGAAGGCCCGGGGCAGCAAGAAGCTTCACTGGGATAGATTGGGCATTATTCAATTGGGCATTGCTACAATCACCTCTGCACTCAGCTCCCATTTTGCTGTTCCCATCCCTAGTACTGTTTAGGTAAGTTTGATGTCTTTTGATGCCTTTTAATGCCTGATTATCATGTGCCTCCACCTAGAACAGCGTGGGATGAGAAGGGATGAGAAGGGATATGTGCTTGAATCATCAATATTGCCACATTGGGCAAAGAGGTGTTTTTTAGATATGCAGATTTGGTATTTCTAGACTCCAGCCGTCCTCTGCTATTACTTGATTTCCACAAATTCCGTGACCTCCATGCCCTCCACCACTTCTACATCCTCCATGTCCACAACATCTGCAACCTCCACAATCTCCTTCCTCAATTGCTTGTACATGTTCAGAAGATAATGGCTCTCTCTGGGGAGATCTCTGAGACAGTGTAAGGCTTTCCTATGTAGCCCGCACTAGTTAACTAAGGCATACTTCCTTTGTCATCTCATGTTGTTCTAATGTGAGTCACACGACTTCTACATCTAATTGCAGGTCACATGGTCAGGCATTATTAGGCACCGAAAGTTCCTAAATAGTACTTGGGGTTGGAGTAGCAGAGGGGCTGTAGCATCACCCATCAAATCTTGCTAAGACGGCTAGTGGGGTGTCATTCCGTACTTTTGGCAGCTGAAGTGTGAAGCGATAATGCCCATTCTCTGTGTGCATGGAGTGCGGTTGACAACTTGAACTCGAATTCCGCTCAATGTATCGATACTCCCGCTATTGGAAATTGGAGTCGATTGGGTCGCGTGACTGTTAAATGCAAGCAAGCGTCATGTTTGATGAATCAGTTTCAGATTTCCTTGTCCTGCCTGTAAGGATTCTTCCGTCAACAGCCTATCCAGCTGATACTAGCACTTGTACCAAAGTATCAGCAACTGGATGTCTTTGGAATAGTATACTGTGGCATGCTACACACCTTCCTGGCGTGCTAGCTGGTGTTTACTAAAAATAGGCTGGGCAATTCAAGCATACGTAACCTGCTTAGGCATCGAATCCGGCACGGCCTGGAGCGCATTAGGAGCATATTTACAAATCAATTAGGTCTGAATCACGAGGTGGGCAGAAGTGAAACGATCGCCTCCGGGCGTGTTCCATCCTGTAAACAAGGCGATTACCAACACGATCTGCATGTCATTGAAGCTTGGGGGCCCTGAGATCTACATGGCAATGACTAAGGCATTGGTCTGCTACCTAGGTACAGGAATCCTACGAAGCCAATTGACTCTATTTTAGAACATAGCGAGGGCCTTTAGGCGTACAACAACAGGCGGCGGGTGGCTCGGGTATTCAGATTTGGGGCACAGTATTGGGCTATTGGAGGGGCGGCTAACTGGCGATGCAGGCGACTGTTTCGGGGTTCGGGTTGAAGGGGGGGGGGCTGGAGGACATCCTTGGCAGGAGGAGGGGCAGGGAAATTGAGCCCGGGAGATCTTGGACGGTCATGATATTCATGAGCTCCAGCCTATCATTTCCCATGCAGATCACCTGACTCTTTTCAATTGACTTTTCCAAGGTTCAAATTGGCGGTTTAGTCCTCGATGCATCTGCACGGTGCGCTTTCTGGTAGATCACAGGTAGCGCAGCATAATTTGATCTTCATCGCAACTGGGCACGCCCTTTCTGAGAATCACTGAGAAATCACTGAGAATACCGAAGTCTCCCTTGGGTAGCCATTTGCCGAGGGGCAAAAAGAGTGAAGAGTGAAGTGTCGGTGTCGCAGGGTGGGGTCATGATGACTACGCGCGACTCCATCCAACTTCACCATGCCCCATTGACCAGCCATCTGGCCCATTTTGGCCCATTTTAGCCCATCTCTAGCTCCAATGGCCCTGGTGACTCAAAATCTCCTGAGAGAATGGCCTTGATGGGTGTCTCGGGACTCTCCGGCGGCACAGCTCATTCGTGGGCGGAAAACGGGAAGTGTTGGGCAGAAATCGAAGTCTCCAACTGCAAAGCAACTTGTTCCTGTGCTCGTAGGCTACATTGCAGCGCCCGCTTCGGTGTGGCTTCACCTCGTTTGCGACCCACTGCCCGCCCTGTTATTCCTGATCATCTCAATTGCCAATACCCCCATTTCCAACTCACACCCCCCCCTGGGATCCATTTGGATCCGAACTCCACTGCGCGGGGCCTGTGATGTTTCCCTGTACTCTACGATAAAGAATCAACTTGGATAATAATAATGAAAAAAAGGGTTCGGGTGCCACTGACCCCCACTTCGCCAAAGCCATGTTCTCCATGTTATTGCAGATTGACTTTCCCCATCTAGGCCATCTGGATCCCCCGATCTCCAATCCGATCCATCCGTGCGATGCCCGCAACTGCAAGCTTTTCCCTGCACGGATATCAATACTGTCCTCACCCGGCCCTAATTGCAGACCGGGCTTCACCTCCCAACGGTATGGAGTCCGAGGACAACGTGGCCCAATGGCACACCGTCTTGTCGGGCAGTTCGTTGATGACGTTCCCAAGGCCCAAAGGCCCTGCAGCTAATTCTGGCCTCCATCCACCGAAAGGAGGGACCCCGTCGAACCCTTATACGCTGCCTCACCATGACCATCCAATTGTAATCCTTTCGTCGTCCGAGGAACCAGCATATGCTCCTTTCCTCTTCCGTCCTCTAATACAGGCCTACCCAGCCAAGTATTTCGTTTTCCTCTACATCAATTTCTCACTTCCATTGAGTGACCCCATACTACCCTTGCATCCGGCCTAAAGCTCGCCCTGTCACGCCCTCCTTGTTTCCGATATTCTCTCATCTTGCGCCACTAGTCCGTCCGCAAATTATATGATTCGTCATTAATCCGAGGACATGGGCAAAGGAGGAAAGAAGAGGAAGAATAATAAGAGCACCGCCCCCAACCGCCTCCCTGTCGGATCATCGGACCCCTCTGATTCCCAAGTCATCGCGGACGACCTTGCCGACCCGGCGACTGTAAGTCCCGAAAATGCAGAAACCCAAGTATGCAAACCCCCGCAATTTTGAGTATCAGACGGTCCAATTTCAATATCAGAAATTCAATCGCAGCAATGCGCAACTCTCAAAATACCCCATCGTTTATTCAAGTGCGGATCTGACCGCTCCCCAGCCCCAGGAACCCAAGGATCTAGACTCGCCAGCGCCGGAGCCAGCAAAGGAGGACACTCCTGCTGAAGCTTCTGAAGAGACTCCGCCAGAGGAGCCAGCCGCAGAGCCAGCCGCAGAGCCAGCCGCAGAACCAACCGCAGAGCCAGCCACAGAAGCTCCAGCAGAGGACCCAAGTAGTTCTCCAGCTGAAGACGCAGCAGCTCCAGAAAATCCTGCAGGTAAGTTCGATGTATGCAATGGGCGTAGAGACATTGCCAAAAAGAAAAGAAAAGAAAAGAAAAAGGCGATCGCACTTCACGCACAGCATCGACTGACAATATACAGAAGCAACACCAGCTGAGCCAGAGCCAGCCGAAGATGCCGCAGCTGCAGACTCCAAAGAGGAAAGCCAAGATGCGCCTCCAGACGGCGAGCCTGCGGCGGATTCCACGGGCGAAGCCCCAAACGAAGCCCCTGAAGAGCCACCTGCTGAAAGCGCCGAGCCCGAGAAGGCCAAAGAAGATTCAGCGCCGGCAGGAGATGATGCGCCAAAGGGCGACGATGGAAACGATGGTAAGGACTCTTCCTACACTGCGGTGCATTTCGATACTAATTCCTTGATAGACGAAGCTTTTCCAGACTGTGAACCTGAGCTCGGGTTCGACAAAGTAGAAGCTGAAAAGGAAGAGGCGGCAAGACAAGCTGCCGAGGACGCTGCGGCCGATCAAGGTCCTGAGCAAGAGGGTGCCGCTGAACCTGCCGACCCACCAGTAGCGGGCGAAGAGTCTATCGCAGACGCTCCATCAGATGAACCTGTGCCTGAAGACGCTACGCCACCTGCCGACGAGCCCAATGCTGAGGGAGAGGCTGGTAAAGAGGCTGGAAGTCTCGTGCCAGACGCCGCAGAGGCCACAGAGGAGTCAAAGCTTCCTGAAGGCGAAGAAGCCGACACTGCAGCTGAGGAACAGCCACATGCTGACCCGGAAACTGCGCCTGAAGAACCGCAGGAGCCAAAGCTCTCAGCAAAAGAGAAGAAAAAGGCAAAGAAGAAGGCCAAGAAGGGCAAGAAAGGAGAGGCTAAATCCGACCCTGAACCCGATTCTGAATCCGCCGAAGATCTTTTGACCGAGGCCGAGGCCGACCAACCTCCACCCGCTGCAGAGGAAGCAACATCTACAGCCGAGGCTTCCGAGCCACCCGTAGAGCCAGGACCAGCTCTGGAGGAAGTGAAGGAGGAGATAATAGCTGAGCAAGAAGAGGCTCATCCAGCGGATGCCGAGCCTGAACCCCAAACGCCAGCGGAAGCGCCAGCGGAAGCACCAGCTGAGGAACTGCCTGCGGCTGAGGAAGCCTCTACGGAAAATGCTGCTGCTGAAGAGCCTGTTGCAGAACCTGTTGCGGAGGCCGCCTCAGAAGAGGCTCCTCAAGATGGAGAATCGGCTACTGCTCTAGAAACGTCAGCAGAGTCACAAGCTGAAACGCCCGCTGATTCTGAGGCCGAGCCCGATACCTCCAAGATGAGCAAAACCAAACTGAAGAAGTACAAGAAGCAATTGGCAGCCAAGCAAGCGGCAAAAGCGGCAGCTGAAGCAGAAGCCGGCGCTAATGCCGAGAATGGGTCGGATACTCCTGTGAACGAGGCCGCCGAAAAGGAGGCCGCTGAAAAGGAGGCCGCTGAAAAGGAGGCTGCTGAAAAGGAGGCCGCTGAAAAGGAGGCCGCTGAAAAGGAGGCTGCTGAAAAGGCTGCCGCCGAACAGGCTGCTACTGAAGCCGCCGCACGGGAGGCCGCCGAGAAAGAAGCTGCAGAAAAAGCAGCAGCCGAGGCCGAGGCTCTAGCCGCGGAAGCTAAAGCACGACGAGAAGAGGCTGAGGCTCTAGCTGCTGCCGAAATCGCAAGAGCAAACGCAGAGGCAGCCGCTGCAGAGATCGCAGCAGCGGAAGCCGCCGCAAAGGAGGCTGCTGAAAAGGCTGCAGCTGAGAAGGCCGCTGCAGAGGAAGCTGCTGCAAAGGAAGCCGCCGAAAAAGCTGCAGCTGAGCAGGCCGAAAAAGAGGCCGCCGAAAAGGCTGCTGCGGAGGAGGCCGCTGCAAAGGAGGCCGCTGAAGCTGCTGCAAAGGAAGCCGCCGAAAAGGCTGCCGCGGAGGCCGCTGAAAAAGAAGCTGCTGAGAAGGCTGCTGCAGAGGAAGCTGCTGCAAAGGAGGCTGCTGAAAAGGCTGCAGCTGAGCAGGCCGAAAAAGAGGCCGCTGAAGCTGCTGCAAAGGAGGCCGCCGAAAAAGCTGCAGCTGAGCAAGCCGCAAAAGAGGCTGCTGAGGCTGCTGAGAAGGCTGCTGCAGAGGAAGCAGCTGCAAAGGAAGCCGCCGAAAAGGCTGCCGCGGAGGCCGCTGAGAAAGAAGCTGCCGAGAAGGCTGCAGCTGAGCAGGCTGAGAAGGAGGCCGCTGAAGCTGCTGCAAAGGAGGCCGCCGAAAAAGCTGCAGCTGAGCAAGCTGCAAAAGAGGCTGCTGAGGTTGCTGAGAAGGCCGCTGCAGAGGAAGCTGCTGCAAAGGAGGCCGCTGAAAAAGCTGAGAAAGAAGCCGCTGAAAAAGCTGCTGCCGAAGCTGCCGAGAAAGAGGCTGCCGAAAAGGCTGCTGCCGATGCCGCTGCACAGGAAACTATGGAGGCGGCTGAGGCGGAGGCAGCTACGAACATCCCAGTTGAAGAGCCAGCTGCCGAAGAACTTCCAGTTGAACCAACTGTGGACGAACCAGAGGCTCCTTCTGATCCAGCCTCCGAGGAACCTGCTCCAGCTGAGCCTGAGCTTGAGCCTGTAGAAGAGCTCCCTAAAGAGGCGCCAGCAGAGGAAGCTGCCCCCGGACCGGGACCAGCCGCTGAAAAGTTAGCTCCTCCCGATTATTTCTCTGAAGAAGCTCCATTCGTCGAGGAAATTGCCGCCCCTGTTGTCGAAGAAATCACACCAACAGAGGAACCCGCTCCCGAAGCACCCGTTCCCGAGCCCGCATACGAGGAACCAGAGCCCTTGATACCCCGCGAAGCCTCAGCTCCGAGAGACTTCCCTGTCTTTGAGCCGGAGGCCGAGTATCTAGCACCTGGTGAGACCTACGAGACAATCCGCGATGAGCATGATGAGCCCGCCGACGCGACAACAACGGGTCGATCATCCCGCCGTCGCAGGAAGCGCGCATCAGGAGAGCGAGAGCGAGAGCGACGACACTCGAAGGCGTCCTCCGAGGACCGCCAGATCCAGCTTCAACCCCAGAGGAGCGAACGCGGTTCCTTCTCCCACCGCTGGGCGATGGCCATGGAGGAAGCTAAGCGCCAATACGAGGAGAAGAAGCGCGCGCAGGAACGAGCTCTGCGGAGAGAACAAGCCGTCGCAGCTGACAAGGCCAGAAGCGGCATTCCTCCGTCCGAGCGATCCTCCGAACGCTCCAGGAAAGAGGTCCCTGTCGTGGGCGTAAGTATCAAGCCAAGGCGTAGCACCTCCACCAGAGAACCAAGTCACGAGATGCAGATACCGCCGCCCCCTCCACCTTCTTCGAGGCAGATGTCTTCTTCTGCTCCTAAGCCGAAAACTTTCCTCCAATACATGAGCAATGGCCAGTCGGATACCTCGAAGCCTCTGCTGCGGGTGAACAGTACGAAGCATGCCGTGACGGCTGTTGAGCGCCCTCGTCGGGCTTCCAACGCTACCAGTCAAGGCAGCAGTACTCGTGAACGGGTCTCTCATGAAGAGACTGCCCCTCGCAGCGAGCGCAGGTCCAGCGCCCGATCTATCGGCTCGTCTTCTCGTCCTGAGGAGAGCGTTCGGCCTGAGCGGAAGTCTCGCCGACAGATCCGCCAGGAGGAAGCTGCTTTGGCGAAGTCTCGCGAGCGGGAGGCGAGCGGCCGACCCAGGTCCAGGTCACTGTCGCGATCCAGATCCAGATCCAGGTCCAGATCCAGATCCAGCAGGTCCAAGTCCAGGAGTACTCGCCAGGGTGACGACGTGAGCAGCAAGTCTGGCCGTTCTTCGCGCCGACGCCGGGACCCTTCTCCTCCTAAGGAGTCTAGGATCAAGAGCTTCTTCCGATCTGTCACTGCTTATTGATCTCAGTCACTACTTATTGATTGGTCATTTACATTCTACTCCTTTCTACTTCTACCTTTTTTGTTAGATTCTATTCTCCCACCCACTTTGGTTCTCTTCTCCCACCCTTTTTGATCCTTTGACCATTCCAACCTTTGTTCTTTGAGCATGTTTGCGTATTTCTATGACCACGAACAAATATATGTATGATTTTTGATGGATGTTGCATGGGAAGCGATGCATTGCTGCATTACAGGAGTACCTTTTTATCTTAGACTGGACACCTTGTTCGCTTATAACGATGATCTTCATGACTTGGCAGCCTCACTTACTTCCATAATATTGAGTAGACTGTCCATTCTTAGAGATTGCCAGGACAGATAGGATCAGCGTTGAGAATTCTTCCCAGTTGGTAACTTATAGATGTCAACTTGACGGTACTTGAGGCTGCGCATCCTCACGGCGCCATCAGTAGTGCTAGCAGGTAAGAGGCCAAGGACCAGTCAGACACCGTCAATATCGTGAACATGATGCAACCCAAAAATACACTAATTTTCATGGCCCTCCGCGATTTCGTACTGTTTTCCATATTCTCGGGAAATTGTTCTTAGATCTAGCCCCCTCAAACAGCTACTGGGGATGAACCTCACAGCTAAGCACGACGCTATCAATGCAATATAAGAAACAAATCCTACCTACACCTCGAACCCGAATAACTTTATCCACCCCTCAGCACACCCAAATCATCTCTCGACGACGGAATAACCCTATTACACCATCCACACCACGCCCTCGCAGAACCACACTCCTCTCGCACAAGGTACTTCCCCGTCTCCCGCTCATCCTCAAACTCCACCACACAGGCACCCACCATAACCCTCTTCTTCGCCTTATGTTTCACGACTCCCCCAAGTCCAATGATCTCCTGCCGAAAATACCCCGGCTCCTCGTCATCATGTCCATCGTCCACACTCCCCTCATATCCATGCCCGGAATGACTTGGCGGACTATGCCCCACGCTACTACTATCGCTGGCCCCCTCGTCCGCCTCACACTCCACCTCGAGCTCGATCTCCTGTGCCGCGAGACAGGATTCGCCACGCCCGCACTTCACGCCCTGCGAGCCCTCGCCGATTCCCGTGCCTAGCCCACCGCCGAGGTAGGTGCTGTAGCGCGTGCGCCAGGCCCAGACGCGCCGGTAGGTCGTGTCGGCGGAGCGGAGGGTCTGGCCGCACTGCACGCAGAGCCAGAGGGCGTCAGAGCAGGTGCAGATTCTTTGGGACAGGGAGGCGGCATGGAGGTCTGTCTGGGGGCGCGAGGAGGAGGGGTCGTGCGGGGTGAGCGTGAGGTACTGCTGTAGAGGGGCGGTGTTGCAGGTGCGGCAGAGCCGGCGCACGCGGCCTTTCATGGCCGTGGTGTTGGGTGGTTTGATGGTGCAGTTCTGCGCGGAGGGAAATGGTTAGCTGCTGCTGCTGCTGCTACTGTTATGGCGGACTCGAGGTTTCCGCCTCCCCATATCATCTGGGATTAGAGGGTTGCGATACTCACGCGACACACGATCTTCGTGCAACGCCGACACTCAGCAACCATATCACGGGCGCATCGGGCGACCTTGCCGCGGGTCATGCGGCCTGGCACACCATTGCCTTGGCTGAGGAGTTGGAGGACGGATTTCACGCTGGAGGGGAGCACGGCGTTGCCGTCGAGCATTTCGGTAAGGGTCTCGATGTACTCGTTTTCGCAGCGTAGGGTTCTCACGGACCAGCTGGTGGCGGAATTGGGAGAGGTTCGCGTGGAATTGACGGCATGTTCGTGAGAGGGCGTGCAGGGTGTTTAGGTCGACTGCGCGGGCGATTTCTTTGACGATGCTATGGGGAAGCGGTTAGTTTCGCGGGGAGATCTAGCTTAGCCCGTGGCGAGGTTTGGAGGGACGAACGGATAGCAGCTCAGGGCTGCGGAAAAGGCGTTTCTGTTTGGATTGCAAGGGGCGTCTTGTGTCCGGCTGGCATCTTGGTCCTCGTTGGATGAGGTTGGGGAGGGAGGGGAAGTCCGAAGCGGTCGCGGGTGCGACCATGAGCGTAGGCGGGAAGGGCTTCACGGGGGTTGGCCCAGGGTGATCAGTGAGGGCATCGTGCTCCAGGTCGACGAAAACGACCATACTGCTGCTGCCATTAGAGGCCTGGGATTTCAATCCATCAGATAAGATGAGATCGCGGGAAATATGGGTTTTATAGTGGGTAAGAGTGTGGTTCTGGGCCTTGCCGCAGGCCAGATCCGAGTGGGATGATGTCGCGAGGGGTTTGAAGCTCCGTCTTCGGACGCGACCGTGATTTTTCCCGTTTGTCGTGACTAAGTTGCAGTCTTCGTATGTTGAGAAGGTTGAGGACTTTGCGGAGATGATGACATCTTCCCCTCTCTTCCGCCTCAGCCCTATTCCCTGTTTGGGTCATGGTAGCCATAGGCGATTAACCGGCCATGTAGATCAGGGATTGATCGTGCATTTGAAGGAGCAATTGGGGCTCGATTAAGAGCGGGTTTCGAAGCAAGGAGCCATGGTGATCAAGTAGATCACTACAGCTTTGACGATCCTGCTATCGTCAAGGTATGACCCCTCCACCTCGTGCATGACCTGACGAGGCCGGGGCAGTTGAGAAGAGCTGTACATCAACCCACTGCAGAGCTAGTCCAGCGGAGCCACTATGTGTGGGAAAATTTCGACTTGAAGCTTATGATCTTGATTCAGCTCGGAGCAGTTGCACGTCCCCCGCGTTTCGTTTTCAACGTTCTTAGACCGATCTACGTATGCTTGAGGGTTATAGGATACTCAAAGCAGACTGGGATTTGATTCAGGATTGGCTATCCAGGGAGCATCCTGCCAATAAAGCGCATTATCAGTATAAAATCTGTCAGCCAGGTCTGCCAACATACTGTGGAAGTCCAAGTTGAAATCCCCTTAGCGAAAAGCGACCCCTCACACTGACAGGGGTGCTTCACGCCCGAACCATATGACTAAACCTCAACCTCAGCTCAAGACGTCTGGCTGAACAAGGCTAATTAACGGGCAATGGACCTCGACCAATTTCTTTTAAAACAAAAGTAAAAACATCGAAAAGGATCGCCAAATTGGAAAGAAAAAAAAAATTAGCATCGAGATATGGGCTCTCTGGACTCTCGAGACTCGAGCTGGGCAGGCTCGGGAATAAGACCAAAACAAGGGTCGGGATCCTTTAGGTTGTACCGCATCAAATAGACATGCAGAAAGTCAGGAAGTAATCCTCTAATCCTCACCGTTTAATCTACAGTTAATAGCGATCTGAGAGCCGCCGTGAGTATGGGCGGCCGCATCACAAAAGACGGTGTGTGGCGGGCCCTCGGCCTCGATACAGTTTCCCGAATCAGCCAGAAGGGCAGAAAGAGGGGTGGGCGTGGGCCTGTTGATCAAGGACACGTTTTTGGCATGCATGCAGTAGCCGGCTGTGGAGCGTCCTTAAACGTAATGGTTATCACCAACACGAGCGATGGCGAAAATGTTGGATGCTGCCATAGGCGGAGCAAAAGGCCGTGGGCTGGTGGCTGCTCATACTGCGTAGTTGTCACTGCGTTCTCCACAAGGCCCGAGCATCTGGCTTTTTCTTTTTTTCTTCACGGTCCGCAGGATCGCTAGCGCCGCCACCAGCGATCCTGTCTGCAACGTCGGCCTTGAAGGATTTCGTGACTGCGAATGTGCTTGTGTTTTGGAGCGGCTCTACTGCAAGTGAAGGGTCGTCAGAGCGCAAATAAGCATCTCGAAGATGCACACCGCAACGCTTGTTTGTTGCCGCCTTCTGCACGGGGAAAGGGTGTGAACAATAAGGCCTTCACTCCGTCAATTTAGACTCCCTAATTCCTATGCGGATACGGATCCTTCGCGCAAAATGCGCTCGAAGTAGCCTAGAGCCCGCTGCGGACGAGGACCGTATACCCTTTTCGTCCGGTCTGCCATGGGGAGCTTCGGGCCTCTAACTATAGAAAAATAGCTGCCGGGATCATCCATTCCCCAAAGGGACTATATGCAGAAACGTAGACAGCTTAGCCGTCTATCAGGATTCGAAGCTTTCTGGCCTGACGCCTGCACTAAATCTTCCGACGATCCCTCGAAAATCCCTTCTGCTTCAAGCACATCCCCATCCAGCAAATAGTACACAATCTAGCAAAGAGCCTCGTGATACGAGCCCATCCACGAACCGCACTCCCATGGATCGACAAGCCTTCAAGCCGGAGCCTATCCAGTCTCATCCGATGGGCGCGGTCCGCCCCTTCAAGCTCACCTATCACCAAGTCGGAGAAGCCGAGCTGAAACTGAAAGGCGCAGAGGGGCGGGTTCAGGGGTGTCAACAATGCGAGGTCTCGTAGGATCGAGGGCCCCATGGGTTGCCTGACATCGACAGTCTCGAGTCTCCGTTCGCGTCTCAGTCCGAACCCTGTCGATAACTTTCCTACCGCTCCAGGATCCAATCCGATGTCCAAAGTCCACCCTCGAACCAGGACTAGAGGCTGCCTTGTCCACCCGGGTGCTGCTTGGGTGTAATACCGGTGCACAACTACACACTCATGAATACTCGCACATTGTAGATTCCCCAATATCGCTATTGGCCCTTCTCCCCTCCCCCAACTACCCCCGTTTTACTACCTCACGACATATTCAACCCGGGCTCAAAGGGAAACAAAGAAAACCTAAAAAGAACAGGAAAGAAAACCTTCCAGCGGCTCCATCTCCGCACTTCCTACTGGAGCTAGCACCTAGAGCCTAGAACCTAGAACCCCATTCAGCTATCTTATCTTCTCAGGCAGAACCCATCCAGCTGTCTACTCAGCACCTTCCAAACCCAGGGTCGACCGGGGGGTGCGCGTCCGTAGGAAAATACCGACAACTATCCCCAAAAGGGCAAAAAGGGACTGCGATCGGCAAGCCAGACAGGCTGGCACCTGACACGAGTGGAACTACGTTCCTGGGTCCGCCACGCCCAGCGATTGGCCCGGCGTGGCACAGTTTCACGAGCAGATTTGCTAGACAAAGTCAATTAGATAGAACCACGGAAATCTGGAGAGCAGCGTGCGCTAACCCGGGTCCCCGATGAGCTGTGCAAGTGCAATTGGAGCTAGATAAGTCTTGGGTTTCAATGCGGAAGCCGACCGTTGCGGAAATTGCGCGAGGCCGGAAGTTAGAATGCCCCGGAACGTGGAACTCAGCGTCCGGCCGAAGAAAAAGATAGCTTGTGATTGCGACAGATTGGAGGTGGGTTTGCTGCCAAACATGCCACTTCTGCCGTAGAATGGGCTTCAGGGGGGAGGGGGGTTCCCCCTTCACCTCCGGCGGCGAGGGTGTCTCGTCCAGGCTGGAAATGAATCTTCACGGGGGAAGGAGATCAAGGGATCTTCGCTCGTTCTCAAGGTGGAAGGAGCTTTGATTGTTGCCATTCGCTTTTCTGGCCGTCATTGGTTCTTGCGGTTCTGAGCTCGCGCCATGAAAAAGGTGAGCGGCGAGAACGGGTGTCAGACGCTTTTCCCGCTCTCCCCTTTTTCCTCTCTCGGCCAGTTCCATGTCGGAATCGGAGCGAGCCTCTCCGCGATTTGCGGGATTTGCGGGATTCGAGTGGTAGGGTTTGGGCGGTCCATGGGACGCGACGATCCAGAACGAACTGTGGCAGGTGCATCTCTCGACTCCAGTAGCCAAGGCATCAATCTGACTACTTGGTTAGCGAAGGAGAGAGGGATGTGGTTCAAAGGCTGGAAGATATTTCCATGGGATTTGCTGTAATTATATACAAGACAGAACTTGGGGTCTCGGACCAAGTGAAGAGGGGGGGTATACAGCCGCAGGAGACGCATGTAAATCATCAAATCATCAGAACCAGACAAAGAAATACGAAACACGGTAACCAGATATCTATAAGTCGCCAGCCTTTTTCTAAAAAGGAACAATGCCCCAACCAAAAGACCCAGAGGTAAGAAAGGTAAGAAAGGTAAGAAAGTAGGCGTTTTCGACGATCCGCAGGAGCTGTGCGACCTGCAGTGGAGATTGTCCCCACCGGGTCAAACTCCATGGTCGCGCGCCATTCCACGCTGTAGATGTGGGAACTGAGATTCTCCGCACTCAGATACCCTCTCGCAATCGCGATTTGCGCTTTTGCACAGCGAGATTCCTCGTGGAAGGCGGAGAGAGTTGGCGCAAGTTCTTTCTCTTTTTTCTTTCTCGTTTGCGTTTTTTTTTTCCTTCTGCGGCCAGACTCGAGTCGGGAGAAAAATCGGGGGGGGTAAGAAAAGAGCGGAACTCCGACCCTTCGGGAGAGTGGGTTTCTTTCAATAGGGTCATGAGGGCCAGCCCCACAACCAAGAGTGATAAAGTGATTCATGAGTCGTGAGATGGAGGGATTCCGTTTGTCGATCAGGAATTCCATGACTTCCCAGTAAGGGGGGAGGGCGGAGGGTTTACATGGCCCACTGCTTCCAGCCCATAGATTGGAAGTGAGCCATGGACTGCACTTGGTCCTCGTAAGGGAGGCAGTCGCTGGACCAAGTGGGTGAAGGGTAGTGGCACTGCACTGGTGGCTGGATCAGGTTCTCCTCTAGGGAGATGGGGACCAGGTGCGAGGTGGGTACAATATCTGAGTTGTCCCATCGCATGGGGGACTGCATTTGCAGTGGAGAGGCCGATACCTCAGTCTTGATCATACCCTTGGGGTAGTGGTCCATCAGTGAGACCGAGCCGGAGGAGATCGAAGAGCTAGAGTGGGGAGGCATGGAAAAAGTGGCATCTGAGAGAGGAGGGGGGCAGGTCTCTGCGGGGGAGGAGTAGAAGGGACTGTCGTCCGCAGGGTCTGGGAGGTGGTTTTGGAATAGGTTGGCAGAAGGGCGCTGTTGAAGAGGCATCTCCAGGCCGTTCCACATCAGAGAGCAGTCATTGGCGAGATCCGGGTGCACGCCGGGAGCCACCAATGAGCCGATAGACATAGAGTGAGACTGCGAAGTGGCAGCAAGAAGAGAGCTGTTGTCCATGGAAACGCAGCGGGGAATTGAAGTAGACTCCACCATCTGCGACTGTTGCGAAGTCCACTGGGTCTGCTCTGGTTGCGACTCGAGCTCACTTGGAAATAGTCATTAGCTTTATGCGCCGAAGGATATTTGTAGTTCTGAGAGGGGAACAAAACTCACTGTCGCTCCATGTGGCGCGCAAGCAAATCAGGACGGTGGAAGGCCTTCTTGCAGCCGGGGTGTGTACAGCGGTAGGAAGCTTCCGGGTTGTGGTTGAGCTCATGGCGTCTGCGGTGCTCGGCGCGAGTAAAGACCTAGAAGTTGAAAGCGTAAGCAAAATGCGCGCCGAGGATTGCCAAAGAGATGCGCATACCTTGTTGCAACCGGGGAACTCGCAAGCGTGAACGCGCTTGCCCTTCTTTGCCTTGCTGATGCGGTGGGTGGTGGGAGTGTAGGTGATAGGCATGGGGATCTCAGCCTGGGGGCTGCGGCGCATAGTGTTCTTTCGGCCAACCATGGTGGATGAATCTGTGGTAGAGGCGGAGGTGTCGAGAGCTGGTGCGAGCTGGGTGGATTGTAATGACTTCTTGTGCTCAGTAGAGGAACCTCTCATCCTGCGGCGGACCGGATACTAAGAGGGGGGGAAGGGTTGAAGTTCTTCGAGGGTGGAAGAAAGTTATATAGAGTTGGAAGGAGGGAAAGGAAGAAGGGAAGCAATCCTCAGGTGATTGGAAGGAAGGGAGATCTGGAGGTTCTGAGGTGAAGAAAGGTGGAGGATGAGAGGACTGATATAGACGACGCAGGATAGCTGGGCTGGTTCTACCTCAGTGGATTAATAGACTTCCAACTCGAAATTAATGGCCGAAATGGGGGAGAATTGCGAAAAAACCGAAAGGAGAAAAATGGGCGATTAATGGAAATAAGAAAATAAAAAAAATAAGAAAATGAGAAAATGAGAAAATAGAAAATAAGAAAATAAGAAAATAGGGAACAAATCAGGAAAAAACCGAAGAGAAATTCCGAAAGGGAAAAAAAGAAGGCAAAAAGGGAGCAGCCCCAAGGCATTCTCAACCTTAGATCCCAGGGAACCAAGCACGGGCGTGGGGAGGATCGCGGGAGGATCAAGCATCCTAAAATTACACCACGTTGTCGGGGTGTGCGGCTGAGGCGTGAAAATGATAATTTGGAATATTCGCATAATTAGTGCCTCTTAGCCGGGATTCTTTTGGGGCCTTAGGCCCCCTTGGCGACTAGTCCCCTTCCAGCCAAATATCCCAATTAACCCGAAATTCCCACAGGATTTCCCATTTTCCTAAACTGAAATACATTCAGAAAATAGCATCAGGATAAAATTGGACCCCCGTGTCAACGGCTTGCAGGACTGTCGATCATATCTCCTCTCTGCCACCAGAGGCTTTGGAAGGATTCTGGTAATTCCACCATTCTACAGTAGATTGGTGTTAGCGGGGAGGGCCGAAAGACGCCCCCTTCGCCCTCTACAAGATATCCAACGCAACATCGGTGCTCCGGAGGCATGTTTGCCGCCGTGGGCTTGCGATAGCGTGGTGCATGAAGAAGCCTTTGATACCGAAAAGGGAAATAAATATCCTGCCAGGCCCCAGGTGGTGGGCGAAGTCTAATCTACTCTGTTGGTTCTCCCATGCTGATCCCAGTGGGCTACGTAGCCCATACCTCCCCATTTCCCCGTAGGCCCAAACCTTCTCCAGGGCGGTAGAAAATCTATCTTTAGGCGGATCGGAGCTGAATCTGACCCCGAACCTCCACGGTTTGCGAGAAGTCCAAGCTCCCACGGAACCGCAACGGGCGTGCCCCACTGATATCATGGTTCCCATCACTTCTGGTAGCCCGCAGGATCTGGCACTAACCCTGATCGAGTACCCCAGCTTACGCTCCATTGGCTACCGATCATGTGGGCCATCCTTCCCTTATACAGGGCCTGAGGCTTGGGGGGAATGTTAAGGCCACCCACCCCGGTGGTCAGCACCCTTTTCCTCGTTGCCTTCCTAATCAGCAGTGTGAGCGACCGTTCCTTGATGAAAAAAAGAATGCTATAATGCCATGCAAGAACGATGCATAATGTAGTGGAGTCTGGAATGCCAGCAAGCCCCCCCCCGGGTCAGCCTAGTGGGTCCGGCATGGCGTGAGCCCTGCCACCCTGGGGCCCATGTGCAGGGGAATTGGCCGTAGTTTGTTTCAGGGTGGATGATCCCTTGCCCTAAAGGGTGAAAAAGACACTGCCCAGGTAGCTTTCCCAAGCCCACTTCCCCCCATCCTTGGCCCCGAAATATCCTCCTCGATCCGGTCCGATCAACATCGTGAACTGATTGATGGATCATACTCTTGTGAGCAAACCATAGTTTTTTTTCTTTTTGCAGAATGACGATATCAAGCCGTATTTATGAGGAGCACCAACTTTCCCCATCTTCCTAGCAGAACATTGTTGGATTTACTAGCATTCTTCCTCCACAGCCCCGGTACCTAGGTACCATCGTGCAAAAATTAGAAAGGGAAGGCAGGATGGTAAACATAGTACAGAGTACAATTAGAGTATCTCGTATCCACAACAAACATCAAATGTGGTGGCTTGAATCCCGTATCAGCTTCATCGCCCGACAGTATCTCATGCCGCGTGGCCGGAGAGCGGGGATAGCAGACTAAGCCTCGTGGCTTGACGGAAGCGAGGGGCAAGGAATGAGATCCACGATGAAACCACAACCCCATGCAGGTAAAAACTTAGGCGCATTCCTGAAACATGCGATATCCCACGCTTCTCTTCAAACATTCTGGAATGTATTCAGTGGAACCGCCCCCGTCTGCATAAGCTTGTCTACCACGCGGAAGTCTTCAAGGGGCCATTTCTCGCTAGTCCCGAATTTGTCGGGGGGGGGTGAGCTTTATTCTCAGTCTTTTTATAGAACATGATTTGTGTTCCTCATCCATCGTGTTAGTCCTGGCCCCTAGCGCGACGATCAAACCAACGCGACTTGCATGACATTAAGCCATTAAGCCGAATGGACGGCAAAAGCATTATCGGGGCCTGGGGAAAGTGCACGTTTCCACGTGCTAACTTTGGCCCCAACGGGACGTGACTAGATACATTGCGGCAGGAATATGCGAATCCTGAGTATTGCCGAAATCTGCCTGGAGTTGAGTATATGCAAGATAAGCATCGTGATGTTTTATCAGCCTCAGCGGCGCGGCCAGGATCTCCAGGGCCCAAGGGAATCGTCTTCAGATTGCGTCTAGCCCTACAGAAAATCTAAGCAAGCCTCAATTATGCTTGAATCATGCGAATGACTGCGAAAGGGGCCCTACCGTCATAGCGCTTCCAAGTATAGATTCTGATGGGTCCTGATCGTCCGGTTCACTGACTTCCCCGGCTTAGCCTCCCCATCTCGCGTGGCAGATAGGGCGGGGCCCAGGCCACCCAATCACCGCGCTTTCTAGCCCTTCCGCTATTGGATCGCAAACTATTCTACTTTTCAAATAATTGTGGGGCTTTCCCTCTTTGTCGGTGGCTACCCGGGCTTTCTCCATCGACTCCCTCACGTGAAATGACATGGGGAGGGCGGAAGAATTCCATCCTTGTTTTCCCTGATTGGGCTCGCTTCTGGCAATTCCTTTATGCATGAATGATGATCGGTACGGAGTACAATTCGATATCCTGATCAGCCACCAAAGTTAGAAAAACGCCTCCCTTGTACAAGCCTTTGGTCAAGAGGTTAACCGTGCTCTGTATCAAGCCTCTATAGGTCTAGGAGTGGATCTTCAGGCCCTAGACGACGCCTGATGTTGAACCCACCATCCTGCACAAATTTGGCAAGTGGCAGGTGGGATGGTAGGCCTAAGAGTTGGAGGTTGGAGTCGTGATGATTGTGATCAGCACCAATCCTGCTGGCCCACCTGGCCCATAAGGCCCATAAGAAGCTGCAGAACAAAGTTGGTTTTTTCTTCAGTCCACGCAGTGCTGTGGTTGGTTCTTTTTTTAGCGACTCGATCCTTCAGGGTTATCGGGGCTTATCGGGCCTGTCGGGGGTAAAAACGCTTGGGTATCCAGCACCACGCCTAGGGATGCACCCGCAGAGACTATGGCCGGTCGCAAATTAGTTTAGTGTATTTTGTCTTCTCGCTTAAGATCACCATTTTGATCAGTTATTGGTAGGACCCTGCTTTGGGGAAAAGCACGAAATCGCATCTCCCAGAGCGTCGGGTCATGACTCGCAAGGTCCATAGACGATGGGGATGGGGGGATACGACGGCAACTTTCCGGGGACTTTTGGGTGTCAAGGCACCCAAGCGATCGAACCAAGGCCGATGGCCCACTTGGACGAATTATTGCCGCGCTGAGACTGCCAGGTCTCCACTACGAGGCTCTTGTGACCGATAGAATTGCCTCTTATCCCCATCGGCCGAGGTGGACCTGCATAGATACAACAATCTGACGGCTTTAAACGGGACAATAAATAGAAACCCACCTGTGCATCAAAACAAAGAAATGAAGACAAAGAATTGTTAGGGCTATGCGATGGCAACAAGACCCTTTCAACGGTCAAGTCCTTGTCGCGCTCAGGGAGCGAAGTCCTGGGTTGTCCAGACTTCCAAAGGCACATGGCATCATGGCATACTGGGAGTGAGGGCATTCCGTCATCTGTTGCTGGATAGAACGTCTCGAAGCATGACGCACTCATCGTGACGTACCTAGGTAGATCTCAGAACCGTCACGGATCGGTCCAACCCACAGGCTTGGCTTTCTAACGGCAAATTCCCGTCTGGTCTGCTAATTCCCGACCGGGAATGAGATTATCCCTTAGGCTATATTGCCCAATTTCTGTTGACGGATATCAGATGAAACGTCCCCTGCATCGGCGTTGCAGAACCTCCCGAAACCGCAAGTCCGTAGATTCAAATTCGCAAATTACCGAAATCTCCGGGGGTACTTTTTCCCCAGTGGACCATTGGAGAGTCTCCAATAGATAACCTAACACAGAGTATATTGGACCCACGTTTCTGACCTGTCGGGACCCATTCTGACTGATGAACGTTCGCACTCTTTGGTCCGCGTCAAGAACTACGCCCCATCTAGCTTAGCCGCACATCCCAATCGGGAATCACCACATTTGCCAAATGAGGAATATATGGTCGATCATCACTGGCTGGGAAGTTCAAGCTTACCCCCTCCCCTCCCGCTGGAATTAAAGCTCCGTGCTCCGTTTCCCCGCTCCGTTGACCGCTCTGTTGCTCCGCTGTAAGCTCTGCCATGCCCGTCTGGACTGTGTCGACTGTCGGTCTGTGACTGTGATGAAGATGCGGAAGTACGTCTCCCCCCGAGCCCGTGCGATCTTTAGCCTCATCTCCTATAGCCGATGACGAACAAGCGCACTAGGAAACCACCGTAAACCATCAAGTCGGGCATCGGGTGGAAAAGCCCCCGACCGATACCGCCGACTTGTCCGTTCCGCAGATTATGGAACATAATGAGAATAACCTTGGAAACAATAATCCCTGTGTGGGAGGCTATCGGGGCGCTATAGCAGTGTTTGTTGTTCCTCCATGCCACTTTAACCATCACTGATCTCCTGGGCAGTGCGAATC